CTTATGGGTAAAGATGAAGAATTGTTAAAATACCAATAGATAAAAAAATGATTTAGTCGTAGTTTCTCTTTTTTTATTTATTTAATTAGAAAAAATTCAGAAAAGTAAAGATAAATATTCCTATCTAATCATTAATAATAATTTAGTAGTGTTTGTATAGAAGATATAACTGAGTAGATAGAAGATATGGAAATACCACCAGCTAGAGTGGAATTGAATGTTAAGGAAACACTTTTTTTCATTGAAATAATAATGACAAGTAAATGCAGAAAAACTCAAGATAAAAGCCAAAATCTGCTTGTATATAAATATATAAAACGAAAATTGTCGTAATTATAAATATGACAAGAGCCTTTTTAAATGTTATAAATTAATTTATAACTTTCACCGGACAACGAAGCTATTAAATTCCCTGACTAAATGATTAAACAGTTATGCATAGTCAAATTGAATCAGTCATTTCAAAAACCTCATAAGTTATTATGAGATTCAATGTGACTTATGACGTTTTTGAAATGACCGATTCAATTATTTATTTCATTAAAAATAGATAAAATACTCAACTGTATTCTATTGTATTTATATATTTAAAAATTTTATTCTCTAAATTTTATAAACATTTTTCAACAAAACATGCAATTCAGTTAATATAATAATTTTAATGGTAGTTATTTGAAAATAATATTAAATTAATATTTATGAAAATAACTATAACATTTGAGAAAAAAAATATTGAATTAAACAAAAATTACGAAAAATCTAAAACACTGAATAATATTTTATGTTAAAACTTTTAACTACAGTGCAATTCTTTAATTTAATCATATTTTATTCATACAGAACAGGTTACTACAAAAATTATAATTAATCGTATTTTTTATTGATTTCAATAAAAAGCATTGTAAAAATATACTTATTGTAACTTTACATAGATATTTTTTAGGTGAAACATCTAACAAATAATATTCATCATTATTATATGTATCTTTACTTGTTAAGCACTTATACGAAAAATTATCTATCGATAATAATAATGAATTGTAAATTCCTAAAAATAGCGAGTTGACAAATATACTTACACATATTTTCATTCTACCAATAAAAAAAAGTATACATTTAAAATGATATACTATATAAAATAACCAATGTAATACTATGCAACCAATATAATTATATTGTAAAATATTTGTATGTCGCCATCTAATGACTATTAGACTAACGACAGTTTGTTAGTTAACGACGATTGCTTGACGATTAGATTGTTTATAGCAACGAGGGGAGAGTTTGTTTATCTCCAGTTTTTGACTTGAGTTGACCGCACGGATTCTTTCTTTTAATTAATTGCTGTCAATCTTTAATAAACATTTTTATTTATTTATTAATTTGCCGAAGTTGTTATTGGGTCTTATTTTACAATATATTAAAATTAAATTATCAGAAAACAATTCTTTCTTTTTAAATCATGGTGAGAGTTATCTTTATTAATAACAGCGGGGGAAGAGTGGAGCACAAAGGCAAGGTTCCTTGCAAAAGCTCTCGAAAAAAATGTATATACATATACTTAGTCATATAAAAATAACAATATAGTATGTATAATTACAGTTTCAGTTACTTATTAATATAAGACGAAATTAGCTTATCGTTCATTATTATAATTATCAACACTCTTCCCCTTAATGAAAATGCGATTAACATCAAGCATGAAAAACTTTCTTGTTAAAACGTTTAACACATCATGAATTTTAGGTATTTGCAACTTAATAAATAATTCTTAATATACTGAAGAGTTGGTATTTGTAAATGAATAAATTTTATCAAGAGAATAACTAAATGAAAAAAGATTCCCACGAATTGAAAGAGTAAAAAAATTACATTCCAATGAATTTAAATTCTCTCATAATCGCTAATCGAAGACTATATGGAATCATTTGGTCAAATGATGTGATAAACTATGTAAAATTATTAAAGTCCACTGAGGGTATTAAGGAAACTAATAAACACGAAAATTTATTTATTCACCCTCTTACTTAATGACAAAGTGCATTCTATTCGTAAATGATTTAGTATAAAATATCAAATGCAGTCAACGAGTGATTAGTCAAGATAAATACTGAAAAAATTAAACAAATCAACAAGTATAGTACAAAATGTTCATGATATAAAAAATGTCTGGTTGAAATAAATAAGAATACAAAAGCAGAATATTAGTCATCATAATTATTCAAGGCTTTACTTCAAAATTATAGAGACGTGTAGTGTGCAATAAAAATGAAACTGCAATAGAATTATAATTTGTATAGATCTGAAAAGTATAACAATTTAACAACGATGTCTGTTTAACTAAAAAAGAAAAAAATTCTTACCACGCATGCGGAGAAAATGCCTATTTATCGTACGGGCTTTCGGTCAGTAAATTGTCGATTTTCCACGGTTGAGCGAGTCCTTATAGGAGGTAAAAAATGCAATCAGCATTTACGAACATAACCGCAGGATAGCACGCCAACCCGGCAGCTCGCCGATATAATATGACGGGCGGAGCTTTGTTCGGTTCTTATCTGGTCGGAGGGAACAGAAAGAAACAGAGAAAGCAATTTCCACAACCCAGAGATCGTACATATGATATGAGCATATGAGTTTTAGACGACGTGTCAGTATTTTGGGTCAACATATCGCTAATCTGAGGTCACAACATAAAAGTTTCTGTGAACCCAACATGTGATGACGCTGTTCCAAATTATTTTTTTTATATTTTCTTTGCATTTTTTTTTTGGTCCCTCTTCTCTGGTAAAATGATTTTTAATTTTACGACAATCCGTACTAAAAAGCAATGAAGATCCCGACATTTAAAGGTCCTTTGAATTCTTGCGTAGTTGTGCTAGAGTGTTCTTATGCAGTTTTTATCACACGTGCGTGGTAACTACTACGTTATCTCTAAATTTTCATTATCTTTCCTCGCACACCTGCGATATTAGTTAAATTTTGGTCAAATATTTCCAGATTATGATTTCAAGCTGTGATTTTGTAAATGATGGTATAATTTAACTAATAATTAATCTATAATTAATAATTTGAGCTTATTGATAATATTCAACATTAACAATATGTTAATATATAAGGAAAGATAATGAAAATTTGTTGCAAGTAGTCATGTCGTTCTCTCTATTTTCGACATATTCTCGGGCACACATGTTGAAAGTGGTCACGATATGGCGCCACTTTCCATCAAGATGAAGGTGAGCCGACCGGGCTTCCGTATTTATGGCTTACAGGACTACAGTCGGCAATCGGTGCGTTACCATATGGAAATCCGTGAGATAACGTAGTAGTTACCACGCACGTGTGATAAAAACTGCATAAGAACACTCTAGCACTACTACGCAAGAATTCAAAGGACCTTTAAATGTCGGGATCTTCATTGCTTTTTAGTACACTCGGCGTCATTAATGCCTGGTCCAACAAAAACTGTGATACCATCCGAGCAATTATCGTTGGAGTAGTTTTTTTTTTTCAAATAGAGATTCCACATCTAAATTAATTTAGAAAGTTCATGATTAAATACCCTTTTAGATAGTCCCTATAACAATAGAATATCTCGACTAAAAAATTTTTTAACCTTAATTTAAATAATAACAAGAAAAGTTAAATAATGATAATTATAATTTAATTTTAAACTCAAGTTCATAATCTCATCAAAAACAGCCCCCTCCTTCTGGGCTGTACAAAAATGTGCGCCAAACATAAATAACGACAATGATGAAATTACAAAAAGTCCTAAAATAATTAAACGCCAATTATTTAAATCTACAAATCAACAATATTTAAAATGAATTCTTCGGTTTTAAATTTAGTACGTTTAATGACACAATAAACATAACAACCAAAAACTTGGCATGACTGTTATTTATTAATTGGCTTAAATATTTTCAACATTTTCACAATTTCATGGTTTTATAAAATCTTAACAGTCACGCCACCTCCCATAAGGACTGGACTTCTATACTGGTCTCTCTTCTCTGCTGCTACGTTATCTCACGGATTTCCATGTGGTAACGAATGTGAAAAAATCGGACTCAGATTGAGTGACTGTTTTTATAGCCACTCGTTTGTAGAGAATTGAATTCTCTATCAAATAAGATATACTTTTGTTGCAATTTTTTTTTTTTCATCGTTTATAAGAAAAAAAATTGCAAAATTGAGTAAATAAATAGAAACAAAGAAAATTTAATTCTCTGCAAATGAGTGGCTATATACGGTATCATAGTAGTTTTATTGAAACATTTTTTTTTTAGTTAAAGAAGGATGAAAAATTAAATAAAGGACCCGCATTTATGCTATTGGAACTTTTTGTTCTTAGTTACAATTTTCTAGTTTATAAAAATTTCCTTTTTTTATTAATCTATGACGTCTCATTAGACTTTGTAATTATTTCGTTTCTTTCTTGACATTTAAAAACCAGAATTTGTGACCTTAGTTTTTCAATAAAACTTATATAATGAAGATTCAATGAAAAATTTAAATTAAAAAATTTTTAAATTCTATCTCTATAACTTCATTATAAATATGTAACTATAAATAAATGAATTACAACAATCTTTAATTTATAAATTTTATTTTTTATTATTTTTTTCTTTTACAAAGAAATTCCTGGTCAATTTATGAGAGTTAATTTTTAATTGTTTTTCCAAGTAAAATTGTATAAAACTACAAGATATTTTATACACTGTTCATTAAATTATTTATGTAGTTGTTTCATAACAAAAATAAGTGACACTAAAAAAAAAATAAATCCTTTTATATTTATATATATATATATATGTGTATATACGAATATAATGGCAACAAAATAAATGATTCATTAATCAATGTTAAAGAAGAAAAGTTCGTAAAATAATTGTTAACGATATCCTTGTATTGAAACCCACAAAAATGTACGCGTCGAAAAAAATCTTCATAAAGAATAATTTCCATAAACATAAATATAATTCTTCATTTTTATTTTATTTAGATTCAACAACAGGTTGATGCAATCAACAGTTCTAATATAACTTTTTTTCATTTGTTAATTTTTTTTCTAAACGTTATTTATACCATTTCGAATTCCCTGTTTAACTTTGCTAGATCTCTGAAAAAAATAAAGACATTTGTTATTCATTACAATAATAATTGAATAAAATTTTTATGATTAAAATATCAATTTTACCTCACTTCAACAGCTTCGCTCAGCTGATATTTATGCATTAACGAAATAACTAGTCTTAATGTCGACCAAATACACTCAGACATAGCTCGAGGTGGTGGACTCTGACCGTCAATACCTTTTCCAGCTGCTTGTTGATTTAAAGCCGTTAATAAGTGTTCTGCAGCTTCTTTATATGCTCCAAGATTAATACAGGAAATCCCTAAATTATAACGAGCTCTAATAAATCCAGGAGATAATTCCAATGCTCTGGAATAAGCATCAACAGCTTCTTCAGATCTTTGACCGTTAGCTAATGAGGCTCCAAGTCTATTCCACAATCTAGAATCATCCGGACAAACTTGTAGAGCTGCTCGAAAACAATCAGCTGCTTTATCATATTCACTGGATAAATTGAAAAGGACGCCTAAACCTATTTGAACATCAGTATCAATCTCATTGGTTGGATTCATCCTTGCAGCCTGAATAAAAAGATCTTTTACTTCATTATGGACACTATTAAACAAAATTGTAGATACGCTTGATTTCAAAGTTGTTGTTTCACCTCCAGCATTATTAACTAAGAGATGATTATATTTTTCATTCTTCATCAGCCATTCTTTTAAAGTTAAACAAGCTTGATTTTGATATGACTCATTCGTGTACGCTACTGCTAATGTCATTAAAGCTGTTGAATTTGATGGGTCAAGAGTCAAGCATTTTTTCAAAGCTGCAATAGCTGCAGGATCTTGTTCATTTTCGGCTTGAGTTTTTCCTAATAATAACCAAGCTTCAGAATTTTCAGCATCTTGTTGAACAGCTGCCTCAAAACACAATACAGCACTTGGTAAGTCTCCAGCTTCTAGTCTTCTTCTACCTTGTTCTAATGCATCAACTGAATCTTTCATTGGATTATCTTCGCTGAATTTATAATCTTTGAATGGATCGTAATAACTTTCATATTCAGATATCCATGGATGTGAATCTACCACTTGTTTATTAGATATTTTATCCCACTCATCTTGAAGACGAGACCAAAATGCAGATTCATGAGCTTCTGAACCTGAAGGATTGTCGAAGAATTCATTTAACCATCCAGCACTTAATAAATCATCTTCATTTTTATTTAAAACATCGTCATTTTTTACATCATCTGAAGATTGATCTTCAACATTTTTCTGATCGGAAAATTCTTGAGCCCATTTTGAATTTATATTCAATGACACAGGATGTTGCAGACCTTCACCAAGTTGCTCATTTTCTTGGTTCATAAATTTCATAAATTTTGAATAGGCTGCTCGTGGATCATCTTGCTTTGGATTTGAAAAAGAATCAAGTGCTCGAATTTCATCCGTTCCAGTTTCCAAAGTTTGTTCAATATAATCTTCTGCCCAAGTTTGTCCAAGACCAAATTCATTACTGTTTTCTTGTGATATTGGTCGTGGAGGTAAATGATTTTCTGACCAAATTCTATCAGTGTTCTGTTCCTATATAAACACAATTGAAAAAGTTTTTTAAATAAATGTTATATTGAAATTATTAATAAAATTGACCAATAGTAAATATAGTTACATAAAAATCTGGTTTATTTTCTAGAAACTGATTTGTCCATTCTGAATCTTGACTCAAAGCACGACTTTCCGTAGGCATAGGCACTGGATGATAAGGAGAAATCGGAGGATGAAGACTTTGATCAATTTCATTGATCTCTTGGAAGATATCTTTCATTTTAAAGGTTTGAGGAACAGGATTGGCTCTGCTATCGAGAAATTCATCAACCAATTGGTCTGAAGTAGCATCTTGAAATGGAATCAATTGTGATTGACCTAGACCCTCTTCTCGAAAACCTCTATCTTGAACTAGATGTGAAGTAAATGTAGTAAATGGACTTGGTCCACCGCAATCGCCTTCAACTAATTCTCTTAAAGCCATCGTTCTCTATTTTACGACAAAACATCAATTAGAAAATAAAATGATAAATACAAAAATCAAATATTTAATTTGAGAGAAAAAGTAATTAAACATTGAATATATTAAGCTCAGGAGGTGTCATTGATAACTTACGTGACTTCAAAAATAAATAGTATTCTATAAAGTCAATATTTAATAGTACAACAGTCATGTAGGTATTAAACTCCTTAAGAGGTTCGTTTTAATTTATGTTTCAACTTCATTTTTTCAAAGACTCAATAGCACATACATTGCTCAAGACTGAATTATAATAATAAATTTATAACGTAATATTCTGATGTCTTTCTGACTTAATCACATGGACTCTAGACTGCTCTAGACATTTTTTCGAGTCATTAGTATCATTTACTGGCCGCAAGCGGACGCTTCATTCTTCATCATTATAATACACTTCCATAAATATATGTATTTTTTTGAATAATTAAATATTTAAGTCATTTTTTCTTTTAAAATAATAATTTGTTCATTCAAAAATTTTAGTTATATATTATAAATATTTTTAAATTGATTCGATTCAGTTGATTTATCGAAATAACCAGATAAATGAATGCACTGACAAAACTTCTTTTTTTGCAATTCAAGTTTTTGCGCTATGAGACTCATCGCAAGTGGCGCACTCTGATGTGTAGCTTGAAAAAGCAAATTTTTCTGACTAGATGGCATTACATGATTATATTATTTGTGCACTTTCAAATTTTATTTTTCACGGAACTTAATTTTGAATATTTATAAAATATAATAATTTTTTCACTCATATTTCATTTTATTTGATGTGTAATAAAGAAATCAGTATTTTTTTTTCATCAATTCAATCATTTTATCGCAATTTTTGTCATTAATGGACGTCTATATTATATGCAATTCTGCATATACTATGACCTTTTTTGTATAGACATGTTGTATGTGTACATATATATATATGTACATACAACAAAGTTAGCACTCTCTGGCTGAACTGTTCATTGACATATCAATTGACGTGGAGTTGTTAGAGAGTGGTATTATGTCTATCTAATTTTTAAATATTTTCGACTCCTACGAGTCTTTTAGTGTACAAAATATCATAATTTATATTAATTTATGTTTAGTTGTTAAATGAAGAGATAAAATTATTAATAAATTAATTTTTTGTCAATAATAAGGAAAATTATATAGATTTTATAATAAACAATAAGGATGGCCAGTCCCCGAACACGTCGGATTCTGGGCGATCTTAAGCCTAATAATGAAAATAATGTAAGTAACATAAATTTGAATTATAATTTTAAAAAATAAATTTTCTTGTTATTATAAATTGAATATTTTGGTGTAGAAATGTTTCGAATGTGGTGCTCACAACCCACAATGGGTTTCTGTTACTTATGGAATATGGATCTGTCTGGAATGCTCCGGTAAACACAGAGGGCTTGGAGTTCATCTTTCATTCGTGAGATCTGTTACTATGGATAAATGGAAAGATACCGAATTAGAAAAAATGAAAATAGGTGGTAACAAAAACGCGCGAGAATTTTTTGATTCTCAATCTGACTGGGATGAAACATTGCCCATTTCAAAAAAATATAATACTAAGGCAGCTGCATTGTATAGAGATAAGGTATATCTTCAATTTTAATGTTTATTATGATCTTTGAATGATTCTGATCTATTGACAAAACTTAAAGAATTAGGTATATAAATTTAATAATTATTAATAGTTAATGAGTTTTTTTTTTAAATTAGATTGCAACACTTGCTAGAGGAGAGCCATGGAGTATTTCTACAGCCAATATTAAAGATTTTATTCCATTCGAATCTGAAAGTCAATCTCAAAATTACAACTTTTATCAACAAGATCAATCGTATCAAAATTTTGATCATACATCAATAAAAGCACAAAAAGATACATTTTTTGCAAGAATACAAAATGAAAATGCCAATAGACCAGAGTAAGTGAAAGTTAAAAAATTGATAAACAATATTAAACTAATTATACTGAAATAGATAAAATCATTGAAAAGCGATTAACATTGTAGCAATTTACCACCTAACCAAGGTGGAAAGTATGGTGGATTTGGATATCAAATGGATCCTTTACCCAAGAGTACTTCTCAAGAATTTTTTGACACTGCCGTATCTTCTTTAGCAAATGTAATTATAAAAAAATCATCTACTCATAAAATAATTTGTTTAAAAATAATTACAATTTTTAGGGATGGTCGATTTTTTCATCTTCAGCATCAAAGATAGCTTGTAAAGCAACGGAAAATGCTATTAAAATTGGTGGTATCGCTTCACAGAAGGTTTGTAATTATGAAAACTATCATTTGATAACTATTAATTAATTAATTGTTCTCCATGTAGAACCTCATTAATTTTTTTATATAAACATTTATTATTTTTACTTTGTTGTATTACTTATTAGGTTCGAGATGGTACTTTATTAGAGGATGTTAGTGCTCAAGTCAATAGTTTAGCTTCTAAGGTATTAGTTTTATTTTTGCATTTAATTTGATTTCATCAACTTCATTTATCATTATTATTTGCTTATTTATACTAGTTATAATAAAAATACTTTTTTGCTTTGCATAATTTTTAAATAATAATTTTAATCAATGGGTAATAATAAAAATTATCGATTTGAATTTCAGGTTAGTGATTTGGGCAAACGAGGATGGAGTGACATTTCAACATTAAATTCATCGATGCAATCTTCATATCAATCAAGTAATCAATATCAAACGTCGTCTGGTTCTTATCAAGAAGGATATCAATCTTCTGATTACAATGAAGAGTCTTCATTTGCTTCTAATTCAAATATTAGGTAAATTTTTTTTATTTTAATAAGTAAATGACATAAAGTTAAATGTTATTGGAAAAAAACTCTAAATATGTTCGTAGAAGTAAATCATCATCAAATATTGCAAGTCAAGATTGGAGTACTGAAAGCTTTAAAAAATCGGAAAGTTTCTCTGAAAATAAATCAGCTTCTTCAAGAAGAAAAGAAAAAAAATCGAAAGAACCATCTCTAATTGATTTTGATACAAAAGTCGAACCGAGTAGCTTAAAATCAACATCGAAAGCTGAAGATGATGCGTGGGAAACACTAAAAGATTAATGCAAACTTGAAAATGAATTATAAATAAGTATATAAATGAAATTTTAATACATGAATATAAAGATATCATAATGATCTACTTTATGTCATTATAAATAAAATATTTGAGAGATAAGTTTAATTAAAATAATATCGTCAATATTAAGCAGCATTAATTTTTATATTATTAAAAAAATATTACATCTAGACAATTATATTCAAGTAGTCATATTGTACATTAAGAAAAAAAAAGAAATATAACTTTTATTTACTTATACATATTACATAAATTATTATTATAAGTAATTGTATTTTAATTTAATTTGTGTTTTTCATTTTTTTTGGCCCATACACCTTTCTCGTTTTTTGTTGTAACAAATTTTCAAGATATAAATCAACTTCTTCTTCACATTTTGGCCACACTTCTTCTGTTATTTGTTTCAAAATATAGAAAATTGTTTCTAGAGTCATTGGAGTTGAATTAATAAAAGGCTGTCCTAAAGTTGCTCGATGTAATAAATCATAAAGAGCTCTGAAAAATAAAATATACATTTTTTTAAAATATTAAAAAGAATTTATTTTAATTTTTTAACTCACTTAAAGTCACATCCAGCTGAATCTTCTGGTGGTGGGTGATCTTCAAATAATGAAATGAATCTTAATGCTTCAGGAATCATAGTATTTGTATTAGAAAAATACTCTGATTCTAACCAAGCATCAATGTGATCACTTTGTGTCGTATTACTTTTTTGTGCAATAGCATATAATTTATTAATCATTGCTCGAACAGCTGCTTTCGTTTTATGTGGGAATTCTTTGGCTATGTTATCAATATCAGTATAACCATACTTTTGTAAAGCTGACAGCAATGTTGTTTTCTCATCTTCGTCCCACTTTTTTTTTGTTGCTGAAGAAAACTCTTGTGGCAATGACTTCTTCCGTGGGGCCATTGTTTGTATTCGCTTTGTTGTAAATTATTTAAAAGAAATAATATCAATTTCACGCTATATATTGATATTGTCGATGATCAGCCCGTCAGTGTTTATGTTTGTCAACTCCACTGCGCATTAGACAAACTTGAAAAATGCTGAACATAACCAAAAATTGAATATAAACAAGTGGGAAAATCGGAGCAATAGCGACACTACCGGGAATAAATTGAAGTATTCAGCGTCATGATGAACATACACACGTGAACTCAGTCCTCTAATGTTGTTTGCTTGATTTATCAATTAATAATAAATTCTAAATAAAATTGATTCTATTTCTGCATATTTATGTTTAAGAATAATAATTAACTTACTACTGGCTAAATAATTATTTAATGCTGCTACTTGTATAGAATGATATTCACCAACCTATTTGTGATGAAATTTAAAAGTTAAATGTAATATCTTGATTTATAATAAAAATTTAGTAAATAAGTGTATAACTAAAAATAACTAAATAAAATTTAATAAGTGAGTAAATATATATGAAAGTGAAGAAGAGTATAATAAAATGATATAATATTGAAATATTTAATTAGAATAACAAAATAAAAAATTTACTCTATTCGGGATCATGTCAAAACGTTTCGGTAAACATTTTCAAAATGATCGATCAATTATATCCAAAAAACCTCGTTTGGACATCACAAAAGGCAGTGAGCCAAATAGAAGGATGTCCAAATCTAGAACTAGTACTGAAGCTAGTGATGAATGGGGTGATGATTTTGAAGAAGCAGAGCTTGAAGAATTGGATATGATTGCCTCACAAGCATGCTCTCAAGAAGTTAATACATCACTTCAATGTCTTGATCCACAACCAGGACCATCTAACATAAATAAACTAGATTTTTCATTAACAAGAGCTTCATCATCGTTTACTTCATTTGACAATCGAAAATCTAACAATGATTATTTATCCAGATTAAATGATCTTCCCTCAAAAATGTCTCAAGCTTCACAAATATTAGCTTCTTCAAATAATTTACGACCCATTGCAGAAGAAGAACCAGTGATAGATGTGTTTAAGAAAAATTTAATGATCGAAAAAAAATTAAATTCGACATTTCAAACGAAAAATAATGTTGTAGCTGAATCTGATGATATAACATCAAAAACAAGTGAAAAGTTGGAAGTAGAGCACAGGAAGCTTCTTAATCTTTTTACTGTGAAAGAGGGAGAAACAATATTTCTTAGACAACGACTTCAAGAAATACAAGAGAAAGCTGTTAAGGATAGTATGAAACATGCGAAAGCAATGGAACAACAAGCTGGAGAATTTCGAGAAAAAATAAATGCTCTGCATAAAGAAACGGAAAGTTTAAAGACACAATATGAATTGCAAGCATTTCAGCTTAATAAATACGCTGAACGGTGTAAAATGTTTGAATCAGGTTTAATAAAATTAAATTCTCCAACAAAAAATACCTCAAATATATCTAGAAGTCGATCTATCACATTTAAAGAGTCTAATGTTCGTATTCAAACAGAATTAATTGATCCTCAGGTTTATTATTTAAAGACTGATTATTTAAATTATCCTTTTAAAAAAATTTCATATTCAATATTCGAGCTGTCTTTACCCGAAAAATCAATCGTAGATATTCAAGCAGTAAATAGAAGTGGAAAGAGAAATTTGCCTATTCTTCAAGATGAAAGATCTTTCCGAATATTTGAGAATCCTAATATTGTTAAACCAAAAGTAACAATAATTGATAATAAAAATTTGTGTATTGAGTTTTTTCAGCCGGATATTGGAAGACTGATAAATGAATCAAAAAGTGAAATTAATGCAAAAAAAAATATTTTTATTATTAATAAGGTAATTTAAATAAAGTTAAACTATACTAATTATTGTCTTAATTCGATTAATTATATTGATATTATTTTAGATCGTTGCAGTGACAAGAGAACTTTTATTGAACCTTTTAGCAGTTCTCCAAGCAATTAAACTTGCAATGAATAATGATGATGTTCGAGATATGAATGATGTTTATTTTTCGAATTTTTATGACATACAAATAGAATATAATCAATCGCCATTCAGTGCTAAAGAATGGCATGATAAAGAACGTGGAATTGAAGCAAGAAGAGCTCTAGCAGTATTGTGCTATATTGTCAAACATTCAGATTACCTCGGTGAATATATTGCTGGTAAATCAGAACTCAATGTTCAAGGTGATATTGAGTATGAGAGAATTGTCAAACAGATGATACGATATAATGAATGGCCCGAAAAAGGACATCATTTCGAAATGTTAGAATTAATTCAAAAATTTGTCACTACTTTTGGCTTTGTGAGAAGGGCTCATCAATTTACTGGATTAATTTGTTGTATTTGTAAAATGTTAAGTAACGTTCAAAAAACTGTTAAATTTGATCATCGAGGATTAATATACATTTCAAATATTATTAAAGAATTAGTTTACTCTCGACCATTACTTCAATGCATGATATCAATGACAGAAATGATAACAGAGTTTTGTGAATGTGAAAATTTTGTTAATCGATTAGTTAATAACGTTAATAAACAAGCATTACATGTTTGGAAGAAGACATTAAATTTCACTGATGATGCTTGTGTGTTGAAAATTTTTCTAAATCAATTAAAAAGCTTTAAATTTGACGAAATATCAACTATTAAAACAACATATGCATTGATGAAGTTTGCTGATACAAGCTTTCGATCTAATATTCTTCCTTGGCCAAGTGAAACAAACAATGATAATGAATGTTGTATAGAGTTGTTAACTCTAGTAGTCAAAATGTTATACGAGAGTGTAGCAATAAATCATAAAAGGATAGAAAAAAAAATGACTAGGAAAAAAAAAGATGTTACAAATGATTGTGATAATAGTAGTAATAATTATCTAGGAAAATCATTTTTATATGAATTAAAAGGAAAACAATTGAGTTGTATCAAAATGGGTATCAGATTCTTAAATTATTTGACAAAACAAGATCCTGAATTTGTAGTAAGATCAATTGACATCGATACTCCATTTTTTTTATTCATCGAAAATGTCACTTCACTCAATGATTTAAAATGGCATGAAATTGACAGTAAGATAATTGTTAATACTTCGAATTTAATTTAATAAGTGTTAATTAAAAATAAAAATAAATTATTATTTTCAGAGGAAGCATTGATGTCTATCAAATCCACTTTTATATACGATAGACCGCCAACTCCTGATTACCCTTCTGAAGAAGCTAATTCGGTATTTAACATCAAGAAAGCATTCGCTCAAAAATCTATTCCTACACCTTTAAAAAAAAAGAAGTTTGAGTTTCGTAAAAATCATAATGAACATAGAGAAATGGCAGAAATGTTTTCGTCATTACTTTCAATAAAAGAAAAAAACAACTGAAGTAAATCATGAAAATATTATATCTATATTAAAAATAATTCATCAGTATTTAGCCATTTGTACAATCAACATAATTTTAATAATATAAGCTTGTTATAAGAAAATTATAATAATGATGATGTCATTAACAGGTACAAAAAAATATTAATTATTTTTTTAATGATCTGTAAATATCTAATTGTATAAATTTTAAGCACGTATTGTCTAAGCATTGAATTTCAATAACTTTTATTATAGAATATTTTATGTTATATATTATTATAAATAATATGATTATTACCATTTATGATAGAAAAAATAAATAGTCTAGATTTTTTACTGATGTGCATAAATATGTACAATTTACGATAATGTTTAACATAACAAATTATCGCATTAAAATTAATATTTAATTCACTATTTTTAAATTTGGTCTTGTTAAATTTTTTAACCACTTAGTTCTTCTTCATCACTAAAATATTCATTTTTCTTGAATTTTTTTTTTGGTCGGTAATTTTTTGTGTCTTCTTCAGGTTCATCATAAGACCCTGTAGCTACTTTGTATCGATATTTTTCCAATTCGTATCGTTCTTGTTCATTCTTAATAGCAGCACTTAAACTTTCGACATCTTGATCCTCAATATCATCGTTACTATCATTAAAATTTAGTCCTCGCGCATTTCTTACACCATCATCACTATCACTGTCATAGTAGTTAGAAGTTGTTTTACTTGATTGACTATGGTCCTTTTTTTTTCTAATTCTAAGTTTTTTTGGAGGTGGATCTCGAGGTCCTAAAGTGTTATAGCTACAATTGTAGGATAAATGACCTTCTTCACCACATTCCCAGCATTGAGATTTATCTGGATAATCTCTTCGACGAATAAATTCAGTACTACGGCCGTTGTCAACTGCAATTGAACTTTTAATAGTGCGTCCACCGATCTAGAAATAATTATAATTCTTAATGAAACATGGTATTTTATATCATTATTATTTGGTCACATTCTTGTTTAATAATTGACTGTTCTTACCTCAGTGTTGTTTAGACTTTTAGCGCAATTTACTGCATCTTCTTGTTTGAGAAATAGAACAAAAGCTACTCCTTTACTACGTCGTGAAATTTTATCTTTTAAAACAGTTACTCTACAAATAAAATAAAATTAGAAAAATTGCTTTCACGTTAATACAAATTGTTACACTAAGAAGAAAATTACGTACTTTACAATTTTTCCATAGGAATCTAATAATTGATGAATATCGTTATTCGTGAGTGAAAATGGCAAATTTGATAAATAAACAGTTGATTTACTTGGTGCTATTCCTCCACTCATTTTCGTAATTTTCACTCAATAACTGTTCATAATCCAAACTGTTAAATGAACTTAAAGAATAAGTGTAATTTAACAAATATTGATAAATATATATTTCATTGATAAATGTAATTGGCCGCCTTAAGGATTAACTTTTATTATCTCATTTGACAAATAGAAAAGTGGAGAATAAAGTTACATTATGTATACAAATACACAGCATTATGCAAGTCAATATGTAGTATAACCTATAGAATTGAATACACATTTTCTATTGATAATAATTCATTGTCGCACTAAGGATTCTACCATACCAACTAATAATAATTTTTTTTTTAAATTAGAAAAAAAGCATCATTCTCTTTTTTAGTTTAGCAATAAAACAATCATTAAAATAATGATTAAAAAACTTAACAATAACCTTGCTTGAAAATTTCTACAGAAATACCCATTATTTTTCAGACGGAATGATTATTTTAGATTATTACAGAAACAATTACTTTGTTTAAAATTGATACAATTAGGTAATATAACTATTTTACCTTCATTTACCTGTATTATTTTTACAATGAAAATTTATTTATAAATTATTGTAATTATTGGTATTAAATAACATCAAACATATGAAGTATTTCAGTTACTTTCCAAGTAAAGAATCAACAAAAAATTTTAATTTTCTTTCCGTTTAACACTACAGAAGATTGTTATTCAGATATATATAATTCAACTTTTCATGTTAAAATAATATATGAAAATAAATGGATAAATTTTTAAATGTTCAGAATAATTTATACATTAAAGGAAAATTATTAAAAGATGTATAACAAATATTGTTCGTTATGAATACTAAAATATTTTTTCTATAAAAGGTAACTTTGAACTATATAACATAAACATTATAACTGAAATTATCAAAGATTTTAACTACGTTAGAAAAATATACATTTTAGATTTATAAAACTTTAATTTATTTAAATAAAAAATATAGTTGAAATTTGTTAAAATTTAAAAACTGCCGCTCTTAAAAATCTAATACTATTTGATGGAAATATAAACGGAGCAACCAATAAAAGGAGACTGAAATGGAAATAAAGTGGGAGACATGAACAAGTGGTCTGTGTACAAGATGGCGGCGCCCGGGTGTTCCGTAGTTGTGAATTGCGGCATGAAATATCAAAGAGCGTCCGTTGGACGTGAATAAACGGTTACGAGAGGTGTGTGTTCTTGGTGCGATAAGGAGGCCTCGGGCAAAGTTGACGACATAAGAGTGTGAAGAATAAAAATCTGTGATTAACAAGATAATTAGTGACAGAAGAAGGTATAGCAACGAAGTGAGTGGAATCGCGTCGTAAGCTCGAGAAAATATCGGAGGATGTGATGACCGAGGCAGTCGAGGAGGCCGTGCCTCTAGGGTTGGCAGCAGAGCAACGGTGGCGAAGCAAGATTCATACGAAGGCGGTGGTGGAAGTAGTTGTCTCGACACGAGTTAGTTTCCACGAGGAAGAGACCAGTCGTTGCCTGACGGTCAGTGTGTGAGTTTCGGACGTTCTCGGTGATAAAGACGAAGAAAATTGTCCCTCCCACACGGACAAGCGTATACAGAGCTTCACAAGTGGGTTTGGTTGGCCGGACATCAAGAAGATGGAGTCGAGGGAACGTTACGACGAACTTTGTAGGCTGTGTGCTTCATATGACGCTGTAAAAATGGACATATTCGGCCAGGAAGGGAAAAATCGTCAGCTAGTGGACAAGATTCAGACTTGTCTACCATTCAAGGTAAGTTTCTTACTCATATCAATCACTACCACCAACCTACGATTCTATATCTCTTGCATCCATCATTTCCACTCCCTCGTGCGTCATATCATCGTCATCATCATCAACATTGACGTTACGTCCTCGTCCTCGTTCTCGCGAGAGCGTTCGTGTCGCTGGTGCCCACCTTGGACTTTCGAATTCTCGACAATCCGTTCTGTAGTGTTCACAACTACTTCGAGGACATGGTGAGTTACTTGGGGGGAACCAACAGGATGAGGAGGAGCCTGAAACGCACTATCGAGAGAGCGAGGTCGCCGATTGCTTCGACGAGCTCTCAAAATGACGAGAGATGTCCCTCGAAGGTCAACTGCGATGTCGCACATTCTGAAGAAGATCAGGCGACATTTTGTTGCGCCTACAACGCTCCTGGGCCCTGGCGTCTTCAATCAGGAACATGATTATCTTTTCATTTATTTATACGACACGTGACAATCACTTCGTTATTTATTTTTTTTTTCGTCATTTATTTATTCAATTATTTCTTACCTAATGACATGGCGTTTTTTTACATATTCTAAAAATTCAAACAAATTCGATTTTATTTAATTAAAAACCTTTTTTATCATGAAATAATTTCTTTTCGAGAATTTTATTTAATAACAGTGCAAAATGAACATTTCGCATTCCAATGACATTTTTTAATCTCCAATCTTCGATTTTTTCTCATCGACTCTTTTATTGACAAAGATAAAGTTGTTACTCACGTTGATTACTTGTAACTCGTGAAATAGATCATAAGCAACGTCCTACCAAGTATTTAGAATTGTCAACATCCCAGGACTTTAATTTAAATCATTATTTATAACCTATCATTTTATCTTTATCATTTTGAACAATTTAGATATATATAAAAAATTATTAAATATTAATATTTCATCTGGTTCATTTAAATACATAAAATATTTTTGTTCTTGAAAATATTATTGACCTAAAATCATTGATGATTTGAAAACAGTGATAAAGTCATCAGTTACAATCATCTCAAGTAATTTAGATTATTTTGAAAATAATAATAATAATATGATGATTGAAATATATTTTAAAACTTATACATCAATACACAATCATCATTAGTTAAGAAAATGAATAAAATAGAAGTGTAATAACAAGGATTAAATTTACGATCACAATTTGGATATATTAAATATCTCGAATAGTAGTGAAATAAGTAGAAAATTGTCGAGCGTTTGAGACTATTCATGAAGACACAATTGGATGTGATCGAAGAAAGGAAAGAAAACTTTGAGAACTCGTCTTTCGTGTCTAATATCGATCCACATCCTTGAGAGGCAGGAGAGCCAGCTTTGTCGACTGTTTCAAGACTATCTCACTCTTCAGCGTCCCTGAATGTTGTTAAATATCTTATCCAACAAGCCATTGGGTCAATTCATTTTCCGGTATGGTATAGTTCTTAAACATAGAGTTCTTGAACACCCGGTCCACGTAACATAACTTAATGCCCCAACAAGTGTCTACTCTTCAGTAACATCTTCTAGTATTGCTACAATCAACATCATCATCTTGATAGTTTTTTATTATCCAATTTTCTTCCTGATGATGTAAACAAAGACATTCAAGGCCGTTAGATCTATTAAAAGGTTTATATCATTGTGATATTATTAATTAATTAAATAATTATTGTGGTGAGCATAAACTTCTCAAACTGCCAACAAGTTTATTAGAAAAAATAATTATAGTATTTTTTTCGGACTCTTTCATATTTTGTTGAGAATAGGTTAAGTTGATAAATAAATAGTATTTAGTTAAAATAATAGCTATGAAAATAATTTAAAAATATAAAAGATAATATTTTGGAAACATAACAAGATATTTTACATATTCTACGATAACGAATTGTCCTTAAATGAGTTTAAGAATGAATAATAATTGTATTTTAATATATTTTAATAATAAAAACTGGTACTTTGACATATTTAAAAGTAATCTAAAGGATAAAAAACGTTTTTTATCAGAGCGATAATGCTTCTGTTAACACGAGCATTTTACCAGGTCTGATCGGATGCGGTTAGTCGTAGTATCCATTCTCTGGTGCCTGGGTTGTGTTGTCGTTCAGCCTGCATCCGCCCGTCTTTTTTCCCCTCTCCTCTTTGTCTCTCTGCGTCTTTCGCGAAGCAGTGTCGCCCATCACCAGGCACTACCGACTTCCCACCACCTCCAGTTGCTTCTCTCGACCCCGGTTGCGTTGCGTGGGTCCCCCGCATCTTCACGGCACAAGGGTCCACTGAGAAACGTCGTCCGTTTCGTCGTAACTACACAAACCATAACGTTACCACTACTACCACCAACTATATTCTACTACTCCTCATGCTCCTCATCACGCCTACCTCCATTCTGCTGACGTTGACGATCGTCCTCGACGCTTTAGTAGCTTCTCAAAGCCTTAAGAGAAAAAGAGAGAGAGAGCACGAGAAAAAAAATGGAGAGAGAGAAAGAACGAAGAGCCTCAACTGGCAGTCTTATACCTGTGCCACTTACCCTACTCGTCGTCTTATACCTGAGACTTGAAATTTACGCAGGGAGAAAAGGAATGACCTAAATTTATCTGCCATTATCTGGACACACTCTTCATAAGGCTCTTATTCACATCAACCTTATGATGTATTTCACGCTGATTTTAACAGGATCACAACGTCAATGTTGAGAAGGAGTTACAGGAAAAGCTTACCTAAAAGATGATTAACAGAAGAAAGAGTACAGAAAATGTCTTCTTATCTTTGTTTGCTAATTGGACTCTTGAGAAAGAAAGTTGGAAAGCTGACTCATGAGTAAAACGAACCTGAAATATATTCCCTAATGATTTTTTTAAGCTTTCGTAATTCATTAATCTTTTTTTAAAGACATCTTATATCATATCATATCTATAGAATACAACATCATTACAAATGTTTGTAATTAACAGTAAAAAAATTTTTTTTCAGATTGCTGAAGATGATAGACTTCCCAAGTGTTTATGCTACAGATGCATGTACAATCTTGAGAATTTTTATGACTTTAGAACGGCATGTGTTAATGCTGTAGCATTACTTGAAAGATCTCTTCCACCAAAGGCACCAGTATGTATGAAAAAAATATAAGAATGTTTCGTCTTATTTTTATTTTATTCATTTATTTTTAGTCAAATGGTGGTACTTATAATGACATGGAAAAGCATTCTGAATTACGTTCAGAATTGCTTAAAGAAAAGGAAAAAATGCCAATCTTGATACCTGAAGCACCAATAGTGAATCCAAATGCTGCATTAGGCACACCACCAAGACTTAATTCAGATGGTGAGGCAGATCAAGAAATTGAAGAGATTCTTGAACACAGTGGTACTGATGAAGGTAATACTTATCCTTCATTATTTATCATTATTATATTACACTTCTTACAGTATCAATCAAAACCAACTGAACGGAGTTATTCAAATTCAGTATTGAATATCTTTGTTTTATAAATAAACGAATAATAACTTCGTGACATATACTTTGTTAAACGTTAATTGAGCTTTTCTTAAGTTGAGCTATTAGTTGAAGATTATTCATCATTGATACAACTTGAATCAAATGAATATTAATTCAATAAACTTCAAAATTTTTCAATATTAAAAGCAATATTTTTATTTTAACAATAGTTAAGTCTCATAGAAATTGTTTTTATGACTTCTGAGCATTTACAATGAATAAAAGTCTTAATCTGTGACATAATAAATTTTTGGGTAAAAAAAAAATATTCATTAAATCTTAAAAGGTCAAATATAAGCTATACTCTTTGAAGTACTGGTATTTTATATTGGATTTAGTCATGAAAAAATTATTATTAAGTAAACTTTCATGTACATTCATTTATTTAGAAGATTATTTTTGTGTTGCTTAGTTAATATATTAAATTCAACAAAAAGTGTTATATTCTCTTTCAAATAATATAACAATAAAGGTCATATAAATATTTTTGAGTATGACTGTAAATGTAGCTGTACAAATAATAATATATATAAAATAATATTAACAATTATAATTAATGTAGGATTGGATGATGGAGAGGACAGAAAATCAGATGAGTACGAGATGGATATGGAGACGAATCCAAGTGACTTTCTAGAAATGCCACCGATGGTCACTGAAGATCCGGAAGAAACAGATGGAAATCTTTTACAAGTTAACTCTCAATCATCTAGTGTCTTCCAACATACATCAGAGCAACATGAAGTCTATGTATGTTCATTGTGTAATAAGGCGTTCAGTTCAAAAGGACACCTATCCCTTCACGCGAGAATTCACGTAGGTGCAGGTGACGTGATAGGCGAGAAAGTCATCACAGACGATCATACATCATACAAACGTCCTTACCAATGTGATCTCTGTAACAAATCGTACTCTACTGCTAAACATAGGTGGGGACATGTATCAACGACACATCGGGGTCATCCGGCTGTAACATGTAGATATTGTTCAAGAATTTATTCAACTCGAACTAACTTAGAAGAGCACATTAAATCTAGACATACAGGTTTACCACCTCCTCCAGAGACTACAGTTCCTTATATTCAACAAGATACACGATATCAATGTAAAACATGTCCTAAAATGTATACTAACATTACTGATTTAAATAAACATAGTCGAATATGCCTTGGAGATCGTCTCAAAGAAACATCAAAATCAAATATTCAACCAGTTCTACAAAAGGGAAAAAGTCTTATGGATACTTCTGAGGCATCTAGTGTAGATTCTGATGAAGATAGTAAAGATTATAGAAATGCTGAAGCAAAATTATCTAAAAATCCACAATTAACTATTTTAAAACAAGCCTTAACAAGAGGAGAAAGTTCAAAGCGAGATGCTGATGGAAGAAATGCGTATAAATCATTAAGAGTTGATAATAATGAAGGTGATGGACAAAAACGATGGTTTTGCGAGACATGTCCGCAGTCATTTACCTCAATAGAAGTATTGAAAGAACATGAAATGAGCCATGAAGGGGATAAACCTTACATCTGCATTCTTTGTGAGAAAGATTTTGTCCTAAAGTCTTCCTTAAGCCGACATATATTGTCTTCTCATGGTGTTGATCCTGTGCCAATCGTTGACAGTGATAAGTGTTTAAAAAAGACAGTGATGGCTCAATTGAATGCTAAACATAGTAGAGACGAACTCAAAATTAAAAGAGAACCGTCTGAATCTTCCTTTTCTCCAGAATCTCGTGAAAATGATGAAGAAGGAGTGAGTGGTCATGATAATATGATTGAAATTGAAACTGTTTTTGTTTGCGAAATATGTACGCGTGATTTTAACGATCGTGCATCATTATGGCTTCATATTCGCGCCACACACAAAGAATATGCAGCATTTGCTTGTGGAGTTTGCTTAAAAATTTGTCCAGATAATGAACAATTATTAAATCATGTAAATATGTATCATGGAGGATCAAAGTTGCTAGTCTCGGAACAACGGAGATACAGTTGCACTATTTGCGGAAGACAGCATGACTCAAGGAAAAAATTAATGACTCATGTTTCTATTCACAACGTAGACCCAAGTTACGATCCAGCTGCTTTTGTCCAACTTAATAGCAATTATTACAACGAAAACATCAACAGCAATGAAGGTCATGAACAAGGTGATTTTGATGCTGAAGATGGTGAAAAAGTTGACTGTTTTATATGCTACAAATCATTTCCTAATGAAGATCATCTTATTCGTCATCAACGAAACGCACACAAATCCGAACCAATATCTTTAAACAACGATTTCAATAATTCCAATGGCTCCGGAGTCAATCCGAATGGTAATAAAGCCCAATATCATCTTTTCTTTGTTTGTGAACTTTGCGGTAGTTCACATCCAAGCAAATGGGAACGTTGGCTTCATGTGAGTAGCGTTCATAGTGAAGAACCTTTGATAAGATGCGAGCGTGAAGATTGTGGAAAGATTTTTGCTACAAAGTCTCTGAAGAATGAACATGCTCAACATCATATGATTCAAGGTGTGTCTCCTAATACTTGTGAAATTTGTGGGAAACTTTGGGGTAGCCGGGTTGATTATTGGAAACATGTAATGGGTGTTCATTCGGATACAGTTCCATTAATATGTGGAGTATGTCTAAAAGTATTCCCTGATGTGATACAACTCAGTAACCATGTTAAAACCAAGCATTGGCCATTAACGAATGGTGATTTTAGCTGTGATATTTGTGGACGTCCTTATTCAAATAAATCTAAAATGTCACGGCACAGAAAGATTCATGGATTGGAAGCTGAAGGATATAATGGCATGAGCGAATCAGCAAATGAACCAGCACACTTAGAATCAAATCCAGAAGTTGATTTGACGTGTGAACTTTGTACAGACATGGTATTTACCAGTTGGGAAGATCTTTGTCATCATCGAAGAATGACTCACGGTTTGTTTCCTTGCGATTTATGTAACAAATGTTATGGACGCACGTCACACCTATGGAAACACGTTAATAGAGTCCACAAAGGACATAAAGATGTTACTTGTAGATACTGTATGAAAACAAGCGCATCTAAAGATCATTTAGCTGCGCATATTGCCAAGATACATCGATATGAGCCTGACACTAAACAAACATTAAAAGACGCCAATTATAAATTACCTAATAATGAAGAAGAAGCTGTTCATCATTGTGAAAAGTGCAATAAAGCTTTTCACAAACGTTATTTACTTAGACGTCACATGAAAGGCTGTCAAAATTATAGAAAAGATCCAGGAGCACTTTTAACACGTTGTCGAGCATGTGAAAGAATTTTTAAAGATCGTGCAAGTCTTCAAAAACATATTGAAAATCATCACAGTAGTTATACGTGCCATTTATGTAATGAAACTATTACTTCGAAGCTTGGAATTATGACTCATAATCGAGTTAATCATATGAACCATCCAGATCTTACTTGTGATCATAATAATTGTAAGAAATTATTTAGGACTAAGGAAGATTTGGAATCTCATAAAAAAGATCATAAATATCATAATTCTCCTAATGTTTGCGATTTTTGTGGTGATACAGTCGAAAATAAACTTAAATTAAAAATGCATATTTTATCATTACATCGAAATGAGATTGGAGTTTCTTGTGGAGTCTGCTTGATTCCTATGAAAGATCCTCAAGACTTAAAGAGTCATGTAGAAAACGTTCATCCGGGCATTCTTTTAAAGCCAAACACTTGTCAAGTTTGTGGAAAACAATATGCATCTAAATGGAAAGCTTTTGACCACACTAAAAAATGTCATGGGAAAGTTTTCAGAACATGTAAACAATGTTTAGCAGTTTTCATAACAGATACAGACATAAAACATCATTATGAACATGTTCACAATGTTCCTAAAGATCAACTTGCTGGTTTCGAAAATCACATGGATTTATCAGGGAAAGTTGATGATAATGAACAATCAACTATTACAATTAAAGAAGAACCTGAAGATATAGAATACGAAGATGGTCTTTACGATGATATGCCTCGTATCAAATCTTCTAAAAGAAAACGATCTCCTCACGATACTTACGATTGTGAAATTTGTCCAGAAATATTTTTAAATTGTGATACTTTAGCTGAACATTATCGAACTATTCATAATACAGATCCAGAAAAAATGTTTAAAAAATCTAAATTAAATAATGCAAAGAGAAAGATGAGAAATCGAGAAAATTTTGAATGTAAAAATTGTAAAAAGCAGTTTTGTACAAAAACATTATTTTGGAATCATATCAATGTATGTACAAGAAAAAATTCATTACGAGATGATCAATTAACTAATTATAATACTTCAATACTTGAATCACACTTAAAAAATAATAATCAAATCAAGAAAGAGCCGTTAGATTCCATTTTAAATGAGAATTTGAATATACCGGATTTTAACTTGTTTGAGGGAATAAACTTACAGCTGTCGGGTCAAAAACCGGTACCAAATTTGATGCCATTGTCTCATATGAAAATGTCTCAAGGTATTAAATGCTATAGAAAAGATTCAAGAAAGGTCTATGACGAATCAACAAATACAGTGTGTGCCTGTGAGGTTTGTGGTAAACAATGGCCAGCTAAAAAACATTTATGGCAACATTTAATTCGTTTTCATCGAGCAGAAGCTGCAGTAACATGTGGAGTCTGTTTAAAGCTTTGTACAACATATAAAGGACTTTCGCAACATCTTAAAGAAGCACATGAAGCACTTTTGTCATGTGAAGGTAATAATTTCACCTGCAAAACTTGTGGAAGATATCACAATGCTCGGAGCAAGTTGTTGCTTCATATGAGTATTCATATTAACAATAATGAGCACATCTGGTGTCAGAAGTGTGCAGCAAGTTTCGATTCTGAGGAAAAATTAAAGCAACATGTGGCTAACTGTGTAATAAAACGACGAGGTGAAGAGTTTGAAGAGCAGAGTATAGATCCAGAAGATGTTAAGCTTGAAGGCGATGAAGATAAGGGTAGTTTAATTGGAGATAGTGCTTCGTTACTCGGAGAAGGTGAAGAAGTAGAATTCGATTCTGAAGTTGAGGATGCTTCAGAGAATGGAGAAGAACACAGTAATGATACTGATCACTCCGAAGATTCTGAAGATAGTACTAATGGGAGCGCTACTGAAGGCGAAAATGAAGGAGAATCTCGAACTGACAGCAGAACTATTGAAGAAAGAAATTGTCAGACAGATAGTGAAGAACAAGAGATGAATGAATCTGAAGTTGAAGATGAAACTACTGGTCGAGATTTAACTACAATTGTGGAAAATAAAGACATGGAAAAATCAGAAAATGATAATGTTTCGAAGAACAATGATAATGAAGAAAATGAAGAAGAAGAAGAAGACGATGATAATAGTAATAATCATAATGAAAAAGAGAAAGAAAGTCATAGAAGTGAAAAAGAAGATTATGATTATGAAGATGATGATGGGCCACCAATATTAAGTCCTATAATGCCTATAGTTATTTCGGATGAAGGTGAAGAGAGAAAAGATAAGGCTGACGATGATTCAAATCATCAATTAAACTCTGAAAAATCACCAAATATTGAAGAAGAAAATGAAGAAGAAATCCCTGAGCTAGACGGTGTAGAAAATACAGAAAAGGAAATTTTATCAATGAATTCAAATACAATGGATTATTATGAGGACTCATTAACTGTTAAATCGAATGCAAGTGTTGTAGATGAATTAGTAGAGTCGGAAGGTGAAGGAAAGGATACGGAAATGGAAGATGATGATAGTAGATTACAAATTGAACAGAGTAATGGGGATTCTTCATTAATGAAGATGTCTGAACAGGAAGAAAACTTGAGAGATGATGAAGATGTTGGTGATGAAATGTATGAAGAAGATATTGATGCTGGTGAAGGAGACAATGACATGCAACTCGATGATTTAGATGGAACAGTTTTGATGGTTGAAGGACTTGACGTTGAAGGAAATGAAATATTGATTCAACAAAGTGTTGCGGAAGTGGATAACGAAGATTCCATACAAGAGGTCACAGGTTTTATTTATCAAGATGAGAATGATGGGGAAAATTATGACGATGGACAAGAACTTGAAAGTCAAGAAGTTGAAATGGATATGGACAAAGATGATCAAGAAATGGAAATTCAGTATGAAAATGATAATGATAAACATACAGATGAAGAAATTAACGATAGTGATTTGGAGATTAATTTGAGTGCCAAAAATGATGTGTCAAGGACGTAGTTGATGAAATTTTTGTGAATCTTGTTTTTATAGTAATAATGACATTGAAAAAAAGATTTTAAAACTTTTTTTATCCCATTAAAAAATAAAAATATGTACAGTAGAATTTAAGAGAAAAAAGTGTATATTGCAAAAATTATTGGGTAAACATAAATTATAAAAATGGGTTTAACGAAAATTTCACTTGGGCATTGTATTTATAAGTAAGTAAAAACAAAACAGCAAAAGATAAAGGACAAAAAAAAACAAAAATAACCCAAATAAAAAAATAATCCAAATAAATATCATTGATTCTGAATTATTGATTTAAAAAAAAAATTCGGTTTTTTTAAAAAATAAGATAAGTTTTAATAAATCTATGAGAAATTTAATCATTGATCCTTCAGAAAATATTTTATATTTTTTTGTTTCATTTTTGTAATTATTTCATCGAAGACAGTCATTTCTTGTTGAAATTTAGATTATAAATATGATTAATATAATTTCTTTATTATTTGTATTACTATGATTAATTATTAATATTATTTTTAGACTAAAGCGTACAATAATTACGCTGAAGTCAATATATTATTTATTACACCTCATTCATTCCAAAGTTAAAAAAACATCCTCATTTCTCTTTTAAGATATTATATTTGCTTTATGACTTTTTCATAATAATAATAATAAATTTTTTTATAAAATCAATTAAATTTTACTTTACAAGATTTTTACAATTAGTAAATATTTAAAAGAAAAAACAAATAAAATTGGAAGCGATTTGATGGCTGTCTTGAGAAAATATAAAGTTGACTTTATTTTTTCTCTTTAAAAATGTTAAATTTACGAATTGATTGTGTATTTTCTTATAATTGTAAGCACACTGATTTATAAGGAATGTAAATATTGTAGTATAATTATAAAATTAATGACATAGAGGGAATTATTAAAATTATATAGTATATTATAAAAAACTATCATTTCATTAAAAAAAATACAAATTACATCATAAGGTTTCATAAGTTATTGTTTGAACAGAAAATGCAACCGACAAAAACGATTCAATAAATAAAAATTATACCTAAAAATATACATAGTCATGTTATATTTCTACCAATGAAATAAATAATAAATTAAATTATTATAAGTTGTTCTTCGATATTTAAATTATTTGTTAGATTTTAATAAAATGAGAATGATTCATATTGTAATAAGTGATTTATTACGTCATGTGTAAAAAGAATTAAAGTATATATTTCCTAAATAAAAAAGAAATCACGATTAAAATGATATTCAATTAAAATTAAAAAAAAAAAATAAAATAATGCTATAAAGAAAAAAAAAGCTGAAACTATAGTTGTTATACTGTGAATGAACTTTTCAAATAAATATCTAATATTTCCAATTAATTATTTAATTAAATTTTTTTTGCTTTCGATTTATTTTTTTTAATCAAATGTTTATTTACCAATTAATGATATGTTAATGATAATATTTTTTTTTTTAACGTTGCAATTAATTCAGAAGAAGAAATCATTTTTAAAGATTATCATTAAAAATATTTTGTTATGATTTTCATATAATTTTAATTTAATTTTTACTTTACTCGAAATATTTCACGTGTTTACAAAAGATTCGTATATATCAACAACTACAGTTAAAAAACTATTATATCAACAATGGATTTATTAGTTCATGGACCCCCTCTACTATTATTTTACTCCAAATTTCAGGCATGCGCACAAACTTGTATCAAAACAGCTGTTTCCGAAGAAATCCGAAGTTTTTTTCGTTAATAAATTATACTATACATTAGTTTCCAAAACATTTCAGAAAAAGTTGTATAATTGAGTGAATTTCAGTTGTTTATGAAACAACCTTCAAATTTGTATCAATAATTTATTGTACAAGATCATGATGTTTACGTGAGACACAAAAAAGAATAAAAGAAACGATCAACATACACACATGTGCCAGAAAAATGTGGAATTTCACCTTTGTTTCAAAACAATTAAAAAATACAATTCTAATGTAGCGTGAGATTTATTTCTTCATAAATTTAATATATATATTATATATACATGAATTATTTAATATTCAATGAACTAAATTCAAGATGAAAAATGAACGGATACGAAAAAAATGAGAAAACAAATTAGATATGTAACAATAGTGTCGATAAAATGACTGTATCTTTTGAAAGATATACCATTGATTTACCAAATAACAAAAAATATTGTCATAACAATGGCAATCTCGAACATACCCGTCCACATGACTACACATTCAATTATAAAAACAATGTGTCGTCAGCTTCAGCAACTGTTCCACTATGTCTTCTTGGTGATGTTCAACTTCGATTTCTATGTCCTGAAGACTTGGAGGAAGTACGAGCTTTATGTGAAGATTGGTTTCCCATAGGTATATGTATATATATATTTATATGTTTAATCCTTTAAATACATGTTATTAATTATTTGTAGTTTTGCATAGTTTTAAGTAAATATTGTTCTCTAATAATATTTAACATTGAATTTGATTGTTTATATAGAATATCCTTATTCTTGGTACGAAGACATCACCAGTTCTTCAAGATTCTACGCCTTAGCTGCTGTTTTTGGTGGAGTAATCATTGGATTAATAGTTGCTGAAATTAAGCCATTTGCCACGTTGAACAAAGAGGACCAAGGAATACTTTGTTCTAGCCTCGGAAAAGATTCATTAGTTGGATATATCTTAAGTTTGGGAGTACGTAGAACTTATAGACGAAATGGAATAGCATCTCTTTTATTGGAGCAATTATTAGCTCATGTAACAGCACCTGAACGTTCATCTGTGAAAGCTGTTTTTCTTCATGTACTCTCTAGTAATGCTCCCGCCATATCATTTTACCAAAGATGTCATTTTAGACTTCACAGTTTTCTTCCTTATTATTATTCTATTGAGGGTAAATGTCGAGATGGTTTTACATACGTTTTGTATGTAAATGGTGGTTATGCACCTCGTGGTTTTAGGGATTGGATTCGTCATTTAGTCAATGCTATGGCCAGTTTGGGTCCGTGTAGGGTACCACAATGGATCTGGCAACGACTACTATGGGCAGCCACAGTACTCTCTTATCACAGATAATATAAAGAAAAAATGTCGTTTTATGAAATAAATACTCGACATTTAGTGTATATGCATAGCATATGTATATATAATTGACAATAAATTTGTGATTATTGTCAATTATATTTGTCAAACAAGATGTACGCATTGTTTACAAATGGTTTTAATTATTGTATTAAACAGGATGTTATGTACATTCGTTATCATACTTATATATTTCACAGTATAATTTGATAAAAATAATAATTATAATGATAGAAATAAAGTATTAAATTCTTGTCATGGATAATTATAAGTAATTTGTTATATTTTATACTCTATTTGATTTGTAATAAAATCACCGAATTGTATCCAATGTAATTGTAAATATGTACAAATTATACTTAAATTTCATTTTTATTATTTCTTTCAATTATTCAAATTGGTCATTTAATTCGAAAAAGGGTTATTTAAGTAGAAAACAAAGTGTTTATTAGCTTCAATTTGTATTTTAAATTTCAGATGAAAAATGGCGCTGCCAATCGAATAACACGTGATGAAAGTGACATCTCCGATGTATACATGCATTTATGTATACAACCTATAGGTTGTAAATATTATTAAAGTTTACAGCGAATTATTTTTGTAAACATTAGCCAAGTATAATTGATTTATTAGTATATTAATTATGCCGAAACATTTGGATTTACGCCCAAATCAAGCACTTTTAAATCTTCAATTTGAGAAATATCAATTTTCTTCGGAACTAATTCCAATTGATGATGAAAAAGAATTACCTATAGGTACGTTAAACTATTAAAAATATTTAAACTTTATATGATTGAATAATCTATTTAAAAAAATGATTTTCTATGCATTATTTGACTAGAATTACTTCGAATAGAGCCGTTGCCAGGACAAGATTCATGGTTAGAAACTAGAATCTTTGCTTTTCACAATCATTTATTTAAAAACCCTTTTGATTCATCATGCTGGTTTTATGATCAAAATTATCAAGTATTTCGACTACAACAGGATGGAACATTGAACCTTGTTTACTCTTTTTCTACAGCACAATTTGATAAAAAAACAATCAAGTTTAATCCAACAATTTCATTTGCTTCTGATGACATTGTTGTTCTTACTGGAGTTAACAATAATTTAATAATAATGATAACATCACCAAATAAAAGTTCACATAAATCATTAGAACTTAATGATATTGAACAAGGAATATTATTAGATTCTCGATACATAAAAGAAAAGTCGTTGCTAACAATAATAATGAGTTGCATTATTGAAGAAAATGGAAAAAAGAAATCCAAATTAATTATTGTTTTGTATTCACTAAACATTGAAGAAGATACGGTAAAAGATATAGATCATTTGATACAAAGACAAGAGTTAATTGTTAATGGAGCCATAGAATATGCATATATTGAATCAAATGGAGATTTCATTAATTTATTGAGTCAAGAAATGGCCAAATTTACATTTGATTCATTAAAAGGAATCCAAATGGAAGAAAGTATAAACGAACCAATTATAAAAATTCCTAAATACTCTTGGTCTCAAGATGAAGATTCATTGACTGTTTGGGTTAAAATACCAACAAAATATCAAGGTGCAAAGCCAAAAATAATTATTTCACCAATTAAAATTTCCATAACTGTAAACAATGATACTATCATTCAAGGAGATTTTAAGTTTCGAATTGATCATGAAGCGTCAGTGTGGAATTTTGAAGAAGAGACATTAAAAATTGAATTGATGAAACATGAAAGTGGCCAAATGTGGGATGAATTAATTATCAATGATACAGATGGTGAATGTATACCAAATGAAGCTTTAGCAGCTGAGATTCATTCTAGGTAATCTAAATTATCCAAGATAACTATTATATAATAAAATTATTAATTATTAACATTTAGGGTTCACAAAAAAAAAACAAAAACAAGTTTTTAGTTTAATAAAAATATCATATTTTATTACAAGCTTTCATATTTATAAACAGAAAATAATAACAAGTCTTATTAGCTAACAAAAATACAATTTTATTACAGACTTTCACATTTATGTACGGAACAACAAGATGGTAACAATGAACAATCAGTTATTGGTTTTAATTCTGAACAGCTAGAGGAATGTGATTTAGAAGATAATGATAATACATTGCAAAGAATTAATTTAAAAACACAAACTACTACTAATTTCGCTATATTTGGATCTCGCAATCGAGTCTTGTTTGGATATAAATCGAAATCATGTCAAATACTTTGCTCACGATATGATCATGATGCATGCATATGGGAATTAAAAGATAGTAGATCAGATGATTGGGCTATTTCTCATACGACTACTTTCCCTGGCTTTGGTTATGTTGAAGCAAGTAAAAATAACAAAAAATTTTGTTTATTAGCGCCTAATTTCAGTTACATTGCTATTATTGAACATAGTAAATATGGTTTTTTATATGAAAGACCTAATAAAAATGAACGTGTAGCAAAACAAAGAATTATTGACTTGGGATCAGATACTCAGCCTATTTTGGGCGCTGTTGCTACTAATGAAAATATTTTCATATTAACAAAAGATAAATTATACTCCTTGAAAGTAATTTAGAACAATGAATTTAATTTTGTAATTTTTCTAACAATTACTTAATACATACATTAAATTTAATATAAAAGATTTTTTTACATAAATATATAATATGTACAATGTTTCATTTAACTTTTATACTTAAATTATCAGTCATTTCCATTGATCACTAAGTACTTATTAATTTAATGAAACATTTAAAAGTCAAATTAAGGCTTAATTTATCATGAAAGATATTAGTATGGAAGCCGATCCGTTGGAGTATAAGCACACTTACGTTTAATTTCGTGACAAAGATAATTTAAATTAAAGTCTGGATTTTGCTGCCAATACCATATGACGCGATTTTCATAAGTTTTACTAAAATGGGCTGCTACGTCCTTAGGTCTTCTGTCGTTGTAAACTTGGATATTCTCCCGTGAATTGAAGAAGTAATGTACTCCTGTCCTCTTGCTCAAATGTAATGACCATGGTGGTGATGTACTCTTCAAAAACATCAAACTGTTGGGGACAAAGAAAAATCTGTCTACATTATTGTTTTGTGCTTCTTGAGAGTACGGTGGTTCACCAGGATGAAAAGCCTTCACTGTTTTTCCATTTTTTAAAGTACGAAGTTTCAAGTTGAGTTTGCTTTTCAAATCATCATCCAGGGAGAACATTGGTTTTGGACGTATTCTCATGAATGATGAATTGTTGGGAGACCAAAGTGATTCACAAAATTTGTTTATCGCGTTTTGCCTGTAAAATTCAAAGTAAATATTAGATACAAATTATTAGTTAATTTGGGTGTAAATAATATAAAAAAATATAAATTCAAAATTTTTGATATGAATATTGAAATAACTTTAATTACCTTTCTGGTAGAAACATCTGACTAATATCTTGAGATCCTAACAGCCAAGCATCGATGATATGAAGAGCGTGAGTGTTACTTTGATTTTTGAATTCTCCTCTGTATTCTTTCACTTTTTCAGCATAAATCAAAGTATCAGGAGGTAATCGAATGCTATCAACTCGTTGCCACGACGATCTTGTCAATTTGTAGACTTTAGTTCCACCCATGCTGAAGTATAATGTTGGAATATTGTCATCTTTCGTGTAGTCTGGACATTCACATGGAATGCAAAACCAATCACAAGGTGGGTTTAATATCGTAGCCTCAAGATTATCAAAAGATAATATTTTTCCTTTTTGTTTTGCAATTTCTTGGAAATAAATATTGAGAGATGATAATTTGATCTCTGGTTTCATATCACGAGGTCTCGTACGAGTGTGATCAGGTAACTTCCAGTGTTCCAAACATTCTTTTCTCATTTGAGCTTGTCGATGTTCTAAGAGCGATGGATCTTCACAATAAGCAGCTATTTTCAATAATCCAACGACTTGTTTGCTACCAAGTGAATAATTAGAATCTCTAAGATATTGTATGAAATTGAGATCATTGAGTAAAACTTCTTCTGGAACCAATTGCATAACGTCAAGATTCTTGTTATTTTTGAGAAGCTTTAAATTCGCTTGAAATAGATAATTCATAATATCATCAGTATTTGGTAATTTTTCTTGGCATATCAAGTATCTTTCAGAGTTAGCAGGTCGCGAAGTATTTGGTTTGAATATGCACACACGTCTAAAGCATCTATACATAAGATACACTAATCCAGCACTGAATGGTGTAAAAATGTCAAATAGTTTAGTAACAAAGTGTCCACCATCACGTACGATCATCAAAGCTACAAGGCACTGACAAAGATATAACTGTTTTGATAAGATTTCTTGAATATTTTCTTGTCCTTCAACGGAAAAACCACCATCAGACATCATAAAATGAACTCCTCTTCCTCTTGTTTGATTCATTATTAACTTACGAAAAGCTTGTTGATTTTCTGGATCATACACATTTCCATCTTTCTTTGGTCCATAAAAAGTATGAAATGATTCAGGAGGTCCAGCATAAAAATCTTCTAATTTGAAATCATTAGAATCCTTAAGAGTGAAACCAAATCCTTTGGCTTCCCATTTTTTGCGCCAAAGTACGTATTCACTGAAACCACCAGGACCAGCACAAACGTCAGCAAAATATAAAAGTTCATTTTTATCCATGACTGAAGGTTGGGTAAACATAAAGTCACAAGCTCTATCAATATTAGCCATTTTCACAGCAGCACGATTTAGAAAGAATGCTCCACGGATTGTTTCATAAGGATTAGATCTTGTTCTTGCACGACGCATTTCATTCTTATCCAAGCTATCAAATACTGATTTTGAACTCACTACTTGTTCTACAATTTGAGCATCGCAGAACGTTATTTCGTCATCAATTGTTTCTTTTCGAGGTCCTAGGCCCATCCAAGTTTCTACGTCATTTGCTGTCAATGGAGGTTCGTGACAATCAATCCATAACATATTTTCTTCAACGCCAACTACTTCTGCTGATGGATCCCATTTCAGTTTAGCTTCGACTAGTTTAGTATTATCATGTCCTAAACCACGACGACCTTTTTGTTGAAATGCTTCAACTGGATTTAAGCGACCTTGACCATATTTACCAAGCCCTTTGCCTTCAGAATATCCCATTTTTTGCATCAATCGTTCTCCAATATTTGAAGCAATTCTCTTCTCAGATTCAGCATAATTTTCCAATGTAATTTTTTCATTGTCAAAACTGAAATGCGGCCTTTTAGGGGAATATTGGTCAGATTCATCAGATTCTGATAATGAGCGCTTAAAACTCGAATCATTAAAGCTTGATGATTTGCCATCATCATACGTTGGTGATGAACTATCACTGTGATCTGTGCTTAACCTTGAAGAATTCATGGTGGAATGAATTAATTCAAAATTGATTTTGTCTATTTCAATAATCAGTGGTATTAAGTCTCAGATATTGAAAATTTTCACTTTCAAGTCACAATTATAAATAAACAACAAACAAAATTTGTTCACTATTCACAATCGTAACAAACAACACCAACTATTTTTTATTCAACTAAACATTGAGTATGTTCAATACATACTCTGTATATGTTGCAAATAATATTACACAGTTTATCAATTTGTGTATTTTCATTGAATACAATAAATATTCACTCGAATTACACTTTCAGATTTGTAATAACTTTTCTGACGAACAAGTTAACTCGACAGTTGTCTACGGAGGACTGGTGATTGACCGCCATGAAACGGTCCCTTTTATACCTGGATCGGGCAGGTACCTCACAGTACACTCTATGCCCTATGGTTTCAGCCAATCAGGTACTAGTATTCTCTTGTAACTAACTAAGAATAGTTTTGAATGGCCAGTAAATCGGGAGGGGAAGATGTGTCAGTTATAAACGTCAGCCGATTCGTCGTTGCTTTTTGCTATAATCATATATGTATGTATATAAATGTGTGACTATTCAGAAATGTATGTGTATATATGAACATATAGAAGCCTCCTTCCATCTGAATAATATGACCAGGTAAAACTTGTCTCTCATTTATAGGTTAAATATTTTAATATAAACATTTTAAGATTTGTATTTGACGCTAATCTAAAAATATCATATTTTATTCAAATAAATGAAAATGTTCAATGAAAAATACACAATTTTATTGTATTTCTCGGTAGTTTATGTCAAATAATTGTGTTGATGATTTTACATTTTCACCACTAAAGATCCTCATGCGCGCGATGCCGTACGTTTAATTATTTAATTTATTATTTAAATGTTGTAAAATATTGAAAATTGAATAATAATACGATGAATAATAGTAACTATAAGAATGAAAAATAAACAGCAACTTTGTTTATATACATTCTTTATTTTATAGGGCAAAAATTGAACTTGGAGATGTGACACCACATAATATAAAACAATTAAAATTATTGAATCAAGTTGTATTTCCAGTTTCTTACAATGAAAAATTCTATAAGGATGTGTTGGAGGCTGGAGAGCTAGCCAAGCTAGCTTATTACAATGATATTGTGGTAATTATTTTTCAGAGTTTAATTTTTTAATTAAGCTTTCATATCGAAGTCATTATAATAATTGGCTACTTGTTAATTTATCATAGGTTGGAGCAGTTTGCTGTAGAGTAGATACTTCTGAAAATGCTCGAAGATTGTATATAATGACATTAGGATGTTTGTCTCCTTATAGAAGACTTGGAATTGGTACAGTTATGGTACAACATGTCTTAAATTATGTCCATAAAGACGGTAACTTTGACTCTATATTCCTGTGAGTATTTTTTAATTTAAAAAAATTATTCATGAATATTTGGCGAAAAAATCAACCTTTATATACTTTATAATACCATTAAATTCTTATGCTTTGGGATAATTATTACAGGCACGTTCAAGTGAATAATGAAGGAGCTATTGATTTTTATAAAAAATTTGGTTTTGAAATAGTTGAAACAAAACAGCATTATTATAAAAGAATTGAGCCTGCTGACGCACATGTTTTACAAAAAACATTACGCCCCCAGGGCAACTTAGATTACCAGGAAACACATAAGTAAAAATTATACCAATCCTTCCTGAATAACTATATTTATTATCCATGTCTATTTGTTTCTTTGTTTTCCATTAATATTTTTTTATTTGCTCCATCCACTGTACAAATTATCAAATAAAACGATCACTTAATGGTTTCTATATTGTATTATGAATTGTATATTTCAATAATTAGTATACATTTCAATATTATAACGATTAATTATATTAATACCAGTCTGATGATAATTGAACAATAATGAAATTATTATTTAATTTAAAATTATTTCAAAACCATATAAATAAAAATATTACGCACAATAAAGGATATTACTGAATTTTAGATTTTTCAATTATTAAATAATTAATAAATTAGTAAAAATATTGTATAGTAATCATTTTAAGAGGTTTTATAAATTAAAAAATTACCTTACATCTCATTTACACTTAATGCACATATACATTTTAATGTAACGTTGATTATTTTTAGGTGTTATAAAGCATTATTTATACACAGTAGAAAAAAATAATTGTGAATAATATTTCATACAAGTAATCTTATATTTAGTGAAATAGCTATGAACAAATTTACAAATTTCGAAAAATATTACTTTACTATTGATTCATAAATTAATTTATAAGCACAATTATACATTCATTTATATCATTATTATAGATCTATTAGTTCTTTTATTCTTTTAATGCATAGTTCGGATCCTTCATGTGCATCTTTGGACATCTAAAATAGTATTTTCAAAACAGTCATTAATTGTTTTAGAAAATTACAAATTATTTTTAATAAATTATAAAATTTAATTATGGATTATTATACTTACCAGTGAAAAACTCAAAAACCCGTGAGGCAATCCTTTTACAATATCTAAAGATACATCAACGTTCAAATTTCTTAATTTTCGGGCGAACATTACTGAATCATCTAAGCAAGGATCTAAATCCGTTGTCTATAAGTTTAAATAATAATATAAATTAGTAAAAAAAACTGAGAGTAAAAGAGAACTATAATGTAAACACTGACATACCAATATTTTCGTTGGTGGTAATAATTTAAGAATATTATCTGAAATCCGATAAGGACTTAACAGAGGATCTCGTGGAACTGTAAAAACAAATTCTTCAGATGGACTTTTAGCATCATCTGCATCAAGCTCTCTTAATTGATCATAACTTCTCATATTAAAGGTCAATCCAAAAAAGCTTGCCGATGTTAAAGCATCAGAATTGTCATAATTATTAAGAGCATTGCCATTATTTGCAGATGGTTTATTAAAAGTAAAATTTTTATATAAATTAACAAATTTATTTATATAATTTTGTGATGTACTTTGATTATTGACTGTTTGGGTTGCAGGATCAATATCAACTAAACTAACTGAATTAAGTGTCGAATCTGACGGTAACGATGTCAATTTGTTTTCATTAGTTTCATCGCCATTAGGGCTAAGAGCAAGAGCTATTAAATCACTTTCGCTGACTTCCGCAAATGATTCTGTATCTGATTTCGTCGAATCTTGTTCAACAGTATCTTTAATTTTTGGTATCGATGCATTACCAAGTGTATATGCTTTTAAACATCTCATCATAAAACCAAATGGTAACATTGGATCAGTCAAACCAAGCATCCGAGCTGGAGATGGAATGAATTCAACTAAAACTGGTACATAAGCCATAAAAATACCGTCAGGTTTCCTTATATTTAATTCAAAACATTTAGTTGTAAGAGCCATATTGAGATTAGCTCCAGCTGAATCGCCAATAAAAATAATTTTTTTCGCTGTACTTCCAAGAAGTGAATTAGCATGTTTTAACGCCCAAGCATATGAATAAAGAATTTCTTCAACAGCTCGAGGGTACGGTGCCTCTGGAGCTAAACTATAATCTATACTCAGCAGAGGTACGTCTAATTGTACTGCCCAGTGTCGTAAATAAATTTCATGGCATTTAGAACTCTGTGCTACAAATCCACCTCCGTGACAATGAAACAAAAGTGTGTCTGAAGATCCATATAATTCCCCGGCAACCCGAGCTGATCCGACCTTTAACATGTTGTTAAGAATACATTTTATTTAACAATTACTACTCTCCTAAAAACATAAAAATTTAAACTTACCATTCCAATTCTACGTTTGGCACTTAATAATCTAACACGTATTGGTTTTTTCCCAATATGACTATTAGGAATTGGTATTGTTATCTCTTTACCATCTTCCGTAGGAAGTGTAAGATGTTCTGGTGGAATTGATATAATTTGATTTATATTCAAAGAAGGAATCAACAAAAATGGCACAAATTGGACTAATTCTATAAAAAATACATACGTGAATTTTATTAAATAGATAATGATAGAAAAGTTAAGATATATTAAATAAAGAAGTAAAATTAATAGACATGAAGAACTTTTTATTCTTACCAGTTTCATTTAGAAGCCAAAAAGTTTTACAAAAATGTATATCAGCTCGTTGCGAAATATTAACAATTCGACGTGCACGAGCTTCAGGGTCTACCATATATTTTACAGAATTAGTACATCTACCCAATAAAGATCCATTTTTATAGTAAACTTCACTGAATGATGCCATAAATGTAAGTATTGTTTTAAGCAGATATTTGATACTGTCAGCAAACTTTTTAAGAGTAAAAAGAATTTGAAAATTTTATAGAAACAGAAGAAAATAAGTCAAGTAAACAGGCTTTCAATGTTAAACAATCAATAATTTACCTGGAATCCTAAACATCTGCCATAAAAGCAATATTGGTCGATATCTTTTCCAGCTTGATTTAATAATTCTTCCGGACTATGTTCATCTGATGGAAACAATGACAATTTTCCATCATCTGTTATCTCACTCCAATTATAAAGTGTTTTTAAATGATTTAAAAAAGTACATAATGATGCAATTAATTGTGAACAAGCTTCTAGCTCTCTAAAACGATTGAATGGATACATTTTTAGCATATGTATAAAAAATAGAATAAAGACGAATAACTTTCTATTAGTTTACCTCATGTAATGTGATTTTCTAAAAAGTACTGATGTTTTATAAGAAGATATTTGTTGACAGATTTCAATAGAATGTAATATACACTTGTCAGTAAGAGACAAAAAACTTCGATAGCCATTGCCGGGAGTATTTTCATTAAAATCAAACTGTGGTGCAATATGGGATATTTCTTTGTACAGTGGACGTATTTCTTTTAAAATATCTAATATGACATTACTTGCCGAATATATTCTTAGACCATTTTCATCTTGGTGTGTTGAAAAATAATAACAATTGCCATTAGCTAGTTGTTCAAGAGTATCCCAAGGTGTATTATCGTCAAAATCAGCATTATTTGAAGATTGTGTGATATCAATTGTAGAATTTACACCACTTGAACTCAAATCAAAAGTAGAATTATCAGGCATTGATTATTTTTATAAGAATAAACTTTGTTCACAAATATATTTCTTTTTCACTCGATCGAAAATTATGCTCACTGTATTATAATAACAAGAAAGATTAAAACATTTCAAAATGGTACAACAATTATCATGAACTTGATATATTTTTCATAAAAATTCTAGCCCTCCAGCTATTAAAATTATTTTTAAAAAATGAATTAAACAATATTTCGAAGTTAAACCTTGTTATGACTCACATATTTTCTAAATGTATACTCTAAGAAAGATCATGTGTGAGTGTTATCGCCCCAGCGCCTCTCTAGGCCGCAATATGGTATTTTTTACGCGGTTTGATTTAAATCTCTGATTTGTTTATCAATAAAACAATAATAAATATCTTCTTTCTATTGCAGCATATTTAATTCTTTCGACATTCTTTTTCAACTGTAATAAAACCGGGAAAATTTTAGCAATGCACCTGTTTGAAAGAAAACTAATGTTATACCTGTTCAATAAAATACAATCGGGACCATAAAAGGTCAATGTAAATTTCCATCCATTATCGCAGGTGTTCGTCTGGAAATTTTGACTTAGTCGCTGACCGTAATAAAAGTGCAAAAGTACCCGCATTAATTTTTCCCTGAATATTCAAAAAGTCCAAATTACCCCTCGGCAATTCAACTTTCGACGTGCCTAAAGGACTTTATTTTTACCATTTGAAGTAAAATTAAGCACGATTTGAATGAGGTAGGTAAAGCCTTTTTGCCTCGAAGGGACTGAGACAATAAAACTCGGATTATCTTGTTTGGCTGTTAGTTCGCACAGGTGTTACCATCTTTAAGCTTTTGGAGTATAACAAGTAATAAATCAATCTTTCAACAAGTAAATAAATGATCTTGTTAAAATTAAGTACGTGATATTTCTAAACTTGAGAAGATTTTTAAATTTATTTATAATTTTTTAACATTTTTATTTTACGCTTATAATAATAAAAAAAATGCTTTTGATTTCAAGTAGAAACTAGTATGTGAACTTTTTTAAATCACATATACATATAATATTATATAATATTAATTATTGATGATTTCATGATTTTATTATATATGTATATTAAATAATAAAAACATGAAAAAAAAAAAATACACATGAAATAAACGATTTGTTGAATTATTTTTAATCATATTTCCTAATTATTAGTTGTGATCTTAATTATAATATAACTAACTATGATTTAATTCCATTCAATGACATTATTCAGATATTCTTTTGGTATAATTAAGTAGAATCGTGATTAATTAACGGAGAATCATTCAACCCCTTTAAGTAAATTAGTTGAGTAAAATAAGAGTGTGTGATATAAGCCGACTAAATTAATTAAATCTTAGTCTAAACAATGTAGAGTTGATCAAAAACTTTAAAACTAAATTTTTTTTTTAATAACTTCGCTCTTCTTGCCATGTTTTTGTCATCGAAATAAAAATGTTGTAATTCCTATTGTTAAATGAAAAATTGTTTAATTAAAAATTACTAATATATGTGAACTTATTGGAGACTATAAATATATTGTAAAAATTTATCCTCTTCTATGTTTGATATAACATCTAAATTGAAAAAAGACCCGCGAAATTAATTAGTAATAAAACCATAAAGGCTAGGTACAAGTCACGGAGCTAACACTCATTCCTCCTATTTAATTAAATACATTGGATCGTATGTTTCTAATTTCTCCGCGAATTTATTATGTTTTTATTCGAAAATTTTGGTCTCAAATTGAAGATTAGTTTATGTTGTAGTACGCGAAGTACAAATTTTGTCTTAAAAGACGAAGATTATTTTAATATATAAATTTTAATTACAAAGAATATTTTAATATATAAATTTTAATTATATTAAACCCCCGATTTTTTTCTCAGGTAGTTCTGATCCAAATGTTGCTGGCTTTTTTCTGTGGTCGATAGAGTAAATACCTTCCAAATTCAATTTGAAAATTAACTCCATTCATATGTGTCGCTACATGTGAATATACTCATTTGATTTTCTCGTCGATTGTAGATAGTCCCTAGAATATTCGGCTGTCGCCATATTGGCTTGGTATGATTGTCGTGTCAGAGTGATAGTTCGCGAATAAAGTACTCATTTTTGGTGCAGTGCATGTATGAAACAATTAATTGACAATTATAACGATGGAAGAGACTAAGATAATTTATCACATTGACGATGAAGAAACGCCTTATTTAGTTAAGCTCACTATTTCCCCAGAACGAGTGACACTCGCAGACTTTAAGAATGTGTTGAATCGTCCGAATTATAAATTTTTCTTTAAGTCTATGGACGATGACTTCGGGTGAGTTATTTTTTTGATCATCTTCTTTTATCATCTTTTAATTAAATAGTTATCTCATCAATTGATCATGTATTTTTATTTTAAATAATATTAATTTATGATGCATTTGGGCAGAACCTGACGTGAATAGAGTGACAATTCATGGTGCTGCGCTCTGCTATGTTTTTTTGCCACAATCAATCTTTTTTGCCATCCTCTTAAAATATTTTAACAATCCACCAATAATCAATCAATTGTTCTCGTCATCGATTGCACTACTAATTTTATACTCTTTCAATCAATTTTGTGATTAACTCACGCTTCTCGGTCATTCACCTCATCATTGTTGTTTATTACACCAACACTCGAAAGATTAAAGTCAACAGTAGTCAAAGTTTATCTTCTCTAAACAAGAGATAGTTTTTATGAATGTAAATTTATCTTGTATAATAATGCTTATATTGAATTAATATTAATGTTCGTTATCAAATTATGTAATAATTAAACAGTAATTAAAAAAATCATATTCATTTGTGTTTTATAACAGCGTCGTAAAAGAAGAAATCGTCGACGATGATGCACACCTTCCGTGCTTCAACGGACGAGTTGTTTCATGGGTATGTGTGTTTATTTGTCATTTTATATTATAGACAAACCCTTTCCTGTCCTCCAATAATCCTAAAATAATTCTTCTTGAGTCTTCAATAATTTCACGTCTTCAATTATAAAAATTACCTAATTTATTATTAAGATTTAGTTGGAAAAATTTTTACAATAAATTGAATCAAATTCATTTCTTTTTTTCTATATCATTATTTTTCGTGAGTAAAAAATATAAATGTATGTTTGTTATTTTAAGATTCATGCACCTCAAGAACTCAAGATATTCTGACATGAAAAGCAGATTTGACTAATTTAAACTTTATAAAAAAATCCCCTTACTGACATTCATCAATGGAAAAAAGTTTTAAAATGATTATTGTAAAGTTTGTTAATTGAATAGTTAATTAAATCATTAAAATGATAATAATATTTAAACATAAAAAAAAAATTTTGTAACCCAAGTAAATTAAGAATATTTGAAAGCATGTATTTAAAAGATTTGTATACATTTTTTTGTCAACTATTTTTTTTCTTGAATTTTCCATGCAAAAATTTCCGGTTTTACTCGGCATCAAAGTAATTCAAAGATATACTTTGTCCGTAGCATAGCGGGCGACGACCGCTAGTGGTATGGGTACAACTGGGGTGGGTGTTATATTGAGTATATACGTGTCTCTCTATCCATTCTCCATCTTGCTCCAACCTATAACTCAACCAGTCATAGTCCCAGACGAATTCACTAATCTGATGAAAGGCCAGCCTTTTGATTACTCCCGTCAACCGATCATTTCTATTATTTCTTCTCAGTTTTTTATTCTTATTTCTTTTCTTGCGTTATTTTTACTCAATTTAATCTTCGTCATGTATAATAACATTTAATTCCTAACAATTATTCAATGTCAATATCACTATCAATATAGTTATTATCCTTCTTAGTGTTTTTGTTTTGTATGTAAGAAAAAAAATTATGCTATATATTCCTTTATTGTTTCTTATTAACTACATAATACTATACAAAATCATTTATTATATTAGTATAGGCTAAAAAAAACAAAAATACTATTTGGATAATCACAAAATTGATAAGTTTCAGAAAAGATAAAATATTGAGATACACAGAATAAGATTAATGGTCGTTAAGTCTCAATATTTGGATTGATGTAGAAAAGTGTCATTATTATTTTATCTTAAATCATCAGCTAAAAAATAATAGCAAAGTACAAAAGCTTAAAAATTAACCCATTTTTAACTCTCACTCATTAGCATATGAGTACTGTCATGGATTAGTCTTTTCTAAGAAAATCTTCACAACAGATTACCACAAAAAAATATAAACGAATTACATGTTGCACTCATTTTTTGAAACTTAATTTTAATTGTTAATTTGTCTTATCATGGTGACGATATAATTGAAAATACTTGAAAATTACGATATATAATATTTCTTAAAAATAAAAAAATTACATTAACCTTAATGATTAAACTAGATAATAAAATCTTGATCTTGAGTGTCAAGTGTAAAATTCCAGAAATCAATGGAAAATTTCTGTAATATGGTTTAATTTTTTCTACATATTATCATCGTGGAAAAGTTTGTGGTAATCAAGCTTGTGACAATTATCAATTGATTTTCATGAATTAATAAATAACTTTTGATGTTTTAAATAGCTTGTCTCTGCTGAGGGAAGTAATGTATCAGATGGTGCATCTCAATGTACAGATTCTGTGGCACACAGTGAAGCTAAACATGATAGGGTTGATCATGTTGCCCCAGGACTCACGAGTCGTGGACCACCTACACTTTCTCATGATGATACTCTCACAGAAACAGAAAGTATCATCAGTAGTAGACAGGGTCATCATTTGCACAAAAGTTCCAAACATCATTCAGACAAATATGAAAAATATTCTAAATATAATGGTATAAAAACATTTATTATCTTTTATAAAAACTTCTAGAATGATTTTGCGAACACATCGAAAATGTGTTGAAATGCTATTTCATGACAAATTAATCGACAATTAATTATTTTAGGCTTGCGTATAAATGGACATTCAAAACATCGATCGGGTCATGGGTATGAGACTGCTTCAATTTTAAGTTCAGATCTTGAAACAACGACTTTCTTAGAGTCTGATGATGATGCTAGTAGTCGTATAACTTCAACTACAGGGAGACATACCAACATGAGTAGTACAATTGAACGTGCTACACTAGGTGCATTATCTATCAGTGTTTAAATTTACCTTTAAAATGCTGTTGATAAATTAGCGTTCATAATTTTTTCATATGCAAAAACTAATGTTTTTTCCTTTTTCTTTTATAAAGTTATTCCTTTCATTGAATTATTCCTTTTGTCTTTATTTAAACTTTTTTTTTAGATCGTCGTAGACCTCAAAGACGACGACGACACAGGTTACCACCAATGAGTCGTACGTCTTCATTCAGTAGTATTACGGACAGCACCATGTCCTTGAACATTATAACAGTTTCTTTGAACATGGATACTGTCAATTTCCTTGGTATTAGTATTGTGGGGCAAAGCAATAAAGGAGGCGATGGTGGGATTTATGTTGGCTCTATAATGAAAGGGTAAATCATTAAAACATTTTTTTCATTGCTTAATTCATTAAGAACCAAGAACATTTTTTTCTTCATTTACCTCGTTCATTTTTGATGTTTATTTATTCAATAAATTATAATTAATTTTACAGCGGAGCGGTAGCCCTAGACGGTAGAATAGAACCTGGAGATATGATTCTTCAGGTTAATGACATAAATTTTGAGAATATGTCTAATGATGAAGCGGTCAGAGTTTTACGTGAGGTCGTTCAGAAACCAGGGTTAGTAAACAAATTTTTTTCTTCTTTTAGATAGTAGAAGTTTACTTTTGTAAAGGTACTTACGTTATTAATGATTAAAGGCCGATAAAACTGGTTGTGGCAAAATGTTGGGATCCAAATCCAAAGGGCTATTTTACAATCCCACGTACGGAACCGGTTCGTCCAATTGACCCTGGCGCATGGGTCGCCCACACAGCAGCAATACGTGGTGAAGGTTTTCCACCACGTCCACCCAGCGCAACGACCTTGACTTCAACATCTAGCAGCTTGGCTAGTACACTTCCCGATACAGAACGTAAGTGGTTTTTAAATAATTGAAGGTTTTTATATTGTTCTAAAATTAAAGATGAATTATGTACGGTTTGAAAATAGTCATTAATCTTGTCGTCGAATACTTGGCTGGCTGTTTATATTTCTCTTGCTGAATTTGAATGCATAAATTTTTACTTAAATTATGATACATATAAATTTAAAGAAAATATAACTTATGTAAGAAACCTTGTTACAATTATTTCATTTAATTTATTTCATTGTTAAACGTAATGAAAAATAATTTTTTTTTCCATTATAGGTCCTTTGGAAGATTTACGCCTAAGTATCAATACAGATATGCCAACGATAGTTCGTGCAATGGCACGACCAGACTCAGGTCTCGAAATTCGTGACCGCATGTGGCTAAAAATTACAATTCCGAACGCATTCATCGGTGCAGACGTTGTTGATTGGCTGAATACACATGTTGAGGGTTTTATTGATCGTCGTGATGCACGAAAATATGCATCGTTGATGCTTAAAGCAGGTTTCATCAGACACACTGTTAACAAGATAACATTTTCCGAACAATGCTATTATATATTTGGTGATTTATGTTCCACAATGGGAAGTATGAAATTGGACGGTGATACCGTTGGACCTCTGCCACCTCCTATCGGGTGGGATTTGACATATTCTGGTCCTTACGCTCCACACTCGGCTGCTGGATATAGTCCAATGCCATTTAACTTTACCAATGAACCTACTATCTATGGTTATCATCGTGAAGAAAGCGTTCATAGTGAATCAGGTATTTTATAAATATTGAACGTGATAAAATTAACATCATTACGATAATGGAACTTATTTAGATGGTTTATATTTGATACTAGAATTTTGTGTAACTTGTATATTGATTTTTTTATAAAAACATTTTAAAATTTTTTTTCATTAAGTACAATAACTACGTATAATTATATCAAAACTTATAGAAGTTTTTAGATATTTTATTAATTCTAAGATACTGAGAGAAATTAAATTATTTTAATAATTCTTTACTATTTGATAATTCTTATTAATTAAAAGTATTAAAATAAGTTTGTCTTTATCTTGTTTTTCAGGTGGTAGTAGTGCAGGTAGTGAACACATTTGCAAAGAACCAATTCACGATCTTAAATCCTGTTCATCGGCCTCCGAGTCTGAGCTTCACTTGCCTCCAACAGTGCCAAGCAAAAATTCAGGCAACGGAAATAGTTCCAATGGAAAAAGATCAAATGGAAGTCGTAGTCGATCAAGTGGATCAGAACAATCAGTTCAAACTGGCACTGGATCGTTGAATCAACAAAATCAGCAAGATCTCTCTGGTAGTAGACAGTCATTTCGAATTGCGATGGGGAATCCGTGTGAATTTTTTGTCGATGTTATGTAGAACTTGTTTTTTTTTCAATTTTTCTTTTTTTTTTTTTTTTAAAATTAAGAATTGTTGTATATGCTCCATAATTTTTTTATTGAGATAAGAGATAACAAGGATGTCGTTAATTTTTTCTCAGAATATTTGTAGCATGATGTAGTGAATTTAAATGCGATGTTGAAATCATTTCGAAGCCAACATCGAAAATTTCATGAATCTTTGATGAGAATTCAAAGGGCAAAAATTGAGAAGGATACGTCAAATTTTAAGGGCGACATTCTTTATAATAATTTTTTTATTCCGTCTTTTGTATTTTATAATTTCTGTATATAAATTAAAGTCATAATTCAATACTTCCGGAGATTCTTCGAAGACAATATCCGTCAAATTATGTTTTCAAATGAATTTTTTTTCAATAATTATTTCAATTTATTTGTGACTCTTGTGAGATAATTGCACATGGCAACGAATGCTTGGTTTTACTTATGCTTCATTTACTTCATCTATCCTATGATTTCATAATCTTTTATGTGTAAAAAACAAAGCATGAGATATGTAATTTTATATTGAACATTTTTTATGAATCATATAATCATAACGCACTGTTACGCAACTCTGTTTATATTACATGGGCATGATTATAACATTATAAATAGCAGAAGACCTGATGGACTGATAATCTGAATGTTAAAATAATTACTGTAATGATTAGAGTTAATTTAACTAATTTAACTGCATGAGTTGTTGAAGTTAACGCAGGTCTACATGTTTTAATTTGCAACGAGATTTACAAGATCTTAATGAACGAGATTACACTATAATTCAATTTTAATTTCTTTATTTGACCATAAATTTTATATAAACATTTCATTTAAAGTATTACTTTGTTTTTTTTTTTTTTTGTTTTTCTCTAAATTTTTTACTTATGGTGCATTGAAGTTGTAATATGAAAAAACGATAACGAATGCCATGAAGAATTTTATTTTATCATTAATTATATATAAAAATTTGATGGGAAATTTTTTCATATATTTCTTTAAATATTTACGATAACACTTAAGATAAAGATAGTATTGCATTATCATGTAGATAATATTATTCAATACATTTATCATTGACTACGATAAAGAAGAGTAAACATGATATTTTGGTAAAATAGTACCTTGAAAATATTAACCAGAAGCTGTTAGTTAAGTAAAAAACATTATCTAAAGTTTTACTAGATAAATTTACTTTTTCTTTTTCTATATGATTAACGAAGATTAATGATGTAATTTTTTTAACATCTGTTCATAATTATTTGTATTAAGTAATAACACATACATGTAGACCTGTGTAATAGTTTGATCGATAATTCATTGAACTGCCATTAATTCATCAAATTGCTTGCATTTTAGGATTATCTGCAACAATGGGACAACTATTTCTTTAAAAAAAAATCAACGAGACATTGTTTGAAGTTATGAACGTATTTGTCGTCTACTCCTGTTCGAATACAAACGAAAAAGATTTTTTTTACTTCGCTACCACATTTATAAAAAAAATTGAAACTAAAAATAATACGAGCTATAGGTATAAGCATGTAATGCTTTACAGATAAATCGTTTACGGGGTATGTAAGGTTTAATATGTAGAAAACAAATATTACTATACTTCTATATAGAATTTATCACATTAGATACGTGCCAAACGTGGTGTTTATTATCCTGCTGCTGTATACAATGGCATAATTCTCAATTGAATTGTAAATATAAATGAAACAAAACGAAACAAACAAACAAATCTTGACTAAAATAAAAAATACAAAAACGCTCAAAATTAAAAAAAAAAGTGCCATCAAACTTTCATACAGACGCGAATAACATTGATTTTTTCTATGTCGCCTGAAATAATAAGGAAAACTTTTTAGAATTGTTTAATATTTATATGAATATAAAATAGATAAAATAAAAAAAAAAATATGATTGAATTAACAAATAAATAGATAAAAAAAGATTTCAGGATATACGAACTGTGTCATTGTTATTCCGTTTATTTTCTAATCAGTTTTTGTCTGATCATTCACTTAAGTTGCTTAATAAGAAAGTATGTTTCAATTGTTATATTAACAAAACGAACAAGCTAATTTTTAATATAGTTATATTAACTTTATAATTATATGATTAGTTTTTGTGAAGAAAGAAATGCAAAACAAAAACAAGCAAAAATACAAAAATGTAAACAAACGTAATATTAGGTTTTAAATACAATTTCAAGGTATACGAAAAGTTTTAATTATTGTAATATGCATTATTTAATACCTTAATTGATGTACAAATACTTTTTTTTTATTAGAAAATTAATAATAGTATTATCAGTAAAAAAAAAAAGTATAAGATTTTACAAACAGTCCCTTTTTTTATATATATATATTTATATATTTAAATATATATTATTAAATATTTTTTAAAGTTTTATATTCAAATTTTTAGAATAGTATATTTTTAAGTTTATGTGTCCATATGAATTGAATAGTATAGCCTTTTGTGCAGAAATTTTCCATTTATGATTAAAATTTGAATTCTTGTGTTAGTTGCTTATTAGATTTTTTTTAATGGTCTTTCAGTCAGTAAAGTGAAAATATTAATGTTTCCAATGACCTAAGTCGTGAAAAAAAAATATTTTAAATCAAGGATAAATAAAATAAGTTTAACTTTTCCCTTCACTGGCTGTACTAATAACACAAGGAAAGACCAAAGACCTTCACTTTTTTACTGCATATGAATAATAATTAATTATTTCTTTCCGTTTGTTATATCATTTAGATGTGTGTTAAATCGGATATCATATAGAATACATTTGAGAAAGAATGGTAAAAATTTATCTTAATGATGAACATCAACATAAAACGGAAGTAGTTTAGATTTTATTTATGGACGGTAAAAAATAGTTTATTCAATAGAAGAAAATTTTAATTTCAAAATCAAAGTTAAGTTGATATATTTGTTGATTATCTTATCTGTTATAACCTTTTGAACAGTTTAATACAGCTTTTCGTTCCCATCATCATTACATACATAAGAAAATCAAGCAACGCTTAGTTTATATTCATCATCGTGTTCAAAACGATTAACCGGATATTTCAATGTAATTCAATTTAAATGACCAATTTTTATTTCTACGAAGAAATTAACTCTTTTGAAATTCAATTCATGATGTTTAAAATTATTATGTCAAATTTTCCTATTTTTAATTCTTTTATTTGCACAATTTATTTGACCTAATTAATCTTTAATCTTTAATCTTTCAGTTTTTAATTAAACATTAATTTATTCATTTCTTTAATTAAAATTCTCAGGAATTTCATTATTAATGTACTTTATCTTTTATCTACATTTTTTAGTTGTGAGAATATGGCTTTGTATTTCAATGAATACTTTAAAAAAGGAAATTAATCTCAAACTTTGAGAAAATATTATGTGCAATTCTCAAGGAATATATTATTTTTTGTTATTTATTTGTTTGTACAAATATAATAACCACAAATTGTTATCCGAATGAATAATGATAATAATCAAAACCGTAGACACATTCATTTTACTGTACTGATAAACTTAAGTATTGTTCGTTTTAATACTTTGTTACACCTACTGCAATATCCACTTTTCCTGTTATGTGAAATTATTCCAGAGAAACATAAGACACTTAACGTAATACCTGAAAGTGTACTATTTTTATTATTTCCATTTATTAAGATGTTTCTTCATCTTCAAAATTCTAATAACATTCATTTAAGGCATTATATTTTTTTTTATTAACCATCATTGTATTTAATTTCATTACTGGTTTTTTGACAATTTAAATAACTTATGATGGTAACTAGATTAATATCAATCATTAATGTATTATTTGTTGATTTCTTTTATGTATGTATGTATGAATGTGATGTCAGTATAAAAAAATGAATTAAATTTTTATTTTTTTAGCCTTGAAGGATTCTAAAAAGGAAAATATCAACATTTAGTTCTTCTTCTTTTTATGAATGTAATTTTCAAAATTACTAGCATATTAATTTAAATAATAATAGTTAAGGTCAAAAAGACTGTTTAGTAGCTGAATGAGCTCTGAGAATTTGTAGTGTTAGCGATATGTACAAAAAAAAAATTATGACATTGAGTTAATTCTCAAAACCGCCTACTCCGTAATCATCTCGTGCTCCAGATGTAGAAAAGGACGATAAAGTAAAAAAGAAGAAACGAAATAAATAAGGAAGAAGTTACAGAACAAAAAGATCACGCGTAGGCGTTTTATTAACACTCAGTGCAATAACTTATAAATTCGTTACAAAGCTTTTTACTTTCACTTTTGTTTTAATTCGCACTAATTGTCACTCAAGCATTATCACCATGTTAGAAGCACAATTAAGTAATCGATTATCTAACGAGTATGAAATTCATTTAAATTCAATTAGCAATTGTTTAAATTTTATTTAGTAATATCTAAAAAGATTTCATAACAATAAATGAAATTAAGGTTTTAGTTAATAATTTTTTTCATTTAAATGTTTATAAATGCTAATTTATATTTGTATACTGAATAACCGGTAATTAGTTACATATTCATTTTTAATTACCTCTCATTTATTTAAGAATATTAGATTAAGGTCAAATGAAAATGTTAAAAATAAATTCATTTATTGTGCATTATTTATATAAAATTCATAAATTGAAACAAAATTTCATCGTAAATTTTTTATTGCACAAATGATAATTTATTTATTACTACAGTGTATGAACTGTTTAATAACATAACTAGATGCTATTAAGTTATTCAATGCTATAAAAAAATTTTTTTAAATTTAAGACTGACGTAATTGATATTTAAATCATAAAAGTCGATACTGTATAAACATAAATTCTTATTCACAGAGAGTCTTAGAATTTTTTTAGTTTTTTAATTTTGATATTAATGTAAGGTCGATACCTTGATAATTCGAATATATTAACAAGTATTCTTGCAACATACTGACAACAACTATCATAATTTTGCGCTGAATTAATTCGCTTTAAATTCTTACACGGTGTGCACACGAGGAAAAAAACAGAACGCACGTGAGCAGTAATACATTCATAAAAGTGAGCTTTGAAAAATGTGTTGAGGTGCATAAGTCAGTCTGCTTATCGCTTGCATAATGTGAATCTTCGGGTAAATGAGTGATAGAGTTGAGGGTCTTTTAGTGTTATAGAAGAATTAACTGACAAACCAGAAAATACGCATTTCACTTACTCAGTGTTATTTGAACGGTTACAATGTCATATCACAATGTAATAATAATTAAGTACTCCATTATTTCTATATTTATTTATATCCTTCATTGAATAATAGGACTAATATGGCAATAAAAAAAGATTAGTGAGTCAAATGTAGTGTCTTGAAATTCTTCAAAGTGGCAATTATCGTGTACCAATGAAGAATAGTGTCATTGTGCTTCGCAGAAAAGAAAATAGATTGAATTAGCATCTTCAAGAATAGATTTATTAAGGATATTATATGACAAAAAACGATCAATGCAGTCTCATTAACTTATATTTTTGATAGGTAAAAATAGTTTTTTACCCGTATTCATTATTTTTTATTTATTTGCTTAACAAATAATAACGCTAGCAATTATGTTCTTATCAACTCAAAGAAATATATCAGCAATTGAAAATAAAAATATAACTCTTTCGTCAAACAAATAAAATTGTTATGAACAATGGACAAAATAATTAACACATCAAATTTTTATAAATCGAGTATTTTTTTTTTTTTTTATCACTTTGAGTAAAATATTCGTAAATAAATAAAAAAAAAACATAATTTTTATCATTAAGATAATATTATATAGCAGAATTATCGTAAACGACAGCGAAAAATAAATACTACATTTGCACTAAAATATTAAAAATGTATAATAATTTAATATTAAAATTTTTTTTATTCTTTTAAAAATTAATATCAATATTTATAGATAGGTCTTTATCGAAAAAAAAAAAAAAATTATTTTTACATAAACGTAAGTATAATTAAATAAACACTAATCAGTTTTCAACAGTATAAAAGTATTATCAAAGTGATTACGGCTAATATTATTGAAAAGCAAACAAATTAAGAATGATAAAAGATATAGAAAAGCCACTAATTAATCAAATCATAAATCATATGGTCATGGATCTAATTCTAATCATAAAAAATAATTATGATGCTCATAATGAAGTACAATAAATTAGCAGTTGAATAAAATAAATGATTAAAAAATGTTTTATGTAGATCTATGCTTGATTAATATAGTGTCCATTAATGTTTACTTAACACTCAGCGGTAATAGTGATCTTGAGACAGTTTGGATTTAATTCTGGTGGGGATGAAAGGAGTAGAGAACTGTCGTCTACCGTTTGGGTACACTCAAGAATGCCTGCCGCCTGTATCTTTAAGAAACATCTCATCAGTCGTATTCAGGTACTTGAAGGTTCAACAAGTACTTGATAACATATAAGTTGACATAATTTACGAATGGTGGATTACTCAGTACGAAATCTAAGGTAATATAGTTATTTAATTATTTTGTTTTGCCATTAATTGCAAACTAATAGCTGTTAATGCATTAATTATACATTCAACGGGCTATTACATATTAAACACTTATCGTTTAACATTTAATATTCTGCATTAAAGCAGCTCATATAGTTTCAAACGATCATGCTTTGCTTTCTGTTGGCGTTCGAGATGTGATTTAAATATAGGTCTAAATTGTGCAGTTCAAATTACATGGCTCACTATTGCATTCTAACACATACATTAGACTATAATTAAACATTTAGCTAATGTTAATTAATAAAAAAAAAAGTTATTCAGTAATTGTATTGCGAAACAATTTGACATTAATATTTTTCTTGTGTTAACTTTAATACATATGTGTCTTGTCTTCATCACGCAATAATTCTTCATGATTGGAAAAATTCCATTGCTATATTAGCTATATTCGTATTGACTTCAGTACACTTGAGATCATTATTAATTGGTACATTCGATGATGATGAAAAGTAAATATTACTTTAGAAGAATAACACGTGGTATTTTCTGTCTCTTTATTCCTTTACCGGCTTACCATCCAAGAAAAAACTATTTTTAGAAAATGAAACCACAATATTGTTAACCATTTTTACATGCTACATATGGTAAAATTATTGCCACTTTTTCCTATTATACTTGCCATTTATAATAATCAACTAAAATAATATATTTTTTAAACAACATTTAATTATAAAAAAAATGTATAATGTTACAAAAAAAATAGTCGCTACTCCTATCTTTATTAAATACAAATTTACTTATATAATAACAAGTTAATAATTTAAAAAATAAATAAGTTGATAAATATTAGTAATAAATATCAATTGAATCAATAAAATTGAAATAGGACCGAAAAAACTTTTTGTTTTCATTGCTCCAATCGTGAAATCAATTCATTCAAACATACTGTTTTTGTATTCGTTTTTTTAAAGTCAAGTTTTTCGTTCAACCCTTATTATTAGTTCTATAGCCGAAGAAGAAACATAAATATAATCTAATCTAGCAAATTCGAACAAATAATTGTCGAGAAGTATTAATCGTAAAACTTATCTTTTTAAATAGAAATCACGTGATTGAGAGAATTCCATTTGAATTGTCATTGTGAATTCTGTTAAAAATGACAATTAATTTATTATTGTTGATTTGTACAGTTAATGTACAGAAAAATGATTGCCCATTTATACAAGTATATAATTGGGCATGTTGCAGATAATCGAGACAAATTATGTGCATTAATGGGGTTGCAACGTGGGCGTCTATTATCATGTAATCACAACTATCACGTGTCCCAAATTTATCATGCCAATACTTGGGTTTTTTTAAGTCTTCCTTTCATTGTCATCTCAAAAGGAATTTTGTTCATGGCCATCAAGATTAGCAGCTTCAAGATTTTCTTCTCTTTGGTCATTAATACCAAGTGCGGTCATCCTTGTTATATTCCAGATGGAACTGCATTCAAATCCAATGTCTCAAAAAAACAAAGGTACCAAGAAGAGGGCTGAAACGATTCTAGAAGGAACAAAGATCAATGTGTAAGTATCTTTATCGATGTTATCAGATTATTCAACATCTTTAACACTTAATCTATTTTAATGGATTTTTAAATATCATCAAATACGATAAATTTTAAATTTGATCAATTGTAAACATGACTAGTAGCTATTTTGATTAAATTGAAAAAGTGTTTATATCTAAAATAGAATAATATCGAATAAAATTCAAACCTAAATCTATCAATTGAAATACTAATTACTCTATTTTAATAATTATGTAATAAATAAATCAAACACATAAAAATTCACTACTAAATCATTTATCTGATATTTGAATTAATTTACCTAATAATCTTTGATAACATAACAATGAATGAATTGTAAAAGTAAATTTTGTTGTTTATTTCCAACTATTATTGATAAATTTATCGATTTACTAATAAAAAGTGAATTGGTTGACAATCGATATTATTGTTTCACTTAGAGAGTTGTCATAAATTTAAAAAATCCATTGACTTCTTTCATTGGAATGTAGGATGATAAAACTAATTTTCCAAAATTATCGTTGACTAATAAATATTAATAGAAAATGATAGACACTATAAAATTGTTTTTGACTTTGAGAATATTATTTTTAAGCGACGGCGATAGCTATGGAGTATTTCGTTCAAATGATCCAATTATTTCGATGGACAATTTGGCGACGACGACGAGTCCACATGCGTCAGATGCCCATCATATGGGAGCCGATCATCCAACATCGTAAGTAAATGATAAAATGTGTGGGCAATGAATGAGAAAGATCAAATAATATAAATGATAAAATATAATTAAAAAAAACTGTAATATAAACATTATAAAAAGATAATAGAGCTATTAATTGCATGTTATGCGTCTATTTATCCTAATATTAATAATGATATCTTAATCCAAAAAGCCTGGAAAGTTTATTGGAAAAGGGTTTAACTAATTAGTAAGTTATCTTAGGTATTGCGAAACGATGATGCACTTATTCAAGGGAAATGTTGGTTCAGGAATATTTGCATTAGGAGATGCATTTAAAAATGCTGGCTTATTACTGGGTCCACCACTCACGATTTTTCTGGGCATCATCTGTGTTCACGCGCAACATATTCTCGTATGTGAATCTGGAGAGTTTTTTTTTGTCACAAAATTTTTATATTAGTTTTTAAACATTGAACAGTGGGAGACTAAAGCTATGAACTAAGATTGAAAATATCAATGAAAATTCATGAAAATCGTTAGAATTTATTAATAAACGAATGAAAAACAAATATAATTTTAAGGTACATAGAACCATTCAACGGTTTTACCAGGTCTACATCACTCTTTTATTTTAATATATACTAATAGATGATTTTTAGATATTATTTTTCAGAAAAATAAGTATTTCAAAAGATTATAATTATTAAACTTAGATGACGTCTTGATTTGATAATGAAAAAAAAGAAAAATAGTTTTAAATTCAAAGTAAAAATATATTTATTACAACTTTTCAAATTAAATGTCAATTTTATGATTATAGTAATTGCATAGAATAATCATGAATTTCTATGAATATTCGATGATTGATTATAACAACAAATGAAGTTGTCTTAATTAATGTCATTTTGCTGATGAGTTCATTTCCTGATAAAGATGATATTAAAAAAAAATTTCTGTTACAAGTCAATAATTGGTATTAAAAAATGTAGACCTGAATGATTTTCTGCGCCATTTCTGATGGAGAAATGTAAAAAAATTTTTTAATATTTGTTTACAGGAGCATGATTGTAGTGGATATGAAAATGATGCTATCATCAAACATACCATCGACTTGATATTACGACACAAGTGATCGATGGGAAAGATAGTTAACAAGCTTGAAAATACCCAGTATTTTCGTCATAAAAGCTTTAACGCATTATTCAAAAGTGAGTTTATACGAAGATTTAAATCTTAGCAAAGTGTTAGTCTCCTACTGCTCTTAAACATGAAAAGATCAACATCTTACTTCAAAAAAAAAAAGAAGGCAATTTAGGAAAGGGAAAAAATAAGATTTATTATGGAAAAATTATTTCAGATTGAATGCAATGAAATAGCGTCTAAATATGTGGGGAGTTCAACAAAAAAAGATTCAGTTGGATATGCCGGAACAGTGGAGATGTGTTTTGAAATTGGCCCGCTACGATTACGAAAGTATTCTGTATTGATGAGGTGCTAATAAAAGACTCTGACTATATTTTTTATCATTTTTTTCTGTCTAAAGATGTTTCATAACACTGATGATCATGATCTTATTTATTTCAGGAAGATAGTGAACCTATTTATATGCATAACGCAATTTGGATTCTGCTGCGTGTATTTTGTCTTTATATCAACAAATATGCTTAAGGTAATTATAAATATAAAACAATCGCCAAATATATTTATTCATAGGCTATTAATGTATTTATTCAGAATATTTCGAATTACTGAATAATATTATTGGTAACTGAAAAATGATTTTAAATGCAATCATCTAGATTTACTGATATGTCTAAAATGATGACAAGTATTATTTAAAAATGTTTCATAATAGATATATATTAAAATTTCGGTTTCACATTTTCATAGTTATTAGTAGTATAATCAACATTTATGTTAAACAATATTCATTATATAATTATTTTCAAATGTACTGTCATATAGTATTTGTTATCAAAAGTTACCAGAAATAAAATCATAAGTAAATTTCAATGATCATGTGTTCATGACGTGTTTTAAACAGGTTTTAGACCAGTATGGATTCCAAATAAGTGTTCACTGGCACATGGCCATTGCTTTATTGCCGATTTTGATGAGCACCTGGATCAGAAATCTTAAATACCTGGCTCCAGTGTCTTCCATTGCCAATCTATTAGTTGTAGGTGGTTATGTAGCAACTATATACCTCATGTGTCACGATTTGCCACCAATGAGTGAACGTAAATACATTGCAGAATGGCAATCAATTCCGCTATTTTTTGGCACGGTTATTTATTCTTTTGAAGCAATCACTCTGGTAATAATAAATATATTTACACTTGTTACTAAATTAAGCATTTCAATGAATGAATGCCTAAATCTCTCATCGCTTTGTTATTATATTAATTATCTTTAATATTTTAGGTTTTACCCCTCAAAAATGAAATGAGAAAACCAGGAACATTTAGCAGTCCTTTGGGTGTATTGAATGTTGGAATGATTTTTGTTGCTGGTATGTTTGTAGCTATGGGTTTCTTAGCTTATCTGAGATATGGCGAAAAAATCGAAGGCTCTGTTACACTTAATCTTAATTCAAAAGAAATGTAAGTTGGATTTGATTTCATTTAAAGATTATTTATCTTTACGTTTAAATTCTTATCGTTATTTAAATCAGAAATTACTAATTTTTTTTAACTTTATTAGTGATAAATTGCTCATTTTCTGGTGTAACATCATAATTACAATTAATTATCATTTCAGATTTAATCAATTAAACATTATTTCATTTTTAATCTGTTGTGTATGATATTTCTATTTTTTACAATTTTTTACAGATTACCACAATGCATACAGATAGCAATATCTCTGAGTATTATGTTTACGTATGCTCTGCAGTTTTACGTGCCAATAGCAATCATATGGCCGGAAGTGGTTAATAGATATGGTCCTTTCCGTTATCCAGTTTTTGTGGAAACATGTTTCCGTTCGGTTCTATGCTTGCTTACTTGTAAGTGGTTTTTCCTCTTTTTATTATTCTAATAATAATTAATGATCGTTGAATATTAAAATCATTCGGTTTAATGTAGTATGTAATTATCGAAAAATATCAAAAACTACGTCTGTTAATTCCATTATAATTGACCGAAATATTTAATAACTTCCATAAATGTTTTTAATTGTTTGATAAAAAAATATTCTTTTTTTATCATCAACCTCTTTACTAATTTATTTAATGGTTTCATTTTATTGCAGTTACTTTGGCTGAAGTAATTCCCAACCTCGGTCTTTTTATATCTCTCATCGGTGCACTGAGCAGTACAGCATTGGCTCTCTTGTTTCCACCGATAATTGAATTAGTTGTTTGCTCACAAAATGATACACTTAGCGGTTTTAAACTTACCAAGGACTTATTTATGTTACTTATAGGATTTTTAGGATTTCTTACGGGAACTTATGAGAGTATGACAGCTATTATTCGCGCATTTAGTACTAAAGAGTAGAAATTGAATGATAAGAGTCTAATTCTAAAAAATATTAATAAGATAAGTAAAAAAAAAAACCAAAAAAAAATTTAGTAATAACATACAAAAAATATTCTTACTTATTTTTATATAAAGAAGACTAGTCCATGAATTTATCACAGGGAGTTGTTTTATTTTATCGACGTTGTTTGATTTTAATTTATAATCACGTATCAGTAATATCAGATGTTGAACGTTGAGCATGATAAAATCGAAAAAATGTTCCAAATCTAATTGATGCTCTAGTTGTTGCTTCGACAATCATTTCATTTCCATATTCGGAGGAACCGTCCATTTTAGCAGGATGATCTAAGAAAAAAGAATAAAAATTAAAAATAAGATTAAACATTATAATCAGTTACAAACGTTACAATCTAATGATTAATAAAGAAAAAATTTATAAATTTTATTTAATAAAAAACAATCGAGTGAAAGTTTTTTAAATAGTATAAGAAATATTTTTCCAGTATTTTAGTAATTGAATAAGTAATTAGATATACGATAGAAAACCATAGTAATGAAATATAAATATTTACATATTTTTGTTGATGGTGATTTTGAAAATAGTATTGTCGTGTTTTTGCGTAAAACTCTTAATGTTAGACACTCCAATTTAATGAGCAGCTGTAATTATAATTTCATAATTATTATTATAATTATGATTAATTATTTATTGATAAAAATACTTGTTAAAAAAAACCAAACTGTCAATTTGTTTGTCATTTTTATATATTGAAATAAGCATCGAATTTTCTTTTAATAAGTAATATTCTTACCTCGACAAGCTCTCGAGTGTGATAAGGTTGTAAAGCTGGTAAAAACCGACTTTGTATCTGAGACAAATTAATGCCTGGATTCATAATGCAGTGTGCTAGTACTGCACCTAGCATTTTTTCTAACATGCCTTTATTAATTACACCGTCAATTTTTATCCAAGGCCTTATAACTACTCTTATATCTTCAGCGGTACTAAAACAATAAATGATAATCATGTTAACAAAATATGTAATTAACATTGTAAAAATGTAAAATAATTAAACACTATTTGTCTATCTGAATCTAAAGATTTTTTAAAAATATTATAAAGATCTAATGATAAATTAACATGATTTTTGTAAACATAACATTTTTTCTTAAAGAAAGTAATAAATACATATGTTCTGAAAAAATTTCATTTGTTTTCTTTTTTTTCTATTATCTGATCGAAAATATAAATCTGAGGGGATTAATCATAACCTAATCTAATTAAAAATAATATTGATAATCTAATTCATAAATTATATGAACAAAAATATACTTACTTTAAGTCTAATTTTTTAGCTGCAGTATAAATATCTTTTGTCTGTAATAAGCAAGTTCTACTTTTCCGATGATTCTGTTTACTCGAGTTCACTGCACTAGTTTCTTCTTCATTTTTCTCCTTTTTATCAACAGTTTGGCTTCTTGTCACTTCAGTATTATTAGGATTACTATCAATGGTATTATCCTTATCAGCATTATTTTTCTTATTTTTTGATGATGGAATACTTAATTCTTCAAACTCTTTTTCATTCGAATTGTCGCATTCATCATCATTCTCATTACTTTTTTCAGTACCTGCATGACTTGAATTAAATATGTAAATACTATCAGGAGGAATGGGCGGTAAAGCTTCTCTGTGAAGTCGCATAATCCGTATGGATTGGATAAGCCAAGGATCAACATAGTTATAATGTATATAATGCATCTCGGAGACACCAGATCTTAAGAATAATCGCTGGTCTGTCATGAAAGTAAGAATGTCATACATCTTATCGCCAAGAATCTTGTAAAACTTTAATGTTAATTCTTTTGAAGTTGCACCTTGTTCATGTTTATTTCTAACATAATCGTATATTAAATCTATTTCCTCTTCCTTTAACTCTGTCATCATTGCCAAGTCTTCTTTTACACGAGGATAATCTACAAATTTCCTTGGAAAAATGGCAAATTTATTCAAGTCATTTATGATCTTCTTAAAAGTTTCTATTTCAAACATTAATACATTATGAAATAATTTATCATCAACTACAAATTCATGATTATTAATTTTCTCTTCTTCTATTTCTGGGAATAAATAAGAAATACCAAAAGTGTTGACAGCAAAATACTCATGAGCATGATGACTATCAGGTAAATCTTCGATTAACTCTTCTCTCATTTTTAATAATGCAATCCTTGTATATCTTCTTTGTGCATCACTAGTATCTTCTCTCTGATGATTTGAACTTGTTCCAGGCTGTAAATCTCTATTTTCAGTTGAATTTGAAGCAAATTTTATATTTTCAAAACACATCGGTTTTATTTCAACATGTTCAACACAGTTTCGATCTTCTCGATTACTATTATTTTGGTGATTGTTTCCAGTATTTGCTATTGTATCGTAGTCCATTTCAACGTCATCTAAATTATTGCTTTGATCGATTTCTTCATCAACGTCCATTGGCGTTGAACTTTGACCCATTTCTTTTAAAGCATTAATTGAACTAGACTGAATAAAATCCCGAAAATTATCTCCATGAGTTTTCAAGAAAGCTTCATGAATACTTTCATCAATGGTGAAGTTTTTAGAATTTTCAATGTCAGACGTATTAATATTTACAACACTACCATCTTGAAAGTGAATACACCCAACTTCATCTTCAGAATCATTATTATTAAAATACCAGTCTTCATTATCTTGTTCATCTGTCTGTCCTTTGACTTGATAAAATCCCCATTGGTATTTTTTAGTCAGGAATTTCTTTGTTTTTTGATTCCCTCCAGTAGAATCAGATTTAATTCTAGGCTCATCACCAGCGGTTTCTCTATCATCTTCATTACTTTTTTCTTCTACAGTTGCTTCTTCTATATTTGGCTGATGACTACTACTAGCTATTGCTTGAGGTCTTACAGATTCTGTTTGCTCTGTATTAAGTAGTTCTAATGCTAATAAAATATCCTGATATCTCTTAGCAATTCTTACGTATGTCTCATCATACTCTCGAATTCCACTATCCAATGTAATAACGTGATCAGGTAATTCTACATTGAAATCCATTTTATTATCAATTAGATACTCTTGAATTCCAAGAACCATTCCACCAGTTGGTGGTTGAACATTAACTCCTTTAGCAACAATATTTGGATTTTCTTTATATCCTTTAATTATACTTTCTAAGAAATTCTGAATTTCACTAAAGGCTTCAAAAGGTAGTTTTGTTTGAAATTTATACAAATAAGTCGTACTTAACTGATATTGAGAACTGCTGATCGGTAAACAATTTCCGTATTTTTTAAGAGCAGTTAGATAATGTTTTGCTACAGAAACCATACCATCAGCTCTAATTTTCGCCATAGCATTTCTTAATAAAATTTCAGGATATTGTTGATAAATTCTGAACAACTGATATGCCCATGATCTTCGATCTTTTCCACAACACATGGAACTGTAAATAACAGAATTAATTGTAGCTGTATGAATATCATTGACATTTTTGATATCACAAGTGAATCCTTTCTGAGGCTTTTGTGGATGGCTAACTTCATAAAAAATTTTAAATTCTTGAAGTGTTTGTGGTTTACATGATGATTCTATGGTAGGTTTTGATTTAGACAAGTCGTAATATTTTTTGGCTACATAAGCAACAAGAGCTTTAAAAGTGGAAGTTATTTTTTCTTCTTGTTCATTTGGATCACATGTCTTTTTTATTTTATTAACGATGTCTTTGTATTTTTTATTGACATAGTAATTCTGTTTTATCTCTTCTACACCCAATGCAACACTGTGTGCTGTTTGTGGTTGTTTTAACATATACAAAAGACGTCTCTGACAAGCTCGAGATGTTTTATTATGTGAGCTGAGTGAATAAGAACGTAAAACATCTCTTACAGCTGGGAATGTGATCAATTGCTTTCGTGGATTGGGACAAAGGTATAACATGACGACTTTGCAGACTAATAAAATGTTGTCTTCTCTTGGATCCCAGTCTACTCGCAACTTTGCCATATGTTGAAGAGCACTATAATCAATGTCATCATACTTCACTCGTTTTCTTGTTTTTACTTTTCTGGGCATAACTTTTCTAAGTACTTTAACTGTACTTTGCTTTCTCATATTCTTGGACAATAATTTATGTTTTAGAGTTTTTTCTACTGTAGATAAACTAACTGGTTTTTGAGCTTTTCTATTTTTAAGAATATTTGCATCTACTGTAGTTGGTCCACTCTTCTTTTTTAATCCTGTAAATTCAGTATACTTGATCGGCTTAGCTTCAACTTTGGATAAATGAGCTTTGCGTTCAGGATCCGGTTCTTTTTTCTCTAGGTCTCGTGGGGATCTATAGCTATTAAAATTGTCCCAATTCCAGTTTCTCTTTAGGTGTGAGAAAAAAGCTGAATCAATACCTGCAGCTCCTTTCTTATCGCCGGGCATGATGCCAATATCTAAAGATTTTGCTTCATAAGCACTTACTGGTTTTAAACATTGGAGCATTTCAGGCTTCTTCGTTAGATCTTCAAGAATTATTTCTGTTCCTTGGACTGCTAATCTTCCACCAAGATGAGTATTTATACAAATATGCCACATGTCATACCAGTATTTTTCAACATCTGTTATTCTTTCAAAAAAATATTTAGAAACAGGATATTCTTTATCTTCAATTTTATGATAACCTGCTGCAGAAGTTGTTGTATCCATCAATTCACTTTTTTTGTTAAGGAAAATAAAAATCTGATCCTTTTCTTTGAGTTTCTGAGGACCGAATTGAATTAATCCAATGTAACTGAGTCTGGTAATCGTCTCATGAATGCTAAAAATATATTTTCTCTTGAGCAGAAGTGCATTCCTCAGTAAAGTCGGTAGATCTTTGATCAAGTAATGCTTTCTGATCGAATGATTTATGTAAAAGTCCAAGTTGGGAATAAAAAAAGGAAGTCTGTATATTTTCAAAAAAATTGACAGAGGAATTCTCAATAAAATATCACACATCAAGGCCCATCCTAAAGGCCAACCATTGTGATCTGGAAGTGGAGGAACAAACATCTTCCAACCTACTTGTGTATTATAAATCTCTCCCATTTCTTTTTCCAATTCGTCATCAATTTGATATCCCTTCATTTTCAAACTTTGAATCTGTTGTTCTCGAGGTATCTTCAATGGTCCTTGATGATCATAAATTAAATAGTATAAAAATTGATGAAGAATTTGCATTCGTATAAATTTAGGACTATATCCATATTTTTTTCCAGCTTTAGGATCAAATGTCAAATTTGCAGGAATGATTTTTTGATTGGTATTAATATCATTGGTATTTTTAACTTTTTTTGTTGATTTTCCTAAATCATTATCTGAATTATTTTTATTTTTACTCAAATTTGCATTGTTTTTCATTTCTTTATTAAATCTTGTCAAACAAAATTTGACTCGGGCTTGTTCGACAGCTGATCGAATAACAGAATGATTTACATTTATACTCGGATCGCAAATAAAAGTCAAGGATTTTTGTTTACCATTGGCACTGAGAGTTAATTTAATATTTTTTACCAAATTATCGACAGCTAATTTTTGTAACAACCTCACTAAAGATTTTTTATCAATTTTAACGTCGTAACCTTCACGTTCTTCTTCTTCATTTATCAACTTTATTAATTTTGTTGTGTCATCAATCACTTTGTGTTCTTTCACAGCTTCAATTATTAAATTTGCTCTCTTTAAAATTCTGTATGTAACACTTCCCGTTATTTTTAAATCTTCTGCGTTTATCTCTTTCATTAAACATTTCATTTCTCCATCTGACGTAGTTGAAGGTCTAGTTTCTTCTAAAATTGCATCGCATTCTGCACCAGGATTTACATTAGAATCGGGAGTGATTAATTTTATGACTTTTCTTGGACTTGGTTTTATTTTATTAGCCAATTTATCTAATCTGTTCTTCAAATTCTTCATTTGAGACACATTGTTGAAAGAAATCTCATAGCCACGTTTATATTTTTTTAAATTGTATTTTGCGAATATTTTATTTACAATACCAAACAAAGCTTGACCACGGATTTGTTGTTCTCCAATATTTTTAAATGGATCATCAACTGCTGGTTTTTCTTCTTCTAGTAATTCTACGTCTGAATTTTCCGTAGGATAGAAAAAGTTTTTAGCAGTTGAAAACTGACCTTGAAATGAATATTCAGACAAATTGATATTTTTCGTTAATTCTTTCATCTTATGTATTTCTTTGTGATATTGTTTGCTGATTTTACTATTTTTTTCAAATTTCTTTGAAACATATTTTGTTAACCTTTGACGTCCAATGTCATTCATATAAGTTCCAATGAGACCAAGTTTTGATAAGTTTTTCAAAGTACTCCGAGCATGTAATTTCGTCACTCCCATTTTCTTTGCCAAATCTAATTGGCTCAATCCTTCATCTCGAGATTCTTCAACGATCCAATTAGCTTGCTTCATAATAGGTACATCAATTATTTGATTTGTTACATCAAGTTCATAAGATTCTTCCTCATCCAAAATTTCATCATTGTTCCATAAATCATTAGCATCAATATTTGGATCAATTAGCTGAACAGCTCTTATTTTTTTTTCTTTGGTAGCACAACTTTTTCTGGCCCACTCTGATGGATCTGCATGAGGATATAACTCTCTATAAGGAACTAATAAATCAGTTCGAACAACTTTTTGGAAACAAGCTGTTTTAAATAATCTTTTAATACTATTTTCTATTTGCAATGCTTGTTTAATTTCTGTGTAATCTGCTAAATAGTTTTCTCGAGTTTTCAGTAACGCAATTATTTTTTCAGCTAAATATACGATTTTTGGTTTACGTTCTACGTAAAATCTTGGTAAATGTAACAAACTCCCTCCAGTACCATGACCAGCATTTTTTTGATAATGCAATTGTTTTGTAATTAACTTATGTTTTAGTAAAAATTTTCGGTAGTAAAATAAAGATTTAGGATCTTCTTTTAATAAAACAAGGCTTCTTTTTCCTTGAGTAACTTCTCCATGATATCGAGCTCGTCCAACTCTTTCTAGAAAACAATATTGAACTACATTTAATTCTATTGTAGGACAAACATTATCGTCAATTAAAGCTTGTTCTCTAATCATTTGAGATCCAACAATGACCAATGTCTGACCATATTTCTTTTCTGCAACATCTAGACTTAAAGCTTGAATATTTTCAATAGGTTTTCTTGTGTAATAACTTTTACATGAACCTCTGATATTATTTTTCGAGTCGTCAATTGGATAATATCCATAAATATCTTCAGGCAGATTATCAGGTTCACATATAATTCCTAAATCAGGATCTACATACTCATAACGATTGTATAGAAAAAGTGGCTCTCTTGGAGAATCTAATTCGTAAAAAGTAAATTCTTTTGTTGATATACATATAGACCAAATTTGATTTTGTAATGTTCGTGGAAGATTATCTTGAATTTGCAATCTTCCTGACAATCTTTTCCATAATGCCTCAAGTGTTATTCCATCTAAACCTTCTAAAGCCACTTCATCAATTACTATATCGATAATGTTGGTTGATGATGAATGAAATGTATCATCCATATCACTGGGATACATTATTAAAAAACAATTTGTAATACATTAAACAAACTCTAAAAGATTTGTCGTTGAATTCTGAAAAAAAAAAATTATTTCTAATTTGTTTATAATAAAAAATTATTGGAAGACAAACTAATATTACGTAAATATAGATAATATAATTTTAATTATTTTTGCAATGGTATATAGGTTATAGAACATGATTATTTACATTCAAATAAAAAAATCACAATTACTGATAGTTATTTGTTGTTGTACTAACCTTCAATAATTGAGATGCAAAAAAGTTCTATTATTGATTTTAACGCTTTATAACTTTAATTAATTTTAAGTATGAAAAAATTATAATAATTGTAATATAAACAAATTGGATCTCATGACATTCTGTGCGTTTCTATGAGGTTATATTTTTAAATCTGAAAATGTGAGTAATAAATTTTAGATGGCGTTTCATGCTGTATCCTACATTTTTCAGACAGTGCTAGTTTTGACTTTTTTTAGCACCAAATTCTAATTCGAAGTCAATAAAAAATTGTTTTTTCTTGTTATTGATAAGGATAAATAGTTAATGAAATACATTTATGATGAAAAATTGTAATACTTTAATGCGATTGTTAATTACAATTTGTAATATTTATTGAAGTGCAATCGCTACCGTTTTGTTATAAAAAAAGATTCATTTTTTTATTATGACTTCATTGTTGGTATCAATGGGTAACATCAGTTTGGAGGGAAACACTGTCTTCTTTGGTTTGATTTCTAAACGTGAATATTTGTAGGTATCCTAAGTATAATTATTATAAACTTAATTAAACAACATTTTTTATAGTCAAAAAGTAGATTCTAGCTTATATATTGATCTTGTAAAAATTATAAATAAATAAAACATACTATTGAACAATACACACTTCATGTATGATATAAATTGAGAATAAACATTTATATCACATGTGTCAATAAAAAGTTGTTGAATTTAATATCAATTGTCCATTGCGTGATAATGCTTAGTGACACTTAATATTTGTTAATGATTTACTCTAATATATACAACACTTGTATTATACATATAAAACACTTTTGATGAAGAACCATATAAGAATCTTTTAGCACTTTCAGGTTAAACAATCAAATTTTAAACTAGCAATATTTTTGTACTTTTTTTCAAAGTACTCTTTTTATTTTATACAAAAAACAATTGTAAATAATGTAAATTATTCCAGATTTATATATGGATATTATGAAGTTAAATCCTTTAATACAGCAATCATAGCTTTAGGATTATCTTCTGGTAGCTACAAATAACATAAAAAAAAGTTATCACATGGCTTAACTAACTAACTTAACTAATAAGTTTATATAGTTTATAGATTTATTATTTGTTGATAAAACATGCTTATGTACCATATGCCCAGCTCTAGAAATCCAAAAAAACTTAAATTTGTCATATTCTTTAACATATCCTTCCACGACGTTATCAACACTAATACTAATTTTTGTAGCATTTTTCCAGTGTTTTATAGAGTTCCATTTCAAGTTTTCTACCCAACGTAGAGTTCCAGTAGTTGGAACTATAAAATCTAACTGACCACTTAATACAAAAACTTTTAAATTTGTTTCTTCTAAAATTCGGTTCACTACAAAATTAATCTATTAATCAATATCAATATTTTTTTAGTAATTAATGAAATAAAAATAAATTGCTTTGACGTCTCTTGATAAACTTACCAGTAAGTGTGGTAGGCTTCATGATGTCATTTTTTAACTTTTTATAAACGCTCCAAGTTATTATTTTCCATGTTCTATTAAAATTGTTGAGATTAAGAGTACGTTTTACTTTCGTGTTCATTAAGCGTTCTAATTTTGTAGCCCAATCAACTGTTTCATTGGTACATAGTGGTATACTAGACGTAGTGTAATCACGAGCTTTAACTAAAGGTGCAGATATTTTTAAAATATTATACATGTTTCTATGATTTATAATTATAATAGATCTTCGAATAGTTGTATTCCATAAATTATATGCAGTCAACCAATCATTTTCATTTATTGCATTGATGGTATATTTGGTTAAATTTTTAATTTCTTTATACTCCATATTATCTAATAGTCCCTGAAACCAAAATTGGCGTATTAAATATCAATTTTTTCATTTTGATTCCAATATTACATTTACCAAGTTATATAAATATGGTGGTAAAGCACGGAGGGAATCGACTGGAGATATCCAGGGACTACAGAGGGCTATGCCTTTCAAATTAATTTTATTGCTTGTATTTTGTTGATACTACAAAATAAAAAAAAAGATAAATAAAAATCTAAATAATTTGAAACCATGCACTGTAAATCCCAGTTTTCCAAAATGCATTATTTTAATGTGGATAAGTGTGTTAAATATGACACCACCCATTTGATTAACATTGTAATCACTTTTAACGCAGATCTAAGTGTGTAAAAAGTGACTAGAATATTAATCAAATGGGTGACGTCATATTTAACACACTTATCCACATTAAAATAATGCATTTGGGAAAACTGGGATTTACAGTGCATAAAACGTTAAAATCACATTACCTCCCACCATCCCCAAACAAAATTTGCTGCCATTTTTCCACCATAAGATTCACCCAAAACATAAACAGGGGTATTTAGAAATTTTGGTTTAATTTCTAAAAAATTTTTCATGAATTGTATAAGATCTACAGTAATTTGTTTATCTGACAATTTTACATCCTGTTCAGACTCTTCATCACTAAATCCAGTTCCTATTGGGTTATCTATAAATAATACATTGTATTCATTAACCCAAGAATGAATTCTAGGTTTCAGATCAACATTGAGTGGTCCTATTTCGACGAAATTTCCGAAACCAGTTGCAGAATCACCTGGTCCTCCTTGTAGCCAAATTAATAAGGGCTTTTCGTAAACATTTAAATTGTCAGATTTATTTTGAGAGTTTACATAGAATAACCACCAAAACATTTGAGATGATCTACGAACTTTTATGTATCCCCAATCTTGTTTTCCTGGACCAAATCCTTCCTTTACATTTGATATTTGTGCATGTACGCCTGTTAACACGTAAAAGAATTATTATTGATCGAATAAAAATTCAATAAATGATATATAAAAAAAGGACTCAGAAAAATTAAACCAATTTTCTATTTATATGCACATTATTTCTTAAAAGACAATTTACCAAAAACTAGACAAAAAGACAATATAATGAACACTTTTAACATCTTGATTGTTTCAAACAAAATAATTCTTTCAATAGACACTAAATTGGTATTGTTAATAAATTCTTATATTTTCTCTATCTTTTAAACTGGACTTCATTGATTAGTGTTAATCTCTACTCATATATACTCATGTATACATGTATGTATATTTTTTCAATACTTATCGCTTTTTTGAAATCATTATAATTATAAAGATAAAGTTCTAAACATCTGAATAAATTTAGACCATCAAAATCACCTGTACAAAAAATTAATTTTAGAAATTAATCTCACATTTTGTAAAATGTGTACATAAAAATACGTCATTTCAAATATTTAATTAATAAATTAGTTTTTTGGAATTCAATAAAAAAAATATATTTTCATAAAGGAGGGCGTGCTATCAAGTAGCACAAAAGGGATACGTATTTTTAAAAATCTTATCTTTTACATTGTAAAAAAAATGAGAATGATAAATTTTAAAAAATATGATTCAGGGAAGCTAATAAAGGTCCTTATCGAAATCCCTGCTTTGATATTTTATTGCTTACATTTATTCAATAATTTAAAAATATTGAAAAAATATGAAACTGCCGCGCAACGTTACATTAATTTGTTATTTATGTGTGTGCTGCTTTTATCAAAATTCAAGCATCAAATGAATAAAGTAGCATCACAAAATTTCATATGTGATGCCTATCCTTTGAATCTTTACGTCTATGATCGTGCCACGCTTGTCATGTCTGTAACGGGCAAGTGATATTTTTGCTTAGATAAATTATTCTTATACTGTACTTGAATGAATTTTCCAATTAATTACTTATTATAAATATAATCAAAAGCACAGCTTTCTAATGAAAATTTAATTACATTTTTGCCCCATACACTGGCTTTTGATAGCATTATTTTCCAAACAACTTGTGCCGGCCGGTTTTGTGTGCGTGTCGTTTTATAATTGGTGTAATGAATACGTTATCTATTATAATTACACATTAATATAAACAATTCATTTGAAAATGTTCATGATATTTTTTTCACAATATTATTATTGAAATCGTTTTGAAAAACCATCAAAGCTATTTTTATATACTGAAAGCTTATCACTTGCAAATATAACCTCAACCATTTTTCCAACATAATTATTGTTTAACTTACTTTAAATTTTTATTTAGTTTAGATAAATAAATATAATAATGGTGGCCTTAGTTAAAGTAAAAGGATTGCGAGTATCAGCCCAAAAGCATGAAACTCTTTTGAAGTTGACCATTCTTTCTTTAGCTGCTGTATTGTGTGAGTATTAAAATTACCACATTTTATAATGAATATTTTAAAGTAATATTTATGATTTTTAGCTTTGAATTTATTCAATCTTATTATATAAATTGAAAAATTGTTATGTAAAGTAATTTTAATGTATGCGCATAAAAAATATGAATTTATTTGTCATTGTCTCCTACATTCACACCTACTGTTGTAAATAATTATAAATTTAATTATTACAGCTTTTGCAACACGTTTGTTCTCTGTTTTGAGATACGAAAGTGTAATACATGAATTTGATCCATATTTTAACTACAGAACCACAAAGTTCCTAGCAGAAGAGGGTTTCTATAATTTTCATAATTGGTTTGATGATCGAGTATGGTATCCTTTGGGAAGAATTATTGGAGGTACATAAATTATTTTTACAGTTTTCATTTGAAAACATTTTGTTCATATTATCACTTGTTTGCTAAGTAACAAAAAAAAGGACGAAGAAAAAAATAAAAATTCGTTTATGAAGATTTTTACGTTGGAATTTAAAATTATTTTTAACTTCATCAAGCAATATTTTTTTATATAAATTATTGTATACATTCATACTGATTATTTATTAATGATTATTTCCAGGAACGATTTACCCTGGGCTTATGATAACATCAGCATCACTTTACCGCTTAGCTCAGCTTTTAAACATTCCAATAGACATTAGAAATGTCTGTGTATTTTTGGCACCACTATTTTCAAGTTTTACTACAATAGTTACTTACCTGCTAACTAAAGAATTAAAAGACTCAGCCTCTGGATTATTTGCGGCATGTATGATAGCAATAGTACCAGGATACATTTCTCGATCAGTGGCAGGATCATATGACAATGAAGGAATTGCGATATTTTGCATGCTTTTTACTTACTATATGTGGATCAAAGCTGTAAAAACTGGTGCAATATTTTGGTCAACATGTGCGGCACTTGCATATTTTTACATGGTATCTTCTTGGGGAGGATATGTCTTTCTTATTAACCTCATTCCACTTCATGTACTTACGTTAATGGTCACAGGACGATTTTCTCATCGAATTTATATTGCTTATAGTATATTATATTGTATTGGAACTATTTTGTCAATGCAAATTGCATTTGTTGGTTTCCAACCAGTACAAAGTTCTGAGCATATGCTAGTAAGTCATAAAAATTTTTTCTGAAAAAAAAATTATTTTAAAAACGTTTTCATTGCATAATGATACGAATATTTTTAAGGCACTTGGAGTTTTTGGTCTGTGCCAAATTCATGCACTGGTCGATTATTTACGTAGTAAACTTACAGATGATGATTTCGAGTTACTATTCCGTGGTTTAGTTGTTTCGACCTTAGTTATTTCATGTATTGTTGGCGGAGTTTTAACAATTACAGGTACATTATTATTTAATGTCGTATAATATTTAAAAAAAAAAAAAATTAAATCTTAAGAATTTTAATGATTATTAATGTTTTTTATTGTTTCAACAGGAAAAATATCACCATGGACTGGACGGTTTTATTCACTTTTAGATCCTTCTTATGCTAAAAATCACATTCCAATAATTGCATCAGTTTCGGAGCATCAACCTACATCATGGAGTTCATTTTACTTCGATCTTCAAGTGCTTGTATTTTTATTTCCTGTTGGATTGTACTTCTGTTTCTCAAAATTAACTGATTCCAACATTTTTCTTATCTTATATGGAGTTACAAGCCTCTACTTTGCTGGAGTAATGGTGCGTTTGATGTTGGTGCTAGCTCCTGTGATGTGTATTTTAGGAGGAATTGGTGTATCTTCGTTGTTATTGATTTACATGAAACAATTAGAAAGTAGTAAAGTTGTAGATAAAAAATCCCGCAAATTTGAGAACAATTACGTTTTGAGAAGTCAATTATCAATGCTATTTATAACCATCATGGCAGTACTTTTTGTCTTTTATACATTACACTGTACGTGGGTCACTGCTGAAGCTTATAGTTCTCCAAGTATTGTTTTATCAGCAAGATCTCCTGATGGCGGACGAATTATTTTTGATGACTTTAGAGAAGCTTACTATTGGCTACGAATGAATACGCCTGAAGACTCTAAAGTAATGTCCTGGTGGGATTATGGATATCAGATAACTGCCATGGCCAATCGCACAATTTTAGTGGACAATAACACGTGGAATAATACACACATATCGCGGGTAGGCCAAGCAATGGCCAGTTCTGAAGAAAAAGCGTACGAAATTATGCGAGAATTAGATGTAAATTATGTCCTCGTCATATTTGGAGGACTAACGGGATATTCCTCTGATGGTGAGTCATATGCTAAAAAATGTTACTTTTTAGATTTAATCAGATATATTATTTACATTTTTGCGACTTCTTTTTAGATATTAATAAATTTTTGTGGATGGTAAGAATTGGAGGAAGTACAGAAAAAGGAAAGTCTATTACTGAGTGGAATTATTATAATCCTTCTGGAGAATTTAGAGTTGATAAAGATGGATCACCGACATTGCTCAATTGTTTAATGTATAAAATGTGTTATTACCGCTTTGGACAAGTTTATACTGAAGGTGGTAAGTAAAATATCGAGATAATTATTTTTTAATTGTATTTTAATATTAAAATAATTTAAATTATAAGATAATAGTAAAATTTTCATTTATAACATTATTTCATATCATTACTTGTATTTTAAGTATCCATAAAAAATTTTTCAAAAACTAAATATAATTTAAAGCATTGTTAAATAGTATTAATGGTATTAACAAAATTTTATAAAAGGTATTAATGAAACAAAAATAACGTTAAGTATTTTAATTATCAGGAAAACCTTCTGGATATGACAGAGTCAGAAATATGGAAATAGGAAATAAAGATTTTGAACTGGAAACATTAGAAGAGGCTTATACGACTGAACATTGGCTTGTACGTATTTATAAGGTGAAAGATTTAAAAAATAGAGGTAACTGAGTTGTCTTCAACGAATATTTTTATCATCACATATTACTTCCAACATCGATCTATTTTAAAAATTTTTTCCGCTATCATAATCATTATTTGTATGTATTCGGGTGGAGTATCACGATATATAAATATTAAAATATAGATTTTCTATTATATTTTCATGAAATTAAGGCCTCAGTAATTTTTCATCAGTCATAAAAATTCATTTATACAAATTAATCATGAAATACATGTATTTTATATATTTCCACGCATCTCAATAGCATTTTGTAAAATTTAATAATAACAAAGGTAATACATTTGAAATGCACAAATATAATACAGGTCTAATTATTCTTTATATATAATTGTATTTTTTTACTTAAATTATTATTTAATCTGGGAAATAATTAATACACAATTAAGGTGGCATAAAAATATGAGTATTTATGTGGTATATAACAATATACAAATTGTGTAGGTACAAATATAACGGAGATGTTACCTAATGTTAATCCCACTCTCCGATATACATACCACGAGGTGTTGGCGGTATCACACCACGTGTTGGGATCGGTAATCGACCATAAATGTGATTATAAGGTGAATCTATTCGGTCATCCGAATCTGAAAGATGTCAAAGAAAATGTCAATGACTTGAAGAAATATTATTGTCTGACATAATACGTACCGAGACCACTCTCGAAGCTTCTAGCATGGTACATAATAGGTGGTCTCTTGTTTGGTGCATGACTCGCATAAATATGTGACGACTGACTACTAACATATCCTCCAGCGTAGGATGGCGGTACTGGTTGCGGTCGTGTCAACCCATAAGGAGATAATATCTTCGTTTGACTATTCTTCGCTATTTTCACGAAATTTGGTACACGTGCTCTAAGCCCACAGTAGTATGGATCATCGTATTTTTTGTTGTCGGTCTTTCTACTTTTTTTTTCTTCGGTAACTAACATTGACGGTCTCACATTAGCACTATAATCATCTTCAATGTCATCGTAATCAGGCTGAAAAATCAAAATTTATATCAGATATTTATTTTTTTTTAAAATAAAGAATCGTTATTAACGAGTTAGGTAAACCAGTAGAAAAATAAATCATGAAAAATATTCAGATCTTTAAAGATAGCTAAACGAATATTTTCAACTGTTTGATTATTAATTAATCATGAATTTAGGATCCGAAGGGAGACGTTTGCTTATTTATCAAATCGTTGTATAAAATATTTAAATTTACCTTCGGTATATCGTGAACGTAAACATTTTCTCTTGGAGGAAGTTTAGGAGGTTTTTCTGGACGTCCAGGCCTAACATAGCTTGAGGAATGTCCGTATATTGATTCTGGTCTATCTTTTACATCTCGTGAATCATTTGGTCCAGAGAAAGATGCAACACCAGCAACACTGTAAGGATCTTCGTCTGGGATGGGTATTCTGGGTCGGTTTTTAATGTCAACCGGCCTTTGTAGTGCTAGAACTACACATTTGGAACAATTAAAAAACTTTTTTTTAATTGAAAAATATTCAAAATTAATTAAATAAATAAAGTATGGATCTACCTGGGGGTAGTTTAGATTTGAGCATATCCAAACCTACAACATTAACAATTAAAACCCAAACCGGACACTGTAACAGATCCGCTTCAGTTCGAACAAAGACAATTGCACTGAGACATTGTTTTTCTAATCTTCTTCTATCTGGATATGCACGTCTTGTTTCTCGTGATAAATTAGTTTGGTATTTATTCATATCAAACAATTTACCCGGTTTATCGTGCTCTAGTGCACCTTGAGAGTTCTTCAATATTTCTGAACCTACTGCATTATCTTCAGGATGTGTAGTCTTTATATAAACATTACTTCTACACAGTCTCTTGATAAGAATATTTCCTTGATCATCCATTTTTATTTTTACACCTTGATTTATGTGTCTTTTGGCTTCATCTGTTTTGACATCTCTCATTGGATTGTCAAAGCCACATAAGCCTATCCTGAAATTGTTTTAATTTATTAATAATTTGATAATTAATCATTGAAGGCAAAAAAATAATTTATCATTGTAAAATGTAATGATTAATTAAAATAATTTATTTTTTTTAAATAATAAATGTGGATAATATAAACAATGTTTTCTTATTAATACCGTAAAATTAATTAATTAAAAATAACTTTCTTGAGTGAAGTGGAGAGCTAATAATAAAAGAGATAAAATATCAACTTAACCATCGATAAAGTATTAAAAAAAAATAAATGAACTTATATTAATTTGTTGTTAATTTATTTTATTAGCTATCTACTTAATATTTATGTAGTGTTCGCTCAAGTATTTAACATTAGTTAATTTTCTTGTTCTATCGATAAAATTTGAAAATTAGGTAGAAAATTATATTGTTGATTATGAATAAAAGTCAAATTGGAATTGTTAACTGCTCCTAAAAATAATTTTCAACATAACTACAATCATAAAATTACTTGTAATGATTGGATTGCCAAGAATTGTTACTCCTGTTAATCCTCATTACGGACAGTAAAACGAATACCTAACAGTGACATGAATTGAACAGTAGGCATTTTTAGGTTGTAACGGTTCCTAAGTTAATGATGTCTGGGAATATTTGTTGATGTAATTTTTATTCTTTCCACAACGTTTTATACGTGACTTATTGTGAAATAAAATTGGTACAATGTCTCTTTAATTATTATGCATACTAGAAGCTTTGGTTACTCAAACCTATCCAGTCGCCTTTATTACACAAACTGATTTTTGTTTCACCATTAAAAAATTATAAAATTTTTATTTTTGAAAATAATTTTAATTGATTCGATAAATGAAATAACTTTTATTAAATTATTCTAGTTGCCTTAATTGGAATTTTAGATTTAATAAGTACAAACAATAAATAAAGATTGATTTTAAAAATTCTATAAATGTTACTTAGATCTCACCTAAACCCATCAAAGCCATCCTCAGAGCCATTTACCGTGAGAACCGGTGCTCTGGCGTAGGCTTTTGCCACTCGTCTATTTTTCTCAAAGACAATTACTTTTGCCCATATCTCGTCATCGATCTGATTCCATTTGTCCAGGACTTCTTGTATGTGGTCCTAAAGATTGATAGAGTACAAACCGAAATTAGTGATACTATTTTTTTCGGTGGAATGAAAAATGAAAAAGAGATTGAATGAAGGGAATTTGGAAGTAATTTAAATAATTGCAGGATACTCACCTTGTACAACTTGTCTAAATTATACCAAACGTCCTCTTCCTCTTGATCTTCATACTGCGAATCGGTGAGGTTGTCTCTTGAACGAGAAAGAATTTTTCGCCTCGACACCATCTCCACTGTTCAACCAATGATAAAGCTGCGAATCATTCAGAGAACTGGTCAGTTAGGATGCCCCCAATTTTTTTAAATGCTTTTTTTTTATATTTCTACCTTAAGTATTTCATTCTTTTACTTTTATTTGATTTTTAGTTTAAGTTTTTTGTTTCTTTTAATTCTTCGTAAAAGGGTAAAGAGATTAACGAAAATGCATTCTAAAGTAAAACCATGGAATTTAATTAAAACGTTTTAAAATGTCCTCGACATTTCGGTAAATGTTGAAAAAATTAAATAAAAGATGAGATAAATCTCATCGTGATACGACATGGGCTTTCGCAATTATTGATGATTTCTTCACCGAATCGTTAGAGCGGATGTGCACACAAGGTGATTTTTGAATACTGTACTTATGTGTAATAGAGATCAAGCTGTGCGTCAGAAACATGAATATCAGGAAAGAATACATATGACGAGTGTGAAAAAACCATAGAGAGGAAAAAACAACGAATTCTTGCGTGGCTTGTGCCCTTGACGGGAAACTAGAATTGAGTTGGTTGGAAAGTATAACCTCGGAATTTGCAACCGCGGTATGCGATTAAAGCTAAAATCTAATGCCATTTTAGTAATTAATGAGAAGGTTATTTTCTTTTCGCTTTCACTAAATCATTTCTTCGGTGTTATTATTTTTATTATATAAATGATCACTATTTAAAGAAGTTTAAAGAGCAATTACTGCTACTTGTTACCATTTCTGGTACTCTTAGAGATTATCGTTTTGTGAAAGAGAATATTTTCCAATGACAACATTCATTATAAACACATTAGAAGATCTTGTAAATAAAACCGAACAGGTTCAACCACATTCTATTCATTCAGCTGCTTTATTTTAATGATTTTAATCTTTTTTAGAAATTTTTATTCAAGTATAGAAATTAAGTTTCTGCTTTTTTCTTTTTTAGAAATTTACATTTAAAAAAATACATTCAACTTTTTTATGTCTGATGAATTAATTTCCAGTTCAAAAATAATTTATAATAAATTTTTGCTAAAATTATCATCATCATCATAATTATACATTTATTTAAATAAATGAGTTAATTGAGATAATGATAGCATCATGTGAATATTTAGAAAATTAAAAGTCAGAAAATTATACTTTAAGAAAATATGAGTAATTAAGTTCATTATATTTATTATAATGACAAGGTTAATTCGCTTTGATCATTACTATGACAGTTATTTTATTTAGTAACACATAAAACATGCTTTCATTTTCATCTTTTATTCCACTTCTACAAAATTCACTTTTCGGAGTCGACCACAATTGTTGCGTGTTCCAAGGTATCGTATCGATGGCTTCAAGGTTACAATGAAAGTTTCTTCGAAATTTATTCATTGATTATGAACATTCAAGGTGGGTAGAAACATTTCTACGACAACCAATAACTTCCAATCGAAAAAAAACATATAAAGCAACAACTGAACATGAAATCAGACTTAAGAGTGCTGAGAATACAACAGGAAATAGAATAAACATTATTCATACATTCTTCAACCTATTTAATCAATAAACATATTTTACCAATCAAAATTTTATATTCAATTATTACCAAATCTTTTTTCGTAATTTATGCATTTTTATTAAATAAGTTGTTCTGATAATAGTAAGTTACTATAGTAAATAATTATATCAAGTAAATAAATAAATAATCTTGTAATGATCAATGTTTGTTTCTAAACAAACAGGTTTAAATGAACTTGAAATTAAATGGAATCAACGATATTAATTAATCCTGATTTAATGGATGTAATCAAGTTAAATTTCTAAATAAAGTGAGATTCGTTAAGAGAATTTTTTCTAAATTTAAATATTATAATATAGATAATGTTTTTTTTTATATTCTATGAAGGAGTATATTTTTAATTTTAAATATCAATAATTATTCTCTTAATAGAAAAATAAAAAATGATATAAATGATGATCCTTGTCAAGTTTTTATTAACATGTGTAACTACAAAGAGTCAAACGGTCATTAATTTTGGAAAAATATTGACTAAAACATCAACATGCAACCTATCTTTCATGTTCACTCAATCCCCAAGAACCAACAACTCCACAGAAATAAATCATCACACAAAACTTGACCAAATAAAAAACCTATCCCGCTGAAAGCTTATACAAAACAGATGTCATGTAATTGATGATAATGATGATGAGTACCAGCACCATCATCATTGGTATAATAAAAGCATCATAAAGTAAAGAGTTGAAAAATAATTTGGGAGCAGTTAAAAATTAATTGGATAATAATAAGAGCAAAGTTGGTGTTGTGTCCCGTAGTCGGCATGTTTAATGGTAAGCCTGCACCTAAAACGTCGACTTTCACTCGTAATAGAATGTGAAGGCCTGACTGGGAGTGTAGCAGAGAGTGGAATCAAGACAAGAGAGTTTCCTTGGGCAATGGCTGCGCAAGAAACCTGGCGCATTCAGCGACTACTTGCCAAGTTACTTGAGAGTTAGCACACTAACAACTGAAAGAACTTGTTCGTATGTATGGTCATGTATATCGTATATACCAACACTGTCATTGGAATCGTGTGCCAACATCAACGACTGCTTGATCTCTTACAAGCCAGAAATTACGCCTCTAACGTAACCTACGCTTCTTGTTTCTTTTCTTCAGCGGTTCTCAATAATAACATTTAATAATTATTCTTGTTTTTGTCTAGCAAGACATGACTCTGTTATGTCATGCTAATTGATGAAATTCAATTCATCTAATAGGACATGTAATTGAGTAAAAGAATTTCAATCATTTCATTATCCATCGCTACACCAATACCACTATCTTTCTGTCACTTAACGGCGCCTTCTTATAATAAGCCGGACGTTGTGAAGAAAACCATTCCAAGTACCGCTAGTCGTCGCGTCAATAGTCATATACCTATACTACATGATATCGTGTATATGCATCCTGTTACAATCAAATTATGATATGCCTTGAAAACAAAAGAAAAGGGGAACTTTTTCTTGTAGATCATTAAGAAAATATTATTATTTATGTTTATACTCTCTAACTAAATAAAAGTAGGTTAAATAAAGCCTCTTTTCTATTACTATTTTTTTTCTTTACAAATGATAGTTTAGTTCCGTGATAGTTGGCAGAAATCTTCAGTCTATATGACGTGGATTAAATTGCTCAGTGTAGCGTTTGTTGCAAAAATAAATAATTACATACAAAAAACTGAAATACGAATTTTAACTGGATTCAAACGGATCGATGAACACGATCGAAGATCATTGGAGCATGAAACTTAAACTTTCTAGATTAACGTAACGATCACAAGAATTTCTTGTTGGTCACGCCCGCGGTAGCGTAAGTATACATATATACATTTATTCATCAACCGTAGTGCTCCTATTTTTCTTAAGCTTTTTTGTCATGTTCTCTCTATGTTTATACCTCTCACCTGAATCGTGTTCTCACTTGAGGCAACAACTTGAAATGAGAGGCGTTTAGCAACTATCGAAATTACTTGACGGAAAGATCATTCAATAGTACAAAAAGTATACACTATTTTTCATGTGTAGATATATGTTTAGAGCACATTCTATGCCATACTATTGCACTTATATTATCTGGTTTCCATTTCTATTCTTCAGTCCTTTATATCTTGCATAATTAGTCTTAAGAAAGGAATTACCGGTTGCTACACTTTTCTTCACAACCAACGCTTATCTCTCTCTCGTTTGTGTACATTTTTATACACGAAAGTCATTGTCTATCTTCTATATGTCTTTTGTGCACATTTCGATTGCACAAAATGAAAATATTTGATAAGGACATCTATTGAACAGCTATTACAATGTACCCTATTTTTTCGAATTACATCCGCTCTGAATAATAGACAAACGAATGTCTGTTTCCTTTTGTCTTGCTTTTCATTGCATTAGATGCAGTCGAGGTAATATCTTTATTTTGCTCGAGATAATATAATACTATACAGTCCATTAATAGTAAAAGTTGCCCATGTTACTACTTACATATTTATCATTTTCATTTTTTTATTATTTTCCACTTGAAAAATTATCTTATCTGAAAAATATCCCTTTTTATATATATGTATGTATATCATTTAATTAAAAAATTAAAATATCTTTCAATTAATAATTTAATACAAAAAAGATTTAATTTATATGAATAAAAGATAGTTTTCTGTAATATTAAATGTTTAAATTTCGTAAAATTTTTTTTTCTTATTAATCATTCAATCTTATTACAGTCATCGTTTTAAATTAATCAGTCAATTATTTCTTCATTCATTCACTCATTTATAAATATCGTTTATCTAAAAAAAAAAATAATTTTTACTTTCTAAAAGCTACTAATTGATTGTCAGCTTAAAACTGTTGGATAGAATTGCGATAAATAATTAAATAAAAGAAAGATGTTTAAAAATAATTGGTGTTATATACAAAGTGAATTTCTCCATAAAGTTTTTAAAATAAAAAATAATTATTGTTGGAATTGTTAGAATTAATGTCTCAACTACTTTCTTATTTTTTTTTTCTACTACTACATCTTAACAATACTTTTAAAATTTTGTTATATCACTTTTTTTCAAGCATAGTTTTCTTTCAGTTGGAAAATCTAATAAAAAAAACTATATAAGTTAAGACATTACAATATTTCGTCATCAACATCATCACGACATAACCCAAGTTTCTAATTCTTTTTTTTTTCAGTCACATCAACACAGCCTCTGGTGACCTTTTAGATCGATGAAAATATCATCTTCTCTTGGGGAAATCTCATGTAAACATATGTTGCATTAGTGACTGATAACTAGCAAAAGTGTGCCGGGAAAAAGTACTTGGAGCGTGGCATTCTTCGAAGGCCGCGAATTCTAGCAAACGACGGCTGGTCATTATTATACAGTACGCATTTATTATCTTTAGAGAGTGGAAAAGTTGCCCGACTTCAGCCTATATGTATTTCCCCGTCCGACACTTACTTTTCACTTGTCCGATATTTTTAGTTGCACTGACTAAATGGACTTTTCAAGAAATTTCTAATAAATTATAGTCTTTGGAGTGTAGTTGATGCATTGAAGAAAAATGTTGTTCATTTCCAAATGATAATACTCTATCAAATGTGTCAGATGAATTGAACAAACAGTATCACAAAGAAATGGAGATCAAAAGGAAGATATGAAAAATCAACTTGAGACAGTGGAGTCTTTTTATATAACTCGCCAATTTCGTAATATAGTGGGGCTGTGAACGGAGAAAGAGACTGGCACGTATAGTTAGCCATGACTAAGTGGGGATATGACAAAAAAACGAAACCTACTATGACAACCAAGTTAAGGCACGCGGATGCAAAACGTCACTCTGTTTATTACCAAAAATTCCAAAAGATTATTTTAGCCTGATATGATTTCACAAACATTTCTTGGTGTATCAGTCATCAAGCAACAAGGCTACCTACTCGACTTGGAAATGCCGTAAAAGATTACCGGGAATCTTTCCAAGTTTTATATAGAAATTAATGAAATAATAATGACGAGAAATGGTTGTCTTCTCACGCTAGTGTAGAGGTGGATATACAACGGCAGCGTCTCATCTCTTGAGTCCGGGTGCTTTCACTTACACGAAGAATGCGAAGGCTGTCGAGGACGAGCAACAGCCTCTCAAGTTGCTCTCCGCCACGCCTCGAACTCTCAGTGCAACAAACTCCCATTTTTTTTGGTTATCCAAGGACTCGTGTTTAAGAATACAAGATAAGAGTAGAAGCTAAACGTAAAACAAAAATAAACTTTTGGACGAAGAGAAGGAAGCGGAGAATAAGAAACGAAAAAAAGTCTTAACGTATTTATGAAGAAGCAAAAGGAGCAATGACTCTACCTGATCTACTATTTCTATGAAGCTTTCACTTGTTTATGAGCAAAATCAACGAAAAAGGAACGATGATAACTTTTCGAAATAAATATACACCGGAAAATGTCTTTAAAACCGTACGGATTTATGCATTTATTTGCTTGCTTGTTTATTCCGCATATGCTGTCTTTGGAGATTTCAACGAATGGAAGAAACTGGTTATTTGACCCATCGGTGTCGGTCGACAAACTCTTTTGTCAGATTTAATATGGTTGAATCAACAAATTAGCACTTTTTAAAGTTACATTTACCGTTAATAATATTCAACATATGAATAAATGTTTATTTTATACGTAATGTATGTTTAAAAACCGTTATTGTGTACTTTAAAGGACATACCAATCGAATGACAATCACTTGTATATACTGTTGCACAATATAATTAAACTAAATTTATTTAAATTAGTCTCTGATAATAATATTCCAATTTATCCATCATTTTTGTTATTAATCCAATTTTTCAACTATTTTTCAACACTTAACTCGAAAAATGATTTTCGTAAATTTCAAAAAATGCCGCGAAAACACTTAAAATTTCAAAAAGTCACTGCAAAACACATTTACTTGATAAAACTTTCGTAGTGTTGAGTTATATTTTGTCAAGATAATTGATAAACTTATACAAATTCGCGTACACACAGTAGATATTTAATTTATAAAGACATGACCGATTGGTTGGATAAGCTACCGTGGGCTGTAGCAGACAATCTTACCGTCAGTGAGAGTCTTGTAAGACGTTCACCATTTTGGCATAAGCTAGCGCATGCGCACATCTTATCCTTCTCCTTCAGTCTTCGCGCCTTTCTTCTACCCCCGCTACTATCGGTGCAAACGACATGACGTCAGAAATAGGACAAGGCACTGGTGGCCTTTGGCTAACCAGTGAGAGGGAGAGGGCCACTGAACTGTCTTGCCTTTAAAATCGTATTCTTCGCTTGATTTTCTTCATGCCTTTAACCACCAACTTTATTTCTAACCTTCTCATTCCATTTCTTCTTTATTTTATCATTTGTCTTATCTTCATGCTGATCAATTACTTCCGGATAACTTGACTGAATTAATAATTGCCATTTATTATCTCTTTCATTACCGATTGATTTACTATTGATTCTTTGCATTTGTCTATTTGATTATTTTTATTATAATTATTATTAAATGTGGGTTTGATTTGTTCGTAAAATCAGCATTTTTATTCAATTATCATTCAAATAAAAAGAGAAAATGAATTTATTATAAAAAGATCTGCTAGCACGGATGTGAAAAGGAGAGTAAATAAATAGGCATGGGAAAAAGAATTAATTAATTTTTCATGAAAGTCTACTACATTTAAACAATTTTTTTTCTATGTAACTATAATGATCGTGAGTTTTTTTTTTATGGTTTTTTTTTATTACACCTCATTTACAATTCACCATTCATTCATCCATTTTTTAGTGCCTTGCATTTGGTAGTTAAAAAATGTCCAAATATATGACTCTTCAAAATTCAATTCTTAAAAAATAATCATTTATTAATGAAGATATTTATAAGCGAAAAATTTTTTTATATTATTTTATCAAATAAAATTATTTCTAAATCTTAAAATATGATGTTGTTATTAAAAAAAAATGCATATTTGTACACATAAATATTACATTGAAAACCTGCTTTTGTTTATAAAAATTTATTGTAGAAAATTCTAGTATTGTAAGAATATTTTCAAATATACAAAGTAATAAAATTAAATAATTACCTCACTATTTTAATTAAATAACAATTCAATATTATTATATGCAAAATTTCCTAATTTTTTAGTGTCCCATAAATTAATCATAAAATATAACTTATGATGGTATTATTTATGTAAAAGTTGGACTCAGTTATAAATAAAAAAAATAGATAAAATTAAAACACTATCTTGTTGATCGACACAAGAAACATTACATAACATTGAGTAACATAAATTGAAAAAAAAACTCTGATTTATGAAGTAGCTTAACATTTCTTTTTTCGACTCAAATAATTATATATAACTATCAAGAGTCAAAATTATAACGACAGAATAATTTACTTATGTTTTGATTAATCTTGAGATGGTTTTATTTTTACTGATGTGAATAAAAATAAAATTAAAAGTCTTTTCCACAAAAATGAAGATTTAGAGGAAAATAAACCAACTTGTGGGAAAACAGTTGACCTATATATATCCTCGAAGATAAATATATAGGTTGGCATGAGGCCAATGATCCATGCAAGCTCACGCCGTTGAACGTGTAGTCTACTGTTTGCTGAGCTACTAAGCTCATAATAGCAACCCCGTCCGTTTAATTACGTTCCAATGTAAAGAGTGTAATATTATTCGTTTTCCATTTGAAACTTGAAATTAAATCAATTAACTATAATTAAAAATTTCAACAATTTTCCATTTATGTCATTCACGTGAGAGTGTAATAAGTGGTGAAGAAATTGGAGCTAAAAATATTGTTCGGATATGTGAGTTGGTTTAATATACTTTTCTCATGTAAATATTACAGCAGTGGTGAAAGATTTCATCTTCAATATTTACTTGATTAATTTAAACATGAAAAATTAAGGAAAGAAAATGAAATGACTTTTTTTTTTTTTTTAAATAATGAAGGAATTGAAAATAATTTTGATAGCATCGTCAGTGCTGCATTTACACAAATAGATATTAATTACGTAATCAATTGAAATAATTCTCGTTGATTGTCTTTATTTCTTTATGAATGATCATTATTCGTGATATAATCGATATTTTCTCAAATATTTATTGATAGAAAGTGTGAGAAATGTCATTAAAATTCTTTTTTTGAATAAAGATTTATGAATAATAATGATTTGATGTGTCAGAGAAGTGTCATTCATTAAGAATAAATACGTTGGAAGAGTGTTGATATAATTGATGAAGAAACCTTTATCTAGAGAAGTGAATTCTATCACAGATGTATTCTCTTCGTGATTGATCTAAAGATAAATTTAAGCAAAGTTTAACATACAACAAAAAAAGTCAAATAAATTCACTTAATTAAATAAAATAAGCATTTTTAAATCAATGGCCCTCAGGTGGTTTGAAGAGATAATTGCTTCCGTTGTTGATAAATAATTTATCTTAAATATGCATCACACGTTCGGAAGTGTCAAAGGTGACACACTGTGTCCCCTTGGCTTTCATCCTCAAGTGCGATGGCCAACACGTTGTAAAAGATGCTTCAGGTAATGTTTATTTATAATATGATGAACCTCATTAAGTCATTCTTGACGTGTTGTTAAAACAATCTTGCAATTATTTGTATAATTTAATAGGGATTATAAGGATCATTCTGGCAAGCGAAGCTTGAATAAAGTTGATACTACATCTTCATCACCAAGTTTATCCAGATGGGAACCATCTCCAAATCGATCCAGTGAAAGTCCTGAATCAAAGCGAATCTGGGCTTCAACTTCTAATTTAGCTAAAGATGAAAACCAGCCGAAAATAAGCACCTCTTCGGCATCTGCTGAATGGAGTGCTTCTGCAATTGATATTCCAAGTTTAGTTGAATCATCCACGCCCACTTGGCAAGAAGATAGTACATCAAGATCCAGAAATTTTACTGGATCCAAGTCGGAAAGCTTTCATCATCGACGTCATTCTATTGATGAAACTTCTCTTCAATCATCTAGTATTAATGATCGACCAGCCAAATTACAAATTAAACAAGTAATTAATAAAACTTCCGGTAATTCGGAGAATGACGTTGAATTTATTATTCAGGTGTGCATTGATTTTTCTCATCCATCTTCTTATTTTGAAATCAATTTTTATATTTATTTTTTAATGATATAATTTAGCATCACAAAAGTGATACCGAAATTAAGAAAAAAAATTATTTCAATAAAAATTTACATTAAATATTTCATTTAATTTACTTTAATATATTTTTTTTTTTTAGTTTTATTGAAATAAGAGTTTTTTTCTCCGGGTAACATTAATGTTGATTAAATTTAAATTTACAAATATTAGACAAAAAAATTGACTGCATAAATAGAAGGGGTAAAGTTAAGATAAATCACATTCTTTGAAATATTGCTTTAATTGTTGAATTTAATTAAATTACAAATATCTTCTGGTGAATTAATCATCTTGTGTAACGTTTATTGCTTTGCTATATGTGCTTAATATGTATATAAGCCCACGATTGAAGTCATTTGTGGCTTTCTGTATCTAATCATTCTACAAAAAAGGTTAAAACAAAGCGCAATATTTTTTCGTAATAATTCTTTAAATTATTCATTGTACAATTTATACTCTATGTTGAAGCAGTATTTTTTTCTCTGTGTATTTAAACTAGTTATTACTGTTTTCTCTAGCATAATTATTCATCATGAATACTCGGATAATTTTACATAGGTGCGGAAAAAAAATAAAGCTGAAATTGAAGATGCAGTGGAAAATAAAGAGAAGAGTGAAACCGAGAATCTGAAGACTCAGCTGAGTGAATTAAAAGCACGATGTGAGAAGGCTGAGCGTGAAAAGAGTGAAATTCTACTACGGAGACTTGCGACCATGGATTCTAAGGCTTCCAAGAGTTCAGAAATATCGAGGTTACAGAAATCGTTAAAAGAATTAACATCTAAGAATGAAGGTTTGAATTTATAGTTAAACTTTATCTAGACAGAATTGTAAATGTGATGAAAGTAGAAGGTAAAATCATCAAATTTGCATTTTTCAAAAATTTTTATCAACTTTTAATTCAAAAAGAAAGAAATAAATAAAATCATATTGACTCCTTCAATATTTTATTTGACAATAAATAACAATCTCACAGGAAAAAAAACCTAATCACATACATGTTATCCTATTAAGAGTAATAACAAAATATGGATAAGTGCAAGTAAAACTCGTGTCCTGAGGGTTTACTCCGTTTACATGAATTTATGCATCGAGTTGGAAACTTGAATTGTTTACAGAGTTATGAACATGTAGACCTTAGAGTTTGATATTAATTTCAACGTAATACCTTTAGTTGGTTATAAGAAGAAGGGTTTTTTAAAGACAGATAACTAAATGATTCTATAAGAATTTTTTTTCAATCATAAATTATTGATAATTTTTAAGTTTTTATTCAATATTGAAATCTATATCTAAAAACTAGTTTGACACTAGTAATTATATAAGTTTCTCTGAAAGAAACTTGAATGAAGTTCACCTAAACATAAACAAAATATACTAGATCAATTAAATAACCTTATCATTATTTCATTACTTCAATAAATGTGCTAACTATGCCAATTTTTCCAACAAAATTTTATTGATTTTTATAAGTAGTACACTTAAGATAAATAGTGAATGGTGGCCGATATTTCTATAAACACTCTAGTACCTGAAAGCGAAGATAATTATTTCTCAGGAAATATGAGAATGAAATAAATAAAAAATACACTCAATATGACTATTTAATTTTCTATTAAATTCAATATGTTTAATTCTTAACGCTTTCCTTTTTGCTGAAGCTAATCTAATCTAGCAATAGTATATTGCTAATTTATTATCACTAACTTGATAGTTTTTTATAATGATGAGAAATACGAGTAGGATACGATCTTTGGTGATTTTACCTTACATTCAGGATTTAAATTCTACTTCTCTACCCATACCATGTCCGTAGATATTACTAAAGTAGGAATCATCCTTTGGAAAACTCAAAATCAGTATTCACCACAAGCTTCTTTACTATATAAGTCAAGCCCACAAATCTCTAACTTTTATAATCACATATTTAAATATCTTCCACGTTATTTTCCTTATACGACCATGTCCAGTTTTCCATTGCTCAGGTACCAATTAGGAAGACAAAAAATTATTTGACTTTCCATTAGAAACAACTCAGTCCAAGCTATCCTATTATGTCTGTAATATCTAAATAATTACTATTCACAATTATTAAAATTCGATCTAACCTACCTACATAATTACTGACCTTTTATACGATAATGTTACGTTGAGGTCCCTGTATTTCAACGATAATAATGATGAATATAAGAAAAAAAAGATATTTTAGAAAGTGCAGATATTTTAGTATCGATTTTTATAGGGGAAAAAACGATTATTGTGATGATGTAGGTGATGAAGAAGTTATTCATTTCACTTTTTTACAGCCTTGACTGAGGAAAAAACGACTCTCCTTGCAAAGTTGAAAAATCTGGAAAAAGAGAATGAATCAAAAGGTGGTGTAAAGAGCGAGAGAGAAAGAGCTACCGAAGAACTCAAGTCGAAGCTCAAGGCCGCGGAGACTCTCTGTGAAAGCCTTATGGATGAGAATGAGGACATGAAGAAAGAAATACGGGAATTGGAAGAAGAAATTTATGAGATGCAGGATAATTTCAGGTTGTCTTTATAAATATGTCCATTTTTTATCCATAATTTAATATTAAAATTTGATTTATATCTTTATTTTTTGCTATTAATTCATCATTCATCAATTGTTTTACTATTAAACAGAGAAGAACAGGCGGATGAGTATACAAATTTGAGGAAAAGCTTGGAGCAATCTAATAAAAATTGCCGAATTCTTTCATTCAAGCTAAGAAAGCTAGAACGAAAGACAGAACAGTTAGAAACGGAAAAAAATGATTTAGAAAATAAGTATGATGAGGTAAATGAGCGTGAAATTTTTTTTCTCAACCCAATTCGACTAATTGAATGACTTTATTTTTTGTTTGTTGTAGACTAGAAAGATAGACGAGATCATGAAAAAGATATCCAATGATTTTAAAAACAAAAAACTTAATAAGAATGAACACACAATAAAATCAGAACTCAAGAAGACGTTGGAAAATATAGGAAAAGAGCTTGGTAAGAGATAGCATTTAAGAATAGCAAAATCTATTTATAGTAATTTTAGTTGAATAGTTAATAAGATAATAAATTGAATGTTGCATAGTTTGTAGCGTGGATAATATTCTCGTAAAACTGAAAATTCATTTTATATTAGTCGTTAACTATTTTTAGGTGATTCATATGTTGGTTTTATGAATATCATGCAACTTGGATTGGATTCGCCGGGTTTAAAAGAACAAGATAGTACCTTGAAATATGATAAACTTATAAAAGACAATGAATTATTGCAACAAAAATTGGATAATGCCTTGAAAGAGTTAGCCAATGAGAAAGAATCTAATAAATCGAGTGGAACCAGTCTTAAAAATGATCCTCTTAACTGTAGGTATTTTATAAAAATTATTTATGTAATTTTTGATTGACATTGAAAGTATTTTTTTTTAGTGAAAAAGAAACTGAATGAAGCAACCGCAGCAAGAGAATCTGAAAGGAAGGCATGGGATTTGGAGAAAACAAAACTTCAAGAGGAGAAGGAGAAACTGAAATCAAAATTACTTTCGTTGTCAGCAGAAAAATTGAAAATTTATAACGAAGTATTACAATTGAAGAAAGATTTAGAAATAGCAACATCTTCAGAAAAAAATAATGCTAAAATGGAAGCAACTATTAATGATCTGAAAAAAGAATTGAGTTCGGAGAAAGAAAAGTGTAAAAAACTACAAGACGATTTAATAATATCAACAGAAAAAGAAAGTCGAGTGTCAAAAAATCTAGCCAAAGTAATTAATTACTTTCATTTCATTTATTATTCTGTCCTACATATTTTAATATATTATATTGGAAAAATACTTTACTTGAAAAGAAAAAAAAATATTTTCCAACAGATGTAATAAAAATTTTCTCTCTAATTATTTATCTTTTGAAATAATTTGAATTTAAATGACAAAAAATATCTTTGCCGTGCTAGAAAAATGTTATTTATGGAATGTATAATTAATTTTGTAATAATTTTTAGATGGAACAAACAAAAACCACGATGGAAAGCGAATTAAAACGTTTGAAATCTGAGTTTGAAAGTATTAAAAGTACAACATCGACTAAACTTGCGAAAGTGACAGGAGAATTGGTAGAGGTGAAGAAAGATAGGGATAAATTAAAATCTCAAGTTGAAGAGGATAAAATCGCTAAAGATAATGAAGTAGGAAGTTTAAAGAAAAAAATATCAGCTTTAGAAAAAGCTGGTGCTAATGCAAAGAAGATGAATGAATTGAAGCAAACATACACGGAAAAAATAGCAAGTTTGTATCATTTTACAACTTAAATGAAATTTTTTATTTTCTTTGATTAATTGATATTTATTTCAATGAACTGACAGTATTGGAAGAAGAGATGAAGAAGGGTCAAGAGCAGTTCGATGACTTACATACAAAGCACGCAGCCCTGCAAGATGTCAAGCGAGAGTTAGAAAGTCAAGTAGAGATGTTGAACAGGTGATTACAGATAACAGATTCTTTGACGTAATACTACTGTTGAATTAAAATGAAGTTGACGTTATTTTATACATGTATATTAGTTTTGATTTATTCATTATTATTGTCGATACTATTTGGTACGATTATAGTTTCAATGAATATAAAGTCAATGTTATTTATAGACAAACAATGGAACATAAAAATGCATTGGAAAGTGCAGAGACACGATTAAAAACACTTGAAGAGAACATGAAAGCCAAGGAGAATAGTTGGTCAAAAGAAAAAGTCCGGCTTGAGGTAAAATTTAAAATATTCAACTAACTATTTATTAATTGAGGCTTTCATTAATGTTAGAAATTAATGGGAATTTAGGAAATGTTAAGAGAACGTGAAAGGTCAATGGCGATGAATGTTCAATTTGAAGAATTCAGAGAAGAAGCCAGTAGACTGGGAAAAGAAAATGAATCTTTAAGGATACAGTTAGAAGATATGAAAAAGAATGTGAGTATAATAGAAAGTGATCATATGGGTGATTGATTGATTTTTTGATTGATTATTTATTTACAGTTATTGATAATGATCTTCATAATGGATCAATAAACTCCTTGATAATACGTAATCATTTATATCATTCATAAAAATATTTAAAAAATAATTAGTTTTATTACAACCAAAATATTAGTTTTTTTTGTTAGAAAGAAAGTATTGGATATTACTTTAAAAAAATGTAGATAGTCATTCTATTTAGGATTGTAATATTTTATTTTTCATATGGGAGTTAAAATTTTTATCATTATTTATTTTTTATTTGCAGAACGACGATTTATCAAGTAAATTAAACGATTACAACGCTGTAACAAAAATTCAAAGGAATTTATCTGCAGACTCTTCAGCTTTAGACACTGAATTAAGAAAAACAAAAAATGCACTTGTAGAGGCTGAAAAAACAAGAAAAACTGATCTTGCACAATGTAAAATGCGATATGAACAGAGAATTAAGGCAATAAATGATGAGATTCAATCAATACAAAACCAATTATCACGTTACAAGCGTGAAAGAGATACTTATAAACACATGCTGGAAGGTGCTCAAAGAACGATAGCTGAACTCAAGTCTACTCGGCAACGAAGACCATCTACAACATCCACTGGAAAATCAGATGAGGTCACTTTCCTCTGTATCATTCTTCCCTTGCATGTTTAAATAAATTATTGTACTTAGATTTTTCATAGTAGAAATATTATTTATGGTAATGTCGACAGGATGAAGAATCTACAGGCACAAATATTTCTACGCTCGAGCGACAAATCAGCATGATGGAAGATGAGTTATCAGAAAGTAAATTGGAGACTTCAAAGCTTAAGACAGAACTCGTTTCAGAACGATCTGGTTGGCAGATCAAACTGTCAGAAATGCAGTCAAGAATAAATGAGGTAAAATAATGACAGTAATGTAATCTCTTCATTTTAAAAATATTTTATCGTTATAATATTTGTATCAATTCTTGTAATATTATAATAATTTATTTTGATTTATGCTATCATAAGAAGGACAAGCAAGCATAAATTTTCATATTTTTTCATTTAAATTTTTAAATAATATTCAAAGTTATTATTACTTGATAAATATTTTAGTAACATTATTAATCACAGATTTATATCATGAAACGAAATGATCAATAAGTACTTATTGCGCTATTCAATAATTTATAAAATTTTTTACCTATTATAATAATATTAATTATAATGGTTACAATGGCCTTGTTGGTGTTTAATAAGATGGATTAACTTGAACCATAAAGTGATGAGGACATGTAAGGGATATTTTTGCAGCACTTACAATGACAAATTAAGAATGATTAATTGAATTACAGCTAGAAGAAGAGCGAATACTTGCTAGTGGGAGAACGAAAATTCCAGGACTTAAGGCACGTATTGAGCTTGCTTGGCAAAAGGAACGAGAAGAACAGCAAAGGCTGTTACAAGAAACTGCAACGCTTGCAAGAGATCTCAGGCAGACGTTGTACGAGGTAGGTCACGTGCCAACGATAATAGCAATACTTTTGCATTGAATCTTTTCTTCTCTGAATATTTCTGCATGTGGGCGTGCATTTATCAACTCTTCTCTCTTGTTAAAGGTCGAGAGGGAGCGTGACAAGGAGCGTCTAGAAAATAAACGCCGCCAGGAGCAAACGAAAAAGATATTTGATGAAGAAAAAGAGGAGAGTAAAAAGAAATTGATCGAGGTAAGTGGCCTTATCTATTGATTAAAGGCCATTCTTATAATTATCGTTTTTGTAATTTGGATTTGTAGCTTCAGTGTGACCTTCTGGAACTAAGAGACGCCCACGCCAAGTTAAGGACGAGCAATGAGAAAATGCGAAGGGAAAAAGAAAGACATGAAAGGGAAAGAGAAGAATTTAAAGATATTCTTGCTAATAAAAGAAGGATGGAACAAATTGAAGCGAAAAATATTAATGTTCTGCTTAAACAAGTTGATGATCTTATGAGATTGTTCCCTGAGTTATCTGGTAAGACGGAGAATAATGGAAAAATGGACAATTATACACCAACACCTCCAAGAAGAACTAAAGGACCAAAGTCAAGAGAATCTTCGCCGATGCTTGAAACTAAAGATGAAATTAAAGGTTGTCTACAAATCATAATTATCCTTTCTTCATTTCAAGTTTTTATTTTTTGTTTTTTTAGTAACTTGCATAAAAATGAAATTTAATTTATTGAGGAAAAAATTTTAATGAATAACATTGACAGGTTCCATGACTAATCTTGGAGTAAGAAGTGAAAAACTAGAATACACCATTAAAAAATTAATGGAAGTAACAAAAGAGATTCAAGAAACTAAAAAATTATCAGTTGGAAATGAATTTTCATCAAAGAAAAAGCTTACAAAACGGTAATGAAGATTCTTTGCTTTTTATTCGGTTTCTTTCTTAATTGAAATCAATATTTTTTTTTTCTCATAGTTCTAGTTCTATTGATGATGACAGTGGTAGAGGTTCGTCATCAAGCCGTTCGTCTAGACCAAGTCTCAAACGTAAAAGTCTATCATTAGAACAGACTTCCGTGAAGAATGATCAGTTGATTTGGGGAACAGATAGCAATGTATCGAGTATGCAGTCATTGGACTCAGAGGTCGATACTCGTCATTTTAGTATGCAGAGGGATTCTAGCGTAGACAGGTAATGCATTCCATACATTCACCTTTACTTTTTCTCTCAATAAAACCAATATTTTATTGTACAGTCGACTATCTGGAGGTTCCACTAAGAGCGAAATCTTGCACAAGGACAAAAAATATAACAAAAATCTCATTCGAAAAATAACAACTAAACTTACAAAGTCTGCTAGTGTCGATGATCCCAGCTCTTCTTACGACTTTGGTCTTCAGGTAAAATATAAAAGAGATTTTATATCTATAAATGTTCTTCAGTTTTATCTTTGTATCATTTTTTCTGAATATTGTGATCACATAGCATATAAATATTTTAAATTATATCATTATGATACAATAAATTTTATCGTGGATATAAAATTCAAAATAATAGTAGAGTTATAAAATTCAAAGTTCTATTAGAATAGAATTGATTATTTTTTCAGACTTCCGGCTCTGAGGCAAGCATAATAGATGATTCGAAAAGTGAAAAGAAAAACTTGAAGAAAAAATTGAGCGATATGTTTAAACGATCAAGCTCTAAAAGCAATGGGTAAACTTTAATGATGTAGTTTTCTTAAAAGTGTTCAATTTAGAGAATGTATTTACAATTTTTTTTATTATCTGTAGTTTGAATAAAAAATCATTGGACGAGTCGAGTAGACCTGCCTCAAGGACATCCAACACATCAAGAAGATGAGGTGTCGTTTATAAGATGACAAAAAAGTCTAACCCGGATTTTCTCGACATCCAACACGGCATTTACCTCGTAACTTAATCGTGATTAACGATGAGTGTGTTCTAAACGATGCGTAATAGTTTATGACAAGTTAATTTTAAGTTAGTTAAAAATTCATGCATCAAAAAAATATTGTCAAGCAAGCAGTCGAGATAAAAATTCTGAAATTCGAATGTTGTCTGGTGCAATTCAGCAGCTGGTTTACGTCCGAGTAAGGAAAAAAAATGAATAAATTAATTATTAAACAGGTATTAATATTTGAATTCACAAATATTTTTTTAAAAAATATTAGAATAATCACCAAACAAAAAGGTCACTAGTTGAACAGCATTTTCTATGTTTATTAATGGAAACTCGTTTACTTTTTCCTACATCATAAGACATAAAATTTATTACAGTGAATAATTAAAAAAAAAAAAAACAACAACAAAAAAATATATCGGTGGGAAAGTAAGAATATTCTCGTATTCAAAAAAAAAAACACCACACATTTTTCTTATACTTTAACTTATTAAATACTACTTCTGCTGAACCTTTGAGGTCTCAGATTACTCGAACTCCTAAGATCCCAAGGCTCTAGAACTTCGAGAAAACTTGTTTGTGGCATTGTAATATTTGATTCCATACTTGTCCTGGTATCAAAATTACCAGAGAATTTTTTTCTAAATATATGAACCACACATTCTATCAATAATGCTAAACTAGCAATTAATATACCTGCACCTAAAACTAAAAACATTCCTTGGGTGTCATCTAATTCAAGTTTTCTATCGTGAATAGTAATTTTTCGATGCTTATATTCTTCAGATATCTAAAATTCACAAAGTTCTTCACCATTATATCCACTCCAAATTTAATTTGATCATTAATTATTAAGCCAAAAATTAAAAATAGAATGTTATTCAAAAAATGATTACCGGAAGATGAAGACCTTCTTCAGTTCTTTGAATATCCCATTCAACATCTCTCATTATTTTTTGAATTAATCCTGCTTCTCTGGCTCTAATAATAACAGTGTCAACAGGATTTGTATAAACAGAGTCTTTCGTTAGAACAAAGGTGACTCCAAAATTCATTAAGCACTCTTCCGTAATGTGCATAGAAGATCTCATGGTAGACCAACTAAAAAAACCAACAAACACGAAAATAAATACAAATATTTATTCAAAGAATGTTATTTGTTAACTGACTGATAATTTACTTCGGTGTAAATTCCTTCTGGACAATATAATCAAGAACAATCTTAGAGCCAAGAAAAGCATACGACCAAAAGAAGGAATGGCTAGCATTCCTCACACCTTCTTGTACTGTAGGAACATATTTGAGAGATTTCAACAATTCCGCGGCTGTTGAGTCGTCTATTTTCGTCCAATTAAACCATTCTTCCCACCCATCATGATCTATAGATTAATTAGAGACATAAATAATGGGTAATTTGAAAAATTCACATCAATGCAATAAAATAATTTTATTGAATTTAAACAACATATTTACCCAGAGTTCCTACTTCGAAACCTTCGTCTAAGAGTTGCTCAATTGTATCAAGAGCGTTTGGAAACTGGGGCACTGTAATGAAGGCCATTATAGACCCTGTATAACACGACGTAATAATGATTGTAAAGATCCAATAGATACCTAAAATAATATATTACAAAAGTAAAAAACTTCACTTTCATTACATCATCACTAAACAATGATTGAGATTAATTATTATTTCAACGTGATATAAAAATTGGAAAAAAAAAACAAATCGAAGAAATATATAAAATAAAAAGCTTATGAAAAATTACCAATCAAAAGCGAGGTTGAATTTTTGGCGTAACCAGTCTCTGTCAAGGGGTTTTTAACAATGAAACTGTTGGTAAACGTACTAAAAACAAACCAAAACATATCGAGAAACCTGCTGGGATGAATTAATAATGATAAAAGAGTGTAGTTAGTATTCATCGTCAAAGGAATGATGACCAAAAAATACACCAAGCAGACCATAATCCAAACAGCAGGCTGAAAAGGTCCCATGACTGCGCGATATTTAGGTAATGCTAAAGATGATGAAGAAATAAATGTAGCACAGTCTTCTATATGTGAAATAGATGAATCGAATTGAGAAGTTATATTGTTTGTTTTGTATATTCCACCAGCTGCTGCAGCAGTCTTTCCAGTTATTACATCGGTTATTGCAGCATAAATTGGACTAAAAAATTGATAAAATTTACTTTTACATTACAATTAAAATATTCATTTTATAAAAATACCCATTATTTTTAGAAAAATTAATTTTCATAAAATGAAATTACAAGTTATAAAATACATGCATAATTATACCTGTTGGATGTTACAGGATCACAAAAGTCTGCAGTGATATTTAAAGTTTCAGTTACAAGCTTCAGAACACGCACATCAATTCCATCCCAATCAATACGACTTTGTGATATAACATTTCTATAATATTTTTATTAATCATGATGAATTTAATTGATATTAAATACCACTATTTCTACGATTACTCAATAGGTAATAATTTACGTTCTGATAGCAAAAGGTGATCTATGAGCCATTGCTATTTGTAATCGGTGTCTTTTAAATCCTTCAGTAAATTTTTTAGGAAAAAAATTAACTTGGTTTGTTGTTTTATTGTTCATCCAAGATGTCAAAAGGACTGATAAACTGCCACCACTTCCATCAGCAAACAACTTGTGGGTGTATAGTAAATAAGAACCTTCCTGTTGAATAAAAATAATAATAAAAACTTATTTAATTGCTAAATAGGAAAGAAACATTAATGTATTAAATTATATATAAAAGACTAGTCTAAATTAAGAATCCGATATAGAATAGAAGAAACAATGAAAGAAAACGTCATCTTATACGAGGAAACTTTCATGTGATCACCTAATAAGGAATTTCACTCCATGGATGTATCGATGGCCTCACTATCCAACTATTCTATGTTAAGCAACTACTTTATAATATAGCACGTGTATCAAAGCAATATACAGATTAATATGATTAAAGTTTTAGATGAATTTGAATAATAATATAATAGTGAAAGATATTAATTTAAAAATTAGCTATTTTTTTACTTTCCTCTGTTTTTTTACTCATGCTATGAGTTATTATTAATATATTTAGGTATGATCTTGATGCTGGACTTTTCAAATATTCTTTTACAGTCCATGGTGTTGATTCTGATATAATTAACACTTTATTCACCATTTCTTTTTCAATAACATCATTCAGAGTGTAAATATCATCCAAAAAAATCATATAATGATAACACTTATTCCGTATAGTCGATGGAGTTATTGTTTTATTAATATCTAAATATTGTTGAATAAATGAAGTATTAGCTGATTTTTGGAAAATTCTCCTTAATAAACCTGAATATTGAAAAGATCTTTGTTGACTGTATATTACTAAAATAACACATTCTATGAAATAATTTTCAATAGTATACTCCAAAAGACGAGCAAGACTTTCAGTATGCAATGATGAGTTGGATATTTTTTTATCCAATATCTCAAATGTATCATTTATTTTTACTAATAATATTATTTGACATAAAATGATTAAAATTGAGATACTTATATTAATTTTTATCATAATCTAGAGATTCAAAGAACAATTTTAAAATGATTTTGTCGTTAAAGTTAGTTTAGAAACTGGAATATAATAGTATACTAGGTAAACAGAGAAAACAAAATCGATTGTTATTCTTTTTTGTTATCATTAATGATTGCAGTATCATTTCATATTTATTGGTTATTACTAGTAAATAACATGAATAATTGATCCTTTTCCTTCTCACACATTTCAATCAATTCAATCAATGCAATGAAAGTAAATATTTAGAAATTGCATTGTACTATTGCTAATAAATTAATAATCAGAAATTTGAAAAAAAAAACTTTTTGGAATTATTTCAATAATTTATTTCACGTAAAAAATTCCTACGAATCTTAAGGATTAACATAAAAACTGAGTTCTCAAATTTTTGTTAATATTTTTTTTTTAAGTTTTTAAAGAAGATGCAACTGTATAGCGCTGTAGACTTATTCTAGAAAAAAAATTTTATGATTAATTATGACTTAATTTTTTATATATAAAAATTAAAATTTTCAATTAAATCATTAATTAATTTACTATTTGATTCGCTAAATTGTTTGTTCAACAAATTGAGAAAAATATTTATTATACAATGGTAAAAATTAAAAAAAAAATGATTCCAAAAATTTTTATTTTTAAAGATAGATGGCAGGCAACTTCAATTCTAAAGTTAAAGCGTATCTGATGCACTCATCAGTTGCAGTGTGTATTGAAATGAGGGAAATTCTATACGTTATCAAGTTTTCATAAATAATAATAAATAGTTTTTTTTCATTTATCAATCAAGATACAAAAAAAGAAAAAAAATTTTAATTCAATGAGTGAATTATAACAAATCGATTATAAAGTGTATTCGTGAAAAGTAAACATCTTCATTATACTAGTAACAACCTTTAACCTCATTTTCTTATATTGTTGTCAAAATGCCTGAGAAATATAGTCCATCTCCTTCACATAACCTAGAAGAAGATCTAGATCTAGATCAAGAAGAAATGAATTATATTGGTGACATGGTCGAAGTAATTGATGATCAAGACGATGATGAACAAGATGAAATGATGGAAGAAGATGAGGAGGCTGCTGAAAATGATGATATAGTTACTGAGTTTAATCGTCATGAAGGTAACCACAATATTATGTGTAAAAATAAAAAAAAAAGTTATTCACTGTTTTAATCTTTATTTAAATTTAAAAATAAGTAAAAAACACTAAATACTTCTGAAATTTCATTTGATTGTTGTCTTTATATTTAAAATAAAATATTTTATAGGTTCAGTATTCTGTGGATCACTAACAAACGATGGAAAACTAGCAGCAACTGGTGGAGAAGATGACATGGCATATGTTTGGGATACTTCTTCAGGAGAAATTATACATGAATGCAAGGGTCATAAAGATAGCCTTATCTTTACTGAATTCAATCATGATAATACTTACTTAGCGACCGGTGACATGAGTGGAATAATTAATGTATGGAGGATGAGTGATAAAGCTCGTATTTGGGATTATAATATGGGTGATGCTACAGTAAGTGAAATATTATTTATACTTTTAACAGAGTTATAATAATATTTCTTAACTTACAGTGGATGAAATGGCACAGTCAAGCCAACGTATTATTTGCTGGAAGTGTTGATGGTGAAATTTATATGTGGAAAATTCCAAGTGAGGAATGTAAAGTTTTTCAAGGATATGGACAACGAACTGAAACAGCAACGCTAACTCCTGATGGTAATAATTTACTTAATAGACAATGGTAATTTTTCATTCAAATCAATTAAACTAACTAATTTAACTTTTAAGGCAAAAGACTAATAGCTGGTTATGAAGATGGAGCAATTCGAGTTTTAGATTTAAAAGAAGGAACTGTTCAAGTAACCATTCCAGCTGGTTTAGCCCATACTGCAGCTATAACGGACCTAGATTGTCAAATAGACGGAAAATTAATTATATCTGCAGCTGTTGATGGAAAAACTGTTCTTAGTACTACTCAAAACGGCAAAATTGTTTCCATTCTTCAGGATCTTCAAGGAAATAAAACTGTCAATATGGAGGCTGGACCTGCAGATGACGAATCCGAATCTAAAGATGATTGGGTTGAAGCTGTTGCTTTTTGTAAAGATCCTGAACTACCATTAGTTGCTACAGGTACACTGAATGGAGAAATATTTATTTGGGATTCTTGTAAACAAGCCATCAGACATAAAATTACTCAAGAAAATGGCGTAAGTAAACTCGTATGGCTGGGAACTACTCCATTTTTATTTTCTGCTGGTTTGGATGGAGTTATGAGATATTACGATGGACGAACAGGCCGTTGTATAAAATCTTTATGGTTTCACACTGAGGGTATATTAGATTTATGCATTTCTAGGTGAGTCTGTATATTTGTATTATATTAATTATCTGCAAATGTTGCTATTAATTATTAAGAGCCTTAAAAACTGTATTAATTAATTTTTAGAGATGGAAAGAAAATTTTAACTACATCAGACGATTCTTCAGCTCGAATTTCTGACGTTCCTGAATGTTAATTGATATTGGTAATTAGAAAGGTAATTATTAAATCACTAAAACATTACTCTTGAAGAAAAAAGATATCTTTATTGTAGCAAAAATGGTCTATATACACATTAATTTTATTTGTTTTTTTTTTATTTAAGAAAATAATATTTCTTATGATATTTTTTCACGATACCATTGAGTATCAAGATTGTAACGAGTACCTTTCCAAGTAAAATGTGTGGGATCAGAATCTTCTCCGTTTTTGAATTCAAATGCAGAACTAAATTCTATTGCAAGTTTTGATCTTATCAAACCAACACCTCCAATTTTGATTGGAGCTGGATGATAAATTCTGCCTGTTTGAATATTCATACAAATTTTATCAGGCTCAAATGGTACCTAAAAAGATTATTTTATTACTTAAAAGAGCATTGGCTGTAATTAGTTTCTATCATTAAAATTTATTGCTAATATTATATTTACGAACTACGAGAGATTCTCCTGCATAACCATAACTTAATAATTCTTGTTGATTATCTTTATTATCTATCACATGTGTAAACACAATAGGCAAATCATCACAACGTATATAATTACGTTCTTTTCCACATAATGACAGATATGGAAAATCATCCATGTATCGGCCGGTGTCATTCTTTTTCATTCGTTTGAAAAAAAATGTTAAAAATTTTTTTTCTGTAATGAAGAATGTTTTACTAAATCGTCTATTACATAAATTTTATTTTTGATTGAAAACATAAAAAAAAACTTTAAAATAAAAAAATTTACTTGGAGGATATTAATTAATAGATATATCATTTATGAACAATTATTCTATTAATAAGAAACTTTTTTCTACCAAGAAAGAAAATGTCAAATGAATTTACTACATAATAAGAATTAACGAATTTACGCATTTTATTTTTTTAATTGATTAGAAAATGCACTTAGAGATAATTCTTATTAAAATAAGCAAATAAGTTGAAGAATACGACTTGATTGGTTAATACTTTATTGTTCTGAATCTTTTAATGTACAAAACAATTAATTTTTACTTCGATTCATAAATTATATCACGAAAATTTAACTTAAAAATAAATTTAATTAACATGAAGAAAATTTAAACTTAATAATATTAAAAAAATATTTGCTAGATAAATAAATTAACGATTGATTGTTAAGTCTAATAAAATAAATAATAGAAAAAAACATAACTGTTGTTATTTAACCAACCTTTAAAACATGACGTGAAATTTTTCATGCGAGCATCATCTAGAAATAGCTAAAACATTTAATAGTTTGCAATTTAATTATTAATAAGTAAGGTGACATAGAATTACTCAATTAACAACTAAATATTACCATTCCTTGATGATCAATGTAATAAAAATATTCTCTCACATTAGATTCTGGCGATTGTCCTTGAATGTAATGAACTAAACATCTTTGGTAAGAACTTTTAAGAGGACGAAAATAATGACGCAACAACAAAATCATAGTAATACTAAAAAAATTAAAATTACCGTTATAATAGAATGAAAATGTATATTTTTCCACTAATTGTTTAAATATATATATATATATATATATATATATATGATTGTTAAAAACATTATTTGATAAACTAACGTTAAAAAGTTAAACAACAATCTAGTCATACTGCCTTCATGTATTTTAATTCGCGAGATTTTGTTTATATTTTTAAGCAAACTTCTTTATATACATAAAAATAAAAAAAACCTACTATATTTTCATTTATATGCAATATCTGCATTAAAAATCAGATCTGTTAACTATTTTTTCTAAACACCATTGCATAAAATAATAAACAATGCATTAATGAACCTACCGATTTAGAATCAGACACGTTTAAGAGCTTCGAATTGTTTACAACGGCATTAAATCAAACAATACTGTTTACTGATTTCATCCTGTCTACTCCTGATCGCATACTGCAAATACGAGATGAACAATCAGTCTGATTTTTATCTTTTGTAGACGCCTAGTGGGAAGTTGTAGACAATGTAGAGGTTATAAACATTACAAAAAAAATGTAGTGATGATTTACATAAAAGTTTTAGTAATACTCTTTAATGTTTTTATTGTTGTATATACTCAAAGTAATGAAGCATTTTGTGAAATTTCTCAAAGTGCATCCGAAGTAAATAAAAATTGTGGAAAAAATAAATATTATGATAGAAAAAGGTTATATTTTGTACTATTTATTTATATTCTTTATTTCATTAGAATTATTTTAATTATTTATTTACTTTGTAGATACATTCTTTATGATGTTAACTTTCCAGAAGGATTTAATTTACGTAGAGATGTATATGTTAGAGTAGCTGTTTTCATAAAAAATTTGATAGACAATGATGTTGAATATGATTGGAATTTAGTTCTACCACCCTGGAGTAAATATATCATTTTAAAAATAATAAGAAGCTGTCATTTAAAATTAATTATAGTGCAATAATATTTTGACTTTTCATTGTAGATAAATTATATCATTGGAAGAGTAAAAATGTTGGAGAAAAAACTCAGCTTCCATGGAGTTTATTTTTTGATATTAATAGTCTTAAAAAGTTCATACCAGTTATGGAAATGTATGAATTTATGACTGGTAAAACATAAACTCCATAATTATCATTAGCATGATTTTTGAGAATATTAATATTTTTATTTTTCATAGAGTATAAATCAAATAATAATATTATTATGCTGGATAAGGTTTATATTCTTCAAAATGATTTGAAAATGTTTGAAACTGGTGATTTTCAAGAAAGAAATGAAATTACTGAGTGCAATGTAGACAAAATTAATTATAAAAAGAAAAATGGTAATTTCATTGGATATTTTTGGGGATACAAAAATATTACAGCAAAAGATTTAAATTGCATTACATTTCATGGATCAACGTCAGATTTAAAACAAAATTTAAATCCATTTTTGTACAGGTAAACCTTCAAAATCTTAATAGAAATAACACAACAAAAGAATAAAATATTATACTTATTCGCAATATTCTTAAAACGTAGTTCTTTTATGTTTGATCATATGGAAATACCATTACATGATTATTATGGCTCAGCAAATTTTTGGAAAGCAAGAAGAAGCATGCGTTACAATCCAGAATTGTATGATATAGCTCATGATTATCGGAATAAATTTCTGAATTCTTCTGACGCATATGATAATACAATAAGGCCTTTAGATTGGCGAAATGAAAAAGTAAGACCGTAAATGAATTTTAAAAAATTGATCGAATAAAACTGTATAAGAATTTATTTCATTATTTAGAGATCTAGAGATGCAATAGGAGGCCCTTATTTAGCAGTTCATTTAAGAAGACAAGATTTTTTGACTGGTCGAGCTAACTCAGTACCAACCTTAAAAAATGCAGCATCACAACTGACAAAAAAAATGAAAAAATTAAAACTTACAAAATTATTTGTAGCTACGGATGCTCCAAATTCAGGTAACAAACACAAGTCTAATCATGAAATATCTTCATTAGTATTTTTATCATACTCTTAAAGTCTGTATATGTAAAAAAAATATCCCAAATTCTTTCCCTTTATTTTTAGAATTTGAAGAGCTCAAAGAACAATTATCGAATTATGAAGTATTTAAATATAATCCTTCAGATTCAATACGGCAAAAATTCAAAGATGGGGGTGTAGCAATAATTGATCAAATTATTTGCTCATACGCTAGGTAAATTTAAATTATTGTAACTTTGTTAAAGTATTGATTAAAAATACTATTAATCGAATTCTTAATTTTGTAGATATTTTATTGGAACTTATGAATCAACTTTTTCGTTCAGAATACAAGAAGATCGAGAAATTATTGGTTTTCCTACAAAAAGTACGTTTAACATGTTGTGTGGTAATCAAAAATGTGAACATAGTAGTCAATGGGAAATAGTTTGGTAAAAAAAAAGAAAAAACAATTTTATTACAAGTTTCTTAAAAATTTTATTCCATAATCGGTAGTACGTAAAGAAATGTAACGACGTGTGTACCATGCGCATATTTTGATGAAACGTTAGAATGATATATGCTCGTTAATTTTATTAATTTTTTTTACAAAGAATAAACATTAAATTGTGAAATTGAACGATTCAAAATACTTTTAAATTTAACTATAATCTACATGTTATTTAAAATGAAACATATCAGCTTTTCCTGTATTTTAGTAAACGATCAAGATAGAATTATTATATACATAATTAATAACCATAAAATATTGAAAATCTAAGATTTTTTAAAATACAAACAATAAATAATTACAGCACAGCTGGTTTTCCAATCAAATCTTGTTCACGGCGAATCTCCTCTTCTCTCTTCTGTTCTCTAACTAAAGCCTCTCGTTGTTTTATTTGTTGTAGTCGAAGTGCTCTTTTCTTAAATGAATATTTTATTTTAAAAACAAATTTTGAACTCTATGTACTAATCATCACAATGTACCTTCAATTTAAGAGTCCTTTCATGAATCGTTGACATTTCTCTCTTTATTCGACGTAATTTATCATTGTATAATTTGATTGTTGAGTACTGAAAATTGATTCACATATGAATAATAGATTACAGCAAAAGTTTGGAATTTATTTAACATTGTTGTTTACCATAGAATTACACAGTTCATCTTCGGAGGTTTCCGTAAGGTGTTTATTTTCAATCTCCATCTTGTCAAAAAGACTTTCTTGTTTTTTACTGAAAGTTAAAATCAAAATAATCATTTATTTGTTATAAATATAATCCAAATATTTCTACTCAATATTGTTACAGTAATTCTTGCAGTTCATCTTTTATTTGTGTCAGTGAAGGTTGATAAATGTCTAGCAAACCCTTCGTTAATTTGTTCGCTGCTTCAGGCATATTTACGATTACTTGTCTAAAATAAATATATTTCCTTTTAAACTTTTCATAAAATACTATTGATATTAGTAAACAAAATTTAATCATCAATTACACTTCATTTGTCATTAAACTTGGTTGTACTTCAGCTGCAACAGCTTCCTCGATTTCAGTCATCATTCTTATTACAAGGATATGATTGAATAAATTTTTGAATGAACTAAAAATATAACTATTTGGATCGTCTTAGAAATGATTTTAGAAATTTACTAATCTTTGATGACTGAAAATAACAGCCATCTTGAAAAGATAATGAACAAAAACTAAGGGTGTAGCGCCAGTTGCAATCCATGAGTCATTTAAATTTCCCTGCAATTTCATATAAATTGCGGCTCTACCATCAGAGGGCCAAAATGGCGTGGCAATGTGCAAAGTGAATAATGTGTTTATTTCATTTTAAACATACATATATACAATTTTATTATTAGTAAACAATTGTTTAGTTTTTAATCATTTAAACTCAATTTTTTATTATTTTTCTACTAAACTGTAATAGAGAAAAATGCATTGTCTGCATATACATATATAGTTGTAATCAAATAAAGTCTGAATTACATTTTCCAGATAAATGTGATATTGAATATTTTCAATTGTCTTTTTATTATTCAACTGTACTTTATTGTTAAATTTAAAAAACACAATTAGATTATTAATCTATTTGTATTTAACTAAGTGAATAACAAAGTTATGAACTTTTTGGCCATAAAATAATTATTTTCTGCACAACATGGCGTCAATAGATGATGATTTCGTCCAAAAAATTTCGTCGAATGTTATCAACAACTATCAACAAACCACTAAATGGGTTCCTTTATCGTTAACGCATGTTGAATATCCTCAAGGTTAAAAATTTTATTTCTTGCAATTATATATGTCAAAACTTTTCTTATCGACTAGTTCATACGTATAATTTTTATTGAAAAACTTGTCAAACTTATTTCAAAAAAATTACTTATAAATACTTTTTTTGGTTTCAGGAGACTCTTTTGGACACTTTTTAGCATTAATAAGCCTTATACCATTTGCTATAATTGCTGGCTTTGTGACACTTATTCTTTTCCGACGAGATCTACACACAGTAATAAAACAAAATCAATTTAAATGAAAATTATTATTACTTTCAAATTGAACAAATTAATTTTTTAATTAATGTATTGTAGATATGTTTTTTTATTGGAATCATCGTCAACGACATTTTAGGATTGTTTTTGAAGTATACAATTAAAGAGGAAAGACCCATAAGACGGGATATTATTTATGTTGAGTATGGTATGCCTTCTACTCACTCACAACTCATGTGGTTTTTTACAATTTATACAATTTTATTTGTTTGTCTAAGGTCAGAATATAATTCAAACATAATTATAATTTTGAAGTACACGAAATAAATATTAAATAAATAATTTTATTTTTAGAATGCATCATAGCAACAATAGTACTACATCAGAAAAATTTTGGAGATGGACCATCATTGGCGGATGTACATTTGTAGCTCTTCTCGTTACCTATAGTCGCATTTATTTACAATACCATACTCTATCTCAAGTATTTTGGGGATTTATTGTTGGTGGTTTATTCGGAATCACCTGGTTTTTTCTCACTCATCAAGTCTTCACTCCATTTTTTCCCATGATTGTATCATGGTAAATAATTTTTTAATCAAAGGTTAGTTATTTTGTTTTTTGTCATTTATTAATGAATCTACAAAATTTTGTTAACAGGCGAATATCAGAATATTTATTAATTCGAGATACCACACTAATACCTAATGTATTGTGGTTTGAATATACAAATACACGAACTGAAATGCGAGCTCGTTCAAGAAAATTAGTATCTATGAAATCTCAATGACGTTTAACGGTTCTCCAGTGGTTGGAAAATAAATAAATAATAGAATATTATTGTCAAACCTTATTTATCATATCACTTTTATGTCATTAATTATACATAATAATTCATCTTTTTTGTCATAGATGTTAAAATAATTGTTTACATTTTTTTCGTAATGGCAAATTTTATAAATTTATTTATAGCAAGCAATATCCGTTATTTATGGATAATAATACTTTTTAACAGTAGTATGATAGATTGAAAGAAAATATTGTAGTAATTAGGCGAATAATTTGATATAAAATCTTATACGACAATCATAAATTATAGTAAATACGAATTATTTAAAATATTAGTGACGGCTATTTCAAGTCAATGAAGAAGAATTAAAAATACCAATGAATTATAATATAATAAAATAAACTTGATCTAAATAGTATAAAATTCAATCTAAATTCTTTAACCTTTATCTAATTGATGAATGAGCATGATTCATAATAATATACGTTGACTTGAAAAAACATCAAGAATTATTTTTGTTTACTACAATTTCAATCTTAGCCGAATCAAGAATATCCTGAGCTAATAAAGCAGCACAATCAATGATAATATTATCAGTGTGTTTATTATGTTTAAATAAATATGTTTTGTGCAAATGTGATTTATCATTAGAACTAATAACTTTCACTTCAACTTCATAGGCATTTGATTGTTGTTTTTCGTCTGTAGCCGTAAAATGATTAACGCGTGATACAATCATCTGTATTTTCCCATTAGAAAAATCGACTTTTAGCAAAAATAGTTGGTAATAGCAGTTCAAGAAGACGCTGTATTTTCCTTCAGCAAAAACCATCTTTTTCCAAAAATCTGTTAATTCAATAGTCACGCCAGAACCATTAAGAGGCACAACTTGATGGGCTGTTTTCAGATGTTCAAATACGTCAAGCGTTAATCCATGCCAACTGCATTTTTTCATTGTACTCATTGGACATTGCAGCTGACTGTAAGCACATTTTTGTTCATGGTCTTGTTTTTCATCGCTGTGAAGAAAAATATTGCAACCGTTTCTGAAAAATAATATTCATTAAAATGGTCTAGAATTTTTTTTTACAATTTTTAAATACATATTTATCTTACCTCATATTTTTACACGGAAGACTCAATTCATTGAACAATCGTTCAATGGCTTTATTATTTTGAAAAGGACGCTCGCTACGACAAAATGCGCAAAATTTAATTTTTTTTACGCATTCATTGCACATTAAATTGCCACAAGTTATGCAAGATTTCACATTTCGACCCTGAAAAGGTCCCAAACAAACTTGGCATTCGGTGATGGACGGAAGAATCATACAGTTGTGACAGTTACAATCTAAGTAGTTACTTCTAAACATTTCGTCTTTATTATCTACCTTATCTTGAATGAAAAATAAATCGTCATTATTATTATTATTAATAGCACATGTTTCAAGTATCTTTTAACAAGTAAGTATTATTTAAACATACTCTGACAGGCTTTATTTGGGTAACATCGAAAAAATTTGTTTCCATCGCAGCAATTTTTTAAATTTGGTTCTGATGATCTTGATTTGTTTTGCAGAGAATTTCCATTGTCATCAATCATACTACCATCCAGTCTGTTATCTTCTCTCTTCATTTTTTGATTTAATTTTGAAAGCTGTTTTTTCAGAAATTAAAATATTATTTTATATTTATATTAAATAAGGAAAAAATATTTTTGCATAATCGATTACTTACCCATTGTTTAAACAATTCCATTTTCACTACATAAAACCTGTTTTTGAATCCACAAATATGCTTCACACACGAAGAAATGGTAAAGGAGTTTTCTTCACAGTTGCGTGGTCTACGTTGTTCTGCGTAATCCTAAGTTTCACTAAATGTCACTTTGAAGGCAATTTCAAGGCCCCTCAGGTCAGTTTCCTAGTCCTTTATCGTCTGTACGATCCTAAATAGAAAAAGAATTTCCTAGAAAAAGCTAAAGTTTGGAGGGAGAGATGAGATATCAGGGGTGGGATGATTCATGAAAAAAGGAACAGATGTTTTCTCAGGTATGTTTTGTCGTAAAAAGGCTAGCTTAAAACATCTACATATTGTTGATGATGCTACAACAGTTGTGTAAGGCTTGAGCGATCTGTTTTTCATATTCAAAATTATTCGATGATCACTTCCCGCTCAATCCAATACTCTGAATGCCCCTGTTTTTACCTACATATCGATATTATAAATTCCTGTTTTATCACCACTATCTTTGATAGTTCTTTATACCAACATTACATCAAATTGTTGCTAACTTTGTAAATGTTTAAAAAATCTTTTTATTTTTATTAAATATTTATTGCAAAAATCGATTAGCATGCGAAAAGTACTTGATACTCTTATATTCGTTTGTGATTATTAATAATTTATTGTCTTTACTATACACATACGTCATGCATGTTTTACCACATAACACCAGCGCTGCTTGTCACTGAAAATCAGTAATCAATAATAATCAGTGTATGAAGGAAGACCTCAAAAGTTTATTAATGTCATTTTTATTTCTGCGTAGAATTTAATAACAATAACAGTAAATAAAAAACATAATTATGGAGTTTAACGTAAAAAAGCTTGTTAAGGATGCAGGAGCTGCACTTAGCAGAGTTGTTCAGGTATGTGAAATAAATAATTAATCACGTATTATTATATTCTTAGGTGAGTAATCTCAAGTTTTTATGTGGGAGTCATTTAAATTCCTTGACTGTTCCATTATGTTTCCTACATATTTACGTACTCTCTATATGAAAAATAAAATGGAATATCTCATTTAATAAATTAGAGTTTTTCTTTGTATTATATCTAAAGTCGATGAACATTTTGGTAGCAAGAAAATTGCGTTAATCAAACAATGTTGACAAATAAATACAATTAAACCTATAACCTCAATAGGATATTAAAGCTAATAGATGAATTATAAATGATAGAACAATCAATTGGAAACTATTATTTCAGCTTACAGAAGAAACACTTGGGACTTCAGAAAAAACTGAGCTTGATGCACATTTTGAACATCTTACTGAACGTGCAAATACAACTAAAATGTGGACTGAAAAAATTCTAAGAAATATGGAAGCAATGTTAACGCCTAATCCTGGTGATTCATTGTTATATTTTTTGTTATTTAGAATTATTCATCACTAATAAACGTTGAATTAATAGGTAACAGAATTGAAGATTTTTTTTATGAAAAAATGGACAAAAAAAGGCCGAATAGATTGAGTAACTTGGAATATGTCGGAATAGACATGATTGAGGCTGGCAATGAATTTGGTCCTGGAATTCCTTATGGTATTGTATAACATTATTTTTCTTGCATAATTAATTCATTCATTTTTTTTTCACACATCTTTAGATAAAAATGAAATTTTCTATTGATTAATATTTTTGAATTACAGGTAGTGCCTTAATAAAAGTCGGACAGTGTCAACAAAAATTAGGACAAATTGAAAGAGATTTTATTGGTACTGCTGCTAACTGTTATATTCAGCCATTAAGAAAATTCTTAGATGGCGAAATGAAAACAATCACCAAAGAATTGCAAATTTTAGAAACAAAAAGGTAAGGAAAATGGACTGGTCAAAAGCAAACAATTGGTTATAACAAAATATTTATATTCATTTACTTTTTTCTTATTTGTTTAGACTTGACTTAGATGCTTGTAAAAACCGTGTTAGAAAAGCCAGAAGTATGTTGGGACAGCAAAGTGTAAGTTATATTTTTAATAGTTTTCATATTATTTCCCCTTCGTAAATTTAAACTCTTGATCTCGTTATTTGCTGCATTAATTAGGAATCTGGTATATCACCAGAAGTTTTACTTGATCAGGTATTGACATGATAGTAAATACAAGAGATATAATTTAGATTGAAAACTCTTTACTCAATAACCAATTTCATCTTAGTATTCGATGATTCATTATTATTATTATTATCAACTTAGGCAGAGAGGGAGTTGAGGGTGGCACAATCAGAGTTTGATAGACAAGCAGAAATAACAAAGTTACTCTTGGAAGGAGTTTCAAGTTCTCAAGCAGGACATTTGCGATGTCTTCACGAATTTGTCGAAGCTCAAGCTCGTCATTATGCTCAATGTCATGCAACAATGCAAGAACTACAAAGAGAACTCGATGGGTAGGTTTTATTTTGTTCATGAAATAGTAACTTTCATAATCTATTCATTTTTTTAGACTTCATTTTCAAGCTTTTACTATTTATAACGCAATCATGATTTAATTCGCACTTATTTCATTGTTTAAAATCCGATTCTTTCACTTTCAAGCTACCCGACACTTGATTGGTGATGAAAGTGAGTAATGATGGTCTAATGCATCATAATCATCATTTTTTGTTTATTTTATGTTAGAAACAATAAAATAAAAAGATGCTTAGCATCATTACTCATGAATCATAAAAGCTTATATTCTCAAACTTTTTTTTTATCTTTATTGGCTTGTCATTAATTTCACTTTTTTATTTTTCCTGATGTTAAATAATCTATGGTATCTTCTTTCTGGCATATCCACTTGTTTATGGGAGTACAGGGCACGGCAACCAAGTCCTTTATTGAGAGTCAACAGTGAAGAAGTAATCGACCTAACACCTTCTTCCACGAATACGCAAAACTCACCTAGTCATCAGTCTCTCGCTACTTCTAACTATGTTACTGCTACTTTTGAAACTAATATATCTACAATACAGAATTAACGAAATAATTTAATTTTTGCTTAAACTTCAATTTTAATAGTTTATTAAAAATTTCCTAAGAAACTGTTTTGCTCAATAGCTGGATCTATCGCTTAAAATTTTCCTATTGATAAATATGTAGATAGCTAACGTTGTTAACGTTGATAATTATTATAAACTAGATGAATAGTTAAACACCAATACAATATTTAAAACTTATTAGTATATAATAGTTAAAAAATTAATGAATTTTATGAAAAAAGATATTATACTGTTTGCAGATTATTAATTCTTCACGTTATTAACTTTTTACGTTAAGAAACTAAATTTTCAGTGTATTGTTGGTTCTTATTGAAACACTTTGATTTGCATGCTTATTTGTGCCATTGGATGTATGGAATATTTTTAAAATGCTTAAATTGAAGTCTAAAAAAATATTCATTCAATGTCTTTTTTTTTTATAATAATTGAATAATGTAAGATTACCGGTGTTTGTAAATACTTGTTTAGTCTAACAAGTGGAACATATCATTCAACAAATCAACAAAATGTTAATGAACAAATCAATAACGAACAAGAGAAAGCAAGAGTAATATGTGATTATAATGCAAGGGATCCAACTGAACTTAATTTGACACAAGATGAGGTAAACAAAATGTTATTTTGGTAATGATTCTTTATTTACATTAGTTCTATTTGTTTATTTTATATAAATTATATACGGATAATTATTTCAACTTTAACCTTTATGTGATAGCATGATTAATGTTATTCAAATGTAAGAGCTTTGAGATTAATTGATTTAATTTTAATAAATATTTGTGTTACTTTAAATTAATTTTTAAAAATTAAAGCATTATTATTAATGGGTTATTTTTTTTATTATTGTATAAGTTTATGTTGATATATTTGATGTTAAAATTGGCGCCGTATACTTATTATTATTATTGCTATTATTATTATTTAGATAATAAAGTTACTTAAAAATAACAAGATGATCTTATAATTTATTCCGCATTATGTGTATTAAATCTAACGTGAAATCTATTTAAACTAATGTTTTCTTGTTCTGAATCATTTTTAGGTCATTAACATATGTCATATACCAGGAGACGAAGATTATGTAGTAGGTATTAGAGGCAGAGAAAAGGGAAAAGTTCCAAAAGTATATCTTGAAATTATAGCCATTTATTAATTGTTTAAGTTTTAAGGAATATATTTATTGTGTAATTTAACTTTCGTTGACTTAATTTAGACTTCATATATGATCTATCTATGTAAGCATTCCACGTTGAAAATATTTAAGAGTTTTAAAATATTCTTGGGCTTTGTTGAAGTGTCAATAATTTAAGGAATAAAAAAATAAATAAAAAACTACAGAATTAAATATTTAAAATTTTATTGTAAATTAAGAAAATTATTTCTTTTTGGATACACCAACAGTTCGTCCACGACGTCCAGTTGTTTTAGTATGCTGACCTCGAACACGAAGACCCCAATAATGTCGAAGTCCTCTATGAGCACGAATTTTCTTCATGCGTTCCAAGTCTTCACGTAGTTTTGAATCTAAATTCGAACTTGTGAGCTGAAGAAATAAAAAACTTGAGTTACTTTCGAAGGAAAATTTTTGTTAATAATTTTATGATACATTTCTTAATAATATATATCTTCTATTGTTGCAAGTTGATTAAAAATCGATTATGATACTTAAAGATATTGAAGTGTCATAAGAGTTCATAAACATGCTGTTAATATAGCGTAGACTACCAGCCAAATAAAATGTGAATTCAATTCTAAATGGTCGTGTATCCACGCTTAGAAATTAATTTAATTTATAATTAATTACCTGAGAGTATTTTCCATCAACAATATCTTTTTGTCTATTAAGGAACCAGTCCGGAATTTTATATTGTCGAGGATTTGCCATGATTGTGACAATTTTTTCGACCTGCAAATAATATTGAATGTAGTCGATGTAAAAATATTATTTTCGGGGAGACTACGGTTTCCGTGGCGCCGCGATTTTTTTTTGCCTCGCAAAATTGTTGTAACTTGGTACAATGTACTTGCAGGGTGATTTTTTTTCATTAAACGGTGCGGCCGAAGGCCGCCACCGGAGAGAACCCTCTAATTCTGTAGTCCAAAATTATGCCCATGTATAAGCCCATATAAACCCAAAATTTAAAGTATCAATATCTCGAAAACTAAGTGAGATATGAAAAAATTTTATTCTTCATTTTCGTCTTATTTTGGACTGTTCTATCGAAATTCATTATCATTTCGTGGCGCCACGGAAACCGTAGTCGTGCCTTATTTTCATATCTAAGATTTTGATATATTTTTTATTACCTCTTCTTCAGTGCATTCTCCAGCTCGTTTATCTAAATCGATATCAGCTTTTTTCAAAACAATGTTGGAGTAGCGTCTACCTACTCCTTTGATGGCAGTTAATGCAAACATAACCTTTCGGTTACCATCAATATTGGTTCCGACAACTCGGAGAATGTGCTGAAATTTTTCTGGTATTACGAGCGACTAAAACATACAAAAAAACAACTTAAAGTATTGCAATAAGTACATGAATATCAATGTTTTTAATTATCATAACCTCAAAACACTTTCAGTTGAGATTTAAATTACTCAAGAAATTAAATAAAAAATATTTTCATGAAATCATCTTAAAATAGTTAATCTTTAATTATAATCAAAAAAGTATGAATAATTTTAGCAGATTTTTTACAAAATTTTGGATTTGTCACAAGCACTCGTATTCACTCACCATTTTCGTTTAGATGTCATATACAGAAAGGAAGCGCAGTTGCGGATGTACAAGACTCAAAGAGTAAATGGCGGGATAATTTAATTTATATATTACCAAAGTACAAGAATAAGATTATAGTATGTTGTGAATAAAATCTTTTTATATTAGAATAAATTATATTACATTTACAATGATTATTACAGAAAACTTTCGTAAAAAAGATTCTTTAAATTAATAAAAATTTAAATTACAATACAATTTAAAAAAGTATTATAATGAGTTGTTGAACGAAAATGATTATGATCTAAAGCTCATTTATTTTGTGTTTTTTTTTAAAGAAGGAACTATTCCACCAATCCAATTAAGATATTTCTCACTTCCGTTCTGAATCTATAATACAAAAATATTTAAAATATCATATATCATAAATATAAACACTAATATTACAACTACTTACTGGTAGTGATATAACTTCACAATTTGTGTAAGGATGATTATCTCTACAATTAGAATAATATAATTATTAAATGATGTCAATTTTATTCATTTAATCGATACTTACATGACATATTGTGTAAGATTATCAACTGTTTCAGTTCGTGTTTTTATCATCTGAAAATTAATTAAAATGCAGAATAAAAATTATGTCAAATGTATTTTATGACTATTAAAAATTTCACTTACTAAAAGAAGTTCATTATCTTCATTAATTTTATTTTCCCATTCATACACCGATGTTATTTGTGGAATAATATTTACACATGCCGCTATCTTATTTTTCACCATACCACTAAAAGAAAAAACGACTTTTATTTTTAAATGTTACTTCAAATAAAATATAATTAATATATTTATCAAATGACAGATAACTTACTGAGCTAAATTTTTAGCTACATCAGAATTAGGCACTGTTACAAAAACAGCTGAATATATTCCAGATAAAGAACTCATTGTTTGTTTCCCTTGGACAAAATAACTTCTAGTAAAAAATAAAGTGCAAAGTGAAAATATGAAAGGTTTAGCTTGCATTTACGATTCAACGTGTTAGTATTTTCAAATAAATACAATATTGACTGTATTGTCGAATTATGTGCTGATGATTATTATCAATACAAAAAATATCAATAGAATTTGAAGAAAAAAATTTGGCCACCACTGATATATATTTATGGCGCTGTACCTCAAAAATTACTAGTGCTGCTATAACCAAGTTTTACTGTTGTTATAATAAGTTTTTCGTAAATTACGAAAAATTAAATTCGTCCTTATCTTATTGAATAGTCTCGATTAAACATAAATAAATTAACTATCAGAATGGCATTAAAACCAGGAACAAAACAAAAGATTGCCATGATTATAGATGTAACGAAAGTGGTATTTCATTATGGTTTTATTCCAACTGTTTTATGGTTAGGTAAGTATCAGCAATGTGCTTTGTATAGTTTAAATTTTCAAAAAAAAAATTGTGTTAATAACTTGGTCTTTTTTTTTCAAGGATTTAGACAAGGTGCCGATCCGGGTATGCCATCACTTACTTTCATGAGGTATTTATTATTACATTAAACAAAACTAAAAATACTATAATTCATTATATTTTAAATATCGTTGTTCTTACAGTTTACTGTGGCATTAATTTATTCTGAAGGAATCATTTCTGTTATGACAACATTATATTAATTAGATCTTACTATCCTACTTTAATGAAGAAATCACCATAATAGTAGATCAAACGTTTTTTTTAACTATTAAATTTAAGTGAACATCTATGATTTCAATTAAACGAAATTTCTTGTAAAATCTTGGATCAAATTATATAAATATTAAATATGATTTATGTAATAAAATTATAAACACTAAATGGAAACGATTTTTTAAATTTCTTGCAAAAAATAGAAAATTTCATTGACGGTCGGTTATAATTGTAATTACCGATAGTCGGCACTGATTTTTTGTTTTTGAGTAAAATTCCCTGTAAATTGTATAGTTTCGATAATTGTGGGGAATTATTACTGAGAATGTTGGTGAAAATGAAAACTTAACCTGCTGACAGAGTGAGAGATAAAGAGAAATCGAGAAAGAAAGAAAGAAAAGCAGAACCAGGCAAAAGAAAAGAGAACGTAAAAATTGTACGAGAGTACCTAAGGCCCGTTAACCCATCAAAACCATCATACACACGAAACGGAAAACAAATTTAGATTATTTTTTTAACTCTATTCTAAACTTTATTTTTTTTTTTTATTTTTTTCGAATTATTTTCAAATAAATATTATTGAACTTTTGAGTATAATTTAAATATTGAAAAACAATTAAATACATCCGTTAGGTTTTATGTGCATGTGAATCACTAAGTTTGGAAGAGAAGAAAAAAAGCAGGGTGCTCATATACCTTTAGAATAGTATTATCAAGAACTGGAAAACTTAAGAATTGTTATGCAGCGATAAAAGTCAGACAAAGTAAGTTCATTAATCGATTATTATACTCATCTATTAATTTTATATCTTAGTTAAATGTTTTTCATTTCATTAAGATGACTCAATCACTCTTTGTAATATAACCTTTTTGCAAATTTTGTTACAAAAGGAAAAAAAACGTTAGACTATTTCTCTTAATTTTTACTATATTAATGTAAAGTATGTATGTAATAGAATACTAATTTATTGAAATATTTCCAAACATTATGCACACATCGATTAATTACTTAATCCAAACCAAGTTGCAATTCTAACCTCAAAAAAAACCAAATAAATTTTTCTTTGTTTAGAAATCATTGTGGTGATAATTAGTCGAAAATCGAGTGTAAAAAAATTATAAAATTAAAAAATGTCCAATCATCGAGGTAGTGGAGGTGGAAGTAGTCATCAAGGAGGTCCACCAGGATTGAAACAAATAGATCTAGATCAAATATGGGGCGATTTACGAGAGGGGATTGAACAAGTTTACAATAGACAATGTATGTCAAAACCACGATATATTGAATTGTACACACATGTTTACAATTATTGCACGAGTGTACATCAGCAAGTTAATAGATCTAATAACAAAAGTAAAAAGGGTCATGCTTCTGGTGGTGCGCAACTTGTAGGATTAGAACTGTACAAGCGATTGCGTGAATTTTTAAGAAATTATCTAATAAGCTTATTAAAACATGGCATTGACTTAATGGATGAAGATGTATTGCAATTTTATACAAGACAATGGGAAGAATATCAGTTTAGTAGCAAAGTATTAAATGGAGTTTGTGCTTATCTTAATCGACATTGGGTACGTCGTGAATGTGAGGAAGGGCGTAAAGGAATTTATGAAATTTATCAATTGGCCCTGGTAACTTGGAGAGATAATCTTTTTAAGCACCTTAATAGACAGGTATGTTATAATGTTTTATCTAATTAATAATTCACTAAGTAGCAACATTATTCATACAAATATTTTATAGGTCACTAATGCAGTTTTAAAATTAATTGAACGGGAAAGAAATGGAGAAACGATAAATACTCGTTTAGTTAGCGGTGTAATCAATTGTTATGTTGAATTGGGCTTAAATGAAGAAGATCCTGGTGCGAAAGGTCAAAACCTAACAGTTTACAAGGATTCTTTTGAAAATGTTTTCTTAGAAGATACTGAGAGATTTTATACTCGTGAAAGTTCTGAATTTTTACGACAAAATCCTGTTACGGAGTATATGAAAAAAGCTGAGCAAAGACTTTTAGAAGAACAAAAACGTGTGCAAGTTTATTTACATCAAATGACTAATGAACGTCTAGCTAAAACATGTGAACGTGTATTAATTGAAAAGCATTTAGATATATTTCATGCCGAGTTCCAAAACCTTTTAGACTCTGATAAAAATCCTGATTTGGGAAGAATGTATTTATTGGTTGCAAGGATACCAAACGGTCTTGGTGAACTGCGTAACTTGCTAGAAGGTCATATTGCCAATCAGGGACTAGCAGCAATTGATAAATGTGGTGATACCGCTGCTAACGATCCCAAAATTTATGTTAATACGATATTAGAAGTTCATAAGAAATATAATGCACTTGTTTTGGTTGCTTTTAATAATGATAGTGGATTTGTAGCTGCATTAGACAAAGCTTGTGGCAGGTTTATCAACAGTAACTCTGTCACGAAAGCAGCAAATAGTAGCAGTAAATCGCCTGAATTACTTGCCAAATATTGTGATCTTTTGTTGAAGAAAAGCAGTAAAAATCCTGAAGAGGCTGAGTTGGAGGATACATTAAACCAAGTTATGGTTGTATTTAAGTACATTGAGGACAAAGACGTTTTCCAGAAATTTTATAGTAAAATGTTGGCTAAACGTTTGGTACAACACATGAGTGCTAGTGATGATGCTGAAGCTTCAATGATCTCGAAACTCAAACAAGCTTGTGGATTTGAATATACGTCTAAACTTCAAAGAATGTTTCAAGATATTGGTGTATCTAAAGATTTAAATGAAGCTTTTAAAAGACATTTGACTAATTCCAAAGAAGGATTGGACATTGATTTTAGTATTCAAGTGTTATCGTCTGGTTCATGGCCATTTCAACAGTCATTTACCTTTTCTTTACCAACTGAGGTAATTTATTTATCATTCTGCTATTGATAACGAATAACATATTAATTTAAAAAATTAGCAAATTACTTTAAATATATTCATTGTCAACTAAAATACCTAATAAATAATTTATTGATTAATTATTTATAGTTGGAACGCTCAGTTCATAGATTTACAACATTCTATAGCTCACAACATAGCGGCAGGAAACTCAATTGGTTATATAACATGTCTAAAGGCGAATTACACACCAATTGTTTCAAAAATCGGTAAATACTTATATTCAAAACCACCTACGAAATATTCACGATTCATTAATTTTCATTGTTATTTTAGATATACCTTACAAGCATCAACTTTTCAAATGGCAGTTTTGTTGCAATATAATGCAGCAACGGTGTGGACAATTCAACAATTACATGATGCAACACAAATAAAAATGGACTTTCTCCTTCAAGTCATTCAAATATTATTGAAAGCCAAATTATTAACGGCGCCTGTTGACGATGAGACTGAACTTACTCCATTGTCCACTGTAGAATTATTTACTGGCTATAAAAAGTAATTTATATTTTTATTTATCTAAATTAATATGTGTTTTATTGATAAAATAATGTTTATTGAACTATTTTTTTTAAATTTAAATTTCAGTAAAAAATTACGTGTTAATATTAATATACCAATGAAAACAGAACTAAAAGTTGAACAAGAAACCACTCATAAACATATTGAAGAAGATCGTAAACTCTTGATTCAAGCAGCAATCGTTAGAATTATGAAAATGAGAAAAGTATTGAAACATCAGCAACTCGTTGCTGAAGTACTGAATCAATTAAGTACGCGGTTCAAACCTCGAGTTCACGTTATTAAGGTAAGATAAATTTTATCATTATATAATATCTGATATATAATATCAGTTTGAAATATTACAAGCAAAAATTTCATGGTAAATTTGATAATGTATTTATTTTTTTTCTTTTTTAGAAATGTATAGATATTTTAATTGAAAAAGAGTATTTAGAACGCACTGAAGGCCAAAAGGATACCTACAGTTACTTAGCATGATTTGTTAAGCTAAAACAACGACTAATAACTATCACTTGCGTAACTAAAATACTAAATAATTTAGATTCATCGTCATCAATAATCAATTCAAACAAGGATACGCAAAAAAACATTGTTATAAAAAAAAGAAAAAGGAAAAAAACATCATAATATTCATTTACATAGAAAAACATTTTTCTTAATTTCTTTTACGGTTTTTTTATCTTTTCTTATCCCAGAGGTCGCATTATAAAGGAAAAAACATTTATTAATCCTTTCAATATTTTTTTCCTATTTATACAAATATTTATAATAGTAATAATAATATTAATAAAAAATAATTAGTTTGTTCAATCGTTATTTCAATATAAAATTATATTACTGTCAAGAGTTTGCATTATTATTTTCTTTATACTCATTGGCAGTAAATTATTCAATATTTTATGTCTATTAATATGAAATTTGAATGAATAGAATGTCTTTTCGCTAATGGATATGATAATGATACAAATTCATTTTTTCAAGTGTCAGTTACAATGTTAATTATTATGAAATTTTTAGGTGCAATATGAGTAATTGATTAAATTAATGATAGTAAAATGCGGCCAATAATGATTAAAAAAAATTTTTTTATTCAATGTTTATTTCAGTGTTTCATGTATATGAGGCTAAAGTGTGAACGAATAAAAAAAATACTGAGTGAGAGACAAAGTTTAACATTAAGAGTTCAGAATAATTAATTACAATTAATAATGATAATTATTAAATTAACAATATTAATAAACATTAATGTATTTTACTAAAACAAAACATTACTGACAAGATTAAATACTCATTAAAACTGTAAATAACTCATAAGTTAAAAGCAAACTGATACTTGCACTCGATTTACTATTAATTAATGTATGTCATAATTAATCAAAAAAATTACAATTTATTGATCAAACTTCTAGTTTCAATATTTTTAAAAAATCTTCACGAGTCAAGTTTATCTGTTTACTTGCTTCTAAATATGCTTTCTGTTTTTTCAAATTATCAATCAGTAAAGACTGTTTTCTGAATGCTTGTAAAATTTCTGAAAATTGTCGTTCATAATTCTTCACCACCAATCTTTCACTATCTTCTAATTTCCGTATTTTATCTCGTAAACTTCTTTCTTCAACTTTATTTGATTTAATGTTATTTTTTAATTTTTCATTGTCTTCTACTGATCTATTTAAACGTAAATCCAAACTACTGATTTGTTGATTAGCATGTTTTAATTCTTTTTTAATCACTTCTATATCCTAAAAATGAATTATCAATTTTGTAGATAAAAATGTACGTTTTAAAAAAACATTAACTATACCTTTTTTAATGAGCAGCTTTCATTCAGACGTGCTTGTAATTCCATTTGTTGAGTTGAAATAGTGTTTTCTAATTTACTAATTGTACTTTTTAAATTGATAATTTGATTGTTGAGTTTATCCTTTGACTCATTGATCTTTGTATTTTCGTTTTGTAAATCTTTAATCAAGTTATCTTTCTTTTTAAGCTCATTTTTAACTGTATCTAAATCATTCACTAATACTTTTACTTTTGCCTTCAAAAATTTTATAATTGTTTCATTGCTTTTCACAGAATTATTTTCAGTTGAAAAAAAATCATCATCTATCAATGGAATTGCTTCATTTCTGATTATACCAAAAAAACACAATAATATTATGGAATAAAATTAAATAATTTATGATTAAAAAAAAATATTACAAACCTAATGTTAATTTTATCTTCATTATTAATATTTGAATTCGAGCAATTATCCTTCAATCTAATATTTGGAGTATTATTCTTGTTGCGAGTGTGAAAAGAATCGGAATCAAATGATTGTTGAGAATCAAAAGAATTCAAGTCATTAGATAAATTATAAAATTTAGAAAATCCTGTGGAAAGTAAACTCTTTGTAGTTAGATGATTATTACTACTATTAATAATAAGTTCAACTTCTTTAAACAATTCATTAGTTTTTTTGTCTAATTCTTTATTTATTCGACGAAATTCTCTTTCTTTATTCAATAAATCATCTGTCATTGTGATAAGCTTTATTTGTTTTTTATATACTAGATTATTTATTTGTTATTTAATTACTAGATGAACAAAAAAAAAGGTAAGAGGGTTTACTCATTGCAAAAATTGTCCTTTATGAGGTGGCGCTGCTTACTATTTCTGAAAGGTACAAAAATTAAATTAGTGAATTTATTCATTATATTATTTATTTCTTTCTTTGAAATCAGCAATTAGAAAATACTTGTAAGGAAGATTTTAAATTTATTATTGCTAAGGATTTCGACAATACTTAATGTGTAGTTTGACCAAGTGTTTCACAAGCAAATCTTTGAATTTATGTTGAATCGGACGTTACTTACGGCAGTGATGCTGTTGAGAATAAATCAACATAATATTTATATTAATTGTATAAAACTAAGTAATTTTTTTTAAATATTTTAATAAAGTTAATAAACTACATATAAAACCTTGAATTTTATTTACAATTTTATTTAACTTTCTATTGACAATGATTTATGATGATTTATTTGATTCTTCTGATTGTTTCTGTGCAGTCCATCCTTTAGCTATAGACAAAAGCTTGAGAATTGGTTTCTGAGATTCGTCTTCAGGAAATTCAAAATCAAAAACTTCTGTCCAACCGTCAGTACCATCTTCTCCAACAACTCGTTGAGTCTTTTTAATTCTTCTTGGCATCTTTTCTTTAATTTTAGCACGACTTTCGTCATCTCCTTTTTCATTTTCGAAATCTCGCCATGCTTCAAGGAGTAGAGCTCGGTTTTCTCGCTCTCCATTAGCTCGCAAAGCAGAATTTCCTCTTTCAAAAATGCGCCTTGCTGCCGCCACACTATCGATTCCTTCTTCCGAATTAGCATTAAATAATTCAAATTTAGCATATGCTATCCATATTTTAACATGAATAGAACGTTCTAATAAACGTTCAAATAGATTTCGAGCATTTGCAGGTTCGTCTTGACTTATTTCAAAATCTATGTAAGACTTCCATAATAACTCAGGCATATCAAGCCTAGGTTGTTTCAATCCAAGCTCGTAAATTGCACGAGCTCTGTCAATGTCTCCTAAGAGAGTCTCTAATTCAGCATATTTCATCCATGTTGTACAATTTTCAGGTTCATATTCTAAAAATTTTTCATATAATTTTCGACACCGATCGAATTCTCTTAACTGAATCTCTAAATCAATATAACCACGAAACAATTTATTTTTCGGACACATTCCAAGACTTTGTCCTAATGCTTTACGTGCTGCTGCTAAGTTCTTTTGTCTTAATTCAAATTTTGCATATAATAGCCAAACTTTAGCAAAAGTAAATATTTTATGTGGTATTAATTCCAGACAGACTTTATAAACTTGGCGACAACGTTCTATATCTTCTGTTTCTAATTCTTCAAACAGTGCGTAGTTTATCCAAAGGTAAATATATCTTCTCCAAAAGTCTTTTTCTCTTTTGGGTGGGACGTACGCTATAGCTCTTTCATAAATTTCCCGAGTTTCTACATTGTTTCCTTCAGCCTCCATTAGCTTCAGATAGTCAAACCACGTATCATAATTGTACGGATCTTCTTTTACTTGCTGTTCATATTTATGTTTTCTTTTACTAACAATTACATCTTCTATTCCGGATCTATCACCATATTTTTTTTCATGAATAGTATAAGCTTTGTATATTTCTTCAGTTCTATCTTTGGGTATATGGTCAAGAGCATACTTATATATAACCCGAGCTCGTTCATGCTCTCTCTGGGATTCTTCGAATTTGGCAAATGCAATATAAAGTTTTTCGTCAATAGTTTCGTCTCCGTAAAAGATAACAGCTCGTTCATAGACTTTTCTTGCACCTTTAATAAATCCATTAGCATTTTCGAATCTTGCATATTTAATCCAATTTTTTACGTCTGGATGAACCATGACAAATCTTTCATAAATGGCTCGAGCTCTATCAATTTCTTTATAGCGCATTTCAAAATTGATATATGTTTGCCAAGCTTGCTCATCTGGTTCCCATTCCATCCAACGTTCAAAAACTTGTCGAGCTCCAGCAATGTTCTCCAACATTTCTTCCATATACGTGTACTTATACCAAAATTGGTTAACTCGGGGTAAAATTGTGAGAGCTCTATCCCACAAATTTCGTGCATGATTTATTTGACGATTTTTCATTTCCATCTCTACATATTTCAGCCATAATGTAACGTTGCGATGATCAACGTCTAGAGCACGTTCGTAAATTGACCTTGCTCGTTCAATTTGCTTTTGTGTTTCTTCCCAATGGGCATATTTCAACCAGTTAGCAACTACCATACGATTTTTTCGAATGTTATCTTCGAAAGCTTTCCTTTTTCGATGTTGATAATCTGCTAATTCATGTGGATCTGAGATTTTTTGTTTAGGTGGTGGAGGTAGAATCTCTAAATCTCGCTCTTTCGCCTCTCGTAACAGTTGCTCGGCAGTAATTTGTATTTCTGCTGGAGCTTTATTTTTAACCTAGGAAATTATACAATTAATATGTTTTATTGTTTCAAATAATGAATAAATATTCAAATGTCATAATGTATATGAATATTTAGACAGTAAAAATGCTTTATAATTATAATATCTTACCTTTGCCACTTTTGGCATTTTCTGTGGTTTCTCCATTTTTATTTCTTTTGTTTATAATACTATTATTGAAGCTTTAAAAATTTAATAGTGAGTTATCAGAAGATTTTTGATTTCTCAAAATAATCGAAAATAAATATTTTCTATGATAAAAATTATAAATAGAGCCACTATTTGACAATGCACACACGACACTGGAATCACAACGAATGAGAGGTTAACCTAGGTTACCCTAGTTAGACTAGTCTCTCTTCTCTGACCTAGCATTGTTTAATGGACGCCACTTTTGTTCATTCTGAATTTTAGTAGAGGGCGCAACATGTTAAGTCTTGAAGCGGACTTTTCAAAATTAATTTAAAATTTATAAAAAGAATTTTCTTATTTACCATACTATTTTTTAGATAACTGATGATCAGCTTTTATATAAAAAAAACAATAAATACATGATATTCTGTGGAAAAAAATTTAAGGTGATAATACTTAAATATGGCCCAGTCTCAATAAGATACAAATAGCGCTCTCAACATGGCATCTTACATGTAAATCGCCATCTTTAAATATGGCGCTATCTCAATGACAATTTTTTTTTAACGTATGTTGTGCACTCATACATCAACAAATATATAAAAGGTTACCATGGAGACGATTACAAAATAACCTCAAAAAATTTGAAAACAAACATCTTCCATTTGTTGACATTTTGGCCGAATGATCTGAGTAAATAAATAGATTGTTTCATAATTATGATGTAAATGTAATAAGTATGGCAGCTCGTATAATTTTACAAGGTAACATAAATAAGTAACAGCGAGGTTTTATTGATATAAACAACATATGAACGATAATTTAAAATTCAGCATTAAATGAATATCAAACGGCACGCTTACGATTCGTTCAATCTATCTCGGACTTGGCATCAAAACCTCACAATGTTCCTGCATTAGAAACTGCAGGAGTTTTGAATTTATTGCGACCATTACTACTAGATGTGGAACCATCTATTCAGCAAACAACAATTATAGCCATTAGTAAAATGGCTAATTACAATCAGAAAGTTGCCTATGCCGTAATACAACAAGACGTCATTCCACCACTATTACAAAATATTGGAAAACAAAACGTACGATAATCATAAATGTAAGCTAAATACTTTATAAATAATTATTACAGATAGAACGCCTTTAAAGTCTATTTATCCAATTCTTTTCTAGGAATTTTACAAAAAAGCTGTATTATTTTTACTTCGTGCCGTAGTTAAGCATTCGCCAGAATTAGCTGATATCATAATAAAAGATGGGGGATTAGAAACAATTATACTTTGCTTAGATGATTTCAATGTTCGAGTCAAAGAAGCAGCAGCTTGGGCACTTGGATACATTGCCAGGCATAATCAAGTTTTAGCTCAAACCACTGTTCGTGCAGGTTGATAGTTAAAAATAATTATATTTAGTATTTTTTATAATCCTAAATGAATTCATGACTATTTTAGGTGCAGTTCCACTGCTCGTGATGTGTTTGCAGGAGCCGGAACTATATCTTAAACAAATAAGTGTATCAGCTTTGTGTGATATAAGTAAACATTCACAAGAATTAGGACAGAGTATTGCTGATGCTGGCGCAATAGCTTTTCTTGCAAAGTCATTAACTAATCCTGATATTAAGTTGAAGCGTCAGATATTATTAACTCTCGGTAACATTGCTAAACATTCAGCTGATTTAGCAGAATCAGTCGTTGAAGCTGAAATTTTACCTGACATTTTATTACTCATGACACATTTTGATGACAGCATACGCAAAGCATCTGCTATTCTTATTCGGGAAATTTGTAAACATTCTTTAGAGGTAACACAAACAGAATCAGAAAATATTTGATCGCAATTATTTTCTAATAATATTATATCCATATACATATATAAGAGTATTTAATGATATTCTAGTTAGCTCAATTAGTAGTGAATTCCGGAGGAGTAAAGTCTCTTATAGAATTAATTTCCGTTTCAAATTCATCATCTAAATTACCAGGAATAATGGCGTTAGGATATATAGCAGGCCATTCAGATCACCTAGCATCAATGATCATTACATCAAAGGGTGCAGTTCAATTATCAACATTATTACAACAGGAAACGAATGATATTGCTCTTGCAATAATAATTTGGACCTTGGGACAAATAGGAAAACACGACTCAGAGTGTGTTAAAGCAATTACTGATACAAATATATTACCAAAATTATTACAGGCAAGTTAATCACGTAATTTTCACGAGATTATTTTGAATTTCATATTCTTAAATGATTACATTCATTTATTGTGGTTCTAAAATTAGAATAAAAAAATCATTCATCAATTTTTAACAGTTTTACTGCAATCCGAAAAGCTCTGATGATCTAAAGAAAAAAATTAAAACTAGTTTGAAATATATTGTAAAAAATTGTCAAAATACTGAAGCTCTTGAACCTTTATTGAATAACGGTCCACCAGAAATACTGAAATATGTTTTAGGACAATTTAGTAAGGTAAGAAATATATTAAAGATGTATTTAAATATGTTCAACATATTAATAGCTTGTTATATTTTACTCCATGTATGTACATACATATATTTTTCATATGAATTAATTGTAATATATATTTATATCTATATCTATATATTGTACATATATATTTTTTATAAAGTGATGATATAAAGTTCAATTGAATGTGTGTACAGCCATATTACTCAGTTGCAACAAATATTATTATTCTCTCAATAATTTTATTTTTCATCTGTATTATATCTTCTTTCATAATGCTATTATCTAACGTATGTATTCTAGTATGATTGATTATTTCAGTCATTAATTAATTTTTTTTGTTATTTTTATAATTTTGTATAATTTATTCCTATTTTTTTTAATTTAATTACTATTGTTTGCGAGTACTACTTTTTTTTAATGTAAATAATGTTTTTATATAAAAACTTCGATTTCACAAAAATTGGTCAAACTTGAAAAAGCCAGCTACAAATTTTTAATTAGGTATTCAATATCAGTTATATATTTAATTTGCAGCTATGAATTAAAACTTTCTGTTTCTTTTCTTTTCTATTTTATTATTATCTATTCATGATGGGAAGAATATTATTGAATATTGGTGTAAAAGCCTGTTTTTCTATTTAGTGAACCTTCAGTCTTTGAATACAAAAGATTTTTTAGCACGCACTAAAGTACCGAGAATAATTATATTAAGCGTAATTTGGTTTTTTTCCTAATAATTTTACTAAATAACATTTCTTTATTATAGCATATTAAAGTCTTCTTGTTTCATCTTTCTTATAATTTTTAAATCATTTAGATTTAGTTTTTTTTTAAAAAATCACGGAATATTATATATATTATTTTTAATAAAATTCTTATACACTTTATATAATCGAATATTGACACATTTTTTAATTGATTGTTTTATCGGCCAAATAGTTAATTTCTAATAATTAATATAATTTAACTTGTAAATACACAACATTCTGTTTGATTTATTAAGAAAATGTTTAAATTGGTTTGAATATTATGAATTCTATTGTAATATACTTTATTACTACAGATACTTCTGGCAGTTTATATAATTGGAAATGAAATACTTTACTGCGTGTAAGTAATTGATTTAAAAACGATTAAATGATTTAAAAAATCATTAAACAGTTAGAAATAAAAATATTTGTTATTGATAGATTATAAGGCATATATACTTGATGATTACGTGTTAGCTTACATTTATTTTCTTAGCTCTTATAAAAACAGTTAAGCTATTTATTTTAAAAAAGTTCATTACGGCTAATTTATTAGTAATTAACAAATTTAAGCTCGGTTAGAAAGATTTTTTCAAATATTTCTTTATATCATTCTCTCGTTAGTGTTGTATTGATATTAACAAAACTTTAGTTGCAAAAAAAATTCACAATGTAAACTAAAAATTATTCTTTTGTTTTTTAGTAATCGCAGTTGTTGGCAGTATGAAAAATTTTTTTATCCTTTTACCAATTTCAATATTAATTTTGACAGTCAAAAATGATTGATGAGTACAATTATTTTTTGTGGAAAAAAATTTTTTCATCGAAAACTGCCAGAGTCATTAAATTTATATACTTATTCAAACATAAGTTCGTTGATTGAAGTTTTCAAAAAAATTTTGGTCCTGCGATATTATCAAGCCTGATTGCTATCAAGGCGATTATTCGACTCAGAGCATGCAATCTGTTCACGTTTCTCTGAAAAAAAAAATTGTCATGGTGCCAGTTGGTTTTCTAAGCCATTTGTACATGGCTTAACGAATTAATTGAATGAAAAAATACATATAAATAGGCATAGCAAAAAAATTCTTTACATTTATAAGTTGAACACGTATTCGTCCATTAGTAAAAGATTGAAGAATTAAGGAAACATTTAATAACGATTGAAAGAATAGAAATATTTTTATAATAATAACAATAATAAATAAATGTCTAAGTCTCACATCATGATAATTACTCATCAATCTCATCGTTTGCTTTAATACTAGCATAATTATTAACATTTCTATTCACCCTCAGCATTTTGAGGAAACTTCCAAGTACCAAAATTGTTTTACGATGTCTTCGGAAAATTCCTGAGTATAAAGCTTCACGTACATCCCTTCGATCGCTAACATCTGAATCAATACTTGATACAGATACAACAGATGGTTTAGCAGAAACTGGATTATGTCTATAGTTATGATCATTTGAACTTAGTATAATTCTTGATTGATTATTAATCATTTTGAATAATTGTTAGATCACAGAAATGAATAGAGCTCACTTAGAAAATGATTAACTAATCAGGAATTTGAATACTAAAGCACGTTGCAAAAAAACTTCTTTTACTTGATTACAATTCTAATTTATTATACAGCAATTTTTCAAGTCTCAGCAGCTTTTATATGATAAACTTTCAGCTTATTTGTTCAATTCTAACGACGTCACACATAAAATCTTCTGACTTGATAAAACTTGTCTCGTATCTCTTCTAATTGTTTACTTGTGTCACTTCCTTCGAATTTAAAATTCCATTTTGTTTACACTAGGATCTCATGACCCGAAGAACCTCGATCATGCTGATGTAGTGATGATAACAGCAACAAAAATCTCTGACTCTATCGAAATAATAGAATCCAATTCAATCAATTTATCAGGAATTTTTAGTGATCGTCCTGGAGCTTCTCTTGCACCCAGTAATTGATAGAATTTGATCATCCACCGGTCTTCTTTCATTATTCTTTCAAGTCTGAGTTTTTTTTTATTATCTTTTGGGTACTTCAAATTGAACTTCTTCTATTAATATTAATAACAGTAATGTGCAGTAGTTGAAAGTATGTTTCGTGAGCTAAATCCAAGCTTCGACTGTCGATCACCAGATTTTCTGCGTCGTTTTTACTCCACTCCAATCATGAGTCATTTGATGATATTTATCGAAGCATGTGTGGCAATGATTTTATCAGTTATCTTTAGAGTAGATTATCTGAAAAATTTATTTTTAGTGTCATTTGTTTGTTTCCTTAAAGAAATGCATTAATATTTTTTATTTCGTCATAATAAAAATTACCTTTGAAACTAAAATTTCAAAAATAAATCAAAAACTAACTCACTATATGTTCACTCAATCATTTTTACAGGAAAAATATTGCAAGTTTGGAATTAAAAAAATTTGATTAAAACTGTCTTCATTCAAATTCATTATTTCCTATTAAATATATTTTATTTTTATTGAAAATGTCAATACTTTTTATTTTCGTCTCATGATACTCCTACGACTAATATGATAGACATTTATTATACACAGCTATTTATTAATCATATCGATCTAATAATGAACAGTAATAAAGACTGATTGTTTTTTATTGACAACCATCTCAGACAATGAATGTGTTTTTGTCAACGTTTATTTTAATTTAGCAGAATTATTATTACTCCTTATACGTTATCCGTATTTAACTATTAGTTCAAATGTTCGATTTCTAACAATTCACTAGAAATATTTTTTTAATTTAACTTTTTCAACGAATATTATTTAATAAAAACTTTCGTGAATCTATTTATAATAAATTGTATCCTCTAGAATATCGAATAAATATCCATATGAACGAATAAGGAAAGCACGATCGAATCAACCCAATATACAAATTTTACTTGCAGTTACATCGGAAATTTCCGCTTGGATAGTTGCCAATTTGATGTAAACATCTGAGAAAATTCAACGAACTCTATTTTTTCATTAAATTTAGCTATAAACAACTATGAATTAGTAACATCAATTAAATAACTTGACTGAGTAAATTCCAATTAGAGCTATTATAAAGCTAAAAATGATTCAATAAAAAATTCTCTCTTACCATCTATTCATTAATTACTAATAATAACGACTTCCTTGTTTAATGATAATAATAATTAAAATCATAACAAATAATTTATTAAAAAATAATAATGTTATTTTATTGTCAATATTTGAATGTATAAAATATAAGCAATCATAAAAAAAAATAAAAGTTTTTGATAATACTTTTCAACTATTAAAATTAAAAATCGATTTACATGCTGATGAATAACAAGGACAGGATTTAAAAAATTATCAAGTACTAAATAAGATGTAGATATGTGTGACACAAAAAGTGTGAATAGGTCATCAGGTTTCAGAAGCCTTAGATATTATTAATTATTATAGCTTCGTTATTACTTCAATCACTTAACTATTTATTTTTTACAATATTGTCGATAAAATCTTGATTATTTTAGTTATAAATTATCATTTTTTATTATAAAGTATCGAAAAGAAAAAATTTTTACACATTCTTAAATTTTTGTTATTTTAAAGATTTTACCACATGATCCACGAGCTAGAAGAATTTTTGTTACAAGTGGAGGATTAAGAAAAATTCAAGAAATTAAAGTAGACCCTGGTTCATCAATTTTTGAGTACATGAACATAATATATTCCTGTTTTCCAGAAGAAATCATCAGGTATTTCAGTTACTCAATAATGAAAAAAAAATCACTTGACATTCATTAATTTTTATTTTTCTAATATTTAAACAACGATACTTATGTTTAATAATAATTTACTACCTGTATACTTGATTGTTCAATTTATAATTAAGTAATTGACACTCACGGAAACACTAGTTGCATTGGCTTGTACTTCTACACTTAACCCATTTAAATGATATTTATTCATTATTGGACACTCACATTAATCAAATGTCATCTTCACTTAAATAACAATTAATCAGTTGTGTAAACATTTATCACAAAACACAGGAATATATTTGGAAAAACCTGTGTTGAATATTTTCTCATATTATTGTTGAAGTCTTGTAAAATCATTGTACAACGGGAGTGCCGCCATTTTGCCGCTAACTTTTACTTTTTTTTCTTATTACGATTGTAAATGGATCAATACTTTTGTTTAAACAATCGATAATTGTAATGTATTAATTGTTGCAGTATTATATAATTACTATTTTTTGTTATTTTCAGATATTACTCTCCTGACTTTTCGGATGTTATATTAGAAAAAGTTGAACAATATCAACCTAAAGTTATTTCTTCTACTACTGGAAATGAATGTAAACAATTATCAGAAACATCTGATTCTAGTTTGTCACTTAACTATGATGATTAAGTGGAGAATAAAAATATTTTTATATAAAATAAAACATTCATAGAAAAAATATAGATCATTTTTAAGGAACTTATATGATCGGAAAAAAATTATAATAGAAATATTTATTATTTTAGGGGTTTTAAAAATTTATATGTAGTTTCAGTCTTTGCCGTCAGAATGCATAAAAAAGCGGGAACTTTATAATACAGAGTTGCCAACCATAAATAGTGTATAGTAAATAATCTTGAATATTGATTTAGGAAATAAAATTTCTCAATGTTGTAAATTCAATTGTCTCTACTGAACAAAAAGATTTTTACTTCGATTTTGAGATAGCCAAAGGGATCCATTTTCAAACACAATTGTGACTAGTCATTCCTGAACAGCATTTTTCAAATAATAAATACTTATTATTTGAGTAATAATAAACAATAATCTATAATAATGGGCTTAGTACGTGTAGTGCAAGATGACAGTCATTTCCATACAGAATTGGCTAGTGCAGGAATAAAACTTGTCGTTGTTGATTTTACTGCAACTTGGTGAGTTTTAAGGTTATTTCCTTACATACTTTTGACAAAAATAAATATATTTTTTTAATTCTTCTCATCAAAAGTTACAAGAATCAATTTTATAATTATTGAATGTAAATAATAAAAATTAGTTCAATTAATAAATTAAATTAATAACTTCTCTTAGGTGTGGACCATGTCAAAGAATAGCTCCAATTTTTGAACATCTTTCTACAAAATATCCCAATGCAATTTTTTTGAAAGTGGATATTGATAAATGTGCTGAAACAGCGAGTAGCCAAGGTGTCAGTTCTATGCCGACATTTATTTTCTATCGTAATCGTGCAAAACTTGGCATGTGCCAAGGAGCTAATCCTTCAGGTTTAGAGGCAAAAATCATCGAATATTACGGTTCTGGAGATAGTGATGGACCAGTTGCTGGACATGTACGAGATAAAAAATCTGATTTATATTATAACATTTTCGGAATGATTATTTTAGCTTTAGTTGTGTATTATTGGAGTAAATATCAGTAAGACTGGTCAAAATTATATTGAACACAAAATATTAAATACACCAGTTTTTCTAATTAATGCTTAAACATTTATTTCCTCATCTAATTAACAGTATTTTTTTCAACATACAATCACAATTCAAAATAAATTTACAGATGGACTTGTCATCTTTTATCTTAAAAGGACAGTGTGAATGTTTAAATGAGTCAGATGATCATAATTTAGAGAAATGCTTAACTGCCGATGGTCCTGGTTATCTTGAAAGTGATTGTGATGAACAATTGATCATTTCAATAACATTTACACAAGCTGTCAAAGTACATTCATTAAAGATTAAAGCTCCTGCTGATAAAGGACCTAAGAATTTAAGAATCTTTATTAATCAACTTCGAACTCTTGATTTTGATTCAGCTGATTCCACTACAAGTGTTCAAGATATAACGTAGGTTTTTTTTATCTAAAATAAATGACAAATAATAAAATAGAAAATTACATCCCTTATTTATGTAATTATTCATTATTACAGATTAACACCTCAAGATTTAGAAGAAGGAAATCCAGTACCTTTACGTTATGTTAAATTTCAAAATGTTATGAACTTACAAATATTCGTTAAAGACAATCAAACAGGTACAGAAACAACTCAAATCAACCATTTAGCTATTATTGGCTCGCCAATTGCTACAACAAAAATGGAAGATTTTAAAAGAGTAGCTGGAGCAAAAGGTGAAAGCCATTAAATATAAAAATATCTTTTCGTACATTTTTTTGTTTATTAATAGCATTTCAATAAATAATTCTGTATTTTTAATGATTTATAAAATGATAAATTAATAAAAATATATATAAATTATCCCGATGTTTTATGTATCCTCCAAATTCCACCACAACGACAAGCCCGTGTCCAACGTTGATCCCATGCTCTAATAGCTGCTGTTCTTGTCATATTTTGTACTTGTGCTTTTCCGCCGCATCTATTAACATGAATCATGAAAATTAATTTTGCAATGAATTAATGATGATACTTAATTTTTAGTTCTCAAACAGTAATAATATAATAATATGTTCTTACCTCGTACACTGTTTTACAAGCAATGGTTGTTTTCCTAAGTAAACATGCCGGATTGTATCAACTACTTGACTACTATGCATACAGCCTTCAATAGTATTTAATTCAGGTACAAATAGTAAGTGTTCGGGTTCAATTCCATGTTCAAGTTGAAGAGGTAAATTTTGATAAAATAATACTGGAGTAGCGATAGCTATTATACTATTAGACTGATGTAATTGTGGAATCATTATTTGATTCGGCAACAGACAACAATCATCTAAAATAAAGTAATATTGCAAATATTATTACTATTATTATTATTATTATTATAATAAATTATATTGCATTCAAATAATAACTCACCAATATGACTATCGTCTACTTGTTGTGTGGTATCTCCACTAGATTGTACAAGTTTAGATAATAATCTAAATAAAAGTGCTAAAACATCTAAATTATCAGCACTCCGGAAAAAGACAGGTAAGCACGACGGTCTAAGTAATCCCCATATTCTAATTATTACCAAAAGCTCTCTGATGGTGTTTAAAGCTTTATAATCCTTCAAAAGTTCATACTAAAAAAATAATATATAACGTCAATAATTATTTCAAAGATAAAAAATAAATAAAAATATGAATAAACTTACTCCACCGGGTTTCATCTGCATTCTTTGTTCTGGTAATTTGGCAAGCAAATTAAGAGCTAAATCAGCGACCCATTGGATAACTTGTCTCAAAGATTGTAAAGTACTTGGTTCAACAGTGAATTCTTTTGGATCCAGATGTAATAAAATTTTATCTACATCAGTGATTGATTCATTAATTACAGCAGCTAAACTCTCAGCAGGTCCTTTATCATGTGATATAAGATCAGAAGGTCGCAACAAAGATTTGAAAGCTGTTGCAACACTATGAATCATTAGTAATGATGATAAATCTGCAGCTTTACTTTGTCCTGTTACTAACATTCGATATAATGAAATTTTTATACACAAAAATTGTATATAGTGATATTGCTGAGTTGTAACAGTTTGGCGATTAAATGAGGAATCAAATCTTTCACATAACGCTTCTATCGTTGATGATCTAAGACAAAACAATAAATCCAACCAATCAGTACCAGTTACTAGGCAGTATTCCAACATCGTACATGCGTAGCTTAAAGTTATTGACGTTCCACCATCAGGCATCAGTCTGTATACGTACATATTGCCCTGAGTATCACAGGCAAGTAGTACAAAGCCTAACCAAGAGATATCAATGTGAGAAATTGTAACAGAACTTTTAAAGTATTTTGAACTTGGCTCATCTTGACGTAATGACATATTCAATGATGAAGACGCCACTTCTTTTAATGAATCTCGAGTAAGATAATGAATTGATGAGTCGGCTAAAGCAATAATTACTGAACTAGGTGGAGGTAGGGTTGTAACAATTGGCACTTTAGTTGTAGCAATCGCAATTACTGGTGATTGACAGCAATATTGTGATTGATGTTGCCAAACGACAGTTTTGAATTCTAGATTATTTGGTTGAAATAGTTTATGAACTGATTGAGTTTTTTCACGTAATTCCCATACATCCACAAATGATTCAGATTCACCACTAGCTGCTACTATTAACGAATCAGCATCTTCACGCACGACGAATTTTAAATGTGTTATGTCTGTACAACTATCCTTTAATGCACCATCTTGTAAGAAAAAACTAGGCAATGCTTGCGACGTTATACTGCATTTATCTTCATTTTTTCGTACTAACACTCGATAGCATCTAATTGGAAAACAACTCATTCCACCTGTTGCAGCAATCAAAAAATGTCCTTTTTTGCCATAACATATGTCTACTGCTGATATCTTTTGACGTGTGGTACCTAAACTTTCAGTAGCATAACAAACTGGATTTTGAAGATCTTTAGTTATCATTACTGTTGCTACCATTCCTGTGCTTGATACTACTAACACTCCTTCAGCTGCTCTACCGCCAAATTGTCTCACTGAAGGTGCAAATGATAAATTATTGAACTTTTCACTGTAATAAATACTATCCTTCTTTTCGGTTACCAGTGCTGTCTGAAATTTATAAAATTAATTATTAATAACTGTCAATAATAAAATTAATTACGAATGTTTAAATAAATTCCTACTTTTTTGCCATTATGAAACCAAACAGCACCAAGAATATGCTCTCCAGGAAATGTAGCTGAACCGATAAGTATCCATTCATTTAAAACGTAATCTTTAAAACTCCATAACTGTACATTGCCCGCACGATCTCCAATTACTAATTTATCACCACATAAATCCCATTCTAAAGCAGTTATTGGATGAGATGTAAACGATGTAACTCTAAAAATAAATAATTTATCATTTAGAAACCAAATTTAATTAATAAAACAAAAAAAATTACTTATTTACCGATGAGATTGTGTTGGCATGTTAAGATCACAGACATAGACATGAGATCCCCATGTTTTCCCATGAATATCATCAAACCATACAGTAGTTGTAAACGCTGCAATATTGCGACTTGACAATGTACATAGGCTGTGACCATCAAAAAGGCTATAAAATATAATTCAATATTATATTAATATCATAAATGTTTAATGAATAATAATATTAAAAATGCTGAATAAATTACGTTTCATTTTGAAAAAAGGATTTTGCAGATGTTTTTCGGTTCACGGTATATAGCAGATCCATTCTAGAAAATTGCCTAATGAATGTTCAAATTAAACTATTCAATTATCGGATAATAAATATACATTTATATCAATCTATTGTTCTAATTAACTAACTATGTATGATATATTATATCTAATTATAATTTGAACATTGAAACCATTAAAATACTATAAAAATATTGCGAATAACACAGAAGAACTTTTACAGTCTATTTACAAAGAGAAAAAACTTTGAGGTTATGAAGGTAGCTCGATTAAGTGAGCATTCACTATACACAAAATAAACAATAATAAAATTCCATTAATTGTTACCCCCTCTACATTGTTTTATGTTACTGCGCAAGCGTTCAAGAAAGCACATGAAAAGTTTAAAAGAGAAAATACAAAAGATTTTCATTAATGTTTTGTAATTTAAAAATCACGGTTATACACATATGCATAACCATGAATAGCAATGAGTATACTCTTAATAGATATTTAAAAAAGTATTCTGCCAAAATGTTTTCATGTACACATACATTAAACTTTGGTTAAGTTATGAAGGTGGCAAATAATTATTTAAGTTATTTTGATATCTAATTTTAGTTGCATGGAAAATATATACTAATTTGTTCTTTCAATAAGTACAAAATTACAGTTGAAAAATTTCATTTATGTAAATTTTTTTATACATCAGTATTGAAGAATTCAGTCGATAATTGGATTTAATGATGAAGAAAAAACACTTGCGAAACAGATTCCAGCAAAACTTGATGCTGATCCTACATTTCGTATCATGTAAATTTATTGGACTTATAAATAAAAATCTTGATTCTTACTGTGACTAACAAATGACTTTTTTTCTTTCTAAGCCCTATTTTTGTAAATGGAGTTAAATTAGTTTTATTAATAAAAGAAATAGTAATCGATATTGATATAAACCCATATTGCAAAAATAACCCCCGATAATGTAAATTTGTTACGTTGAGTCTGCGTGAAATTTCAATAATAATCTTTATTGGTATCAAAACTTCAAAAATCCAGACAGCCGTGATGAGATTTTATACAGCAGACTTACGGCAGAATGAAGGCCGTCTCTAATGTAATGATCTCTCCACTTTACACTGGAGTGGTGCCCATTTTAATTTTACAGGCATCTTTTAGCACAGTTACGTTCTTAAAAAAAAGGCTTGTACAAAAATTAAAAATTTTTCTATATTTGTAAATGGCACTACTAGATAAAATTGAATTTGAAAATTTTAAATACAATAGATACTTTAATTACGCGGTATTGTTAATTAAATAATTAATCTATTAATATTACGAAATTTTCTTTTCCCTTCATTACATTGTCGCTAAGCATGTGAACTACATTTAAATACAACGATTCTTATTATTCATTAATAATTGAAATTATTTCTATGAGGACGATTTTAAATGTAGGTGTTCAAAGAATAGAAATTTATTTTTAGCTTAATACATATATTTTCAATTTTCTTAAAAAAATACATATTGATGTAGTTATTATAAAAACAAATAATTTTAACAATTCTCTCTTTCTCTCTCTCTCTCTCTCTCTCTCTCTCTCACACACACACACACACTTACAATTTTTCATCACAAAACATATTCTTTATTATTAAATAAAAGTTCTAGTGACTAATTTAATTATGATAAATTATCATTCTTATAATTAGTTTTATCTTATTATAACTACTACTTTACTATGTTAGAAACGGGTAATTAGATAATACATTAAAAAATACATTCGCAAGTTTTGATTGAAATAATAAAGTTTGCTGGCTGTCTTTGTTTTTATCTTGTTTCCAGTTAAACTGAACTGATAACTGAGAAGAAACTGCTTCAACCATAAAATTATTTAACACTATTTGAAGATTAGTTCCTCCCAATTTTTCGAGAAAATTTTGTAATGACATCTGAAGTTGGGGATCGTTCTCAAATGATTCAAACTCTTGGATTGTTTTCAATGGAAATTGAGGAGGTTTTCAGAATGAATTATGTCTTTTTTGAATTATAGAATTTATCAAATCTTCTTTAAAAGAATCGAATTGTTTTTTTATAATATTTTTAATTTGGGGGACAATAATTTCGGATAGCGAATCTAATAGCTCAGTTTTTAAAGTACTCATGTTTATCGAACTGGATCTAGTATCTATTGGATTAACTATTGAATTATTTATATTATTGTCTTGCGGAATACTGAGAGAAGCAGAAACGGTGCTAACATTGGTTGAGGCACGAGGATCATTTTTTACGTGATGTCGTTTAGTGATGTGGCTCATAAATTCATTAATGTAGATTGATTTACGCTGGATCTTCTCACGGCGTCGCTCAGCTTCGTCGTCCGATGATGTCGAACAATGCATCAGGACGTCCACATTTGTCACAGCCACGGAATCTTTTGGATTCGTGTTGATCCTAAATCAGATAGATAAAAAATACTTGATGATAAACTCATGAAACTAAACAGAAGAATAAAGATAACGTTTATCAAATATAAATACTCCTGTCGGAAAACTGAATTACAGATAAATAGATAAAAAAGATAGGGAAGATACAAAATTAAAATATTGTAAAACAGTTCATTTCACTGCACTTAATTTTATCAGAAAGGAAACCAATTTAATTTATATTATAACTAGAAAATTATAATAAATCTATTTTTGCAGTGGGTAAGTTATCAATGAATAGTAAATGTGTTTAAAGCTCACCATTTCAGATGATGCTCTGGAGTTTTTCGCAAAGTCGAGTTCGGCAATAGTTTGATGAATTGGCAATGATTTATATCGTCGCAATCTTTAAAACAGTTAATTATTCCAATAAGCAAGCTCTCGAACACTCTTGAGGATCCACTCATCAATCTATATTAAAAAAAGACAATTTTAGAGTAATTTCTCTACAAAAACACTTTTAACGTTTCCATGAAACCTACTACTTCCTACTCATTCAACGTTAATGCAATGATATTGAAGCTTTAAAAAATTTATATTAATTAAGAAATTGCGTACTCTTTCCGAAATTTTCTTTTTGTCTTATGAGTTAATTTCGAAAAAGCCAAATTAGATAGTACAGTACTAATACCGAAAGAACATTATATTAACATAAAATGTTTAAACTTTTACGTGAAAATGATAATCTTATATTTACAATGCAGATTTTTTTACGAATGTGTATTATTCACCTTGTAATTTTTACATCAGGAATTCGACAATATATAATTTGACAATGTATTAAAGGAATAAAAAATACCGATGATAAAGTTGCATTATGCAATTAGATACTCTTCTTTACCTCTTTTTTTTTGCTTGCTAAGTAGAATACTTATAAAATCTTAAGACGAGAGAACAAGAATACAGAATTGGCATTATTACGTTAACTATGCAATATGAAAGAAATACTAATCGAATTATGCGTTCATTGGAATTTTCGCGAGTTTTACTACAATCAACTTTACTGCTACTACTTTATTATAAAGTGAATTAATTTGACTTATGTAACAAATATAAAATTTTAATGAATCTATTTTTGCAATCCATAAGTAATCAATAAATAGTAAATGTGTTGAAAACTTATGATTTCAGAAGATGCTTTGGAGTTCTCCGCAAAGTCGAGTTCGGCAAGAATCCTATAAATTAGCACTCATCTATCACGTTGTTCCAGTAGTTCACTGTCTTTATGTCAATTTTATCTGTGTATCAAAGAACACTCGTGTTTTCTTTCATAAAAAGAACTTAATGGTACACTGAAAATAATTATGATCACTGATTTATATCCGCGGATGCTTCCTCTTTTCATTGCATAGATACACAAAATCGATCGAGAAACGTATGGATCACTCGGAGTCCAGACTAGTAATGATTGGGAGAAGTAACAAGCGGCAAGACCCTTCATTTGTTATAATTTTTCCCCTACTACTATAGTCCAGTCAATGGAAGGTTTAAATCACTATTTTTGGCGGAGAGAATGAAACCAACGAGAAAATGTTAAATTTTTAGGCCACGATCCATGATTGTAGAGTGAGAAAGAGAGTTTAGACAATCATAATTGAATGATTAACGCTCTCAAGAAGCTAGTTACAGGTTTTAAGAAGTTGGTCGACTGATGATGAGTGCTTATCGTGAGTTTTTAGATCTAGGAGAAATTGGGTTATACCTGATAGGAAGTTTGTGAGAAGGCCGATGTTGACTTCACCAATGATGAGTGAATGGTTATCCTTGTTTCCCTGTCCTGAGAAGGACATTTTATTTGAGTACCTCGCCTTTTAGAGCATAACTCTGGGGACGACTCTACTTCTAGTGACAGCGTTACTTGGGACGTAATATTCTTGTGCCTTTAGAAAGGCACGAGGATACACGCATCTAGCCCAAGGCCTTACAACATACCACTACGAGTCCAACCTCAATTGACCGAAAGCACCCGGCTCTCTGCATATCGTTTTTCGACTTTGCGGCTCCGGATGCGGGCTTGGATTTCAGTCTCCCGTAGTACTAGTTTTATCCGCTTTGATCGGCGGCCCAAGTTGTTTATGGTGTTAGAGGAGCACCGTTATATTGTCAACAGCTGAAAGAAAGAAAATGGTTAGTGTTGGAGTTGGATGTTTCCTGAAATATATAAAAAGTTTATTATTGCTTTGTTATCATTGTTTGTTGTTGCGTAAGAAATTCCTATCCGTTTGATCCACAGGTTTCAGGTGTTTTGCGAAGATTGCAGGCCTGCAACCTGTGCCTAGGTGCTCCGACAATACCTAGGTGTGGATCAATGAAGTTCACGAGCTATGTTTTCTTACGGCGCTGGTAATGACCTACTACTCCTACGGGGTGGAGGATTCTGTGTGTTGGGCATTGCTGCTCCCGTTTGCGCTACCCTCCTTTTCTCTCTTACCGCCTCGCGGATTCTCCTAACTTCCTCGAACAATTTCTCTCCCGCGCATGTCTTGACAAATTGTTCGAGGGCCCTACATGTGTCCTTCGTTTGGACAAACTTTGGTGCTATTTCAGACCATGTCGATCTAAGGTCAACGTTCGTTTCCGAACGTATGACCGCTATGAGACTCGTGCGTCTGTCTCTATATGCAGGACAGTGCAGCAAGAAGTGTTCCACTGTGTCCTCATCTCCCCTATTGCAATTAAGGCAGGTTGGATCTGTTTCGGTGGCATATTGTGCACGATGTGCACAGAATATACCATGTCCTGTGAATATTGGCGTCATTATGTTGTTCAGGCGTATCCATTTATTATCGAGTCTGCTATGTTCGGGAAGAAGTGTTATGTTTTGCGGCCCGTCTCAGACGCATCCCATTCTGCCTACCATATTTTTAGTGTTTGCAACCTGAGGTTCATTATCGGCGTCGGCGATTCTTCTGACGTGTTGTCGTTTAGGGAGATTCTAACGTTGTTGTATGTAACTACTTCGTCGGTGCGAAGTGAATATCGCGCATTGAGATCACCAATTGCTATGCGTATAGGCGGGACGCCCACTGCCAGGCAGAGGCCGTCCCTCAGGGTAGATGCGCGAGCGTGCGCGACAACTCCCAAGACGCTCCTCTGTGCGGCCACAAGCATCAGCCAATCTTTAGCATTGCACAAATCGCTTCATGCCGGGGATACATAAGCAATCACCGGCAGGAAGTACCCTCTATATATGATTAGACAGGTGTGATAAGTAAGTCCCCAGCGCATTCGCGAAAGGCGTCTTATTTTATGGAATAACTTTTCCGCTTGCGCCCGTCATTTGTGAATATGCGTGGAGATGTTAAGGTCTCTGCCAAACCAGACCCCCAGGTACCTAACCACTTCTGGGTACTTTATTCTATTACCCTTTATAGTAATCTTAGGCGGTTTACATTCATGCCTGTCTTTCTTTCTTCTGAGATGTGGTTTATATTCTCTGTAGTTGGGATTGTTTTTGTCCCTGTAATTCTTCTTGCCTATAAGTTTTATTTCTCTCTTCATAAAGATTGCCTCCGTCTTCGTTGTTGATAGCTCGAGCTTGGCATTCTTGCACCAAGTGAGTATTGTGTCAATGACTGCCTGTCTTTTGGCTTCAAGGGCCTCCCTTGAATTGCCATCTATGATGACAATTAGATCATCCGCGTACGCTGCATATCGTTTTCCCCGTGCAGTTCCCCATGATAGGCTAATTGTACGATCTGTGAAGTAATTTTGCATTACCTTGTAGATATTTTTGGGGCAGTTTCATGACTTTAGTCCCTCCAGGACTAAGGGGTACCATACATTGTCAAACGCGCCCGAGATATCGAAGAGCACTGCAACCACGTTACGTTCCGTGGACTCTTGCACCGCTCTTCGCACCGCCAGTATTGCATCCACCGTTGATCGCCCTTCCATAAATCCATATTGGTGGTCTAAAATGTTTCCTTGTTTAAGGACGCTAGTTGAAAGACGAATTTTTATAAGTCTTTCGAAGATTTTGCCTAATACTGATAAAAGGCATATAGGGCGGTATGATTTAGGGTCCACTACATCTTTGTCGGGACTCTTCAAGGGCATACGAATTGTTCCCTCCTTCCAAGCCCGAGGAAAGACACCTTGAGTCAAGCATTCGTTAAATCCTGGAGCTTTTCCATTCTTAAGCGTTCGAATGACTTGTTTGACTTCTTCTTTGTTGAACGGTTCTGCATCGTCTGTGTTGGGTAGGTTGAGAGTGTTTATCTTTATCCTGCTCTGTTCATCTGTGTCCTTTTCTGGGTAGTCATCAACCACATGTACTGCCAGCAATCGCTCGGCTGTTTCCTTAAAATCCAGGGTTCCACCAGCCTCTTTAGTGCGAAGCGCATTCAGAACTCTTTCGGCTCAAACCTTGTCGAGTACCTTACCTGTTGGCGGTATCGAAGTCTCGCTGTCGTAATTCGGTGGGTATCTGCACCAAGCTTTTTGGTACGTTAGAATCTATGGCGCAGTCTATATACACTGCGCTTAAGGCGGGACAGATGGTTATTCCACCAAGGATTCGCTTTCCTTGGTGCTTTACGTCGCGGCATGGACTTTTCGCAAATATCCGTTAACTCATCTGCGAGAGTGTCAGTGAATTCGTCAATGTTTATCGGAGAGTCCAGCAATGGTCTAGCGGAAAGTGTGCTCTCTAGCTCGGGTATCAACTTACCGATGGCTTCCCAATCGGCTGCTTTGACATTGAACCGTCGAGTTGCCTCTGTGTAAGTTTTACCCTGCACTCCATTGCGAGAGGTCAAAAGATACTTTTTCTATGCTAAGAATGCGGGGCCCGGGGGAGCTTCGCATTTTTGGTCAGGTGAGGCTCACTGAGCAGTTACGGATTCGAAAGTACCCTGCCTATTGGGTTTACTCAAGCATCCACTCGATTTAGAAGCACAAGGCATTCCTTTGACTGGGCAAGCTCGTGTTGCGACGCGCAAATATGGAATCAAACGTAATTAAGGAAATATCCGCAAGTAAAACCGGCCCCAATCGGAGTTTGCGGCGGGGCCATTACTTACGCGTGAGGCCAGAAAGGCTGCAGGAGTCAACTGGAATCCAGACCAACAACCAGAATGGATCAAGAAGATGACCCTGGAACTTGGACACCTCAGCACCCGCAGAGGTCCGAAACGTTCGACAGGTTGTCCGGTTGGCCACGCGCACGCGATCGGTCCGTTAAGTCGAGCAGTTGGTAAACCGCGATATCGATACATACGATCCTTTAGATAACTGTAATACTGACAAATTCACGTGGTAACAGAAAAATTGTTGGCACGCTCATGTTTTTTTTATGAGATTGAATAACTCAACAAATAAGCAAAAAATTAAAAAAGTGAGGTGACAAAAAGTTTTATTAGACGATAAGGAATAAAAAATGTCCTATACAATATGGGTGATTTCTCAATATTTTAAAAGTTATAAGCGAAAATGGGCAGGTTGAAACAGGCAAAAATTGTTTATAACAAAAAAACGCAATTACGCATACACTTTTTATGCCTGCAAATAATTTTTTTAGAGTCCTCATGCAATTTTACATCTGAAAAACGTCGGTTCAAAATGGGAGGTTAAATTCGCTAATTTAATTGCACGGTTACTGGACTATATGTGACTTTCACATGATCCTTCATGTGTAATACTCACTAAATTTAATTTTATTGTTCATTTCATAAATAAAGTATTCATCAAATCGGCAATCTTTGCAACAAGCTTCGCTATTTTTTTGCAATATTAAAAAATAAAAAAATCTTTTAGAACCCGATTTACACTGCCAGATTTTGGCAAATAGTTTACACTAATATAAAGTTTATTTAAAAAACAATTTGGAATGGTATAAAGTACTTCGAGCAAATCGTTCACCAGCTCTCCATCTATTAGTATATTCATCTACGAACACTTACGGAAATTTGGGCATTGGCTGCAAGTGATCAACTCAGAATGTAATGGCAAAGTTAAGCTCTTATTGACTGGACTATATTTTATCTTCTACAATATATTCTGGACATCTAGTCTACAATCTGATTTTCTTTACTACGATAGAAAAATTTTAAAAATTAGTTGATGGTCAGATTTAATTTTTATCGATTTATTTATAAAAAATTAAGTAATGAAAATTCATTAATTTCCTTTGAAAAGCAATACAGGATTGGTTTGGATGTACAATTTATAATTGGATCGTTACGTTGATCCTGATGAACAAAACCTGTACCGCTAGAACGAATTTTTTACTAGACATGTAATGAAGCTGGCAGCTTGTATCGTATGAATACTTTTTTTAAATGAAGTGCTAAAAGCGGTAAATAATATTGTGATGAAAAAGTATGAAGGTTGGTATTAAGTATTTTTGAAGATGAAAGAACTGATAGTCCTGGGTGGATCTGGAAACAGACTGCTGTAAGTCTAATGTAAATTTGCAGGAGTAAAATAAAACTTGTGCCCAACTTACGACAGCTCATTTTCGAATCTACTCTTACAAATACACGAAAAACAAGTAAAATTTTTGAGTAAAAAAAGTAAAAGAAAAAAGAAACATTCAGGTCACTTCGATATACATATATTGAATTACCGGAAAAAATGAAATACTAGAATCGTTAGCTTGTCACAATTTAGCTGTTTCAAATATTTACATACATAGAATACTTAGCAGAGTATTGTAATATTTTAATTGTAAAATATTCAAATATTTAGTATTGTATGTACATAAATATTTCAAACATCCATTTCTGATTCCAATTACTATTAATTTTGATGACAGTAAAAAATTGATTTTTTTCTTTACGTCACATAATATACACTACATATTACGTACTTGTAGTAAAACTCTAGTGACTCATTGGTTCGTGGTTTTACACGACGCGTAAATTGCACATACGCTGGAGTAATCACACTTTGAAATAGTTTGTTACGGTTTCACCTTGTATCAACTTGTTTATCTGTACGTATTAATAAAAAAAAGTACTTTATACAACAAATCATTAATATTTTTAATTCAAATTTTTAGTTTCTTTAATTGAGTAATAATTGATATTCTTATACTAAACAATAGTTGCATTTCTTTAATTTTTGTCTTTATAAACATTTCAGTCATTTAATAATGAAATAAATGATTTTGTTCGCGACGCATTAATATATAGTATTATCAATGATGTTCATTTGTTTTGTGCATAATGACGTTCTACAACACTTTGATTAGACATTTTATTAAATGTTATTTCTTTTGAATAATGAATAATTTTAGCAATGGGTATAATTTTTAGTACGAAATTTATCACCATGCCAGTGTTACGAGAAACGGTTGATCAACTCATCAATTCTGATACAGTTGTTATTTTCTCAAAAACTTATTGTCCTTATTGTAAAATGGCTAAAGAAGTAAGTTTCACTGATTATTATAGTTATATGTTTATTTGATGATATTTATTATTTAATTACATTTTTAGGTTTTTGATAAAATGGCAAAAAAATATACCTCTATAGAACTGGATGAGAGGGATGACGGGGATGAAATTCAAAATATTTTGGAGGAAATTACTGGTGCTAGGACAGTGCCGAGAGTATTTGTTAAAGGAGAATGTTTAGGAGGTGGAACAGATGTTAAAAAATTGTATGAAGCTGGAGATTTGGCAAAGAAGTTTTAATTCTTGTACTTAGATATAATATAAAAGAAATTACACAGATATTGATATCTAAATAAAAATTTATTGAAAATTGTAATAATATATTTACTTAATTAAAAGACTTATATTTTACATTCCTTAATTATTTAATTATATCTATTAAAAAATATTAATTCTTTGTGATTCTTGTAGGTTAGAAAGTACAATCTGTAATTATTGATATTTCAATTTTTGTTTCAATCACATTTTCATTGAACTTTAAGTAATAATATTTTCTTCAACTTCAAATTCAAATTATGTGTAACAAATTCTAAAAATAAATAAGCCGAATAATGATCCACGTGTACATTTACCAATTACGTATGAACTATTTCACTCTACCTGTAAATTTTGAGAGTAAATAGTTTGAAGTTACTGAAAAAGTAAGTATTAGTGAGTCAGAAATCAACATGATTCAGTATATTTAACGGAAAGAATGGATCTTCTCCGATATCGAAAGTTGTTCGTTTATCTTTTGACATTTTTGGCGTACGCCTGGTCCGGATATGGTGCTGGTTTATTAGGAAATTTGCGTGATGCAGTTCTTGCAGCTGAAACAATTTTCGGTGATTTATTCCAAAATGCCATAACAGTTGTCAATAAAATGAAAGACATTCATGAAGTATTTGATGCTGCTGTTGAAGAAAATTGTGTCTATACATGTCCATCAGGTGCGATAATTACTTGATTATTTTATCATTCATTGATACTTGTGGTATCAATAATTTATGTAAACTTAACCTCAACAATTTATCCTTATTTATAGGAGCTGCTCCAAAGCCAAATAAAAATCACATACCGCAAAGTAATGGTTGTGGATCATTGGGAATTGAAGTATGTATTTTAAGTTAATTAATGAATGTTTTGATAAAAAATAATATTATCTTGGTTATTTAGATTAATCAAGAATACCTGCCATTATCTGAGATGACTAAATGTTGTGATGAACATGACATTTGTTATGACACATGTAATACTGATAAAGAAAAATGTGATTTAGAATTTAAAAGATGTCTATACAAATACTGTGAAGGGTATCAAAGTACAGGAATTACTATTGTAAATACTTGTAAAGCTGCAGCTAAAATGCTATTTACTGGTACAACTGCATTAGGCTGTAAAAGTTATATTGATGCACAAAAAGAAGCTTGTTGGTGTGGAGATAAACCAACTAAAAATAAATGGAAAAAATCCAAGTGGTCTGGCTCGGATGATTTGTAATATAATTAATATGAAGATTTATGAATAATTATTTTTAATTAATAATTTAGCATTAAATCAATTCTCATTGATTTTTATAGTTTTAATAATGGAAAATTATAATTTCTATCAACTGTAAAAAATAGCTTCCATCCGAAAGCAATCATGACATTTTTATGTTTCGCTCTAAAATTATGTATTATTTATTTTTTTAATAATAAAAAGAAAAAAGAGAGTACAACTTCGACTGTTTTTGTTGAACAAATGACATTCTCAGATAAAATGTCAAATTGACATTTGTCTCAATCTTTTTTATATCTATTTGTTGATAAAATTATTTAGTAATGCCGCAATCATATAGTATTTGAAAAATTAATCGTATGATGGGCAATGATGGGTCGACGCCCGCGAAATCACAAATTGGACAGCGAAGACGACAGTCAACAGAACGGTAAGCTATCAATATAAATAATCATACAAAGTTTTTTTTTATTCTAACGAATATTTTTACCCAGCACAGATGGATCAACTTCTAAAAATGATGAACCTCGACGAAATAAAAAAATTAAATCCAATAAAATTACAAAAGGTGCATCCGGACCTACTAATCCTTTTCTGATATTTTTTCTACGTATGAGAAGTAAAAGACCAAACGATCGATGTACTGTAATTGCACGAACCGCAGGTAAATTATGGAAAAAAATGACTCCGGGTCAACGTCAAAAATATATAAATCTTGCAAATGCTGCTAAAAAGAAAAAAGAATTGCGAAAACGTAAAAAAGAAGCAAAAAATATTGAACAGTAGTACAAATTTTCACAAGTTAAGATTTAACGTAAACTTTGAAAGTATAAATTAACATAAAGTTTATCGTCTAAACAAAAAATGTAACTCAAAATTCTAATGATTTTCAATGAATTATGACATTTTATTTATTAGTAATATTTTTTATATTTATGTACAATAAATATTAATGTATTTTTACACTATATTTCATTAAAGACTTTCGGTTGTTGTTTTCATCTAAAATCAGCAATTTCCACTTTTTTTTTTTATTTCCACTTCTTTATTTATAATTTATTTCGTTTTTCACATAACACACCCCCTGTCACTATTTCATGTTTACTCGTTTCATTCATTTTTTTTTTTTAATTTTTTCTGTTCATAAAAAAGAAAAAATACATTTTCTACAAGACTGCAAGTATCATAAATATATGGTAATATGTAATTAGACTACTATTCAGCAAAATGTCTTCCTCATCAGGTAGATTTGAAATAATTATGTTAAAATTAATTGGTTGTTAAAATAATAACAGTAATAATAATAATAATAATAATAATAACAACAATAATGATAAATTAAAATATAGCATTACCAAAATAATCTCAAAAATATTTTAAATGACATCGTAATGTGCAAATTTGACGTTTTGCAGAATAGTTCATTTGTAATTATTTCTTTGAGGTATACTAAACATTAACGATTTTTTTTTTCAAGTTAAAAGCTGCCGTAATGTCATTTATCATAATCACTATTATTTCTATTTTAATTATTATTATCATTATTATTACTATTATTATTATCTAGTCTAGTGATAAAAATTTAAAGATCTGAAGTATCAAGTGTGTTATTGGTTTATCTATCTTATCTGCATTGAATTTTCCTTTGTGTTTCCTATGCTTATATGTATATTTTTGTTATTGCTGTTAATAATTTGAAATTATTATAAAAGCATTCGTTAAAAAAGATGAATGTTTAATTATATTAATCTTATATAATCAAGTAATTAACGAGCAATAAATTGACTGATTATAGAGCCAAGTGTGTGTGTGTGTACTATGATACAGAATAAAGTACAATTTGCCTGTAACAAGAAAGACGAGAGAAATAGAAAAAAAAACTAATAATAACAACAATAATAATATTAATAATAGTGATGAATAATTATATTATTATATTCATTTACTAAACAATATTTTTTTCTATATTCTCTCGTTCTCCTATCTCCATTATTTCTCTCAATCTCAATGCATTTATACAAAAAAATCCTTATAAACTAATTATTTATTTATATATCTATAATATAATATAAATACTATACACAAACATACAGTAATAACGCATTAAAAAGGAAGCTTGAAAAAAATACTCATTTGCAAAGAAGCTTCTTTAAAACTTTCTCATCACTGAGTGGAATTGTGAACAAAAAAAATGAAAAACCTCATAATGAAAAATTTATTGCTTATGATCAGCAACTTTATTCCTCTGTTCAATAATTTATCGATTGATTATCGAGGTCGCATAGTTCCATTCAACGGTTGCATCAGTCCTCCGTTGATGTATCCATGATAAGTAGTATAAACAGCTGCATTTTGTTGATGGGGATCCTGAGAGTACGGAGTAGGAACATTAACTACTCCAACTGGCAATTGGCCAGCCTGATTCATGAATCCACCAATTTGTGCGGCTGCTTGATTCATGTATCCACTTGTTGGTTGAGTAACACGATAACCATATTGGGCAGCAGCCATTAAATTAGTATTTAACGCAACATTTGGACTAACTCGAGTAGCTGCACTTTGCATTTGCGGGCATGTACTACTAGGATCCAATGTTTGTCTGTAAAGACTCTCTGAAGGATAAGTTTGAGTTAATGATGTCATATTGGCATTAGCAGACGATCTAGATGTCGATCTACTCGGTGGTCCTGGTGTTCCAGAAGGAGGTACACTATTAACGTTGTAATAATTCTTCGGATATAACGAAACTTGAGGCGGAGTTGATAATTGTCTCGTATTCTGCGGTGGTGTCATTGTGTGTGGAATAGGAGGTGGTGGAGTAAGATTCATTGCCGGTGGTGGAGTTGGTGGAATCATTTCTAAACCATTGGTTAATTGTTGAAGTTTTGCTAGGCTACAAGAATTAGTCGCTTGATGATTACTTGAACCACTAAGAGACGGCGAAGGTGTATGAGAGTGTGGTGGCATCGCACTTGTTTGAATATAAAAATTTGTAGCCGTTGTACAAGGTGTTGGAGCACCAGATCTACCACTTCTGTGTTGAATAACATACGTATTTTGTGATGGAAATGCTTGAGATGCTACTGCCATATAATTTCCTTGAGATATAACAGCCATATTATGAGAATGTGAATGAGAATGTCCATGAGGATGTGGTACTGATGGAACACTCATAGATCCAGGTTGTTGATATTGAGCTCCAAGCGTTGACGTTCCATGAGCAACAGTTGCATGATTAACACTAAGATGTTGAGAAGAACTTTGAGAAGCTGGAGGAGTTGTTCGATGAGATCTACTTTGTTGATTAGACGACCTTGATCGATGAGTTTGTGAACCATTAGCTCGTTTGCTACTACTGTGAGATTGAGACTGAGTCTGCTGTGGTTGAGATTGATGAGGAGAATGTTGTTGAATATTTTGTGGCTGTTGCTGTACCAATAACTGCATTGGTTGTGGACTTTGTGTTGGAATATTTTGTGTATGTGATTGAATTATAGGCTGAGGTGTGTGTGATTGAGGCATTGGTTGAGGAGTATGGGATTGAGGGATAGGTTGAGGTGTATGAGATTGAGGTATTGGAGTAATTGGTTGTGGGGTATGAGATTGAGGCATCGGTTGTGGACTTTGAGTTGGAATACTCTGAGGTGTATGTGATTGTGGGGTTCTCGGTTGTTGAAGAGATTGATGCATTGAATGTAATGAAACGTGTGATTGATGCTGAGACATTGAACAGTCATAATGAACCTGTGATGTTGATATTCCAGAAACAGAAGTTGGTGCTGGTATTTGAATAGGATTAGAAGTAAGAGATACTGATACAGCTGTTGATATTGATGGTAATGCACTCGGAGGTCTTTCAACACTATGTTGAGATGCTAAATCACTAGCTATTGACGTTGGTGATTCTAAACCAGCTAATTGACTAACATCAAGATCACATTGTCCATAATGGAGTGAATGAACAGAATTTGTCGTTGAATCAGGAGTATAAACTCCCATTGATGGTAAATCTGGTTGAGACGGTGGAGTTCGTTTAACTGATGCAGAATTTTCTAAATGAGGCGTAGTTTTACCACTTTCTGGAGAATGTTGTTTCTCTTCTGTTACTACTTGTGGAATATGTATTACATCTCTAGATTCTACAGTTATTGTATTATTCTTTTCTTCAACTAATAATGGATTTTCTTTAACAACTATTGGTACTGACAGAGCTCGTGGAGATTCTTTTGATATTTCCGACAATGGTGAATTTGGACTTTTTTCTTCTATTTCTTTCACTTCCTTTAAATATTCAAAAGGCTGCTGTTGGATTTGTTGTTGTTGTTGTTGTTGTTGTTGTTGTTGTTGTTGTTGTTGTTGTTGTTCTTGTTCTGTTCGTTGTTGTTTCTCTACATGTAACTCTTGTTGCTGTATTTGATTTTCTTGTTTAAGTGGTAAAGATTCTTCTTGTTTATCATTAATCTCTTTATTGCATTCTCGTTCATTTATATTTAACGTAATAGTTTCTTTGATAGATTCTTCAAATTCTGTCGGTAATACTGGTTTCGATGTTAATTCATTTGATTCAGGAAGCTTCTCAACATGTTCAAGAATACTTTTATCAAGCTCATCCAGATCTTGAGTAGTTTTTTCTACAGATTTTATTTCTTTTACCTCTTCTATTACTTCATCAACTTGATTATTAATATTTTCTTTAGGCTCTTCTTCAGGTACATCACATATAGGTGAATCATTTTGTTCTTTGAACTCAGATGATTCATCAATATTTTCCTTGACTTTATTAGATATATTTTTAGGCGATGAAAGAATTGACTTAGATTGTGATGACGATCGTTTTTCGTTCTCTTTATCATCTTTTACACTATCTGCCTCTTTCTCCTTGTCATCAATCGGAACTTTTTTATCTTTTTCTTCTCCTTCATCATTTTCTTCTTCTTCACCTTCATCTTCATCACCTCCTTCATACTCTCCAGGACTTGCAGTAGGTATTTCATTTTCTACAATTGTTTTAACTTCTTCAATAATTTCTTTCTTATCTTGATCAGAAGTTTCGTCTTTTTGAATTGAAGGTGATGGAGGTATCATTTCAGGAATAGTTAATTGTTTAGAAGTATGCTTATTTGCTTTAGTTGTTGTAATATTAGTCGCAGATAATTTTGTAGAACTACTATTAACTTCTTGTTTATCAGATTTTGAATAAGATTTCACTTCATTAACTTTATCCGTAGTTTTGGTTCTCCTTCTTCCCGATCCTGAAAGACTTTTTTCTTTAGCTTTGGTCTCTTTACTTTGCTTTTCATTAGACTCACTCTCTACTACCATTTTCTTCTGTTCTCTTGTTTGTTTTGCTTGAATTAATTTAGTTTGTCTACTGGTTACTTTCATAAGAATGTCATCCAATTTACTATGCCTAATTTTTTGAGGTTCTAAAGTAATTAGGGGTTTTACTGGAGAATGCTGCCGTTCTTCTGCAGCTTCTTCTCTCTTTTCTTTCACCTTTTCACGTTGAGATTCTCGCGTGCGTTTTCTTGGATTTCCTGATTCTAAAGTCTTTTTATCATCTTGTTCAGTCTTTTCAGAAAGTTTTCTTTTTCTCGAAGGCGTAACAGCTGGTAATGAACGTGTTTCCACTGTTACAGGAGTTTTTGACGTTCGTATTCGTCTCCGTGAAATGGAAGGTGTCGTCGTAGTTGATGTCTTTGGGCTGTTTGTAATTGGTGTACTCTTGACATTGTTAATGCTGCGCGAATTTCTAGGCGTGGTAATTTTGTTATTTTTTTCTTTCTCTTCTTCATGGTCTTCATCTTCTTCAACATCTGCAATATTACCATTATCTTTTTCAACATCTTTGGACTTTGAACTAGAAAGCTTCTGAGGTGTTTTAGGTTTTATTGCATTGGATTTTCTGGCGCCTATTCTACCTCGTCCTCGTGGTTTTTTCTTAATTTTAACTTTTTGAATTTTTTCCATCAATGCGGTTACAGGCTTGGAATCAACTGTTGGTGATGCCTCGGGAGATGCTTCACTATTTTCTTCAGGACTATGGTATGGGTTTGGAATTTGCGTTAAAAGTGGAATCCATCGTAAACAGTCAGGATCTAAAGTAATCCGAGAACTTTTCTTTACTTTGGTCATGTGAGCATCTACTTTATTCCAATCTACAGCTATTGCAATTTTCCCCTTTGGAATATCATTTACAGGTTTATCTAAAGTTCTGACAAAACCAAGAAGTTGGAGAGTTGTTGCTATATCATGCGCCGAAACTCCAGTTTCTTTTGTAATATCACCCAACTTTATTTCTTTAGCATCTCTGTGAGCATTTAGATGTTCTAGTACGACACTTTTCCAGTAAGAATGATATGACACTCGTCCAAGATCTGATAATGGTTTTTCAGGTGTTCCCGGAATACCTTCAACTTTCGATAAAAGATAACTGAATTCAATAAGAAATCTACCAAAGCCTTGACGTTGATATTGTGGTAAAGTCATGATACAAGAAACATTATATCGTTGTGCAGGACAATGTTTCTCTTTTGAAAAGTAACCAACTAAATGGCATCCATATTTGTCATTTTTTGTGACTGCGTAGAAGAGAAATGGCTCAACGTCGTAATAAAGAGTTTTGTGATCGAGAAATAGTTTTGCCAACAAACAAAGATTTTGACAGTAAATTTTATTTACATTCCCATCAATCTGCGATAAAAAAAAATTAATATTAATTGAAAATATTCTATGAAGAAATATTAAATTCAATTTATTTAATTTACCTCAAAAACTGATAAATCATTACAACGATAAATTTCCGTAGCAGGTGGATGTCTCCATTGGCATTTATCCATATGCCTATCGAGCACTGCTCGACTTTTCGTATATTTGAGACAAAATTCGCAGAAGAAGAGTTTTGGTAATCGTGCATATTCTTGAGGAAAAGGACTTGAATACCAAGTTTCTACTTCATAACGACCAAAAACAATTGCCGCGGGATTTCTGGTGCCTGCACTTAGTCCTGTACCTCCAGGACTGATGGAAATGGGTTCGACATTATTTAAATCAGCTGTTAATCGATTTGCTTGTTCTCGAGCTTCCTTGAAAAGTTCCAAGTCCTTCTGAGTTACTCCCGATGGAAGACTCTGGTTCAATGCAGATTCTTCTACAAAGTAAAATTATCGAATTTAATATCCATTTAAATAAACAAAAATTTTTCTTAACTAATTAGTTTATTTATTATTATCATGATAACTAAAAAATAATCATTAAATTTAGTTTATTTAATTAAAGCAAATACTAAGGATTTAAGGATTTATCAAAAATAGGAGAGGATTGTGTTGGCAAAGAACTGTTGGAATACTCATCAATTTTTCGATATTTTTGGAATTATATCTTCACTATCTATTTCTTTAAAGTAATCTTGAATATTTTTCGATTGGTGTAATTAAGCGCTTCTGTTATTCAGTTAATTGTAGATAAATAAGAACTTTAATTTATCTGTTGTTTATAGAATTATTTTACACTAAAATAATTAGTTAAATAAAAAAATAAAGATATTTATTGAATCATGCATTGTTAAAAATAAAGCTAAGTATTTTCATTTTATTAAATGCATTTAATTATTTAATATGATCTAATTAAGTAAAGCACAGTAAGCACATAATACACTGATTAATGAATTTTTAAATTATTTACTCATTACCTAATAAAGGGATACGTAAATTGGAATGCAGGCACACGCACACGTACGTATTATTACACCAAAATACCGCACACCACACCGCCAACACATCCACGGTGGTGAATTATTTATTATATATAAATATAAAGTAAGGTTAAAGGTGATAAGGATAGAGTTGAATTGTTATTAGGATAAAAAAATATGTGGAAATTTTTACAACCATAAAAATAAACATTAGTTATTTTGCAGGATAGGAAATAGGAATTGATGCTTTGAATATAAATAGAAAGATGGTAATTAAGGATTGTTTGATTTTATGTTTTATTGTTTTGTGAGCGGGCGGGGTAGACTCTTACCCTTCCTGGTGGAGCAGGGTGTCGCGCGGGGTGTCGTGGTGGTGTTGGTGGTGTTGGCGCTAGCACAGGCTCGTGGTTGGGAGGATTTGGAGTGACCAGGATTGGATTTGGATTCATGATTTTGATCATGATGATTAATGTTATGAAGACTATTATGATCTTGATCATGATTATGATGATGGTGATTATGAAGACTTGGGACTGCCGCTGGCTCAGGGTGGCAATCCATAGTTTTCTTCTTCTGTTCTTTAGTTTCAGTGGAATCGGCACATTTAACGGCACCCATAGTTCTACGTCTACTCATCTCGTGGCGTTTAGTATTCACAGCTGTTTTTACAAGATTAGATGGAGTCATTTTTGTGATTTTTTCAGTTAATATTAATTCAGACGTTTCAATTGATTCTTTAGATTCTTTACTATTCTTCTCTTTGTCCTTGAGTTTATTCTGTATTTGTTCAGCTTTTGGAAATTTGTTTGTTTTTTCATTTTTATCTCGTTCTTCATTAGTATGCGGTCTTTTTCTTCTATCAGGTGCGTAATTTGGAGCTTTATCACCTGCTCTAACTCTACTACTATTACTTGGAGCTGAGAAAAAATGACTTAAACCATCGTACAATCCTTTTAATTGTCCAACACCAGGTCGTACTTTTTCCACAGGTGCTGATTTTTTTTTGAAATTTACTGGACTCGCAGCAGGTTGAATATGAAGACCGAAAGTTGGTTTTTCACCAACATCAAGTTTTGGCAATGATGAACCAAAAGCATTAATACTACTAAATAAAGGAGCTTCAACCTTTAATTTAGCTGCTGCTGCGGCAAAACCCCAAGGACTTTCCTCATTGGTATTACACGTGAAAGGACCGGATGATTTGGAGACTGGTTTCTCTTTGATATTATCATCAGAAGATGATGAATCACTTGACGAATCACTTGAACTTGTTTTTAATTCATCTTCATCATCCTCTTCGTCGGTGGTGCTGGCATTTGAATTATCACTTTCACTACTGCTAGATGTATCACTGATTTCACTAGTACTTGATAATACAGGCAATTTTCTTCTCGTCACTTTTTTTTTATTTTTTGTAATACCAACTTTGGACGGTTTAAGACTAACTGTTGATGACTGAGTTTTATTTTTATTATTATTTGTGTTTCCTCCACTTCCTCCTCCTCCTCCCGCTCCACTTGCCCGTTTCATTTTACTATGATCCGCATTGAATGCGCTTGACCTAAAGAATTTTTGCTTTTCCTTAGATATCCGATCACTCTTTTCCTCGAGTAGCCTACCCTGGCCCGCGATTGAGGTCTGGACTAATGATGGTTGGGAATTAGGAATCGAGGGTGACTGACGAAGGGAGACAACACCCGCATTACCGTCCGAGCTGCTGTCCACCTGTGACACTGTCCCGCAAACTCCTCCACCTCCTTCATTTCCTCCACTTCCTGCTCCTCCAACTCCAGATTTTTTTCCTGGTGTTACAATAGGACATTTTCTTGACACTGCTGATCTACAAATACACAATATATGCTTACTTATGAATAAATTATATCTTTTTTAATATATTTAATCAACTAATGCTAATACATAATAATCGAAAAATTTCACCAATCATCATTAAAAATATTATTTTAAAACTTACTTTCGATTTTCTCGAATTTTATTCAATTTTTTTCTGGCACTCGTAGGTGAACTAGTTTCATCATGTGAAATTGACTCTGTTTGTTGACTTTTTGGAGTTCGTTTATTATCTTCTTTACGATGATTACCATGTGGTGTTAAGCAATGTCTACACCTCCAAGGTGTTTTACTTTTTTTATCTAATACCGGATCAACACAAGATGGATGATAACACTTAGGGCAAGCCGCACATTTAACTAAATAGTTTTGCGATTCACGTTCAAGTTGACACCCGGCACAAGTAGGTGAACAATCGTCACATGACCACGAAGCACCACGATCAACAAGAATTGCAAGTTCTGGTGGTGCACAAGAATAATGTAATGCCGCACCACACGCACTACATCGACTTAACTTCTCAGGCACATTCTTTTTTGTGTTATTGTTGTTTCCAACTGCTGTTGTTGCCAAACACTCTCTACATATCGGCAATGGAGCAGGAAGCTGTAAATAACAATCATACAGTTAGTTATTTGTTCAGAGTAATAATGATTGATTTAGTAATTTCAATAAAAATAATAGGTTTCTTCTTTGAAATATTTTACTGTCTAATTATTTCTTAAAATACGAGATGTCTTGTAATAAAATAATATAATTATTACACAATTATATTTATATAAAAATAACTCAACTTTAAAAAAGTCAGCACCTAAGAAAACGATGCATCAAGCGTAACATAATTATTTATATTACTCCAGCAATGGGGTTACAGTAGTAGATATCATGCTATTGCATCTTTAGGTAGGGTGTATCTTATTAATTTTTCATGTTCATTTCCACCACTTGAATATATATTGTTAATATTTAACATTAATTTGCATATATTGCCCTAAGTAATTGAAATTTTAGATTGTTATTATCTTGAAGAAAAAAAAAAATAATAAAAAAGTTGAATAGATAATTATCTGATTTTATTAAGCAAATTAAGTAATAATTCGTTATGCTGACAACTGAATTTTATTTACATGAAAACATATGGATTTTCTTTTATGCTATCAATCTTGCATAATTTCTACCTATTGTTGAAAACATTTTCCTTGTGACAATAATAATGGGTACTAATCAGCATAAAGTTAACTATTATTTTCAAATTTACACCTTAAGATAAGAATATGTTGTTTATCTTTTTTTAATAGGAACAATATCAGCTGAATGAAATATTTAAGTATCATTATCTTTGTAGTAGTTGATGAAATGGAAAAATTTTTGATAGTAAAGTAAAAATAATTATATGTTTATAAGAATTGATGTTTACTCATTAAAAAAGAAAAAAAGCTCAAAAGATTATTTTTTTAAAAATTAAAATTAAATATTGATTGATATTCTTTCTTGTCTTTTGAATTAAAATGAGTTTTATTTAGTGGGTCGTAGGGAATGATAGAACACGTTTTATTCAGTTAAATGTTCGGTGAAGCTGAAGAATGTTAAATAATACTTGACAGTGTGGTGCAGATGATTTAGAGTAAAGATGTAGAGATGAAAGAAAATAAGAGAGGGAAAAGAAGTGAGGCCACGTGATCGAATGAAAGCACGCGTTGCAGACCAACGACCTGTTGCACGATAGGATGCCCGTCGACTCGTCCAATCGTCGCGTAAAATTTGCAGTACGATTGGTCGTCAGGACATGAAGCTCACTTGCAAGTTACCTACATTGCTATATTGTGCGAGATGACGGCGAGTACGGTAAGTCTACAAATATACATTACATGGCAACCTCGCATATTCCTCTACCGGTCTACCGATTTCCCTTTACTGTCAGTACTGAGTACTGTCGACCATCGTCCCACGATACCCGTTCACCGATTATTATAGGTATCCGCCATTCGAGGTCACTGGACAAACACAAAAGACTCCACAGACACTCGTAAGCTGATGTACTTGGCCTAATTATTCAATAAATTATGCCTAATTATTATTGTATTAACATGTTAATTATCCTTTTAATGCATATTATAAGATTAATCAATGATCTAAATTATTGAACGAATTATTAACGAAATTCTGATAATACAAATCATAGATCTGGATTTTATTATGAATATCATGCTTGATGAACTTATTATTTATATTAATAAATGATACATAGAATTATTTGAATAATTCTTAATGATAAGCCGCACAATAAATAATTGTGATATGGCAGAAGAAAAAAAACGAATAATGAATGGATGATGAAAAAGCGCGGGAAACTTGTACTGAAATTGTTTCAAGATACATATAAACAGTGTTCAGTACATTCACATACATAGTACATGTGACTGCTGATTATTCCATCATAAAAAGTGCAAGTTATAAATATGTATGATGTTTATGAAAGATATGAATTAAAAGTTGATAATTAAATCTTGTAAGTAAGTCAAAAGTTTACTCTAAAATTTTCAAGAAACATGTTATCACACGTGCCAAGATGTGAATAAATATAAAATTGACACTACAAACTACATTACTGGCTCTGCGGTGGTGTTCAGAGCGTGCGCTCTTTTAGCTACTCCATTGGTCTATCCGGGTCAGCATTATTGACCCCAAAGTGCTTACCACCAAGTAATTCATCCACTGAGAGGGTATAGACCCTGATTCAACGAGAATAAAACTAATAATACGAGTAACAGGCTTTAGATGGCTGCGAGATTAAAAATTAATAAAAAAAAAAGGTAAATTTCAAGTAAATAATAATGTAAAGATGATAACTAATACATTTACCTTTGAAGAAGGTTCTACAGGTTCAACTTTTTCAACTTTCTTAGCTGGCGGCCTATCAGGTTGTCGAAAAAGTCTACCGTCTTGAATGACAAGTCCCCTGTCTACTGCTCTTTTAGCTGATAATCTCAGAGCTGTCCGAAGATCACCTTCAGCTTCTTCTTCTACCGTGTGACTTTGCCTTACATATTTCTCGATATTCTTAAGAGTCGATCCATCTCGTTCTCCAAGTTCTCTAACCGCTTTCCCCAGCACTTTACTTAAATCCGTTGTCTTGGTGACCTTGAGTGGCTTCGACTGAAGTCCTCCAGGGTCTTTATATGATGACTGGCCTTTGTTAAATATTTTAAGGACATCACCACGTTTAACAGCAACTTCAAGATGTTCACCTATTTCTTCTTCGTGAAAATTGTGATGCTGTCTGATAGCATGACAGATCCGCTCGACACTCGGCCTTTGCTTCTGGCTACGAATTTTCCGGATCGCATCCAGAAACCACACCGACCACGTGTCAGCGGATTCAGCCTCCCCCATCTCTATTTACACTTTGTGGTCACACTTTTACCACTTACACCCTTCGTTTATATTTAACTTATTTATTGTTCTTATTTTTTACCCTCTCGGTACAACGAGAGCGCATTCTACGGTCATTCACATTATGCTCTAAGAATAATTTGCCCTTTGCTTCTCACCTTGTATAGTATATCAATCAACTGAAACAAAATAAAATTACAACATAATTAATATCATTATAAAATACCATCATCGTATTGTTTAAATACTACTATTATTAAAAAGTAATTTTTATAATATTTTATGTTATAAATAATTGAAATTTCCATTTCAGAATAATAAAAATCATTTTAACAATTTAACGGCCTCCAGACCTGACTTTCTCTCAATCAGATTTAGTATATGTCAATTACATAACCTATCTTTGGTTAGCTTGAGCATTACAAAATTATTTACTCCAATATTATATTTAATGTAACAATTATTATTAAAAGTTTTCAACAATTTATTTACATAAAATGTTACTCTAAAAAATTGTAATGAACAAAAAAAATGATTAAGTTGTAGAGCTCACAACACATTGACTTAACTGAAGCTATCAGAAATTGAATTATCAAAAAGTTGAGTATTTATAGTTGTATCAAAATATCGAAAAATGCAGAGTTAAAATAATGTTAATAATAATTGATGTTAAGAGAAAAGACGACGTTGAGCCATCAGAGATCACATTAGTCAACAGTTATAAATAGATGTAGAGAAATATACTACATTGAATGGTATGCGATGTATACAACATTCGAGACATCTTACATATTAAGTCATTCCAGATTATAGAAAATTTTTCTTACCATTCTTTCACAGGCACATTCATTATCACATAATATTATTTTTAAACGTCCTGTATCGAGTTAATGAATAAAACGTTAGATAATCATATGATCAATGTTATCAACAAAAAAATATGTGAAAGGAAACAAAAGTTAAATACGTTGATGAGTCTGAATAATAGTATAGGTAAGTAACATGGGACTCAGTAAAGATAAAATCTTAAGCCATGTGAAGGAAAGCCTTGACCTAGGCATAAAAGTCAAGCTCTTTTATAGCTTACACTAACAAAGGGAATTCCCGTGGATACTTCATTCATACATACTATAAACCCATTAGTATAGATAATTATTTAAAATGAAAAGCTCATTATATCGAGCTTCTTAGTTTTATGTTCATTTGCACTGCCAATTACGATTAACAAATGATAAACAGTCATTTACTACCACCTTTCGCATACTTTATCAGTTTGTTCTTTGCAATAATTCGTCCACGAACTCGCAATCGTCTTATTAGGTAAAATAAAATACCAACGTGATACATTTCCTACGTCCATTTATCCTGCGGTAATATCGTCCACCGGCTTTCAAGAGAGACGACCGGACACACACATATGACATGTTGGTTTCACTCTTTTGCTCTCTCTTTTTCTCTCTCACCTCTCTCTATTCCGTTCAACCTGGCCGGGTGTTCTCGCGCGCGCTTCGCGACGATCCCCTCTTTTTATTCCATCACATTCTCTCGTTTTTCTCTCTCACTCGTGCTCTCTCTTTCTTTCTCTTGTCCACTTACAACCGACCAAACAGCAGCTGCCTGGCCACGCACGAGCGCCGCCGCCCGTCGGAAACCTCTTGTCGTCTTATCTACTTACTAAGTTCAAAACTAAGTAAATGAGGAAATAATTTCGACCATAAAAAAATAGAAAATATTAAAACACTAACTCATTTGGAATTTAATATAATATAATGAGATAGTAAAATAGTAAAAAACAAAAAAAAAACAAATGAATAATGTACATTACACAGTTCAAAACTAAAATTTACAAGTACATACATTTGGTACGGATACACATCAAATGTATTAATTTTTTTCCATAATTTTAATAACTTATTGAATTTAATGAACAAAATTACTGATTACGTGTCTTTTTAAAATTCATACATGTTCATACGTCGCTGACATTATATTGATGTTACGAATAGCACATAAGGTTTTTTCTAATGAACTGAACAAATTGAAAAAAGTTTAATACGTACTATAGAAAGTACTTGAAGATTAAAATCAATATCCTGATATATAAAAATTAGGAATATCTAATTTTTCTACGTAATTACTGTATAAATACATTGAATGAATATATGTATATAGTTAGCAAAAAAGCTTGTCGAAAGCCGACGGCCATCTTGAAGCAGACAGCAGGCATAAGGATACTACCGTCACGTTTTGCTCTGTTTTAGGCGCCAATTTGTCGACTAGTCGGTTGTTCTGAAGTATCAGAGATACAGTTCGAACCTTCTGGAAGACAAAACTACTGACAAAATGTCCGTTGAATCGAACATAATAAGATAATTTCATTTAATGAAATAGGTTATTAGTTGATGATTGATATTACAGCGCCAATTCTCCGTATGCGTCGGACGATAGACCAGCTAGACGACGCAACACGGCCACCTTTACACATTGGGTTGCGCACTGCTTAACAGTTACCTACCACTTAGCGCGGCATCACAATCGTTTTTGTCAACTACTCTTAGCTTATGCACTGAGAAAACAAGAAGGTGATAATTACCTGGCCGATCGATTACAGGCATTTGTAATCTACAATCTCTATCTCTGTCAGGACGATTACTCAAAGCTAATTAATCACCACTAATGTTGCAGTAGACAAACGATAACAATGATCACCGATTAAACTGGACGCACCACCGTACTACTTACAAAGTACAACACAGGCTACACAGTGCTACAACCAGCTACAATACAAGCGTCACATTTCACAAATCAACAAAGATTACACACTTCAACAAAGATGGCTGTGCTCGTTAAATGCGCCGTCTATTAATTCCAAATGAAACTATTATTAACATGTAACGACATCTAGTATAAAAATAAAAAATACATCAATTATCGACAGGGAGAAATGTAAATGTTGCATTCCCTATCAATTACACTAGATGGCAAATTCATTCATTTTTTAACCTTAGGCAGGTAGGGTTAGACTAAATATTTTTATAATCCAAAAAATGTAGAAATTTACATAAATAATACTTTAAAACATCTTCTGTTTCGAATGTATTGAAAAAAAATTCTTTTTACTATTACGTAATACCAATACAAAATCTAAACAGATAACTTTTCCAAAATGACAATAATCGTACATTAAAAACTATCATTTGGATAAATTGCAAATTTTATTTATTTTGTTCTTTTTCAATAAACCTCATGTGATTAACTATCAATGATGATGGCAATGTGTTAATTTTGTAAGTACAATTTCGTATAATTTTTAATTTCAAAACGTTGTATCAAATACCAAAATCTGGCTTTCCTTCGTAAGTACATCCAGATCTTTGTACAATTACCGTAGCAGCCCAAATTCCGCATTTAATGCTATTTTCAATGCTTTCTCCTCGTACATATTGTGCAATAAATCCTGTTATAAAAATATTTATCATAATTACTTTTTATAAATTTTCTGAACTGTAAATATTTATATCTTTACCTCCTACAAAAGCATCTCCAGCACCATTAGTATCAACTATTTTTTCCTCAGGTAAACATGTTGCAGGAAATTCTATAACAGTGTCATCTTTTGCAAGAATAACAGGATCAGAACCTTGTGTTATTATCACAATTCGTTTTCTTTTTTCATTTACTTTTTTCATTTTAGCCATTTTTAATGCTATCTCTTTTTTATCAGTTGTACCAAAATTATTAACTTTTGAAAAAGTTTCAGCCTCTGTTTCATTACCAAAAATAATATCGACATATGGATATGCTGCCATTAATGATTCTTTATAAAATTCACATATAAATGGTGCACTAAGATTCATCATAAATGTTTTATTATTAACATGAGCATGATTAGCCACCTCTTGTACTGTTTCTGGACTGACTGTTAAGAAAAAACCCTACAAGCAAAGAATTTTCAATCTTGTTGTTTGTCAAGAACTTTTTACAGAAAATAAAATTTTACCAATAATCACGTAAATTGATTATCAGAAAACTTACAGAAATGTAGATGTATTGAGCATTGTCTAAAAATTTATGGTTTTCTGGTTTTTTTATATGCATAGGCGAGAAACAATTAGCTGCAGCTAAATTAGCACAAAGAGATCTATTTTTCCCAGTGATTAAAACAGCACAAGTACCTGTTGGTTCTGTATCATGATATTGATATTTTACATTTACTCCACTAACTCTTGCTTTTTCTTCAAGAATTTTGGAGTATTTGTCTTTGCCAACACACCCCATAAATGTGGCGACGTGAGGTTTTTCTAAAAACCACTATTAAAAAAATTTACAATCAATTTATGTAATAATTTTGTATACTTATTGATAGACCCTATTTTATCTTTATGGAAAATTTAATTATCATGTAATGAGAGTGAATATTAATTTCTGTTTATTGCGTTAATAAATAAGATAAGGCTTACTTGAGCAACTCTCATAGTATTTTGTACAGCTCCACCAGCTATAAAGTCAGCTTTATATTGCTCAATTAATTCATCATAAAGTGATTTATGACGTTCATCAGCTAATATAGCATCATTAGCTTTTAGACCGTATTTTTTCAAAAAATCTTCATTCACTGTAGCTGATATATCCAAAAGTGGATTTCCCAAGCCAATAATCATACCTTCACTAAAAACACAAATTCTAGCATACTTCATTTATTTTTAATTTAATTAATCACTATAATTTCTTTCATTTGACTACCAGCAACTTATATTTAATTATTAACATTAATTAATTATTAAGCTCTACATTGCTAATTACACACATGTTAATATTTATCACTCAAGGTTATCATCAGATAACTATATATTTTCCATGCTAGCAGGTAAACCGGTCTATTGTAACCTCAAATGAATGAATTACTTACATTATCCATCTTTTTTTAACATATTAATTTTCTGTTTCTCTTAAAATTTATATTCATTATCAAGCTGTAAATAACTTTAAAGAATTATATAATATTATATTAATATATTTGTAAAAATATAGTAGTAGACTCTAGTTTTTTATTTTTGAGGTTAGCTATACATATATGTTTGGTACTTAAACGACTAAATATTAAACTTAATAATTATATTTTTAAATTATTTTTAATTAATGAAATAAAAAATAATACCATATTGTATCAGCCATTATTCCTTATTTTCTTTGTAATAATACAATCTTGATAAATATTGAATCCAAAGAATTAAACAACCAACAGCAAAGTGGAGTTTCAAATAGCTATTGAAACTGTTGAAACCATGGAACTAAACATGTGAGTATCTACGATGTAATTACGTCCTACACTCACATTACTTAAGTTAGTAGTAATATTGTATATATTTATCGTTGTAAAGTAATGATAGTAATGAAGACTATGTCAACCAATTACAATTACAGACAACAAAAGGATTAAAATGCTTCATCTATGCTTCACTAATGTAAATTTGTTTTTAGAATATATCATCCTTAAACCTACAGCAAATAGAATAACATTCACTTCAAGAATACCTTTACCCTCAGAATTATTTATTCTTTTGACATTATAATTTGAATATTTAACTTGTTTTTATCTTGTTGATAAGTTATACTTCATAATAGATAAACATTTGACCTCTTAAAATGTAGTTGAACTTTTAGTTGATGTTACCTTAAAAATACGAATTATTTAAAAATAAAAATTAAATAATAAAGCATGGCATAAAAGAACTTATTGTAGTAACAATGAAAACTCCAATATTCATGATTTTATTTTATTTGTATTCAGAGAAATCATAAAAATATTTAAAAACATTAGTATACATTTTTGACTTATTTTACATTTAGATATAAATAGTTTGACAATATTGTAGAATAATTATAAACATAAAAATACTGCAAGCTGGGATGTGATAAAAATGATGGGATGTATACAATTGATTTTTGGATGGAAAATTTTTCAAAGGTTATGGAGATGGATGTTGCGAAATTAGAATCGAGTGTACGCGTCTGCGCGAATCGCGAACGAGCGCGGGACGCGACACGTACGACGCAGGAAGCCAGCGAAGCGTGCCCGATTGTTCGAGTTGCACAGTCATCAACAATCTGCGAGATTTCTTCTTCATTTTCTTCTTAAATTTTGTTACACACTAAACACTATTGCGTAATAATAATATTATTTAACTTATTAATCTCATATCCTTGTAATTAAACTTAATTTACTTACAGAACTTCCTACAAGAATATGATAATTTTAGTTAAATGTCTATTATTTTATTAACTATCAATAATGTTTAGTATGTTTTTGTTTCAATGGACCAGTAGGGTTTGCTGCAAAGGTCAAAGAGGTGCTGGCTGAAAGGATGCAGGAACAAAGGTCTACTTGAGATATATTTAGTTAATTTATTAAGTCATTAGCTCTGAAAAACGTTAATTAGAAAAAAAGCACGCATAATTTTTTAATTGTTTTTTCGATATTTTACAATTACATTTGATTTATATATAATAATACATGTTTTGACAGAGACGTTAAACACGAAAGAAAATCAATTAAACGTTAATGAAGAAATAAAAAGTATTGTAGGGTTTTTATACTAATATCTATTTATATTTATATGAACAGTCGGTATGCAAAAATAATCAAAGGAAAGGATAACGTACAAATGAAAAAGTAATTAATTTAACAAAGTATCATTTTGATTGGTATATTAAAATAAATTTCTGCTAACAGGTTCATATCAATTACAAATGAACAAATTTTATTTCCTGTATTGATTAATGATGTGTTTTAATTTAAATCGACTTAATAATTATATTCAATTTTTACATTACTTAGTTAATTGTTGTCTTTCTTTTCATCGAATAATTAGTCTACTCGCTTAATAAAAAGGATTAAATTCATAGTAAATCTACCATGTATCGTATATTATTATTTATAATTAGTAATTAGTAATAATAATTATTCTTATCAGTAGAATTTAATTATTCGAAATTTTTTTGTTCATATTGTTTATTTTTTTTTTTTAATAAATTTCGAAAATTTGCTCAATCGAATCACCGAAAATCTTCGGAATTATTTTTACTTTCAGTCGATCGGTATTTTATTTTCATCAGGATTTTTAAACTTTGTATTCTTTAAAATAATCATTTCATTATTCATGTAATGTTATCATTTATTAGCATCTTTGGGCCTACCACGCGTTCTTCCGTTACAATCGAGGATTACATTTTACATGGGTTACACATTTACATTTTTCCTTCTCATTATTTCATTGTTTATAATTCACAAAAAAATATCTCAATTCACATGCATGCAATAATTCTGATCCAAAGTATACAAAGGCCCAAAGTGCTTGAATTAATTTTTTTTGGAACGATAATTTGTAAAAAGCTAAGTTATCACGTCTAAAATGAATTATTTTTGTTATATAGATATTATCAATATCCTTCTTATCATTAATATTCATATATGATGTAATCGACATTAATATTTGTCGTGATAACGAGAGACAACCGGTATTCTTTTATTCAAAAAAGTCAATTAACACTTAATTTGACATTCAATTTATGTATGTATAAATATTGGACGACAAATGATATTTTTCGTTATTAACGGATCAGTTATCTTTAAAGTCTTCATTAGTTTTAAAATAAATAATTTCATCATATTTTTCGTTATTGATTCATCTTATATTCAATCCCGGTAGTCGACACGTTATCTTAGACTCACAAAAATTGTTATTAAAATGAGAAAAACAGATTTAAACACGAGAAGAACTATTTAATTTGGAATATTAGATAACATTAGTATATTTTTTGGTTGTTCTATTACCACTCAATCGTCATTAGCAGTCTCTCATGAGCTGTTTAATCTGTGATTACACGCACTTATTATTTTTCATTATCCAATGTAGCATACCAACGGCACTTGTTCATATACATATATTTATTATGTAATATTATTATTATTTATTAATATTAATATCATTTATTAATATATATATATATTTATATATCCTAGTAGGTCTGTCTTCCAGAAATAAATAATGATAATCAATCATTGTTAACTTATTGATATTTTCATATGATTTCTTTGAATATGCGATCTTCGCGCGTGTAGATCGACAGACGACGGCCAACAACAGTGTGTATGTGTGTGTATTCTCTCGTTCATCCCGGGACCCCGAGGGCTTCCTGCAAGCGACGTGCGGGCGGGCGGATGACAGCGACCAAGTGACAACCAAGACGACGACGAAGACGACGACGATCGGACAGATGACTCGAACTGAAAGACACAGACCGACGGCGACGACCGGACGTAGTAGACCGAGCATCACCGATCATCCCCGGTCATTCGATCACGACGCGACGGGGTTTAGTATGGTGCGAACCGGCGCGACGGCGATGGTCCACGTATGCCCGGTCTGCTAACGAAAAACAGGTTATATTCAGACGATGTTATTATAATACATATTATTATCACGATAATCACTTACTCGCCAATCTAATGGCTCAATTTTAATTTTTTTTTCTATTTATTACTATATCTTATTTTTATTCTAATTATTAATAAATTTATTGTAAAAATATCTTAAATATTTTCATTATTTAACGAATTAGAAAAATAAATCTTTTATATCAATATACCTAAAATATAAATGATTTTTTTTACAAAAATATTTTTTTTCTACAAGCGAAAAAGGATTATTTCATTGAAAAAACAATTATATATGAATAAATGTAAATTATTTTTATACATACTTTAAAAAACAAAAATTATATATTCGAAGATGATGTTATAAAAAAAATCATTAAAAAAATATGTATATATAAATATTGACTAGAATATCTTTAAAATTAAACAAAAAAAACAAATAGGAATAAATAACAGGAAAGTCGACTCTTCTCGACGTCGGACTATCTTATATGTTGATATGTAAATATATTATACAAATATATAAAAAAGTAATGTTAAATAGTCATGCAAAGAATATTAAATTTTGATGAATACTGTTATTTATTATTGACATATAATAATAATAATAATGATTAAGCGGCACCGAGAAAACGCGACGTTGAGAAAAGTTGAGAGAAAGGAGAATAAATTAATTGAATTTACTAATTCGCCTGACGAATAGGGAAACGGGGATTAATATTATTATTTCATTTATTATTATTATTATACTTAATGTAAATAGTAATACTACTACTAATAATAAAATATTTAATGTAAAAAAAAAGGATTTTGGCACAACTTGAACATGTTCACTTACCTACGTTCCTCAAACGAATCTCGGCTGAAGTCCTCGTACATGCCTCTACTATAACAGCGTCACAATAAATAATCGAATCTATCTGATTTTTTCTAATATTTTGTGCCATTCACTTTATTCCCTTATCCGGTGCCTGAATTCGCGGAAATATGTACTTTATATTTTTTTTAATTATTTTCTTCTGTAAGATTCTAAGAGATCACTATCCAATACTTAATTTATACTTGGATACTCATTTCTTTCGTTGCATTAATTTTAGTGATGGCCTTAATTTAAATAAAGGTAAGTTGAATTGAAAGAAACCTTTTGTAGAATTAAGATGAGTGCGAATGAGACACCGAATTAAGAGAGCAATTATGTGTATTTAAGACGACCCTAGAGTACCAGTTGATTTACTTGAGCCATAAACATTGAAGAATTATTTAGCAACAATCATGTTATTATATTTTATAGTAAAGGGATCTAATTTTTATGTTGTGTTATAATCATAATTAGGATAAAAATGTTAATGAACTTTTTTAAGGCCAAATTATAGTATAAAAAAACTTTCAAGTTTTAGTTTATATGCAATATATTGACTTTTGAAGTAATTGGTATTCTCTAGGGTTTTCTGCATTCATCAACAACAAACTTAATAAACAGGCTGAGGTGCATTGAAATGTGTAGTGTACAGAAGTGTCTAGGGAGATGATTGATTACAAGAGACTAGACATAGGAGATCGAAATTGTTGTTAATTAAATTTCGGATTTTTGATTAGTCAAAATACAAATTATTGTCAACAGAAGAAATCTTACATAAATTTTGACGCGGCTCCCAAAGACAATCCTGAAAATGATCTAACTTTTTGACAAGAGGATCAACGTCAAATTTTAATCACTGAATGGAGACAAATTAAGTATGAAGGAAAGATTTTGTTATATGAACACATGAATTATTAATTTATCCTTTGACTATTGACATAATTATTATATAGTCTAGAAGAAAAGAAAATAATTACGGCGAAAAATCACCGAATCCCAATTCGCACGTTTGTTTAAATGTTTCAATTCTCAGCATAAGTAGATCCTGAGACAAATTTACGGTCGCGAGATCAAGAATTTGAATAAGAGTTATAGAAATTTTTCACAGTGCCGCTTGATTATAGATTTATATATTAATATAAAAAAATATTATGTGGTATATTATGATTTGTGTGGATGTCAACTTACCTGAATCGTCCATTATTACCACTTGGAGGTGGTGATCGTCTGCTAAACATTCCGTAATCATTGCCACGAGAGAAACCACTATCCCGCATGGTTCCCATACCTAAAGCAGGCATTGGAGGCATTGGATCACGTCTGGCTGGTAGTGGTGGCATTGACATCGGTGGAAAATCTCGTCCTAACATGGTACTATCCATGTCACGAGGTCCAGCCATTCCTGTGAACCTCCTCTCATAAAGGTCTCTAGTATCATCAAAACCTCTTCTGTCGTAATAGCTATCATACTCCTAATAATTATAAGGGAAAATACTGTTAATTCATCCATAACTTCAATATTTAATATTGAAACATTCAATATTTGATTTTTCACTTTAATGGAAAGTATTATTACGAATAATTAATTACCCCAAAACCACGACCTCCCATTAATCGATCTCGTAAGAATGGTGGAGGGGGTGGAGGTGGATATGGATCACGACCGAACATTCTGTCTCTAAATCCATTTCTATCTGGACCTCCGCCCATTCCACCTTTGGGACATTCTTTGGACCAATGTCCACCACGTCCACATCTGTAACATTGTTCTGGATCGCCCATTCCTGGCCTTTGTCTTACTCGACTGGTAGATATTTGTACTTTCATCGGTTGACCATCAACTATTTGTCCATTTAACTCCTTAATTGCATCATTAACATCACCCGATGCTTCAAGATGGACGAAACCATAGTTACGTACGATATCACATTCAACTACCGTACCGTATTTGGCAAAAAGTTCTCGCACTTGTGGGGCTTTAGTATTGTCTGTCAGATTACCAACAAAGATCTTGGTTGTTGGTGTATTTGGGCCTTTGCGGCTCTTGGCTGCTTCGCACTTTATTGGCTGCCCATGTACTGGAGTTCCATTTAAATTCTGTATAGCATTTCTACCTGCTTCTTCATTTTCCATATGCTAAGTAGATATTTAGAAATATTTTTCATTTTCTATGATCGATTAACATAAATTTTAAATATAAAAAACAAAAATTATTGCTTACCACAAAACCATAGTTCTTGACTACATCACACTCCACAACTTTTCCATATTTTTCAAATAATGGCTTTATATCAGAATTAGAAGTTTTATCAGTAAGATTACCGATGAATATCTTGAAAGTGCCTACGCTGCTAAAACCTGGCATTTTGCCTCGTTTTCCAGTCTATAAAACAATTAGTATACAAAAATGTTTGTTTATTCAAGGGTTTTCATCAATAAAATGTAGGTTATTAAAAGCAGTGATACAATTCTTTTTTCAAGCATATGAATGACGATTACACACAAATCGAGGAGAAAAATGATAGAATGGTGCCGTCGTAATTTTCCCCTACTCTAATATAACATCACAATCCCTCCTTTCTCTTTCGCCCGCATTCACAAGTTATAACTTAACACCCGTCCGCCATTTTCTCTCTCAAACGAAAATTGATCGTATTTATAATTCTTCTCATTCCAGGGATTTCTAACTATAAAAATCTAATAACAATTGATAGATATTTTTTAGATCATTTGTAGCATTAATGCACGTAAAAAATTCATTTGATTTCGATTTACAAACACACACATACAATTCAAATAACATGACTTTAGAATCAATTAAAGTTTAACACACGAAGCGAATTGATTATAAAATGAATATTATTGATAGAATATCTATTTTTTATTTTAATTAATAAAGTAATAAACGAAAGAAAATGGATGCTGATTGATGATGTATAAATAAACGGAAATAAAATGTTATATACTTAAAAACTTCACAAGGACGTACAATTTTTGTCATGACGACGCGGCAAACGAATAATGGCGTGTCTCAAAAGTTGTTAGTTGAGGCTAATTCCCCACGAAACTTACGTAATCAGTTTTCTAAATAATTTCGATTATGAATATATTAATTGGCATAATTATAAAAAATATTATATTAAATTGTTATTATTTAACTTACCGAATTAGTCGTAAAGGTAAAACTACACAATCAATTGCACGACGTGATACACGCGCTACAAGAAGTAAAATGGCGGCTTGAACTGGTTGTTTCGCACACACCGGGAACCGCGTCGTCTGCCGGGGCTCACAGACAATGGCTAGTAACTCCATCTATAATATATTGGTAATTATTACCGACTGTAAGTTGGAACGCTTATATTGAATTCTTTATTTGAATTTATTTTAACAACATATAATAAACTGTGTGTAAATAGTTACATAGATTATTTATAAAATTCTTAATAATTAAAAAAAAAAAGATGTATATTTGTAAAAAAGACTAGGCACTTATAAAGCATTGATTATAATTCAAAATGGGAAATGTGAATGTATAGTGATTTGATTCAATAAAACTTCGTATTTATTGTGTTTGTCAGAACTATTTTAATTATTTTATTGAGGAACTAAAATTCTATAAAATTTAAAAAAAATTACAACTATTTTGAAAAGTTAAGATAAATTTTTTAATGTACATTAAAAATATTATAAATTCTAGAATTTTTAATTTGATGTATTATAAACGCCGAAGATTTAAGATCTATTCATAACATGAACGATAATATTTGCGATTAATAAACGTATGAAAAATTATTGTAAAAAATATAATACACATTAAATAACAATGGCCAACAAGTATATGATACTTATGAGCGAAAATAGAATAATTTAATTGTAACAATGTGATATAAGACTCGACATTTTTCGTCATCAATCATCATCAAATCACATCGAATCGAAAATTATATTTTTCAAATAATTATAACTCTATTTTTATTAATACGAAATTTAATTACTTCTGTTTCATTTGAGAAAAAAAAGGTTTTTAATCAGCTTCGGTTTGTACAAATAACAGAAAATATTACAATGTATATCTTGTACTATGGTAACCATGAACTTAATGAGAAATGAACTCCAAAAAATTCACAGTTTGGGCAGCAATTATACTGTACAAGTAAATAGTTGTAAATCAATGAGTATCTTGCAATCATTGATTATTACCCGACAAGAGTAGTATTTTGAAATAATCATTACTATAATAATGACAATAATTAAAATAAAATATTTCTACATAATTAATTAACAATGTACAAAATTTCAACTTTTGTTTGAAAAATTTGTTATAATGGCAATTTTAATGTTTAAACTAGGCACTCATGTACATCATCACTTATTTTTATCATTATCGTATTAATAATTATTTATAATCAATATTATTTATAATGTAATATTGGAAGTGATAGCAGCACAACATAAAATAAAAAAATAGAATAAATTTTAGTTAGTGCTGATATCCTTCTATAAAATAAACAGTTTCTAACTTTAATCTTTTTCTTACAATTAAAAAAAATGTTCATAAACAGAAATAATATAACGAAATATCAAAGTTAATCAATTATTTTATATTTACAAAAAGAGTAATTTATCACTCACATTCAAAAATCTATTTATTAATAACGCATACTTTACACATTCATGACATTTTAATATTTACTGAAATATTTGTTATTTACTTCATTCACATACTTATTTAGATTTTAAAAATGTTTTTCACCCTTTTTCTTTTTATTTAGTGTAACCTCAGTCTTCTTCTGGCTGCAGTCTGTCATTAATTTTATATACATCTCAAAGGAAATATATATGTACAAAAGATACTATTTATATCTTACGATGTATAAATCGTATTTAAAAAAAATAATAATAATAAATTGCCTTGTCATTATTTGAACAACTATTTACAACGTTTGTTTGAGTAATTAAAGAAAACTTATACTATCTTGATGGCATTATCGATGTGTAATTTAGACAAAGTTTTTTTCACCCTGAGGGCAGTTAATCGGACGGCTGGATTACCATGCCAACACTCAACCATAACTTTGCTTAGCGCTGAAAGGACCTGAAACAATTAAAAATTTAAAAATTAATATTTAATAATCAATAAATAATTAAGCTCGTCTGAACTTTCAATTTTTATGTCTGATGTAGAATAATAAAAAAATACGTAAAATTTTCGAACAAAAATAAAAGATAACTTACTGGATCAAGGTCCCATCGTGCTGGTATAACTGGCCTAAGTCTTTTGATACAAACAGCGAGCCTCATGTCCTCAAAATCTGGATCACTTGGCACAACATCGTGGTAGGGTAAAGCATATGGTTCAGCAGTAGTCACTTTTCCACCAGTTATACATCTTCTACAAACTTCCCAAAGTACTAAACCAACTGAATACATATCTGCCATTTTAAAAGCATCAAAAGATGATGTATTTAGGCTTTCATCCAAAACTTCAGGTGCCATATATCTTCTTGTACCCACTCTGGTATTAGGTGCAATGTCAATTTCACCACTTTCACTGTTTTTTAAAAATAAACATGATATCAGTAAAAATTATCGTATACTACTTAAATATTTTTCATTTGAAATAATCAAGATATCTTATCTTACCTTATAAATCTAACTGCCAGACCAAAGTCCGCAATCACACATTCTCCATTCTTCTTAACTAAAATATTTTTGCTTTTGATGTCTCGATGTGCTATTGCAGGCTTTCCTCGAGTACCGAAAATTTCCGTATGAAGATGAGCAATTCCAGAAGCTATCGATAGACATATTGTAAAAAGACTTGAATGGTCAAGCACAGTTGTTTGAAGATAATCATGGAGAGATCCTCTCTCATGGTAATCAGTGATGAGAAGCATTTGGGTCCAAGAACCGGTTCCCTTGATGTCAGCAGCGATGAATCCAAGGATATTGTCATGTCTCATTAACACAGTTTGATATATCTCAGTTTCTCGAAACCAAGATGCTTCTTCTAACGTGAAAAACACTTTAACTGCGACCTTTTCTCCTCGCCAACGTGCAAGCCATACATCACCATATCTTCCTCTACCAACACATTGGCACAATGCTAGTTGTTTAGCAATAGTTCTTTGCACTAAAAGAGGCAAACCAGAACCTGAACCTGAACTTTGATCAATTAAATCCTTCAAAGTTCCTTGAGAAGGCACTAAATAAGGTCCGCGTTCTTTCTTCCGGTATCTTCTGTAGATAATAACCATAGTAATACAAAATACTATCAAACAAACTGATAGTGAAGCTGCTAAAATAATTAAAGGAGCACCCGACGCTAAAGATATTGGATCTGGTGGAGATGTTGGTCTTGGAGTATATTCTGGATAAATATCCTTGTTACAGAGATTAGTTTTATTGCAGCAAAGAATACTTTTACTGCGGAGATGTGGTACAGCCGTTCCTTGACATTGCATAAAACCTTGCTCATCTGGTGGTAAACATCCAAATGAAAACTCCGGCACGTATTCACCTAATTCTCGATCCCACACTTCTTCTACGGCACTAAAGCAATGACTTCCAGGTTTTCCTTCACATGTACCATTCTGTCGATCATCTGGGCAATGGCCGTCGCAGTAACATGTTATTCCGACCACTGAAAACATACAAAAGTCAATCATTTATTCATCCATAAAAAAGTATTTTCATTAAAGTACTGTGTTGAAATGTATAAGAAGTTTATTGCTTTCGTAGATTACATTCTTGTTGAAAATTGATTAAAAAAAAGCATTACCAGACTATGGGCACGTGTCTTGTAAACTACTACATACCATATCATCTACCACCAAGAAACATGGTCTAAAAAAAGATACGTCCTTGCCTCGGGCACGGATGTAGGAGGAACAGATCGACCTTTTACGGTATTTTTCTTATCGCAATTAAATGCAAAATTATCCGTACTTTCACCAGAACATGATAAACCTGTCTCTTATGTAGATATATTTCACTTTACATCTATACCAAGTTACGAATTCAATTTAGTAAAAAACCGTTTATTGATAAATACTAGACATAAAGGTTGCTATATTTTTTGTTGTTAGTCTTGTAGACAAAAAATGAAATTGCATAGTTGAATGTTAGCTAGATATATAGGTTTACTTTGAAATACTCGAGTCATTTCTGTGTACATTGACACGCCGAGTAGACAGCACGAAGGCAAGACTTTTCGGATTCTATATGTAGCACCGAGGAATTTAGAATACATATAAATTTAAACTAACAAAGAATGCAATTGAACTAAATATTTTTTATTTACATTGAATGATAATTGAATTGCCATGTCTTTTTTCTATTATTTATTGATAAATAAAAATAATGAAGTTGAGATAATTGCAAATTTGAATAAATGACATTAAAAGATATATATATACACAGAATGACTGAAGCAGATCAACAATAGACAAAGAAAATAAATGTTTCGTTGAGAAATAAATAAACGATCGACATGTTAATTGTAGTCTACACACTGGGTGAGTATAGTTGTGCGAGAATAAGTGAGAATAAGCGAAAATAAGCGAGATTGTTGGCTGGCAAGATATGTGTATGTCGTGTGGGCGGACGACCATCTCGGCCTACGAAGTAATACCACTATGAGTAGAGAAAAAAAGAGAGAAAAGGGTGCGCCGAGTTCAGAAAACTCTGTCTCCTTTACCTTCCCTACATATTATTTCATTTTCTTTCTCTTTTTCTCTACTTTATTCTCATTCAGCTTGCAACGTGTATGTCACTTATTGTATTGTGGAGATGATCTGTATTTCCTGTACATTGTATATGATAGTTATTCAACAATATATGTATACATATGTATATGGAATTTATTTATCAACAACTATAATCACTGCTTCGAGCTAGAGAGCATGTAGCACATGATATATCAAGAGATGGAAAAAAATACGTTTTCAACTTTTAAAATGCAGTTTTTTTCATTTAAAAAATGTATTGTTTTCAGAATATTTTGACATCAATAAACAGTAAGAAATATATTAATTAATCATCTGTAATATCTATGAAATAATAAAATACTAAGAAATTAATAACTAATGTATTACTAATATTTTTAATGACTATTTATTAGGGAGGTATACGTATATAAATGTAAATATTCTCTCAATTTTTTTCTGAATAATCAGTAAATGTGATTCATTGATACAATATAGACTAAACTGTGAACAGACTCACCACACATGTAATGTCTGGTCCTCAAGCTGATAGCATAAAGTGACAAAAACTTAACTGCACATGTGTACGTACTTACTGACCCTACTTAAAGATGTGCATTACAGGAAATGTCCTGCTGACTTGGAGTATCGAGTAATGTAAAAATACAATTTAAGTACATCATGCATATGATAGAATTCTCGAAATAGTTCATTACTAATTAACTTCATTTCTATGTGGAAAGTAATATTGATTGCTCGAGTTAAACAAGTGGATTATTGGCTCAACTCAGTTTTTTACAATTACTACACGCCATAAACGCCAGCAAACAAATCGATCTATGTAGTTTGAGGGAACAATATCACGTTGTATACTTTCTGTATAACCCTACACAATCATGAAGGGGATCAATCTATACCCGTCGGCACGATTTCAACCACCCTTCAAGCTTTTCCTGGAATTTCGCTAGCTTACTTCCCTACTGCTACTACTATTACACACTTTGATTCTCATTTATTTTGCGCATGTGCAATCTTGGCATCTTTTATTATACCATTCTTTCTTTTATTTATTGCACTATTAAGTTCCCACACCTGTTTTTTTATAAACCCTTATACATGAATAACTCAATATCCTACATTTTTGGCCCTTTTGAACTGTATAAAATTAGTACCCATATTCGTGTAACAAAATTAGTATCCTTTTTATCCCCTAATCGAACAATTTAATGTAATACCATTTTACCCTAAAACAGATTTTACTCAATATCTATATCAATGACAGAAAATTGGGTGTTTAACTGATAAGTAATGATGATTAAATAGATAAAGTCTGACCCTCTAGTATGAACCTCAAGTTGATCTTGCACCTGTATAGGGTCTATGTGGATCTCCAGTTACATCAGCTATATAGAGATGTGATCAATAATGCACTATCAACTAGTTTTTTTCTAAGCTTATTATACGGGAAATTACGGTAGTACGAGCTAGATATAGTCTTGTGAGAAACGAGAAATGAGAAACTAGCTATTCTGGATGAGTAAGGACTGAACGAGTTGGGCACACGTCTTTTCAAGTATTCGCGTATTTTGAAATGCAGTCACGTATGCCGTGTGACCACAGCGGTGCAGCTCAGGTTGATATTTCTCTTCTGATTGCATTTTTTTTCTACGTTTTCTTCTTTTTGTCGATGTTTCTTTTTTTCATGACCTCGTGTGAAGTCTCCAGGATTCTGAGGATGTAGTTTTAAACAGTTTACTAATATTTTTTAATGCGAGTTTGACTTTTATTCATCCATAGATAAAATTTTTTAGATTTACAGAAAGTTCATTATTTATAATAAATTACGTATTTTTAAATTATCCAAATTTAATTTACTTTTTTTTATCAGTTTAACGTTTGAAAAATTATAAATAATTTTATAAAAAATGTCATTAATGTATTAAAACTGTAATGCAATTATATTTCAGTCGTTCAAATATAAACTATTTTTGTTGAAAAAAAAAACTATTCTTCATATAAAGCAGTGTACTGAGCATAAAATTGAAAGAAAAGCAGGAATTTTCTTAATTCCTAAGTCCTTCCGTATGAATCGTAGTTATCATTTTTAATCCTATGAATTACAAACGTTGTACAAAAATTTATTGTTTAAATAATTGAAAGATCCTTTCAGAAAGGTCCAAGTGATACTTAGGTTCTGGCTTACTATAATCCCTCTGTTTTCCACAATAATGATGATAATAATAGATAGTAATTCAATATTATTACAACTTTTCTTGGGTTTCCCCAGTCTCTGGCTAATACTCGTGTCTCCTCAATAATATAAGCCAGCAGCTATACAACCATTGTTAAATAAACCCGCACACTACATAGGCTTGATTTAACACGCGATCATACTATGACATGTACATATATACATCATGAAAAAAAATACAACGATATGTGTGTACATACGTGGCGGTTTTACAATCAACATATCAGGCTAAATATTTGTTAAATAGTTTGTGATCGAGCACTGAGCCATTTTTCTTATCTATTACGTACTTCAGACATCATTACTCACATTTACTGTGTCACGGGAAGGAATTTTTTTTCAATAATCATTCTATTTAGAAAATTGGAATGAAATTTTCCCAGAAAAAAATGAATAAATCCTTGTTTAGAGCAAGTAACTTCCAAGAAATATCATTTCAGTTAGCATCAATTTTGTAACATTTACAATTAACTTTCGTATTCTTCAAACTGAACAATTGGTTTTGGATTAGAAATATGCAGTTGCACAGATAGATCTTCATTTATAAACTTTTACGGCTTTCCTGACCAAGAAAATACAATAAAAAACTCTTTGTTAGAATATATGTAAAAACATTAAAAAAAAGAAGAATTCAATGTCTACATTGTTGATAAAAGAGTCTAAAGAATGTCCGTAAAAAATTCACAACTTATGAATAGTGTCTTGAGATGAGAATAAGGGAGAATATGTATAATAGAAAAAAAAGGAATGAAGGTTAGGCAGCTTTTATTGTACTTCACACAGGTCGTGAAGTGAATTGAAAAGCTGAACAATAGGTCAGGTAAAATATATATACAGATTGTAAACCCTGTTCTACTACACCTGGCTGCTGATCCAGAGTTATAAGGATAGGAGCCAAGTAGTACTTGTTTTGTATTCCATATAGAGGAAATAATATTTATATATCGTTATCTACATACATATGAGCGTAAGTATATTGTCAAGTATAGGTTTATTATTATTAGTAATAACAACAAAAAAAATTCCAAAATGAATTCGTAAAAATGGCTCCATATAATAATAAAGAAAATAACAAATGTTAACTTGGAAAAATGTTATAAATCATCAGCAATATTATTTATTAGAATTGTATTAATGTTGATGCTGTAATGATGATGCTGCATTGAGGAATTTCTGTGATTGTATGTGATATTACATTGATGATACATACATAAATTGAATTTATACTCAGAAAAGAGAAAAAAGCCAATGGAATTGTGTTAATTATTCTCGAGGACATCTTACATTTTAAACGCAATAATTAAATCTTGCTGATAGTTTAAGGTTACTCTTTTTATTTGAGAAATAATGAATGGATTGAATAACATACATCATTCATAAAATATTTCAATTAGTGTAATCGGTAATTAAAAAATTTATCACAGTTTTTTAATCATTTTAATGAAATGGAGTATTGTGGGAAACATCTGACGAGATAAAAGTAAATTTAGAGGAAAGAGGAAGACATTAGAGGATGAAATTCAGCTTGAGAAGAAAACGAAAAACTGATCTACAACTGTCTGCATTTGAGAGACACTTCCTCTTATGAGAAAAGAGATAACCTTTTTGCTTGCAACTGAAGACTGTAAGAAGACTTTAAAAAAATAAAAAAACTCACACGTTTCCTTCAGAGACTTTGTAGAGAAAAAAAAGCAAAGCATAACAATAAAACGAAAATGAAAAGTGTCAGACTGCGAGTCTGGTCACAAGCGGCAAAGACAAATCGTGGTATGTGTATGTGCGACATTTGATACCGGGACATCTGTGTAACATAAGCTTCGTCTCACGACACAACATAGCAAAATAACGTAAGGAGACAGAGAAAGATTGTAGTGAGAGCAAAGAGAAAATATCACCAATTCTTCAAGACATTATTTTACGCTAATTTATTTCTAATTGTTAAAAGTTAGAATTTTGATAGGTCGACATAATCAATCTGCTTCACAATTAATTCACAAATAAGTTAAATTTATTTAATTAATCATTCCAGTGTATGTGTATATATACTACTGCGGCACTATAGTACTATACCATTTAAATATCAGCACCATTCAGTCATCTTTGGAGTTTACTGAATGATCATTAGATTGAATTATAATAATTTATTATTGTGTAATGAAACAAAATAACAAAAATTACTCACCACCAATACTTTTAGCAACCAACACCGTAAGACTGAGCCACAACAGGCTGTATTTACTAAATTCGCGCTGATGTGAACTTGTGGAGCGCGCAGCAGCCATTTTCTACACTCGAGAGCACATACTTGACTGTGACGTAGGTAGCAGAGCGTCGAGGCGCAAGCCACATTGACTTGGCTGGACTTGGCGTATTTTCGTAAAATGATCCAAGTGCGAGAGAGAAAGAGAGAGGAATCCATGCTTCAAAGTGATAGTGGGAGAAGCGTTCGGCTACAATCGGTTAGTGATCGGCCACAACGAGTGAGACTATCTTTAGGCCAGTTGAGAATACATTCAGCAGGAGTAAGGGAGAACGAGAAGGATTTACAAGGCGTAAGGGACTTGGAGAGAAGAAGAGTGGGATTTGGTAAGATGTGACGATCATCGGTGACCGTCGGGGGCGTCAGCTATGGCAACCTATGGCGGGAGACTGAGTCCACCGAGTCGGCGTCCTACAGGCGCCACTGAGCCGCGACTTGGAGTTGCTTTGGCTGCAACTTGGAGCCTACTCGAGACTGCTCAAGAGCCTATCTCCCTTCTTTGTCTTTTTCTGCCTGCATCAACATACTTGTTTCCAAGCAGCCACACACCCAGCTACATCAAAAGTGATCAGGAGTCTGTACACAGGCGACAAACTGAATAGCTGTCTTACGATCTATCTAAACTCTAGTGATCCCATTTGATTGACATGATATAAGTCATCATTCTTATGTTATATCAATCTACTGATATCATTTTATCGAACTCCAATAATATTCATTCATTGAAATTTTTCATTCTGATAAACAATCATATCTAAATACTTCAAACTTTTATAGCCACTATGTAGATAAACAATACACTGAAAGGACTAAAAAACATTGAAAATAAATAAAAGTTATATAAATATAATTGTAGAAACGGATGATTAAATAATACGAGTCAAGATTATTATAATTAGTGGCACATATAATGCTTGGTATTTATAGAGATGATCTTCGACACTTTAGTCGTTAATATTTCCCTATCCTCTTCTTTTTTTTTTTAATAAAACAATTATTTATTTACCAAGTAAAATTTATGGTGATAATTTAAAATAATTACATTAGATAGATTCAGTGATATAATCTTTTCTTCATATTTTATCAATTTTATCAGTGACTTTTATTAAAGTGTTAATGAACTAATTAAAATTTCTCAATTATAATTCAGAAGATTAATTTTGTAATATGATTGAAAAAATTTATTTTTCATTATAAATACCTTTAGTAAATCAAAATTATTTCTTGACTTATGAATGATCATTGTTAATTTTCTTCGGTACAGATTGGCTCCAGAAAGTGGTCAGAGAAGAAGAAAAAAAACTTTCTCAGAAGATTTAAAGAAATGAAGGTGCACGGCAATAAAAAAAAAAGGGATTCGTCTGACTGTAATTTGCGAAGCAATTGTTCACACCTTTCTTAGCAGACTGCAGGATGAAAAATAAGTGTCAGTACTGTACATTTATATTGGCATCTTATATTTTTTTATTCGAATATGTTACACAGGCACAACCGGCTCAGCCCACTCTTCTACGAATATTGTAATAATGCGGGCATTGTCGGTCGTTAATCAAGGATTTAACACCCCGAAAAGGAGTATTCAGTCGCGACAATAGCATTGAGGAACCGGATTCGAGGATTAAATTAGCAATTCGTCGTTCTACGAAACGCCTAAACGGCTCGTTGCGCCTGATCGTCTGGCGGTTTAGGCGTCACAAAGACGACAAAGAATGAAGGAATTGATAGAAAAAAAAACGAAATAACGATGAAGAAGAGAAAAGTGAAATAGATGGACGAAAAATAATGATTTTGTACCTGTGTCTGCTCAATGCATTCAATATTAACAATAAGAAGGATCATCATCATCATCTTCATCATCATGAGATGGTAATAATAATACTATTATCGAATAATAGAACGTAATAGATAACGTATAATAAATTATGGAAAAAGAAGTCAGAAGAGCATCAGTATCATCATCTTGATCACACGAGACCAAACAAAATAAAAAAAAGTATTGAGAAAGAAAGAGAAACAGAAAATGATGGTGGCAACCAAACTCTTAAGAGGTACGAAATCTTGAATCTACTCGACGCGTATTCGAATGATCTTGGGATGAGGTAGAAATATATTTCATTCGAAGAGATGTTGGTTGCGAGACCGCTGAGCTACAAAAGAGAGCAAAATCTGTATATAAACGAGTAGGGCCCAGTTAACACACCGTGTAGTCGGGATTAGCCTTTGGGTCAGGCTTTGACTGAACAGAATTTGAAGATCTTGGTTATATTATGTAGCCAGCAACATAAGCAATAAAATTGTAATAAAATTGCCCAAGACTGAAATGTAAAAAAGTTACATTTTTACCATTTTTTAATTATATAAATTATATTATTATTATTATTTATAATAATAAGTGTTATATTTTTTTTAGTTAATAGAATGATAATTAAGAATTAATTGACATGAAATCATTGCGAAAAGGGTCTTGTAAGCATTTAAATGTCAGAATTAACATTGAAATAGTCAGTAGCTGAATTTTGGAGTTAAATTAGTTGGTGGTTAAGCATAGGACTGGATAAGTGGCCACTATAATTCTTATTTTTCTTTCCTTTTTTTCTAATACCTATACTCGTCGAGATACATGTTTTTTTTTATTTTTCTTTATTTTTATATCAACACGCTTGCATGGTATCTCGTCTGTGAATGTTAGTTTGAATAGCTGAGTATGATGGTGTGTGGTAAACGGCAGGGCCTCACCCAATTCACACCTGACTGACCTGACTTCAAAGGCTGATAAAAACATGCTTCCATATAGATAATACCTCTGAAGCCGACTCAAATTCTGCTATCTATACAAGTAGCTGAATATAAGCGACACAATTTATATTATGTAACAAGTATTATAGCTTGAAATTTATTATGTTATTATGGACATTAAATTTACATTTAATTTCAATTTCAGATAAAATGTCTCTCCTATGACTGTGTATGTCTATAAGAAAAAATTAAAAGTACTATTAACATTGTACTATATTTAATATTTAAAGATGTAAAATCAATTTGCTCTAAATATGACCAGTTGAACTAATGGCCACTGAATTAAATAACGGGTGTGTAGAATAAGCTTTGAGTCAACGTTTAAATAGATACAATTGCGATTGATTATCCAATGAAGTCCGGACGACTAATCTCAGTTAAAAAAATAACAAACTATTCCCACGAGAAAAAAATTTATCCTCCTCTCTCCTCACACTATTTCATTGTAATAACTAATATTAATATCAATAATAGATATTTTCAACGGATTTAATATTCCAAAATTTATATGTTTATAATGTTTCAATTGGAGATAGCGAATATATAGTAATTTATTTGACATGTAGATGATTCAATTGAGTTGATTATGATCATTATATAAAACATTTTCGTCTTTATATCGTATAATAAATTCCCATTGTAAATTCGCCTATTCAACCTTCAAATGACGGTGTTCCGTTGGTGCTGTCGCTGAGGTCTAATAATATTGAACATTTTCAAGTCGGGTGCAGCACCGGGTCTTCACTCAAGATGAGTAGGCGTACTATACAGCTCGTGGGTGAGAGGAAACATTATTGGTGATTCTCAAGTGCATATCTATGGGTATTGTGTAGTTCTAGTCACGACTATGCTCATAATATAATGGGATATGGAATATATTATATATTTAGGTGTGTAATATCTTTGGACCACAAGACTCGTCTACCTTGGTTTACCTCATCTACTCCTTCTATTCAGCTGTATACATGACGACGGTGTTCAACAGCAACATACAGGCCAAATGGTGAGAGATGAGGGAGTAAAAAGATAGAAACAACAAAAGACTCGAGTTGGGTCGACTTGGGATATAGAAGATGTATAATACAAAGATCCATCGGGACCGGTTTTGCGCCTGGCCTAACCGTCTTTTTTACATTCTCCGTAGAAGCCCTGTGGAGCCACGGCCGCCACGGGTGTGAAAACCGACACCCACCCACTTGTTATTTTGTCAAACACAAGTCACTGAAAATTATAGCAATCATGCTATATTCGGGCTCAACGACCAACCAAGCATACCACCACCTAATTATATCCACTGTATTTGTACATTTACCACCTAATATTTTTGTAACCATCTATTAAGGCGTGTTGAATTATTAATTTCAATTATTTATATATCTTTACTACTGTCAATACTTATTTAATTTAGGTAATATTCAAATCTATAAAATATAAAAGCTAAAGTGTTAAAAAAACATTAAAAGGTTCTCATATTTCAAAATTAAATATTAATCTAACATAATAATGACTATATTTTTTACTATATACCTGAATTCTTTCAAATATTTCTTAATACATATTAGTTTTTAGTGAAAGTAAACATTTCTTTCTCTAAGATAATAGAGTTTTATTGCTTTTAATGATTTCGGAAATATTTGATATTTTCATAAATATTTAAAAAATTCTTCACCAATTTTAAGTTTCAATAACGTGTGAGACAGTTATTTTTCTTAAAAGATATCATTAACTAAAAAGAGTAAAATAATAACACCAAATTCGTATTTGTTACACCGATAAGATATTGCATGGAATTGTTTTCTCTTGTAGTGCATTTGTAGAATTGAAAGAATGAAATCGAAGCTGAAGAGAAAAGAATCAAACGGAAAAGATTTGAGTGCAGCTGCAGCAAACCTTTGGTTAACCGCACGCCAATTATTCCGTGTACAAAATTGCACGTGCAAGGAACTGGCCAAGTTGAAGAAGAGTAGAATTTCAACAGCGATACAATAAATAAAAATAAATTAAAGCAGAATAAGGCACAACACATATTTTTCTCTCTCCTCTTGGCAATAAAATCGCGCAACTCGGCATCTGGTGAGAATGGTAAGATTGTCTCTTTTTGTCTCTGATTCTGATCCAACAGTTTTTTTTTTCAACATACTCTTTTTTGGTCAACGGATGCACGAGACGTGCGAACAAACAAAAGATTTGGTTCTACCTTGTCTTTTTTTCAATGTAGTATTATGTATTCTCTCTTATTCTTTTTATTTTTCTTCCATTCTTTCTCAGAGTTTTTTTTTCCTTATTTTTTAGTTTAAATTAATTCACTACGACTTTTTAAACAATCTAAGAATGTAGTAATTATTTAAATTTTCATTAAATTAAATTTAAATTTTATTTATTTGCTTAATAATAATGCGTGCATGTTGTATATGGGATACCATATTACAACTAAATGATTTAATTACTTGTTTCCACAATAACATCAAACATCTGTGAGTAGTAATAAAAATATATGCGTAGATTTTTCTACTACATAGTTGGCCATATAATGCTATGTGGTAGCATAAACAAGAATCGGAGTATTACAAATAAGGTACTTGTTGGAAGCTACTCCAGTTTACTGTTTATTCTATGCCTTCAAAGGACTTGAAGTAATGCACGAATACCTTGACTATAAGTGGAACTTGTTTCTTGTCATATCATTTGTTGAACTTATATGGAATAAACGTAGAATCTTTATAAATTAAATTAATTTGACTTTTCTCATTAAATTTAATTAGTAATTAAAATTGAATCATATTTATCTTCAATCTAAAATATTTAAACTTCTAAATATAATTTATTTGTTGATTGGGGTGTAAACAGAGCAATCTTTTCATTTTTTTGTGTTTATGTAATTTATTAAGAATTAATTTAATAAGAGACAAGTTATTTTTCAACCTTTTTCGCTTTAGTCGATGCTTGTTGTGCTCTTATTACTTTAACAACGATCTTTTGTTCTTCAATAAGAAAAGCTCGAACAATTCTGTTAAACAATAATATTTTTTAGTTATGCATTTATCAATTTTTTATGTAATTATTTAATCTATTTACCTTTCTTTAACACATTTGTGACAAAGTACACCACCGTAAACACGTTTTACGGTCTTTTTACGTTTGCACATTCTTGATCGTTCCATTGGTCTTGCAGGTTGAATTCCCCTCAATTGTTCCTTACATTGTCCACATTTAGGGATTTTCTTGGGCTTTTTAAGGTATTGATACACTAACTTCCCACCAGGAGTACGTACACTAAAACAATTATGAAGACTTCATCGTTAAAATAATGAAATAAATAGTAGATTTGACATTTTATTTAAAAATAAATAATTTATATAATTGATTTTAAAAATGAGTGAATTATACTTTAAATGAGTACATGTATAATTATCAAAACAATAACTTTATAGGTTATGATGATGGCAGGTTAAAATGGTATTTTCTATTTGTCATCAAGCATTTTTACACATGATTTTAATAAAAATTCTTAGATAACAGAAAAATGATCTTTTATAAAGTATTTTAATTTAGAAATTACTTACACACGTCTCCTATTACTTTTGGTGTTGTACGACAATCGTCGTCGGTATGTCAACCGTTGTACCATATTTACTCTGTAACAATAATTTCAATATTTTCTATTTAAGATCCATAAATACTGCAATGAAAAATTACATCAAGTTTCATTAATTATTAAAAAACATCATAATGATTAAATAACATAATGATTGTTAAATAAATCATAGATTTATAAATTACAAATAAAAATTAACACTAACCTATAACGGATACAAACGGAAAAGGAAGAACGTGTTCGTATTTTCACAAACAGCCGTAATGTGTGTAGTGGCGCTGGAGTTATTTTTCCCTCTCTTTCTTTCTCTTGCACACTACTTTACGTAAGGATTACAACTGTATGCAGTAATAATAGCAAAACAGTTATAAAATATATATATATACACGTATACGTATGTGTGTTTAGTTTTATTATTTTCTTAAAAATTTAAATATGGCCACTACCTCGGTTGACGCATTTTTATAACCTTTTATATTATCAAGATAATAATTGACAGAACAAAAAATTTTCGTATTGTAAGATTATTAGAAGATTGTGAGTAACTAGACTATAGCTTTTAAAATTTTTAATGAATAATTCGTAAAAATTATTTGCAGATTACTCGTTTAATCATCGAATCATTTTAGTAAACAAACGAAAAAACTAACTCATTAAAATGTCAGGCGACAAGTGTAGAAATTGTGGTTCAAATGAAATTGAAACAGATCCAGCTCGTGGAGATGCTGTTTGTACAGCTTGTGGTTTTGTCCTGGAAGACCAGTTAATTGTAAGTGAAACAACATTCGAAGAAACATCGTCAGGAAACATGGTTGTCCTAGGACAATTTGTAGCAAATGATAGTACTGGAGGTCCGACAGGTTTCGGCGGTGGTACTGCTGGTTTTCGTGTTAATGGTAAAGAATCTCGCGAAATAACAATTCAAAATGCACGAAATGGAATAACACATTTATGCCAACAATTACGGCTCAACAATCGTTATGTTGAGACTTCAGTTAACTTTTACAAAATGGCATTAGCACGAAATTTAACTCGTGGTAGAAAACATGCACACAATCATGCCGCTTGTGTTTACATTACTTGCAGAACAGAGGGTACAGCTCATATGCTTATCGATATTAGTGATGTTTTACACATAGATGTTCACGAGTTAGGTCGAACTTACCTAAAATTTACTCAAGCTCTCTGTATTAATATTCCATCAATGGATCCATGTTTATACATTATGAGGTTCGCCAATAAATTGGAATTTGGCGATAAAACACACCAAGTTTCTACTACAGCTCTTAGGCTAGTTCAAAGAATGAAAAGAGATAGTATCCATAGCGGCAGAAGACCATCAGGTTTATGTGGAGCTGCTTTGTTAATTGCTGCTCGACTTCATGAATTTAATCGTACTCCCGGTGATATCATTAAAATAGTTAAAGTTCATGAATCAACGTTGAGAAAACGTCTCATTGAGTTTGGTGATACTCCATCAAGTGCTTTAACACTCGATGAATTTATGACTGTTGATCTTGAAGAGGAACAAGATCCACCAGCATTTAAAGCGGCTCGTAAAAAAGATCGAGAACGCTTACAAAAATTAGAGAATATTGACTCAGAATTTGATGAACTTCAAAGTGAAATTGATAGACAATTGGACGAACAACATAAAACGATGCGGAAACGTAGTGCTAATTCTACATGTGACTACAGCTATAATGAATTAATAGATCAAGAGGAAGCTGAATCTGCTCGATTTATTGAAGAAAATACGGTAGATGCTATCAGTAATTGTTTAGATAATCCTTCCGCAAAAGAAGCTTCAGCTTATTATTTAAAAGCCAAATCTGCTAGTAGACCTATACAAGCTATTGAACTAGGACCAGACATTGATTCTATGGGTCTCCCAACATCAATCGATGACAGTAATCTAAAAAGTAATAGAGACCACAATAATCATAACAAATTTGATAATGGTACTGGAGAAATCGATATTACTGATTTAGATGATGATGAATTGGATGCATATATATTGTCAGAACATGAAGCTAGTCGTAAAACAAATTTATGGAATACCATTAATGCATCTTATTTAGAACAGCAAAAAGAGAAAGAAGAAAAACGATTAAAGGAAAAAGAAGAAGGTAAACCAGAAAAAAAGAAGAGAAGAACAGGTACAAAGAAGAAGAATCAAACACCTGCCAACAGTGCTGGAGAAGCTATAGAAAAGATGCTTCAAGAAAAAAGAATATCATCAAAAATTAATTATGAAGTATTAAAATCCCTTAACGTCAATACAACAAAGAATAATTCACCAGGAAAAATTCAGAAATCAATTGACAAAGTCAATGATAGTAATCAACTGTCGGAATCTTTCAATTTCAAAAGTACTCATCGAGCTGAAAATAAAAATGAAACCAATGTTAGTTTACAAAATAATCAAACAAAAATTGAAAAAAATATACCTAGTGCAAAGTTAAAAACATTACACAGTGAAGAGAGTAAAAGAAATAAACAGTATTCATTAATTGAAGAAAATAAAGGATCAACGGATGGACTAGTTCCAGAAGAGAATAAACATGATAATGAGGAAGAAGAATATGAAGAAGAAAATGATTATGATGAAGAGGATCATGATGAAATAGGTGAAATGTCGTTAAGTCAAATGTTAAAACGGCATACTCAAGAAGAAAATTATGGTTATGATGATTATGGAGATGATGACTATTAGGCTTTAATAACGTTATTCTATAGTTATTATTAATGAATTCTTTTATTTACTGTATATAAATATATAGTTAAGATTTGAGTTTTTTAAAACGGAAATATTATTCTGAAGTTTTGCATTGGGTTGAAATGAAAGCACATAGTATTCTGTAATAATATAATTCATGCATTTCTTTTAAATTTACTTCATGTTAAATAATTTATTTAAATAATTGAAAAATATAAAATTTATTTTTAACCTAAATAAACCAATTTTCTCGATTTTTTGCTTCATATACAAACCGATTGATTCACATTTCTTGTAATAGTATTTAAACGGGGTTATTTTCATTAATTTATTCAATAATTCATTAAATATTTCAAATTCAATCGTTAATTATCAATATTAAATCTATTTACACTAGAGAATAGAATAGTAAAGCGTTGCAAGCACAATTGTTACTTCTGTTTATACAATTGTTAAATTTTCTTGCATATTAGTACGGTAATTAATATATTTCTTCGGTTGCATTAATGTTTTTACGAAGCCCAAGCTTCTAATTGTTTTAAATCTTCATCATCTTCAACCGGTTTCGCTTCTGAAAATAAGAAAAGATAGCTCGTAATGTTGCTATTTATTATAAATCATTCATACGAAAAAAAATTTACTTGTCTTTTTGGGAGGAGCTACAGGCGTAACAATTGCATCAGGAATCTCAGGTAATGGATTGTTTATACTCAATAATTCTTCATCTAATCTTTGTTGTTCAAGTTCCTCAAGTTCTTTTTCAAGTTCATCTTCATCAATATCTTGTCCAAATGCAATTGGATTTGATATAGCATCAGATATTTCTTTGGCAATATCTTGTTGTTCTGCAATGTCTTCCATCATATCATGTATTTGATCAACATCCCTGTAAAAACGAAATTTCTAGTGATTATGTATGTACTGTTATTCGATAGAGAGAAAAAGATAAATTTAAATATAATTATTTACATGTTATGAGCAGCTTTAAGTGCATCTGCAGCATTTTTCATGGTTTGAAGAACGGTAGTAGAGGTATTAGCCCCTTCAAGCGCTTCTCTTTGCATTTCAATTGTTGACAACGTTCCATCTATTTGTTGCAATTGTTTTTCATAGCGTTTCTTCCTTTTCATAGCTTGGAGAGCGGCTTAAAATGTCAAGTATGAATAAATATTAATAAAATAAAGTGAAATAGTTTAAAATTAATTACATAGAATTGTAAAACTAACCTCGTTTATTCTTTGTATAATTATCCTTAGCAGTCTTCAATTCTTGAGTGATTTTTTTTTCTAAAAAGTCTTGCTTTTTCATTAACATTTCTTCTGTTTCACGTAACTTTTGAATCGCTTCACTCGGTGTTGGAGCCGCATTTTTGTTTTTGCCAAAACCAAACATTTTCGATAAGGCATCCATTGTACAGAATTTCACGATGATACCTGCTGTTTCTATGTTCTTTAAAATCAATTTATAGATATATTTAATTGAATGCTACTTATTTTTAAATTTACGATTATTTATTTTAAATCTTCAAATAATTAGGTAGAAGAAATTTTCAGGTATAAATCTATCTGAATAAATTGACTTCTTAAAAACGATTATGGTCGAACCGGAGAAAGAGTTGTCTTCGGGTAATTCCGGAAAAGTCGATTCCGCCAAATAAAAGTAGTTCCTTTAGTTTAAATCTCCCTAAGATTTTTTATTATCAAGAAATATTATTTTAATTGTTATGAATTATTGACAAAATATGTACGCAATGCAATATAAAGGTAAATTAATTATAAAAAAGCAAATTGGCAAACAAATCTTTTGATTCTTTATATTTACCGCGCAGCGTAGCAATACAAAATAAGTTAGGCACATGCGCTTATGATGGAGATTCTTGGTCGAAAAGACCCGAAGCAATTTTTTCTCTGATCAAATCTTACGCCATTTTGGACTATATATATTTGAATGTTGCGTATGTTTATATGCCTAGACATGACAACGCGTGTACATAAAGAAAAAATATACATACACGTAAATGTGTGTGTGTGAATCTCTTTTTTAATATAAACATGTAATTCAAACGTCATTGGATATGTTAAAATATTTATAATTATAAATGTCACTAATTAATAATTATTAATAAAGTTATGTTATCATTAATAATTATTAATGTCACTAGACTTTAAAATGTTATTATTTTGAAATGTACCTTGAATCAAATTTTAATCGGTGTATAGTAGACTCACACAAGTTTATTTTATATCATGTCAATTTTTCGATATGATTCATCATCAAGATTATCTTGCCAGAATTCGCATGAAAATATCATTTTCAAGTGACAACAAAAACTTTTGAATTTTATTATGTATCAGGTTTTATAGAGTACTAAAGGTGTTTATAACTTTTTATTATTGGATTAATGTTTATTATTGTATAAAATGAAAATGCGCCTTTTATTTTGTAGAACAAAACACACTAATGTAACGTCATATTAGTGTGTGTTTATTCACATGTAAGGTTAAGTAGAAAAGTGCGTTGTTAAGAGCGATTGAAAATTTAAACGTAAACGCATGTCAATACTAATAATTTTCTTCCTATTGCAATAATTAATATTGCTTAAATTTTTTAGTTAAAACTTTATAAAGACATATATTTTGTGAATCAATTACTTTAAACTGTCCTAAATGACAAGTTTTATGTTGATTTAAATATAAAAATGTTTTCGAGAAAAACTCGTAATTTGATCTGAACTTTTAAGTCGTCTAATAATATTCAACAACGAAAATACCGAAAGTTGTAGGTCTGAAACTTTTATATAAACAAAAATAAAAATGGCTGATTCTAGAAGTAACTCATATCGACCTTCTGTAAGTACAATTGTTCTTTTTAATTATTTGATGACAAGAATATATTTATGTATGAAAAATATCATAAGAAATCATGCAACATAAAATGCATATATTTTTTATAACAGATAATATTCTATTAAGATTATTGTTTGTTTTTAGCTTTTCTATCGACCCTTGTCAAATGGAGATACAACTTATAATTCACTAGTACGAACTTTGATTGAAACAAAAACCGAATACAAACCAATACCAGGTTTTAATATGAATAGAGATGACACTTTGTATTATCGTCGAATGCAGGAAATTGACTGTGATGAAGTTTATCCTGGAATATTTATCGGAGATGCGTAAGTTGAATATTTTTACAAACAGAATATAAAAAATGGATAGAAATTTTTTGTCAGAACAAAATAATTCATATAGGTACATATTTTTGAATATTTTTAGGTTTAGGATAGATTGCTAAATTTTCTTGTTAATGTATCTAAATGGTTTATAAGCATTGATTTGATTAATTAGTGTCAATATCATTGACAAAAATTATATAATGAATTCATTTTACATTCTTTTATTAAGGTTAATTATCTTTGTTAAATTTTTTTAAAATCTAGATATAAATATTTTTCATTACTAATTGAATTGAACTTTGATAATTCTATAAGTATTAATAATTACTTGTGTTTATAATTATAGATCCACTGCAAAAAATCGTGAATATCTTATGAGAATTGGTGTTACCCATGTAGTAAATGCAGCTGAAGGAAATCGTTTCGGACATGTCAACACAAATCAAAATTATTATAGTACAACACCCATCAAGTATCTTGGTTTGCCACTGACAGATTTACCATCTGTAGACATTAGCCAATATTTTAATGTTGTTGCCAACTTTATTGATGATGCCATTAGAAGTGGCGGTAAGTCTATTAAAATTAAATGTACAATTTTCTATACTAGTTTGAAGATTAAATTTATTTGAATTGATACAGGGAAAGTATTTGTACACTGTATGCTTGGCATTTCTCGCAGTTCAACATGTGTTATTGCATTTTTGATGATTAAACGTAACATGACAGCAGAAGAAGCAATCCGTTTGGTTCGTAAAAGCCGTGATGTCCATCCAAATGATGGATTTTTACATCAACTGGCATCACTTGATAATCAGTTGCGTCGATCTCGTAGTTATCTCTAATAACTAAATTGCTAATTTACGATAATTATTTGCTTGATTTATTTCATAATTACGATATTTTGAGAAACTTCAAAAATATCACAAATTAATGATTAAACTCTAAATACATTCACCTTTAATTGTTCTTTAAACTGATATATTTGATTAAAAAGAATAGGAATAACAATAACAATTATAGCAATAAATAACTTATATTTGCATTTCATGATTCTTATGCAATCGCTGGCGATGCAACTAATAATGTATTTTAACGAGATTTATCAAATTTTTTTTAGAGAATTTATTTTCTTAATTATTTTTTTAATATTATAATTTAACAAATTGTTAAAAAACGTAGATAATTTAAATAGTATTAAAACAGAATCTAGATTGTTATATAAAATACACATAATAAGAGAAATATAAATAACTTCATAGAGTTTTTATTATAAACCTTCACCTTTTTAAATATTTTGTCAATTAATTTATATAATTTACATATTTGGAAAGCTTCATATATCAATGATAGAGGGCAACAATCTGTTGAATGATTTTCAAAATCTAAATTACAAACATTTAGGCCGAATCAGTATATATAAACAATATAAATTCATTTCAATTAAACACATTTAAATAAAATGTAGTAGTGCGAATAAATGAATACGTTTCACTAGGAAAGTTTGTTCAAATAAGCCGTTGTGTGTGTACAAGCCCTGACCTAACCTATTCCAGGCTATGTCTACTTCTTTTAAATACAGACAAAGCCTAGGAGAGGCTACATCAAGTGACTTATCATTATTCGAGTTAAATTTTGCAATACATTTTTCAGGAGTATGTAGCTATATTCTATATACATAAATACAAACGTTCATGTTATTTTTTTGAATTTATTTTTGGATTTCATTAACTTATTGATAAGAGTTTAGCTTTTTTTATTATGTTGTTAGTATTATTATAATCCTTTTATACATATATATGATTTATAATGAATATTGTTGAAAAAAAACAGTTTGTTCCTTTTTTTATTACGAACATCATCAATTCTATCATCGTCTATACAGGTATTGAGATCTCCAAATTGCAAAATATTTTTAATTACTGTAACAAACTTATAATTTTTATAATTATTTAGAAACACGTGGAAACAATATGTAGAGTTAATTAACAATAAAAAATATAAGTAACCAATATCAACAAAATTTTGTTATCAACAATTTAATTGATTGATTTATTTATGTAACGTTATTAATTATTAATTGTCAAATACATTCATATTGTTAATTTTAATTAATTAATTTCTCAGATAAGATTAATTAGTTGATTAATTAAAAGTAACATTTACCTATGTAAACTACTCCAGTTTATAGAGCTTTAGAGAGTTAATAATAATCAGATAATAGAAAGTCAGTAGAACTAAATTAGATAAAAAAAATGTAGAGTACAGCCAAAATTAATATAAATAACCGACCTGTTGCGACCAGCACCCACAAACCACTGAAAGTATGTAGGTATCATCAAGTGTGTCTGAAAGAGAAGGCCAAGGTGTGCTCAAGAGACCATAATAATATTGTATATATACATGTATATATACTACAGATTTAATTAAGTCGATTACAAATTAATATTTTTCTTTCAATCTTCAATTCGTATAAATTTTGAGTAATTTTTGATAAATGAATTATACTAAAGTATTTAATTTAAAACCAGATAATAATAGCAATCACACCAATAAAGCTGAGTAATATAGAACAGAAGACTTATTATTGAAAAATATGAAAGTAAGAAGTAGATATTTTTTCTTGACTGACTTGTAAACTGCCAGTGGTTCTTACTCGTTGTGAAATCACAGGAATCTTCGAATCGACGACTTTTTATGAAGGTCGCGAACAATCTTGACTGTTATTCGTCCCTCATTGATTATTCTTCACTATGCTATCAACTTCACAACATATCAGCATATTTATACTATCCTTATAATCATAATAATCGTAACAATGATAGAAATAAATTATGATTTGTTACTTTTGCATATGATAAAGAATCTCTAAGACTATTAAAATCAGTGCCATTTTTTACTTTGTTACCTTTAATATTGAATCATAATATTTAGATCTGATAAGTTTTGTAATGTCTACATCAGACGTGATTTCAATGATTCATCGATCATAAGTTGAGATTACATTTTTTACTTATAGACTAAATGTACATGTGTCTATTAGTTGATGATAATTATTTTATAAAACATACAAGTGATCATTTTAATGGAAATTTTATTGATTGATATTATTAAGAGATGTATCATTAGATATTTATGTTCATTTATTGCAGATTTTAAAAAAGAGACCAAAACTTTCTTCAACATTCGTCGCAGACATGATATGTATGCATTTAGTCAACTGACCCTGACATTTAAAGTGATGATGTACTTTCTTTCCTCTTTTCATTTTTTCTCGAAAAGTATTGTAATACATTATTGCTAAAAAATGTCAAACTCAATGACGTTGATATTTTTAAAAAAATACAATTTCATGTATTTACTTAGGATGAGTGTTATTTCGTATATTTTTTTGGAGCAATATTGATATGACTATCATCAAAAGCTCTATGATGATAGGAATAAAACTTAGTAAAATTAGTGAATAAACATAAAATAAGTCTTAGAAAAAGATGAAAATTGTTTTATATGATATATGTAATTTTATTATAAAAGAGTAATTCATTTGTGAATTTTATGTATATTTTGTCGATAAAATTGTCTGATAAAAATATATTTTCAAGAATAATAATTTTAAAACATTCATATTTTACTAAGAAAAGATTATTTATCTACAATTACTTAAAACTATCCATATTCTTTGGCACTGTAAAAATAAATACTCAAATGAAAAATAACTTGAAGAGCTTCAGCGTAATTTTTCATATAAAACTTGGCAACAATTAAAATTGCATAACTTTTCATGATGAACGGTAAGAATAAAAATATTTGTAGTAAATTGTTTTTACTCAAGTATATTTGATTATTTTATAAATTTATTAATTTCTCCATAAACATTGTCTTTATTAAAATAGAGTATAAAATGCATAGTGTTAATAATCCTTATGAAGATAGATATTGTGAAAAGATAGAAATGACGTTGGAATATGTAACTTTGAAAAATGGTGATTTTTCATAAACGTTAAACTTGTTTCATGATTTGTCAATTTTTTCAAATTAGAGCTATATGAAAATGCATCACCGAAAGATCAATTAAAAATATTCGATTTAAATGAGGAAGGTCTATTGAGTATGTTAATGGTAAACAAGAAGTGTTAAAATTTGATTATTATTTATCATTTGAAATACATTTTCAGTCAGTGATGCAGAAATTTCAAATAGAAATAGCTCTTTGTTAAGTGTACTCAATGAGCTTTCAATAAACGTATTATTATTAGTTAATAATGCTTTTTCAAGTAAGTCGAAATATTTTGAAGGTGGTTTAAACACAATAATTAAATATTTAATTAATTTTTGGAGTCAAATCTCAATGATATTTCAAAATTTAATTAAACCAGAGTACAAAATAAAAATTGCAGGAATTGCTGTCGATTATGTAAGTAATATTTCTTTGTAGCAATATAATAATTGTCTAATTTTTTATCATCTACAGGATGATCAAGTGTTGGATTTTTCAATAAAACATGCTCCAATAGAATGGGGTTTTTCTAAAGCATTGAAATATGATGATGCATTTAATGAAATGAGTAAGTGGTTGCAACGTAAATCATTAGATTGTACTCTAATCGAGAGTTATAGTATTATAATCACACATACACCGTCAGTATATTTTTTTTTTATTATTTATTTATAAAATTTTATTGGTGATGCTGAACACAACATTTATTTGATATCATATAGACGTCATCATGATTGCTATATGCAATTTAATAGTAGTTGTGCAGTATTTTCAAAATGGAAAGTTGTTCAAGAAGCAACAGCTTATTTTGTTGAGCAAATTTCACAAATTCCACTATTAATAAAATTAAAAAATATTGGACTACTGATTGATAATCTTTTTTTTGACAGTAATAAATTTCCGGTTAATAAAATTGCTACTATGTAAGTTAATTTGAGAAAAATATTCATAATTATTGAATATAAAATAAAAACATATTTATTTATTGAAAATCTAAGTATTTTTAAAAATGAGGATTTATGTCATTAATTCAATAATACTGAAAATTTGGTGACCACAATCAGGCCAAGTCAAAATATATGGACTGATTGTTATCTTAAAAGCTTCAAAGCATTTCTCGAGTATGTATTGATTAAAATATTAAATTTTTGATTAAATTGAAACTTCTTTAATAAAGGGTATTATTTATAAGTTATTGCAGAACTCATCCCATGTGTTTGTACAATTTATCAACATAAACAATGAATGTAAATGAAAATGTTTTTTTTTCATTCTATTTATTTGTTATGAATCTATGTGATTGTAATAAAACTTTCATTTTAACGAAAATATTGATTTTTCCTTCATTGAGAACTGATTTTTTATTCGCTGTACAATAACAATGTATTTGCTATCATGTTCAGAAAATTTGAAAATATTATAGAGTGGGTTATTTTATTATCGATTGTTGTTAACTATCGACGTTATCAGTCGTTTTATTTCTAGGAAATCAGACGAATGATAGAGAAGGCTTAATAGAAAGAACCAATCAAAAAATGGGTTCCAAGTTGTTTAGGTAAATAGATAAATTTCCAAGAGAATTGAGATAAAACAGTGAAAAAATTAGTTTCTGTTCCAACATGGCCACCTGATGTTCGATTTAACGATACAGGTGGCTATGAGTTATTGTAAATAGTGTAATTTTAATTTATAATCGTAAATTATGAGTGAACGTAATCAGACAGAAAGTGCCAATGATGCTGATCGAGTAGACGATGCGGTGGATCCTCGAGTTCAAGTAATTTAAGAAGTTCTAATTAATATCACATTTCTTATTTTAATTACAGTATATTAATATAATTCGTTGAAATATTCATAGTATTTCTTATAAAAGTTAATTATGTTTATAAAGTAATACTAAATTTCAATTTATATTCGTTTGCTATTTTTAGATTGAACTGGAGAGGTTAAATACTGCTACAGATGATATTAATAAGCTTGAAGTTGATTTAGATGTAAGTTTGAATAATGTAATTGTCATTATTGGTATTGACACAAAGTTATCAGTTTTTACCTGTCATGTATTTAATGTATTTATTGGCTGACAATATAATTTTATCGGTTTGAATATATTTGAGTTATTCCTATTTTTATAATTCATCTTCACTACAATAACATATAATTTATGATCCAATAAATGAATTTTTTTAAATAGGAAGCAAGAGCAACTTTTAGAGATTTATTGTGTGAATCTACAATAACAATTGACGCTTTATCAAAAAAGCTTGGTACCTGTATTGAAAAATCAAAGCCTTACTATGATGCTCGATTCAAAGCTAAAGAAGTAAGTGCTTAATCTATAGAAACTTTATCAATTGACATTCATTTTTTTGTCATTATTAGCACATAATTATTTTTAACACTGTTAGTAAAACATATTTTGTATGGTGAACATTTTTAGGCGCTCAGAGATGCACAAAAAGCAGCTATCAGGTTTGAAAGAGCAAATGGTCAGCATGCAGCAGCAAAAGAAATGGTTTATCTCGCTGAAGAGGGTCTCAGAATGGAAGGAAGATGTTTTGATCACGCTTGGCAGGTAAATAAGTCCTTTATTATTTGTAAAAATCTGTAAGAGTGTTTTATCAATCCGTTTTTTTCTGTAAAATTAACTTTTACGTACAGGAAATGTTAAATCATGCGACTGAAAGAGTAAATGAGTCTGAACACGAAAGAGCCATTTCAGAAGCTGAACATAGACATATGACTGCTTTGTATCATAATGCAGAACATACTGTTCAGCGATTACAGTCAGAGCTGAAACGTGCTATAGCTAAATCAAGGTTAGTTAATTCATTAATTTAATGTTTGTACTATTTATAAATTTATTCATTTCTTAAGTTGTTTATTGAGAGTTTATTCTTTTTTGACCTATTCTTTATCACAATTTAGCCAGTAATATTAAAATGCATGGCTCTCTTTTCCAATTATTTTAATGATTGTTTATTTAAACAAATTAGTTCAATTATTATTTTTTTCTGTATTTATCTAAACATTTATTTTAATGAATTATTTCATACTTCATTTGAAATACATTTTGTTATGATAAGCTATAAAAATATCGTTTGTTATAGACCAAACTGTAATTACACCAGTTAAACGTTTAATCGAAAGTTTATGTTTGATTTCATTTTTTTGGGAATAAATGCAATCCCACGCATTTTTCCCTTTTTTTTCCTTTTTTTTTGTAGGACCTCGATTATTTATGTTTTTTGGTTTATATATTCATGTTGGCAGTATGGGTGCACGTCGCAACTTGCTTCTGATAAACAGTATCGCCTACAGGCACAACTTGCTAATGTTGTAAGTAGAATAGCATCAAAGAAAACTTTTCTTCACTTTAATCGTTGCATACATCGTTGAAAAAATCTTATATTTCTCATAATATCATTATTGCAATTATATAGATTTTATTTTCTGCATGAATTTTGTATTTACAAAATATTAAATGCGCACTAACTATAAAATAATAGATAACTTATGGTAAAGTAAATAAAAATAGCAGAGAAAATTTTATGAAAAACAGAATGAGCTGGAAAGCAAAATTTCTTTTCAGGCCTTATTATGAGATGAAAGCACAATTTCATCAAGCCTTAGAACGCCAAAAGTTACGTGTAAGTGAACTTGAAAAGTCTGTTGCTGAAGCAAAAATGACGTATGCTGAAGCTTTACGTAATTTGGAAAAAATAAGCGACGAAATTCATAGGGTATTTATTTGTTTTTTTTGTATGAGTATTAGTAAGAAAAAAAATAAAGCATAATTATTATCATTTTTTTGTACGACATAAATAATAATTATCAATTATTTTTCGATTGCAGACAAGACAAGACGATGGCATTGATAAAGGAAATAATTCAAGTCAGCAAGATGATTCAAAAATTGATCAAGTCAATAAAGAATCTTCTTCAGAATCGAGTACTACTGGATCGCCAGATAGTACAGATTATACTAGCGATGAGTATCTTCGTCTTCCGGAAGAAATAAGTCCAACTTCACCATCAGTATCAAAAGTAATAAATACAATTTTATATATGTTCATAAACTATGTTTTATCAATAATGAATTTTATCGTTTATATATATATGCTATTAATTATATTATTATATAGATTCAACGAGATTCGTCCTCGGAATATATAGGCCTCAATAATTTAAATCTATCGTCTACAGAGCCAAGAAAATATATCACACGTGACAAGCCATTCAATACGACATCAGCAATAAAAAGTTCTAAATCGTCACAAATAAATAATTCAACATCGCCTTCATCAGAAGTGACATTATCTCCAACCTCTACAGTGAATTCTACTATTAACGATAGACGTAGTTTACAATTAAATTCATGTACATCTGATTCTAGTCTTCAAAAAGTTGAAAAACAGAATAAAAAGTTAAATGAAAATCATAATAATGATAGCAAAATTGAAAGTATAGAAACCATTGAAAATGGGGAAAGATGGACGGAAATTAGTTTAACTAACTCTCCTGACGATATTTATTATAATAATGATGTTTATTCAGATGATGATGATCAAATTCCATACAAACCATTACCAAGCGAATTGAGTCTTGAGAGCGTAAATTTTACTACTATTTCTGAAGAGTCCACAGCTATGAAAAAACGTTTAGTTAATCAACAATCACTTCCAGCAATGCTGCAAAATACTGAATTGACTAGTGAAGATAAACAGAAATTGGATATCACAAGAAGTCCTTCAGTTAAGTGTCGTGGGAGATTGGACTCCAGCCTTTCCAATTGGATCACAAGAAGTTCTGTTGTTAGTGGAGAATCAACATCCGGAGCTTCTGGTTATTATTACCTTATTCTATTATCAGAAATATATTTATACATGTTTTTTTTTATTTTTTCATTAAGAGGAAATTTTTTTTAGGCAATTCTAGTAGAAGACAGTCTTTAGACATGTTATGGAACACAGGTACGGGAGAGAGAATGAAAGAATTATTAAGTCATGGTATGATGATGCTCAATATATCAAGTTTAACTGAACGACGCTCTAGTGAACCAAAATTGACAGAAAAAGAGGATAAAACGGTGCTAAAGAATGAAAAAGTTGAAATAAAGGGGAAAAAAGTCCCCAGTCCTTTAGAAAAGACTATGAGTTATCTCAATCCGGATGAAGAAACATCAGATAGTGAGAGTTTAGCAAGGTGAGTCAAAGCACATGAATCAAAAAATAAGATCACAATTAGGTTATGCAAAACATTCATGTTTAATTGTTTATTTAGCGTTGAAATGCTATCAGAAGATCAAATATCATCATTAATGATGGAGCCAGACATAAATCAAGTATGTCAAGAAGTACTGGGTACTCCTCTAGTCGAAGTGTGTCCACTTTTACAACAACTTCAGCAACAATAATAATTTAACTAAGCGAATGATTCAAAATATAACTTTAAAAAAAAAGTCCAAAAGAAATTGAACGAGTGATCGATAGTATTCTAATGAAGGTAAGATAGAAATTATTCAAAAATTTTATTGAATAAAAGTTAATCACGTATGTTATGAAAAAAATGCTTTATTAATTTAGTCTGATATAAGTTAGATAAATTATTAGAGTAGAACGTAAAAATTATATTATTTAATTATGAATTTAAAAATTTATTTGGAAAAGATTTTTTTTCATGGCTGCTGGTCAGTATTTGTGTGAGAACCGAATCATGCATTGATATAATAAGTACTGATACAATAATAAGAGAAATACGCCTAAATTTATTATCATTAATTTATTTATGCAAAAAGTAATGAAAAAAATCATTGTACTTTGAAATATTATTATATTTATCGACAAGAATTATTTGAAAATTAGCGTAAGGCAATATAGTCAATAACATCCAAATAATCAAAGAAAAATTTATTGTTCTTTATATAATAATAATTAGGTTCTATTTGGTGGTTATCAGTTTATATTTATTTCAATACTTTTATTGAATTTGTAAATAATACGATATATAAATTCTTTCAACGCATTCCACATTAAAATAATAATGAATAATTATTAAAGTATTAGTGAAATTTTTTTGGCAACATAAAGTACCTTATAGATTAATATTGTAATTATTTAATAATTACTACACTAAAAAGATAAAAATACTTTCTTATAACAATTAAACAAAACAATAGAAAGCATCCGGCAACTAAAAAAATAAGTTAATCAATTTTTGCATTATGTTTATGAGAAACAAAGTATTGTCTTCATTTTGCTAATTAATTTATTCGGATAATGATTGATTTGAATACGTCCATGTGCAATATTTTATATAAATTATTTATAGAAAAAAAAAATGTTTGTTACGGCAGAAGTATTATATAATTAGTAGTTTATTAAATTGATAATATTTGATTGTAAAAGGCATATTTATTTTATAAAAGATAGTATTAGAAAAATTCAACGGTAATTTATTGAGTATTAATATGTTTGATTATTCATGAAAATTTACGAATATTCTGCACAATGCTCATTAAATGCACCAAACACTACATCAATGTATCATATTGTATGATATCAAATTGTAATTATACATGTATATAATGCGTCTTCATTAAAATTCAATGCAAAAAATGGCAACAATCAAGTTATGTTGTTTAATTTATTTATATTACTGATAAACTATTATGAGAGATAAATCCGTGTATGAATCATGCATTTAATGTTTGTTTTAAAATTCAAATTCAATAAATGCCGCTAAAAATACCACCTAACGCCATCTATTTACTGTTCTTCCGGTAAAAGAGTATTCGTGCAGTAACTTAACCAAAATGGCGATGCTTGCGGCAAGTTTCTTTTCTCGCATTCCGAGTTAACTCCCACATTAGTTTGATCGTTGAAATAAAAACTAGTTGAATTGTCGTGATTTCACATCGAAAGTGAAAGTATTACTAATATAATTCACTCATAAAATCGAGTAGAAACGTTGAAAAGTTATTGCCGAAAATTTCGTCTTATTTGGTGTATTATTCATGTCGGGCCATCGCGACGAATTTTTTGTTCGCAACAAATAAAAAAACTTATACCAATACTATCAACCTAAAAATACTTGAAATCATTTGAAGAGATAAAATAGTGAGCATTAATGATCAGAAGTGATGAAAGTGTCTTAAAATAAAATTATAACCCTAGAAGAAATTAAAGATCATTGTTTTGTCCATCTTTAAGACTAAAGTTTCATGAAAATTAGTACACGAATGACCTTATTACCTCATTTTTCACATAAATGATATATTTTTTTTAATAACAAATTGAAAAATGATCATCTGAGATCCTCAGTGAGTTGTTAAACACATTTTTTTCTATCCATTTAATTAACCTAAATAAATACTGATGTTGCTCAATTAAGCAAGGCCAATGACCGGGTTTAAAATAAGACAAATTGATTCGTTTAAAAATTTATTTATTCATTCATATAACCTTCAATATTACAAAAATGTCATTAGTGACTCATTAAATGACTCCATAACCTGTTGACTGGTGTAAATTCGTGATAAACAATTATTCAAAAGTTCTGAGTGATTATTTTTAATTTTTTGAGTGAATTTTTTCACATTCTTGTGTTAAAAAATGACGTTAAATCCAAGAGACATGGATGGTTTTATGCCTTTATTGTCAACAACAGACATTAAAACAAAAATGACTGTTGGCAACAATTTGTTGACCTATCTTGGAGATTCGTCTAATAGCATTGAGTGCCAAGACATCGGATTATTCATCGATAATGTCATTCCTTGGCTCCATAACGGCAATGCCAAGGTAAGTTTTTCTATTTCTTTTTTTAAAGATTCCATTCATTGTTTTTTTTTTGTTAAGAGTTGCACTTGTATTATTTTTTATTCTCCTATTATATTTGTAATTGAGGAATCATAGATAAAATGTACTAGATTTTTATATATAATTTATTATATAATGATGATTTGTGATTGAATAAACCAGTTGATAATACCTTATAGGGAGCACTTACGTTAGTTGGCTAATAAGGAATCAAACTTTCATACCATTTTAGATTAAAAAACTTGTTTGTGGTATATTGAAAATAAAGTCAGTCGCCAATTGTATAAATTTGAAAATTTCTATGTTATTTTCGAATCTTGAAAATAATTGATTATCAGAGAAAACTCCAAATTATTAGATTGAAAAAATTTTTACAGTATAAAATATAAATTTAAATTACCATCTAATCACTAAAGTCATGACTTATCTAAATATAACTAAATGATTACATCAAGTTTATGATAACGTAATGCAATAATAATGACAACAATAGTAAAAGAAACTAATAAAAATAATAAGTTGTTTGAAATACATGACTTAATTTATATTTTTGTTCTTAACATACACCTACGTGCTATTTCTTATTGCAACCAGTTCTTTCAAGAATCATATACATATACACATATATAGTCTGCAAATTTAATTGCTGAGATGTCAAGGTTATAAAAATCATTGGTCATTATATTGTTCTTATTAAAAATCAACCATTTCAGTTGTTTTTATATTTTTTGCTTTTATTTGACTTACCTTTAATTTTATTATTTGGTTTTGATCAATCAATTGAAATGTTCTGCCTATTTTTACATATGATAAAAATGTCTTGATATTTTCTTAATTAATATTTCAAGCCTATTTAAGGGCCAGACTAAAAGAAATAAACAAGCAAACGTTGAGTCGTATGCCAGAACATTTACCCCGATCTAAAATAGACTCTTGGACCTCTCAAGGCTTATGAAAGTCTTATTTCTCTTCCTGATAAATAATTTTAGTCATTTCTATAATAGTAGTATTAACAAAATAATTATTAAATTTTAGATTTCGTTTATAACTTTATTATAAAATAACCTTTCGATTATAGTAACATAAAAATATGAATAACATTTTTTTCATTTATCAGATTGTTCAAAATGGGTTGGAAATCCTCACTCACATCGCAGATCGCATGGGTCATGATTTTCGGCCTTACATTTCAACGATAATTCAGCCAACAATAGATAGATTAGGTATGTAAATTAATAGACTCAATATACATTAGTGTAATGTAAGTACAATAATGGAGTGTAAATTTTATCTATTCACTATTTTTATTTTCTATCTGGTATTTCTCATGATGTATGTTCTTAAATAAATTAAAATATTAATAAATATATTTATTGATTGATTTTAGGAGATAGTAAAGACACAACACGTGAAAAAGCACGACTAGTGCTTCTGAAAATTCTAGAAAGAGGCAGTATGACTCCACAACAGCTTTTAGATCGTCTTCATCCAGCTTTTGGCCATAAAAATGCTAAATTAAGGGAAGAATCTTTGATTTTATTAACCACCATATTAGCAGAGTGAGTAACTTTTAAATATTAATATTTTTAATAACGTTCAGTTTATTAATATTTATGATTATTATGTTCTATTAATGTATTTTTATTATGCAGATATGGTGCAGATGAGATGGTTTTATCAGCTGTGGTTCCCAGTATTGTAAAATTACTATCGGATCCTAATGAAAAAGTTCGAGAAACTGCAGTAAATACAATTGTTAATATCTACAGACATGTTGGAGAACGATTCCGTAATGATTTACAACGGAAACACAGTATACCACAAGCGAAGTAATTTTATTTTTTATTTTATTTTAAGGTCATTGAAAATACAATATTATTGAATATCTTTTTTTTTTATAGATGGCAACTTCTCGTGGAAAGATTTGATCAGTTGAAGGCAGAAGGAGATTTTTTGCCTCTTGCCAATTCTATGGATGGTAAGTATTTTTTATTTATTTAGTAAGGGATTTGGTTAATTATGATTATTAAAATATTTTTGGATAATTCATAAACAAAAAGCTCACGGGTTTTTAATAAAAATATCGATTTTTAATAAATCTACTTGATCTAGGATGTGTCGCCATCTTCAATATTAAAACTTACTATTTTAATTTCAAAAGTATTTTTAAGATAATTAAAAATATTTAAAACACTTCAATTACTATGATTGCCTAGTTTTTCTTGTATGAATGAAATTTTTATTAATGGCTTAACCTTGATAAATACATTCTATTCATGCATTTATTAAAATCTGATCTACCGTAACTTTGAGATTACGTTTCGTTGATAAGTATTAAGTTTTGTAATTGAATAAGTCAATGCGTAATATTATAATGCAAAAAACAATTAAAGAAAAATATCACAATGAATAATACAAAAATTTAGTTTAAATAGAAAAGTGAAAATAACAAATGATACATTTTTGGAGGGTTTGCCAAGAGTTTAGAACTATTTTAAATACTTTATACCTATTATCGTAATGTGAGCTTCAATTCATTTTCTTGAATTGACTGTACAAAGCTCTGAAAAAATAAATTCTTATGATTATGCAGAACTAAAGTAGAAAAGAGAGGTTTCTCTACGCAGCTGTCGTAATAATCTGCACGTGTTTTGCAAATTATCCAACAAAATTTCTCTTCTCTCTTTTATTCCATTTATTCATTCGTTCCATGATCTTCAATAAAGTAGATTCGAACTATAGAATGAATTTTATAGCTTTAGTTTCACAAATATTAGTAGTCAATGTTGTAACAACTTCTACTATTAACTTTTTATATTAACGAAAAATAACTTTTGATATTATTAATATATAATAAATCTTGATGAATCTTTAATATACATCATCAAGTTTTTGATTTAAATAATATAAAATTTACGTTTTAAATTAGACTTACTAATTTTTACCCAAAATTAAATGATAGAATAGAACTAATTTAGAAGTTACGTCGCAGTATTTTGATTAGATCACCCAACAGGAGGCTTGGCATAATAATAAAGACAAAAAAAACTAAAGAAAAAAGATAAGAAAGAATAACAGGAGATGTAAAAGAAAAGAAGTCACATAAGATGACGCGGTTGATTTCATAAGTATTTTTAGATCTCTAAGTAGCCGTGAAGCAAATAACGATTGATAATGAAGGATTTTCAGACTAAAATTATTTTGCTAATTTTACAAATGTCAATAAACGAATGAAAGAACATCCTAGACTAATATTAATAAATGATTTTGTTCAATTGCCTTACAATTGAATTAAAATTTATTTATCATATGAGTTCCTATGTTTAAACAGCAAAAATGTTATTAACGTCGTTAGAACTATGTTTGTAAACCTCCTTGAAGCTTCTGATGTTCTTCTAAGAATCATAAACGTGTTAATGATCGAGAAAATATATATTTTTTTTATCATTTGCATTACTTCACGTTTCGATAAGTTCTTAATTTAAATTTATTGAAATTAAGCGATCAATATCAACATAATTAAGCAGAAATTGAGATGACAATCTATAAAACATTGCAAAAATTCTTGATGTCATTTTTAACCTCTTTCTCTATTGCTTCTCAATTTATCCCCACTATTTGATTCCTTGTTGAAAACTTTACATGTGTGAAAAGTGAAAGGCTTAGCTATGCATTTCTCAATTCTATTTAAAATTCTTTAACGAAAAACATATTTTTTGATTTGTTAATTGGAATTATTCTAATTTTTAATCATTAATAATTATTGCTTTTATGACCTTAAAATGACGGCAGTAATTAAAATAATTTTATTTCCGTAAATATCAAAAAATTTCAAGTAAATTAGCGTTTTAAATATAAATTATTTGAATATTTATTTGTAAATATGAAAAATTCTTGAATATTTATCTTTGAACAAAAAACAGTTAATTTAATTTAAATTGATGAATATTAGGAAAAAAGTTGAAAAAAAAAACAGAAAATAATTCTTTAAAAAACGTCTTTGATTTTCTAAAGAGTATTTATGAAAACAATCTTCTGTTCAAACGATGAAATAATAAACTATTATTAAGTGATGGAAAAATCATAAGAAAAGTTAAAACTTCCGATAATAGTCGATAATTAGTGATATATGATGATTAATGGAAAAAAATAAAAATAAAAAACAGAAATAAATTTTTATGAATTTTAACTAGTAAAGAGACAATTATTACTAAGGTGTGTACTCTAGTGTATACATACTTGAAGAAAATGAGTGTGTAGGTGTGTAAAATACAATTTCTAAAAGAATATATAATCACACTCTCATCGACACACATTTATTGACATTTATTTCGCGTAATTTATTTTCTTAAAAGTATTTTAAATATTCAACTTGAATAAAAAAATTAAAATAAATCAATGAAATAAAATAATGATAAAAATAATAAATATCTTTTATAATATTAAGGTCATGATATATGTACTAGCATGTTACATCTTTGATTTATACTCGTAATATCCGGTGGATCATCATTTACTTTTACATAATCAATCCTTTAATTATTTTTTACTTCAATAAATCAAAGATTAGATATGAGAATCCTGATTATAACAATTGAAAGGAATTTTTACTTTATTTTTCGTTCATTAAATTACATAAATTCAATTACAATCATTTTCTATAAAAGTATAATTACTATTTATTTTTTACAAGTGAATATTTATCATAATAACAAATTATCGCTTTATAAAACTTTTTTTATTTAGTGTTTTTAAATTAAACTATTTAACGAAAAAATTATGATAAAATATTGGAAAAAAGCATCTTGTAATAGTTGATTATATAACTTGATTTTTGCAAAATTTAAATTAGCTTAGACGTTATAGAAATTTGAATTCTTTTTAATAGCATACAAGTCGTTGAGATTTGGATGATAGCATATTTGCAAGACCCCTCCAATCCCCTATATGTAATACATTGTCTACTTTTCTATTTTACAACAAATAACCTATGGGGGAAGGTCGACCCTTCTCCTGACTCTTTGATACATTCAACAACACACGAGGTAGCTAGGAACTCTATTCGTATCGTGTCGTGATTCACATCTACACTACGGGTTTCCAACGCCGCGAGTATTTTATCGTATTCTCTTTATTAAAGGCCAATATTTGTATTTATATTAGTTATCCTTTATGATGATTTTTGTAATTATGATTTACAAAATTATTTTATCTATCATAATGGATCTCTAAATTAACAAATATAATCTACAAAGTTCTGTTGAAATAATTTCGAATCTTGATTATCCGAAAGACCATTTTCAAATGAAACAGTTTGAACTTTATTGGTTAATAATGTGTCTAAATTAATTGAGAATGTGTTTTAAGTGTAACTAATCAGCAAATTGATCTATTAAGGTCATGTTAAAATAATTAGTAAGGAGGAAGTGATAAAAATAAGAAAAAATAATTAAACATGAAAAGAATAAGAATAAAAGAACAATGAAAAAGGACTTTCATCGTGGGATTTTCACACTTTCTTAATCCTTCATGCTTTTACTTGATCTATTATCACTTTGAACTTTTAATTTAACACTTTATTAATTGAACAAACTTTCAATAATAATTAAATTCTTAATTAAACAGCACGAAGCATATATAAATCAATTTGTTACAGTGAAATGAGTTAATAGAAATTTATTGTGATAGAAAATGAGTAATTTTGATGAATCAAATCCTTATAGACACTGCTGTTCTAAACGTGGTTTAATAAAGTATCCAAGTATTGATAAACGAATATGGGATGATAGTAGTACATGGATTTTACAGTGGGATAATATTGTTAAACATTCAGGTGCTAGAGCACGTGGATGTCAGTGTGATGTTCATAAACCTCCTTGGTTATATCCTAATTTAGGTATTTTTATTTTTTCGTAATTTTCAATTGTTCACTTGTAGTAAAACTTTATATATATTTGTATTAAAAACATTTAGTTTATTTTCTGTAAAATTTTTTGTTACAGTTGGTAGAGACGATGATGAACCTGATAGAGCGGTGAGTAAAATATTATATTCAATTATTAATTTAAAATTATTCTTTAAGTGATTTTTTGTTCATATTTGGTTTAACTTACAGATCAAAACTGCGCCTGTTAAGAGAGTAAAAAGTGTTCTTCAGAAGAAAAGCCAGTTCGGACCAAGTATAAAGTCTACATCTTCAACTCTCGGTACTTTACATATTCCCGTGTTTTTTTTTTTTAAATATAATTTATGATATATGTTTATTGCTTATTCGTTTTTCATTTTATTGATAATTATCATTATTATTAATAATATTTTTAGTAATATTATAATTTTTTTATTTTGTTAAGGATTAACACCTTTTTCAGACAAAGATAAAGTAGTAATTTTAGATCATTGTTAACAACTAATTATAAATATAACATTAAAAAGAGCATTCATATTATGTATAAAGAAAATTTTAGTACATAGTTGAATTTTAAATAATATAAAAATAATTTTTATTGAGAAACGTAGTAAGATATTGAAGTTGAATAAGGAAAATTTCTTGAAAATTCACGTCAATCGGTTGAAAATTGTACAAGTCATGCTTCAAATTGATTTCTCGGTCATTTGAAGTATACTTAATGCGTGCATACTTTAACTATGATAAAAATCAGTTTGACTGACTTTAATTTATTTTAAAATGCCTGAAAATGATTATAACTAAAGAACTTAACAAGTGTAATATGGTGTTATTCCTTAATTTTGACTATTAGTATAGCTAGTTATTCATTTATTTATACTTTCTGTTCTGTTCGCAAATTTTATTTTCTTCTTAAATAAAATGAAGGATTGAAATTAAGCGAACGACTAAACTCAGGTACTAGTGCTGGAGGAGCTGGTGCAGTTGATGAAGAAGCATTTCTTACTGCATTTGAAGATGTAGCTACTGTACATTTGTTTTCTACCAAAGATCTTGAAGAACAATTTAGGATCATTCGTGATACTATTGGTGATGATAAAAAAGATTGGAACCAAAGAATTGAAAGTGTATGTATTTTTTTAATTGTATTGAACATTTATTGATATGTATTATTATGTTTGTTTTTAAATATTTTTCCTCTTTAAATTTAGTTGAAAAAAGTTCGAGGAATTATTATAGCAGGGGGAGCAAATTATGAAATGTTTTTTGAATTATTAAAGTCCTCGCAGAATGCATTCGAAGGTGCCTGTACAGATCTGAGATCTCAAGTCGTTAAAGAAGCTTGTATTACTTTGGCTTTTCTTAGTAAACAATTGAAAAATAAAATTGCTCAGTTCATTGAGTCTTTAATTGGACCTCTGATGAACCTGATTCAAAACAGCGCTAAGGTAAATACTAAACGATACAATTCGTTGTAAAAATATTAATAATTTTTCTCGGTAATAAATATTAATTTGTCTTATACTCAATTCATTTTATAGGTTGTTTCGTCATCTGGAGCTGTTGCATTGCGATTTATTTTCCAACACACTCACAGTTCACGTTTTATACCAATAATAACATCATTTTTAACGAGCAAAAGTAAAGACATTCGACGTGCTGCATGCGAATACGTTAGTTTAATTTTGCAAACATGGTCTGCACATTTGTTACAAAAACATGTCAAGACTTTACAAGATTCAATTGGCAAAGGAATAGGAGATCCTGATGCTGAAGCTAGAGTTTTTGCCAGAAAGTAAAGAGATATTTTCTTTTATTATTAATTTTTCTAGTTTTCAACCAAATTTAATCAATACCATTTATTAAAACTATTATTATACTTTAGAGCATATTGGGCTTTTCGAGATCATTTTCCTGAACAAGGAGAAATTCTTCTGAATACAATGGATGCATCACAAAAACGTAATCTCATGTCCCAAAGCAACAGTGGAAGTGTAAATAGTCTTAATGCTGTTACAAGAACTGCAAGCATACCACCAAGACCTACAAGACCGGCAATGAGTGCAGCAGGTACGGTATTAATAATTTACTTAGCTTTATTCATAGATTAAAATAAATTACTTTAAAAATTTTATTCGCTTTTTTCATGTTATTGTGACTGATAAAAATTATTCAATTAGCTTTCGATCAAACTACTTATTATTTATATTCCATTTTTTCACGGTATATACCATTGTAAACTATGTTAATTGCTTGTTCTCATGCTGCTCTTGGTGCCACAAAATCATAAACAAAAAAACTGAATTAAAAATAAAGGCAGTACGGAAAATTTACATCAGACTCAAAGTCCGCCTCATGGACCATTAAAACGGACTCCATCTCTACCAAGATCTTATCGGTCTGGAATTCCAGTTCTGCAAAGACCAACTGACAATTACTGTAATTTAATTACTCTTTCATCATCAACTTTATTGTCACCATCACTTTTAACCCTCATAGGGTCTCTAGTTGTTGCTATTTTAACGAGCTTTAAAATTGGAATTGATCTAAAAGCATCAATTGTTATCTAAAAAAGACCCTATAAGAGTTACATCACTAATTAATTATCATCACCAATTATTTCATTTTCTCATTTAATCATTTAATAGGTGTATTGTTTAACTATTTTATTGATTGTTTTATATTTAAAAATTGTAAAAGTAATTTGATTGATTTATATTATATAAACTTAAAAATATAATTGAACGGTGTTGGTAAAATATTAATTATAGTTAGTTGATAATATTTATTGTACATAGAGGAATATTTTAAATTTATATGTGTAAAAAAAGTTATTTATATAAACATTTTTTTTTTGTGTCAATAAAGGTCGAGCTTCTCCTGGACCAAGGTCTAACAGTGCAATTGATCTTCAAGCTGCCAGACGTGCTCAATCCAGGATGATGTATGCTAGTATGAATCGTAGTAAAGCTGCCACTCGTAAGCAATTTAATAAATTTCTAAAAATTTTTCTAAACTTTAAAATTAGATAATTAATTGATCACATATTTTCAGCTCGAGTTAATAAACAACTTTCTGATATTAATTCAACACCAAGTCCTGAAAGGACAGCGAGAACAAAGACCAGAGTTTCCGGAGTCTCACAATCACAACGTAAGTTTCGATGGAAAGAAGTTAATTTTTAACTTATTCTGTTTTATTTAATAATGTACTTATTTGATTACAGCAAGTAGTAGATCTTGTTCTCCAGCTTCAAGAATGGGCTATGCATCATATAATCGCGATGGTGAATCATTAATTGCTAGACCAAGACGATTATCTGGTCAAGGAATGCGAAGTACTGAAACAAGTCGGGAACCTAGTCCTCAACGATTTGGATTAGACAGAAGTATTACTTCTAAATTACGTGCACGGACTGTTTATATGTCACCAAGACCTCCAGTCATGGCACAAAAAATGCTACAGCAATCTAGAGAAGCTGAATCAGCTCTTGCTGATGCTCTTTCTTTTGATGGAGTTGATCATCATCCAAAAACTCCCAGAGGAGGAAAAGGAGACCATAGTGATGACAGTGAGACTAGTAGTCTTTGTTCCGAACGAAGTACTGATAATTATCGTCGTCCTAGTGATGTAAGTTATTAATTAGATTCATGACGATAAATAATGAAAAATTCATTAATTAATTATTAACTACTACGAAATAATAGTTGCTAAATGTTTGTCAGTCTATTCCAGAGTTATTCATTTCACGTAACTTTAATTAATCTTAACTGAAAACGATTTTTTTCGATTTCTTAAATAATATCCATAATTTGTTTTGTTATTTCTAAAATAATTACGGATGCATGAATTCAGTGTTCTTTATTTTGGTTTTGTTCAGTTATAATCAAATTTTTCTTTTTATTATTTGTATTTTCATCAATATCAATTTATCATTTTTATATGTTAACAATGTTTTCTGTTAATAATTTAAAGTCGTATTCGTGGAGTGGTTCACAACAGAGACTCCATCGCGATGTGTGGGATCCGCCAGCACCTAAGGTTTGTTTTATAAAATTGCCTTGCATTTCTTCTTCACCTATATTTGTTTAACTTCTCATTTATTTATTTAATCAAAATTAAATGTTCTATTAACAATTTTGTTTAAATGTACTATTTATTTACATGTATCTTTCTTATAAATAACTTCATGAATATCTTTAAATTTGACTCTTTTCATTCAAAATATTGATCAAAATTCTAATAAAATATGTAAAAAGTGATTTTTCATCAATATGACGATTATTTGGATGTTTCGATAATTGAATAATGAAATATTTGGTCTTTCAAAATTGTTTCTAATTAATATATACTGATGAAAACTTCTTTTTACAGGACATTAAAGAGATTATTGAATGTTGTGGCCGAAAACATTGGGGAGATCGAAAAGAAGGATTAATCGATTTATTGCACTTTTTATCAAATGGAAATACCCTTACTGCTTCGGAATTACGTAAAGTTACAGATATTTTTACGAAAATGTTTATGGATTCTCATACTAAAGTTTTTAGTCTTTTTTTGGATACTTTACATGAGCTTATTTCTACGCATTATGAGGATTTAGGTGATTGGCTTTATGTTTTGTGTACGCGATTACTCACTAAACTTGGCGCCGATCTTCTCGGATCTATTCAGACAAAAATCAATCGAACACTTGATATAGTCAGGTAATTAGTTAAATTTAATTCGATTAATGGATTTTTTTTTTATCAGAATAATAATGAAAGTTTTTTTCGACAGAGAATCATTTTCCAGTGAACAATTACTGCCAGTAATAATGCGATTTTTAACGGATCCAGCATATACACCGAATTCTAGAGTAAAAGTAGCAACTTTACAATTTTTAATGAGTATAATTGACCAAGCAGAGCCATCAGCGTTGAATCCATCATGCAAATCAGCTTTAGTGCGTTTGTTAGATTGGACGAATGATGTGAAAAGTCAAGACGTTCGTCGACATGCCCAAGAGGCGATAGGTGCACTTTATAATCTTAATCCGCCACTGTTTCCAATGATGCTGAACGAATTACCGAAGATATATCAAGATATTGCAATGCCGTTGATTCAAAGTTATTTGAAACGCGGCTCACCAGCATCAAATCCAGCATCTCCTAGTGGTTTATTACCAAGAGTTCCTCAATCTCCTGCTAGACTATCAGTGAAACATGAAATGGAGTCTAATGATGATCATTTAAATCCGGAAGAAGTCTATAAATCGCTTCGTAGGACAACTGCAGAAATCCAGAATTATGGCTTTGAACGAATGGAGGGTGCAACATCTAGCAAAGATAGTGGTATTAGTAATATGGCAGACGTCGAAGAGAAAATCGAAAGCTTAACTTTAAACTCTGGAAGATCATCTTCAGTATCTTCTCCAACTCAGCGAGTGCGAGGTGTTGGAAATATAACCGTTAATGGATCTAGTGATACCATTGCGGGTGATTTAATTCTACCTGATCGTCGAAATAATGGTTATGAAGGTCACAATATTTCTGGAATGTCACCAGATTTACCACGAGGACCAGAAGTGTTTGATAGAACTTTGGAATTACTTAAAAATGAATCTGTAGATGTTTCAGATAAAGCTCAAGCACTTAGAGATTTTCAAATTTATATTCGTGAGGCTGATGATGTTTCAAACGTTACTAGACAGTTTAAAAAATTATTAAAAACTATGTTGGACTGTCTGGCTCCAGAAGACAAAGCTTTAGAAATTGAAGTGTTAAAAACATTAATAGAAATGTTGAAGCGATCAGAATTTATTGAGAACTTTACAACTTTTGCTGAATTATTAATTTTAAAAGTTCTCAATGAACACAAAGCTGATGCTTACGATGGTTCTGGTAGCAGTCCAAGAAGAGGACATTCTACGAAACCATTACAGCTTCTTAAAGCTGCTGAAGACTGTGCTGCAATGATTGCTACTATATTACCTCCCCAACAAATCATTTATCTTGCTATAACGACTATTAGAACAGAACCTTTTCCAAAAAATGTCGCTGCTATTAAAATGATTCAAAATGTTGTTGAACATGGAGGAAAAAAAGCTATTGAATCTAATCTTGATGCTGTGATGGCTGCACTTATGGGGGTAAGTTGTTTTCATTATAGTTCATTTCATTCAATACTCTATCAAATTAAAAGAATTATTAATTTTTTTGTATTATTTACAGGCGTACGATAATAATGAAAGTGTAGTTCGTAAAGCAGCAGTATTTTGCATGGTTGCAATACATGCAGCCATTGGTGAAGAAGCCTTCGATCCATATCGTAAAAATCTTTATGGTGGTAAACTAAAATTGTTGAATATTTACATACAAAAAGCACAAGAAGCGAGTCAATCATCAAGCCCGCGGAGTAATCATAGTCGAAATTAACCGATAGCTAGTGGTAATAGCTCGGGAATTTTGAGGATATCTATTCTCAAGAAGTTTGCACGATTAGAAGCAAAACATGAGTTATTACTGCTGCGATTTTTTGGTAAGAGTGTAACAAGTCCTTGACATATGAAAATCTCTCAATTGAAGTTATTAAACTATCACAACCGTGTCAAAAAAAAAAAAACATAAAACTAAGTCGACTTAAAAAAGAATGAAAGAACGCTAAAATATAAAGAACATAATAAATAAGTGTTGAAAAAGTTGAGAAGATAAAGGGTGAAATAAGTAATTAATATACAAAGGCATTGTAAATAGCTGTTTTTATCCTAATAGTGACGCGATTCCAGGAGAATGTGCGTCATCTTGTCATCAGAGTAAGTTATATTTATTAATTTCACCTTTTTATTTCTATTATCTATTACTACAATAATAATTCATTATTAGCTACGAATGATTTATAGCTTTATATTAAGTAAGATAATAACTTAAATATTTGACGTTAATGAAATAGTTTGGGGGCTGTTTTCATGAATAATTGAATCAAAGAATTCCACAATTTTGTTGTAATGATGATAAACAATTGAATAAATCTAAATTTTACTTTTGTTGTAAATAATTTATTGTATTATAAAGTTATAACTTTGAGAAAAATTAGCTGTTATGAATTGACTAAATCGTTGAAAAAAAATCTACGTGATGTTTAAATTAGAGCTCCAGTATTTTTATTTGAAACTAATTGCAGCAATTTTGATATTATTGTAATTAGTGAAAACAGTCCTGCATCATCAGTGAACGCAACAAAATCAAAGCTTAAACAAAGAAAATTTATAACCGGTACTTCAAAGGTCCGTGTCTAAGATTGTGCCATTGGAATTTAAGTATAATTGTAATCAGTCCTCATATTTTTTTTTCTTCTTTTATTCGTTTATAAAAAGTTTGTAAACATTCTAATGTATTATATTTCGTCTACTTCATCTTCGTAGCATGTTTTAATCTTCCACAGACTATCATATATCATTTATTTCATTATATTCAATCTATTAATTAAATAATATATGTTTCGATAGAATAATAGTCGTTTATAATAATACTGTTTTAATATTAATAATTTTTTACATAACTATTAATAAAGATTTTTTCGTTATATTTACAGTATTATTTACATTTTTTTTTTTTTGCAAAATATTATATTCTTTTTTATAGCTATAATATCGTAGTAATGAAAGTAATCAGAAGAAATATTAAAATAGCAAAAATCATTTTTATAGTCATGCATAGTTTTTTTTTGTGCTTTATTAAATAGATTAGCACAGAAGTAAATGGAAAAAAGTTCAATGACTGAATGAATAGTGTAAGCGTGGACAAATATGAGTTAATTTAATAAATTAAATTGGATAACATAACGGTAAAATGATTATTATTATATGACAAATGTGTATATTAATATTTGATTATACGCTATAAATTTAATAAATCTTTCAATTTTTCATGTATTTATCATAAATATAAGAAAAAAATGTAATCAAGTGAATATAAACAAAAAGGTGCGATTTATTAATGGCATAATGAAAATGGAAAATGTGTATTAAAGCTAAAAGTAATAAACTTTGAAACAAAATATTGCATTGTTATTTTTCTTAAATAAAAATTCTCTTTTATTAAAAAATATCATCACGTAGGTATTTCATTATTTACATTGAATGTTGATTAGTAAGGAATCAAACAAAAATTTGTTTATTGTTTTACTTTATTGTTAATAATAGGAAGTAAATTCCATTTTTAATTATTCTGCAAAAATTATTCCATTAATTTATTCGACAATAGAAATAATTTTTTTAGTTATTCCACGAATAAATCTTCAAATTGATTTGATTTTGAGAGATGCTATTGAAGAATACATTTTTTGCAGAATGATCATATGAATAAATAATTTTTATCGTTCATAATAAAATAACGAGAGAGGCATAAAATAATAGAAAATAAAATTCTTCGTGTATAATGTTGATAATACTGACAAACATTAGTCTTTTTTTCACTTTAAATATTTATAACAAAAATCTATCAATGTAACATTGATTATATGTTATTGTAATTGCCAATTTGAGATAATAAATAAAAATAATTTGCAACATGCTTATTTTAATGAATAATACATGCGAAATGTGTTTATAATAACGTTTCCTTCTACCGAAAACGTAATATTAAAATTAGAATGAAATTTGATAAACATATATCAGAAAATTTATTTTATTAGAAAAATAAGATAAGATCATATGAATATTATTTTAATTGATCTAATTTGTTTATTTTTCATGAAAAATAAAGTAATAACATAAGAATTATGTATAATTACATTAAAAAAATACATTGGTACAAACAATAATTTTATAAATTTCAAAAATTGTCATTTTTAATTATACATAAGTATCAGCCTTTTGAGATAACTTATCTATTTCATAGAAATTTTGTAGATGCCAACAAATGTGTCAGTTAAACATTTAAATAGTTATTAATCATTATTTTTTCTCTTTTACTTTGTTTATAAAAAAGAATGCTTAAATATATATTGTCTGTAACACAAAATCATCTTTCTTATTTCTAACAATTCTTCTTTCATCAAATTATCAATGGCTTTGATAATTTGTTAATATGAATTTTTTTATAGCAGGTATTCGAAAGGCCACAACTTGTATAAAATTTACAAATAACTCATTTATGTATTTGACAAAAGTATTCAAATATTTTAAGTATAGTTAGCCTTAAGTAAGCTCAAATGTCATTTAACAGACTCATTTTATTTTTAAGATAACATCATTGTTTGAATTAATACTTGAGTTACTCAATTGCTTAGTTATATGCATAATTCATTGTCCTTTAATTATTTGGCATGATTGAAAAATGAGAAAAGTCCGCCATTAAATCTTAAATACTTAAATATCAACATATACAATAATGTCATGATGAACGAATTCTTTTTTTATGGATTTTAAAATTTAATATTGGGTCTTATGACATTCAAATACTTTCATTTATTGGTGCTTATATTCATCTAAGTGTTATTCTATTTTTGTACAAATTTAATTTCTATACCAACACAAAGATATCATCACTATTATTATTATCAATATCTTTTTGCAAAGATAGTAAAGCTTGTTGAGAAAAAAAAATATTGAAACATATGAGTAATACGTACTTTTTTACTTTAAAAAGTCTACGCAGGTTTGAATAAAATCAATCCAAAAATGTTACTAATGGAATGATTTTTCGTTAAAACATAAGAATAAAAAAAAATATTTTAAACTGGCTCAGCTTTCTTTGGATTTAATGGCACGGTGACTTGAGCTTGAGCTTTAGCTTGTGCACGCCTCTTAGCTCGTCTCTTTCGTGCTTTAGCTTCGGCACCGCAAGCTATGAAATTGTGTTGCCAATATTCTTCAATTTCTGATAATTTTTTGCCATGAGTTTCGGGTAATAAAAGCCACACAAATACAACAGCACCTAATGAAACTCCAGCAAAGAACCATTGAATGGCGTGAGATCCTTTAAATAAATAATTGAGTCAATGAAAATAATACTCTAAGAAAATAATGTTAATGAAAAGAAAAAAACTTTTGATTGTATTTAGAGAGCTGCATGCATTATAATAATACAGATAAATAAATTTGTTTACCTCCTAAAAATACTGTAAGTCCACGATAACTTTGTACTGCAGCAAACATTAAAATATTGGCCATTGCATAACTGAATGACTGTGCGATTCCTCGGATTTCAGTTGGAAATAATTCGGCAGTCATGGTCCATGGAATTGTAAGCATACCAATCATAGAGGTACAAACGTACAGTAAAAGGCAGAGTACTGGTACCCAACTTCCAGAAGAGTTACCATTTTTTATTTGCAGTGTAAAATATCCAGAAATACTCATACAAGCTGCCATGCCCAAAGACGAAATAATACATAAAGGGCGTCTTTTATAGCGTCGTAGCAGCCAAGTGTTGACCATTGAACATAAGAAACGAGTTAAGCCAACTAAGATAGATGCTAGATATTCATTAACACCAGCGCCAACTTCCTAAAAGTAAAAATAGAAAAATATGATAAATAAATTATTTATTATTTATTATTCGGCAATTTTTATATTCAGTAAAGTAGAAATAAACTTACTTGAAACCAAGTCACGGCATAAAATAAAGTTATATAAATTCCTGAAAATTGTTGAAAAAGGAAGAATAAAAATAGAATAAAAATCGGCTTCAATCCAGTTGGTTTAGCAAAAGCTGCTACTTTAGTTTGAAATCCATTTCGTTTACTTCTTCGTTGGTCACTTAATTTTATTTCATTCTCTTTGATAATTGTCGTAAAAGCTTGTTCGGCAGCTGAAACTTTTCCAGCAACTTTATCTTCAGATTTGTAAATCCACTCTAAATTTTTTTTAGCATCCTCAATTCTGCCTTTGGAGACAAGCCAGACAGGTGATTCAGGCACAAAAAATTGGACGAGGAAGACAGGAACTATTGCATAAATAATACCAAGCCATGCTACTAGTCTCCAAGACATGTAAGCACCCTTCAAATACACCAAAAGCATTCCAAATGATGCTAGAGTTGGTCCGAATGACATCAAAGAACCTCGCAATTCAGGTCTGGCAACTTCAGTAATGTAAACAATAGCTGGGGATGTTGATGTAGCTGTTGCTAGGCCGGTCAACATTCGCCCGACTAAAATCATGGAGACATTTGTTGATGTTGCAATTAAAATCCAGCCGATCACGTAACCTATTGATCCTAGCTGAAGTGTTCTTATCCGTCCAAATATTTCCATGAGAAAACCTCCTAATAAAGATCCTGCTGGAACTGCTACTACGATAATACTTGCTAAAAAATGATTAAATTATTTAAACATTATATTCTGAACTGAACGTAGAAACATAATTATTTTTTTATCTTTCATAAATGCTTGATTAAATAACTGATTACTAATGGAGGAAAATAATCATTGATAGAAGCATTTATTACTTCATTAATTACGGAATTATTGTATCATTGAAGGTGTTGATAATTATCATAATTAATGGTTTAATAAATGATCTTAAAAGGCAAATTAAAATGAACAGGTAGCAAAGATAACGATAAAAAATATTTTATGACTAATAAATTGAAAATCTTTCTTTTACCTATCCATGAAGTTTCTGTTTTCGTAGCTGTTATGTCAGAGTTAGGATCTTCTAGGCGAGGAATAAGAATAGCTGAGTATGCCATACTTAATCCTACTGCAATATGAAAAGTAGTAGACAAAACACATGCAATGATCTGAAAAAATTGACAAAGAATTAATTACGTTATAAACAATGATAATAATAATGATATATAGTGAAAAATGAATGTATGAATGAATAAGTAAATAGTTGAAAAGTGATCATGACACATAATAAACACAGATACAAAAAACGATCAAGACTAATGTAAATTTAAAAAATAAAAAAAAGGTCAATTTACCTCCGGTACCGCATTCTTCAGTTGAGTTGATGGAACATATCCTTTGTTAAGACTTCTACTGGATACAATGGCATCCTTGAAGCACTCTCTTTCATTCTCCTCAATATTCTTTGAGGCCTCTCGCTCGACACTGCAAATTTAATTTTTTTTTCTGTTAAGTAAACAAAAAATGACTGTCCAATATAACAGATTATGATGAATTATTTGTTTTTATGACCATCAATTTAAAATAAAATAATTATAACATTGAAAAGGCAATTTATGGAACATTTTTATTGAAAGACAATATTTATCATGACTTTAGTAATTAAATTACTTAAGAATATAAAATGTAACTATTAGATACTGAATGCTAAGATGCGATTATTACTTCATTGACTTCTACATATAGCAATTGCTAGCCGTTATATTATACAAATGAGAATCAAGTCCAAAGTACAAAAAATAACAATTTTACAGACTATGTATTTAGAATTTAATAATTAATAATAATGAATTAAAAATGATTTCTAGTGTTATAATGTTGAGTAAAATAACTCCAATTAATTGTTCATTGAGTTTTTTTTTATTTTTCAAATGATCAACTAAATAATTTTTAAGACTATGTAAATTTTAAATGTCAGATAAATTAACTTCTCTTAAGAAATTATTACGATGAAATTTTTTAAAGAATTATCTCAATATATAATGGCAGAATAAAATGCATCAATACAATATGATATGTTGGATTAAATGACCTAATCGTTTTGTAAAAAACGTTCTCGCCATATACTATCTCCATTTAATCCTTAAATGAGCTGACAGCTGGCTTATAAAAATTTAGCAAAGTGTTTTTAATTAATAATTTGTTTTTATTTCAGTTTTGAAGTTACTTATATTGTCTCTTTAGAATTATCGTTTTTTCGTAAATTTTTCGAATTTAAAAAATTTTTTTATCAGTCAGTTTATTTTCCACGTTAAAGTAATGGTGATTAATTTTTTAACCCAATAAAGAAAAAAAAAATACAAAAGTCATAACAAATAGACAAAAATAAAATGACAAAACGAAGGATAGTAAAATTATATAACTACTCATTTTAATAAGTAATTTTTATTATTATTTGTTTATTATTTTGAATATTTTTTAACATTTTTTACGTTCACAAAAAATGCTTATAATAATATTAATTGTTTTTTTTTGTGTTTTTTTTTTAATTAAATTTATCGCATTTTATAAATCATTCGAGTATTGATAACAAGTCAATAGTTAACTTCCTCAGTGTAGTAACGTAAATAGGCAATATCACCTCGAACTTCAAACATTAGACAAGTATATGTCATATTCAGTTGTAATTATTGGCTGGAATATGAATCGTGACTTATCAATTTACACTTGAAAAATGCATGATTCAAATGGCTCTTGCATTACTTATATCGAATAACAATCTAATAACGATAATCGAGTAAACGCTTTCTTACAATTTCATGCTGTTTAACTGATTTGTACAATTTTTTACCATTAATCATAATAAATTTTTTTTGTTTACTACTTCTGGTTGCAAAGAAAAAAATTAAAAGTACTTTGATGTTTTTTTTTTTTCTAATTTTGAATACAATAATTAAACTTAGTTCAAAATCAATTAACCTTTTAATTATAGTACAATTAAAAACATTATTTTTTTTTGTGTTATAGTTTAGATGAATTATGCAAAATATGTTTTGAGGTAAGTTTGTTTTTAAGAATGTTTTAAAACTTAGCCATTTTGTAATTACAATTACCTTTGAAAAGCAATAAATGTTAAAAAATTTTTCTCGCTGAATAAGAATAAAAACATAATATATCAAACTCTAGCATATGCTTATGCAATAAGAAAAAAACCATATGCTACAGTATAAATTTTGCAAGATCGTAAATTATAATGTTTATATTCAATTTTTCTCAAGATATTTCATTAATCATTAATAATTACTACTTCACTCACCTTAACATATATGGATCCATGATTATTTATTTTATTTATTATTTGTTAATTATTTATTTATTATTATTTTATTAACATGAATATTTATTATTCACAGCCCGTTAAAAAATACTGATGTTTGTAAAAAAAAGTTTTTGAGTTTACACTTAACACTTTATTATTCCCTATTATGACGTCAAAAAATAAATGCGTTAATTTTTATGTATTCAAAAATGTATGTTTTTTTGTAATTTTTACAATATTTATTGTTATTATGTTATTTATTTTATTTAAGGCACAAGTTTAACGACGTCAACTCCTTGGCATAGCATTGGAAGGAATACCATCGTTTAATTCATCTGTAAAGAACATTTTTTCACTCTTTTAAAATTATAATTTAATTTAATAATAAACATTTTATTATGAATAAAAATGTATCAATTTCTATGATGACATTTTAAATATAAAATAGTGATTAAATTTTCTCATTATTAGAAAAATTCAAATGTTACCTGTACAAGTAATTTATTTCAATTCACTAACTGGAAAAGAATTTCGTACATTTTCATACTTGATGGAATGAATTTTTTCTTTGAATATTATTATCAATATCTACGAGTATTTTCTATTATATATTTTTATCTACTCACTTGTAATAATTGTAAAAAAAAACAATGAAAAAATTTAATCAACAGAAACTACTATTTTATGTACAAAAATTAATTTTCACAAATAATCATTCAAACTTGAGAGAAATTTTGAAGGTTCAGCAAATATTATCCAGAAAATACCAAAACGAGCTACTGATTTAATATAAAAATATTTGCAAATATTTAATAATATAATTATACTCGTTTACTGTAAGTTCTTGAAAGAAAAAAAAATGATACATGAAAAATTTCGAAATGACAATAAAATAAATGATTCCAGTATTGGAGTATAGAGATGCAGAATTATTTTATGAAATATGATGCATCATAGTTTGAATGAAAATGGAAAAAATTCGATAAAAATAGGGAATAAATGAAGTCAATTAATTGGCAATATTTACCAGATGTATTTCAGAGCCGTAAGACAAAGCCGCGAGAACGAGATCACTCGAGCTCGTACGAACTCAACTCACTCCCGACCAACTAAAAGCGACTGAAGTTTCTCTGCATGAGTTCTACTTCCTACCTAGTGTGCCGAATCAACATAGAAACGACTCGAAGCTCGCCGAGAAAACACGAATAAACAGCCATGCTTCATACCAACGCCTTTTCACCAGAGTTTAACATTACCATCATCAGACGATAGAGTTTGGTATAATGGAAAAATGGAAATGTTCAGAGGCTCGATATATTATTAGTCAAGCAATAAAAAAAAAAAAGTCCGTTGTGAAAGATCTCGCAAGTTGAAACGAATTTCCCTATAAAATTTTTGAATGCCATACTCCAAAGTCCTTAGGGGTTGAATAAAAAAGTTTCAGGGATTATCTTATATTTCAGAGTCTAAATCCATTGTCCTTGATGTGTGCAGGTATCTAAAGAGGAGAGGTAAAAAATCGTCGTAAGGTAAAAATTTCCACTTGAAGTATTAGATTTATTTAGGTTTGATTGTTTTTTTTATCCTCGAAAAAGCAGGTATATTTTTACAACTGAAAAATAAATTTTTATTTCGATTTTTGAACTTGAAAGGTTTCAACATGTTCGAAGTAAGCAGTAAATTCAAATATCAATTACATATTTACTTATGTATACTTATAATGTAGAGCTTTATTATTAAAAATTATTAGCAACAGAGTAATGAAGTCATTTATTTGAAATGTATAATTATAAAAAAATGTTTTTCTGAAGCTACAACTGGTTAAATAACAATAATTTGATATTTGAAAAATAAAAGGCACTCAAATGTATGATTTAATAAACATAAAAATTGTTGAAATTAATGATTTCCTTCAAAACTATGTTTTATTATTTTCTTATTTTTAGATCATAAATATTTGACCAGAGCAAGAAATTTGAGACGATTAAGTACTTGTCGTGTTTGTGTCCAACAATTTTGAAGAAAATAACGTCATTACAGAAGTTCTAAAAGAGAAATAAACACTAAATCTATGAATTTAATCTCATTGAATTTAATATGAAAGACGGAAAGAAATAAACAATAATATATACAAGGTCTAAGTTAGATAGTGCGATAATAAGTGGTCTTATCGATCGGAGGAAGCCGGCCGGTACGACTTTCCAGGAACACAACCACTCTACTCTGCCAACTATTCTGTTTCTCGTAAAAATACACCATGTCCACATGGTTATTTGATGTCTGTGTAGCTGATAGAAGTAGTTTGCGTAGTTATTTGTGTAATTCTAATGCCGTTATGTTACCTCATCTGGATATATAGACACATACATATACAGTAATAGATGATGTATTCGTGCCCATATATTTTAAAATGTTCAAGCCATTTAAATGGATTTAAAAAAAAAACAGGAATTGCGTGTATATCACGTGTCTTTGGATAGTCGGTTAGATGATACAGCTGGAGAGAGATAAAAGCTGACAAAAAATTGTTCGCTAACGATCTTTACTGAACAAAAAGAGATCAGAACTTGATGAGTCTAAAGGGACTGTTAGGGACTTTTCAAAAAAACGTTACCCTATTATTTTCATTATTATAAAAACTAATTAACAAATTACTTATCAATCAATTTGAGTAATTATTTCTTTGAAATAGTTCTTCTAATGGTATTTATTGACGAGTTAAGTTTAATGATAAAGATTATTACATCTTTTAAAAATGATTTTTATCTTAAAATCATGTCATCGTCATTTTATTTTATTTAACATAAAAAACAGTAGAATATAAAAACTTTTCTTGCAAAAAATTTCACATTTCATGGCATTATTTATGACGTTGTAATGTCAGTAGAAAATTTTTTATTGTAATTCATTTTATTGACGAAACTCTCTTTCACTTATATTATATCTTTTTTATGATTTCAATTTTTTTAAACTTAACCAATATCTTTTAAGTTAAGTGATGAAATTAAAGAGCATGTAGAAGAAGATTGGATAGAGATGAAGTCGTATATAAATGATGAAAAGAAAGACGAGTGAAGTGGAAAATATAAGTAAGGAGAAGAATAAATGTATGAGGTCAGACACCGATTGTTTATATCGAGTTCAATTGCTCGATTGATCTTTTCAAGCAGATGGTTTTATTATATCATTCTGTATATCATTTTTCTGTTTATATTACCTTATTAACACCAATAATAATTTACCTTTTTGTCAAGCATTTATTGATTATCAACTTATGACAACAATTTTAAAGACTTGAAATGTTAGTTAATGCAGAAAAATTATAAGAATAATGACTAACCATTGTTGATGAAGAGACACATTGTTTGAAAAAACGAAAACTAATTAAATAGATTGGCGATTAATTGATTTTAAATAAAATATTTGTAAAAAGAATTAATGTATTGATTCAAAAGTAATTATGCAAATTACTATTGTTACAGTTTATGTTGAATCTATTGTCAATTCAGAACGCACGACTATCGCACCAAGATCACCTTTGAAGGTTAAATGCTAATTTTATACAGTACAGAGTTAGGAAAATAAGTAAATGAAGCGGTGATGAAACTTTTTATTATTTTTATTTCAATGCCACTAATGAAATGTTTTTTACATAAATATTGCATTAATATAATATTTCCGCAATCCTACAATAATCCATTTTTCGTTTTCGGAGTAATCAATTGTTATGTTCAATTTTGATTCCGTCTTTAAACTTTAAACTATTAAATGAAAAAACGAAAAAATAATAAACAAATATTTGCAGTTAAGAATATATTTTACAAAATTAAAACAATAAAAAAATATAATTACAAAATTTAACGGGATAAAAAGTATGCAACGCGACTCATAAAGCTTTAATACTTTAATCACAGTTAGGGCTTTATATGTCTCAAGATGGTATATAATTCCGTCTGGCTTGCTTTATTTTTATATATCCAGTATTTACATTTCATTCACATAAATTCATGATAAATAATGACAAAAAATTCATGATTTCAATAACCCTTAATTAATTGCTCCAAAATTCTTCGTTTGTTATGAGGTACTCTAACTATTGACATAATGATATAGTTCAATTACTTCAAATTTTATATTTTTTTATCTTTATTTTTTTATTTTTTATTAATTAAAATATTAATATTACATACATATTACATAATTGTAAAATTTTATTTAAAAAAAGCATTGATTGATTTCGTTTTTATCTTCCCTGAATAATAGTGATGAAAAATGTTTTATCGACTGAAACACACAATTGTTGAGTCATTTTTCAATAAAAACAACTAATTATCAGATTTGGTAATTGAAGTACAATTTACATCCGTTAATTATAATTCAGTGGTTGCTTGTGATGAACTTTTGAAAATTTTTGAATACATTTTGTCATTTTTGAATATCCGCTTTTCCACAGCTGACGTTTTACTCGGAAGATGGCGTTATATTTAATTGTCTAGTAGCGCGGATATTTTTGTTTTTTTAAAATTATTTTTGTTGTGATTCTTAATAATAATGAATTTGTATTACATATCTCTGCAATGAATTCGTTCCACTAAATTTGTATTATTTATATTTTCATTTTTCTAGTAATGTCTTTTTATGAAGGTGTTTCAGAATATATATTAAATTACAAAAATATTTAAAATACATTACCCTTTTGATCTCGTTTCATGAATTAATCCTACTAGATGGCAGAGAAGTAACCTAAAACGCATGAGATTCGAGGGAAATCAATAAAACAGATTTGAGAGTGTACAGAGTCTAGTGTAGTTCGTATACAAACGGATACATATTGCAGATTTATTTCAATGTGTGAGTAAAATTGATAAGTAACATCGCAAAATACGGATCATTCTGTTCTGTTTTTGTATCATGTAAAACAATTTTACAGTTTAGTGAATGTTCACATTTAAAAAAATATTTAATCCAAAAAGAACGTAGAATTTTCGAGTGACGTCTTATTATTAATTGAATCTTGAATTTTTTTTTTGAAAATATAATCTAAATTCAATAATAAAAATATACGTAAATGGAATAAAAACCAGGAAAAGAAACGAAAGATAGTCATCAAATCTAGTCATTTGTGAAATTTTATTTATTAATTATAATTATTAAAAAAAAATATTTTTATTAACTATGATCAATTGATTGAAACTTCTTCATACATGTTTTTATGGCTAAAATTCCACGGATTTTGAAAAAAAAAGGCATCGGCATCATATTCCAATAATATGTCAGTAAAAGTAAGTAAAAAAAATTTTTTTTCTAATAAAAACTAAAAAATATATCAGAACAAAGTATAATAGTCATTTTTTTCCAACTCATTGTTGTTTTTTTTTAAACAATTCATGATTACTTGATAACTTCTTCCCCCGATAGAATTTTATTAATAATTCATATTAACATAAATATTCGATTTATTTAAAAGGACTCGTCGTGGTATATTGATTTTTGTTTGTTTACGTTCACAGATGGCAAAGTATAAACAAGCGGAGTTTGAGGATGAAGATAGTTGTAGTAGCAGCATTGGGTCTGTAATACTTAATAGTGACGGAATGAGCACGTCTGCAACCACTCATATTAGATATCATTCAGTAAGCTGATAAAATAATTGGATTACTTATCTCATTAATGTTTGCATATGTGTATAAATGAATGAATGAATAAATTAGCAAACATGAAGAAATAAAATACGACTAATAGAAACTATTTTCTATGTTAAATTTAATATGAATGAGCTTATTTTATTACATTTTATTTTAGGGAATGACAATATGGAAATCAAGATCTATGTTGGAGAGATCGTTACTCATTGCTGTTCTTGGGAGTTTAGTCATTAATATTGTCTTATCAATTGTGATTAGCATTATAAGAAACGAATGTGACCATGCTCCGTATCTTCATGTTGCTTCTAATACTGAGGGTTAATATTTTAGTTTATTATAATGATAATAATTATTATTATGGTTTTTTTTATCATCATTATTTTCGTTAATCATTAAGTATATTATTGTTATATTTTGACAAATATTAATTAATATTTTTTTTTGTAGAAAATCTTCATTATTGTTCAACAGAACATTGTGTAACAGTGGCAGCCTCAATAATCGATAGTATAAATCCGTCAGCCGATCCCTGCGATGATTTTTATGAATATGCTTGTGGGGGTTGGATTAAAAAAAATCCAATTCCCGATGGAAAGAGTGTGTGGGGTACCTTTGGTAAACTCGAGCAAGATAATCAATTAGTTGTCAAGAATGCTCTTGGTTTGTATTTTGTTACGATAAAAATTATACTTACATAATATTTGATCAATCATGTAATTTACGAGTTTTTTTCTAAAAATTATTCTACATTCCATTAGAAAAATCAATGCAAGAAATCAAATCTGAAGCTGAAAAAAAAGCTAAGTTATATTATTTATCATGTATGGATGCTAATGAAACGATTGAAAAACTCGGTGGCCAACCAATGCTAGATATTTTAGAAAATGTTGGTGGATGGAATATTTCAGGAGATTATTTTAATATATCTAAGTGGAATTTACAAACTAGCATGCATGTTCTACAAAATGTTTACAATATGGGTGGATTATTTACTTGGGCTGTTAATGAAGATGATAAAAACAGCTCCAGACATATTATCCAGGTAGGTCATTTATTAATTGCTTTTTTGATGTTCTAATCAATTTTTATCTATCGACAATAATATTATTTTTTATTATATATTAATTTATAATTGTATTAATCTATATCGGACCATTTTTTAAATACTAGATTGATCAAGGCGGATTGACATTGCCAACAACAGATAATTATCTAAATAAAAGCGAACACGGTAAAGTTCTTGTGGCCTATTTGGATTACATGACTAAGGTATGGTAAATATATTTAATAATGTGAGTTGTAAATATATGTTTGATATTGACAAATATCAGGCGCGCGCGCGCCCGCGATTGCTGATAAGTGCAACATCTACGTGCACAGATTGGCGTACTATTAGGAGGTGAGGAGAAGGAAACTAAACGACAAATGCAAGCTGTCATCGACTTTGAAACTAAGTTAGCTGAATATACCACACCACAGGAGGATAGAAGAGATGAAGAAAAATTATATAATTTAATGTCTATACAAGAATTGCAAGAAATCGCTCCATTTGTAAGTTAACTTGTTTTTGATAACCATCTGATGAAAAGATAGTTGTCAACAATGAAACTAAATTTTTCAATGTTTTTTTCAGATGTCATGGTTAGATTATTTTCAAAATGCAACTCAGTTAGTCGGTAGGAAAGTAAATAATAAAACAATGATTGTAAATTTTGCGCCAGAGTACTTTAAAAAAATATCGAAACTTGTTAGTGATTACAACAGTACAACTGAGGGTAAAATGTAAGTAGAATAATTGATTAGCCATGTTCGTTGTGGAAATATAAAACATTATTATTATTATTCAATACGTAATTCATAGAAAATTAGTAATGATTCAATGTGTTTTTTTCCATTTTAGAATAATCAATAATTACTTAATCTGGCAGACAGTCCGATCTCTTACAGCTTTTCTTTCCAAGCCTTTCAGAGACGCTTATAAAGGTCTTAGGAAAGCTTTAATTGGATCTGAAGGGAAAGAAGAGCAATGGAGATACTGCGTTAGTGATACTAACAATGTTATGGGTTTTGCTATTGGGGCGATGTTTGTTAGAGAAGTTTTTCATGGTAAAAGCAAACCAAAGGTTTGTTTTAAAAATATATATACCTTTAAATTGATGTTTAATCATATTGATTAATTAATGAACTTCCCAATTTAATTTAGGCGGAAGAAATGATAATGAATATTCGAGAAGCATTTGTGAAAAATTTTAACAATCTCGAATGGATGGATGCAGAAACAAGGAAATTAGCTGAAGATAAAGCAAATGCAATTACTGATATGATTGGATTTCCATATTTTATCCTAAATCCCAAAGAGCTTGATAAACGTTATGAAGATTTAATTATCAAAGATGATGAATATTTTTATAATAATATTAGAATAAATAAGTATACGCTGAAAAAAAATTTAGAAAAAATAAACCAGTCTGTTAATAAAACAACATGGATAATGACACCGCCGACGGTGAATGCCTACTATACACCAACGAAAAATCAAATAGTCTTTCCAGCCGGAATTTTACAGAGTCCATTTTATGATATGGAAAATCCAAATAGTTTAAATTATGGTGGGATTGGCGTTGTCATGGGCCATGAATTAACTCATGCTTTTGATGACCAAGGTATTTTTTTCCTTGCTGATTTATATATGTATAGTAATCAATTATTTATCTTTCAAATTTTTTATAACATTAAAATATTTATCGATTACAATAAATCGGAACTTTATTTCAACAGGAAGGGAATACGATCTAAACGGTAATTTACATAAATGGTGGAATAATGCAACAATTGACCGTTTTAAAAATCAGACTGAGTGTTTTGTTGATCAATATAATAATTATGAAATCAATAATCATCATATAAATGGAAGACAAACTTTAGGTAATCTGCCGATAAATTTTCAAATCTTTAATCTTAATTTTATTAAACGAATTAAACTTGAATATTTTATATTTATATATAATGAATAATAGGAGAAAATATTGCTGACAATGGTGGCCTCAAAGCAGCTTATCATGCTTATTTGAATTCTACTCAGAAAGATTCAACATCATCACTCTTTTTACCAGGATTACCTCATTTGAATCATCGTCAACTGTTTTTTGTCAATTTCGCTCAGGTATTATATAGAACATCATTTTTAATAAATTTTTAATTTACAAAAAAAACATAAAGTTCCTAATGAATTAATTATTTTATTAAAGGTCTGGTGCTCTGTGATAACACCGGAAGCTTTAAATCTACAAGTTGAAAAAGATTCTCATTGTCCTCCTAAATTTCGAGTAATCGGACCACTCTCGAATTTGCCTGAATTTTCACAAGAATTTCATTGTAAAAAAGGATCTCGAATGAATCCAGCTGATAAGTGTGAAGTATGGTAGTTATTATAAGTATTATTTTAACGATTCCAAAGAATTAATGCCATCTTTATTAATTTATTAATTAGTTGAATATTTTGTTTAATATTACAAGACATTATTGTTATGGAACAGAAAACATTTTTTAAATTTGTTTTTAATCAATTTTTGTTTTATTATGGTTTTTCTTCAATTTCTACATAATGTAATTAATTATTACAGTATATCTTTATATAAAATTATGGAGAAAAGTGTTTAACCGCGGCTGGACCGCCGTCGTAAACGTCTTTTAAATGTTCCTTATATGTATTATCTATGTTTTATATATTCAAAGATAAAAATTTGAAAAAACATCATTGGCATATTAATCATGTCACATACTATAATATTTGAATGAATTATTTAAGAGGATATTGATAATTGGAAAACAACACAAAAAATGAAAAAAACCAAAACAATATGAAGAAAATTTAATCATTACGACACATTTCTATGAAACAGAAATATCAGTGTACAACCATAATAGAATTATCCGCTTAAATTCTTTATCTATTTATTTATCACAGAATTAAAAAAATATTTTCAGAAAGTAAATATTTAATTATTGAAATGTTTTCTAATAAGATAAATTGATTAAAAATTGTGTTATTGATAAAATTATTGGCATAATGAATTGACTTATTAGTTTCATCGAAATTCAAGCAATAAAATAGACAGTCATCATTCTTTCTATACATTAACGACACCCTAAAATAGAATAAAAAGCGATAAAACCGATCGATCTCACCTTTGAATACTCTTTTCTAACAGAACAAATGTCACGGCGAAAGAGACGCTTATTTATAGCTACATTTTAATTCTACACGACAAAAGTTATAGACTATTTAATTATTAAAAGGATTCAATTATAATCAATTTGTCGATAATTTTATTCAAAAAATTATGTTTAATGATTTTGAAAATAATTCAGGGATATATTTTATTGAAAAAATAATATTATATCCAAAGTGACTGTGTTAATTGGGTTGTAGAATTCCATTGTTTAAATCTTTTTTGCACATGAGCTTGCAACTTTTTTTTTCTTCTCGTTATTTCTGAAGAACGTTGAAATCTGAACCAAATATTTTCTAAGATGCATATGATAGCACTTATGACAAACATAATACATAGTCCAATGAATATTAACCTCATGTGGCCTTGTTCAACGGGTTGAAATATTAATTTATGTTCAGTACCGTCTGGAAATTCTTGAGGAATCCATTTTTTTTCAAAATATTTCAAAATACCTCCTGCTCGAAGTCTCATTAAACTGTAATCAAATTATAATTTAATTAATGGAATAATCATTTATTTTGATACATTAATACTTTGAACTTACTATTTATTAATCAGTTTTCTGTAAGGCCAGGAAGTAGCCATAGAAAATCCAATTTTAACTTGTAAAGTAGGTTCTGGAGCTTTGACAATTTCACATAGATGATTAACTTGCTGATAAACACGTAAAAGTGATACTGGAGTTTCTAGATAGACCAATTTAGGTTCGCAAAGTTTATTTAATACTTCATCACTATTTTCCATGTTTGGACAATTTGGAGTATTTACAATATCCTCCCATTCAGGAGCTAAAGGACTATCAGCTATATTTTTAGTAGAAAATAAAGAATACGGTGCACTTTTTTTTCTAAAACATAAAGAGTGAGTTCGTTCTCGAACAATGTCCTTAAGATTTGATATAGGAACTGTACTACTTTTAATAGCTAAATGTGATGTTAAGGTGCTGCTAAATCCACAAGAAGTCAAAACACCCGTTAATAATGAGGTAATTATTAAACATCGCAGAGACCAAGATGATGGTATTTTTTGCATTCCTAAAAAATTTTTTTTTCCTTAAATATTTATAGATTATTATGATTTTTTATAATTTAATTTGAACAAAAAAGTATACCTTGACCAGTAATTCCACCTACTACACACAAGAAAATAAATGATGGTGCTGAAAGTTCATTGTTACACTCAATGTAATTAGTACAAAGAGCTTTTTTTAATCGATACATAATAAAGAGTAGAAGGGCTATTACTAATAAACTGACAAATGTCATAGCCCATAATGCTGGTCTAAAAATTTTAGCGTACCACCATGCTGATACTCGTGCACCCTCTGAGAGTGTAAATAATGAGTATCTGTAGAAAAAAAAAATTTATTTTACTACATAATATAATAATAATATAGAAAAAAACCATAATGGGTGTAATTAAAAGATATAGATATTAGAAAATTATTTAGATAATTAATTAAAGCTTTTATAGTGTAACTTACGTGTTAGTAGCTATTTGATGGGTATAAGAGTAATGACCAGCACGATATGAGGTAATTGCAACAGCTCGTAAAGAAACATCGTAAGCGCCACCCATAAAAGCATCCCCCATCGATCTATTTGTTTTCGTGTAAATTGATCTAAAAAAATTCGAAATAACTGGATTTAAAATGTTCCATGAAGTTGTTATTTTTTTTCCTTTTTTGAAATGAATAATAATTATTGAGACTTTTTACCGGAATTCAAAAGTATCTTCAAGTGCACTCCAAATTGCACCTATGTATCCTCTGAGATTATCAGTATCATCTCCAAATACGTATGGGTACATCTAAAAATAAATTAAATAAGTTGGTCGTGAGTAAAGATTGTATTTCGAAAGAGAAAAAACAAAAATTAAAACTTTTTTAGAAATTAGAGGTGAAAAAGTTGAAAAAAATTACTCACTGTATTAATAGCTACTCTCACTGGTGCTCCATAAATATCATCTGAAAAATCAACACTACAAACATGATGTAAAAAACCGTTATCTTTCAAATATTCTAGTGTTGCAAATTCATTAGTTCTTTTGTCCCATATACGTATTGTTCCTGGAAAATGTAATGCAGCTTTTACTCCATCACCAGTCAAAATTGTTCTACACACTTTTGCATGACTTGATCCAAAAATCATATTATAATTAATAAAAACAATTAACAAAGCTAAATTCTTTGAAAAATCACGAAATGAAGAACTACTAAATAAATTCATGTTCTTCTTTAGTTTTGAAAACCTCTGATAATACTATACACGTGGCTTCAGTGCTCTTATTTATAAGAAAGAGCTCTTACTTTGATTTTAATTTATTATTCCATTGACGCTTTATGTTCATTATATTGTTTGACAATTTAATAATATAAGTATAAAAAGAAATGGGAAAAATTATGCTACTTTAACAAAAACTAGTACTTTTTTTCTGAAGAAGTTAGTCAATTATTCAACGATTGCTTATTATTGCTGTATTTCTATACAATTTCTTACATAAATTGTTGTGTCACTGACAATGATTTTGTTAAATCGAAGAATCATTTCTAGTCTTAATTATTCAACAAAGAATTTCATTTAATGTAAAAATTAATTATGATCATTTATAATATTCAATAATATAATATAATTTTAATACATATTTATGAATTTCATTAAAAGTATATTTAAAAAAGCTCTGATTAATTGTGTTTCAAGTATGAATATAAACAATGATATTTATAAAAAATCAATGCAATAATTGTAAAATAAAAAGTATAAAAAATGAGTATACTCTTAGGATAAAAATGAAACAGTGAAAATGACTATGAAGCAGTGAATATTTACTGATTCATTTTTAGCAAGTATATATTTGAAATTCAAAATAGCAAAGTCATATCGGAATAACTATAAAAGAAGAGAGAAATTTTAGATTAAATGAAAAAGCAGGTTAACATTCTAAATTTATTTTTACCAATAAATATAAAAATGATTGTAAATATTGTGTATTACGTGAAGAAAACGGTTAGTTATTAAACATGATTGATCAAAGATAATTAAAAGGAAAGAATTTATAGCGATGTATGACTAAAATAAATGTATTAGAGTAGGATAAAATAAATTGTCATTCGTCAAACAGGCGCGCGAGCGCTTGACAGAGCTTTAATTTGTATTTACATTGTATGTATAAGTGTATATGCTACATACTTACATAAATGATGAATCGCTTTGACAACGCGTGGGGCGGAAACACGTGCCGCATGTTGTAGGTAAATGTGTTTGTTTTGAATATATATAATAATCTCTCGTTCAACACTCCCTTAACTTTTTATCATAGAATTCGCCACTAATAGATCGCATACAACAATTATTTACTATACAATTGCGAGGGATAGGCTAGATTATTTTTCAATTTCGTCTAATTTATCATTTTAATACAATTTTGTCATGGAATTTTACTTTAAATTATACTTATTTAAAGTAAGTTACTTAGTAGTTACATGATAACCTTAATTAAACAAAAATTCAATATTTTTCATTTTTTTTAATTGGTGCTGTAATCGATGTATTTATAGAATATCATACAAATAATTTACTAATAAACATTAATAATAATAAAATAAATAGTTTCTAGATTTTTTTGCAAAATAAATCATTTATGGATTTTTTATTATTTTGACAAAAAATCAACATAAATAAATTCATTTTAAATTTCAGTGAATAAATTAAACGTTTTTTGTTTCAGTTATTCAATTTATAAAGTCATTTTAATTGAACTTTGAATAATTAAAAATTCTTATGTTTTTTTTTGTTATTGATAATAATTTCAGTCTCTTACTAAGCATGAATCAAGTAAAATATTCAATATGTTTTTAATTTTAAAATAAAAAAGCATCATTATAAATATAAATTATATGCAATAATTTGAAATAATGTTAATGTATTGATTAATGTAATGAAATAAAAGCCGAATAGTTTTTATGACAGTGTGAATAAATTTAAAATCAATATAAGATAATGAAAAAGAAAAAGAAAAAAGAGAAAAGATGTATAATTATTGAAATTTGAAATAATTTATTGTAAGATGAAATTTTGTTAGTACTTATTGAGCCAATAGCTCTTTTACTAATGTACAATATATATTTTTTGATATATTACACTCTCACAATATATCTGATACTCTTTTACGACATATACATGCATATATAAAATAAAATACATTCTCATAAATTTACTCACTCATTCACTCACTTAGATACTACACTAACTCTCTTGACTAACTCACTCACTACCATCACTCACTACTTACACTCCTCTCTCTACCCCACCGTTTGGCGAACAGACTCGTGAATTCACAGCACATAGCGTGCCACTCCTCCTCGTACACGCAGCTTGTTCAACTTTTCTGCGGACTCTCCCGCGCTTAAAAAGTATCACTTTTATTTTTTAAATTCACATTTTCACAATCATATTTTATTGCAAGCTTTAAAAATCTCTTCAATATTGATTTCAATTTTCATCAGTCATCACAATCATTTATTTTGTTGCAAATTTATGACTCTTTCTTACAACTATCGATCAAACACGTCTGCGAAATAGTGTAGTTTAATTGTGACAAAATATTCAAGTGCAAAAATAAAAAAGAAATAATTAATCAAAAAAGAGGTATTTTGATTGATTGGCAAAAAGTGATGATTAAAAGTAAACCCTTGCTATGGAAAAGTGATAAAAAATATTTAAATACTTCAAAAATGTGTAAAAATTAATAATAAGTGTATTGAAAGAAAGAAGAGTCAAGTGTTATTTGAATAACAAAAATAAATTGCAAATTAATTTCAATAATATTATTGATAATAAAATAAAAGTATTATAATGAATTGTTGTAGCAATGGATAAATTAAATAGAAAAAATGAACAAAGAGGCGCCTGTATGGGTGCTATGCTATTAAAAATTGTTATAAAATTATCATAAGTTATAATTGAGTATATTTAAATAAAAATAAATAAAAGTAATAAAAAGAAAAACGATTGATAGTGTCATTGTGTGCTTGAATGACAATTGAATTCTCTACAACTTTTACATCGATATATTTTTACTAAATAATCATCGAGACACATATTAGAGGTGTTTGTTTATGTATACGAAATAGTAATAAAATGATTAAAAAAATAATAATAATATTTTTAACAATATTGGGAGGATTGAATTTACGACCACCACAATCAAGAACAGCATGGATTGCTTTAGCAACAACAACTACGAGTCATAATAGTAACGGCGGCGTCGGAAGTAGTTGCAATGCATGTAAAATGCATGAAGAAATTCGTGCTCTCAATTTGGAAGCAATTAAAGAGCAAATTCTCAATAAACTTGGTCTTAAACAGGCGCCAAATATGACAGGACGAGCTTTGCCTAAAATTCCACCGATTTCTAAGCTGATGGACATGTATGGAATGCAGGCAGATCAACCCCAAATGCAACAGCAGTCGATTGAGCCTGGTCTCACTCATCACGAAGAAGTTGATGAATATTCAGCTAAAACTGAAAGTGTTTTTGCTCTAGCTCATCCACGTACGTTATTTATTTTTATGCTTTTTCTTTTTACATTCCATCAATTGTCTTTTACCTTCACTTTTAAGCTTCATATCATTCATTTTGAATTCATCATCGATTGCTTCATTTATTACTTCATCAATCAAGTTAGCTAATTAGTCAAGTGTCATTTTCATTGTAATAGTAATTATTTGTTTAGTCAGATTTATGAGTGGTATTTCATGGTTATCATTATTTTACAGTTATAATGATGCTATTACTTGGTTGTTTGAAGATCAATTTATTTATTCATTCTATTTATCTATACAAAAATAAATATATTTATAATATTGTTCTATTGACTTTGTATAACGTTTTTTTAAAAATAATTTCGAAAAAATCATCAAAATTGTACTTATTTGTCTCAAAATGGTAAAAACAGTTTAAAAATGTTAAATTTTATTTTATTTTATTCTCTCGTATGTTTATTTGGGTATGTACTTTTGATAGATTGGCAATATTAACTGTTACAATTATGAGCATATTCAATTGTCGATGAGTGTTACAATGTATTTTCTTCGATATTATCGAAGTCACCTCGCGCGCCCGCGACTGTGATATCTTGCACGTCGTCATTTTCATCTCATTTTGTCCTCATAAATTTATGCTGCACTTTAAATTATTTTATTTTTATTTTCTTCATTTCATTAAACAGTGTATTATCGATAAAGACAGTTCAAAATTCGTCCAATTTTTTACATTAAAATCAGTCTTTATCAAATAATTATTTAATTAATAAACATAAATAGATATAATTTGCTAAATAATTCATTCATAAAAAAAAATGTATTTTATTTAATTTTTTCAATTAGTAAAATTTTTTGATTTCATTTGAACATTTAATCAAATTTTTGAAAATAATCGATTATCAAACATACAATGAATAAATGTATGTATGACCCCGAAGAATTAAGTATGTGATAATCGTGTTTATCATTAAGTTGTCGACTTTAATTCTAATTTTATCCCGAGGAAAATTTTTTTTTTTTTCTTCATCGAGATATCGAAAAAGTTAAAAATCTTTTTATAAAAGAGTATTTATTTGAGGATATAAATGAACAAATGTATCAAGTGATATGTATTCATGTGAAGTAGATATTGAATAAATGAAAATAATTAAAAAATTTGGCCAACCCACGAAAAAAGATTAATCAAAAAATAAGTGGAGAAATTTGTCAAGTGTTGACCTCACGTGTGTCTATGATGATGACTAATATAAATTTCACGTGCGACCAGCCCGCGCCGCGGCATACGTTCCTAGTGTGCGCGCGACACTGCGTGAAGGTCATGGCCGCGGTGTACAACCTAGGTCAGTGCAGGCGCCCATTATGTCTCATTAGTAACGTCAGGAGACGATTACTCTATAACCTATTGTATGCATGTGCTACATTCTACTGTCTGCACCAAAACTCATCATATCTCCATCAATTAGATGATTGTATCAACGTCTTTTACCTTTTTCTTCCGACTTTTTATTTTTTATTAAGATATGTCCCTTTCAGTAAATACAAAATCATTCTTCTTGTTCGGTTTTTTTATCTACTAATGCAATTAAAAAATTTTTTTTATCTAGAAAATAACCTCAAAAGCTATTAGATCAATTATTATTATTTCTTATTAATTCAATCAATCAACAGTTACAAGATATTGAGTAAAAACAAGTGAATAAAATCTATATTATCGTGATAAAATTGGTGAATCTATTTGGCAAAACTGGTACTTAATTGGTAGAAAAAGATTGAGCAGTGAAAAAACAAAAATGAAATAATTTATTTAAGAGTTTTTGGTCTTTATACAGGCGTTCGCAAAACCTAATAGAAGTGAATTAAACAGGACAATTTAGTATATACACTAAACACGCAAAGGGAGAATCTTATATTAACAGTGCAGCCCTCAAAACTGCAGACACACACTCTTACTTATACCTTCCATTATTAAATTTACTCGCTTCTCCAATTTTCTCCAACAACCGGGCGAAACCTTCCATTTTCAAGATGATTATAGACGCACGCGCACGAGCTACATGCAAATTACGACAATTTTACACCGTAAATTGAAGAGAAAAAAAAATACATATAACGAGCTATTTGATGCTTTATATGAATTTTAACCATCAATATTTAATCAAATGATGAAATTTTCATTTTATTCACATAAAATTTTATGATTTATGGAAATTTACTGGATACATCAATTTTTATTGGTTAGTTTATTTCACAAGCATCCGATTATTCTATTTCATTATTTTTAATTTTTTTTTTTTCATCATGAAATATACTTAAGGTGGGATGATAAATCATATAAGGTATTTTAGAAAAGTTTCCGCGATCGAGATCTGCACATCTTAGCAGTCGCAAAGGCCAAGTAATAAGAAAAAAACGCGTAACGGTACGATTTGATGCCAGCCACGATGGCTTTTACCCTTCATGGAAGCGTACGGTTAACCACATTTATATAGTCTTCGTCGACCTCGCAAAATGTTCAGAATTTAATTAAAAGGTACGTAAAAGTACACTGAGATACTCGAGAAAGCTGATTTTAATTATCAACTATTTAAAAATATGGTTTTCATTGTTTTTTTACTTTATTCAATATATACGCTTTCCATCATCATCTATTACTTATTAATATATAAATTGTATAAGTATTAAATATTATTATTTAATCTCATACAAATGGAAAACTTAGTTATCAGAAGTTCTTACAAATTAATAAATGAAGTTATCTTCATTCAACTAAGTACAGATTAGAATTATCAATGTAGAATTTAGGATGTTGAATTTTCAACAGAACATTTATTAAAGCTTTAATGAGTAATTTTACTCCTATATTTTGCACCCGCAGCTATTTCATCATTTAATTTCATGATAACCTCTCAAGATAACAAGATACCCATATAATATTAAAATTATCACATCATTTTCGTCCTATTAAAATTAATCATTTTGCAATTTTATAATTTTTTATTATATCATACAATAAATTAATCAAATTTGCATAATAAAATTCAAGCAATTGTCAATTGTTTACAAAGATTTCTTTTCAGCAAGAAAAATATTATTGTTTTTCTTTTCTTTTTTTTTTACAGATTCTGGTCAAAGACTGAGACATACCCATAATTTAGATATTTTGTATTTTAAATTTTCTGATAAAATAATGCAACATCGAGTGACAACAGCCAAGTTGTCTTTGTGGATTTGGGAAATTACTGACAATAATTCAACAAATACCAACAGTAATAATGATAATAGTAATATTAATAGGAGTAATAATCATAATAATAGCAATACAAAGATACAAAAGAAATCAAATGATACAAAAAGCATAGAAACTTCAACGACAAGAGAACATCATCATCTTCATCATCACCACCATCACCATCATCATCATCATCATCATCATCATTACCATAACTATCACTCCAATTATCATTATCGTAAAGAAGCTGAGAAGGACAAAGGTTTAATAACAATAATATTACATCGAGTTTTACGTGAAACAGAAGAGAATGGAACACCTTTATTGGGTCCACCATTAATAACAAAACATCTCAAACCACCTATACCATCTTCATCTACTGGAGAGCGTAATGGTATTTGGATTACTATAGAACTTGGTAGAATGGTATCAGAATGGTTTAAACATCCACGTGATAATCTTGGAGTAGCATTAAAAATCAGTAATGATGAAGCGGAAGAAAATGATGATGTTAGTAAAAGTATGGTGGATAATCATTTATGGAAAATTGAAATAGATTCAATGGCTGAACATGCACCGTATCTTGAAATTCAAACACAGGAGCCAGAATCAAAAAGAAGTGGAAGAGTTAAGAGAAATGTTGGCCTTAATTGTGATGAAGCAAGCCAGGAAACTAGATGTTGTCGATATAAGTTAACTGTTGATTTTGAAAAATTTGGATGGGATTGGATAATAGCTCCTAAAAAGTAAATTGTTTTCTATAAGTAATTTTATTTTAATTTTCATATTTTAATTCAATAATATAAACGTTTCATTTATTTATGAAAATTAATTACAAGTAAAATCTATATGAAAGAATAAAAATTAGATAAAAAAAATAGTGTATAAAATCATATAGAGTAGTTGGAGTATTAAATATTATTTTGAAATATTTATTATCCTCTTATAAACGATTGTAAATGAATATTTAATGTCATTATATGGTCATTTTGTTACAGATACGATGCAAATTATTGTTCTGGTGATTGTCCAATGGCATTTCTTCCGGCGTATCCCAACACCCACATAGTGAGTTTAGCAGAACCACCAAATAACACTGGTCCATGTTGTGCTCCTAGAAAACTTTCGGAAATTACGATGCTTTATTTTGATAATGAGTATCAAATTGTATTTTCTCGTTTACCAGGAATGGTTGTAGAACGTTGTGGTTGTTCATAATTTATTTGGAGCGTAAAAAAATTTTAAATGTGAAGTAAAAGCATAAAAACAATAATGGAATTAGCATTTAAAAAATGTGTCATAAGAATATCGAATTTTGAAGTTTGAGATTTATTTGCAATTATTTTTGTTTTATTTTGATCTGTTATTGTTTAACGTTACATAAAAAAAGTAATTACTATTTTATATCAAAAGCATAAAAAATTATCTTTTAGCACGTGATATTAGAAAATTAATGAAATTGAGTACGTTTTTCGATAACTCGTGCAAATTTGTATATGTAAAAGTGTATATTAATATTTAAAAAATTGTACTCCACAGCATTAGATTCATTTTTATTTATTTATCATAGACAAATTCATTTAATATCATTAATTAATTATTAATATTTTAATTATTATTATTGTTAATTATAATAATGATAATAATAATTTAAAATCTTTATCATTATTATTTTGCTATTATTATTTATATCAAAAAACAAGAAAAAAAATTAGTTAATTTTTTACAGCTTTATTCATAATTAATTTTTTCATAATACATTATTTTACATTTATTGACTCAAGTGCCTTATGTCTATATATTAATAATGAAAATTAAAAACATGAATTATTCTAATTATTAATTAGTAATAAAAATAGATGAAAATTTATTAGTTTTTTTAAAATAAAATCTAAAAAACGTGTTTTTGCATTTCAATTTCATATATTTATATGATAAATTGAATTGAATGTAGCAAGTGTGTATTATTATAGAAAAAAGTTTAACATTATAGATAAAATTTTTGTTAATGAGTCAATTTTGATAGTTTTTATAATTACTCTCTAACAATATTATCTGAATGTTAATTTTGATATTGGCATTAATAATTTTTATCAAAGAATAATTATCTCATAATTACGTATACAATTAATATTTTTATTACGTTTATAATAATATAATTATTAGAATTACTAATATTATTAATACTATTATGTATAGGCAATATTACGCTTTATGTAAGTATGTGTGAATTCAATTCACAAACGAAAAACCTAGACTGAATGAATTTTATCAATTTTACTATAATGTATACATGATTTAAGTGATTCTTTGAGTGTATACATATATAATATATGTCATTGTAAAACAAATACACTATTAACTTTTAGTGAATAATTATTATGTAAACAAAACAAAAAAATTATTGATTTATTTTTGATCTTTAATCCCATTTAATTCATCAGTATGAAATTTTCAAGAAATAATAGATAGTGAACAAAAGTGGTGTCCTCATAACTACAAAATTATTCTAAAAATACTACATAATAAAACATTTTTACATGGTAAAATAACTTTTTTTTATCAACTTCAAAATAACATTCTTGTCGTACTGTGTTTCAAGCAGTGCAAATAATCTACGGGCTATTAAAAATATCATTGCTCCTGCGACATTGGAATAATCTTCTTTATTGACCCCGATTAAAAATTTACGTTGCAATTTTTTTTGTTCTTTTATTATATACTGTAAAAAATTATATACATATATACATATATATATATATATATATATATATATATATTTATTATAATATCACATATGTTGAATCATAAATTGATACTAAACGATCTGAGAAATACAAACAAATTTGTGCAGAAACATGTTCCATCATTTAACTCTTAATTGAGCAATCAATCCTTTCATTGACACGAATACTCTGCGTCATTATTATCTGTTCGATGACTTCGTTTGTTCAACAATGAAAATTCAAATTCAAAAATCCGTGTAAAATGGACAATAAACAATAAACTGAGTGTATTTCAAAACTGACGTCATGTTTGTCATTAAAAGCCCGAATAACAGATTACTTTTAATCACGTAGTATATGAGAAACAAAGAATATCATTACCGGTTGTTTTTCGATCTTAGTAATTATTATTTTTAAAAGTAAAAACAAAAAGTCATAAATAATTATCGTAAAGTAAATGGAAAGTGATGAAATGAGTGCTACCATCAGGATAAAAAGTTATTTTTATACCAAAGGGAATATGGAATTAACCTGGGGTCATTTGGGGTTACATTCTAGTTTGTCGATGTAACTTGGTGTGTTACCTGATGCCCCCCTTTATCTTTTTACCACATAAGGCTGCATCGCACGCATTTTACTGAAAAAAAATTGCGCACTCACGACAATGGGTATCCGTAGTATGATGTGACTTGCCTTATGGGGCTTAAAAGAAGCCATAGAAATTTTTTAGCAACCCCATGATCTGTTTTCTCAGGTACACATTAGAAAAAAAAACCATACTTTAATCATAAATTATCGAAAACTTTAATCCAAGTGTATTTAATATTTTTTTATCAGAAAATTTTCACTAATTGTTTCTTTTTTCTTTTTGACATATGTTGTTATATAAAACTTAATATAATACTCGATTGTTATATTTAATTTTGGTTTAATTTGATATTAATCATAATGGAGAATTTTTTAATAGAAAGAAACTGAATATCGTGTTGTATTAAATTTGCGTGTTTTAGGGATATAAAAGTAAATGTCTTAGTCATAACCCAAACGTTTTTTGCCTTCTAGGAAGAAGAATATTTGGTCGATCAGCAATTAACAGTCGAGACGACAGCCAGACGACCAATAATGATCGCATCAATTTAAATTAATGTACTCAGACACGCCGCACTGCAACAAAACTTTTCTCTTGTCTCTCTGCTTTGCTTTGCTTCGTTCTTTTTTTATATATTTTTTTATTGATTATATTAGCATACTTAGTCATATACCGATAATATATTATGAATAATTACATGATATATATTGAATAAAGTATCGAGATTGTTATATAAAGATTGTATTTGTAAGTATATACATCCCTGTAAATGTGATGAGATATAAGGATTAATGGATCATCATTAATTGTCGTAATTATATTTATATTAGTGTTTTAATAATTGAATAATGAAAAATTTGTAAAACTATCAGTTATGAACTAAGAAAGTATAATTTTCAGGAATAATATTCTACAAATACATTTTTAAATAGTCTAAGTAAATAAAAATATCAATTTATGAAAAATTTTCGAAAAAATACTTAAAATTATTCAAATCAAACATTCTTGATAAAATAGGAACGTTGTTGTGACATTGTTCAAATTATCGGTCGGTAATGTAGTAACCCGCTCGTGCAAGTGGAAAAATTCATCACTAACGCCATCTTCCGATATAATTGATGAAAACTAGTTTTGACAAATCAACTCTGTTGATAGCCAGTCAGTGACTTGGTGCCCAATGTGTTAATATCTGGTTTATATAAAATTGATTGTAAATAAATTTTATTTCTTTATCTGTTAAATAATTAATGTTCAATTATTGTCATTGTTGATATTTTTGATGTGGAAAATTAAATCTGTCATATTGATTCGTCGCATTTAATACTGAAAAATGCTTAAATGACTGAGCAGCTGTTAAGACATGATTGAATCACTGCCATATTTTTACTTTCATCGTAATAAATATTGAAATATCAAAGTATTTAAAATTTAAATCGATTTAGTGGAGTGTAAATAATTTTTTTAAAAAACAAAAATTCAAATAATGGACATTTTTACAGATTAAGTATGTACAACTATTTTTATCAATAATGTAATTATTATTATATTTTTTGATAATTAATCAATCTATCACATTAATTTTTTCAAGAAGTTTCATAGCTCACGAATAAATTAGATACTTTTCCTGGTGAAGTACTGAGAATTATAAAAATGAAGTCTGTTACAACTAACTCTGATCAAGCCAATTTTGGTCGTGATATGGCTAAGAAACTTGGGTTAGGTCCTGAAGTTAGAGAACTCAAATTTGGACCAACATTTACTTCAAATAATGACAGAAGCACTTCTCTCCATACAATTAAATGTAAGTTGATATCATATAGGTTATCTTAAATGATACAAAATTTTTCTACTCTTATCTAAAATATTTTTAAATATAAGTATTAAAAAAAAATAATAATTAAGTACTTCAAAAGCATGAGCATAATTTTCTTTAAAACCTATTATTCTCTTCGTCTTTAGAAAATCTAATAATTTTTTCCCTATTCATTTATACTTATATTTTTTTTATGTAGATGATTTCAAGCCTGCAAGTGTAGATGTTTCAAAAATGGCAACAGTTGATGTAGGTCCAAATAATACAATGACTGTAACCGTACCACATTTAGATGGTGCAGGAATTCCCCATACAGTTTTTAAAGGATCTCAACGTCCGTATAGTAAAGAATGTGTTCTAATAATAGATAGAACAACAGGAGAAATTACTCTAGAAAAGCTTTCATCCAATATACAAGTCAAAAAGACTAGAGTGGAAAAGTCTCAACCATCCTTATTGCATCCCACTAAAGAACCTGTGATGAATTCCACATCAAATAGGCCTAATACCCCAATAGATATGAAGCGAAGTTTTGCTTCAGGAAGATCTACTAGTAGAACTAAAGTTGTTACAAGTGGAAAGAAAAAAGAACCAACTGCCCAACTTCATCCGAAATCCCATCAACAATCAAGTCCCATGAGAGTGTCTCCTTATAGAAAGAGTCCTTCAAATCTGCCGTTACAAAGCAATAGGTAAAAAATCTACATAATTAATAAAAACAATTATGATTAATATTTGTTAACTAATCAAATTTATTTTTACAGTCTTCCTATGATTGGATCTGATGAAGAAGGACCTGTACCAGTAACTATGTCTCAACCTCCAGTAACAACTAAAACTATGAATTCAAATGACAGAAATTCAGTACCACAGACTTCTATACTATCATTAAAAAGTGAAGTTAGAGCACTTAGTGACTCTAGTTCCAGTAGTTCAAGCTCCGATAGCTCTGATAGTGATTCTGAGCCAGAAATACCTATAGCACCTGTCACTAATGGTAAGTTTTATGTTAGGACTGATCAATTGCAAGTACATATTAAATATAAAAAAATTTTTAATAAATCTAATAAAAACTATTAAACATTATTTCTTAATTATTCAATATAAATTACAGGTCATACAAATGGAACATCATCACCTTCATTAATGAGCATGCCAAATAACCTATTAAATGATGATCTTCAATTATCTGAATCTGAGTCTGATTGATGTAGGTAAAAAGGTAAATATAATTACTTTTGATATTTTTGTGATATTTTCATCTCAATTTGAAAAAAACAGAGAAAAATATCCGTATAAATATTCAATATTAAATGAATTGTACAATTAAAAATTGTTATATATAAATTACAAAATTGTAGATAATAATTTCGATTATAAAGAATTCTTTTTAACATGTTTTTATTTTTGGATTTAGTAGATTTTTGTCAATATTTGTATTAAAGCTAATTGCAATAATACATAATTCATGTAATTTGTTATTTAAATTGTTTGATTAAGGTTTACGGGGTCTTTCGTAATAGGTGTTCATTGTAATATGTAAAACATTATTTGATAATAGTAATTGTAAAAATAACAAAAGTTTATATTAATTATATTAATAATCATAATTATAAACGTTAATAATTTATAAAATAAATTTAATCATACGAATGTAGAAATTTCTTGCCAAGTAAAAAATCATCAAAAATCGTAAATAGCTAATTTATTTTTCCAGCTTCTTTAAAAAAATAAGTTTAATTTAAACAAATTAAAAAAATCTTTAAATTTATTGATAGTTCTCGTAACTAATGTACAATTGAATACAATTATGGTAATAAAATATTTTTACTTCATAATTTTTATATAAAGATTATAACATAATTAATTAATAATACTACTTTGTTCATATTTTGTGAAAAATGAAACAGCAACAACCATAAAAATTCAAAAATTTCATCTTATTCTACTGTATTCTTGTATAAGTTTAGCTAATTGTCCTCTATGACCAAGCTGCAAATTCATTTGACTGTAACAACTACTTTTTGCTGTTTCGCTAAGCATTCCAGAACAGTTTTGTTTATTATAATATATTTTCAAAGCTGGTTCTACCGCTCTGAAGACGTGTAAATCACTATAAATTACAAAAAGTTCAAATATTGACTCAACAAAATTATTTTTTGATATTTTTATTATATCCGGTAAATCTTTATCCGTATTTATTATGGGAATCTCTTTGGCACTTTGTTTTCTAACTGCTCGATAATCTTTTAAATAAAATGAAATACTTTCGTAATTTAAATTATCATAGCGGCCATGATGATGAGTCAAGTCTACTTTCGTAGACTTGGGATTGTCTAAAGAAATAATGTCAGGATGAAATGTACTAAATGGAATTGGACTGAATATTTGCCATTGACTTATTGTATTCATTCTAACCTGGTAAAAGAAAAAAAATTGTATACCTAGATACAGAGAAAAAAAGGATAAAAAAATAATATTTTTACTTACTCGATTTAAATATTCTGTTTTAAGTTCCATATGAGTTTGAACAAACAATATCAAACTTTCTGATGAAAATTTTTTAACAATTAGATCTGCAATAGCTATTCTTAATATTGGATCAGATTCTTCAATTGAAGTTAGACTAGGAGGTAACTGCACTGAAAGCCAGGCAATTTTCGATTGCTCTTTTTTATACTTTTCTGTTAAACTTAATACTCGAAGCTTTACTTTTTTATAAATATCATCATCTCCTTTTGAAGGAGAATTAGCATTATATAAAAATACCTAAAAAGTAATAAAATTATATGAAGAAATTGAAAAAAAGTTTATAATTATTCAGTGTCTATAAATAATAACTCACCAACATAAGTGTAGTTTTGTCGTTCTTTTCCAGACAAATATTTGTATAATTTTCTATAAATTCCATAACTTGATCAGTCTTCCATGAAGTAACAATTAAAATCATATTTACTCTTGTATTTTCTGTAACATAAGGCACTGGGAGTAGTTTAACCTTCCCTAAAGGCTTTGATACTTCAAATCGTTTAGTTATTTTTTTCCCAATTTTTGTGTTAATTAGACTCAAGTCTAAAATATAATCCATTCCTCTTGAAGCATCGAACTTAATGTATCCATTAATCAATCGATCGAATTTCAATTCATGTTCATATTCTTTTATGAGTTTTCTTTTTGTAATTTCAATTATTCGATGTACATCAAAACGTTGACTTCCAATTAATTCTTTGGTATTTTCAAAGTCAGTAGGCAGTAATATGTGCGTTTCATTAAAATAATTCCAACGTAATAAATCAAATCTTCCAGGAGCTTTATTTCCAGGTCCATTACCAATTGGCCATGAAGTCAAATTATTTTTATGAATGTTCTCATTTTTATTGCCATAAATACTATAAAAAATATTTTTATCACCACTGTCATCATATTTTCTATAGTGTGCTGGTTCCAAATGTATAGTAGATAAAATTTCCTTTCTTATTCCTTCTATAGCTTTATCAGTATTTCGTAAATTAATTGCAGCAAAATATGCATTCAAATAATATACAATCTTATAATTTGGTATGGGAAATATTGATATGGCCTTATTTACATTTTCATGCTCTCTTAGGAAATTTGAAAAATTTTCATAAAAATCAAAATCTAAAGGCAATTTTTCAGAATGAAAATTTTTACCTTCAACCTGATTCTGACATGACATTTTAGTCGTGTGTGTAATACAACGGCCTAAATTTATATCATCTGATTCAGAATAAATGTTATTAACACACCAGTCTAGATTTTTTTTCAATTTTTGTAAAATTGAATTACTAATTAGTATTCCACCTTCTAATGAACAATAGTCAGACTCTATGGATGATCCTACATAAATATCTTTGTTAGCACTGGTACTGTCAACAAAATCTAATAAATTACGAGCATTAATGTAGCTAGTGTCTTTAACAATAAAATAATAATCATAATCCTCCAAATAATTGTCAGTAATATATTTAATTACATGAAATGGTTTGAGAATTGAACGAGTATCAGTGAAACCAACAATTCCAGAAAGAGATACATTTGGTTTTTTTGATCCTTCATTAACACTAATGAAATATCGTATTTTTTCTATCATACGGCCAATTGTTTTATTAAATGCTACTCCTCGACTATGAAGATATTCTGAAGATGTTAGCACTCCAACGAATAATTTTTCTCTAATTCCTAATTCTGTATAGTAATATCTTGGCCTTATAAAAGCCTTTAAATTTTTTTCCAATTGATTTGGTTTAAGATTAATATTAATTTTTGGAGCATACTCATCAACTGTGCTTGGTTGATCATTTGTCGTTAGTGAAAATTTATACCAAGAGGATTCAATATTATTAAAATCTTCTTGAAAATTAGTTATCCGATAAAATAATAAGCTCACACATAATCCTATCAACATACCAATTATAAATCCGTTATTACGGCGATAAGCACAGTATATTTTTGATAAATTCCTCATAGTTGAAATAATATATTATTTTCACAATTAACTATTAATTAAACTTTTCAAAATTTTACTTTATTGATAAACTAGTTGAATGCCACATGATGGCTCAAATTAAATAAATGCTCATGATATAGTCGCGTAATGAAATCCCCTGAAAGGTTACAATGTATACATTATAGACAGAGAAGAAGACGAGAGAAAGAGAGAGAGAGAAGAGAGATAAAGTTCACATTCATTCCTGATAATATAACCTCTACGACTATTTCCGCTGAAGATATGAACCAGAGAGGACTTCTCTCTGTATGAACACTGCTAAGCCTCCAACTCTGACAGAAGATGATAATTCATTAAAAAAAATACTTAAGATACTATTACATGCAAGAATGTTCTCAACTTTGTTTTATTGCATAAAAATTCTTAATTGTTAATTTATTCTTTTAGATATAAAATATTATTCCATTTTTCTTTTTCGAAGAAACCTCATTCTGTTTTATTTAGAGCGAGCCACTGCTGAAAGTCTAACTTCTAAAATGTAGAATTAATTGACTATAGCATAATCGTCAACGCCCGTGTGTGTCAACTTTCTGAAACTCCTGAAAACAGTTTTTTTTACTATTTTGGCATTTATTGTTATCATCATTCCTTTAAAATAACCAAAACCATCTGCATTTTAAGGAAAATATTCCAAAACAGTTACAAATATGGTAAAGTAATTTAATTATTTTTTAATAAACTTTCAAAAATTACACACATGTGAACACTACTTATTAATATACTGCAATGAATAATAATTACAAATCACTATATAAAAATTAACTATTTTCAGGTATCATACTCGGAGGATCAATTGGCAGGTGAGTGAACAAATTCAAAATAAACTGCAAGTAGAATTGAATAAAATCAGATGGTGTTTTAACTTTCATCAGTATGTTATTGAGGTCAAGAATACCATTTTTACCATTTTAAGAGCATCGTTATTGAACTAAACCCCTCTTTTTTAATCATTTCACGTACTGAGGATAACCTTTTATAGGTAGAAATTTAGCAACATCTTGGTCTTAGTAAATGTATCCACTGTTTTATTTAATACCTTCAAAGAGTGTGTGTTTTTTTTTAAAATTTAAACAGCGTTGCTTTTAGTTGACGTTGAACTTTTGAAAACACTACTTCTCAAGTAAACTAATCAGTTGTTTTGCTTATTTGAAAAATTTACTGATTTTGATTTATTTCTTAACTTTGTTTCTTTTTTGTTCTTAAATTTTGATATAATGTATGGAATATATTATCAAGAAATTACTAATCGAATGCTTTCTTCTGTTGAGGGTATATCGTTTTACATTTTTATTTTAGTGGAGTAAATTGTGAAATGCTAATATTTGATTTTTTTTAGAGTTTCAAGAAGCTTTTCAATTATTTGACAGTCGTGGAGACGGTAAAATTCATGTGTCACAAATAGGTGATGCATTGAGAGCTTTGGGACAAAATCCCACTGAGTCAGACGTTAAAAAATTCACCTATCAGCATAAACCTGACGAGCGTATTAGTTTTGAAGTTTTTTTGCCAATCTATCAAACCATCAGTAAATCACGTACGTCTGATACTGCTGATGATTTTATTGAAGGTTTACGCCATTTCGATAAAGATGGAAATGGTATTATTTCTTCAGCTGAACTGAGACACCTGCTCACTACACTCGGTAATTATTAATTCCAAATCAAATATAATGATAATGTTTTTTATCTAATTACCTTCTAAAATTAGACTGTTTATGTGTTCTTGATAAATGACATTAGACTGTTTTAATAACTTTAATTTCATTAAATTGAAAATAAAATATTTAACTTTAAAATGTATTACAGTGAATAAGATAATATTTTTTTATTTTAAAATTTACAGGTGAGAAACTTAGTGATGAAGAAGTTGAACTTCTCTTAGCTGGCCATGAAGACTCACAAGGAAATATTAATTATGAAGAATTCGTCCGTCAAATTATGTCTGGATAAGAATTAAAAAAAAAAGTGATGAGCGCATTTAAAATTATACATATAGAAGCACAATAAGCCTCATAGAAGTTCATACTACTTAATTTAAAACATTATTCCATTGTATGCAATTGTACTTCATTCCCTAAAATGTGAGTGATTTAGTTTTTAGCATAGAAATGAAATTTCATGTAAAAATTAAAGACAAAAAATCTATAGCAAAACTCGTTAAGTATAAATATGAAATTTTTTTCCATTGGCATTTTAATTAATTTAATTGGATAAATTTTTATTGATATTTAAAAGATTGAAAAATGTTATATTTATTATTCTATCAATCCAATTAAGCTACTTTTGTAATTTCTAATAAAAAATATTTGCATGTAAAATCCTGTTAATAAATAAAAAAAATCTAGACTATTTTATTACTATACAGAAATCGTTTCACTTAATAATGATTCATCATGTGATTTTGATGACATGGCATGACGTCAATGATTCAAGGAGTCTTATTTAACGGAAAAAAATGGAAAAATGAACCAACACAACATGCGCAAAAGACAAAGTTATTTACTGCTTTAGCTCCAATATCCTGACAAGTATTTTAACCTTTTTTAATCAGATACGATATATAGAATGCACGCAGTTCATAAAAAAGCTTTATGTATGTGTTTGTGATATACACATGTATAAAAGTAAAAAGAATTAACTAATCATCAACGTCTCCTCCATTTTGATCGACATAGATCTGCGTAGTAGTAAAAAAAAAAGAGTAGTGGTATGCTAAGAATATATGAAAATCTACAGTTTATTCATCATCTCTAGTCGCATACTTGATCTAGAGCGTGAGGCAATAATAGAAAGTGAGAAAAATAACGAAATAAATATTAAGCATTGATAACGATAAATATTAAATATAATTCATTATTTTATTTTTTATTTTAGCTTGTGTTCAAAGGTTGTTTTTGTGCTTCGTGCAGTCAAGTAACGTCAAAAGTTATTTAAACGTCGCCAAGATTTCACGAAAAAAAAAGTATGAGTATAAGTTCTAATTTTTCGTTAATTAATTGGGAAAGTAATAAAGACGAAATAATGCCAAGTTTAATTTCAAGTAATTGGTAAGTAAATATTTCTGTAACCTGTTTAGTCTAACTATATTCAAAATAATTTCGATCTGTAACTACGTTTTGCTTCAAACACGCCATCTTGTATTTATTCATGACTGTTTTCAGTACGTTTATTCTTAAAGTAACTTTACATTTGTTTTCTTTCACTTATATAGCTTATTGATGATTTATAAACAGAAAATTGTCCTTAATTGACGCTTATTTTTACAAACAAGTAAAAAAAATTTTATAAAACGTTTAGTTAGTAATGATTCGAGAAAATTATTTTTTTGTGAATTTTCAGTGAGTCTTCAACTAAAATTATGGAAGAAAGTCTCGAAGAGAACAATGGTCAGCAATACTATTCCATAACGCTGGGTGTGGGGCCTCTGTGGTGGTCCTGATGGGCCCCATGCCGCATTGTCTGTATCTGCAGTCAACACAGAGAGCCGCGGTGTGGGGATTAAGCAGAGTCAGCTCTCTGTGAGCTCACACATTGTATCAGTATGTTATCATGCTATCAATCTTATATTTGCGATTGTTTTATCGCATAAAATGCGTAATATTTTATTACCAACCATTTTTATAATAATACAGTATATGTTTTCTACCTAGGTTTTTTACACACATAATATTAATTTTAATAAATTTCAGGAAGAAGAATTATTAAAATCAATCAAAGCTAACGAATCACTTCGTATATTATTTACTCTCCATCTAACAGAAACAACTTCCGTTGAATGGGAAACCATAATATGGCGTGGTACACTTTACATTCGAGTTCCTAGTTGCCTTCTTCCTGAAGGTTCGAAGGAAGGCTTCGTTTCGCTACTTGAATATGCTGAAGAAACTTTACAATGCCAAAACGTTGTAATTTGTATTCGAAAAGATCGTGCGGATCGAGGTGAGATATTTTATGAGCTTTGAATTATCTTATATAAAATAATCAACGTAACAAAGTCCTTCACACCAATCCAAAGTAATAACATTACAATGATATATGAAAAATGAAATAGAGGTCAATGGCTGTTAAACAATTATACCACTATATTTTATTCTCTTCATCTACTTCTTCTTTACTCATCATAACTTTTTCCATACAAAATAATTTGCACATACGCAATGGAGTAATCTATTTTATTATTGCTATAAACAAACGAAGAAAAATATTACTAGCATCTTTTGATAATTTAATAATTATTATGAAATGTAGGTTATATTTTAATTACTATATAATTTTTTTCAGCTATGCTAGTCCGTACTTTCATGTTCCTGGGATTCACCGTTTTACCACCGAATCATTCTTTAGTACCACCAAATTGTGATTCGGGAAACCTTTATATGCTATATGCTGTGGAGTAATTGTCATTGGGTGTTCTCTCAAATTCATTATTAGTGAAGTTTCTAAGTAATCTAAATTATTTACCTACTATATAATCAAAGATGATAATGATTATTATTACAACAACGGATACTTAAGTTTTACTTTATCACTTAATCAGAAAAACGAATCAGAAGTAACTTATAATAATTTAAAACACAGAATGTAAGCTATAATTTTCATGTGGTGCTTTCCATTTGGTTTCATAGTTTCGTAGAATTGATAACGACATGTAAATAACTTTCTATTTTTATCTAATTACAGTTTTAATTTTTTTTTTGGATTATTTTATAGAATGTAGACAATTTGAGAGACTAGAACATGAAAAATTTTTAAACAAGATGAGATATGGCAAAAAATAGTCGCGAAACGTAGGTCTTAATAATAAGTTTACGTAATTAAATTCTTCTTATGATACATAAATAATAATTGTGACTCAATTGAAGCTCGCAGAAAGATAAAAGATAAAACTTGTGTATTTTTAAATGGCTTAAGCGATTCCAACGGTGCCTCTCGACTTAATTACCATCAGTAAGGACATCAAGCTATGTATATCTGGTGTCAGATCGCCCAAGTCATTTGGAACAGTTTATTAATATATAAATTCATTGTTAATCCGTGGCACATTGAAAATTACTCATCACCTGATAATACACTCGTATTATTATATAAGTATTATCAATAATAGTCGTTTCCAGAAAAAATAAATACATTTGATATTAAAAATGTTATTAAAATCAGTTTTATGCAGAGTAAATTGAAAAAAGATTTATTCAATAAAAATAATATTCTTAACTCTTTGAAAAATTAATGATTAAGCTTAAATCATTGGAACATATAACTCATTTCATTTATAATAATTAAGTTGAAATTTACCGAAATATTCAACTATAGAAATGATTTTGTTAAACTTCAGAAATTTCTTATATTTGAATGGCATAGTTTTTTAGACGTAAAGTATTCTTCTTCAACATTGTAATTTCTAATGGTTTGTTAAATGAATTCTTGAGAATTTAAGTATATCACTATTTACTTAGTTATATTTTTCATAGTGTGTGATAATGGATGTTATTATACGTTGAATTTTATTTGTTTGGACTTCTAAAGCCATTGTTATCACTGGAAAGTTAATTGAATAATCTTTTAATCACAATTTCTTTATCTATAATAATAATAATAACAACGTAATATTTGTTTTCAAGGTTGAATTAGAGTAATTTTTAATGGGTTAACACTAGAATTTAGGTATTAATAAATGCGATTTCTGTGTTGACTCACGCAGATACATTTAGAATAAAATAATAAAAAATACAAAAAAATTTCAAAAAACGATAGAAAAACAAAAAAAAGGAAGCAATAAATAAAACTTTTATGTTAGTAGAAACTTTGATTGTTCATGTAGTTAGTTGGAAAATTAATCGGCGGCATATTTTATATAAATTAAACTGATGCAGACACTATCTTAATTTAATGTATTAAAGATATCATCGAAATTGAATTTTTGAACTTATAGAAGAAATTGTTTAATTTTTTTTGTTGTAAAACATTTTTTGAAATATAGAAATTTCGAAACTATTATAATTACTATTATCATTATTATTACTTATTATTATCACTATTATATATAACATTACTTACAATCTTAAATCTGTATACTTACGTTTGAATTATGTGAAATATCTGTACGTCACATTAATAATTCATATACGGAGAATTATATGATTGCTAAATAAATAAATATATATATAAAATAAAAATACAAAATGATTTCACGGTTGTGTTTATTCAGTTATCGATTATTTATTTTTATTAACAAACTGCCACCTTACCCTGATATTACTAATAGAACACAATACGATGCATGTGCACAAATAATAAAATTTATTTTCATTATTTCGATAGTAATAGTAATAAATCAGATGACAAATAGACATTCTTTTGTAAATGAAGAAAAATAAAAAAATTGTAGAAAAATTCATTTAATTTTGAATGTACGAATTAATACAGCCTTTGTTTTATTTCATAATAATGGGTTTGAATGTGTTATAATGCATTTTTCGGCATGAGTCCTAAGCTATCTAACATTCCAGTGGTTTTACTCCCACGTACTGGATATGCAGTTGATTTATTACATTTTACCAAATGTGCCGCTGAAAACAAATATAATAATTTATTATTTATTTAATGATTTTCGGTAAATTATTCAATACTTTGATTCTTATGATGATTAAATATTAAAATTTATCGACAGTTAATATTATTCAAATAATTAAATATGTATTAATAATAATTACCCAATGAAACGCCATCAACAGTTGAATATCCACAAGAGCAACTCATTTTTTTGTCAAGTGGAATATTTACGAGAGGGGATGGAACAATTAAACTAGTCATCGGTCTTTCGTTATGAATCTGCTGTTGATGTTCTTTAAAAGCTCTCCAGCAACAAGTAATATAACTGCACTGTGTACATTTTTGTTCCCCAGGATAATGTTCTTGCTGTCCAATATCCTCTTCACATTCTGCACAAGATAAACTGTCAGAAGCATGTATTGTTAGTGGTCCTGTAGGCCATTTACTAAAATATTCATCTACTGGCAGGGATTCTGGTGTAGGACTGTTCACAATTAAACGTTTCAATTGATGTTGAGATTTTAAAATGGTGATATTTTTCTCAGATGTAACGTACGGTTGAAGTTGTGGGAAACCTATACATGACTGATGATATTTCTGTTGATGTATTTTCACAGCACTTTTTTGATTAAACCACAAACAACAACGTGGACATTTATTTCCTCTTCCTTGTTCACGTCTGACTACATGCCTTTGCATGTGTACTAAATAAGCGTAAACATTAGAACTATTTGGCTGACCATTGTCATTATACTTAAATAATTTTAAGCAATATGGACATTGAAGAGATTCTCCCATATCGTGAATTTTATAATAGTGATCAATAACATCTTTATGACTTGATGTCCTATACTCACAATAGCTACATACATATGGCATTTCAGACGGAAGATGAACAAAAGACATATGATTAGTTAAAAGTGAATCATTTCCAAATTTATGCTCACAAATGCCACAAACAACCATTACACCATCACCCTTACCAAAAGAACTATGAGTTTCATCAATGTGTGTCAGCATTTGATGTTGAGTAGAAAATGGTGTACAACAATATCGACACACATTTGATTTACTAGATGTTGGTCCAGATTGATCAGGAACTCTAGGAGGCACATGGCTAATCATATGCTGCATTACGTCAGTATTTGATTTCATTGTATGACAACACAAAAAACATTTGAAATTAATTGAACGTTTTTCTTCTTTAGCCACCAATAATGCATTGCCCTCAGCTGTAGCGTAATAAAATTCACTGAGTGAAACTCGGTCATTTTTATCATCTTTGGCTTTTAAATCTGGACTGATTCGTTTTACTTCAGGCTCTTCAGGAGTTAATGGTAAATTTCCTTTTTTTCGTTTCCGTTTGGGATACTGTTTCATTTGGAGCATTTCATTGACTGTGAGTAAAGGAACAGATGAAGATGAATCTGGAATACTTTGAGTATTTTCTTTAGTGGATGGTTGAGAAACACTATACGATGAACGATTTACATGTATTTCTTTCGTATAAGACCAATCGACAAATGGATTGGCGGCTATTTTTGCTAGACGATCAAGTAAGGAATCAGTTGAACGTAATTTCGTTTGCTCTGCAATATGAATTATAATATTGTTAAATGCACGTGCAGAAGTAGATCCGAACATTTCTCTCCAAACGAGTTCATCAAGAAATTGTTGAATCATTTGTCTACTCAAAAGACTTAAAGTATTCTGGAACATTCGAGGGACAATTTTACGTAAATAGTCCATTATTTGATAGTTGCTACGATTATTTCGAGAATTTAGATCACAAAATGAAGATTGAAAAACATTAGTAAATCCCATATCTATCAAAGTTCCTTTATCAACTGTAAAATCTGTAAGAATCCTAGAGTCTTTATGTACCCAATCTTGAAGTGGACTGAGTATATTAGTAAAACGTTTTTTTAATGAACGATCTGAATCATAAATTGGATCACAAGCTCTTAATCTTAATTGACCAGTATCTGCATTCAAAATTCCAATAACTTCAACTTTAACTTGACGCGTATTGCCATCGTGTGATGTAGTCCCGAGGCTGATTACTCCTACTTGAACATTACATCCTTTACCACCGATTAAATCACTTTTATCCCATACAGCTGCTGTACAAATACTTCTTAAATTGGTGTAAAAATTTTTTACGTATACATTCGAAACCTTAACCCATGAAACAATATTTTGTACGTTGGTCTGACAAGCCCAGTGATATACTAACTTAAGTAAAACGGATGGCGTATGTGGTGCTCCTTGAAAAATCGATCCTGAAAATACTGAAACAAACCGTTCTGGACAGCAATTTGATATCCAGACATATCCACCAGAATAAGGAAATGTTCCTGTGTCACTATACATTGCGAGTTTCAGTTTGGTCTGCACGCTCATATTACCCGGTCCATGTTGGTTGCAATATTGTTCTGACCGTACAAGTCCTTGTTGAATTAACCATTCGGCAAATCTTTGTGCAGAATACATCAATACACTTTTTACTTTCATATCTAAATCATTACGTTCTTGTGATGCAATTTGAGTAGTAATATTTTTTGTACTAAGAGCTGGACGAGCGAAAACAACCAAAGAAGGAAAAGTACGAGTTCCATTTATTTTATTTAGAGCTATCTCTCTTCCATCTGGTTGATTTTTCTTACCATCATCTTCGGTTGAATTTTTAGCATTTTTAATACCAACCGTAATTCCGCCAATACTTGTTTGTTCTGTGGGTCTAACTTTCAAATTAGTTACATGCTGTTGAACAGGTCTTGAAATAGAATGCAATTTAACATTGGTTAAAATTTGTGGATTATTTGAGGCCGATGAGACTACGACAGATGGAGGTGGTGCTAATTTATTTCGAACTCTTAAAGTAGGTGGTTGTATTGCTTCTTCAATAATTTCAGGTTGTTGAATTGGAAGAACTTTACTTCTCTTTAAAACCCTTCCATGCTGATTGTTTTCAGTCGTTGCTACAACTGTTTTTTGTGCTGTATTTACTGTTGTTGTACTTTGATTACCAGCAGATTGTGATTGCTGATTAACAGTGCCAAGAAGAACAGCAGTTCTTGAATCCATAACCAATTGTATATTACCCTGAGTTGTATTAGAATTATTTAATACGTTCAATTTAATTGGTTGAGTTTTTGCTTGACTTAAACTTAATTGATTAGACTTAACAATTGCTGGAGTTACATTAGGCAGTTTATACTGATAGGCGCTCACTCCACCAACTTGAGATATTAATTGAGCACCGTGTTCTTTTTTCATTTCTTCCAAACTTGCTATTACTCGATCATAATTTTCTTTTAATTTAGATCTTGCAATCAATTGAGCTTCACTTAATGGCTCATCTGAGCAATCTAAATTTAAGGTCATGTCTGCTGGTCTAGTCGTTATAATAGATCTTGTAATAAATCTTTCTTTTGTCATTTTTACACTGACTACAACAATAAGAAATTATTCTTTGTAAAAAATCATAATAATCAGTACGACACAGTAATATTTATGATTTTTATCATAAAAATGTCAGTTTTAATTCGTCTTACATGTATTATAGGTTATGATAATGGATTTTTATGCAACTTATAAATTTGTTTCCCGCCATATCATTGTAATAATGTCCTTATGTTATGTATGAAACATCAATTTTATTCTTTGTTTAATATTGGTTTCATGTTCACAAATAATAATAAATAAAATTTCTGATAAAAAAATAAATATTCTTGGATTAACAATTACCACAGACTTTTCTCCTCCCAAAAGTACTTACTATGTATACTAATGTAATCAAAAAAAATTTTCTATATTTTTGTTATGTTTAATCACCAATCAAATGAATAATTCTCATAAATAATATTTTAAATAATTTCAATCTTTAAGATTACAAAAAGATTGAATTTTAGTTGTGGTTTTGATCATTTATTTAAAGTTATAGTGTTGAATATATATTCTCTTTCAACGCAGTTTAGAGGTTATACGGAATGGTCGCGCGTATTCCAGACAACTCTCACGATTCGATGAAAGCGACGCGGTACACTGAAAAAAAAAACGTGATACCTACAATGTATGCTAACAACGGATACAAAGTATACTCAAATCAAGTATAATTATTGTTAAGTACAAGTATTCTTTCTACAAGAAGGCTGTACAAACATATACTCATTTGTCACTAAAAAATTTTGAAAATTGAAGTAGACTTGGTATTTTGTTATACTAATCCAACTACAAAATTTCAGTCAAAAAATGTTTATAGCTAAAGTTTTTGCTGCTCAATGCTAATGAATCACTTACTCACATAAAAATCATCATTTACTAAATATACTTACATTATTTACTTGTACCACGTACATTAATTATTCATTTAGAATAAATTTATTACTTCTTGAAAAAAGAAGATTACTTAAAAGCATATGTACTTTTTGCTCATAGAAAATACAAAAACTACCTGTCTTGAAAACACTTTTTACGCTGTTTTTTATAGAAAATTTATTAATTTTGAATATAAAATTGACTTTTTATGAATATTAAATTTCCTTCTGTCGATAATGTAGCAATTCCATACCGTAAATATTATTTACTTATCTCAAGTAAAATATTAGGAAATTTTGGAATATTATAAATTTGATTACAGTAGACTATTTAATAATGTTATAAATAAATATTACTGACATAAAACATAATGTTTTCTATAAATGTAATTTATTTTTTTTTCATTAGAATAATTATTTTTACTTCTGTTAGGTATATTCTAAACTTTAATTATAGAGTTATACAATTTACTCGTTTCAAAAACATTGGCTCTCTACCAAAATATACTTTTTACTGAAAGTCAGTATACGAGTTACCCGCACGAAAAATAATCCTTTCTTCAGGTTTGAAACTGAATTACTTGCGTCAGGAATATATGTTAATTGAATAAAAAATATGTTTCACTCGTTTTAGATGCACTGATGTTTCACTAAGAGCATACTTTTTATTTAAATTTGACATGTAAATCACACATGCGATAAATTTTTTTTCTTAAAGTTACAAAAACTTCTACTTGTACCCAGAAGAATTGTTGGTATATGGAAAATGTGTTTTACTTGTTTCAACAAAACAATCTACTCAATAGAAACATAATGTTTAGTTGACTTCAGTACGTCGTAATACGAATATCTTTTCAGTATACTGGTTACCTGTATGAAGAGTGCTTTTCACTTGTTTTTATAATATTATTAATTTCATGACATCAATTATATTACTTAATTCAAGTACAATGATAAATAATATAAAGAATATCATTGTTGAAATATTAATTTACTATTTACTTGTATTGAAATAATAATGTACATATTTTTGACTTATATATTTTTTTTAATTGGGTATATAGAATTATCTTGTGAAAACATTTTACTATTTATATTAAGTATAATTTTCTTTCATTAATGACTTTATTATTACTATTTTCTATTATATTTATTATTGGTGCTAAAAATATAACTTCGTTGAAATTTATGTATCTCTTACTTGTAATATAGTCATCTTATACTTTTTTTAATAATATATTTTTTTAAACAGTCTTTATTGAATATTCGCTCAAAGTATAAATTTTTATTTGTACAGAGTATATTATCTTTTTAGGATTATTATAATACTAACACTTATAGAATACATATTTTACTCGTTGAAAAAGTATTGCCTTTTTTACTCCACCACTCTTGTTACCTATTTGAAGAATATTGTTTAATTGTATTAAGAATGCTAATAATACTTGTCAAGTACATGTTGTACTTAAACTGAAAATTATGTTTTTTAAAAAATAATACGCTGAGTACTGTTCCAATATATAATGGATTTTAAATTGTGGTGTATGCTAATCATTGTATTTTAACATTTTACTTTTTTGTTATTTATGTAATTATTGTTGTCTTATTGTTAAATTATAGATTCATATTTCTAATAAGATAAATAGTTATTTAATAAAGTCTAATCTCATTAGGAATGTAAATATGAATTCATCAAAAAGACAACAATAATTATATAAATGGCAAAAAAGTAAAATGCTAAAATATAATGATTATTAGTATACATATATACACCACAATTCAACAATCCAATGTATGGACATGATGTTATTTATATGATGTAAATAATTACAATCATTAGATATAAGTACAAACTATTAGTATATATTAAGCTCATAAAAATCTTACTATATTACATTTTTTTTTATAAATATTACATTACAATTATTCTTTTTTTTTTTTTGCATTGAAATTTTTATTTTTTATTATACTTTCTTTCTACATAAAAATTGTAATCTTAAATAACTTAAAATTACTTTTCCCATTTACATAATACGATAATAGTGATAAATTTAAGTATATTAATATTATTTTTGATAACACGGGACAGTTTTCTTTATTTCATTTTCGAATAAAAAGTAAATTATTTTAGTTATTAATAATAGATTATATATAAGTTGGTTGATGCTAAAAATTATTGTTAAATTATCTAAATTGTATAATATTAATTAATATTTATAATACAAAAAGTTAACTAATCATCAGCTCAATAATCATGAGAATACTTTTTATTTATTTGTGGCAAAAATACAATTCTTAGTGTATAAAAGTATAGTTTATTGTCGCATTGAATAAATAATTTATAAAAATAAACCTATGAGATTACTTGTAGTTATCAAGATTAATAACAATTTATTTCATTATAATAGGGTCATAATCAACGTTATACCAAAAGCTATTAACTATTAAAATGAATTCTTATTTTGGTTAAACATTCTAATTTAAATCACAGAATCCAATTGAAAACTTTGAATCAAATTTAATCAGATTAAAGAGAATCAACTGAAATATCAAAACTCATCCCATCATATTTTTTGGTTCATTCTAAAGCCTTATTAATGATTTCTTTTTAACAGGTGTATTTTCATGCTATGCTTACTACGGAAGATAATATTTCAAGTGATACTTTAATTAGTAATAATCGTAATACATGGCAAGGAAGGAATATCAGCGAATTAGAAAAATTACTCTGCAAGGTTGAGTGTATAAATTTCAAAAATAATCTACTAGCTAAATGTAATTTTTGTACGTCTTTTCTATGCAAATAATTTAAACCCCTTATGAATTTTTTTCACATTATTTTTAAAAATGAAACTTATAAAATACGTTTCTAAAAGATTGGTTATTATTATATACTTTAATAGAACGATTCATTTCTATTGTCAATTAATATGAAACATCTGTAGTTCTATCAAGTGTTAATTCTTAAGAAAGAATCACATTATTAGACTTTCATTTCTATATTTCTCATTTTATAATATTGATCAACTTACTAGTAATATTTAATCATTATCAACAATATTGTAGTATTATTATTATTAATAATATCTCATTATTACGTATAGTATGTACCACTTTTATATCTTATAATCGATTTCTTATCAATGATACTTGTTAATAAAACAAACTGTCCCGTGTTATCAAAAATAATATTAATATACTTAAATTTATCACTATTATCGTATTATGTAAATGGGAAAAGTAATTTTAAGTTATTTAAGATTACAATTTTTATGTAGAAAGAAAGTATAATAAAAAATAAAAATTTCAATGCAAAAAAAAAAAAAAAAAAAAAAGAATAATTGTAATGTAATATTTATAAAAAAAAATGTAATATAGTAAGATTTTTATGAGCTTAATATATACTAATAGTTTGTACTTATATCTAATGATTGTAATTATTTACATCATATAAATAACATCATGTCCATACATTGGATTGTTGAATTGTGGTGTATATATACTAATAATCATTATATTTTAGCATTTTACTTTTTTTGCCATTTATATAATTATTGTTGTCTTTTTGATGAATTCATATTTACATTCCTAATGAGATTAGACTTTATTAAATAACTATTTATCTTATTAGAAATATGAATCTATAATTTAACAATAAGACAACAATAATTACATAAATAACAAAAAAGTAAAATGTTAAAATACAATGATTAGCATACACCACAATTTAAAATCCATTATATATTGGAACAGTACTCAGCGTATTATTTTTTAAAAAACATAATTTTCAGTTTAAGTACAACATGTACTTGACAAGTATTATTAGCATTCTTAATACAATTAAACAATATTCTTCAAATAGGTAACAAGAGTGGTGGAGTAAAAAAGGCAATACTTTTTCAACGAGTAAAATATGTATTCTATAAGTGTTAGTATTATAATAATCCTAAAAAGATAATATACTCTGTACAAATAAAAATTTATACTTTGAGCGAATATTCAATAAAGACTGTTTAAAAAAATATATTATTAAAAAAAGTATAAGATGACTATATTACAAGTAAGAGATACATAAATTTCAACGAAGTTATATTTTTAGCACCAATAATAAATATAATAGAAAATAGTAATAATAAAGTCATTAATGAAAGAAAATTATACTTAATATAAATAGTAAAATGTTTTCACAAGATAATTCTATATACCCAATTAAAAAAAATATATAAGTCAAAAATATGTACATTATTATTTCAATACAAGTAAATAGTAAATTAATATTTCAACAATGATATTCTTTATATTATTTATCATTGTACTTGAATTAAGTAATATAATTGATGTCATGAAATTAATAATATTATAAAAACAAGTGAAAAGCACTCTTCATACAGGTAACCAGTATACTGAAAAGATATTCGTATTACGACGTACTGAAGTCAACTAAACATTATGTTTCTATTGAGTAGATTGTTTTGTTGAAACAAGTAAAACACATTTTCCATATACCAACAATTCTTCTGGGTACAAGTAGAAGTTTTTGTAACTTTAAGAAAAAAAATTTATCGCATGTGTGATTTACATGTCAAATTTAAATAAAAAGTATGCTCTTAGTGAAACATCAGTGCATCTAAAACGAGTGAAACATATTTTTTATTCAATTAACATATATTCCTGACGCAAGTAATTCAGTTTCAAACCTGAAGAAAGGATTATTTTTCGTGCGGGTAACTCGTATACTGACTTTCAGTAAAAAGTATATTTTGGTAGAGAGCCAATGTTTTTGAAACGAGTAAATTGTATAACTCTATAATTAAAGTTTAGAATATACCTAACAGAAGTAAAAATAATTATTCTAATGAAAAAAAAATAAATTACATTTATAGAAAACATTATGTTTTATGTCAGTAATATTTATTTATAACATTATTAAATAGTCTACTGTAATCAAATTTATAATATTCCAAAATTTCCTAATATTTTACTTGAGATAAGTAAATAATATTTACGGTATGGAATTGCTACATTATCGACAGAAGGAAATTTAATATTCATAAAAAGTCAATTTTATATTCAAAATTAATAAATTTTTTACAATGATACAGTAAACCTTCTTTATTATAAAAGTAAAGATTGTATTGACATCAAGCAAGAAAAAATCAAGATGCAAGTCATTGGTATATTTACAGCCAGAATACTATGAGGAAAAGTACAAATTTCTTTTCAATATACCGAAATGTGGTAAACAGTATACCTGGATATCTTAGGTTGTCAATTATACCAAATATCAGTGTATATTGTACTCATATCAAGTTTCTAGATTTTACAGACTAAGTTTTTAATGTAATTGATATTAATATCCTTGGTACATTTATTACCACTCTAGTTTTCTAATGGGCTGTTTAATCTGCACTTTTATTAAATACTTTTTTGTTTATTCACAAAATTTGTGTTTTCTCATTCCAAGTAAATTATCTATATCTCCATCAATACTTCTTTACCGATCAATTTTTTACTTAAAACAAGTAAGCTATATATTTTTGTACCGCTAAAACCTCCTGTGAGTGTAGCAACTTTTTTAAATTAATTACTCTTCGAAAATACTAACTACGCTATCTATTGTCCAAAATTAATGATTGTACAAAATAATTTTACCGCTCCTTAGCTGCATAAAGAGTATTGTTTACATGTGATAATTTTAGAAATTATAGACTCGTAATATTTTATAAAAAATGAATTATTCATCATTCCAACAGTCTAACTCTGCAATGTCAGATTCAGATGTGAAATATCACCTTCGAAAGCTTGAATTTCCTACATGTGCTAAAGAATCACTCGTAAAAATTGGTAAAGTGAGGTTATATTTCTATTGTTTACCTTAGTTCAATAATGTTTCAAATAACTATTATTTTTGAATGATATCTTTTATTTTTCTTGCAGCAAATATTTGTCGTTCTGGTTCAACAGCTCGACAACAAATTCAACTACAAATAGACTTGATGACTGAATTTGTTTTTGGACATATAGAAGAGTGGAAAAAGCAAAAAAAAAGAAGAAAATATCTTCGAGAATTTCAACTAATTGAAGTTTTGAATGATTTTTTCCATAGCCCAGATCATAGTCCAGCAGTTCGTAATGCTGTGTTTTTATTTTTGTTTCCTGGTGAATGCCCTAGATATGAAATATTAGGTAACCTAGTGTCTTTTTCGATTTCAATACAAAATCGTGAGGTATTAGATTCAACTGGAATGTGGATGCAACAGTTAGGATCAACATCAGCACAGAGCGTTACTTTAGCGCAACATATTTTAAACGATTTTTTTGTTTTTACTCCAAATTCCATTGACAAACTTAAACAATTACCAGAACTTGTGCCTCATTTCACTACCAATTTATTAACAGCAATAGGTGAAGTTTATAAATTTGAAGATCCTCCTAATCAATTATTGAAATTAGTGGGTGACTGGATTGATGATAATCCTGGACTCTTGACAATTTCTTTGATGGATAATCCAGCTTTACCTTCAGGTGGAATTCCAATGACTCCGATTACTCCAATAGCTGGTTTATTTAGGTTTATAATTATTTTTAGTCAATGAAGATTTTATTACTGTCAAAATAGCATATAATTATCATTTAATAAATTTTAACCATTCAGGTGGTGTATATTGAGTCCTGCAAGAAAAAAAACTGACGAAAAAGACAAAAATCTTATTGAAGAGCGTAATAAACTCTATTCGAAAATTCAACAACTACTTATGGATGCAGTTTTACGTTTAAAAAATAGTACGAGTAATCAAAATGCAATATCAGCTCAACACTTTGCTCAAACAACGCGTACATTGTCATCACTTTTAGAGCAACCAGATGAAACTGTTACAAAAGCTGATTGTGATTTAGCTATGGAGAGATTAGCACAAGCTGTTAGTACAGCATTATCGGTTAATTGTATTTACGGTAATAAACGTAAGTATTGTTAGAAAAATTTATTAAATTAATTTACCAAATTCTAACTATCATTTATATTTTAGAGGAACTATTGGCATTGTTACAACCACTCGCATGCAAACATTTTCTTATTGAATGGACTTTAATGACTTATGGATCGAAAGCATCAGTAACATAAACAAAAAAAAGTTAAAATTTATAAATTTTTTATTATATAATAACAGAATAATTATATAAATAAATTATCCAAAAGGTTTAAATGTCCTGTTTGACTTCAACTGTTGTAACTTCTTCTTGTCCAATTCGAATTTTTTTCGTAATTCGACTAAACCTATAAATAAAAATAAGTAAGATTAGTAGAGAAACCATTATTTTGAATTTATAAAAAAAAAACTTACAATAAGAATAAAATTTTTCATTATATGAGCTATAAATACATACGTTCTCGTTTGGACTCGCGTATTTGAAATGTATAAAAATTGAGTAATTGTTTCTTTTTCTTTTTTTGTTCTTCAACAGAATGGGCCTTTTCTATAAGCGATTCTTTTCTTGCTGGCGCAAATTTTCCTCGTTTTTTCTTTCCTGTTACCGTTGTCCAACCATCGTCAGTTTGATTATTTGCATTTAATTTTTCCTCACATTTTGCATCATAGTCTTTAATATATTTTTCTATAGAATCTTTAAGTGTTTGTTCTTTTTGTAAAGCTGCGGTATTGTATTGTCTGCACCACTCTAGTAATAAAAGAATTATTTAGACAATTGAATTAAATTACCTCTATTTTTATTTATATACTTACTCTTGACTCCACAAGTATTTGGACTATCTTCAGTATTTAAAACAAACGTAAAATCTATCGAAAGTGAAAGTGCTTTCTGTAATCCAGATTCTTTCGAAAATACAATGTAAAGTACTTTAAATCCGGATTCTTTGTTGCTAAGACTTGGAGCAAATTTAGCAAGTTGAACACATCCACAATGTCTAGAAAAAGCTGCTTGCATGGCAGACAAAGTGGCGTATGGTGGAATATTTAAAACAAACAATGTTTTTCCTCTAGGATATTCGAGTTCTTGATTTCTAACAGAATGTTCTTTGAAAAATAATTGATGTTTAGCTTTACTATCTACATCATACTTTAACCACGCAGCTAGAAAACAAAAATAAATATTTAGTCAAATTTTTACAAACATTATTCATAATAAATTAATACTTACTTTTAAAATTTCCAATAGAAGAATTATCCTCAGGAACCATTTTGTTCGTTTTTATGTTGAGTAAACAATTAGATTAATTAATTTTGTTTAAAATTTTGAAATTCTATGAAAAACTTTTCATTTTCTAAACTATTTAATCTAGAGAATCAGTCATAGCAATTGTCTCGTTATTAGAATATTTCACTGAAAATATTTTAAAATTATTAAATATATAATTTATATATTTTTTTTAACAAATACTTGGAATATTTTTGTTTGTTTTGACACACATGCACATGAATCAAAACAATTCTAACCTCAAATCAAAGTCGAAAGAAAACTCTTTGCATGTGGATATAGGTGGTTGATTATTTACAGCTAGCGACCTCTTTAGAAATTTTTAAACTGTGTAACAACAAAAAAATTAAATGATCAAATAGAAAATTGGATATCAAAATGTAATCATTGAATACACAAACACAAATAAAATGAGATAATTTTATAGTAGGTTCAAGAATAATGTGACTCAATCAACAACAATTAATAAAATCTTGATATTCTGAATAATTCTTCACACTGTATGTGAAATCATCGAATAAATCGATGTACAATTGAGGCACATTGCAACGTCGCTCAACATAGTTTACTCAAAGAATGTTAAAGGAAAAAGGAGAGAAAATAGAAATTATTATATGTTGGATTTAGGAAAATACTTAATGAGGAAAAAATGAAATGAGTTAGTCTATATGCGTCATTTGTGTGAGTTGTGTTCAGAATACAAGTGATTAGTCTGTCGCACTTTTATATAAATATAATATACTCATACAACATTATTTTTACATACAGATGTGATCACGTGTTTTCTTGAACTGTTTAGGGTTAACCAATAATACAAAACGGTTCAGTGTCGTGTATGGCCACGCATACGCACATTGTTAATTTGCTGCTATATATCGCTATTGGAAGGCACATAGTATAAGGTAAATATATCTAACACTGAATTTTATCAATTCAGTAGGCTTTTAGGCTAGTCATGTTATTCTTTTATTTCATTGTCAGCTAGCTTATCATTCTTATTTATATTACACAAACTGCAAATTTTTTTATATACTATATCAACTACTATTACAGAGTTTATATCACACATTAAACGGCTATAAATTTATTTTATTGTGATATTTATTTTGTGGTTTTTCTGTGAATTTTATAATTTATCTTTGTTGATATTCATTGTGTTATAAATGAGTCATTTTAGCAAACTACTCTTTAACTTTGCCATGACATTACTTGCATAAAGTTACACGACGTTTGTTTAAGATATTAATAAATTTTTTTTGTTAATTTCAAAATTTCACTTAACACGATAATATTCAAATTAATATGATTATAGATAAAATTCCCATTATTCTTTGATAATTTTAATATTTTGACACTTAAATGATATTGAAATCACTCAAATGATTTGTTCTCTCTAATTGATACATACCAATTTAATGGTAAACACGTATTTTATTTTATTTTATTTTATCATGTAACTTGCGCTCTCGTAAATTGATTTTTCTTGAGAACATGATACTACTTTGTAATAAATTACTATCAACTTGACATAAATGACTATTATTTATATCTGTGGCTAAATAATATTTTTTGTCCTAGTGCTGCATAAAACTATATATATATATTATTTTGTAAAAATTTTATTTATTCATCATTCGTTTCGTTTTCATTTATTTTTGATGACTCGCGATATATAATTTTTTTTAAATTTATAAATAAAGTAATTACCGCTGATTTAATTTTTTTTTTACTATAAGAAAAATGAATAACGTGATCGCAATTGATAATTTCTGTATTCTCTTTTATTGTGATGAGTTATAATAAATCCAATTATAATTCTATTTTTGATGCCTTTTGCAGCGATTTAATTTTTATTAATAAGTAAGGAATTAGTGTATCTCTAACAATAATTTCAAAGATTTTTTTTTGTGCATAAAAGATTACATAATAATTACCATGGAAGTAATTCTTAAAAAGACAGTTATATTATTATCCTTGAAAATGTATTATTAACGAGCAGTTTCTCTGGATACTGGATAATAATTTATTGCTATAATTTTTGAGTCTTTATTACTTCTTGAGCAAAAAGAACGAGATATATATTAAACATTTTTTAATATATTAGGAAAGAATGACATGATAAAACTCTTTACAAAATCCACGTAAACATCGACACTGAAAATCAACTGATTACTGTTTGCCTTGAGCCAAAATTATCAATCACTTGATTTTTTAAATTCAATATCTTCAGTGTTATAGGAAAATCATAGGTTTAGTAAATACCTAATTGGTAAAAATTTCCAATAAAATGTTGTAACTGTCATTGACCGAATTAAAATGTCCATGTAAATTTTTTCGTTTATTACATGACAACTATTTATCAGTTATCTGTTGATATAACATTGCTTTAGAGTGGTTATCATTTTTATTATTTTATTATCAAAGTAAATATGTTTTTCTGAAGTAGGAAAGTAAGATTTGATGATATTGTGTTATTAGAAGGAGTAGAATTTTCACTTCTTCTTGATATTAAAGTGAAGAATGTCTCATTTCATTTCGTTAAGACTCTGCTTAAGCCGTATGTGATACTTATACCAAGTTATTAACCTTTTGGTTAATATAATACTTTCTTGGGAATTGGAGAAAAGTATGAATATTTTTCGGAAATATGAATAATCATTAATTTTATCTAGTATTTATTTAATGAAATAAATGTTATACTGGTTATTTATAAAAGATAACAAGTGCCACAGACGATCGTAAAATTGATAAAAAATTTATCCATGATCTGTTTAGTGCAAAAAAAAAACAAAACTTCTTTGTTGGTAATTTACAGATATTTATTATCTTAATTCGATATTAATTTACTAGCATTTTGTTTATAGATGAGTATCATAATTATTTCTACACAGGATTTGTAACGGAATTGTTGGAATTTTGTACGAAATTATATACTTTTCATTTTTTACGGAATGGATAGCAAAGCTGATATAGAAAAAAGGAAAAATCCTAGACAGAGCGCCAATCCTCTTAGCGCCCTTACATTCTCGTAAGTATCATTTTATACTATATTTTTTTTTCCTTCAAAACTCTTACCATTTCTATCGTAAATTAAAGCCTTATTCTTTATTTTTATTTTATGTAAATTTTTGAAGATTTTGAATTGATAGTTATTATAATTAATCAATGAATAAAAAATTTTTTGGTCTTTTTAGATGGGTTTTAAAAATCTTCTGGACTGGCTATCAACGAGATTTAGAAATAGAAGACCTATACAGGCCATTAAAAGAACACAAGAGTAGTAATTTAGGCGAGCGATTATCAGCTGCTTGGGATGAAGAACTGCAACGTTATCAAAAAAAGCAAAAATCGACGAAAGGATGTGAAGGATCAGACAGTAATAATGAAAAAGGAAAAAAATCAGGATCGCCTAGTTTACGGCGTGTCTTGATCAAAGTTTTTGGGCCTCGGATTGCTCTTTATGGAATTGCTTTAGCATTAATGGAATTAGTTCTTCGGTAAGTTGATTATTTAATTTAATAATTATTTTTATTTCATTATATGTAAAGTAATTTTATATGTAATAATCATTATTATTGTATTTATTCAAACAAACTTAATTTATTCTTGAAAACTCCATCAAGATCTATAAATAAATTAATATAAAATAACTTTTATTCGTTTTTTTTTGTTATCTATTAGGATACTGCAGCCAATAGCTCTTGGTCAGCTATTAAAATATTACTCAAAAGAATCAACTATGACGTTAACAGAGGCTTATCTATATGCAGGTGGAGTTATTATGTGTTCAGCAGTTAATGTGTTCGTTATTCACCCTTACATGATGGCTATTCTTCACATGGGTATGAAATTACGTGTTGCTTGTTGCTCTCTTATATATCGAAAAGCCTTAAAGTTATCAAAAACTGCTCTGGGAGAAACGACAGTTGGCCAAGCAGTCAATCTTCTATCTAATGATGTGAATAGATTTGACGTTGCTGTTATTTTTATTCATTATTTGTGGATTGGACCATTAGAAACAATCATTATTACATACTTAATGTGGCGAGAAGTTGAACTTGCTGCAGTGATTGGTGTTGCTTCATTACTCATGTTCATACCACTCCAAGGATGGTTGGGAAAGAAAACTTCAATTTTAAGACTGAGAACAGCGATTAGAACTGATGAAAGAGTTCGTTTAACTAATGAAATTATCAGTGGTATTCAAGCCATTAAAATGTATACATGGGAATATCCATTTAGTAATTTAATAGAAAAAGTTAGAAAGAGAGAAATTCAAGCTATAAGATTAACAGCATATATGAGAGGTGTCATAATGTCTTTTATCATTTTTTCCACAAGATTATCATTGTTCGTAACTATATTAGCTTATGTACTCAACCAAAAACCTATTACAGCAGAAAATGTATTCATGTTAACTGCGTACTATAATATTCTACGTCAAACAATGACAGTTTTCTTCCCGCAGGGCATTACGCAAGTGGCTGAAGCATCTGTATCCATTAAACGACTTGAAAATTTTATGATGTATTCGGAAATTCATCAAGATACAAAGAATACAATGGATAATACTGAAATTAATTCAATGAATGGAGAAAAGAAAAATGATAATGATATCAAAGACTCAAAAGTCGATTCAGAACAAATTAATCTCGATGATGGTTCAGTAAAATTATCAAATGTTTATGCCAAATGGTTGGATTCTGATCGTGAAGATACACTACGTAACATTAATATTAATTTAAAACCAGGCCAATTAGTTGCAGTTGTAGGTCAAGTAGGATCGGGTAAAACAAGTTTGCTCAATGTTATTCTTAAAGAACTTCCTGTAAAACATGGTAGTGTTGAAGTAAGTCGAAAATTAGCTTATGCCAGTCAGGAACCATGGCTTTTTGCTGGTTCTGTACGTCAGAATATCCTTTTTGGTAGAGAAATGGATCAAAGAAAGTATGATAAAGTCATAAAAGTCTGCCAGTTGAAACGCGACTTTACCCTACTTCCTTATGGTGATAGAACGATTGTCGGAGAACGAGGAATCAGTTTATCTGGTGGTCAAAGAGCTCGAATTAACTTAGCACGAGCCGTTTATTCAGATGCTCCACTTTTTCTACTTGATGATCCTCTCAGTGCTGTTGATGCCCATGTTGGTAAACACATGTTTGAAGAATGTATTGAAAAGTACTTAAAAGGACGCACGAGAATTTTAGTTACTCATCAAATTCAATTTTTAAGAAATGTGGAACATATTATTGTGATGAAAAATGGACAAATTGAAGCTGAAGGAACTTATCATAAACTTATTGAGTTAGGTATTGATTTTGGACGTTTACTAGAACCTCCCCCACCTGCTACAGAAGAGTCTGAATCTTTAGCTCATAGTAGAAATAATTCACGTCATACAAGTATTACTTCTCTAAGTTCTTTCATGACAAATGAAACAAATACCCAAGTACAAGATGAACCTGAGGAGGTAGCAGAAATGAGAACAAAAGGATCCATTGGAGGTCACGTTTATTCCTCATATTTTAGAGCTGGTGGAAATTATTGTGTAATATTTTCAGTGGCAGCATTATATATATTAACGCAATTAGCAGCAAGTGCGAGTGATTATTTTATTGCATTTTGGGTTAATCTTCAAACTGGTGCTACAGGAAATAATTCTTCAATTTCTTCTAATTCAACAGATTCAACTGGAATATTTGATTTAACGCCCGGTCCGAATGGATTAACTGAAAAACAAACTTATCTGTGTATTTATATTTTTACAGCTTTAACAGTTTTTACTGTCATCATTACCCTTGTAAGATCTTTTGCCTTTTTTGAAATGTGCGTGCGAGCATCAAAACGTTTACATGATCGCATGTTCTTTAGTATCAGTCGTGCTACAATGAGATTTTTCAATACAAATACATCAGGGCGTGTACTTAATCGTTTTTCCAAGGATATGGGAGCGATTGATGAATTATTACCAATAGCGATGATTGATTGCATTCAAATTGGCCTTGCACTTCTGGGAATAATTGTCGTAGTAAGCTCAGTAAGTTATTGGCTTTTAATTCCTACAGCTATTATTGGAGTTATATTTTATTTCTTGCGAGTTATTTATCTTTCTACGAGCCGCAGCATTAAAAGACTCGAAGGAATTACAAGATCACCAGTATTTAATCATTTGAGTGCTACGCTTCAGGGTATTTCAACTATAAGATCGTTTCAAGCTGAACAAGTTCTTACGAAAGAGTTTGATCATCATCAAGATCTCCATTCATCAGCTTGGTATATCTTCATTGCATCTTCTAGGGCTTTTGGATTATGGCTAGATATTTTTTGTCTTATTTATATTACATTGGTGACTTTAAGCTTTTTAATATTCTTTGACGATAAAAATGAGATTCAAAGTGGAGACGTTGGATTAGCTATTACACAAAGTATTGGACTTACGGGAATGTTTCAATGGGGTATGAGACAAAGTGCTGAAGTCGAAAATCAAATGACCTCTGTAGAGAGAGTATTAGAGTATACAACTATTAAGGGAGAAGCTGCTCTACAAAGTAACCCGGATAAAAAACCAAAAGAAGATTGGCCAAATGAAGGAAAGGTTGAATTCAAGAGAGTTTATCTTACTTACGCTCCACTAGAACCACCAGTTCTTAAGAATCTTAATTTTGTTATTCAACCACGTGAGAAAGTTGGAATTGTAGGACGAACAGGAGCTGGTAAGTCTTCCCTTATTTCTGCCTTATTCAGGCTTGCAGATATTGAAGGAGCCATCGAGATTGATGGCATAGATACTGGTGAAATTGGACTCCATGATTTTCGTGCCAAGATAAGTATAATCCCTCAAGAGCCGTTTTTATTTTCCGGAACTCTCAGAAGAAATCTCGATCCATTTCAACAATACCATGATAGTGTTTTGTGGTCAGCATTGGAAGATGTAGAACTTAAAGAAATGGGACTTGAAGGTCATGTTAACGAAGGTGGTACTAATTTGAGCGTAGGACAAAGACAACTAGTTTGCCTTGCTCGAGCTATTGTGCGTAATAATAAAATCCTTGTGCTTGACGAAGCTACGGCGAATGTTGATCCTCGTACTGATGAATTCATTCAAAAAGCAATTAGACGAAAATTTGCTGATTGTACTGTACTTACTATTGCTCATCGACTTAATACTGTCATGGACAGCGATCGGATCTTGGTCATGGATGCCGGGTCTGCAGTGGTATGTACAGAATAAAATTTTATATTTTCAAATCATTTTTTTTTATCTCATTGACATCGTTTCAAAACATTTCCGTTATTTGACAGATTCTTATTATCTAATTTTTTTTGTTTACCAAGAAAACTATGTTTCTTACCTGATAAAAAAATATTTTCTATTATATAGTAAATACATTTATTTTGTTCAGTTAAACGATTTTTAAACATAAAATGCTTGAAAATATAATTTTCATACAAATAGCTTTTAAAAATACTCACTTTTTTAACCGTAAAAAAAAATTAATTCATCTTTTTTCAGGAATTTGATCATCCACATGTGTTGCTTCAAATTGAAAACGGATACTTAACAAACATGGTAAAAGAAACTGGATCTGCGATGGCAGAAGCATTAGCTAGAGTAGCAAAGGAGAATTATCAACATCGTCAGCAGATATCGGCACTTTAATTTACTGATAATAATAATAATAATAATTATTATTATTATTATTATCATTGATTAAAAAATTGTTTAATTCAAAAATTTAGGGCATTATATTTGTATTTACCTATTCACATTTTTATGAGATGTATATTGTATTAGATATTTTGCTAATAATGAAGTCACTATTTGATTAAAAAGCCAGGGAAAAAGTGCCTTCATAAACATCAAAAATGATGCCTTATCAAGCGCTCGTTGTTACTACGACTGTTATTTTTTCCATTCATGCAAATATAAACAAGTACTCTTTCATCATGTTTTATTGCTGATTAATCAAATATGTGAACAATGATTAATAACTATTCAGCTATGCACAAACATATGATAAATATTTTACACATGAATACACAGTATTATTTTTCGTGAATTATTTTTGGCTGAAAAATTGTTCAAGTACTAACAAACTAATTCCAATACATCTTAACAGATAAATAAATATTTATTTAAATATGTAAAAATGTTGAAAATGTACTTAATTATTTTTTTTTATATGGATAAGTACATTTTGAAATATAAAACTACTCAATATTATAATTATAATTGTAAATAAATAATCAAAAGTTAACTGATGAAAAGCGATATATTTTTTAAAACTTTAAAGAATTCAATGAAATAATGAATATCTGTGTTTCTATATCAAATATCGTTTGGATAGAAAAATTGTAAACTATTATTTTGTTGAATAATTTTTTAACTGCCATTAGTTTGCAGTAGAACAATAGATTGAATGACTATGGATTATAGAATTTATAAAACTAAATATTACAAATAAATTATTGTGACTTGTTATCTACCGGATATTAATTTTATAATTCTTATTATAACTATGAAACGTTCAGTCCATACAATTAACTGTGTTATAATTTTTACAGAATGATAAAGCTTTATTATTAATTATTAATACAAGTTTTACATTATTTTCAAACTGACATATAATATATTCTATGTAATTATGTAAAATCAATATATATAAAGATAAAAAAAGTGTCAACTGTTGATAAATAATTACACATGTTATATCAGAAATTTTAATTTTTATTATCATTATACTATTAAAATAATTATATAAAAATTTATGAATAATATATAATGTTTTGAAAATTGGGAATGAAATTGAGAAATTTTTAGTTCTCAAGTACATGTGCCTTAAAAAAAGAAAAGTAACAGAAGCTTATACAATAAAAAGTAAGAATGATAATATATTCTACAAGCACATACTTATAATATCAGAGTTTGTCTTTTATATCTAAACCTCTCTCTGTCTCTCTCTCTCTCAAACACTAGTACGACGATTGTGTGTTAAGATATTTCTATTTTGATTTTATTTATTCTTATCCATTAAGTTGATGCAAAAATCTTTGTAGATTTATTAATAAAAATGTTATTATAATCATCCATTCTATGTCACGTTACTAATAATACTGTTTGAAACTGACATAATTTTAAGAATGAAACGAAATAAGTTAATTTCGTAAATGACTTAAAAAGTTTTACAAAGAATTTTACAACATTAAAAAAATATATACCCTACTGACGGGTTTATGGGATACGAAAAAATATGACAAATCTCATTATCATTTGATTTGTGATTTTAAAGTCTGAGATATTCATTTTTTTCTCATACATTCACTTATAATTATATTGACAGCTTATTGAATCTTAACTTCCGGTAATTATTGAATACACTAGTGTATCATAATACTGGCAGTAAAACGATAATGAGAATATCAAAGTAATCTATTTAAATTTAACCTATCAAAAATTTTTTTGTAACTTATTTGTTCTTGTAAATTAATATATACACATGTATAAGATAGATTTTTTCAAATCGTTGTATACAAATTTTAAAGTACTAATAACAGTTTTCGTTGTGTTTGCAGCGAAAATATATTAATGAAATAACCTTTTTAACAATTGTTAATTTATTAAAAGTGTAATAATTCCTTAATATTACTTTTTTTATCAAACTTTTTTCATTAACCAACTTTACAACTTAACGATTTTACTTAAAATATTTATGAGATAAATAATAATAACTAACTAAAAATAAATAAGATTAGAAAAAATTCATAGACAGATTTAAAATTGGAATAAAAATTCTTATAAAAAACATAAAAATGGTTGGACGTTTTTGATATTTACAAATTGTACTCAAAAAGTTGTACAATTAAAGAAACAATCTACAAAATTATTACTAAATTTTTTAGCGATGCATTGCGTCCACTTAAGAAATATTTTACAATATTTACTTATACAATTGGAGTAATAAAATGATATTTTAATCATAAAAAATATGTAATTTATACAAGCACTTCTAAGCTTTCGCGTGATTGAGCTTTTTGTGGGACAGATTTCATAGCAGTGGTTTGAACCATCATAGCAACTGATTGACATTCTGTTGGCATACGAGACATAAATCGTACAGGAGGCATCGCTAATCTTAATCTACACCAAAATTTATAACTGCCGGCATCTTTTGCCGAATTTATATTCCATCTTAAAATAGTTATTTTGTCAAGAGTGATTTCATCAGTACGAACAGTGTCAATACAATGTCCAGTAGATTTAGCGAAAGACGCAACGTTTAAAAATTCATTCAAAATAATCACAATAATACGGTTTGATATTAATGATAATTGTTTAAGTGCTAAGCTTACATTAGCTTCAGTCCAATCATTTTCCAGAGAGTTTGAACTTAATATTACAATTATTCTTCGGGCTGATGACGCATGAGGAGCAATTTCCAAATTCCCTGCAATAAGTAGGAAATAAATGATAAACCATCAAGTTAATTATTATTTATAATTATTGGAAAAAAAATGTTCTTATTACTTACAATTGCGATTTAAAGGTGATAATTCTAATAAATTACATTTATAGTGATACTTCTTCTCCAATGTAGAAACTAAAGATTCAATTGTAATATTTGTATCTTTTTCATGGTAACAAACTAACGCATCAAAGGATTTTCCATCTACAGGATAATATTGAAAAATTTATTTATTTGTAAAAACTATTTATAATAAAAAAAATGTAAATATTTTTATTTGCATTTGCATCCTACCGTTTTCATCAACAGAAGAAAATCGATCTCTTAAAAAAACAGTAATGGGTAACCAGCATCTTAAATAAAAACCACTAGTTGAAACTATCAGGACGAGACACACTACCGCAAGCAAAAGTGCTTTTCTCCAAGATCCTGATCGTAATCCAAGGATAAATTGAGGTTCTGTAAAGTATAAAACATCGAATGTAAATATTTTATCTTATTCTTTAAATCTTTTTAGTAGGAGGAAAACTTATGTAAAGAATACGTCGTAATTACCTCGACGATAAATGTGAGCTGATAGCGTCATGTCATCATCCGCACCATTGCTGATTCGGCATTCGTACTCACCATAATCCTCTGGTGTTGTTGCCTCTATTTCCAAGTAAGATCCAACAATCTGTTCGTCTTCCCTGTAAACACATTTCATTTTAAATCATTTTAACATTAGAATATTAATGCAGGTGAATATTATAATTTTTTCAAAAATATTAAAAAATTATAATATTTTAAAATAAATTATCAACGTGAATCAGAAATATTTTTATGATAAATATTTATAACCTACGTTTCTTCTGATGCTTGATAAACATATATAAAATTGATCACATTATATAAGGTCTGATCATGGAATGAATTATATTAGTTTTCATTTGATAATAAAAAGTATGTTAACCATATATAATTTTAACATGAAGAATGGTTAACATATTTGTCATAGAAAAAATGTCAAAACACCGTTATTGTATATGATGATTTACACAGATATAAAAATTATAAAAGAAATAATCTTTTTTTTTTTTAGTCATATTTATACTAGTACACTACTTAATAGCTCGCATTATATCACAGCAAATGTTTTATTTTTATAATTTAACAAAGCATGACTACAAAGAGTCGTATGTACACCATTTTCCTTTATAGATTGAATATAACACAATAGAAAACACAGCTGTATGTAACGGTTTTCAGTATAGAGTTTTACTAGAAAAAAAATTTTTGCAAACTTTTAAAGCATAAAAGACACACAATAAACTGATTTTTTGCGTAAAAAATATAAGTAAAAGAGCAAACAAAAGAATAGATGAGAAAATGTAAGAATCTCTAATTAGTTAAAATTCTGTAGGATCTCGATCAAATATCAAATAAGAAGCCAAAAAATGTTTTCAAAAGAAGAGTCGCAGACAAAGTTGAGGGAGAATAATGACGCGAAGATAGCTGAAAGAAAGGCAAAGAATAAGATAGTCAAACAAGAATAAGAGAGTAAGAGAGAAAATAACCAAAGGAACGGAAGAAGAATGTTGCAAAGCTATCATTAGGGTAATGACGGAGCGCCTGAAGCCGATGAGAGATTTTCAACTTCTTGTCGACTTCTCCTTCTCTCTCTTTCACCTGTTCTCTCAAGAAATTTGTCCTCGAGGAGTAAACTATAATCAATAAGACAAAAAAACCATAATTACCTGGAGACTCGATGCTGTGAAACTCTACCATTGCTTGGAACAGTGACATTACTTGTTGCCTTTGTCCAAGTAACAGAGTTCTTTACATCAGGAAGATCAACTTTGCCTAAGTAAGCCTCACAAAAGAGTCGAGCCGATCCACCAAGAGGCACTAACTGAGATATTGGTTTATAGGTTGGTAATGGCTTTCCTGTGTAACCACTTGCATCTTCTCCTGTAAAGATAACACATCGTTAAAAATCACTTCAAGTCTATGGACTTCATATTATTATGAATTTTAAATTATCTAAAGTTTAAAATGGACTTTCTAACAAACGAGAGAAAATGATCACTTTAAAAATAATACAGTAAATACAGATTTCGACATAAATGTTCATTACCATTTAAACTTTACTAACAGGTAATTTTAGGTACTGAAATCACCATTAACTTTCTAACTATTTATAATAGTTAAATTTTAATTTATAAAATTAAGTAGAGAATGTTTATATCAGTTTTTTGTAATTTTAATGTGAGAGAAATTCTAATAATAATTGCATTGAAGTAGATTATTTATAGCAGTATAATGTTTTATTGTATGAAAAAGATAATATATAAAAAAAATAGTCTACATTAAAGAAAATTGCATAGTTACTTATCACTATTGTGCAATTTCCAACACTTGTGCTCAGACAAAATATTCTTCATACAAGGAAAGTACATATACAGCATTCTTAGAACAAAATTAACGAAAATAGGTTACAATTTATTTACATTATCATGGATTTCTATACTCAGAATAAAATTGATATTATATTTAATTTTTAATTGTAAAAAATGCCTTGCTAGTGTATCACTTGTTTTAATATAAAATAACAATATATTCAATTTTTCATTATTTATATAATTTTATCTAAATTCTTGCAATACTTACCAACAATATCAAGTGTAATATCACCAGCGAGAGTAGTCGTATCATTTCTAGCTCTGCAGGAGTATTTCCCGGCATCAGAAAGTCTTACAGTTTGGGTATAGATAGTTTGATTGGCACTTTCAGGATACAAAATAAAATGGCTTAAAGCTCCTGGCCACGGATATGCTTTGTCATCTTTGTACCTGTAAAAACAAACATTATGAAATCTTTAAATTCATACATCATTCTTATTTATATTGATTATTTTCTATTATAAACCTAATGTAAATTACAGGAAAAAAATCAATTAAATTGAAGTATATAAATCAAATCAAAGAAAAATATGAATAATCACATGTTGTCGGCTAACACTGACGATCGACCCCCTTATCGTTACTAATAAAATACCTAGAGTATTCCAAGAACATACACATATTTCTGTGAACAATGTATAGACAGTTGTACACACTTGTACATACATGATCCATATAGATAGTCAGGTAAAGTACGAATCTATATACCGGGTGTTGAATATATATTTTTTATTCTCGCTTTTATATTAAATATTCTCACGTCATTATGTAGTCACGTGACTAGTATTTCCGGCTAATTGAACGTGTTGCATCAAGATGCACTGGTGATTGTGGGTATGTGCTTGTTGACTTTTTCTCTCTCTATCTCTGATGCAAAAGAAAGAGAAAAATATGTCTTGGAACATGGATAACATGCGTTTCTTTTTCTCTTTTTATCCTTTCTTATTTTATTTCTAAACGATTCTGCGAAGAGAAAAGTGGAAGATTGCCCTCATCGTTCGCGTTAAGAGTTATAAGTTTTGAATATGTATTTTCAACTACTCCCTCATCAATTATTCCGTTTATATTCAGAGAAAATGTACCTTTTTGTGGTAATAACGATAATAAAAACAAAAAAAATAATTAGAAAATGATATTAATTACATATAGTAATCATTACTTTTAGAGTGTTTAGTAAAATTAAATTAGAATTAGCACAATTTTTTACGTTTTTTAAAATTATTTGCTCATAATTTGAATTGAGAAAAATGATTAACTTGTAGAAAAGTCAGTTTTTTGAATTATTATTTTAGAGAGTAAAAGATGTAAAAGTGATAATTGTTTCTTTCATTCATTTCTAAACAATCAACAATGAAATGTAATGTTTTTGAATGAAAAATAATTACTACATGATGACATTTTTTATAGTACAGTTTTTATGATTTGAGAGTCGAGGTCGAGCAATTGCGCACGTTGCTGGTTCAAAAGCCACTATAATTGTCTTCTGGAAAGGGATAATTGGTCCCTGCGTGAGAAGTCACAGCGTTTGCTCTTCCTCACGGATTACTTGGAAGACACACTCGACTTCTCCTTGATATAGTTTCCTCAATATCATCTCCGCCTTCCCTCTACATATATATATATATAAATGTGTGTGTATATACAAGTATATACATTGGATTTGATTTCTTTGTTGTCCGAACATAGGGAACTCGTTCTTCTTGATGTTATCGGTTCCTGTTGCTAATTTGCGTCTGGTCCTGGTCCACAGTAGATACTTGCACGAGGTAAAAGAACGAAAAAATGCATCAAGGATACAGACTAACTTGGCATATACGGTTTCTATTTAGTTCGGCATTTCCGTTTACTCTTCTAATCTATATTTTTTCCTTGTTAGCGACATTCAGGTATTTCATACTTTCTCGCACTGACGACGGCCTTATTACTGATTTCCTAGAAATCTTGTTGCGTGTATGCTCGCGCCATTTTCTCATTACATTCATCGACATCGTGGTAATCATCATTTCGTAAAAGTTGACATAATCTCTTGCAATAAATGATGGTAGTAATTCTTATAATTGTGAGGGGGAAAAAAAAACTAGTCAATTGATAGAATAATTTAGTCATAAAAATAGATTTCACGGACATTCTTCCGTTCAATGTTTTTAATATATACACATGGATTTTTTGTTTCACTTCTCAGAATAAATTATTATTATTTAGTGAAAAAATAGTTAAACTTTTTCCATTGAAAGCTTTTATATCATGCACATGACGAGTTGTCGTTTAAATATAAATACCTATTTTTATTGCAACTGCAATTCGACTTGTTACATTAACTCAGTAAATAATACAATTTTATGATTAAATATATTTCATGAAAGTTATTTTTTATGACCTTATTAAAATTTACCTATACTTGTTATAATCTGAAAAGTATTAAGTACATAATTAGATAAAAACAAATACATACATAGAAGAAACTCAAATTAACGGGAGTATGTTCTACTGTATTTTTCTGTTAAAACAACAAATGTTTATCTTTCGAAAAAAAGTTTATTTTCATTTTTTTTTTCTTCCTTTGCCTTCGACTTGTCCCGTTTGAATTGAACGTTGCCTCCAGAAAGGGTAAATCAACTTTGAAAATAGGTGCATGTACATGTACACTCATGTCTTTGTTAGAGATATCGTGCTGAAAAAAATCAAATCTGCAAAAGTGATAATTACATAGTCTTATTTTTACAAGATTACATTTTATAACTTGTAATGTAATCAAAATATTATGAAAAAACTTTTAACTCTGAATAAAGTTTCAAGTACATATTTAAACGGTTCTTGGTAAAGTTAACTTTAATCTTTTCTATTTTCTTAATTACCAATTCAACTATTCAATTGAATTTACGTATGAGTGATCAAATTCGAAGAATAGAGCATTATAAAATCATACTCTTATTTGAGTATATTAAACATTAAATCAAATTTTTTTTTCAATTTTAATCATCAAAAAATAATTATTCATCCTGCTAGTGATTTTCTCCATAAATGTGTAATTATTTGAATAAATTAATATCAATGATTATAAAAAATATTTTAAAAAATTTTACAAAATAAATTATTTATTCAAAGCTACAACCTTTGATATTTAATTTTATTTTTTTTTGTTCTCAACTAATTAGTAAGTATTTATAAAATTTATTTGAAATTAACTCAATGAAAGTTTTTATTTCCAAGGATTCAGAGTCCCTATTGAGATTTAATGATGGAGACAAATTCAAAATGCATAAACTGACTTGTAAAATGGTTGTAGACAGTAATGTTCAATTATTGTCATAATTCAATCATGAAAAGATCATCAAACCATTGCCTTACTGATGATATTAAAGACTGTCAACCACCATAATGAATTATAGCTAAAATATCTGACTTTATAAACCTTATGATGGTTTACAAACTTCCGTTTTTTTTTTTTAAATTACCATTATCGACTTAACTTCGATACTAACCACTTTGACCTTTCTACGAACAATGTCTTTACAATTCCAGGTAATTAACCACAATATTTATGACCAATTCGCCATACCTCGAAAAGCTTAGGGGAAACACCGAGTTTGCAGTTAAAAGGGCGAGGGATGAGAGACGATAGAGGGACGATTGCATGTGCACGTCGTAGCCGCAAGTTCTGCGAACTCGTCGGACATCGACGTTCAATCCAGAAAAAATGCGATCGTTGGATTTCCTAATAAGTCTCGCCGGCCATTGTTACTCTCAAGTGTGATTTGAATATTTAGTAAGCAACGCGTGAAACGGATGTCTTTATATTCTGATGCTATAGCCAATAGAATAAAGAGGAAAGAAATATTTGCACGAAGATGGAAGTATATATGAAAACTATCCTATACTGCATCTAAACGGAAATACGTATTCCGGTCTTGCTTTTCTTTTATTCTCTGCGTGCAGACCGGGAATACGGCTGAAAATTATTAGCTACAATATATTTGTTATTTTATTTATTTGATCGATGGTTTATTTCACCAGTTAAGAAATGGACTCTTTAATTTATCGATTGCGTGCTAAAGCACGCCAATTATAATTTCTCAGTAATCCACTTGTACATTTCTCGATAATTTATTTGAAAAAGCATTCATTTCAATTTAAAAGTTGTTAAAAAATATAGCTTTTTCCAGAAAATATTAATCTTAATTATTTATCTTTAAAAATTGCACGTTATTATTATAAATAAATAAAATTTAAATATTCAAACCGTCATAAATACTATCGGAATGTCAAGAATTCATAGAATGAATAAAAAATCATTTTTCATGTTTAAAAATTTAGATAAAGATGATAAACATCAGTAAAAAAATGATTTATCAATCTAGAATTTTTTTTTTAAATTTAAATTGAAAGAAAACGGTTAAACAAATCTTTATCTCATAACATTGACATCTCACAACTATTTTCCAATTACTCATTATTATAAGTATCTCTTTAGTTCATTAAAAAAAAATTGTTTCACGTCCAAATAAAGTTTCCTGTGTCCTGTGTATAATAAAACGATTTTTTAGATATTCATAGCAATTGTAAGCTGTAATTATTTGTAATATAATGTGAGTTTTGAAAAAATTCTTCGAATACCATACATCAATTTAATTACTCCTAAATTATAAAAATAACGTCGATCAATTCCGGAGTATTCAAGATAAAATATTATTCTTATAGACAGAAACTGGAATTATTCTTCGAAATTAAATACATGGGGATGATTGGAGCTAAAATTGACATGAGGGTGAGCAAAAGAATCAATTTCACGAGAAATTTTCCATTCATAGAAAAAGCCAAATTCAATTGTAAAAATAAAATGTTAAATTAATATAAATCAAATTTTAGGAAATGAATATTTATTATAAATGAAAAATAATCATAACTGGCTACTTTCAAATCTCACATCAATTTTCATCTTGAATATATTGTTATTTATATTTAGTCTATGTATAAAATTATCTTTTTCATTGTAATAGAGGGCAGAAAATATGTGGCTCTGAAGAAGGTATTCGTATAATAAAAGAAACATTATAACATAATTTACCTTTATATTATTTCCTCATCATTGCATTGTCTTTTTTTGTGTAAATTATGTGAGGGAAACGCAGTGTATTCTCGAACATAATATCTAGTATTTTAACTTTTTCTAAAAATAAAAATGATACCTCAATTTATTGGAATGGTGTAGCTTTCAAAGAAACGATTATTGTATGGTTAAGGGTGGTCGAAGGGTGAGTTTTCCATGAATATAAAGAGCTAGAGTTTTTATAAACTTATAACAGCTTTGCTATATGAAAATATTAATCACTAAAAATCGAATTTAATACTTTATTTTATTGAATTTTTTTTTATCAAATCTCCAGTAAAATTTTGATATATCAATTATAGTCTTCCAACATTTATTTAATATGTTTCTCATTTATATTATATTTATTTATCATTTGTATGAATAATTTCTAAAATTATTTACTCAATTATATGATACTTAGTAGTGAATTTGTCGAAAAATTTATTTCGAAAATAACGAAAGAGAGATGTCGGCCTGGGAATTCGTCAGGAAACAAAAACTCGCCAAAGGAACCGGTCTGCAGGTCGAAAAACCTGACTTCTGTGCTATTACATGTTCCTGGACAGTTGAACACAATTTTTAAAAATGTTCTCTTGTCGTTAAGTATTTGAAATATATGAGAACGAACTAACTAATTGTTTATATATTGCTATTAAACTTCTTTAGTACTTTTTTTTGGCTTTTAGTTACATCATACACCTACTGATGTCTCATAGTTTCTACTGTCTTTTCATTTTCATAAAAGTATGGTGAAGAATAAAAAATATGATACATTTGATCATGTTAGAACTTGTTCTACCTCCAAGTTTTCAATAATTCAAATAGTTTTGATTTTTCTTCTGTCCATTCAAAAATAGAAATGACTAAATTTTTTAAGACCATTAGAAGATACTTGGGTGAAGAAAAAACACTGATATAATGGTTGATTTGAATTGAATCTTGTCAATTAATTTATAACAGAATAGATATGAATTCAGAAGTAAAAATGATATGAAAAATAAGTAAATAAACCACTGTGCTCTCGAGTGTGTAAATTAATATCATTATACGTATTGTGGTTTCTTAATGATTTAAGTACATAATTAACTCGTATTGTTGAGAGTTAATAATTCCAAGTCAGTGAGGCTGATTGCAGCGTATGTTACTGGAAAATAGGTTTCCACGAAGTTGTTATTATTATTACTCCTCTATTATTTCGGATTGTCGAGTTTGTTTTGTACTATAAAGAGAGAAAGAATCTTTTTCTATATCATTTTCTGTTTCTTCTAGCTATGTCAGACACGCCAGTATCATTATTTTAATGGTGGGTCTCATGTCGCATCAACTAAATATAATATGTATTATATGGGACCCTGTAGAAATATACAGATCTCCAACTGAGAATAAATATTAATTACATATATAAATTATTCTTATTGAATTGTTACTACTTATGTTGATCATTTTAATGGACATTACTTATTTACTTAAATAAGAGCCAAATTTATAACGAGTTTTTTTGTCATTAAATTGTCTTGTATTTTAATCACACTTGTGAAATAATTATTGTTGAATATAAAATGTTTCGAAGAACTCATTAAAAAAAGCAGCAATGTTTAAATATCTGAGTTAAAAGCGAAAAAGGAATTAAACATGAAGTAAAATTAATTTTAGAAAGTGAATGTTTCCAATTTACTGAGAAATTATTATCTAATTGAAGTAAAAAAAAAATTTCTTAGAATTTCATTTTCCTTCATTTTTATTAATTTATTTAATAATAACAAGTTTCAATAAGTATCATTTTAATGAGAGTCAAGTGTATCAATTATTTTTATAATTATTCTCTTAAATATACTTTCAAATTGAATTTCATGGAAAAAATTTAATATACTGAGATAATTAAAAAATTATAACTTACTATAGAATAATTCCTAGAAAAATGTATCTATTTTTTTTTTCTTTATTTAAAGAAATCATGAAAGCAGCAGGAAATAGCAATTTCTTCAATGAGTTTATTTAAAAAAGTATTGTAGAAGAAATTATTACTGAAATCATATTTAAATAAAATGTAAATATTTACTAAATATTTATTCTTGTCATTAAAATTTATACCTGTAATAATTAAGCTATTAAAAATTAAATGATTTGAGGATATTTTGTTTTTTTTCATATTATTAGATTAGATAAGGGCTTATAATATGATCAAATTTGTAAAATGTGTAAAAATAGTTCTCATATTAACTATCTCACGCTTTGACCGATCCAAATAAATAAATAAAAATCAGCATCAGTATCTTCATGTCGATCTGGCCATTGGACATGGAACATGGTAGTAATGCAGATTGTTGACCACTCCAAACTAGAGACGAGATTTTTCAGAAAGATAATACCATCTTTATTTCTTTTACAAGCCGATGTGACCCTTCGAAGTTTTATTTAGACGTGTAACAGGTGTCGAGAAATTCCCCTACTCTTGTAGTTATTCTTGACAACGACAACCAGTAAAAAGTGCAGCTTTTTGCCTTTTTTTCTTACATTGGAAACAGAATAAGTCGTTGCTTAGTCTTTGCACACCTGGTCGAATAGCCAAGAATCTCGAATAAATATAATAGGCCGACAATTTTGCTCGCTTGTCGCATAGTTCGTATTATAATAGAGTTCGGGTACTTGGAGCAGAAAAGGAGGAGACACTGACCAGAGACTAGAGAAGGAAAGGTACACGCTATTAAGTAGAAATATATAAATATGAAGCATGAAGAAAAAGGTGTCCTACCACGAAATGACTCCTCCAACTTTCATTGTTCTGATGTGTATTTCCCTAGTACCACGAGTTGGAAAGATATTTTCCTCTTTCTCATGTACCTTATGCTTCTCTAATTTCCTCTCTTTTGCGGCCACTATAGAACTCCCGCAGAGATTCCCGGCTTGTCACACGAAGACCCCCTTGACATGGCCTTTGACGCTTTTTGTTCAGGTATCTTTCGTCAGAAAATTCGAAGAAATCTTCAACCTATTCGCTCGCTTGTCTTCCTCATTTTTATTTTTTATTGATTTTTAAAATCAACTTATTTTTTTATATTTATATTCTTAATAGAATTTCTATTTTTTTATCATCTTCCTCCTACGGTTTATGTTATTATTGACTCCGAAATTGCTCAAGAAATTTCAATAATTCATATTAGGTTAATTCATCATTTTAAATTGTAGTCTTATTTTTTTTTTTTTACATAAATTTGTTAGAAAGCGATTGAGTAATACCCTGAGAAAAGTCGCGGAAAACGATAAAAAATCTCTTTTTCGACATACGAACAAGTATTTTATCATTTATAATATCCTTTCGATTTTTATTTATGTCTAGAATAGAATCGTTTTTTTCTATCAAACTTAAGGTCTGAGAAAAAATCTATTCAACAGTTTTAGTATCAATTCGCACGAATCAAAGATAGATGGAATGAGAGAGAGAGAGAAAGAAATTGCATCAGGTAGACTTGAGTGAGTCACTCGTTCTCGCAATTTATAAGGAAGAATAGAAATAATTGCAGCTAAATATGTTATTGAATACTAATAATATTAAAATAAAAAATTATTACTCACCATTCTATACTTCTGTAACCTCGTAAACAGCAATGAATAGCTTTAAAGGCACCAACATTTGCGTATTCAGTTGTAACAACTTCTTTGGTGAACCGCAAGCCTCCAGGTAATTTATCAAACTTGTGAGCTGAGCAATAATCTTCGAGTTCATCATCACGTGGAGGTGGAGGGCTTGCGGTGATGCAGACAGCGATACTAAGAAATAAGAAAGGATAAAGAATCCAACAGGACCTTGAAGCTGCATCAGACTTGCAATTTGCCATGGTATCTTCGTTATACTCTTTTTATTTTTTGGTAAAACTAGGATTTAGATTCACTTAACATTTTTTCTAGCGGCAATAATCAAAGGTTTCAGTATTTTTTTGCGTATACTCATACACAGGATCACGTAGTTCGCTTGTGTTTATTTAGAGTCAAGATACCTGGGGATATGTTTAACTATCTGTCGTGTACAACAGACACACTGTCGTTTGTTTGAACACGTGAATTTTCTTTGGTTTGTTTTTTCCACTTGAATATAACACTTTTTTTTACCTTACTTGCAATAAAAAATCATCACACAACTAGTCAAATTACTTGAAGAAACTCTTGTTAACGTCATTAGTTAACCATCAATAATTTACAATACACAATACACAATTAACTTTGCTAGTACACTTGGACTTTTTTCGCTCATTTCTAACTTCACATTTGTATAACCTTAACCTCTTTATTATTTTCAAAATCTTGAATTATATTCTTTGAATTAATCTAAAAATAGTTAAGGAATATCTCCAAAGTATTGTCAAAGTGAATGGTTACCAAGAATTTATGCTATGATAAAATAAAATATTATTCAAAGCCAATTGATGTGAAAATAACTACTTCGAGAGCGCAAATAACTCAAGTCTACGAATGCCAACATGCAACTGGCTCCAACAAAAGAACGCCGGCTAGCGTGGGTCGCAACTGTCGTACAAAACCGGTGTAGAAACGTGTTTCAACTCGTCCTACCGTATGCAACAACTTCTACTCTTTACCCTGATTGCTCATTTTCTCACCAATCATGAGCCTTTTTCAGTTAGTGTCGTTACGCGCCAACATTTTTATTAAAAAAAAACTCAACAAATTACCACCTTTTACAGCATTTTACTAGAAAAAATGATCGATTTTATTTTTTATAAACTATTAATTGAATATATTTCAAGTAATTAATTTATTTTCTCTAGTTAACATAAATTTTTAGAAACTCAAATATAAGGTTAATCCAATCATTGACCAGTAACTAATGCCATCTTACGTCCATTTTAGATAACATGTGGAAAAGAATTATCTGTATTATATGATGATAAGTAATTGTGATATTTCATTATTATCGACGGTAAACAAATATAATAACATATTTTTTAAATTTATTTAAAAAATTCTACAGTTGGAAACATTGATGATGATGTAATCCTTTACTGATGGTTTAAAAAGATAATACTTCACATGTGTAATATATAGGAGAATAGAGAAGTAATACATTCATGTACAGAATAAAGGATCACATCAGCGTATTTTTTGTTTTGAGATTGTTTGGCTTAGCAAATATTCAAGGACTTGAGCTCTTATATAGCAAATTCCGATGACATTACTTATTTCAACACTTCTATGTGCGGTATCATAATAGACTCACTACAATTCTGATTAAACGAATATCTTGAGAAGGGTCAATTCCATGGCACGATAAGATGTAATATTATATTTTGCCCGCATTTAAATGATGAAAAACCAAAACGCAAATAATAATCATAGAAAACGTTGATATATATTAATGACTCAACGATCATTAACACAATTATACATGCTTCTTACGTGTCTAAGTGAAGTACAATGATTGAGCCAACATTTTTCATACAATATTTCCATCAACATATAACATAAACAATCAGATAAATGGTTAAGGCTTTCGTCACGTTTTTCTGCTATTCACTTTTTCATTGAAATAATTATTCTTTAACGGTTATTTTTTTCTTATACTTTCAACCTTATTAAACTATACAACTTTTATATTTCCTCTTTAATTATTAACTAATGAGTAAGTATTGTGTTACAAAATTAATTTCAGAAAAAAATCAAGAGCTCAATGGATTTATTACAACAAAAAACTAATGAAGGCCATGTTTCATTATCCTTTAATAATTTTCTGGAAAATTCGGGAAACACAATGATGTATTTTGCGTATTTTCGTTAATATAAGAATTCAATACTTTGTTCTACTTTGACCTTGATGGGGGGTTAAATCCAATATTTTTGTTTACGAATGACGCAGTTTTTTCCTTTAGGGTCAAAATGTTCGTGAATGATCGGCAAATATCGGCGTGTTAAAGTTTGGCCAATGAAAGCATTGCTGTCGGACAAAGACAGGAATGTTATTTCCCTTAAGACCAGGTGGACTTATATATAACAAGAGGGTCCTCTCCCCATTCATCGCAACCCCTCAACATGCCAACCGACGCTTTTCACTGCCGAGTGTCCATACGGAAAGACTCCAAGGAGAAGTGGTTTGTACGACGGTGGGAGAAAGAGATTCTGAAGGCTTAGCATTACTTAGCGTACGTGTAACTGCGTCAGTCTTTGCTCTTAGAGAAAAGAGAACTTGGAGCAGTGTATATTATTATTAATAATATTATAATTTTTTATTGTTTTTTATAGTTAAAAATATCACAACAAAACAACTGTATTTGTATGTGCTGTGTTTGGAATTACTATTGTAAATAAATAATGAGAATTCGAGTAGTGAGGATAGAAAGTTAATGGTGGATATATTAATGGATTAATAACTGTGAAAGTTAGTTGTGTGTGACGCTATACAACAATGAAAGTAGTTGTCAGCAAGGATATTCAAGGGATGAAAGCGGTAGTTATTTTCATATGTGAAATTCAAGGGTTTTGAATACAAACTTGATTCTAACTATTCTTACGACGCTATTGAACAAAGTAAGCATTGCAGATTGATCAAAGTCTACTTAAATAATTTTATTCATAGTTTTGCATAAGCTATATTTATTAAAAATTAATTTAAATTGAAAATATTAATAAAATCTTATTTTAGTACTGAAATAGACATAATAAATTTATGATTATTAAGATGCATATCTGTATTTTGTCTTAAAACGATAGTGGATAAAAGCTTTAGTAACTCATCGAGTTCTAAAACTCGAATGTTTGTATACGCACGGTGCACGTGGTTTCGCTTCAAATTTTTAAACAAGTTAGAATTTATTATATTCACTTATTAACTGTGTTAAATTAATAGTATAGGAAAAAGTGATTTTTTTTTACATCTAGGAATCGCGTGTGACTAATTTTAACATATACGTGACGTAAGCATTTGGAGAAAAATTTCCTGCTCTTTTATTTTATCATCTTTGATATGTTGTTGATCACTATCAACTGTAAATTACTTTTTTTTTGTAAGCATCAATTTTAAATGAATTATATAAATAATTAGAATTGTGCTACTTTTTTCACCTCTGTTATAGATACTAGGATGTTTCTGATCTTTGATTAACTGCAGATCAAACAAATCTAAACAGACACCATGACTAAGAAAACTTATCAAACTTGTTCCACTTGTTTTTCGATCCGAAATAAAATAGATATTTTTAAGTTGGACCCTCAATAATGGAGTAACTAATCTATGTCAAAAGCTTTCTCAGATTAAACAGAACAATTTTATCCTTAGATAACATTTATTTTAATGACGATCTCTCAATCATTAATTACATGACCAATTATCACAAATATTGATAATAATAGAAAAATCTATAAATATTAATTTGAAACAATTCTTCTAATATTAATAGAATCATTAATATAATAACTCGATAATTATTATATCAAAAATACATACTCATCTTAGTTATTAAAGTAATACAATGTTCTTCGTTTCAACATTTTCAATAAAGAGTTGAATAAAATGGACTTGAATGTTGAAGAAATTAATTTATCACACAACATATACATTTAATTAGGGAACACTCAAACTACTTCTATGAAATCTGAACAATTTGATTGCATTAGTGTTGTTGAATAAATTTTCTAATTGATGACTGGAAACGATGGCATTTCTCTTAATTTAGGCACTTGCTCCACGAATTATAAGAGTGAAAAAATGACAACAATTCGATAAGATATGGGTCTTGACAATGATAAGATGAAAAAAGAGGTTACCTATCGTATGCAAGATATGACATTTATTATATTTTATCATTATCATATGATGTATGTAACATATAACTTATATCCGATTTTAGACTACCAACATCTTCAAGCTGTTGAGTTGGCCGGAAATAAACTGGAAACATTTAAATATTATTACAACGTCGATTTATATAGTCAGCACGTCTACCAAACGAGATATTTCTGCTGCCTAAAAGTCTAATGAGAACAATCGTTGATTTGATCCGTCATGAATCATTCTTAGAATACACCTGTCGTTTCTCCTATAAACATAAATGAATTTATGAGCGACAGAAACGATTTTAAACGTTAATATTACCTTTAGATATGGGTTAATTACCATTCGACTACATAAAATAATAGTAAATTATTAGAAATAATGACGTTCATTTGATATAGAAATTTGAAATATTATAATATAAATAACTTGATACTTGTTTCTTTTTTTTTTTTAATGTAAATTAGATTTGAGTATCAGTTTTCGTATTATTAAAGTATCCTGTTCGACTCTATCCAAGATTCGTAGTTTGGAAGTGAAATACATTTTATTAATTGATTTCTAATGATAAAGTTTGTTTATTTCTGGGTGAATAATGGTAGAAGGAATCATGATTAATGAACCAATAGCACGATTGTTGTCTAAAATAACACAATTAATATTCTGCAATAATCCACTTAAATTCCCCTCGAAAGTGGTTTAGATTTTTTTTTAGATATAACAGCGAAGTGTGTCTGAAAGAAAGGGGAAGATGAAAAATGAAAAAAAAAAGTCTAAAAGAAAATGATGAGTGCCATGAAGTGAAAAAATAAATGAGAGACGAAAAATGTTTTAAAAAGTTTACATTTCCTAAGAAAGTGTGTCGCAGTTACTTGTTATAAAGTCGCATTAGTCATAAGAGTTGTCACAAACTTGGTTAACACGTTGTTAGGAAGATTAGTCAGTTATGTCTCTAAGCAGGTGTGAGTAAAATGAAATAGAAATTTTTTGAATGTATTAAAAACACATAAATATATTTATGAATGATAATGATTGAAAGTTTACTTTAACATGTGTGCAATCAAAAAATTTCTACATCTTATTTTTATGAGACAATTATTAAAGGTATATAATGATAAAAAAGAGAGATACCAAATAATGATGACTAGATTGATTGTCAATAAAGCATTTTTAAAGCAATGGAGTTGTGCTACTTTAAAAAACAATTATAAAGCATTACTTGCAAAAATGATAGTTATTAAAATGGTCATATTAGAGGTCCTTTATTTTTTAGAATTTACCAGTGCTAAAATTTTTTTTCTAGTCAATACATGATTTTAAATTTTTTGCTAAATGCTTGATAATATTTATTACAAAATACAGATAACATTCGAATTTGTTATATCAAGAAAAATAGCGAAATATCACCGGTTGCCACAAGGTTTTAAAAAACTGAAAAAAATAAAAAATTACCAGTTTATAATTATATTAAACTTTTATAAAAATTACAAGTATACTGTAAATCCATGTGAATAAAAAAAACGTACATTAAGTGTGTTCAATATTCAAACTTTAGGTACAAATTATTGCATTTTGTAGTCACTTAAAGGTGCACTAAATTCTATAATTAGTTAAGAATAATTTAATATTCAACATACTTAATGTGAGTTATTTTAACACACTTTTGAAGTCTTGGATTTGCAGTGGAGTAGAGATTTTTAAAAGTATTCAAGAAATTCGAACGGTTTTTGTGTTACTTATACACCTGAAATATATGCTTATATTTAGTAAAAACTAGTTTTGACAAAAAAAGTTTTAATAGCCATCGATATAAGTTAACATGTATGAAAATATCTTTTGTAATATTTAAAGAATGGATTATGATATAAAGGTTAACATACCTGTTTTAGCTGATTTCCTTGTAAGATTTCAAGTTCTTAATATTTTATACTTTTCCTGAAGGATAAACTTAAATTACAGCCTATGGTGCTCTTGAAAGTCGACTCGCCTCGTACGATAAATCCTATTTTTGACGCACAAGTGAGTGTTCCAAGGTTCACCAGTTCAATTATATTAACAGTCTATGTTTCCCTCTCATTTTTGTGAACTTATTTTTCATCACTGTTTGTTTTTTCTCTATTCTTTTAGTTTATCATTGATATTAATATCATCACCAATGTATATTATTCTATCACTAATTAATACTTAATGTAGCAAATTTGTTTCAGGTGGATAGACGATGAGTGCTTCTATCGTTTGTTTATTTTTTTTGCTTGCCAGTGGACTAACTTATGCTGTGCCTAATGAGGGTGTATATTTTGGAACGCAAAACCTTATACTGACTGACAGGAACCCCATACCAACGAAATGTATATATAATACATTTCAAAAAATGTTACAAGCTATGTGTGCTAATCTTAATTTCAATCAACTTCCCCCGAGATTACGGAAAGACACTCAGGTATAAATAACGTTTCATTTTAATATAACAAAGTTAAGTTAATATTATTAGATTCCAATAAATAGAAATAGTAACTTGAAAATTTATTCAGAATAATAATATAAATAAAATATTTTCTTGTTATTCAGATTTTAGATTTCTCAGGAAATAGATTACGTGATCTCAAGAATGATACACTTTCATCATTTACAAGTTTATCATTCATATACTTTACGGACAATTTCTTCACAGACATCGAAGATGCAGCATTTGTTAATTTAAAGAAACTTGAAGTATTGGATTTATCAAAAAATGCATTAAGCGACATTCCTAAGAATATTTTTGCATTGCCAGCCATAAGAATAATATATTTAAGTGAAAATAAACTGGGCGATAATGCTATGGATCCTACTCCATTTGCTGATGAATCAACACTTCAAATTCTGGATGTCTCAAAAAATCATCTAACTAAGCTACCTCGATTAGGAATATTACCTTATCTGAAACGCTTAAATGTTTCTAGAAATTTAATAACAAACTTGAAAACTGAAGATATAGCAGCTTTCTGCACTCTGAAAGTTCTTGATCTCTCACATAATCCAATCATTTTTACTGACCATTGCGAGTGTCAAGCAATCAATGCATGGATTGTAGCTCGAAATATAACCATGTTTCCACCAAAATTCAACTGCACTGATGAAAAACGGAGTGATGGATTAAGAACACCTTGGTGTACTCGTCAACCCGTTAATGAATTAGTGTCAAATGAAACTCTCAAGATATATGATAATTGTAAAAATGTTCTTAAGATACAAGAACAAACGGTTAAAGCAAGATCTACATGGATTCTTGTGGTATCTTGTATTGCAGCATTTCTCATGTGTTTATTTATTATTCTTTATTGTATTCATAGGCACAATAAGAAAAAAAAGTCAGTAAATATTAAACGAGATTTAGTAATTAATCGTGCCGATGATGGATTACTTAAAGGAAATAATGTTACTGAACCAGCAGAATAATTAAATTTCTTAATTTCTATCTTAGTTTCAATTTTAATTTTATGAATCCTTTGTACAAATTCATAATAAGCTTATTTATTATTATTTAATATAAAAAATTTATATTTACGTAAAATTGTAATATGTGTGGTATGTATACGCATATTTTGTGTAAAAAATGTAATTTGATCACATTTTTTAAATGAATAATATGAAACAGAATTGAACTTTCTTAACAGTTATGTAAGAATTACAATTCATTTGTCTTCAAGTCAGATTTATTATTCATATTAAACTCAAATTTATTATATGAATATGAAAAACTAACATAGATATGTGTTTTGTCGAAGAGTCTTTATGTTTCTCATAAATGTATTAAACTTTAAAATTGATGTATATAAAAGTATTCTATTAAATATTCTTTAGCTATTATTATTAATTATTATTCTTTATATATAGTTTTTATTATAAAATAGATGTGTATTGTTTACATAATTATTTCTGTATAAATATTTTTTTTTACCTCAGTAAATTTCAATAAGTAAATTAAAATATATTTTTATTACATTATTTTATAGATTTTGATTGATTTTACACTTAATCTTAGTTTTTAATACTTATAATTTGTTTTTTATTATAATAAGGTTTCAATAAATCTATTCCTTCTATTATTTACGAATCGTCTTCAGATAGAGAAATAATATCTAAATTTTTGTTTTGTGTTTTTTTATCTACCAGTAATTTACTACTTACAGGTTTTCGCGTAGTTTTACTACTCATAATCAATGAATCATCCGATAAACTTTCTTCTGCAGAAGTTGGATATGAAGATGGATAAACAACTTTATTCATAACAATTTTCTTTTTACCTTTAGGTTGAGGCTTTTTTGAATTTGTTTTTTTTGTTGTAGAAGATTTATTCTTTTTTGTAGGACGTTGAACAGTTCGTTGCTTATTTACTGATTCATTATCAGATAAATGATCGGTGGAATCATCATTATTAAGATCAATAATTTTTCTCCTATTTTTTTTTGATTTTTGTTTAGTTGACTTCATAGAAATTGTAGAATCACTACTAATTATTGAGTGAATTGGTGATGGTGGAATTACTTCTTCTGATGATGAAATTATAGAGTTTCGACTAGAACACTTCTTTATAGAAGTAGTGGGATTTTTGACAGGCGTCAAAGACCGATCCTTAGAAGTTTTACTTCTCAAAGTTCGAGAATTTTTAACTGGCGTCGGAGAACAGTCTTTAGAAGTAGATTTATTCTTAGAAGTACTAGGATGGTCTGTAAATGTACATGAATTTTCTTCTATAGAAGAAAAAGAATCGTTTACTGGATTAGAATTATGGTTGACAAGAAGAGGACTATACTCTCTGACTGTAGAAGGATTGTTTTTTGAAGCAAAAAGCACCTTTGATGATTCATGATTATCTTCTTCAGAGGATAGCACATGGCTGAAAGATAGAAAATGAATCACGTATTTAATATTACAATTATTATCCTTTTCTGTCAATAGATAATACGCAATTGTTATTTACACATGGTGAGTGAATTTAGAAAAGGAATAAAATATTTCAATATAAAAATCTTTTACTCACAGAGACAAAGAATTCACTTTATCAATTTTTTCGTTTCCAAGTAGTAATTCATCTCCATCAAGATTGTTTTGACTAGAATTAATAAAGTAATTTATTATTATTGAAAAAGATCTTAAATAATTAAAAAAATATTAACTAACCTTTCTTGCAAAATTGTATCAGCACTATGTGCACTACACTCAGATGACGATTCATCATCTGTTTGAGTATAAATTTCTCTTTGCTGAAGTAGATCTGGAGACAATCTAGCACAAAAATCACCTTTAAATAATTCAACATTTACGTAAATTCTATTATTTTTAGCTTCCGTAGCCATTGTTTACATTTTGTATTGTATTTATTTGCGCCTTATGAAAAAAAACCGTAACTGTTACCTTTCGTATACATTGATATTTTCTTTGGTGGCGTTTAAACATGCTTGAACAGATGTCGTTGATGATGTTCATTGAAATTTTTTGGGGAACTATATCATCAATTATATCAATCTGGTCTTTTCTGATTATACACACAAAAAATTGCGGTGTAGAGGTTAAGAATTTCCGTATAGTTGATAGTAAACATTCTTTAAATTTGTTGATAATTTTTTTAATATATAACAAAATACTTTTAATTACAATTAATTTAAAATTATCAAGTTCAATCATTACATATCTTCTAATACAGTTTGGAATAAATGAATATTTGTGTTGTTCGTTTTAAGGTTAATAATATTAATTAACCAATTTAAGCAAAAAATTTATCATTATTAGTTAACTATTTATACGAAAATTAAAAATGACTCCTCCAATGGAAAGGATTCAAATTTTAGAATCAATTGAAAAAGATATTATCATTTGTTTACAAAGTGCTGGTAGGCAAGAAATGTTATCACTGTTCATTTAAAATTTAAATAATATATTAATTATTGTATTTACTTTGTTGAAAAAAAAATTTAATTGTTGATAGAAAAACTTTATTACAGGTCAAGCATTTATGGAGTTAAGCAAAGAGAAATCTAGTTTAAAACAAGCGGAGGGACAGACTCATCAGTTTTTAAAGACATTGGGTCAAGTTGAATCTAAATTGAGTGAACAAATTAATTATCTCACTCAAGTATCGACAGGTATTATATATGAAATATTTCAATACATCTGAGAATCTTTATTATTATCTAAAAAAATTCTAAATTGTAAGGTAATAATTTTATTTTTATTTTTCAGGACAACCACATGAAGGATCCGGATATGCAAGTCAGAAAGTGCTACAAATGGCTTGGCATAGACTGGAACATGTCCGAAGTAGAGTAAATGAATTAGAACGTATTAAAAATAAACATCTTCACGGAAGGGCAAATATCAGACCTACACAACCTGCTGCAAGTGCACAAGTACAAATGCCGCAATCTAATACATCTTAGTAGTAATTAATGATTTTTGTCTTGGAAAACAATAAATTATTAACTGATTAATAACGGATTATACAAATAAATAATTTCATAAAAATCGTGTAAGTATTTATCCAATATTCTTTTTTATACAATAATTCTGTCTTAACAAATGTAATAAAATATACACATTTAAAAAATATTTTTACTTAACGTAAAAAGTTTTTTTATATAAAAATATATAATAGTAAAAAATCAAAAAATATTACAAATTATTTTTATCAACTTCATACAATTCCCATTGTATTTTTTCAGTTACATTAACTGCACCTCTACGTTTATAAAATTCTTTGGCAGGGTTAGATTTCAAAGTCAGAAATTGAAGTCGAGCACAACCCTCACTTTTGGCTCTCTAAAAATTATTTTTCTAAATCATTCCATAAATCCAACTTTTAAATAATGAAAAAAAAAATGTATTTACTTTTTTTACAGCATCATATAATAAAGAACCAATTCCTTTATTTCTAAACTCTGATTTGACATAAAGTTCATCAAGAAACATACACTTTCCACGCCAGCTTGAAAATGTATCATAATAAATTGCATGTCCAACTAAATCTCCGTTGAATTCAGCAACAAATGCATAGAAACGTGGATTTTCTCCAAATGCATATTTCTGTAAATCTTTAAAAATTAAATTAATATTATATATAAAAAATGATTTTATGTATATTTTACCTTCAGAATTAAGTTCTATAGCATCTGGCATTTCTTGAAAATCTGCTAATTCCTGAATTAATTTTTATAAATGAAATTAACAATATAAACTGAACTAACAAAATTTTAAATATAATTCCATCTCAAAAATAAATCAAATGTGTAACCAAGTTAATTATTTCAATACCTGCATTAACTTTCTGAGAGAAACACAATCTTCTCGTCGTAATTCTCGAATTTTTATATCTTCCATTATTTTAGAATTTTGATTAAGTAAAAATGAACTTTTTTCAAATTATTAAAAAAATCTCTATTGAATAAGATTGTTATTTTAATAATTATCTTGTTATAAATTTTAATCTTGATTATAGGAGCAGAACAATGTGTAAATTCTCACTATACCAATAAGCTTTTTCTATTTCCATTAGATTCAGCCAATCAAAGGGAAGCTTCAAAAGAATGGCTCTAAAAAAAAGCGTAATAGTCAATCGAGCGGCGAAATAGCTGCAGCCACGTCTTCGTGACCGCCACGTTTACGTCGATTGTGTTTAATCCTAGTCGCCGGTAAACAGACTGAATTAACAAAAAATCAATTAGAAAAATATAAACGCCTTGAAAAATGGCTCGAAATCAGAGCTTATTTATTTTATTCATATTAATAAATACTTATGTTATTTGTTTAAATGCTCTCGATCAAGTGGATCCAGGTGTGGTGCTGAAAAACGTCGACAGAACAATCGATCTTCAGTCACAAGTAACAAAGATTACAACCAAATTAGTGATAGAAAATGGAGCAAAAACTCATTTGAAGCATTTCTTTTTTGCTATTGAAGCAGATAAGAAACCTAACCTCGCTTACATTGATGCTCACACTCGTGATGCCAGTAAAACTGTTCTACAAATATCAGAGACAAAACTAGAAGGATATCCAGAAAAAGTTTATTGTATTGAACTTAAAGATTCTGTTCAGCCAGGAAGATCAACTTCAGTTGAAGTAGAAACATTTTATACTCACGAATTAGATCCATATCCCAAAGAAATACCTCAGAAAGAGAAACAGTTAGTAAAATATACCGGAAATGTTGTTCTTTTTTCACCATACACTGTGTTGAAGCAGACAACTAATGTTATTTTACCTTCTAAAAACATTGAAAGTTTCACGAAGATTAAACCAGTCTCTTCCAATGAGCATACAGTAGTTTATGGACCATTTGATAAACGTGTACCATTCACTTACGAAGAAATTACTGTTCATTTTGAGAATAACAATAAATTTCTCACTGTCACTAGGTTAGAACGAGTGATAGAAATCTCACATTGGGGAAATATTGCAGTAGAAGAAACCATTGATCTTCTACATACTGGAGCTTTACTCAAAGGATCATTTTCTCGATATGAATATACGAGAGAGTCAAAATCTGGCCAATCTAGTATCCAGAGTTTTGACACAGTTCTTCCAGCAGCTGCATCTGACATTTATTATCGAGATGATATTGGTAATATTTCAACTTCTCATACTAGAATCAAGAAAGACTCTGTAGAGGTTAATTTAAGACCACGATTTCCACTGTTTGGAGGCTGGAAAACCCACTATATTCTTGGATACAATGTTCCTAGCTACGAATACTTGTTTCATAATGGAGATGAATATGTTCTTCGTATGCGATTACTAGATCATGTATTCGACGATATGGTTGTTGATGAATTAATCGTCAAAATAATTTTACCCGAAGGATCGAAAAATTTTCAACTAGAACTTCCATATCCAGCAACTCGTCTACCTGACTCTTGGCATTATTCTTACCTTGACACAACTGGACGTCCTGTTATTTCAATCACAAAAAAGAATTTAGTTGAGAATCACATCCAGAACTTCAGTTTGAAATATACTTTCCCAAGATTACTAATGCTTCAAGAGCCACTTCTTGTTGTTGTAGCTCTTTATCTTCTCTTCCTTCTGGTAATTGTCTACGTCCGTTTAGACTTTTCTATTGATAAAGACGAGGTTTCTGAAGGAAAATTACGCATCGCTGGACAATGTGAAAAGATCTTGGCAGCTCAAGATAAAAGAGTCACTTCTTATAATGAGTTAGATGAACAATTAGTTTATTTAAAAGCTAATAAAGATACTAATGCTTTTCTCTCTGCTATGAAAAGTATCAATCAAGAGTACAAAAATGCTACGAATAATATTACCGAACTTGCTCAAAAACTCAAAGGAGATTCTAATGATGTTTATGAGCGTGTACAAGAACTTCAAAAATATGATAAACAGCTTAAAGAACTTTACAATCAACAACAAGCTTTGTATGTTGATAAACTTGTTCCAGGAAAAATTAGTCGTACGCAGTTCGTTGAAACAGAATCAGTAATAACGAAGAAAAAAGAAGAATGTGTTGAAAAAATTAATTCAATTATTAAATCTCTTCAGTAATAAATGAATAATAATTAATGGTCACTTAGTGAGAACATCGAATATTGATGGCATCTTAGCCTTTAAAAAAAAAGTAAAGAGACTTCGAAACTTATTTTTAAGATTCATATAAATAAATACATTTCACAATATTATCATTTAAACATGTTTGTAATAAAGAAGTTATGTACTTTCTAAGCTTGTCTTTTTCATTTGTTCCTACCTTACATAAGACTTGCGTGCAGTTTTTTAAAGTAAATTGATTAAAAATTTTATCTATGAAAAATCATTGGTTCTTAAGTTCTATATAAGTTTCAGATCTATTACATTCATTGGCTATATTTCAAATCAAGACGTACAATAGTAAAGAATAATTTGTAAGTATAAAAAGCTGTTCCAGTACGTTTGCGCGATGCATGCAGACATGATCCGCAGAATTCATGGTTGCCGCATATTCTCCCACTGTTCACCTGACTACAACTATTATCCATGTGTCAGAGGAGCCGCCGGTCAAACAACGGACACCTGCTAATCTACTGTCTTACGGTGTCTGCTTTGCCGGGCTTTTCTTTTTAAGTCGTATGCCCGGTTTAAGGATGACGAATTTACGTAAATTTATTGGTAAGATGAAAAATTTTATCCTCTAATCATTCTTTTTGGAGTAATGAAAGAACTATACGTTGCCTCAAAAGAAGGTTATGTTTTCTCTTATGTAGAAACTCTTTTAAAGTTCATTGTTTGGAAATTTTTATTACTTCCTACTTTTATTTTCATTTTGTTAATTACTTATTGTTTGTGTGTTTACTTATTCATTTTTTAGATATTGGAGCAAATTTGCTCGATCCAATGTATCAAGGCATTTACAATGGATCACAAAAGCATCCACCAGATTTAGAAATTGTGTTGACTCGAAGTTGGGAAAATAATTTGTCAAGAATTATAATCACTGCTGGCAGTCTTGCAGAAAGCAGAAAAGCTTTGGAGCTTGCGAGAACAGACGGTAAATAATTCCTCATATTTTTGGATTTAAAAAAGTGCTTCTTGATGACCTATTTCACAAAAATCATCCATCTTATTGAGTCAATGTAATGGTAAATAAATTATTTAGTAACTAGATAAATGAAATGATAAATTTTTTAGTTTATTATTTATTCAAATACCATTACTAATTAGCTAAAATAAAATGATTGGTTATTTAAAATTTTTTTAATTATGCAATTGATTTTACTGATAGTAATAAAATAGTTTAATAGTAATGACTAGTTTTTTAATTTGTTTATTAAATTATTTTTTTCCCTTATAGCTAGGTTATTCACAACAATAGGATGTCATCCAACAAGATGTAATGAATTTGAAGAATCGGGTGATCCTGAATCATATTTAAAATCGATGATTGATCTTGCTTCGAATAATCGAGAAAAAATCGTAGCAATAGGAGAAATAGGATTAGATTATGATCGAACAAATTTTTGCTCTAAGGATACTCAAAAAAAATACTTTGAGATGCAGCTCTCTATGTGTTCATCTTTGAAACTTCCAATGTTTTTACACTGTCGAAATGCGTCTGAAGACTTTATATATATATTAAGGAAACATAAAGATGAGCTTAGCGAAGGTGTCGTCCATTCTTTCGATGGCAACCCAGAAGAGGCAAATAGTATTTTGCAATTAGGCTTATACATTGGCATTAATGGATGGTATTTACTGATTAATTTATTTCTTTATTGTTCTTACACATTCATTAATACATTTTTATAATTAGAAAAATTATTAGTAAACTTAACTATTTATTTTACAGTTCACTCAAAACAGAAGATAATTTATTTACAGTAACAACCATTCCCTCAGATAAATTAATGATTGAAACTGACTGCCCTTGGTGCGAAATTCGGCCCACTCATGCATCAGTCAAGGATGTTATAACACATTTTCCTTCAGTGAAAAAAGAAAAGTGGCAAGAAGATAAGATGATAAAAGGTCGTAATGAGCCTTGTACAATAGTGTAAGTTACATAAATACATAAAGTCTCAAATATTTTCATTAATAATTCAATTCATGTATTGCTTTTTTTTATAATTATATGATAATACTCATTTTTTTTTAAATGTATGGTATTGAACATTTGTCGTATTTTTAAGTTTTTTTAATTTATTTATAGATTTCAGTAACTTTTAGAAAAAATTTATGTATTTAATTAATTTTAATATTTCATTAAGTTCATTTTTTATAATTAATACTTAAATTAGTGAACTTCATTTTTATTTTCACAGTCAAATACTGGAGGTTCTTGCACGCGTAAGAGACGAAGAAGAAGAGTATTTGTGTAACCAAATATATAAAAATTCAATGAAAGTGTTCTTTCCCCACGAACTGTAACAATACAATTATTTTTGGTGATTATTATACTACATAAGACAAAACATTTGCGAAATTGGAATTGACATTCGAAACGCCCATTATTTGTGGAGTTAGCGTCTTGCCTCAAAGTTTTTTTAGACGAAAACGTTTTTGCTAAACAAAAAGATGCATTTTTGTAGTAAACATAAAAATAAATTTGAAAAAGGAAGGAGGAGTGGAAGTTTGGAGTACAATAGAGCTTAAGTCGAGCTAAGATCTCTTTTCACTTAAAGTAAAAATTAATATATTCTTGTTAAGATTCTAATCATTATGTAACCATCGCCATTAATGTAATGATGACAACTGTATTTATCAATATTATTCTCTTATTATTGCGATAACCATTTCGACTTCAATTCATTATTATATTTCTTTTGTACATCTTCTCATTTTAGTTGAACAGTTTTGTATATTTTTCCCATATTATATAATTATTTATTATAATATAATTGTCTTCTAAAAACAAATTATACTATGAAACAATTTTATGTTTAATTTTTCGCACACAAACACTTTCTAGCTTTCGATAAACAAAAAATCACACCCATGAATATACAAAATACTATTTAATTAGTTGAGGCTGCTTTAGAGCTTTAACTCCTTTTATATGTCTCTCGCTATTATTATACTTCTATCGTTTGTTTTTATCTCTTATCCTTTGTGAATATTAACGTCCAAGATGATACTCAATCAATTAAAAACTCATATCGTCGAAAATTATTTAGACTTCACATGATTCAATTGATTTTTGGGATAAGAAAAAAAAAGAAGAAATCCAAAAGATATGATACATTTTTCAAAATATCACAGGTAGAATAACACAATTATCGCTTTAATTATGCAGCCTCCCATTACTGGTCGTCTCATGAAATAAATGCTGGAATATTAGAAGTAAATCGTTTTCTTTATGTTTGTTTCTTTTTTTTTATGTTAATCAATAGACTATTCGTCTTTTTTTGTATAATGCTTCACAAATGCATAAAATTTATTGGACCTTTGATAACGTTTGAACTTTTTCGTAAACCCAATCATAAGTTTGACTCGCATATGTTTGAGTTGATTTCAAAGCTTTTGTTGCAAATCCACGGATGTTTTCAGGACTTAAATTCCCACTAAAAATTACAGAACATATTGATTTTTATTTTGTTAAATAGTCAATAATCTTTAAATTTGATTGCTAAATTTTACTTACACAAAAACACTCGTTTGTAACCACCTCACTAGATTGGATGATTGTTGCACAATATACTCAGTCGTTAGAGCTGAATATTTTTTTACTACTTCGAATTGTTTTATTGCTGTTGTTTGGAATGTATTTAGCCAGCCAGGAAAATAGTATTCAATCTACAACAAAGTAAATAATAGGTTACAAACAATCCATTAACACAAATATCCGTTAAAGTAAGGTTTTTAAGTTCATTGATACATACGCTTTCAGTTACAACGGGTTTTTTTTCTTCAACAAATTGCATAGTATTATTATATAATCGTCCTACTGCATTTCTGCCAACAAGGTAGAAGTCTCCAGCCAGCTTAGTATACTGTCGACCAAATTTTGATGCAGATTTGTAATAATCAGGATAGTTAGTTTCCAAATATGCTAAGCCTTGGTTAGAATAAAGTTTTGTTGTAGACCAAGCTTTTTGTCCGTAATTGACAACCCCACTGGTTCTTATAAATCTACCAGTAGTAGAAGCTATAAGTCAAATAAATTAAACAAATATTTAAACTTTATGTTCTATAAATAATCATTTGAGTTATTGATTTATTCATTAAAATTAAAAAAAAAAGAAGTAATATGTAAAGGCAATAATTTGTTAACCTTTCAACGTAAAATGCCACATCCTATTCGAACTTTTCCGATTGAGTTTTTTGTGTATTCATGTTTCTTCGATTTCAAAAAAATCTTAACCATAAAATAAAGTAGCTTACCTTCAAATGAGCCATGATTTCTGCAATCAAATGCCACCACAGCTCCAATCAGGATTAAAAGAAGAATCGAGCCCTTCCTCCAAGGGAAAGATTTACCTTTTTTCGACGTCGCAGACATTTTGTTAAATAAAGCCTAAAAAAATAATCAAACATATAAATAAGTATAAAGAATTTTGAAATGCTATCAGAAATAAGTTAAACTGGTTATGTTTCCATGAATAGTTTCAAGAAATTCACTACTGAGAATTAAATCGAAAGTGTTGGGAAAAACTAATTGAAACTTAGTTCAGAGAAAGCGGTATGTTTGAGTAATAAATAATTTTCTGTCTTTTTACCTTTAGTACGTAAAGTTAAATAATACAATTTTTTATAGATATATAAGAAAACTAGACGAAATCAGTCGAAAATATCGAAAAAAGGCTGCAAAAATTACGATTTCGTGTCGTCACAAGCACACAACAAGGGGCAAACGTACCGATCGATATTTGTCCCTCCCTTTTCTAGACGAATCGTTCGTCTAACCTCACCTTGTCACTTTTGAATGCCTGAAGCAATACACTAAACGCAAACAACACTACTATTCCCCCTTTTTTGCCCCCTGACCTTAATGCCGATTATATTATCATATAAAACTGTATAGAACGTACTAATTGTTTATACATTACGTTCAGACTCACGAATCTTACACATTCTTTTGACACTTTAATAGTCATTTGTGTTCCAAAAAGTATGCTATAGTTTAATCTTCTTCGGGGTTAAACATATTTATCAATGATCATTTCAATGTCAAATATATAAATTATTGATAATCCACAGAAATTAAAAAATGTTTTAATGTTCATAAGGACGAAATTAACTTTACATAAGAAAAATAATCAGAGAACATACGTACTTTTCTGGAGATTCTACGCAGTTCGTGACAATACTACGTTCTATATCTATGGAAAATCCACCACTACTCATTATAAAAACAGAGTAGGAAAATAATCATTTACGAGTTTGCAAAGTAGGTATTCTGAGTCATCAATATTATTTATGTTATAATTAATTATGTTTCTTAATGCTCTATTTTGGAAAAGTTGATAGCGATAACAACGAATACCGAGTAAAAGATTATTAGATCATTAATTAATTTTATTTTTTAGAAAAGCAATTTTGTAAATTTAATGTTAAATATTTAAATAGAGATTGAATACTATAAATTTAATAGGTACTAGTATTTGCACTAAGTTTAGAGTTACAATTTAAAAAAAAATTAATTAAAGCTCACCTCAGCCTTCTTGTGACAAGCTATCATTAAAGAATCTTCTTTGCTTTTTTTCGATTTTGTTTTTGTTACTTGGAAGACGGTCAGTAATTCTCTGAGTGATTTTGCATCTATTTCTGAACTGATTGAATCCCAGTCCTTAGCTAAAATGTTGATTTAAAGATGATGAAAATCAATAAAAAATTATCTTTTAAAGTCTAATAAAACGAACTGCAAATTTTATAAAAGCTAAAAAAAATAAATAATTTTACTGAGCTGTTCGATGAGTAGTTCAGATTGAAAAAGTCTCTTTGGATATAATTTTTCCCACGATAAAATACATCTGGAATCATGTGCTATACAAGTTGTTAATGTTTTGAGGAATTCTTCATTACATCGATTAGTTTTTGGAGATATTTTATCGAATATAGTTTCAAAAAATGATTGAATATCGATTTTGTCACTTTTCATAGCTGTTTCCTGTTAAAATTGATATTTTTACGATTAGAACCTTTGTAATTATTAGTGAATAGTTTTTTTATCTTTTTTATGATAAAATTATTTAGAGCATTCGATTATAAAACAATGAATTATTTTGAATTGAATGTAATTTTGTTTATCATTATACGTTATTTAAAATTCTATTTATATTTGTTATCAATTTGATATTCATTGAAAATTTTGAAGGTTGCTTTAAATTAATTTTATTAATGTAAATATAAGTGATTTTCTGAAATAATATTAATCATTGTTAACTAATAATAACTTACTCTTAACATCTTTTGACATCTTCGCAGTTCTCCTATTGCAGTACCATTACTAATGGCAATTTTTCCAGAAACAAGATCATCAACAATTTGGATATACATTTCCGTAGTGCAATTATTTACATTATTATACACATGAGAATTTAAAAGTTCTTCTAATATTTTCATAACATAATGAGAATAATTTCTAGATTCGAGCATGGGTGCCATGACTTCATGCCATAACGTTAAACCAACAGCTAAATTTTTTTTTCCACTCTGTGAAAGAGCCCAAAGTATTGCTAAGCCAATGTTTTTTTTATTCTGGTACGAATTACGGAGAATTATGTGTTTGTCTATATTCATACATGTCATTTCTGGATACATTTGAGCAAGAAGTTGTAAAAAAATTCTACATCCTACACTTGACAATCCAAAAGCCATATTTTTAGCCATTAGTAAAAGAGTTCCTTCATAGAAAATTTGTATATTTTGTTGTCCAGCTGATTTGATAATTTTTTCAAATATCACACGGACTGCTGCTGGAATTAAATGTAGATATGTTTCTGATAAAGCTATGTCTTTTTTGTCTGTTGAAATATTCGAGTTCAAAAATGAAACTAGATCTTTTAACCAAATTAATGGTGCATCAGGAAACCGAGTTCGATTAGTTTCTAACAGCTCATTGACTTGATCAACAGTAACCTACAAACACATATATTAATATTTTAAATCAATTTTTTTTAACTTTCACCCCGAAAAATATATATTATGATAAACTTATGCTTACCTGAAATTTATCTGCAGTTTTAGCCACTTTTTCCTTAGGTTTTGAGTTTTCCTTTTTTTTATTTTGTTGATTCATTTTTTGCTGTTTTTTCTTCTCTTCATTTTCTTTAGTTTTATTTTCTTTATCTTTCGGTGTCTTGTTCTCTTTACTTCCATTGAAATTGTCGTACAATGTTTTGACTTGACTCAATGGAACTAAAAAAAAAAGAAAAACAAATAATATTTAAACAAGACAAGTAGTTGATCCACTTGCTCCAAATTCGCAATGATATTAAATAATATTTACTGAACCGATATTTTATAAGATATTACACAAGTGTGGCCTAGTTAATTCATTACAATAATTAAAACATATGTGTTACAAGTGTACAAATTTCAGGTTACAAAAATCAACTTACGAAAATCTTCAACCTTTGGAGAGTTTTCGATAATCTTTTTCTTTTCAGTTTTTGTAAGTTTAGTATTTTTTGCACCATTTTTATCTTTTTTATTTTTCGTAACTACTTCCCAACCTCCTGAAGACATTGTGCATATGACAAACTGAAAATCTAATACACTACGAAGTTAAATTTTATGTAAGGAAATGAAGGGAAGGCACTTTAGGCATTAGCAGCGTCCAGCTGGCAAATCAACTCCATGATATTTTACCCCTTCCTCAATCAAGTTTTACGTGGACGCGCATGCGCCTCTATCAAAATGCCACGCGCTAATTTACAATATGGTCTTTACCTCCGACAAACTTTATTCTTTTTTATTATACTTCCAAACTATAAACTGTGAACAAGTTACTAAAAAATAATATACTGCGATAATTACTTGCTTCTTAATATTGACTTTTTTGAAATTATTCATTTATTACAATGGATTGGATAATTTTTTTCATGAAATTAAGTACTGAATAAATTTATAACAAGAAATATTTTATTGAGAAATTATATTTTAATAGTTATAAATTAGTTTCATTCAAGAATTCATGTAATATTCATTCACATGTTCGAGTACATTCCAATAATTTATTTGAGTAAATATACTTAAAAATAAATAAATTACCAGTTAAACTAAATTAACAGAATAACACTAGTTTATTGAATAAATTAAGAAATAATATCATAAATCGAAAGTTATCAAAGCTATATCATTACATTTAATTTCAGTCGTTAACAAATTAACCAATTTACTTAGATGTAATCTAAACGTTCGGTTGGCTCGATGTGACACAGCCGAATATTAAAATACATCAGCTATGCCGACATCTTGCCTCCTAGACGTTCAGTTGAATTTTAATATCCATATGATGTTAATTTTCTACCTTATTGAAGAATAATATGACTTCTGGAAATATTATGAAAAATATAAAAAATTCAATATAGCTTAGAATTTCGGCAATAAAGTTTGTTCTGAATAGTTCTTTGAAACATAACACATTATAAGGTATGATTTTTTTAATCTAACTTGTAATTCTGTTAACTGATTGTAACATGACACTTATATTTTGCAGACATTTCATTTTGATAAACTGATGACCTCGCTCCTTGCAGTGTGTCAGGTGAAATAACAAAAAAATCATTACTCCCCATGGTTTTTTATTGTTTCGAATGCTAAAAAAATATATAAACATCGTTTTAAGAATAAAGAATATTATCTTCTAACACACTATACAACTATTCATTGAATATTTATTAAAAAAATTATTATAACTGATTATGATATTAATTTAGGAAAAAAGTTAAGCAAAATAAAATAATAATGTTGAAGATCTTACTTTAAAGTGAATACTTTCAATAAAATGTCAAAGTTGATACAAAGTTTCTATATTCCAGTGCTTCTAGTTTCCATGACGAGTTCTGCCGAAGAACTGACGGTGTAAGTATTCTTGAAGAACAACAGAGGAATCTTGAAACCTTGCTGGTTACCACGTTGCCCTGACGAAGACTAGAGGGGACGTTAAAGCGTCTTTACAATTCATTGGTTACTGGCTGGCCCTGTCTCAAGCCCTCAAACCATTCCTTCTTTCTTCTTCATCTTGTATAGTTACCACCTTGCCATGCTAATGAAAATTCCACCACGCACGTCAAGTTATGATAATCTTGGGAGGGATGTTTAGCTGTAAAAGATAACCTAAGCAGAATTATTTGATATTGATGGCTGTTGATGAATATCAATATTTAGAAGTGTTACACTAATTAATAATTAGATATTAATAGCTAAAAAACTTTAATAATGGTAATTAATTAATGATATAACTAGTATAAGAGTTAAATATTAATCAATTGTTAAGGTTACTATCCCAGAAAATTGATGTGAAAAAATTATTAAAAAGATTTGCAGACAAAGATATGAAGATAGATTGCATGAGCACGCGCATGAGGACTCGTCCGTGACTTCCGGTGTTGTTGGTGGTGGATTTCGTGTGGCTACAGTTGACCGGATATGGTGAAGAATTAAAGAAACCTGTGGCATTAGTCAGGTCATCAAGTTTCTCATGCCAATCACGCAATGCCTGTACTAAATACCATCTTAACGTATTGGTGATATATACTTAATGAAAATAGATATTAAAAGACACTCTCAAATTTTGATACTGTAATTGACGAATCCACAAGTGCATTTGACGCTGTTACTTTTATTTCCTGTCAACCAACCAAGTTTCTCAATCATTATTACTTATCATAACTTACTTTTTTCCAAATAATCACTTAGGAATGCTTTCAATAATTTTAAGTTAACAATTTTTTACTCCAAATTAAATGAATTAAATTTTTGAATACATCAAAGGCTCAAAATACTTGAAAAAGATATTCAAATTCTTCAATTGTCAATTCTCGTCACGTTGTCGTCAGGAATGCGTCGAAGAGATCATTGATCACTTCATTTGATTAAAAACAATCTTCTTTTATTGACTCCAAGGTAAATTGATTATTAAAATAATTCTTGGTATTTACGTATTTATTTAAATGTTATTCTAATTGATAAGTGATTATTGTGATATATGACTGTATTTACAGGTATAAAGAATCAAATAATGACTTAATTAGTAAGCAAGTCGAAGCAATCATGTGTCCATTTATCAGAGAAAGTACTTTTATATTAATGGTAACTTCTAACAATGCTTTCGCGTTTATTCTCTTGGTCTCTTTTATTGTTCTGAATAGTCTTAGACTATTTGCCGGCGTCAGGTAGTGAGGACCCATAGGGAATAATTAATCAGTACGCCGAACACGTAGGGTGCGCACATAAGTCCATAAAAAGTTTGTGAATACGAAAAGGAACGTTGATGTATGTGCTTCATCCGGTCCATCAAACTTAGTTCACTATAAAATTTTAAATTTTTTATTTTAAATAAAATTATTTTTCAACTTAAAAATAAAAAGGAAAATATTATTAAAAATTATTCTATAGTTTTCCATAACTTTTTGAATGATTCATTTCATTGTAAAGTTGCTTTTGTAATGAGGACAAAGCTTTTCTTACTTCTTCAGGCGCGGCTAATCGTTGAGGAAAAAAAAAAGTGAAAAAGAAAAAATAAACACGAAAAAAGAGAACATAAATATACATATATGAGTAAGAAAACTGATAAAGAAAAGCTACAAAGTCACGTTAAGGTGTCATGAACGAAGACAAAATATATTCATAGATATATTGTTATGCTTTCGATACATATGTCTATATATAATATTCATGAAGTCAGTTTCAAATAAAATATATTTATGTAGAGATATCAGCAGGTGAAAACATTTATCTTTTGAGATCATTCCAGAAAAAGTTTATCATTAATACGTGTTAAATTTGAAAAAAATGAATGATCTGTCTTTAATTTCCTTAACACGTACTCTAAAAACTATGTTTATATTAATTCATAGCTCAAGTAAGTGATTGTATGATACATAACATATGATAAAACACGAAATAAGATAACAGCTTGAGTATAAAATTAGAGATAACAATAATGACCATTTTTTTCTTAGGATGAATAGAAACATCGTAAATATCAATTGGTTTTTTTTTTTTTTTTTAATAATTAACAATCATAACAAAAGATACTTTTAAATCCATTGAGAGATAATAATTGCATGAATTTGCTATTCAAAAGGTAAATTCAATTAAAAAAAAAAGAGATGAACTGGAATAGAGAAAATTGATTATGACACCTTCGTGTAATATTTAGAATATTTGAAAAAATTTTAAATAAAAGTAGGCCGTGTAAATGAAACAGATCCGTCATTATTGCCTAGAAGACTTGGAAACGTGCTAATTGACAAACAAACAGGTACAGTATTTCTGTGTGAACTCATTGCAGGAACATTGAAAGAAAAAGCCACTGTGAAGGTTGAGGATGAAAAAATAATTATACACTTACTTGAAAAAAAAAAAAAATAATAACAATAAATATCTGAAGCAGTAATTTGGTTATAATTAAGAAAAATTTGATATAAATTAAATTCTACAACCACAAATTTCAATCAATTAAATGATGATACTATCAGATAATATGATATTGCGAATCAGATGATCGGTAGTTGATTAGAAGAAGCTAGTTAATATTGATTAGCAGGAAGAGAACTTGTTTTAAATCTAACTAGAAAAGAATTCGTGATGGTAATTTTGCTGTTGCATTCACTCACACGTCCTCGCTAATTCTACAATAATTTTACGGGAATAATTAAGTCGAGTTCAAACCCACGTGGTAACTAGTTACATCTAAAGAATAATTTGAATACGTTCATACTCTTCATTTAAATATTTTTTTTATAAATAGCTATTTTTATTTTAAATAATATTTATTTATTCTAATAAAAATAATTATTAATAATGATAAAAAAAAAATACCTTTTTCATTGTCAAAGTAGATATTAGTTTCAGATCACGAGATAAACACTGTCAATTTTACAGTTTTAAAAACGATTCATGAGTGAAAAAATGAACGTGTCGTACTTGAGCACCGTCAGCGAACGACTCTCGTTGAATTTGTTCGAAGAGTTGAGGCGAGAAAGAGACAAAGAGTTGAATATATGACAAAGAGACTCGAATCGCAACGACCAGGAAATCGGTCTCGCCTTACCGGACACCAGTACGTCAATATTGACGCATTTCTTATGAGACACGAAACCTTTTGAGATGTCCAACTAAACCATTAACTTCTTTTGGGAAAAAACTTGGCCTTAAAAAAATAATAAAAATCGACAGCAAAATATTCTTTCGATGACGGACAAATTGAAATAAATTGAGAACAAAAAATATTTCAAACTGATAATATTTTTAGTTAACCGTCATGGTATAGATAAAAAAGCTGCAAATATGCAATGGCAATACGCAACCGGATTCCTGTGGAAAAAGCCGGAAATTAGCCGAACATTTAGCTTCCGTTGAATGCATGATATGATAAAAGAATCAATCTGGGAACGTCTCAAATGGCCTACTTTATCAATTAGATGTCAAACATAAAAAAGTTTAACAATTATTAGTATCAATTGACACATTTCAACGATTCATTTGAATTAATTTAGCAACAATTAACAATGATGTGTAATGAAGAAAACATGATTGAAAATAGAACAATAACAATTCAAAAATATCTTCTTCATGATCAATAACTTATTTGTTCCTATTTATAGTATTTGTAACGCAATTATTGTTTACTAACTATAATAAATATTAAACACTTTTATTTTTTACAAAAATTTTTATTGTTAGTAGTTTCATTAAAATAAAAAAAAACAGGCAATCTGTGTAAATCAACTTGTTTTCATAATATAGAATAATGAAGAAATAAACCATTATAATTATTAACTGGTTATTTTTAATTTATTTTTATAAATAATTTCATCTCGTAATATAAAGTATTACAATATTGTGAGTAAAATTTGGGATTTTTGATGAAGTTAATAAATGTTGAGGCTATTTTAAAGACATTATTTTATAATTTAAATATAATTTTATAACAAATTGTTCCTTTTTTATACATAATTATTGGGCTATCATTTTGAGCCGTAATCGTTCGTTGCAAGTGTGACGAAGTTTTAAATGATTAAATATATAAATGTATACATATTTTTTCGTTAATTTACAATAATAAAATATAAAATTATCAAAAATTATTGTTCAAAGAAATGATATGTATAAGAACACAATAAATAATTTTTTAATGATTGACCTTAAATATTATTTTTTAGTTAATAAATTAAATACATATATAAATTTTTTAAAATATGTAAAAAATAATGTATTAAATTTCAATTTATTTTCTTGAAATTATTCATTTGTTTTTCGTAAATAAAAATTTTATACCGACAACAATTATAATTGTCTCTATGATTGTTTTACCGTTCACTTTTGACAATTGAGTACTGTAACAACGTTTTTAACAACTAGTTAATGTCAAAGGATTTACTGTACATAACATTAGAGCTACGTACTTTTGGTATTTATCACTGAGTTTTATGCGTGAAATCATTCGAACCTTATTTTTAATTTTATCGTCGATATGAATTCACTAATCTTTAAGATTTTATATTTACTCATCACATATTTGGTAGTAAAATTTCAATAACTCTAAGAATATGCGTCAGTAGTTCAATGAAAATTTCCAACTTTTTATTTTTTAAAACTCCTTTCATTAATCTATTACTGAAATCTAGTAAAAAATTGTGTAAATTTTATAATAAATTGAGTAAATTACCGCATTTTTGTTACTAATATTACTTTAGGCTTTTTATATAATGTGCTTCTTGACTTACAAACTTGCAAATATCACTCAAAGTATAAGTTATTAATACTCTATTATTAATATTTTTTAAATATTTAATATCTAGAGTTTAATTTAAAATTCCCAAGAGGAATATGATGCAGTCCACGGTGTAATAACAGTCCACGATGGAAATTGTCTTAAAAACTTATCAAACCTTTGTGATTTCTGATTTTCTCCATAAAGAAAATGACCAGCTAATGCAATTGTTAAAACAGGACCATCATGATCTGTAGGTACTTTTAAAATTATAGTGAAATGATAAGGATCACAATCGGATGAGCAAGCATAGTAGATAAAATAGGCTTTTCTATCATTCCATGACTTGCATGCTAAAGGTTCACCATCAACAACATTCCATTGCTCCAAGTGTACATCTTTATGCGGTGACAAAATGATGCCTATGTGGTCCGGTCCACTTACATTAAATGTAAAAGTCGACATATCTCTTTGATTTATTCTTGATATTAGTTCAAGCTTAGTAGGAATATTAATTGAAGGTTCGGGTCCAGGAATCCAACTAGTTTTCCTAAAATTGTAATTTTTTTTCCATTTTTTATCCTTTACACTTGTATCTCAAAAAATAATTTAATCAATTAATTCAAAAATTACCAAAGAAACGTTCGAACAGGTACGAGATATGGTAATCCACAGAATAATTTTTCTTCGCAGTCTTTAGTAGAAGGAACCACTGCGCCTATTTCAGGCACAAATGATTCAACGCTATGCGGACTGTTCATATCTAAATCTACAATCCAATATCCACTTCCTGAGTGTTTTAGACTTTTATCAATATCATAATGTCGTCTATGAGTATGCTGTTAGATTTTGGATGAATTTATTAGAATAAAAAATACTATAAATTAAGATAATTATGTTCTTGTATCGTAATGTTTTATGATTACCAGAATCATGAATCGTTGAGGAGCAGGTGCAGAAATGTCTCCACTATAAGGAAAGCCTAATGGTGTTAAAATAAGTACTGCTATAGATAAGAAAAATAGGCCCATCATTACACTCAGAACTCGTTCTGCGTTTTTAATTAATATCACCATTGGCATCTGAAAAAAAATAATTCATCAATTATACGCTCTATTTGGCAACGTTTAGTATTTATTGAGAAATTATTTACCATAAAACTAAGTAAAAAGCAAAATAAAATTGCCAACATATTCGCCATAATCACTTCAGAATTAGTACCAGCACCAACTCGACCCATTATTGGAATAAATAAATACAAAGCACCGATTGCTAAATAAAACGATTGCATGTATGGTAAACTTAAAACTCCCATCTGGTAAATTAGCCACTTCCAATCTGTAAAATTCACAGAAAATAATTGCCAGTGTTTTTCGTTATTATATAGAGAACAACCATTTAAAAAAACTATAACTATGAGTTACCTCTCCATTTTTCGAAGAAATTGTGTCTTAAAATATTTCCGAGTACTGGAAATATAACCCAGTGTAAAGGTATAAAACCAGATCGGATTTCTAAAAGAACGCATACGAATAAAACTATCATCCAAATTGCACTATAGGCATCACAGTAGAGTTGGTATAGAGTCCAAGGCGAATTGATATTCTACAAAATAAAGAATGGTGTTAATAAAATCAAATAATCATGAAAATAGCTATATCATATAAATATTTGATAAATAAAAATAATAATTGTGATTTAAAAATGAATTTCAATATCAGAAAGTTATTATCCAAATAAATATATACTTTTCTTTGTCGATTTCCAACGTATAAAAACCAATTCATTGATACTGCTATAGTAGGACAAACATACAGAAAAAATAGCCACGCTGGTCTAGCATACCAACTCATTACTTTTCCAAGTTTGGTAAGGATTAAGGCAATTGATGTCACACAAATTATTGAAATTGCCCATGAAATACATATAACTCCAATACATGTCGCTAAATGCTTTAAATATGCTGTAGGCTTCAATTCTATAAAAAATACATTGAATTATAAAGGATTATTATGAAACATTGATTTGTCAATACATTTACTTACCTTTCCGGGCCACAGACATGTTTAAGTAAATGGAATAAACTCCTATGAGAATACTTGTAATGTTCACAATAGCTGCAATATATTGAGGCCATCTGATAACAAAAGCTCCAAGGAAATCAAAAAATACTAAACTTCCTCTGTTATTATAAAGCGAATGATTTTCTAAAAAATGACTAGAAGAAATTTCTCGTGTTAGAGCTAGAATATTATCTCCAGTTCTTTGAAGAGCACCCAATGGAATCTGTTGAACAGTGTCGAATTTTGTGTGGTACACATAGCCATTTGTTGTCCAAGCAAAATCAACACCTAAAATAATTATTTCAATTTGATTCTCATCTATTCTAGTTCATTTTAGTCTATAAAACTTCTTAAAATTACCAGATACTCTGCCAAAATCTCGGAAAATGCGGAAATCAGTGTCACCTGGCACGATTCCACTTTGGAATATTTCTTGAGCTAATGATGAAGCATACGGATAAGGAACTGCTTCGGAATAAACCTGGAAATTATATTAATGTAGGCGCTACATTAAGATTATGGTAGAAACTTATTAATGTGGCCTTCGACTTCAATCTTTTGAATATGAACTCAAGAGATTGAAATTAAATGTTATATAATTACTATACTGTAGTTACTTTATAAATATTAGCACGGTTGAATTTTTTAGTAATTATCACAAAGACAATCACTTATTTTAAATACATTTGAAAATTTAATTTCAATAAAATCACAAATGTATTTAGCACAAAGAATATGTTTATATTTACATCAATAATCCAAGGATTATCTGGACCAGCTTGAAATAACAATTCTCGACCACCAGCACCACAAGCTTCGATATTAATAAATGCTTTCACTTCTTTAGCCCATGGATGTTGAGTTATAAAACCATGGGATGCCTTAAAAAAAATTAATATTTTAATTTATCATTCTGTTGACAAAATAATCTGTATATTATATAATAGTAAATATTGAATGAAATACCTGTAACAGATTTTCTTCAGCACCATTAAATAGAAATATGATATTATGCCTAAGATACTCAGAATTTTTTGACATAATTCGAAGGATCTCTAACATCACAGCACATCCCGCACCATCATCTGATCCTCCAGGGCTTTCAACAAATGAATCAAAATGACAATTTAATAACAAACTGTGAGGAGAATCTCTTCTAGGTCCAAGTTTCACAATAACATTTTGAACATTTTTATAAACACTTGTCATTCCATCAAGGAAAGTTAAGGGGAAAGAACCAGTATGTTTGGTGATATTCAGAATAATTTGATGATTATCATGAGCATCTCTGATAATTTCATTAATTGCTGAAGTTAAATATTTTACAGCAAGAACTTCATTAGCATAACTACCAGCAACTCGGGGGCCAATTGATGTTAAATTAACTATATGATTTCTTGCTCTTTCTGCTATGAATTCTCCAGGATATTTATGCTCATTTCGTATGAGTTTTGGTTCTGGTAAATGTTTATCCATGACAATAACTGTCAGGGAAATTAATAATAGAAATGTTAAAGAAAAAAGAAGATGTTGAGTTCCATTTGAAAACACTGGCTTTTTTTTTGAAGATGATGATAAATTACTTAGTCCTTCTTCTAAGGGACGAGCCCTATTTTGACGATACCTTACTCCGTCTCTCTATAAAAATTATGTATATAAGAGATAATTATTCATTTATAAATTACATTTTTATCAATTATTATCAAAATGACTATGAAATTTTTTGTTTAATTTTTTCAGGTAAAAATAATATTGGAGTAAAATTTGAAGGTTATGGGATGATGATATGTTTTTAAATTTGATATAAGCAAAGATTATTACTCACCATATTACTAAGTTTCGTTATAAAAAAAAATTTTTATTTAAAGTCAGAATGAAATAAAAGAATTAAAGTATGTCAGTTAATGATTGAAGGTAACATTGCACTGCATTTTCACTGCATCGTAACACCGCGGCCGCGCATAACAGCGTCAATAGATGAACATACATATTAAAACTGTGTGTGCGTTAATATGTTCGTCTACACTTACTTACAACAAAATTTCATAAGTCCGAAGTTCAAGGAACTCTAGACAAGTATAATAAAAAAAAAACAATTTTTATCATTTCAAGTACTTTCGAAAATGAATACATAATAGTAGTAATAATAAATCTGTTGGTAAATAAAATGTAATATAAAGTAACTTTGTTATCATTACGTTACAATTTTGATAAAATAAGCACAATTAATTGATACTTTATAATTTTTCTTACTTTAAAAGTGGGTGGTAGTACCCTTAAATAAACAAACTGGTCTCTACCGGGATTTATACATATTTCAAATGCGTTAATCAATATCTAAATGTATAACCCACTATTATTAGCTAAACATTACCTTCATTACATTAATAATGAAAAAAAAGGTGTCAAGAGTTTGTTATTGTACATATATTTATTATTATCACAACTTTATTACTAAACAATTTGATGAAATAATATTTTAACAATTTTGTAAAAACTCATAGTTGAAACAAGAATTGTTATTTATGTAATCAAGTGTATTGAAAAATTTTTACTTCAATCATTTTTTATTTATTTAATTTAATTTTCCCGCATCCCTCTAGCGGCCATTTTAAGCATCAACGCCATTTATCAAAAAATTTAAAAGGATAGAAAATTTTAGTTTGACTGATTCGTAAAATCATTATACAAAATAATCATTACGTAAAAATATTTCAAAATAAATGTATAACATCATTTATTTAAAAAGTTCTATAAATATAAAGTTTGTAAACATAATTCGAAAATATGTTTAATCTTAGTTCCGTATGTATTTAACAACTTATTTAAGGCACTTTTTCATGTCTTTCACAATACTTTTCATCTTAAGATAATTATATTAATCTTAGTAACTTTTAAAGTTTATCATTAATCAACAATGTAATAAGTTTTTTTATGTTTTTATGATATACTGCTAATTCTGTAAACATCAGTATAAAATATAAAACTGATAGTCTATTACTCAGATTAAATGAATATCACCATTGTTTAACTTTTTTATTGTCAAAGTAGATAAAGTTATAAGTTTAGAAACTGCAATTTTTTTAGTAGCTTTTGTAATGTTATGACTTAAATCATATGGATCTTGCACACAAAGTGGAGAATCAATACGAAAAATTTCATGATTCTTCAGTTTACAATTTTGTTTGTACGTCTCCATTTCTCCTGGTAAAAGTTTTTTAGCATCACTGAAACATTTTTTTGCAAGAGGTTCTCCTAACAATGGACAGATAATATTATTTCGAAAATTAAATGTTGTTATCATTTCAAAAAATCCTTTCAAAAGATCTCTGAAATTTTCGGTTGATTCAGGAATGGAAAAATCTAAGCTTGCACCAGTTTCCCAACCACCAATCATTTTAGATTCATCTCGATCCTTGATCAATGTTATAATAGATTTCATAATAGACCTAGTTTGTAGGTAGTAAATTACCATCCAGGCCACTGCATAGTTACTTATTCCGTTTTCTCCACTCAAATTACACATGTTCATCCATTGTTTAACAAAAAGTATTAACTTTCGACATAGCGGCAATTTTTGATTGATAGTTCTTTAACAAAGAAACAATAAAAGTATTTTATAAATGTATTTTGTTTATAGATAATTAAAAATTAATGCTATTGAGACATTAATCAGCAATTTATGTTTATACTTCATAACATGAAAACATTATTGGCATAAATTAGAAATAAATTGATATGAATTATATCTATTTTTCGTCATACCCGCACGGAAAGTTCACTTTTCCATTGGAGAGGGGTTGAACTTTCCACGCAGGTATGACGAAAAATCATATTCAGCCCTAGAGAAGACAATTAGACTAGCTTAAACCGCGTGTTTACTACCCTCGCCTTCGGCTCGGGTTGTAATTTTACACGTGGTTTGAGCTAGACTACTTTCCCTCCCTAGGTGTGAAATGTACTATTACCTACCTAATCAATTGAGTGCATTCAGTTGTAAGACCGTTCAAAAATGAAATATCACATTCAATGCTTAATGGTTTATGAGTTACTTTGATAATCGGCACAGTACAATCCGTTATGGTTCTATTTATTGTCCAAATCTCAGTACAGATTTTAAGTCTCTTTTCTACTTGTTTAAGAAGGGGATTAATATTATCTGTCTTCTTTCCTCGATAATAACGATTGTCTGAAATAGAAAAACCCGTCAAATATTTTTAATATATAATTACTTTTTAATAATATAAATAAAAGGTTACCGCAATCAAGAAATATGTCGAGATCACTGGTTTTTGACGACAGTCCACTAATTCTGGATCCAAATGCATAAGCTTTTGCTGTCATAGGATTATTGACAATTAATTCTAAATCTTCAATTATTAATTTTTCATCTTCTTGTCGTTCTTCAGCTTTGGCATCTAATGACTCAATCATTTTATTCATAACAGAATCAGGATCAAATAAAATTTCTTCTACAACTGACGGCAATTGATTGACAGCATAAAATGGTCTTTCTCGAAAATATTTATGCTTTTCAATTTCACAATGATAAGCAAATGTATCTCGGAAGCCATAAAAAAGAGTCGTACAGGTAGGACAATAATCCAAAATGAAATTGGTGAATTTCGAAAATTTCTGACATTGTTGCAAGTGTTTACTCTTTTTATTACCATTTCCATCTATATGTTTATAAAATTCATTCTCCAAGCGATAATTTTTACGACAAGGAACGCACCAATAGCTTCGTACTTTATACCAATTACGTTCCATTTTTGAATAAAGACACTCAAATAATTTAGCCATTTTTGATGCAATTTGTGCGCGTTGATATATATGATTCTTTTCACTCAAATGTTCCTTCAAGGTGGAGACATCATTTTTAATTTTTTTTTGACACCCGTAACATTCGACAAATTTATCTGAAATATCTTCCATCCACTCTCTAGCTAGTGACAAATCACTCAATTGATCCGGAAAAGACATAAATTTAATATGATCTTGGATCATTATTAATAAATAATCATTGTGATTAATACTACGGAAATGTTCGAAAACTGTGATGACAGAGTAGGATATTTTTTTTCGACAAATTAAACAGTAAATATATTCTTTATCCAAAAGATAGCATCGAGTAACGCTCAGATTAATCATTTCCAATTGAATTGAATCAATTTTGTATAAGTCAATTCTTCTAGTTTTATCAGGTTCAAAAATGTCAGCAGCTTTAAGTAAATTCTTTTTAGATCTTTTCTGTGCAATTAATTGATCACTTCCATGACAATTAGCGAATTTACGAGATCTAAAACGTTGACGTTTTAAAACTTTATTCGTCTTTTTTTCATCATATTCCTTCTTTTGATTAAATGTTTTGAAATTCGAGTTTAAGATACTTGGTGTATTTATTTGAATATGAAGAGTATGTTTACTAGCAAGTGATTTTGAGTCTACACTTTCAATAGGAGTTTGAATATTATTTAATTGACAATTTTGACTTGATAAGTTTAAAGCTGTTTCTTGAACATTACTCTGGTGAATGAAACATGGCCGAAAATGACGTGACATATGAATATGAAGAGGAACATCTGATTTAAACTTTTGTTCACAAATAATACAAAAGAAATTTTTTTTATTGTTAGACGATTTTTGCTTAATTTTTTTGGTTCTTTTAGTTTTTTTACTATTGATATTTGATAATTTTTTCTGTTGAAGATTTTTTGATGATTTTAACTTTGAATTAGTAGTTTTAGAGCTTAGATTTTTGATTTTAGCTCGATTTCTCATGGAATTGACCGATATCCAACCATCATCTGTTTTATTCGTTTTTTTGTCAACATTTGGATTTTGAGCAGAATTCAACGTAGTAATTATTTTACCACTGTAATCTGAATCAATAATTGTTTTCCAAGTTTCAGGTACATCGTTTTCATCAATACTATCATTGTGATTATCGTTGCTGTTTTGACTACTATTAACAGAGTTTTCTTCAGATTGTATTTTATTATGGCAATTCTCTATGGACGATATGTCATTCAGTGTAAATTTCCAACCTAAGTATTTATTTTTATGCTTATTGCCATTTGCATGTCCTTTAGCATTTAAATATGAAGAAATTTCGCGATCACAAATGAAACACTTGATATCATTAAAAGACATTGGAAAAATTCCCTCTTGGACACACAATCTGTAAAACTTTGTAGTCAAGTTCATATTTATTTTTTTGATATTAATTAAACCTATATTAGACCGATGCTTTGAACTTTGAATGTGAGCAATAGCTAGATCCCAATAATCAAATTTTTCATGACAAATAAAACACCAATATACATTGTGAATTATTCCAATAAAATTTATGAAGCATTGATCATATTTTAAAATAGATTCTCTAACTTTTTGTTGAGTAGTAATATTTATTGTGGATAACAAATTATCGCATTGAAATTCGAATGCTGAAATATAGTGAATGTGGCATTGAGTATTCGAATGTTCTATTACTTTTAAATATTCAAAAGTCTTTTTACAAATCAAACATGTAACTTTTTTGACAGATAATGGAAAGATACTATGTTGAATGCAATGTTCATAAAATTGTCGCGATAAATTTTTGTTAACAGTTTGATTTCTACGTATTTTACTCCGATGATTAGAGTTGTGGGTATGAATAATAGCTGCTTCATAGTTATCAAAGTTTTGGTTGCACAAAAAACACCAGTAGTGATTTTTCATAAATCCAATGAAATTCGTGAAACATCGAATGTAATCATATGTTGATGTATGTTTATTGTAACTTTTATTATTATAAATTTTAGATAATGTTAATTGATTATCAGATTTACAAAGAATATGAATTTTTTTATGTCTTTTACTTTCAATATGATTTTTAGCCATCAGATATCCTCGAAAAGAATCGTAACATATAAAACATTTTAACTTAGATGAAGACAAAAAAATACTGTTTTCAATAAAAAATTTATATTCTGGAGGAAGGCTTATTTGAGAATTTGTGAAATCAGGATTATTTAACAATGACTTATGATTCGATTGTTGAATATGAATAGTGGCTTCATATTCATTGGTAAAAAATTCTGTACACACATAACATCGAAATGTCTTGTCAATTATTCCAATAAAATTTTTAAAAAAAAGCTGAAACGGATCTTCAGATGTGCTTTGTAAAGAAACATCATTTTCTTTCATTTTTCTATGATATTTTCCAGAAATGTGTTCATCAATTGTTTTATATCCTGAAATGTAGCAATCACAAATTATACATTCTAGTTCCTTAATAGATTTTGGGAATATGCTGTTTCGAATACATTTTTCATAAACATCTAATGATAAACTTGTGTCAATATTTTCATCATCAATAGAAGTAATTAATGCTGATTGATGTTTAGGATTTTCAAAATGATCAATAGCCGCATCCGAGTTCCTAAATGCTTCTCCACACAAATAACACCAATGTTCATCTTCGTTTAATATTCCAATGAAATTTTTGAAGTATTGAAGATAAAATTCTGTTTGCGAAGATTGTAAGACGCAATTTTTAGTTATCTGAAGTAATAAATCATTATCTGGCTGCTTTGAGCTAAAACGAAGTTCATTGTGATTTTTGGTAGAGATATGCTCTTCAATATTTTTATCTTCTACAATAAGGTAATCACAAGTAAAACATTTAAATTTGTTAACTGAAAATGGAAAGATACTGTGTAGAACACATGTTTTGTAGAAATCAAATGAAAAGGATGTACTAACAATTTTTTCATCAATTTTAGTCATATGCTGAAGATGTTCAGGATCTGCACAGTGTGAAACAGCTTGAAACCAATATTTAACTTCTTTATGACAGAGATAACATCGGTATGTGTCATTGTTTAAGGCAATAAAATTTATAAAATATTTTTCAAATTCATCTTTTGGTCGATACCATGGTATCAATTCGTGCTGAATCGCATGTTTATTTATATCGCTTTTCAGAACGTCTTCAGAACAAATTGTACATTTCACTGAATTTTCGGATTCTTTTATAAACCATTTTAAAAAATAATCCATTTTTAATAAATGTTCAACTTCTTTGTTATGAATTTCGCAATTAACCACAATGTTACATACATGACAGTATGATTTTTTGTTCGTATCATTATTTGATTCTGAATTCATTTGATCAGATAATTTGGAGCCCATTTTTAATTTTCCTAAATTCAATAAATACAATAATTTAATACATTTTCTAACTGAATTTATAGTTCAGATTAAAAGATACATACAATTTTTGTAGATTAATTTTTTTAAATACAATAAAACTACTATGTTAAAATGAAGTATAATTAAGTATGTTCATATTGATATTTTGTTTTTTTAATTTTAAATTAAAATCATATATTTTTTGTTACAATTGTTTATTTACGCATTTAAATACCAAGAAAAATATTACTTTAAAATATTGGTTTTATTATTAAATTAATTGAAATAAAGAACTAAATATACTTACAAATAAACTAACTTCTGATTAATAATAATGAAAACAAAAGACTATCTTCGAAACAGATGACAATTAAGGCAAATTTTCCGTCTGTAATCCAACAAAGACCCTTAGAAGCTGTACTGCGTCATCATTCACTATATGTATAATAAGTTTCAAACAGATATAAGTTCGCGCGATGTAAATCAGCTTTCCTAACCTGTACTTACAAAATAAATTTTCACACGACAGACTCACATGTCGTATACATATATGATATTTATCATAATATATAATAATAGTAATAAAGTTTCACGATCAGTTGATATGAGTTATTATCAATAATTACAGGAAGTCTAAAAAATAACATTAAATTCTATCATAAGAGTTTTGTTGAAAGGTGATTCATAGAAATTGTTTTTTGTTGAAATTGTCAAAAAATAATTCATCTATGATGGAAAGTGATGTTGAGTGTCCAATTTGTTCTAAACATTTTCCAAAAACAATCATTGAAGTACATGTTTCAAAATGTCTTTTTTTGAACGAATCATCTAGTACAGATTCTCAATTATTTTTGAAACGACCACGAACTGACAATTCTCCAAAAATGAAAAACTTTAATTTAATAAAGAAACCGAAAAAAAGTAATGGAGGCAATCAAACGTTTTTAACACCTTCAACACTGTCAGAAAAACGAAATACAAATGATAATTCTTTAAATAATGAAAAAAATACTGAGGTACATGTAATACTATATCTTATCCATACATAATTATTTTAAGAAATTACGTCATTTATTTTGATAAAAGTCAGCAGAATATTTTTTTTGCTGATAGTACTTATTTAATAATTTCTTTTGTTTTATAAATAGAAAATAATAAAATTTTTTCAATAATTAGTATAATACTAAAAAATTTTTCAGAGCTCTACCTCTAGTCTAAAACCAGAGTTATCAAAATCATCAAGTAACTATGCACCATTAGCTGAAAAAATGAGACCTACTTCATTACTGGATTATGTTGGACAATCTCATATACTCGGTAAACAAAGTATGCTTTTGCAATTGTTGAACAAAGGAGAAATTCCCAATATTATTCTTTGGGGTCCTCCTGGATGTGGCAAAGTATGTAATACCATAAATAACTATGAAATGTTTTTCCAAACAATTGAATTAGTTTTTTTGCATTTATTTATGATTATAGATAATTTAATAAAAATTTTATTTTTTTCTTTACAGACATCTTTAGCAAATATAATAGCTAACAAATGTAAAGGAGATGTAAAAAAACAATTACGTTTTGTAAAACTCTCTGCAGCAGTGGCAGGAGTAAGTGATGTTAAAGAAGCTACAACTATTGCAGCAAATGAATTAAAATTTGGCAGAAGAACAATAGTGTTCATGGATGAGATTCATCGATTTAATAAACTTCAACAAGATATCTTTTTACCTCATGTAGAATCTGGAACAATTACACTAATCGGAGCAACAACTGAAAATCCTTCATTTAGTTTAAATTCAGCACTGCTCAGTCGTTGTCGAGTAATTGTTTTAGAAAAATTATCCGTTGAAAATTTAACGGATATATTGACACGTACTGTCAAATCATTAAAAGGAGTAATATTTACAAACTCGGCGGATATAAACAACTTATCAGAAGTTCCTCGATTCCTTATTGATGAAAAAACGATTGAATTTTTAGCAGAAACATGTGATGGTGATGCTAGAATAGCACTTGGAGGTTTAGAACTGGCAGTTCAATCTTATGTACCAGAAGAAAGTGAATTCTCTACCAAAGGTCCTGGCAGTATATCCCTTGCGGATATTAGAGAAGGACTAAAAAAATCTCACATGTTGTATGATAAAAGAGGAGATCAACATTACGATATGATTTCTGCATTGCATAAATCAGTTCGTGCAAGTGATGAAAACGCATCTTTGTACTGGTTGGCGAGAATGATGGCGGGAGGTGAAGATCCTGTCTATATCGCAAGGAGAATGGTAAGGATGGCATGCGAAGATGTTGGCTTAAAAGATCCTAAAGCTCTCGGAATTGCTGTGCATACTATGCACGCATGCAAAATGATTGGAATGCCTGAGTGTGATGTTATACTTGCTCAATGCGCTATATACTTGGCAAGAGCTCCTAAGTCTAGATTAATGGAGGATGCTCTAAGAGCAGCGCAAAGAGTTATAGCTAATCATAAAGGGCCACAGCCTGGAGTGCCTTTGCACCTGAGAAACGCTCCAACAAAAATGATGAAAGAGCTTGGTAATTTTTTATTTTTTTCAGTGTATAAAAGAACATTAAATTAAAGTGATAGCGATACTTTATTGTCGAAGATGTATCTTTTTTTTATTCTTAATACTATTTAATAATTTATTTTGTTCAGGATATGGGCAAAATTATAACATGATGGATCATAATGAATCTGGCCTGACATATTTACCAGAAGGATTAGAGCATTTGAATTTTTTTTCATGATCAAGATTCAATGACTTCATCAATGAAAGCAAATTAAAGATGAAAACATATAAATCTATTTTTGTACTTAATTTTTCATTTTATTTGATCTGTTGATTTTGAAATGATAAAATATTCATCCAACAAGTTTAAGTAAGTATTAATTGTCTTCCTTAGTAGCTATTAATAGCAGATGTATAATGTATATATTTAATTCATCATTCTTAATTGGTACTTTTATCATTAAAATTTTCATCTCGATTTTCTCATTGATAAACATGTAACAACTCTTCAAACTGTGTACATATTTTATATTTTGAAATATTAGTCCAAGACATAAGACTATTAGTATTGGAATCATTTATGAGAAAAATATTGATACATCTATTTCATTAATAGTAAGAAAGATCGTTAGAATCCATAAAAGAAACCCTCAATTTCTGTTATTTAGTGTTACATAATCGTAGTAATGAACATATTATATTATTTTTGTAAAGTCTATTTATTAAAAAACTGTTTAAAACAGAAAAAAAAATAGAAATGAATCAAAACAATTTTTAACTGTTATGATGAAGAGTTAAGCAACAATTCGATAAATAAAGCAAGAAAATGAGAAAAAAACATATCTGTATATATGGCTTAAATTTAAATTTTTTTAATTTTTAAATGTTTCTCTCTCTCTTTTTTATTGTTTCTTATCTCATTTGATATGTTTCAGTGTTATAACGATATAGATTTTATTTGAAATACCTGAATAAATTATAAGTTGTATTATCTCCTTAAACTTCTCTAAAGTTTTTATTTATGCTATTTTTATGGATATTTTGCTATTATCCAAAAGATGTGCTCCAACACCTGCTTATAGATGTTGAGAGACACTTTCCAACACCAGCTGCAAAAATTGGTCATCAATATGAGATCATAAGAAAAGAATAAAATAAAGATTATATCAAAAATAATATTGCATGTCTCACTTGAAGACTATTGCACAGCTGTTTAGTTTCTTCGAGTATTTCTCTAACAAAATGTGTTGATTCTTAGTGCTGTTTACATTAGACATGTTAAGTTTATAATTATTGGTTGGAAAATAAAGTAACTATAATAAAATTACGTTAGTTCCATTTTTAGACTGTCAATATAAAAATTATTTTAATGAATTCAATAAAATTAAAATTAAATTTTTAATAAGCAGTATTTAATGTTAATTATAATTCCGTGAGGTATACAATTATCATTCTGATAACTATTAAGATTACATCTTTCTGTTCTTGTTCCATTATCTGCATGTACTTCCTTTTTTGTCATGAAACTATTTTTTAATGTAATGGGTAAGCGGAAACCTGTAGAGATATTCAACGTCTTAAAGTTATTAAACCACTTTCTTTGTAATCTTTATCGCATATGACTCACATGTAAAACTGAAAGTAGATTAATATTGATCCAGAGTCATTTATTGAATTTCTGTTCAAGTCTGTACTCTCAATAGATCTGTTCAAAAGTTTATAGATGTTACGAAAATATACGATTTCTTTTATAAAAATTAAGTATTTACCCTTTGTTGTTTTTATTAATTTTAGTTCGTCTAATTTAAATAACTTAAATTTTATTTACTAATTCGTATGCAATTTATTAGCGATTAAATCTGCCCCAACATCAATAATTTAATTATTAAACATAAGTTGTACAAGAAACTTACTATCACCAACATTATGTTATTCGTTTAATTCGGCTTAAAGGTATTAAAAATTAATACTCGTATATTATAAATAATAGTTACTTTCAACATTAGAACTCATATTAATATTTGAATCTTTCATGTTGGTATTTTTATTCAGTAGCTCTAAAAGATGCTTTTACATTATCAAATGTGACTTAACAATTTTTTAAATTAATAAAAATAACAAAAGGATAGTCGTTAATTGATTATACAAATATTAAACTATTAATATTTATTATTATGTTAAAATAAAAGATTAGATATACATTGAAGTTGATGGAGAATTGAATTGCTTCATCATTGGAAGTAATGAATCATACAGTAGCATAGATATCGAAAGCCCTATTTCACGTAGAACAAATGAAATAAATTATTTTCAAGTAATCTGAATATTATTATAAAAACATATTATTTTTATTTTTAAAAAAATATTTCTATACCCTCACTACTTTTTGATAATTCGGGTAATGAGAAAAATGTTCTGGTGATCTATTGTTATCTAACAGAAATTAAGAATTCAAGTGATCGAATATAATTTTTTATAACAAAAAGTTTATAAACATTTGTAAATAAATCATCATTCGTACAGTTAATGTAGAAACAGAATCCACTTCTCTGCATTTATGTTGAAAATAATGAATAAGCGCTTCATGAATGAGTCAACTTTCTCTATTCTTCAATAAACGATAATCATTATTAAGTAGAAAAACTTTAATGGACAGAATTGAAGAGCACATGTATGAATAATCATGGAATAAGAACTTGAAGTAATCTTTTGTTTATTTTGATGTTTTTAAAAATATATTGTTCTCTTAGGTCAAACTATGAGATTTTAGACGATCATAAAAAGTATTTGAAATAAAAATCATGAAGGCATAACAAGCACTTAGAGTATTCTCTTTACTCAATTATAGGGCGTTTGTGCACACGTTCTTCGTTCTTCCCAGTTTATTCCTACTTCTCAAGTCGCCGGCCTCTACATGCCGCTGATGCTTCTGGCTCTTTTTCTCTTCGCTACTCCCTCAACGCTTTAGTTTCGTTCGGCTCTTCGGCCGCGTTGGATGTTGAATTATGGTTTTGTTATTAATCTGAAAAGTTTCATTTGAATCATTGAAGTAAACAAAACATAAAACTGTTTATACCAAGTGTGTCAATTAAAATATTTATCAAATTTTTTAAATCAACAGGTAAATAATAATTAACATATTTGTTTGTTAAAAAGTATGAAAATTATCAGCGTATTATTTTATTTCAAAGTAATTAATAATCATCTTTGTTTTCATTAAATTATTATTTTTGATTATGTGGGTGTTTAACCAAACATTCGTCATCGATTGCGTCTTTTAAAAGTGTTTGTAATACGGGTTTGACCAGAAGCAAACTGAGAGTCGCGTATTTATGAATAATTCATCTTGGAGGGCGGTCGAATTCCCTCTAGCTGTCTTATATATGCCTCTCCTCACTTCAACGTGCTCTGGTTTGTTCTTTAGATCGGTTGATTTTCATGAAAAAATATCGAAAATCGAATAGTTCATTGAAATATTCGCCAGAATAATGAAAATATATCCAATTCTTATTATTATTTATAATAACATTATGAAAATAAATTTCCAAATCATCGATTTTAGACATGTCATCAGTAACTAACTATTTTATGTCAATAGAAAAATAAAGTAGTAATTCTTGATCATTATTTATTCAAAAAAATTATCTTAAAAATGTTAAGTTCATTAAAATGAAAAAGAACCCCTACAAAAAGTTAAAACCTATCTGAAGACTAGACTGGATATTATTAGCTGGCTGTCAGATTAAAAGCATCTAAAACTAGCTCCAATCCACCATGATCTGCAAGAGTTAAAGAAAAAAAGCAATTAAACTTGCATTTTGAAGCAAACAAAAGAAAGAGACAAAACAAACAAAGCATGGTATTAGCGCCCATCAATACCAAAGTAAATTCCATAGCTTCAGGCAAAAAGAAGCTACTTATCAATGTTGATTGGTCTTCTCTTCAGCACTTTTCCTCTCAAACCCTTTTGTCCATCATCTAACCTCCTTGGTGTCATCGCTCTCCTTTCCTTCCTCTCTTCCTCTTTCTCTTTACAACGTCATCAACCTACGCACTAGCAGATACTTACCAACACCATTATATTATATATTGAGCGAAAGATGAAGAATATCTTCAAGATGTACACCAACGCAACTCAATAGCTTATGAGATTCTATCGGCATATCTTTTACTCAACACGCGACGCATTCTAATTGCACGACTTGCCGTTAAATGATGCGTGTACACGCACGAGTCATGCTTACAGACTTCCTCTTCGATCAGGTCTTCATGCTAAAAGGATTGGCCAAGGTGCTGGATATGTGAATTATTTTTAAGTTGAAGAGGGAGTATTTTTCATGGCTATGTGGATAGCATAATTGGAAAGTTTTTATGTCTTGAATGAAAATAAAATTTAATTTAATATATAATAATATATAAAAATTATAAATATATAAATTTTGTTAATAATAATCATTTTTATTGAAAATGAATTTTCTTCTTGTATTGAGGTAGTTCTATTTCGTGCAGTTAATCAGTCTTGTAGTTCATACTTGTTGCTCTTTACTTTAGTAAAAAATGATTCATTGGAGTTTTATTTTTAATTTTTTTCTTTTCGCAAAGATTTATTTTTTTCAGACAATCATGGTCGATTTATGTGTGAGAATAAGTGTTGTCTCATCAGGATGTCATGACCGCGTGCTCCTTCCAATTTATATTTATGATGTATTAGTCCTTGATGACACAGCAGTTGGTATGGTCGAGTGTTGGAGGAATTTAATTTAAAAAAAAAAGAAAAAGAAAAACATAAGAAATAAAAAAGTGAGTAAAAGAGAGACTAAATAATATAAGAAGATAAAGAAAATAAACACTAAAAGATATAGAAATATTATGTTATATTGATGTTCAAAAAGTGAGATGTAAATGTGTGACTTTATCTCATTCTCTACCAGACGCTGAAACTTCCGGTTGACCGGAGAATTTCATTCTATTTTATTCTGAAAGAGAAAAGAATTGAGAACTCTCGCCAACGCTCATCGCTAATAATAGACCAAGTGACAATGAGATTGTTTAAGAAAAAATTATTAAAAAATCAAATACGATAAGGTAGTCTAGTTATCTATTTTCAAAGACACAGTAGCTTTTAACACAAATATTTAATCTACTACTTCTCAAAAAACATGTTATTTACTTTTAGAATATTTTATAAGTTGATTTTAAAGCTTTCTTATATATAAAATGTAATCCAACATTCAATTAATTGTTGAGAAAATGTTCTTAAATGTTGAAAATTACCAAGATCATTATCACTCAATGATTTATTAGACATATGGTACTTGACTTACGATAAACGACAATGGAGATCCAATCCTAAAACGAATACTATCAAGTTATCATCGTTTATCTTCATTATAGTACCGTTATAATCCAGTCTTCTCGCTTCTCGTATTCCCTAATTATCGCAACGATCATGACTCTGGGAACTTAAAGCTGTTATATACCTAGTATGTAAGATGGAACAAGTTGGATGCACTTTCAGGTTCTCGATATGTCGATATCAAAGGCCTTTGGCAATGTATTAGCAACTGACACTGTGAATTGAAAATTGTGCCAATAATTCTTGCTAATTCAAACCCTATTGCTAGTCAATACTATAAGATGAGTTGAAAAAATGCGAGTTCAAAATTGAGAAAAATACTCTTTTATCAGAAAATATACTGGTTGAAGTTAATGAACAGATGTGTAAGTGTACGAAACTCTACTGAGAATCAAGGCCAAAATAGAATTGGTGGAAGTGAATAGTCATATTATGATTCGTTGAAGTCTATGGGTTTTGGAGCAATAAATTTCATTTTTTTTTTTTTAATTTTGGGTATTTTAACTCTCGAATTTCTTTATGATCTATTCGTGTTCATTATATACCTTTATGGAAAGAGTAACTTTACAAGCTCATTTTTTCATAGCTTTCACGTATTCCAGTATCAAAAATAAAAATTAATTTGATGAACTTTAAATAATTTAATTTAATCCAATAATATATAAAATCATGCATTCTTTTTGTGGATAAGTTTAAAAAAAGCAGTTAAGTCAGCTTGAGAAAGATTATTTGAAGGATTATATATAGATGCAAATCGTTCGATTCGTTAATTCGAACCCATGGGTTTGGCTGCCGACTGGAATCTCGATAAATCAATGCTGATACAATCGTCGGTTCCAACGCACATGGGTAAGGCGCGTGTGGCAAAAGAATAGACTTACTGGTAGGAGATAGAGTGTGTGATCCAAGAAATAAACCATACGAAGAGAAAGAGTGAGAAAAAAGTACGGGAATAAGAAGGACAGAACTTCAGTTTGCATTACTATACAGTAAGTAGAAGATAGAAGAAAAGAGAAAATTGAGGAGGAGATAAATTTATAGACTGGAAAAGAATAAGAAGAAGATATAATAAGGAAGAGGTGAGTGAGATAAAAACACCTGCCAACCAGCTGCGATCCAGATGGCTTAAGATTATGCAACTAATTTGTCTTTTTTGTCTCAGCTTTTTGCTCATTGAGATGATTATTTTTTCAAATGTATCTAAAATAGTTTTTTTAATAAAATTAAAATAATCTTCAAAGTATCTACATTTCTTTAATCTTCTACTTCTTAATTTATATACTTTTACATTTTTTGCTCATTGCTTTTATTCATTCCTTTTTTGGATTTTAATTAACTCCTATTCGCATTTCATCATTATTTAATTATTTACTTGGTTCGTAGAAATGAAAAAAAATTAATTTTTTCGATCTCACTTTGTGAAATGTTGACGGCACAAAATAAAATATTTCAATTCTAGATAATTAAAAAAATAACAAGTTAAACTTTGGCATTTTAAGATATTCTCATTTCTGAAGTTCCGACACTTCCAGGCAATAAATAAAAAGAAAGAGATCATGGGCAAAGAGTTGAGAAAGAAGTCTCACTGGATGACTAATGCCTATGCATCTGTACTATAAACTCTGAATGATCAAAGATGGGCAAATCGATGTTTCACTCCTGGGTGGGCAGTGCGTTCTCAACGCATGTGGTCAAGAGAGCATATGAGACGAATTGATAAGCCTCCTATACCGCCTCCTCATCATCATACCAAGTGAGAAATTACAAAGAACTTCAAGAGTATATTTTTCGATGATTTTCTAACAAACAAAAAAGTACGAACAAAGATTAATTTACGATCTTGAGGATAAACCACTGGAAAGCAAACTAAACTGACATTTGAGAAGAGGTTGACAGCTCAGGATGTTTTAGGTCAGTTCGAATGTTTTTAAGTAATCAAAAAGATTTTGTTCAAAAAAAAAAAATAAGCAGAAGGACAGAGATATAAATCAGGAAAAGATAAATGAATATTTGCAGTTACTTAAGATGAGGATTAAATAGACTAAACCAGCATCTAGGATACACTATAAAGTGGCACGTATGACAAAGACTTCCTCGAGAACCATAAGAGAACAAAAGAATGGATTTTTTACACTCTTGAATATTGTAGTTTGATATATTCGTTCAATACCACACGACTTTAATTTTACTTTCAGACTTTGGTATTTGTATTCCATTCCCTTAGGAGCATACAAAACGTGTACGATTACCGATTGATGTGAAAGCATTTTTATAAATGATAAAATTTTCAATCTATTTCACATGGGTGAAATACTCTATTACATAAACAGTTCCTGGAATCAAATCGAAATTGATTGATAAGGCATCAAATCATTTTTTATTTTATTTTTCGAGATTCAAGTAGTCGAAGGATAGGAATAATATAAAGCATTCAATCACATCAGTCATTCGTTCGAAACATCCGGAATAAAGAAGTGAATTTAACAAAGCAAGTCATTGAGGTAGTTCCAATAAAACTGGAAATTTAATTTTTTTGATGGACACATTTTTTCCTTGAAATGTCTTTAATTTGACTTCCTGTAATTTTATTGATTTGGTAAAAAAGACTTGTTCTATTTATTTTGAAACAGTTAATTAGAATAAATTAATTAACTTTGACCAGAGAAATAATTAATGAATTAATTATAGAGTATTTATTGGATGTTTTTTTATATTAATAATTGTTTATAGTCTATTTACTTATTAATTTTTAATCTTATCGGCTATTTTTCACAGAGACTAGAGCAATAAATTGAGAATGACATAAAGCAGTAAACAGCGTGACAGGATGTGCTACGTGATCGTAACTGGCCGCAGTCTTCTGTGGTCTCTTCTTTCCCTTGTTGCTTTGATGGCTGTTTTGTCAGCCCTCATTACACCCAAGTGGATTGTTGGACCTCACCAAATTAAAAGTATAGCTATAATAAATTAAGTTTATTTATTAAGCATATAAATTCATTTATGATACGAGCATGATTAGATGATTCGATGCTATTATTTTAATAATCATAATAAAAATTTCCAGAAAATACCACAGACCTTTTCTCACCAACGGTCGGGATCTTTAATCGCTGTACAATGCTCTTTGATAGAATGCATTGTGCTAACTTCAATAGTGAAGGCTTCGCCACTGATTCTAAAGTATTTCCGGGATTTTGGAAAGCTTCTTTATTTTTTCTTGCTTTGGGATTAGCAGTCATGAGTGTTTCAGTTCTTGCTGCTTTACTTGGATGTTGTGTTCAAAGTGTTGGAAGAAAAAGTATTTTTAATCTCGCTGGAGTAACACAAGCAATTGCAGGTAAAAAAAAAATTTCTTCTGTCATTATTATATCAAAGTTAAATTTTTGTTGAAATGAGTAATAATAAATTGTGTCATTTTTTGATTACCGAAATTGAATATGAATTAAATTGTGGAGATAATTGATTACAGATAATTGTTTGAGCTGTTCTTAATTATTGGAAGATTAAAAAATTTAATTAAAAATAGAATAAAAAGTAAGAGTTCTATGGAAGATAAATGAGAGAAATAAATTTTTTGACTTCAAATTAATAATTGCAATTTTAAAAATTTTTTTCAGGGATAATTTATCTGTTGGGAATGGTTTTATATCCGGCTGGATGGGGAGCTGAAAGGGTGCGAAGAATATGTGGGTTGGAAGCCTCTGCCTTTTACCTCGGCGACTGCACTTTGGGTAATTTATATTGAAGAAGTTTTGAAATTTTATATTAATAACTGAGAAGGCGTATAATATATATAAATGATTTATCGATAATATAAATTAATGTTATAGGTTGGGCATTTTACAGCGCAGTAATTGGAATAGTATTGACTTTCCTTTGCGCTGTATTAAGCGCCCAAGCCGAGAAATCTACTGCCAGTGACAAGGTTCAAGATAAAATGAATGAGGGCAAGACATTAATTTGCCTCGCATAAAGTTTGTGAGAAGTGTTTGGAAAAAGTACCATTGTGGAAAACAAGATTTTACGTGTGTAAATATATAACGACAAGATTAAATAACTGTTTTCGAGGGCCAGAAGTCAAAGAGAAAGTGGTGAATACAAATGAATCGTTTATCATTGCCTAAAAGGTAGCAACAACGAATATCATATCATGTTACTTAAATTTTATTTAAAAATAAATAATAATTTAGCTCATTGACTTGAGTAAAAATCATTTTATGCCTGCGCATAAAAAGAAGAGAATCAATGAACAGAATATAAAATTATTCTCAACAGCACATTGAAATTATGATTATTACATACATTTAAGAGTGCTCTTATTATAAGTAAAATATAGATATTCATAAATTTAATCATGAATGTTTTCTTTTTTCTTTTTCCTTTTATTTAGCTCTTTAGTAAAATAAAATATACTAAAAATTCAATGTTGTCACATATTTTAATTTATACAATCAGGTATTGAAAAACTTATAGAAAAAATAATCATTAAAAATGCAACAATAGCTAAAAAAAAATTCCAAAACTTGTTTTTTTTTTTTTTTTGAATTTATTTAATTTATTGTAGTACGTAAAACGCAAAATAGTAACAATAAATTTCAAAAGATAAATTAATAGAAAATAGCGCAATTATTATTTTTTACTTAATGTGTCATCATTCAGATGTTCAATAATTCACTTATTCATTTTCAATTACACAAGTTTTGCTCAGTAATGTTCTTATATACAAATTTAGCGTCATGAAGAGCTCAATATACACACCAGAAAAATGACAGAATTAGTTATAATAACAATATAAATGAAACATGACTGAGTGACCTGAGAGTGTAGTTTATATAATTTAATATTTATTGTTGTACCAATAATAGTTATTGCTTTTAGTGAACGAAACGATTTTTTCATTTTAAGTTGATGATTTATACGCTCTTATATTACTTGAATCTATTCAAATTGAAAATCTACTTGTACAATTAGTTATTATTAATATAGTAAAAAATGTGACTTATTATAAATTAATTGAATGTGTGTTATTTGGTAAACAATTGACTCTTCATTAAAAGCTTTTGATGTACAAAAAAACGTTCATTCTTATTCAAAACTCACGCATGCTAAAAACGAATTCATGTTTAATTTTCGTTATCTCTTATAAATCAATATCTCTTAGTCTATTATCACTGATTACCATTATAATTTATAAAAGATTTAAATTGTCAATGATAAATATTATTCACTCAATGAATTGAATTATTTAATCAATTAAATTAATTTAAAAATGGGATACATCCTAATTGTTTCAATAACAGTCAAAATTTTACAACAATATTCATTTTTTGTAGTTCTTGTATTAGAACTATCCAAAATAAAAGTGATAAGAAGCTTTCATACAATGTAATACATAAATAATAACTGTTTTTTAGTCGTCTTAATGAAAATATGTACATACATTTTCGTGTATTTTTCTTCTATTTTCACGACTATTGTGTCATTTCCATTATTTCAAATATCCTTTATTAACGATACCTCCGAAAATGTAATATAATAGAAAATTTTGATTTATTCTTTATTAAAACGTTCTTTGAAATTATCAGTATTTATAAATATTCAAGTTTTTACAATCAATTTATTTAAAAACATTACTTAATAAAAAAACAATTGGTTAATAAATATCAGATCTAATATATGTGAATTAATAATCAAAACAAAACATATCTCAGATGTTATTATTGGTGCACTGAATACAAATTATGCTCTTTTTTAATCGCAGAATCTTGGATTCTGTACGATGAAATCTTATATTATATGACTTTTCGTAATTTATTCTTTAAATATTTATTCTATCAATGAAATAATTACTTTTCTAAAGTCTTGATTTCAGTTGTTTCACAGGAACTTTAAGTTATTTATATAGGTGTTTTTGACCTTTTTCCAATTTATATCAAAACAGCCTGCTGTTATGTTTTTGGGGCAAATATTTCAACAGATTTCGGAGTTTGGGACTTCATCGCTTTTCTACGATCTTCAAGCATTTGACGACGTGCTTGCTCTCGAGCTTCACGTGCTTTTCGACTTGCTTCACTGCTAACAGTTGGTTTAGACTTTTGAGGTATAACAGTTCGACGTTTGATATTATTACCATTTTGAGCAAGTTGTTTTGTGGATTTTTCCACAGCGACCTAAATTACAAAATTAATTACATTCAATTGAATCGTTCAACACTATTTTTTTCTATGAATTGAAACATAGAAAATTTTAGAAAAATACTTATTTATAATTTTGTTGAATAAAATGTCATCATTATAAACTGAAAATTTAATTCGCCATTATTAAAAAAATTCATTTAAAATTCGGTTGGTTCAAATATTTAGAGATTTTGTGAAATGCCAGTTATTTTTTTTTCAGATTTTTTGTTGCTTATGGAATATTGTTTTAGAATTTAAGTCTGACGTTAGAATTCATTAATGACGAATTAGATTTTTCAACTCATAAAGAGTTAAGAAAAGATGAAGATAATTTTGAAAGATTGAAATCAATATAAATGAAAGTACCTCTTGCCACTGGGAACTTTTCAATTTATCAATGTGCTCGAAAAGATTATTGACTTGTACAACTTGAAGCATTACCATATCCCAGAATCCAGCTAAATCTTCGTTAGTTGTTGGAAATTCTTCACCAGGTATTTGGCTCTAAAATTATATAATATATAAATTAGCAGAAGAATTCAAATAAATAAATAAATATCAATTTAATAAATATTTTTTTACTATACTTTCGTGAAAATATTATTTTCTCTTCAAAACTTATTCAATTTTTCACATCGGCATGGTAAAAAAATAATGTACATATTTAGAGAGGATAATTTAACACATCTCAAACTAAGTACTCGTTATACTTTCTTCCAGTTCGAATGACAATCTTATCTATGGTTCAAACTGGCCTAGTTTTAGTTTTTAGATTTGTAATATAAAGTTAATTAGTAGAAGCTTACAATATTTTTCTGACAGAGTCCTTCAAACTGTTGCATTTTTTGCGTGGCAAGTAATCTAGCTTTTCCGGCAGCAGATCTCAACTTTCCTGCCGCTTCTTCAGGAAGTGGATCTCCACTCTCTAATTCCGCTTCTGCAGATGCAGCTAATGAAAAAAGTCTTTCAATTTCCGCTTTCAATAACTGAAAAAATAATGAATGATTTTAAAATGAATAAATACAGTTTTTTTTAAGTTTATTTAAATTTTACCTTCATAAAATAATGACCATCTTTAACTTCAGCTACATTATTTTCTTGTGCCTTCGGCTGTTCTACCAAACTCGTTGAAACCACACTAGTCTCAAGAACCGGCAAAACAACTTCCGGCGCCGCTGGCTGCTGATCTGTAATAGTAGTCATACTTGAACTTAATTTTAACGAATCATTTTTATGAATATTTCCATGTTGCGTGACAGGAACTTTCACTGAGATTTCATTCTTCTTTGAAGACACTGTTATCCTCTGTAGAGGTCTTACTAGTTGTTCACTGCCGTCTGTAGGTCTTCTTGGGCTAACAACAGGTAATTGAGCTCGAAACTCTGGTCTCAATCTTCTTAATACCGGAATATTTTTAAGAGATTCTTCATTGTTTGCAACATCAATATCGTTATTATTATCATTTGATTTATTAAAACTACTTTCATTTGAATGGGATTGATTAGCTCTTTTAAAAAAGAAACCTTGTGCCAATGCACCAGGACCATAAAGTCGTTCTACTCGTTGTTGGATAAAAGATTTTTCACTGGTTGATGATGTATTTATTGATCGATTTTCAATATCTGTAGATCCATTTAAAAAACTGTTTTCACCAAAAGATGTATTAGATACACTCGAATTTAAAGTTGATTTTGGTGATAAAATAAATGAACTTGAAGAAAAAGATTTAATTTCTTTGTTGTTTATCACTGAAGTCATTCCCATGCCCTTTTGAGTTGGCGTACTTCCACCACGAGTAGGACTAAAGTCTGAGAATGTTGTGTGTAAAGAAATACCTCTATCCACTTCAGAATACCCTTGATAAACATTCAACGAACTTCGTGACTCGACAAATGTTTCTACTTTACACTCTTTATTTCCATTACTGAATCCATTTTGACGATCCATTGCAAGAGGTGATATTGACTGACTTTTGGTAGGATATGAATGCAGTGGAACTCCGAGATTATCACCCGGTCTGAAATCATTTCAGCATTTATTAACTTGTTTTATAAAATGAACTTTAAAACAAAGCAAAACATTAGAAATTATTCAATAGTTTAAGTAATTTTCCCTTCTAAATAGAAATGTAATAAAATTTTTAAGACTTTTATTATTACAAAATAACTAGTATACTTAATCTTATTAATAAACATGATAATTTCCAATTAATCTTACCTGGAACCTGCAGGACTAGTTTCTCTGGTAATTAATCGAGATCCAGGACTACTGTCTCTAGATCTAAAACCTTCCCTAAGTTTGCTGTCGTATCGTGTAATCCCTGAATATCCACTGATACTGCAAGCCAAACCTAAATAACTAGGCTTTTTCGCTGTCAGCTGTTCTGATCCTTCGCCATTTAGATTATCATCAGGCTCTATTAATTCTGGTGTTTTTTCTGTTGGCTGTTGATATTTTGAGATTACTTCACTGCTCCTTTCGTTAATTGTATGATCTATCGGTGTTGTTGGATCTCCGTTACTCGAAAGATTTAGACTATGAAGTGTCCTTTCGGATACTGAATCCACGGTCGTTTCTGAAAATAAATTTGTGTATTTTAGGTTTTTATTTTTGTACCTTTTTAAAGTTTTCTGTGTAGACTATAGGTAGATAAACAGAATAATTATATCGTAAAACAACCAATTAATGGTTATAAAGTATGTTGAAATGGAATAAAACAACATTTTATATCCTGCTTTACCAAACTAAGAGACTTACGTGAAAATACTACTAAAAACTTGTAATCTCAACTAATAGATAGCATTGGGTAAGACTAGAGTAAAAGACAAAAATAGCTACGAGTCATGGGTGTATACTTTGATGTGTCACAAGCAATGAGAAAGTGTATTAATGTGTCTCTTGGACTAAGATCAACAGACTGTTTTATTGTGCATACTCGGGCTAATTTGATCGCAACATAGAAGAGAATAGCTAAGTTCAATCTTAATAAAATACAAATGAGGTATGAGAGATCACTGACCGTCCATCGGCCAATATCGTAACCTTGAACAGGTGATTTCATATGAGAGAATATATCAAATTAAAAAAGGTGCTAAGTAAATAAAAGGTTATTATTGATATAGAATGATTAGGTAGTTTTTTTATCAAGACTTTTTTAGAGAAAAATTGTCTCTTGAATGAAATTAAATTTTAGAATTAAGGAGCGGTAATTATTATTTGAAATGATCCAAATTTTAGACAACTTTCGAGTTTACCATCTAATTTTTTAAAAGCAAATAATAAATATAAAACAAGAGCAGTGATAAATTAAACGACTCCTTAAACTAAAAAATTTAAATATATTGTTCAAGAATACTTTTCTTCTCTAACAAACACAATAGCTACAGTATTTAACAAATGGTAAATTTGAACTATAATTTTATTACAACTATTGAACCATCGTGCACTTTGTCAAACAATTGCCAACCTGATCGGTCGGAGGCAGAGCGATCGACGTCGAGGCTGCAGCTACCAATACTCTCCTGGCTGGTCATGTTAGGATGTTTGATTGACGAGCTTTTGGTCACTATTGTTGATGTGTCCAAGTCGAGTCGTTGATAATGAAGTGGTTGAACAGCGAGTGATAGTGGCCTGGTGCGACGATTAGGCCTTCCAGGACCACCGCCACCGCCGGGTAATGCTGTTACCGTCACCGTGTCGTTGCTATTGTCGTCGTCCAAACCTGCCACCTCACTGTAGCCTCCTCGGAAGTGACGCCGTTTTTCCTCCTCTGTGCGATCCTCGTGGACACTGTCGAGGATTTTGTAGCTTTACTTTATAATTTACTGGGTTAATTAATTCCTCTTTATATATTGTGATTAATTACGTATATTTATTTGATTCAGATTTTTGTTTTTTATTAATCAATGCGTGAATTACGATATTATTTTAAATTTGAAAGAGCGTGCATGGATTATTTAGGGTTCATTTAAGCTTCTGAGCTCTCTTGTGCAGCTTTCACACTGTCGTGCAGCAATGCAGTTCGAACATCGATCGCTGGGTGCTTATTAAATATTAGAAGCAAAGTGCATCAGAAAATTATCATGCGCATCTAAACTAGATGATATGTTTATTATGTTAACTATGAAAGTTTATTCTGAAATTTGAAAAAATTTACAATTATTTGTACTTGTACAATTAAAAATATATATATTTTTATACTTGAAGTTTGTACCAATTCTAATAAGTCAAAATAATTAGTAATTTTGTAAGAGTAGAGAATAAAATAATTGTCTCAACATATAACAAGAAAAAAATAATATTCGAATGATTAATAAACTAGACGAACTATTTTAAGAAACAAATTACTTTGACAGAATATACGACATTAAAATTATTTTAAGATCAAACTCACACGATTAATTACACAGGGTTTCGTGTACTCAGTCGAAGTCACCCCTTTTTTCTACAAAAAGCGACACGAAACGCGAATAAAAGATAGTACCTGCACCGCCAATGTTTCCATATGAAGAATTTAGAAGGACTTTTTTTACTTGCTGGATTCACAGTGTACGTACCACTCTCAACTTTCAATGGCATCTTTTGTAACAAAATTCACTCAAACTCTTAATGACAATTATAATCAAACTACTGTACACTTTTACAAAAAATTGTATTGAGTCTCAAGTTACAATTATTTGTAATAAAACGAATTAATAACAGTTGATGCTTTAGTAACTCAATAAGATAGTTGAATGATCTAACAAATTGATGATTCAAATAGAGATTGATTTCTAAAGAAAAATTAATAGACTTGTTATAGAACACTTGAATCTTATCAGAATAAACGCAAGTCTAAGAGTGGCAAGGCATTCTCGACTTTCCCATCTTCATTCTCAGTTGTTCTCTTTCCTACACCCGAGCTTTCTTCTTCCTCTTCATATTCTTCTTCCCTTCCTGGTGTATAGATGGGGCCAAGTATTTTTGGAACCCTCGGCCGCCGAGAGAATCCCTCAGTCATGGCACGCGCGACTCTTCACCAAGTGAAAACAGTTTCAATGTGACAGATAATACCACTTCCCTCATCTTCTTTCTCTTATTTTTTTTTTGTTTATTTATTTATCTCTTATTGTCTCGCTTTCTTCATAACTACTTTTTTCTTTCCTCTTTAGTTATAAATTCTTGCCGACATGTAAAAGTTTTAATTCTCGCACCCAACATCCCACTTTATGAGTTTGTTGATAGCCAAAACTAAATCTCATACTTTTTGGTGCGAAAATCAGGTACAGAGTGAATTCTGGTGGAATCTTCAACGTTATATACATTTCAATATCATCATTAACCTCCATCATCAGCTTCAATCACTGAAATTTCAACTGAATCATTAAAATGTTTTCATAATAGAAATTATTTCACTTCGTTTGAACTTTCTATAAATATTATATCAGTCAAAAAAAAAAATAAATGAAAATTTTTAGAACACAAGTAATGGAGGACACAAAAATTTCTTTCATTCCTTTCTCCGACATTAAAATGACTTTTTTCGTATGAATTTCTTTCTCCAGGATCATTAGAGAAGTAGAATGTATTTCGTCAAGCGTCAAGTGTCCCATTAAACGAACCAGAAAGTCGTCGACGACGACCAGAAGAATTTTTTACTCCCTCATAAAAGATGTCATCAGTTTTAATTACCATCACCATACATCAAATTCTACCTTTTTTTCCAACATTTGCATACTTTTTATCTGTATTTTCATTCCAAAATTTTATTGAATATTGCAAAATTTATATATTAAAATCCTGTCTAAAAAAAATAGTTTAAAAAACTAATAAATTCACCGTTCTAACCAGTTAAAAAATTGAATTACATCTCACCAGAATACCTATTTATTTGAATCTAATTCCAGATAATTCCTTCAGCCCTAAATAAAACGACTCAATACAGGTAATAACATGAATTGGAAAATCAACCTAATCATTTTCAATATTCAAATACTTTATTATATAAAACCATCTTATGATAAAATACTGACTGCAAACACTAGTAAAATTGAAAATTATAGGAAGTATATTTTTCAAGACTGTAATTTATACCATTTATTCAAGCAGTGCCGAGGGTTATCAGCTATTTTGCATATGAATCTACTCTGCACCTTCTGAAAGACACGTATTATCATAAAATAAAATTAAAAAAAAAAAACATTGATGGAAAATTTTTTCTCAATTCAAACTGTTGGCTAAAACTTTAATGCCATTCTTAGGTCTATTGAATTTTTAATGGCGCCGTCCTTGCCCGTAGCAACGTTAGATCGATTCCTCCTGGTCGTCAATAATAGTTAAATGACCTCGCGTGCGATTCGCACGCTAAACAGACCTCTGGCACCAGACGACTAAGTTGTGATGATCGTTCAGAACAGCCATGACATGTTGCTTGGTACATTGCATTTGAATTCATAGCTTCCATCCTATTCTGCATTCTCAGACGGCAGCAAGAGATTGCTTGTTTGCTGGCTAGTCATCCAGCCTTACTTGTATTTTTTTTTCTTCAGCTTTTTTCTTTTCTCCAGTCTTACTAAAATTTGTGTTACAATTTTTTTATTTTACTGTAATGCTTTCTGAGCTCCAAGTCATCATCATAACTTCTGGGTTAAAATTTTCTAAACATGAGTTTATCAGTTTTTTGTTGAATCATTTTAACTTTATATTAAATTATAACATTGTAATCAAATCTATTATTAGAAAGTAAATATTTTATTTAGTTATGACTTGATTTTCTTTATAACTAAAAACATTCAAGAATTTCAATTATTTAACAAAAAAAATTTAATTATTTATAATACCTTTTGATTAATCAAAAAGTTGGATTAATCGTGTAGTTTTTAATAATTATTCCATTAAGAAATATTCTTTGAGTTGAACGTTGTTGGTAAAATTAAAATTTACGACAGAATTGGATTAGAAAAAAATCTCAAGTGATGAAAAAATTGGATGAAAAATTTTCTGAGTTGGATTTTCCAGCTGTGTTTCAAACAAGACACTCATTTTTATGCTTTATTTTTATTCTAGGGTATTTTTTTATCATTTCCTCCCATGGTTTATAATTATTTCTAGGATGATCCGGAAAAGCTGTTGATATTCGTCATGTACGGTTCCTTCTCAAAGGGTAAGTGACACCGCACGAACTTTCAGTCTCCTCTTCTTCTCTATTTATAAAACCTAAATAAACTACTATAACATTTGAACCGTGGCATACTCTTAGCTTTTCCCTTGAGATCTCAAACTTGTGACTTGTTCCATTCTTCTCCATTTTATTTTTATCTATTGTTCTATTTATTTCCTTTTTATTCATTAACAAAACAACCAAATTCTTCAATATTTATTATAGAAATAAGCATCCCGTTACTTCAACAAAATATTTTTTCTCAGATTGACTCCGTTTGGTAAATAAAAATTCATTCAATTTTCAAAATAGCGGAAAACGCTGTTAAAATGCGTGACGCAGCAAGATATACAGTAGCCGATATATATTAGTGAAATGCTTCGGTGCATCTTACAAACGGAAATAAAATAGCTTATAATTTATTATTCTCCATGTGAATTGATGAGAAAACTTTTTTATTCAATCTCCGAAGCATGAATATCTTCTTTTGTACTTAAAATGAGATGATGATAATATTAATATTAAAAGATTAAAGAGGTGGGTCATGTTATTAAAACCACCTACATAAAAATTTGTGGTCTGTTAACATAAATATTATAATCATTTGAAATTTGTGCGTGGGATCAAGTCTTAAAAATTACAGATTGATGGTTCAATTCCATTTTATCCTCCTTTATGTCTTTAAATGGTAATATTTCATCTTTTTATGTGACAAAAAATATCTACTATGTGAAAGAAAAGTGCATTTAATTAATCTAAATAAATTGCCTGAGATAATACAGCATCTCAAGCATAAAAAGAATATATAACAAAGAATGAGGGTTAATAATGATCGTTTCAGTTAATCCAAACTAACAAGCACAAGTACTTGAACCACGAAAAATTGAGTGTACAAATTTTTTGCTCATTTTATTAGGTTTTTTCCATTTGTATATTTTTGCTTTGATTGAAACTTGTATTTGTAGGGTCTCTCATATTATAGATTTTATAAATATCTTCAAACAATCAAAAACTAGTAATAAAATATAATCTTAATAATTGAGAAATTATTTGAATTTGTTATTCTTGTCATGGGATAGTATTGTCAAACTTTCCCTTCAAAAATTTCATTAATTTAATTAATTTTCCAACTATTGTCCGTAAGTTATTATGTAGATATTCAGAATGAATGTTTTAATTACAAATTATTTATCATGTGATTTTATCTTGTATCATTGTTTTTTTTTCAATTATCTTATAATTTTAATTTAAGAATATTAAATTGATTGTTATCTTTATTTTGTAATAATCTACAAATAAAATTAAATTATGATAATCATCAATGAATTTTAATCGATCAATTTAGAAACATTAATATCACCTAATTCAAATAAGTCTGAATATTCTAAGATAACTACTACTGAATTATTGTATTTTAAATTTTATTTATTACTTTTAAAATGATTTTAAAAAATTCATTAAATGATTTCATGTAACCATAAAGTACATAATCAAATGATAACAATAAAGACCCTGAATCACTTTCCATACGTAAATTTTCAAGAGGGAAACTTGTATTGCCAACTAACGAAGGAACCGGATTTCCGAAAAAGGGAAACCCAGATGCAAGTTTTCTACGTCATAGTATTGACAAAACGCCCACATGAGCAATTAATTACTTAGTGAATGAGAGAATCAAGATAACAAAAATATGCACTAGTGAGGAAGAGATAAATGTGTGAAAAATATGTGTAAATTCGTACGTAATAAACAAGAGATGAAACTAAATGAAAATAAGGAATAAGAATAAGACAAAATCTCAGCAAAAGAACCTGTTGTATTCCAGATAAAATGAACGCGCGGTGAACGAAGCATTCCAAGCAATAAGAACAGACACGAAAGATAGAAAGTGTAAAGGAAAGAGTGAGAAGACTAACCAGTCAATGTAACAATGGTTAACGGCAGCAAATAAACGTGAACAGGGTCAATGTTGATTAATCACATGTAAGAATGTTCCTATATGTTTTTTTAGATAATTATTACAATTAATTAGTATTAATATTTTAAGTTATGTGAAACTTACTTTTTTTTTACTAAATTAAGAAATTTTTCTTGAATAAAAAATGAAATCATTAAAAAATTAAATTATTTTTTCATTTTAACATTGATTTTCTAATCACGAATGACCTGTTTAAATTTTAAAAAACCGTTTTTTTTTATGTAGTTAAATTGTGTATTAGAACTACAGCTAGAGAGGAAGAAGGCTCGGTAATTGAACTCTACAACAGACTCAATTATCTAGAGAAATAGCTTATTGGTGTTGACCATAGATGAGGAGATTACCTAGAAGATGTGATTAAACATAAGGTGTGCACGACCCATTTAATTCGAATGGATAGACACAAAATAGCGGAAGAAAATTGACTGCTAACTAGATAACGAAAACATTTTACCAAAAATTCACTCAATTTCGCAATAAATTGATCAATTAATTGAAAATGACGAGAGTACGAAGTAAATCAAAATTTTTAGGATTCAGGGAAATGGGTTCAAATTGGAAAACAATATTGATTTCATTTTTTCGATGTGGACGTACGTGTCTATAGTCTGAGACTAAGTCTAGGGTGTGAAGAAAGTACCGTTCAAGGTCGACACGATCATGCCGGTCGATACACCCATACGATCTCGTGTCTTTCATCATCAATTTGACTATTTGTTTTCTCCATTATTACTAAATATTATCTTAGATGTAAATGAACAGTTAATTTACAATGAAATAAACTTAATATAGCAAAAACTGTTAAGTAAACAGTACAAGTTAACAGAAAATAGTATCAAGATAACATTTTGTTTTGATAACTTGAATAAGACATGAAGAGTTCATTTGAAAGACTCTTCACAAATGTTGAGAAACATATGATCTAGTTACATTATTTAATTAAATGTTGGATCATTTCATAAGTTAAAAATTCATTTGTTTACTAATTCTCATCAAATAGTTTGCTTATTAGAGCCAGATGAAAAAACCACATGAATTTTAGGTAATTCAGTTCTTTCTAATTAAAAGTTAATGAAATAGTTGAGAAAAAATAACTTATTATAAACTCACTGCAATTTCCAGCTCTCTAAATCACACATTCCACAAAAAAGGTGCCGTCAGATGTGCAAAAGTAGACAGGATGACACAATCAAGCGAAACAGGATGTATTGGAGTGCAGGATGATGACGAAGGATAGAAGCACTAGTGTAACGCTTAGTTATTTAATGGAGACTAGAAAATGTTCAAAACACTGGTGAATAAAATGATCGTGACTAATGTAGTTACGTTTCAGGTTGTTGAAGAAAGTCCAAGAAATACAGACGTTCACACGGCGTAACACACAGCGGTAAAGAGCAACGGTGTTTTTCCCGCAAGGGGAAACCAGAAGAAATGGTGGTGGAAAGTTGCAGTGCTCACTTCTCCTTCCTCTCAGCCTTTCTTTTAATTTTAAGTCGAATATCTACATGATCTCACAACTAACAAATAAAATGTCTACTAAATGCTATTGATACTATTAAATCCTTGAAATTAGTTGATTTTTAATGTCTATATCCTTTTATTCTTCTACTTACGTTGTATTCAAGTATGACGAATCCAAATTGCCGCTTAGAACTGAGAATTAATAATAAAATGACACAAAAATCGATAATGACAGTTTGAAGATTATGTTCTTTCAGATAACTGCTGATAAAATGACCGGATGATAATTACAATACACTCACGATAGATTTAGTACTGAGGGTGTGCCTTGAATTAGTTAATCATAGCCGTCAATGAAACCGTCAAACGTGAGAAACACGCGGTAGCCATCTTGATAACTGATGAAATCAGCGCACCCTAGTAGACGCCGATTTAAATTTCGCTTTCCCGCTAATGACATGAGCATTTCTTTGCAAAATATTCAACATTTTGTGGAAAAAAATTGTTTTTAAACTCGTCATACGATGGTTTTAAAATAAACAATCAAAATTGAAATATTCGATAACATAATCGTTTAATAAAAAAGATGAAAAAAAACAAATAATAATAAAAAAATAGGATTATCTTGATAATAATGTAAACGGGTACCATGATATCTTGTTACGTTCCTAATCTTTCTCATTGAGTCAACGTTTTTAGTACAGTTTTTAGATTGAAGAATAAAGTAGTGCAGTATGGAGCAGCGTGACAAGAAGCGATACATAAAGTTGGTGAAATTTTGATACTGCACGAGGTCAACAGGTGCATGAAAAATTGTGTGATTGTTGACATTATAAGGTAAGATTTAGAATAAAACAATGTATGGTTAATTTTTATAAGATTAGGTTATAAATATATGATAAATAAATTATATTTTTCTTTCAGAAATACATGTGGAATCTTACGACCACGTGGGCCTCACGTTTTTTAAGAAACAAGTGCCGAAACTCAATAAATTACTTGGAATTATACGAGAGGATGAGACTGATGTAAAGAAAAAAATAAATAAGTAATTATTTAAGGTAACAAACAATTTAAATCATGAGGTGATTAATAGGAGAGCAATAACAACAATCACTCTTCTATATTTTACACATGTGAAAATTAATTACGTTCTAAAAATCTTCTCGTGTATATTATGTACTTTGAATTAAAAACGAACTATATTTACATAAACTGATATGATCAATTTTCTAAAAAAAATCTTATTGTAAATAATACTTTTAGATATTGGTTTTAATAAAATAATAATTAACACGAAGCAAAAACCAAATGCTGTGATTAAAATGCAGACAGTGAAACAAAGTCAATAAAAATATTGAAAAGTTTATTATAAAATATTTGAATAATTAATCAATCCACGTGAGAATCATGGCCGAAGGAGTACCGAAATTGAAAAAATTCAAGCATTCCATTTTATCAGATCATGTTGAAAGTCAAGAATTTCAAGAAATATTTCGTAAACATTGGCTAAATCAGATGAGTATCAAAACAAAAAACTTGGAGATTATTGTGGAACCTTTTAGGGTTTGCAAAATATCAAATTTCATTAGAAGTGAAAGTTTTATGGATGATTTAAAAAGTGAATTGTCAGAAGTTCAAAGTAAGAGGTTGACTATGGATTTGTATCAATTTGAGCAGACAAATGATCTTGCTAATTATTGTACTGATAATATTGGTATATTTCATGAAACTTTTAAAACAACTATGGTCACTTGGATGGAAAATAATACAAATATTGAGTTGAGCTCAACAATATCAATGACTGGATCTTGTTATTGTGACACAGATTATTTACTCTGTCATGACGATAATATGGGCGATAGAAGAATTGCATTTATCCTTTACCTTATGCCCACTTGGTCAGCGAAAGATGGAGGCACTCTTGATTTATTTGATACTGATGATAAAGGTCTTCCAAAGAATGTGGTTCGATCAATTGTTCCTGAATATAATTCTTTGGTATTTTTCGAAGTATCAGATCATTCTTATCATCAAGTAGCAGAAGTGACGTCACCTGAATTATCAAGGTGGTCAATTAACGGTTGGTTTCATGGACCTCAAAGAGAATGTCGACCGCCTCATCCTCAAATTGAATGTCAGTTACTGGATCCAATTGATAAAGAAGAAGATTTAAGCTATTGGATAATGGATACTTATCTTACAGCTGGGATTGTTGAAGGGATACAAAATGATGTCGAGAAGAAATCTTATACATACCTTGGACACTTTTTGAAGCCGAAAATGTATGAAAAATTGTCTCAAGAGATAGTAGCAGAGTCAATTAAATGGAAAAGAGTCGGTCCGGCAAATTTGAGAAATTATGAAGTGGCTGAAGCATCGAGCTTGCCGTGTACTTTGAAAAGATTTTATGATATGTTCGGAACCATATCATTCTTTCGATTATTAAAAAATTATACACAGCTAGATCTGGTGCCTGACAACAAAAATATGAAGCCGCAGATGTCAATTGAGCTTCAGAGATGGTCGAAAGGATGTTATACACTTATCTGTGATAAACTTTCTGAAGAAGAAAGTAGTGGTATCGTTGATGAAGACAATGCTGATGATGAAAAATCTAATATCAACAGTAGCAGAGGAAGTATTGAAGAAGAGAAACTTCAAAAAAGATGCATCGGCTTGTCTCTCAGTGATGGTTCTGGTGGAAAGAAAGTTGACAAAATATTAGAAACTAATGATGATTGGAATCGTGATCCTTTTGAAGATGATAAGGTTCTCAGGAGTATTCTGAAGGATAAAAAACCTAAGGTAGATAAGCAAGATGAATCAGAAGAAGCTTCTTGTTCAAAGTCTGAAGATTACTCTAAAAGGAGTCCACCACTTCATCCTGATTCTGAAGATCCAGAAGTTTCAGATATTGGAGATTATCTATCAGATTCTTTATCAGAAGATGACCAAGATGAAGAAGAAGAGCAGGATGTGCCCGGGACTTTAGATGTAATTATGCAGTTTAATACTAATGATGTGCCTGAGAGCGAGACAATAGATTACATAGATACTAAGGAACTGGACAGCGCTCTAATTCATATAGCACCTGATGATAATCATCTCAGCTTAGTTTACAAACAACTGAGTACCTGCAGACTCCATAAATACGTTAATCATTACTGCGAGGGTTACTTTTACAATCTAATATGTACGTATCGTGAATAGTCACAACTAAACAAAGATGAAATAGACGTGATAGAGAAAAAGAAGATTAATGAATAACATGTCACATTCATTGAATAATATAATATATATATATATATATATATATATATATATATTATATATATATTATATATTATATGTATATTATATATATATAGATCCTTACATTTAAATATGTAATATAGCAATAGTTTAAATATCAAAACAACAATATTGAAAAATAATGTAAAAGATATATTAATCACTCATTTATACATTCAGATTCAATCAAAAAATGTTTAATAAATTTTCAACAATGATATAACCCTCTGCATGTAATATAGTATTTGTATTAATAAAATTATCAGTATTGATGGCCATTGTTATTTTTTTTAATAATTAAAACAATTTAACATAAAAATAAGTAAGAAAAAAACTAAGAATTACTTTTTACTACGTTTATTAAAGTGCAAAGATATGTTTTTTTACATAACAAAATTTTTTGACTGTTAAAGGTAAAAGTATTAGATAAAAACAGACTTTACGAATCATGCACAATCATTGAATAATTAATTGATTTAATTACTTGAATTATTAAATACAGTACTAGAGGTTTATAAGGACGAAAACTTATGAGCATTATTGGTTTTCCACAAGTGCTCTTTATTTTTCAAGCCCAAAAATTAAATATTATTATATTATTTATAAAATTAAAGCAATAAATATTGATAATGTTTCTTAATAAAATTCTATTGTCATAATAATTAATGTGCATTAAAAATAAAAAATTAAGGTTAGTAGGCCTGTGATTGCATTTGAAAAAATAGTAAAGCTTACTCTCGATTATAAAGATTTATAACGTTGCCCGATTCACTCTTTTCTGTCATATTTCGGTTTTCATCACTTTTATTATTTATCACAGCTTCGTTGATCAGCATCTGAAATAATGATTATAGCTATGAATAATTTATTTTATATCAATTTCTATTGCTTTTATAATGATGTATTATGATTATAAAGAGTTATTGTCAATTGTAATGTTTTTTCTCAATCAACTTGGCCAATAATTACCAGTCTCGCCCGTGACATAGAGAAGACATTAGTTCCAGTTGATCAAAAATGAAGATCAAAGAAAAGATTGATAGACAGACGAAAAAGCATTGATGATCATGTAGGACGCACCTGAGAGGCTGAGGATGAAGGTGAGGCTCCAAACATTTTTTTTCTGAGCTCATTCAACTGTAGCTCCTGCTGGTAACTAACGTCACTCTCTTGAGACTCCTCACGTCGTGCATCAGTAACAGACTCACTTGAATACTCAACGTGAATCCATGGACAAACTATCGGTGATGATGGTAAGGAATGTTTACTTCCTGGTCTTGATAGTCTTGGAGACAGTCTCCTAAATAATGAAACTATTTTTGATCTATAAAAAATAATTATTAAATAGTTTTGTTCTCATCTCTATTATCAACTAATTAATTAATTGGCTATAAATATTCACTTTGTCGTAGGGATTCTTAATCCACTAATTCTCGGACTTCGTGAAAGTAAATGTTCCGCACTTCTGCTAGTATTTTGCCAATCAGTGTTAACTTTTCGACCCATTCGCCAATCTAAACTATTACTTTGGCGAGATTGCAAAGCTATAATCGACGAAAAATTTTAATTAATAATAAAGTTCAAAATAATGAAAAGTTGTGAGGAGTAAAATTTTATTGCATTCAATACCTGACTCAGTTGAGCGTTGTCCTATTTTCCAGTCTAAGCCTGAACTACTTTTATTCACACTATAAATATTATCACAGGATTTCGTGGTAAGGCAAGTACCTTGACGTCGCCTCAACAGTCTTGAAACTGGTCCCAAAGTTCTGTAGTGACAAAAAAAAATTATTTTTAAATTTTTCCCTTTAGCTTTTTTCAAATAGGCTGCTAAATTTAGTCTTACTTTTTAAACTTTTTTGGTTGATTTATTGATTTATTCTCACAAGGAGTGATCTCAATTTCAGGTTCTGGACAAAACGTACCGATCCTTAAGTGACTATAAGCCGCTCTCAATTGAACACCGTCAAGAGGACGAAAATTAGCTCGCTCTATTGATGACACCCGAACTATTTCGATTTTTGGACGTGATTCCATTTCTTAATGTCTGTTATATATTTACTTTTAAGTTAAACAACTTTGTACACATGAACACAAGTTTGGTAAGGCATAAAAAAAGCCATCGTTGAATGGAAAAATATTGACAAACGCTGATGTAAAATAATCGGATTAAATTCCAAGGGAACGAGCAAAGACTGATTGGTTATTTATCTATATATTTTCTCAAAGCTTCATTGACTCACTGGAGTCAAGCTACTGGTATTCTATCCACATCAGTAGTTTTTTAGAGCAGCAAAAGTGATATAAAGAGAATGCACTTATAAATGAAATAATATGATAGAATTATTATCAAAATAGATTATCAAAAGTGGCTAATCATTTAAACTTTAAATTTGGCACATAACGTTACATTCAGATAAACTATAAATCCAAACTTATAACACGTGCTCCTTAATCTTACCGTTAATACATAACTCAAGTGTCTTACACTCAATGTAAATATTGACTTGTTCACTTATCACCCTTTAGAATAGTACAAATTCCTTTATCAATTCGGATAAGATAATTTTTTTTTCACAAACGTTTGGATATTTTTATCAACGTCAACTTCAGCTACTGTAATAAGTGCAGAAACATACTAAATGGAATAAAAATACCAGAATGAGATGAGTAATTAAAAATAGTGAACATAATAATGACAACGTAAAGCAGGCGTGGAGGTCACGTAATTGCTAGTTGCACTATGATACATGAAAGTCTTTTGGTATTCGTGCTAGCATGTTAGTGATGATGATTCTTGGCAACATAGCATTCTTGTAAACATCAAAAGTATCTAGTTATTCCATTCATGAGACTATTGCACACTCACTAGTTCCCAGAGTCAGTTAATTCATTTTTAAAAGCTCACATTACACTAGCTTACCCTCAATATAAATTGAAACAATATAAATAAAAGCACGTCGTGCTCTATTTAGCGCTTGCCAAGCTTTTTTCACTTGTCTGATTTATACTTTACATTGAACTTTTCACTTTGTTTTTTTTTTCTAGTACATGAAAAGATAAACAGTAAGCTTTACTCGCAAAACTCGCGGCTACTAAATAATAATGTCTAATGTCTCTTTTTTATACTAAAGTAAATGCTTTGTTTTAATTTTAAGTGCAATTGTTTTTATCCACGCCAAAGTACCTGGATGAATAGAAAAATAAAATCACAAAAGCTAAGAAAAAATTAAAATCAATTATAAAATAGAACTATTTCCATCAGATAACTTTGATTAGACCTTTAACTAAGAAATGTATTTACTACCTGATAAATACAACGACCTTTTCAACTGGATTCTCCTGTTGCATTTTTATTAGTGATTGTCGTCACTTTATTTTGAAGAAGCTTTAAATTTACCATACCAAGGCCTCACTAATATAAAGGAAGCCACTTTTCTAGGCTGAAAAGTCCTTTTTGATTTTTAGAAAAAATAAGGAAATCTTATAAATTCTGATGCCAAATGAGATTGTCAGGATCATTAAACACTTTATTCACTTTTTATATAAACTTTTAATTATAGACACGAAAAGAAAATGACTATCTTCACTAAAAGAAACTCAATATTGTAAAAACTTTCAGTCATATAATATATTATCACTAAGTTCATAATATTTTTAGTGTCATATTGAAAATAATTTTTATTAAACATAGAAAATATAGAACTCATTCAAGAATTTCGAGCTTCATTGATAACTTTTCTCTTCCGTAACAAAAATTCTTTTTGACACAACTCAAAGGATCTATAAATAAACTAACACCGGCCTCGTTCATACTTTTATTTATTTCTGTGTTTCGTTTGATTATTGTCATTTTTTTTTAAATTAAAAATTGCAGTTATAGTTGAAATAATATAAATTTCAGATATTGATCAATAATTATTACAATAAAAAAAAATCATTAGAAAACATTTGGTATAAATTTATTTTCCCTCGCTTTCGATAGTTATTATACTTGTAGTTAATATAATTTTTAGGTTAAAAACACCTCCACTTCAAGGAGACGATACCGTTGGACTGCCGACATTAGGAAGCAGTTGATACGCCTATACCTAGGCTCTATCTTACTCTCTAACACTCCAAAATTAATTCTGTCTCGCTTCTGGTCTTCATCAGACTTGCGCTGTGGCTCAAGCTTACTCCAGCACATCAACGAGTCTTTGCCATCCATTATTATCAATACTCGGCCTTCGGAATATGTAAATACATACATGGTACATAAAATAAGCAGAATTGTCGATTAAAAAGATTAATGAAATAATAATTAAATTATTTTGAATGATAGAGAAATAAATTTTAATTCTTCATGAATAAAAATGTCCGATGTTAAATAATAGAATCAACTCTGATCAATTTGAAATAGTGAGGATGATTTCTTAGAAAAGTGTGTGGGTTAATGCCCGCAGAATGAAATGAAGGTGACTCGAGCATGAAAACACGCATGCGTTCAATATCTAAATTCCGCGCCATTTTAATTTTATTTATTTATCAATAAGTAAAACATAAATTTATTCATTTGTTTACAATAATGAATGCTTATTAAAATGTTAACATCATTAAAAATATTTTTTGAATATTAAACAATTACTCAAAATATTATAAATCGGAAATATTCTTTCCTCACAAATATGCGAGATATTATATTTATTAACAGACTTCTAAGTTCACTGACAATTTAATTAATTCATAGATGGTTCGCTAAACAATATATTTTCTCCAATCTTCTATAAATAAAATATTCGATTTCTCTAATGACTAGTTTAAAAAACTTTAACGATGTGATAAGCTTCATTACTTTATAACCTTATTAGAAAAATTAAGCACTTAATCGATATACGAAAGAAAAAAAAAGCTTATAAAATAGTTTGAAAAATCGTTGTTGACTTAAATAAAAATGAAGTATAAATGAGTTTATATTAATAAAAATGAATTTATTTTTTAGATTTCAAATACAATAGTTCAGATATTCGCTAAAAATAACGACATTTATTTTAAGTGGATGAAGAGTCACATCTGACGATGAAGATATCTGAAACAAAAAGTCTTTTTTCTCCTTTCGTTTAGTTTACCTTTCTCTTTTTCCCAACGAGAAAGATTTAACTTACCTACTATTAGAAAGAACATAGAGAAGGCTTTAAAAAATGTTCAAAAATCTTGATTTTTACCTTATCCTTAACAAGGATACCTTATCTACCAAAAAAACACCGACTCACTTTGTCACCAACGAAGATAATTCACGAGTAAAAACGCTTTAAAAAATGATAACTAAACTTGAAAGACTCACGAATTGATTCACTAAATAAAATAAACAATAATTCACCTTTTTTGGAAATATTTTAACTATGTCTTTCGAAAAATATTCTGTCTATTAAAATATGTAAATCGCTTATTGCACTGGTGCACAATTGACAGTTACTTGAGATAAAGTAGATAGAACTGAATAAAAAATAATTTCTCTTGATAGGAAAAATTCAATTAAAGAAAAAAACCTATACAAAAAGAAAATGCTTCTAGCAATAAATATCACAGCACCATTTTTATATATCACAACTAACTTTTTTATTTCTCTTTTTTCATTAATGTCATTATCACTTAAGTAAACAAACAAACTGTAACTTTAAAACTTCAACAAAGAAATCTCAAGAAGATTTTAAACAATATAAGTAACTTTGTGATAGACTTTTTAACAATATCCGCATGCAATAGTTGTTGAAATTTACTAATAAATTAAAAAATTTTCAATGACATTAATTAAAACTTTTTCAATTTGTCACTAAAACAAATGCACGAACAAACGATAGAACTAAACTTTGGTCAACCAAATAATTAGAAACTCAGCAGCAAATTAGCATCCAATATTACCCAGGAATCGTCATTTTGATAACGTTGACTTTTTCATTTTTTTTTTAACTTAATTTTTAAATTTTATGGGCGACGGTTGAAAATTAAACACATTTTTGTATCTGCATAGCGGCATCTATTTTTCTTAATTTGTATATTCAAACACTCATGATACACTTGATCCACTGCACCTCATCTTATCGAAGTTCATAGGGTATTGGAATCTTCGTTTCTAAATTTTTTCTCATCAATTGCCTCACTTTTATATTTAACTTTTGTTTTGGAATATAATTGATTATTTAATCAAATACTTAATTTATAGAAAAATTTTAAATAAAAATATTCTGAGAAAAAAAGTGAACGAATCCCATCCCAATCCCTTTGAAATATCGACAATTACACGAACAATCACTTTTTTACATCACAAAAATTATCAAGTCCTATTTTTATCTGTAACTTCATTATGATACAAAAAATTATAGTTTTCATTTATTTAATTTTATCTTGTCTCATTACTGGAACTGAAAACTGAAATTACCTACATTAAAACTTAATAAAGAATAAAAGAATATAATTAATTTCTGGTTCAATAAACAGTTATTGATGGAAATAATCAATTGAACGATTTACTTTACCCAGCTTATTGCGATTATGCTTAATTTGCCAGTAATATTCCTCAATGTATTTTTGAGTAAGAGTAAAATGTAATTGTCTAGGCACTTCCACCTTTGACAACAACAATAACCAAGTGGTCTTCTTTAAGTCCTTCATCGCTAAGATTAGGGCATGTTCTTTTGAGTAATTCTGTAGAGAAAGCGCAAGGTGGAAAAGCATATAGTACTCCTGTGCCTTCAGTGTCCTTATTTAGTAATGAAATAACACCCGCAGCTTCCTTTTGTTTCAAATATGATACAAGATTTCTCAATGGACGTGTTTGTACATTAGCATCTTCATTAGTTACAGCAGTACTCGATCCAGCAAGACCCAAGAAAATAGCATGGGAGCTAGATGTTTGAATTCGTTTAGAAACATCGTCAAGTTTCGGTTGATCTAAACGTAATCTTTGTGTAATTCTTAGCATGTGTTTTCCTTCTTCGTCTTTCATTAAAGCTTCAATAATTTCAGTATCTCCATCAGTAAGATGAAATTTAGCGGGGAAAAGTGAATTCTTTAAAATTAAAGCCCCTTGCCAAACAGCAATTGATTTTCTAGCAACTTCACTGAAAGTTCGAGAAGTCGATAGCATTCCAGTTCGTGCAGTTTCAGAGTCTGAATCAGAATCTAATGGTCTTCTACGAGGAGAACGTGATCTTGAACGATCAACACCAGGTTCTCGAGAAATCGATCTTCTCAAATTTCTTGGAGCTTCATATTCAATCTCTGGAGGTGGTCTTCTGGTAGGCCAGTCACTTTCATCACGCATGTAACCTTCTGGATAAGCTCCTCGATATCCACTAGTGTTGCCTCCACGACCACCACCTCTACGCTCATGCCAATGAGCCGCACTTCCTCTTCCACGATAGCTTCGAGGTCCATAACTGAATTCTCCATCACCTCCGTATGTATCATAAGGAGGTTCATAGTCTATTGGTGGTCTTTGTCTAAATTCTGGTCCTTCTTCAGGATAAGGTCTTGGTTTGAATCCAAAACCTGGTGTTACATCAGCAAAATCAACTCTCAGTCTTCTATCAGCTCCTCCTAATGGAAATCCGCGCATTTCTTTTACTGCTGCTTGTGCTGCATCAATAGAATCATAGAGAATGTATCCATTGCTGTCTCCTTTAATATAATCAATTTTTTTAATTGCTCCAAATCTATCAAATTCCCTTTCAAGTTGAGGAACTGAAGTCCAAGGTCCTAAACCTCCAACCCATATACGAGTGGTTGGAGTAGCTTTGCCGTAACCAATTTTACATTGAAATTTTCCAATATATTGGCCGGAAAGTTCGACTTTGCATCGATGAGCCATGTCAAGAGTTTGAAAACGAACAAAAGCATATGCATTACCCGTTCCTGGTGGTGGTCGTTTAATGTCAATGTCGTCAACAATTCCATATTTACTAAAAATACGTCGTAGTTCTTCTTCAGTAATATTAATTTCTAGGTTTCCTGCGAAAAGAGTTCGAGTAGCCAATGGGTCATCTTCAGGTGAAACATGATGTAAATAATTCGGAAATTTGTCTTTTTTGTTTTCAACGCGTTCAAATCCATGAACTGGATGACGAATCATCATGTGTCTAGGTGGACCATAGTGATGTGGAGGTCCAGGATGATGTACATGATGTGGACCATGATGCATTGGAGGTCGAACAAAATCATGATGCGGTGGAGGAATAGCTTCACGTCTCATTTCACGATGTGGAGGAATTCCAACAGGTGGAACATAAACTCTTTCATAACGTTCAGGAATTCTATGACGCTCTGGTCCAGGTGATCGAGCATAATATCGATCATATTCAGGAGGAGTAATAGATCTTGGTCGTCTATAAGTTTCTGGTCGTTCATAAACTGGTTCTACAATAGCCACTCTATCAAAAATTATTATTCTTGGTTTAGCATGCTTAGCATCGCGTGCATCTTCAGAACTTCGGAAGTAAACGAAAGCCACTCGATCATCTAAATCGTGTGTAACTCTAATAGAAAAGTCTCCAAACTTTTTAAATTCTCGAAAAATCGTGTCTTTAATTAATTCATCACTGGCTTTTGGATGTATTGAACTAATACAAAGAACCTTATAACTGTATGGTCGCTCTGGAGGAATCTCTCGAGTTGCTGCTTTCAAATATTCATCTCGGTGCGAGCCAGATTCAACAAAACGAGCATGGGATGATGCTCGGGGTGGTGGACTAGGACTTCGAGCTCCTCTACTACGCCTGCGAATTCGGTCTGGAGTAATCCGTTCATCACTAGATTCGTCATATCTGTCGAATAAAATTTATTGTATAAATAATTACACAATTGTTATATCATATACTTTAACTAAAAATTTTTTTAATATTTATAATTATAAATTTGTTCGAAAAATAAATAATTAAGTTTTTTAAAGTTAGATTTAAATTTTAATTAGATAATGTTGAATATACTATGTCACCAATTGTTAAATAATTATGTGATTAAAACATTAAATTCCTTCAAGTGAATGAAAAAGTGTTTTTTTAAACATTTAATTGTTATATTTAAACAATTGCAGAACACTGTACACAACACAAAAATAATTTTTACTGTCAAATTCTAGAACATACCGTCCCATAGATGATCTACTTCTTTTGACGCGAGGCGGAGTATCACGACTGGAGCTTCGCTTCATGGTGTTGTGAATCTTAACCGTAATTTTATGCCGGTCTTCACGTGGAATCCCAATCATCAACGCAGACAAAAATACGTAAACTGAGAATAGAACGTATAAAAAAATGAAATAATGCGCAAATTAACAATTTTTACAGAAATTGGAGAAGCTTTCAACAATTTATTGACGACACAAATCTACGAGTACCGACTCTTCCGTTTAACTAACAAAATGGCGTCAAATCCATACAGTGTAGAGTGGACATTGAAAAAGAAACGACACTCCCTCTAGAGTTAATTTTTTTGTAGGCTGTTATGTCCTGAGGTGGGTTTTGTGATTCGCACACTAGGAGGCGCTAAAGCATCTAACTCAAGGAGCGGGAAATTGGATTGATGTAAAATCGAATAAGGAATATTCAATATTTAATTTTATAGTATATAGGTACTCGTTTATTTAACATAAAAGATGTGTGTTCTATCAGAGTACAAAATGATCTGCTCTTCCAAATTCTTACATCTAAGTTGCTTAGTCCTTTTACATCCCCACTCAACCCTTTACTTACATAGAAGCTCTTTTATTCAACATGTGGCGTCCAGTGGTCTTAACATTTGGACATTGATGTCACTTTACGGTTTTTGAAGAGTTTTAACTTATACTTAAGTTTAAATATCATTTATTTATTACTAAAAGTAACTTAAAACATTTTCCAATATTTATCTTTAACTCTAGCCATATTTTCTCTTATTATTACAACTTAAATATAAAATATTATAAATCTTAATTCTATAGTTGCCAGAACATACATTCGTAATATTAGAGTTTCTTAAATATAATAAGTCTTTTTCGTCATGCCTGCGCGGAAAGTTCACTTTTCCATTGGAGAGGGGTTGAACTTTCCACTCAGGTATGACGAAAAATTATATTCAGCCCTAAGGAGGACAATTAGACAAGCTTAAACCACGTGTTTACCTCCCTCGCCTTCGGCTCGGGTTGTAATTTTACACGTGGTTTGAGCTAGTCTACTTTTCCTCCCTAGGTGTGAAATATACTATATTTTACACTTCCTTGAGTGACCTCCATTTATTAAAGTGTAGTCTGTTTCTTGTCTACTATTTTATTGACGTTTAACGGATTCAAATTTATTCACGCATTGTTTAGTATGTCTAATTACCACATGGTGTCTATATTTGAGAATGATATAACAAGGCAAAAGTGTCGCTGAGGTTTATGCTTATAAAGCCTGGCGTTAAGCAACCATGATTCAGCAAGAATTTAAAGTTCATTACAAATTAAACCAATCTTGCCACGTTTCAGTATCAATTTGAACATTTATGTGCCAACATCAGTCTCTCGAAAACTGCGTTTTCATTGTAAACTACTAAACTGTACTATCGGTATAGCAGGATAGTATTGATTGCAACGTAATATTTCACCTTGATGTTTTCAATGAAACATTCTCTTCATTTCTTTTGAATAGTTCATATCGTGCTTGCGCAGTAGAAAAAAGGAAAATTGGCGAGGTAAAATTCGTGTGACAGGAAGTACATATGTGCTGAATTATCTGAATTTCGAAAACATTTTTGTATAAATTTGATTACAGTATCCTTTAATGATAATCGAATAATAACAAATAGTTTATATTTTTTGTCACATCTAACGTTTGAAGGAAAAGTCGTATTCAATTTAAAAGTAAACTGATTATCTTTATTTACTACTATGATCTTTATTATTTTTATACAACAATTAAAATTCCATACCCGTCAGTTTCAAATGTTAATAATATTGTCTACTTTCAATTGACATAATAACAATATATATATAACTTCCCACTGGGAAGCTAAAAAAATTTTTAATAGTATTACGTATTATTGAATATTATAATTTGATAATAATATTTCATAAATATTATTATATTTATGGAACCATGGGGATCACAGATAATATGACAGACTCTTGGCTATCTTGTCCAAATTTGATTATAACAACTGACACTGATATTGAAGAAGAAATAGAGGATACACGTATTTTTAATACTCATCAAGAAATTTATCAATTAAATAATGTTCCCCTACCAGCCACTACAACAGAGACTTTATTTAGTGATAATATACCTACTCGAGTAAATGAACGAGCTCATATAAGTATAATAGATATGAACAGACAAAGATCAGATGAATATCAAGCCTTTTTTGTTTATGAAGATCTATTTTCAAGATATGTAATTTTAAAACCTCTTAAAGAAGTATCAGATATTGAAGTCATTGAAAAATTGATTGATATTTTTTTTTTGATTGGTGCTCCCAAAATCCTCCAAAGCCATCATGGCAGAGGATATACTGCAAATTTAGTTCGAAAATTAAGAAGAGTAATTCCAACATTAAATACTGTTCATGGAAATATTTTAAGATGGAGCGAACATCGTAAAGATTTTAAAACTCTAGTAGAATTATGGGAACAAAAAAATTCTCCGATGTTATGGTATGAAGGACTTAATTTTATTCAAACTTCTATAAATACCTCTGAAATTTCCGAGAGTGAAAGTGAAACATCACACACAACTCCTGCTAAAATATTTTTTGAATCAAATCTAGAAGACGATCTTGTACAGTTGGTACGTGATGGGGATTCTTTTGATGAAATCTGGACAGAAGAAGATTGGATGAACGAAATAACAAAAAATAATTTCTCCAAAAATTGCCATAAAGATTTAAGTGATGGGGTTAAAATGACAATATCTCATGATACTGAGAAGACTGATAAAGTAAATGTTGCATATTCGTCTACAGTAGAGGAAAAAAGACTTGATGATATTGAAGTTGATAAATCACCAATATTAACTTCTTCAAGTTTTAATGAATCTTTAGATAGTAATGATACAAAAGAAAATATTGATACTTCTAATTTACCTAGGGTACAAAATAAAGCGTTAATTGAAATCCAAAAGACTGGTATAATTGCCAAAAAATCTGCTGTCTCCAGCAAAAACATTTTCAAATGTAGTAAGTGTAATCGAATTTTCAGGCGAATAAATCATTTAATGAATCATATGAGAAGTCATAAACCAAAATTAAAAGATAAAAATGAATATAAGGATGATGTAGTTTTACCTGTGAATTCAGAAACAGATCAGCTAACAAGTAACTCTGAAAGAATACTGAATAATCACATTGAAACACAAATAACAGATGAACGAGAAGTTACCAGTAGTGCTGAAGATGAAATAAATTGTAATGGAAAACCTACTTCATTATTAACTAAATCAATCAAAATACGTAGCAAACCAACGTTGGAGTGTACATTTTGTGACAAAAAATTCACTTTTCGTAGTGTTTTGGAAAGGCATTTGCGAATTCATACTAACGAAAAACCATACTTTTGTAAAATATGTAATAAAAATTTCAAACAATTTGGTCATTTAAGTCAACATGCAATGGGACACATAGATTTTCGATCATTCCAATGTACCATATGTGATCATAAATTTGAATCATACCAAGTATTGAAAGATCATATAATATCTCACAAAAATGATAATAGTCAAATCATGAAAATTCAGAAACCATATCGTTTATATGAATGTGATATTTGTAAGAAAGTATTTTCAGCAAAAAGTGTTTTGGAGCGACATATTTTTACTCATATTCATGATCGCCCCTATAGTTGTAAAATATGTAATAAAAAATACAAACAAGCAGGACATCTTAGGTCTCATATGTTAGTTCATACAGGAGAGAAAAAATTTGAATGTACAATTTGTTTCAAACGATTTAGCGTTTCACATGCATTGAAAATACATCTTCTCATTCATACTGGATACAAGCCATATCAATGTAAAATTTGTGAAATGAGATTTCGGGCAAAAAGAAATCTAGATTCACATTTATTGACTCATACTAATGATAAACCTCACGTATGTACAATCTGTGGTAGAAGATATACTCTAGCTGATACATTAAAAAGACATATTACAATAGCGCATGTGATTGGTAAAACCTATCAGTGTGAAATTTGTGCTAAAATGTTTAGTCAATCAGGACATCTTGATGCACATAAAAAAGTTCATAATGATGAACGACCTTTTCAGTGTTTAATTTGTGATAAGAGTTTTAAACATAATAGTGTGCTTAAATCGCATCTTTTATGTCATTCTAATTTCAAACCTTTTGAGTGTGATTATTGTAAAGCTACTTTTTCTAGAAAAAATAATTTAAAAAATCATATTCTTTCTGTTCACATGAATGAACGACCATATTTTTGTTGTATATGTGGTAAAAAGTTCAAAACAAGTAGTCATTTGACGACACATATAATGATTCATAGCAATCATTCAATTTATCAATGCCAGTATTGTGATAAAACATTTTATGGACTCGATTATTTGAAACTACATATGAGACGACATAAAAAAAATTTTGAATAATTTTATGAAAATATAAATTTTATAGAAAAATTGTTACAACTATAAGGATGTTTTTTTTATGTTTTTATATTTGATTTATTTTTTTACTCTTAAAAATATTTATAAAATAAAATGCCTTATATACTTAATTTTATAATTCAGTAGTAAGTAAGATAAAATAGATGAAGTAATATGTATAATATTACATGAATATTTTTTAAATTAAACTAAATAAATTTCATTCAATATGAAACAAAAACTCGAATTTTAATGGACAAAAAAAAAGAAAGCTAAATATGTAATTTTTTCGTCTGATAAAATTGAAATGATTATTAAATAGTATCTTAATAATTTTTAATCAAAAATTTGTATTCATTATATTATACTATTCATACAAAAGTGTTATTTTAGTATTAACTACGAAGTTATACGTTGATAAACGTATATATATCCCAGTTCTTTTGGAGGATTTTCTGATAGTGCAACCTATCAATAAAAAAATGTTTGTAATTAAAATATACATGATACTATCTTGATTTTGATTTACCTTTTCATCATTAAATATAACCCATCGATTGTCTTTAAGTAAATGACATACGTAATGACCAACCATTGGCGAAGTACCCATGTGCGAAATGAAGCCTACAAGTTTGTAATCTAGAAAAAAAACAAAGTAAATCCCGATTGAATAAATTTTTGTTTGAAAAAAATAATGTATTTACTAGTATTTCCATCTCTAAACTCCTCTTCTGGTTTTTTATGACTTTCTGCCATATCAACAGAATCAAGCTCATGTTGGTGACTTATAATCCAATCAACTGCTCGTTCAACATTATTATCCGTTGCTTTCAAAGCTTTTGTTGCTTCACTTTCAGTAAAACCAAAGCCCAGTAAACACTTAAGATCCTCGATATTCGGTTTATACTGAGTATTATCTAAAATATGATAGATTTATGTCGTAAATAATATATTTGAAAAATTTTGAAATTACAATTTTATTAGTTTTACCAGAATTATCAGCAACACCTGGTGGAATAAAAGGTTCTGAAAAGTCTGAATCCATAACATGTTCTAATAGCCAATGTGTCGCGGCTTCAAGTCCTCGATTTTCTGTGAAATACAAAGCTCTTTTGCAAGCTTCTACTGGGAATCCCATGTCAACAAGCTGACTATACAAGATCGGATTATAAACAGGTGTTGGAATCTCAGATGAAACTTCTGGTAATAATTTTTCATTCGCTTGTAAACCAGTACCACGCAGAGAACTCAAATCTAATTCATCAGGCATTTCAACAGCAACATCCAATTTGACCATAGTCCAGTCATCGTTAACTGTGAATTTTTTTAGATGAATTAAAAGGTAGTCAGGAAAAGTTGCTAATCTTGTAATCCTGAAAATAAAAGAAAAAAAAATGAGTCACAATCGTAATAGAAATTTTTTACTGATGAAATAAAAAAATTTACTTTTTTGCATTAGTTTTACTATTAATTGCAGTGCTATAAAATTGCTCAATAGTTTCCATTTGAGAAATAGTTTCAAGGCATGAAGAAAATTTAATTCTAGGTCTTACAATAACACTTGAATCTATTTTTCGACCATTAATTTCGGCTTCTTTTTTCTCTGCTTCATGTGCAGCAACTTCGTCCTATAATCGTATATTAATAAGTTTACATTTGTGAATGTAGGGTTCATATTGATTAAGAAAGTTATTCAAATACCTTGTTAACAGCTTCCTCTAAAGGAATAGGCATAGGTAGAAGATATTCTGGACGATATGAATATTTAACATTTCCAGAACTTTCACATTCATATCTTTCTTCAATTTTAAATTTAAAACAGTCAGCAGGATTCGATTTTTGGCGACTAGATCTCTAAAAATTAAAGCATTTGTATAGTAATTATTTTTTTTCAATTAATGTATAATATTCTAAATGTAATAAACTTACTTCTAACAGGTTTAATAAATGCAAAAAAAATTCCTGAGCATCTTGTTGCCGATTAGACGAAAATCCGGGATGGCCGCGACCAATCAAAGTTTTAAACATTCTTGGAGCAATTCCTTGACGCCCTTCATTTGCAGTTTCTGAATCTGGAGCTACTGAATATTTACCCGAAAGTAAACCAACTCCTAATTTGGCCCTTTAATAAGATATTATATAAAAATAATATTTATGATTTTTCAATTATCTATTATGTCAACAATTAAAAAAAAGACTCACATTTGCACTTCAAAATCATTGGCTGGATCGATGACATTTGCATCAAAAATATCCAATGCTGGATCAACAAATCTGTTAATAATCAACTTTTTATATTAGTAAAATTTTATTCACTCATAAAATAGTGGATTTTTTAATTTTTTATCATTTGATATTTTTATAAAAACGATTCGGTGGTCATTGAAATATTTACCTACGAATGAAATCTGGAATGATAAAAATGGTCTGCATTATACTATTCAGATAACATGAATTTCCTAGATTTGTTAATCCAGTATATCCGGGACCATAAACTGGTGTTAATTTACTGGCAGCTTCCTGAAGAGCCACCCATTCACCAAACTTTTGATTCAAATCCAATTCTAATTCTGACATTGATTTTTCTGTTTTTTCTAGCTGTGCAATGTTAATTCCCCAATGAGCCAAATGTTCTATGAGATGAGGATCTTCTACCATATCATCTTCATCATAAGAATACACATCACCCTTTCCTTCTTTTGTGATTGTTCCTAATTTTACTGCCAGTGGAAAACCAGTTGCTTGATAATGTTGGACAGCATGATCATTGCCACCAGAACCATCGTAGAATTTACGCCCACATAATATGGAACCATCGGATAAATTTAGCCACAAATTCTGAGTAAGATCACATTTATCACATTTCCAACCATTTGGTGGAATTTTTCGGGAGTTGTTTAATTGTAGAAGATTCGCGGCATGTCTACATATAAAAAGAATGTTGTCATCAATAATTTAAGTAATAAAAATCTATTAGAAAATATTTAAGTAATTTAAAATAATATATTTTATATACTTTGATACTACTCTAGCTTCACCGTCCCAAGTACCACTCAATGCTTCTTTTTCAGCCATTTTTGTAGCAGATTCAGCATTCAATATTGATGTCACTGATGCTTTGACCTTCGAAAAAATAATTATTGAAGTATAAAGTAATTAGGCATATTATTTATTTATTCTATGACTTTTCAATATACCTTCTCATCTATATCTGAGCATGGATATTGAATGACGGTAAAACTTGGCAAAATAACAATTTGATAGACTTCTTCGACACTATATTTCTTTTCTTCTGGAATAAATCCTCCTGGTTCACCAATTGCTAATCGAGTAATTTTTTTTGCTGGTCCGTCAGTTGGATCAGAAATAATCTATGTAATTTATTTATCATTAATTGTGCTGTTTCATATTCTCTTCAATACTTGGAAATGTAAAAAAATCTGTTTTTATGCAAAAGTTATATCGTTATTCTTACCTTACGAGTTCGTTTTATATTTAAATATACATGATGTCCAGTTTTTTGATAATAACGTTCAAGATGATCTCGACCTAATCCATGAAAACTGGTTAGACTGACATATAATCCAAATGTTGATAGCTGAAAAAAAAAGCATGAATATAGAATTTTTCAATAAAATAATGATATTTTTCAAAAATGAATTATATTACCGGTGTATCAAAAGAATAAACACATTCATCTTTGTATACTTTATCTTCAGGACCAGCTATTCTTATAGTAGCCAAATATTTATTTAGCTCTTCCATTGTTTCTTTTATTAAATACTTTTCAAATACTTAACACAGTGAAAATATCTTGTCCGTATATAACTGTAAATAATTGATTATTATTAATATTTATATTCTATTAATTGCAATTTTAAACACATAACTATGTATACATACTACATGCATCTGCATTTACTCGAATATAGTGTATGTATATAGGCAATTTTCAGAGCTCATGCACATTAAAAAAATATGAGTAAATTTTTATAACTCATAATTAAGCTACGAGCACAATAAACAAAATAAAAATTATAATTACAGGTTAAAATGTATGGTGTATAAAACGTTTTTTGTGATAAATTTTGTTTTTATGGTGTTGTTACAAATGAACAAAACTGTCTCGTGGAAAAAAAATCTACATTACCATCTGAAGTAATTATCAACCTAACCTAGTAAAGTAACATTTGCCACTTCGTTGTTTTTTTGTTGTATTGATGAGCTTATAGTCAACAAATTTTGGTAAATTTTCATTAAAAAGTTTTTAAAGTTGCAAATACAGTATTAAATCCCTATATTTTTTCTAATTAATTAAGGTATTAAACTGTATGTATACTTTTTATTTGTTTATTATTGATAATTATACGAGAAATTAATCATTATTTATTTTTCAACAGTTGAAATGTGTGTGAAAACTCAGTGATAAGAATAATTGTAAAAACAAATTTAATGGCAATAATTTGTACAATTTTAACTAAAGAAAATGCAAGACATTTGTTCAGATATACGAACTGCAATTGATCATGGTCGTACCGATATTTTACGATCATTGCTTGGTGCTTGTACGTATACATATTTTCATAACCTCTATGCATCAATGTATCTGTAAAAATCATAACTTAAACTTTCTGTTAAATATCATCTTTCACATTTGAATATATTTTAGAATATTTATAACTAATATTTTTTAGGTGATAATCGAACTTTAACTGAAGGCATTACAAAAGATGAAATTTTAAATCAACCATTTTTAGAGGAAGGCACGTTTTTATCATATGCTTCAAAGGTAAGAGCTATCAAATAAGTATTGGTGAAATTTTTTTATATTGTTCATTTTCTTTACTCTAGACAAACCAAGTAGATGTAGTGAGAACTTTATTAAGTTGTGGAGCAGATCCTGCAGTGAAAAATGCACATGGACGTAATGCTGTTGATGTTGCTGCTAGTGAAGTCATTCGTTTGATTTATGTAGAGGAATTATTACGTGCTACTGCAGCTTCTGAGTATGTAAACAATCTTTTTTATTTTACATATTATAAAGTTGTATTTAAAATATTTATTTTACACGTATATGCATATATAAATTATAGGACAGATAGAGTGATTCAACTACTATCAGCAGGAATTGATGTCAACGCTTGGGATTCAGAAGGAAGCAAAAATACTCCACTTCATTGGGCAGCGTGCTATGGAAATAAAGAAATAGTAGCATGTCTCATTGGTAATTCATATTCAAATACATAACATTGAATAAATAAATAGTCATTTTATATTTAATTAATCAATAACATTACAATTCCATGATGTTACGATAGATCGAGGAGCTGATATTAATGCTGAAAACGGCTGTGGTGCAACACCTCTACATGAAGCTGTCAATCGTGGAGATATTGCAATCTGTCAAGAACTTTTAGATGCTGGCGCCAATCCTCATATTCGTGCAATTCATGGGTAATTATTTTATTAAAAATAAATAATAATTCATAATATAATGAATTTTTCATAATATTTTTCTTAATAAATTTTAATAATTTTTCTTAAAAATTTTTTGTCCAGTACATTTGCCGGAAAAAGTCCCTACGATTTAGCGAAAAATAAACCATCTATTTTCTTATTAATGCAACAACAAGCAATGACAAGCTCAGTATCAAAGGAATCAGAAAAAAGTATTCTAAACAGTCCTTCTGTGACATCATATGCAGATTTAAACAACTTTAGCCAAAAAAGTTTGTCAACTAATATCAGCCAGCTCTCAATAGATTCAACAAAATCATCTGATCCATTATACGATTCAACCTTGAGAGAACGCAATAATGAAAGCCCAGTGAAATCAATTCTAGATAAAAGTAGCATTTGGAATTTGATATGGCCTCAACCTAAAAATATTTTAGATTTGAGTAGTTTTTCATCTCCGTTTATTGCGGAAAAAGAAATTTTTATATCAATCATTAATAGTGGTGAATCAATACATGATATATTGGATGTTTGGGAAGTGAGTCGAACATATTTACTAGAATTGGGACACGATGTTAAAATTGGTGAAGTTCAGCCGGGTTCTGGACGATTCAATAGTGATAATAAAATTGAGTGTATAGTTAATCGAAAATTATTTAATAATAGTGAAGGTTATCAATTACACATAACACAAAATTGTGTTAAAATAAGCGCTGGAAGTTTGTCTGGTTTACATTATGCCGTGTGTACATTTATTCAGATTTTACGACTTAGTAAAAATTCAAGTTCTTCAGAACATACTGAAATAGATCCAGTATTAATAAAAGATGAACCACGATTTACTCATCGAGGAATTTTATTAGATATTTCTCCAAGAGGTAGAACACCAACTTTGGAATATCTTCTTCATACAATCAACATCTGGTCGTCATTGAAAATTTCTCATCTACACATTTATTCTCGACTTACGCCTAGCTGTGACTGGCAACTATGCTATTCTCGATCAGAAATGATTACATTAGACCGTTACTGCAGAGATCGACACATAAATTTAATTCCTACTTTAGATGTGGATTTAAATGTGAGTCAACGTCATCTTACCCAAATGTGGCCTATTTTTCAGGAATTATTGGCAATATTTCCCAGTTTAAGTTACGTTCATGTAGGACCAAGACTAGCTAGTTTATTAGTGCAACCAGAGAATTTAGATTTTAGTACTAATAGTATTAACGAAACTGTAGAAACTGATATGTCAGAAGTTTTTAAGACTTACACCTGTCTTCAAGAAATGTGGCATATTCTTAATTTAAATCCTGATACAACATTATTACTTTGTTCCAATGGTTTACATTCCAAGCCAGAATTTCGAAGTATTCCAAGTAATGTTGTTCTCGTTGAATATGGGTTTCAAGCGGACTATGATTTCTCTGAATGGACAGAAGTATTTAAAATAGCTGGAGGTAATGTTCTACCTAGCTCTGGCACTGCTAGCTACAATAGCCTTGCTGGATGTCCTGCTTCAACGTTAGCTAATACACGGAATGCTATAAAAATGGCATTAGAACAAAATTCAATTGGAATTGTCGTAGCACATTGGTCAGGAAGCCATCATTTAACACCACACACCTTTTCTTGGTTAGGTTACTTGATAGCAGCTGGGTTAGCTTGGAATCCATCAACAGATATAGAGTTGGGGCCAACAGACAACTACGAAAATTCTCATATATCCGATTCAATCAGACGTCATCGTTATTTGACGAATATTCTAAACATACATGTGTTCCAAGATTTAGAATATAGAATTGGAGAGACTATTTTAGAATTAGGACGAGTCGATACGATGATATTAACGCTCAGCAAAAATCAAGATATCAATGACCTTCAACAAATACCTGATAATCGAGGATCTACACTTTATAGATTACTTACGGATCCTGATAATGTCAACTTGGAGTATCTTTCTGCTGACCTTTTTGCTGTAAGTTAAATATATTTTTGTAATGATAAAATAATAACTACTTGTAATTTGGAGTCTGTCCCGGTTATTGGTTGAAATTTAACTAAAATAATTAACGATTGATTACAATAGAAATATTAATAGGTGCTTTGTAATATTTATTACTTTCGATAATACCTGTGGTTTATTCTTATTTCTTTGAAATACTTTTTCAATAGATAAAGCGCATTTATATTGAATCACACTAACTTCGATAACAATTATTTCTATTTACAGAAAGTAACAAAACAAATAAAACGGATTACTCATGCTCTTTATGAAGCAAATGTGACAGCTAAATTTGGTTCGATGGAGATACAAGAGCTTCAATTAACAGCTGACTTAATGATAACTGCATGTCGCATTGGAAGAACACTTATTGGAGTTGGAGTTAATCCAAATAGCAATATGGGATTAGCTGTAATAAATCTTGGAATATGCAATTTGCCACCTACATTTAGAACAGATATTGCTAATAAAATGCTGGCTCATATCGAACAGTATAAAGGTGCTTGGTTGCAAAGATATTTACCTCAAGGTTTACAAAACTCATTACTAGTCTTAACTAGTGCACTTCATCGATTTGTACCAGAATCATAAGAATGAATTAAGATTTTTTTATCAATACAACTATTCTTATTTGCAATTCTTAAAAATAAAAAACACTTTCATTTGTAAGAAAATTAGATAATTCAAGCAACTGAGTGGTTGTTAAATTTATTTATAAATATATATTATATATTTAACACCATTACTTTTTAACTGAATATACATGATAATTATTTCTTTGAATATTTTAAACTTTCAATTTCATTTTTACATTTTAATAAAATAAGTATCATCAACTAGATTTTTGTTATCAAGTATTAATACTAATATTGCTGAAGACTGTTAAAATAACATAAATAATAATTATATGAATATAAATGTATAAGTTAGGTAATTTAATTTTATGCATAAAACTAAATTTTAAATACATCAATTTTTAAAAAATTTTTATAGTCTTTTTTGTGTCATTATCCTTGAATTTTTACAAAAATATTGCAGTGTTATTTATAAATAAGACAATCAAGTCAAAATTTATTCACCACTTCTGATATCGGCTACAATTAAAGATGTACGATTGGTATTGCCTGGGTTCCAACCTTCTATTTCCTTTAACTCTTGTGCTCTTTCTTCTTCTTGAAGTTTTTGAAGTCGATTATATTCATTTATTTCATATTGATATTTGGGCGATGTAATACCAAGAAAATCGGCCAACGCTTCACCTACATAATCACAACCTTCTAAGACTTTCGATCCAAACCAGGAGGTTTGATGCAGTGTCCATGAAACCCAATCAAGAGATTTCTAGGAAAATTGTTAATTAAACCGTAATAAATGATATTGATAGGTATATGAGTGAATATTATTATGAAAATAAGATAATTATCTTACTGGGTCAACTAATTCTCGACTTTCTTGAGAATTGTCGGTTTCTTCACCATCAGAGTATTCAACCAAATCACCATCTGAGAAGTGTAATATCCTTTTTGGTTGCCTTTGCTTATTTATTTTATCAATATCCTGTAACAATATGTTCAAAAGTATTTGACAGTGAATTAGATTTACTCCAATAATTTAAACGTAATTGTAATTCGTAAATAATTACGCACTTTCTTTATGTCATCATCATTTATTTGTAGCGTAACATCAGATAAACGTGTGTCTTTATCACTATTTGAAGGCATTGTTATAAATAAATTAATAAACTTTTTAATTTCACAAAATATAAACTTAATCTATCGAAAATATATCTTTTGTTTATTTTGGTTTTAATGGAAGTCAAAAAGATTATTGTATTGAAAGTATTATAAATAAAATGAATTTCAAATAATAGCTATGATCATTTAAACTTTTATTCGATCCATGAACAAACTATTTATGCTATTAATTACTTTTCAATAATTTTTTAAATATCACTACAATGCAATAATAAGAATAGTAATAATATTTTTTTTTTCGTCGATCAGACAATACATACTATATGCAATTGACGAAAAAGCTAACATCGGAAAATACATATAATAGTCGACTATAGTCGAGTCACAATGCATCCGCCATTTTTCTATATTTGAAAAAGAGCGCCAAGATTGAATGAAAGTGTAGGTTTTATGCAATTTGTGTATTTCATTGTGAAACAATAAAACGAAAAATTTTTTCAAAAGTCATCGACAATATCAAACGATAATTTTTTATTTTATTTTTTCATAATGAAATACACAAATTGCACAAAACCTACACTTTTATTCAATCTTGGCGCTCTTGTAAATATAGAAAAATGGTGGATGCATCGATGCACGTTGTATGCATTGCGCATGTCCAGCTGTAGAAAGGATCCTGCGTAAAAATTGTGATGTTGATGCTTACCTCCATTTGACTATAAATTCTGTTTCAATGGTTTTGTACATAACGGTAGAGTTATTTTATTCGTTCGGCTAGAGTTTGAGTAAATAATTAAATCAAGATTATGCGATAAGTACTGTGAATTTATTATTTTCGATTGTTTGTAAGTATTATTGAATTATTATTTAACTTATTTTTCAATTTGATTAATGAATTCTTTGTTTATTTTAATCGTTCAATACAACAACATGTAACGTTGTATGTTGTTTAACCTCAACGAAACATTTACTGAATTAATTTATTGATTGATAAATTTAAAATCATAATCGGTTTTCAGATATAAGAATAAACGACCATCATGTCGATTCCACCATATCTTTTGGGACCCAATCCATGGGCTACAATGATAGCTCAGCAGCAAGCACACGTTCAATTGGCAGCGGTCCAAGCTCATGCTCAAGCCGCCGCTCATGCTCATGCTGCTCATCATGCTGCTCATGTTCAAGCTATGGCAGGTCCACCACTTCCTCAAATGCCTAAACAACCAGAAGTTTTATCAGAAGAAAAACTTCAAGAAAAAGCGCAAAAATGGCAACAATTACAATCAAAACGTTTTGCTGAAAAGCGAAAATTTGGTTTTGTAGATGCGCAAAAAGAGGATATGCCTCCGGAACATATTCGAAAAATTATACGCGATCATGGAGATATGAGTAGTCGAAAATACCGACATGACAAACGGGTTTATTTAGGAGCTTTAAAGTATATGCCTCATGCAGTCATGAAACTTTTAGAGAATATGCCAATGCCTTGGGAACAAATAAGAGATGTCAAAGTACTTTACCATATCACAGGCGCAATCACATTTGTCAATGAAATTCCGTGGGTCATTGAGCCAGTTTATATTGCTCAATGGGGTACAATGTGGATTATGATGAGACGTGAGAAAAGAGATCGAAGACATTTTAAGAGAATGCGATTTCCACCTTTTGATGACGAAGAACCACCACTCGACTATGCTGATAACGTTTTGGATGTTGAACCTCTTGAAGCCATTCAAATTGAACTAGATTCTGAAGAAGACCAATCTGTGGCATCTTGGTTTTATGAACATAAACCATTAGTTGGAACAAAGTAAGTATTTTTTTTTTCAATTTATTTTAATTAGAAAATATCCAACACAAATAATGGTTGGAATGGATTTCATTTTAACGTAAATATGATGAAAAGCGTAGGGGTCCTGAAACCAACTAGCATGTGAGTTGGCTGCTATAACATGTTCTCTAGCTTGTTTTAAACAAGGCTGTTGGCATGTTATGGTTGGATCAAACGCTATTCTGATTTTAAAAAAATCTTATATTAGTAATTAGTGTTAAATATTTTTTTAATTATATGTACTTAGAGGAGCAATTTTATTGTTTGTTTTTAGACACATTAACGGATCAACTTACCGGAGATGGAACTTAACACTCCCACAAATGGCAACACTTTATCGTTTAGCAAATTCGCTACTTACTGATTTAGTAGATCAAAACTTTTTCTATCTTTTTGATCCTAAATCCTTCTTTACTGCAAAAGCTTTAAACATGGCCATTCCTGGTGGCCCGAAGTTTGAACCTTTAGTAAAAGATTCAAATGCTGCTGATGAGGATTGGAATGAATTCAATGATATTAATAAAATCATTATTCGACAACCAATTCGGACAGAATATAGAATTGCTTTTCCATATCTCTACAATAACATGCCTCACTTCGTTCATCTTTCTTGGTGAGTATAAAAATATTTGTTAATTTTAAACCCACACGTCAATCAAGATGCATCATTTAGTTTAGATGTTTGTATACATTGTGTGGTAAATTAAAAGGTAGCTGTTATTCGTGTCTTTAATAAAGATAAAAGAGAAACTGCTGAGTCTACCGATAAAATTTTATTAAATAATAAATGTTACAAAAAATTGAAAGATTTAACGTAAATATTTTTTTGAATAGGTATCACGCTCCAAACGTAGTTTACATCAAAACAGAAGATCCTGATTTACCGGCATTTTATTTTGATCCTTTAATCAATCCAATTTCTCATCGTAATTCATTGAAAACAATAGAATCTACAATTGAAGAAGATGAAGATTTTGTTCTCGATGAAGATATACAACCATTTCTTCAAGAAACTCCACTTTATACTGATAATACTGCAAATGGAATTGCTTTACTTTGGGCTCCAAGACCCTTTAACACTCGGTCAGGAAGAACACGAAGAGCTATTGATATTCCCTTAGTAAAATCTTGGTATAGAGAACATTGCCCTCCTGGCCAACCGGTCAAAGTTCGTGTTAGTTATCAGAAACTTTTAAAATATTTTGTTCTAAATGCATTAAAGCACCGACATCCAAAACCTCAAAAGAAACGCTATCTCTTTAGATCCTTCAAATCAACAAAATTTTTCCAAACTACTACCATAGATTGGGTAGAAGCAGGGCTGCAAGTATGTCGTCAAGGTTATAACATGTTAAATCTTTTGATTCATCGTAAGAATCTAAACTATCTTCATTTAGATTACAACTTTAATTTAAAACCAGTTAAAACATTGACTACTAAAGAAAGAAAAAAATCACGTTTCGGTAATGCATTTCACTTGTGCCGTGAAATTCTCCGATTAACAAAATTAATTATTGATTCACATGTACAATATAGATTGAATAATGTTGATGCTTTTCAACTTGCTGATGGTCTCCAGTATATTTTTGCTCATGTTGGTCAATTAACCGGAATGTATAGGTATAAATACAAATTGATGAGACAAATTAGAATGTGCAAAGATTTAAAACACTTAATATATTATCGTTTCAATACTGGACCTGTTGGTAAAGGTCCAGGATGTGGATTTTGGGCTCCAGGTTGGCGGGTTTGGTTATTCTTTATGAGAGGTATTACTCCATTGCTGGAAAGATGGCTAGGTAATTTACTTTCACGACAATTCGAAGGTCGTCACTCTAAAGGAGTTGCTAAAACAGTGACTAAACAGCGGGTGGAGTCACATTTTGATCTCGAATTAAGAGCGTCTGTAATGCACGATATTGTTGATATGATGCCAGAAGGAATAAAACAAAACAAAGCACGTACTATTCTTCAACACTTGAGTGAAGCTTGGAGATGTTGGAAAGCTAATATTCCTTGGAAAGTACCAGGATTACCAATACCTATAGAAAACATGATTTTACGTTATGTTAAAATGAAAGCTGACTGGTGGACTAATACTGCTCATTACAATCGAGAGAGAATTCGAAGAGGTGCAACGGTTGATAAAACCGTTTGTAAAAAGAATCTTGGACGATTAACTAGATTATATTTGAAGGCAGAACAAGAGCGACAACATAATTATTTGAAAGATGGTCCTTACATTTCTCCAGAGGAAGCCGTTGCAATTTATACGACTACAGTTCATTGGTTAGAGTCAAGAAGATTTGCTCCAATTCCGTTTCCACCTCTTTCTTATAAGCACGATACAAAACTTTTAATCCTAGCATTAGAACGTCTAAAAGAAGCCTACAGTGTTAAATCACGGCTAAACCAAAGTCAAAGAGAAGAATTGGGACTTATTGAACAGGCTTACGATAATCCTCATGAGGCTCTATCACGTATCAAACGTCACTTACTTACTCAGAGAGCTTTTAAGGAAGTAGGAATTGAATTTATGGATCTTTATAGTCATTTGATTCCAGTTTATGATGTTGAACCTCTTGAAAAAATTACCGATGCTTATCTAGATCAATATTTGTGGTATGAAGCTGATAAAAGACGACTCTTTCCACCATGGGTTAAACCTTCAGACTCTGAACCTCCTCCATTGCTTGTTTATAAATGGTGTCAAGGTATTAATAATCTCCAAGATGTTTGGGACGTAAATGAAGGAGAATGTAATGTCTTACTTGAGTCCAAATTTGAAAAATTATATGAAAAGATTGATCTTACTTTATTGAATCGAGTTCTACGTTTAATCGTTGATCACAATATTGCTGATTACATGACAGCGAAAAACAATGTTGTTATTAACTATAAAGATATGAATCATACTAACAGTTATGGTATCATTCGTGGTTTGCAATTTGCTTCATTTATCGCTCAATATTATGGACTTGTCTTGGATTTATTAGTGTTGGGTCTTCAGAGAGCTAGTGAAATGGCTGGACCGCCACAAATGCCCAATGATTTTTTAACATTCCAAGACGTTGCTTCAGAAACAGCACATCCTATCAGATTATATTGTCGATATGTTGATAGAATTCATCTATTTCTTCGATTTTCTGCTGATGAAGCCAGAGATTTAATTCAACGTTATCTTACAGAACATCCCGATCCTAACAATGAAAATATTGTTGGATATAATAATAAAAAATGTTGGCCTAGAGATGCTCGTATGAGATTGATGAAACATGATGTTAATCTAGGTAGAGCAGTTTTTTGGGATATTAAAAATCGTCTACCACGATCTACAACAACTATCCAATGGGAAAATAGTTTTGTTAGTGTTTATTCTAAAGATAATCCAAATTTACTCTTCAACATGAGTGGATTTGAATGCAGAATTCTTCCAAAATGCCGAACAACTCATGAAGAATTCACTCACAGAGATGGAGTTTGGAATTTGCAGAATGAAATTACTAAAGAGCGAACAGCTCAATGTTTTCTCAGAGTTGATGATGAGAGTCTTCAGAGATTCCACAATAGAGTGAGACAAATTTTAATGGCTTCAGGATCTACAACATTTACGAAAATTGTTAACAAATGGAATACTGCATTAATTGGGTTAATGACTTATTTCAGAGAGGCTGTAGTGAATACACAAGAACTTTTAGATCTCTTAGTGAAATGTGAAAATAAAATTCAAACTCGTATAAAAATCGGACTGAATTCTAAAATGCCTTCAAGATTCCCACCTGTTGTATTTTACACACCTAAGGAACTCGGTGGGCTTGGTATGCTGTCTATGGGACACGTATTAATTCCTCAGTCTGATTTACGATGGTCTAAACAAACTGACGTTGGAATAACTCATTTTAGATCAGGTATGAGTCACGATGAAGATCAATTAATTCCAAATTTGTACCGATATATTCAACCTTGGGAATCAGAATTTATTGATTCTCAACGTGTTTGGGCTGAATATGCTTTGAAACGTCAAGAAGCTAATGCTCAAAACCGACGGTTAACTCTTGAAGATCTTGAAGACAGCTGGGATCGAGGTATTCCAAGAATTAATACGCTATTTCAAAAAGATCGTCATACTCTTGCATATGACAAAGGTTGGAGAATACGAACGGAATTTAAACAGTATCAAGTACTCAAGCAAAATCCTTTTTGGTGGACACATCAACGTCATGATGGTAAGCTGTGGAATTTGAATAATTATCGTACCGATATGATTCAAGCTCTAGGAGGTGTTGAGGGTATTTTAGAACATACATTATTCAAAGGTACTTACTTCCCAACCTGGGAAGGTCTTTTCTGGGAAAAAGCATCAGGTTTTGAAGAGTCTATGAAGTACAAAAAATTAACAAATGCTCAAAGATCTGGTCTTAATCAAATTCCCAATCGTCGTTTTACTCTTTGGTGGTCACCCACGATTAATCGTGCCAATGTTTACGTTGGTTTTCAAGTACAGTTAGATCTTACTGGTATATTTATGCATGGTAAAATTCCCACCTTAAAGATATCATTAATTCAAATATTCAGAGCTCACTTGTGGCAGAAAGTGCACGAGTCAATTGTGATGGATCTTTGTCAAGTGTTTGATCAAGAACTAGATGCTTTAGAGATTGAAACTGTACAAAAAGAGACAATTCATCCACGAAAGTCTTATAAAATGAATTCATCTTGTGCTGATATCCTTCTATTCTCTGCTTATAAATGGAATGTATCCAGACCTTCACTTCTTGCTGACTCCAAAGACACAATGGACAATACAACTACTCAAAAGTACTGGATTGATGTTCAACTTCGATGGGGAGATTATGATTCTCACGATATTGAACGTTATGCCCGTGCCAAATTTTTGGATTACACTACTGATAATATGTCGATTTATCCATCACCAACTGGATTACTTATTGCCATTGATTTGGCTTATAATCTCCATAGCGCATATGGTCACTGGTTCCCAGGATGTAAACCTCTAATTCAACAAGCTATGGCTAAAATAATGAAAGCTAATCCTGCTCTTTATGTATTACGTGAGCGCATTAGGAAAGCGCTGCAATTGTATTCTTCAGAACCTACTGAGCCGTATCTTTCATCTCAAAATTACGGAGAACTTTTCAGTAATCAAATTATTTGGTTCGTTGATGATACGAATGTCTACAGAGTAACAATTCATAAAACATTTGAAGGTAATTTAACAACTAAACCTATTAATGGAGCTATTTTCATTTTCAACCCCAGAACTGGTCAGTTATTCTTAAAAATCATTCATACATCTGTATGGGCTGGACAAAAACGTCTTGGACAGTTAGCTAAATGGAAAACTGCTGAAGAAGTAGCAGCTTTAATTCGATCACTTCCTGTTGAAGAGCAGCCTAAACAAATTATTGTAACAAGAAAGGGAATGTTAGATCCTCTTGAAGTGCATCTTCTTGATTTTCCTAACATCGTTATTAAAGGATCTGAACTTCAATTACCATTCCAAGCTTGTCTTAAAGTAGAAAAATTTGGAGATTTGATTTTAAAAGCTACGGAACCACAAATGGTGTTATTCAATCTTTACGATGATTGGCTTAAAACAATTTCATCTTATACTGCATTTTCACGTCTTATTCTCATTCTTCGTGCATTACACGTTAATACAGAGCGAACTAAAGTTGTTCTTAAGCCGGATAAAACGACAATTACAGAGCCACATCATATTTGGCCTTCTTTAACTGATGATGAATGGATTAAAGTTGAAGTACAACTTAAAGATCTTATCCTTGCAGATTATGGTAAAAAGAATAATGTTAATGTGGCCTCATTAACTCAATCAGAGATTCGTGATATTATTCTTGGTATGGAAATTAGTGCACCATCAGCTCAGCGTCAACAAATAGCAGAAATAGAGAAACAAACTAAAGAACAATCACAGCTTACTGCTACCACCACAAGAACTGTTAATAAACATGGTGATGAAATCATCACAGCAACTACATCTAATTATGAAACACAAACATTCAGTTCAAAAACTGAATGGCGTGTTAGAGCAATTTCTGCTACAAATCTTCACCTCAGAACTAATCACATTTACGTATCCTCTGATGATATTAAAGAAACAGGGTACACCTATATTCTCCCGAAGAATATTCTTAAGAAATTCGTTACTATTTCTGATCTGCGAGCTCAAATTGCTGGATATTTATATGGAATCAGTCCTCCAGATAATCCTCAAGTTAAAGAAATTCGATGTATTGTGATGGCACCACAGTGGGGAACTCATCAAACTGTTCACTTACCTAATTCACTTCCCAATCATCAATACCTTAAAGAAATGGAGCCACTCGGATGGATTCACACACAACCTAATGAACTTCCACAACTATCACCTCAGGATATATCAACTCACGCTAGAATTATGGCTGATAATCCAATTTGGGATGGTGAAAAAACAATTGTAATCACATGCAGTTTTACACCTGGTTCTTGTTCACTTACAGCTTACAAGTTAACACCCAGCGGCTTTGAATGGGGCAAACAGAATACTGACAAAGGCAATAATCCTAAAGGATATCTTCCTAGTCATTATGAAAAAGTTCAGATGCTGCTGTCTGATAGGTTCCTTGGATTCTTCATGGTTCCGAGTCAAGGATCTTGGAATTATAATTTTATGGGTAAGCTTTAACTATTTTATATATTTGTAGTTCGAAATTAATTGATTTATTACATTAAAATTTTTACTCCATAGTTATTACATAACTTATCTTTCATTATTTTTTAATAATCTGTCATTTTCATTTATTTTTAAAACAATTTTTTAATTGTCTAATTATAGGTGTAAAACATTCACCAACTATGAAGTATGAACTTCAACTGGCAAATCCGAAAGAATTTTATCATGAAGTTCATCGACCTGGACACTTCTTAAACTTTTCTAGTTTAGAAGATGGAGATGGTGTGGGAGCTGATCGTGAAGATATGTACGCTTAAATAAATTTCTTATACGTACAAAGCACTACTTTTCTCAATTGTAAATAGTAGTGTTGATTTATTCCTTGTAGTGATTGATACAGTTATATTTTTATTTTAATTAAGTGAAAAGCAGTGACCGTAATTGTATTGATATGTAAGATACTTTAAGACTCTTACAACTACAGTTGTAAAACACAGATTTAGCATTTTTCATAAATAAATTGATCATTACATGTATTGTTTGTGAGATTCTTTATTCACTGTCATGTCATTATTATTATTATCATTACAATTATTGATTTAATGGTACAAATTTATCTGTCTTTAGTGACTAGAAACTTTTTTCATCAGGCAAAAAAATTATAAATGTAAAAACAGGATATGGAATAATGTACATTATACAAATGTTGAATATAAGTGAAAAAATATCTTAATGTCACATTTTAAAAATACTTTCTCTGAAAACGTCATGTACCATCATTCTCTTCACTAGATTGAGCTAAACGATTCATCTCTGGATTGCTATTAATTCTGTCTTGAAGAGGTCCCATAGCCATTGAGGTGCCAGTTCTTGATGTTGAGCTGCAATATCCGCTTCTAGTTGAATTACGAGATCGAAAACTCCCGTTTCTAAATCCCAGCCGTTTAAGTAGTAGTCGTTTTATTTTTTCTTTCCACACGAAGATAATAAATATTATCACACCCTGTAGAGTATTTGCTAAATCTGTCACGTACCATACATAGTCAGGTACTTTTTCTTTAAATAACCAAGAGACTATTTCCATTGACCAATTGATTCCCATTACAATAAATAACTTCAAATATAGATTGAACCTGTAATTATAGAATATTTGATTCAAAATTAATTGAAAATAAATTGTTCAATTAAATACCAATTCACATTCTTCATTGATAGACCAATTACAATATCAATTCTCTAAATGATTATATACGAACTTAAATAAATTTTATGGAAGTACGATAAATTCGGTTTTTATATCAATTTTTTTTCATAAAATTTTTATTATTTTGAATTCTTTCCGAAATTGGATTGATGTCAATAAAGATAATTCTGAGCCAATAAAATTTTTATGACATTTTTTATAGCTCATGTGCCAAAAATATTCTTTGATTGATATTTTTTATATTAACTCAGTTATTGAAAGTATTCTGAATTTTTACCTTGTGTTATATAAAAATAATTGTGAAAAATAAATGAATAATACAAAACTTGGTAACGTGATTTTTTCAGCTTTATCACTACATCGCCCTTTGGGAAATCCGCAAATATTTTATTCATACTAGTCTATTCTTTAAACGAATATGTATTGGTGAACTTTTGATATATGTTCTTATACAGATTAACTATTATATAAGTACAACTACTGAAATTATTTAGTTAATATATCGCACACATTATTGAAACCATCTAACTTACCATTGTTTATTATCATCATGTCGACGACTATCACTACCTCTTAGTTGTACCGCAGTTTCTCTCTTATGATGAATAATTTTTATTGCAGTTGATATAAAAAGAATTATGTTACAAATAAAAGTCACCCCAGCAGGACCGTAAAAATAAATAGCTTTGGCTTTTTCAGCTGTAAAACAAGAAGAGGAATAAATTAGAATTTAAATGAAATCTAAATGTTTGTATTTTATTATTATTTATTGTTTTTATCTTAAACATATTATATCCTACTCAAATCTATTCATTTTTCATTCATCTTTTATCGTATTATGCAAACTAATATATTTTTTATCCCTTGAAAGGCAAAAAAATATAGAATACATACTCATAAACCAACAGGCAGATGTTCCAAATTGTGGTCGTATTAAAGTGGTTGGTATATTTGGATGTAAATCCATGATCAAGCAAACCATTGTTAATATACTAGCACAACCCCATGCATAAATTGAATAAATTTTGAATTTCTTTCGTTCACTTTGTCTTACGCTTCCTTGCATTGATCGAAAGCCTCTGTGAACAGATAAAAAATTATTATTATATGAACATAAAAAATTATAAATAAATTTTCAAAGAAGAAACACTACTTATAACAGCTACTCTATGCACTGGTCTGAAATTCTTATGTAAATTATTATTTGCTTATTAATCATTTATTTTTCTACAGAGCAATATTCATAATTATGCAATTAAATGTGCGCACTCGACTACTGAAAACATATGGATGTATAAACTGTCATGCTGATTTATCCATCAACTCACCCATTGAAACGCTTTACGCTCATCTTTCCATGATTTTTGCTTGCAAGTAAACAGATATTTCTTTTTCTTATTTTCAACTGACTTACTGAATTTTTTATTATCCAGAATATTTACTTAAATAATTAAAACAATTTTTTTTTACTTTTATAGAATTTTAAGTGATCATTTGTTAGCTAATAAATTGAATAGAAATGTTTATGTGTAATTCTCAGTCATTAGTATTGTTTGAATTTTACAATTTTTATTTTGAATGATTATTTTTTTTTTCATTTCAAAATATATTTATAAATTATGAGTCTGAGATGATCACATTGTTTATAAGAATATAGGAATAAATTTAATAAAGGAAAATCAGTAGAATTGAGAATGAATGAATATGCGTAACTTCCAGAAATACCAATGTTTATCAGAAACACACTTGACTTGTGATTTGTTAATGGGAGGAAGAGGAAGTGGTCAATATTATCGAGTTAAAGAATGCGTTATTATTTAAGTAAGTACGAAAGTATGATAATTAATAAAACTTACCCAAAAGTCCACCAAATGTCAAAACACATGACGTTCAGCCAGAAAAAACTTGCCAAAAATGAAAAATGGATTATAAATGCTGAAAATAGATAAAGAGTTATTCATCAAACATGTAGCTTAACGAGAATTTTTTTTTTTTAATATTAATTACCTCCTGCTTTACATAAACGTGGGTAAAAATATAATCTAGGAATTATTATGACAATGAAAAATGATAAATAAGCAAAAAAAAGACAAATACAATAATTTCTTACAACAAGACAGTGTAAATTTTTTAGTTCTCTAAAAATAGTGTAAATAATTATAGTTATCACTAAGCAGGGCATTGATATTGCTATTCCGCTAAGAAAAATGAATAACATTGGGTCATGACTCTCAAATTCTATTTCAAGTACTGATAAACATATATATGCACTGAAATTTCCTGTATCAGAAAAATCAAAACAATAACTATCGGTATCTATTATAAATTCATATTCATCAGAGTGAATAGAACTATTTGTCAAGAGTTGAAACTCATCTTGATTAAATTCAAGTTTCAATTCATCATCACAAGGATCTCGACTAAAGACATAAAAGCTTCCAGCGTTATCTGGCCAACTTAAATTAAATAATTGAGTTTCATTCATAACTTCAAGAGTTGTAGAATTATATATTAAAGGAAATGTTACTGTTTGATTTGTTCCGTTAATTGTTACATATTTTAGCTGAAAGTTTTGCAATGCTGATGCAGTACATATAGCAATACAGACTTTTACTGAACATAAACAAAATTGTGTTTCATTATTAAAATCATTATCGATAATATCAACTAAGGCATCAGTATTCAGTTGTTGTTTATCTAAACCACTGATATCACTTTCACCAAAATAAAGAAAATTATAATTAATATCTGAATAATTTACTAATGCTTCTTTCGGGCAATTTGCTAAATTGTCGAATCCAAAAGTAGATAATATTGGGGTGATGAAAGATATCACTATTATGAATTTAGTAATAAACACGATCATTTTGATTTATTATACTGCGTATGACAGAATACTAAATGAACTATTACTATTATTTTCTTGATCAATACAATTACGAAGGAATATATTTCAATGAAATGAGAGAATGCATGTTAATAAATTTATCAAAACCGGAAAAAGCATAATTAAGTACATATCTTTTTATACTATTAATTAAAATTAATATTGATGCTTGAGAAAAAGAATGATTTTAAAGAAGAAAAAAGTATGAGTATAAATCAATTATTTATCTAAGGTAGTTTTAATGTGATTAAATGAAAAATAAGTATTTCAAATCTAATTAAAAATGATTTCATTTTACTGGAATAAATACGAATAGCAATTATGATTTGTTAAGTAAATTCATGTAAATACATGTTATTAATATAGTAAATGAAAATACTTGAATCACATTTAGAACAATCCACTTCAATTTTGAGTTTGAATGAATCATATTTTAATTTGATTTAGTTTGTTTTGTTTGTTGAAATGTTAATGAGTTGAACAGTTTTGATCTCTATGAAAGTATGATTGCTATTTTAAAATGAAACAATAAAAATATTAAATTCATTACCCAGTGTCATGCAGAGTGTTTTAGCTTCGATAACAGCTTGACTTCCAAACTGGACGATAACCAGAGCTACATAAGCTACAAAGAGCGAAGCGACATATGCCATTAGAGTTAAGCCGTGAATATTTTTTAGTTCCCGAAGCAGAGCATATACCAAAAAAGTTATTGCTAAAAATGGTGTGGATATTGCAAATCCAATTGCATAAAAGAGTGGTACTTCTGTTTGTGTTTCTTCTTTACTAAAGCATATACCTACACCTGAATAATTAGTGCCATTCTCGCTTATTGCATTTGCCATACAATACTCATTTTGAGTCAGCCAACTATATGATTGTTCAGTAAATGATTTATTTAGGTAAAGAGTACCATTTTCCAGTAGATAATAATCATCACTATCCGGTGGAATTGTCTTAAGAATATAAAGTCCCCAATTACATGGCAAGTTATATTGAAGCTGAAAGTCATCACCTGTTTTGTTAGACAGTTCAAGTTTGTCATTGTAAATTGGTGGTAATGGTGGATCGTCTAGAAGTAATTCTGTTTGATTTCGGCATTTTCCTGATCTAACATATAAACCAGTTGGGCAACATATTGGTAAGAAAGGTTTAGTTATATTTTCATTCTTTTCTGTCACATTAAAACTCTGTTAAAAAAAAATTTGTATCTAATGATGAACAAAGATAAGCACTTATAAGCAATAATGATGGAAAGCAAATAATTTACCTCATCTAATGGCAATTTTGGTGGACTAGTGCGAGAATTTAATGCAATAATAACATTAGGTTTAATAATTTTCAATTGAGTATGACACAGGCATAACTGTGAAACTGCGAGTAACACCACATTAAACACTAAGAACATGATGATGATGTGCATCGGTTAACGGCTGATCCAATACTGTTCTTCAGAATCCATTAGACGGTTAGACTTGTTTGGTATACAAGAGATTAGTCAAGGGGAATAAGCAGAGGGAAAGAAAAGGTCAAAAATGGTAAATTAGCATCTATTATTTCACACGTTTCACGATGATAGTCACGCTAAAGTATCTTATATATATCCCACACGAGTTATTAAGTACACAAAATAAGTTGATTATCGAATTAATTCAAAAAGATAAAACCAGGCCTCTGTTTTGTTTGTGAAATGATATGATATACTAGTTTGGTTTACGATTAGCCTTGTAGTATTATTCATAATTTATCATTCCTTTTTCCTTGAATAAAATTAATTATACCATTTAAATCTGTACGTGTCTCGCAAAAAATGCATTTCAGGGATTAATTTTTACTTACTTACTTACACTAATTATCAAGAAGATTCATGGGCATTGCAATAATTCAGGTAATTAATTAATATAAAAGGTGAGAACATAAATAGATGAGTTTGTGTCATGTATGATGTCTTCAAATTCCTCAGAGACCGGTCTCTCCCACATTGACTCTAACGAGTCATTAGGGGTCAAGTAAATAACAATGTTTTCATCTAATATTCATATTAACATGTGTATATACCTTCCAAATAATTATTCCATCATTGATAATTAAATCCCATAACTATTCTCAGCTTCCAATTGCCTTTTTATTGATTTAGTAATTATTATCATGAAGAATCAAATGATTCCTTATAACTCTAGGTTTTGATATACTGATAAATCATAAGTGTGGAGAGGGATTTGTGTTTGCGATTTATTACATTGTGAGTAGTCACGTAGTCTTAAAGAGAGAAAAGATAAATAAAATAAATTTATTTAAATAACAGTGTAAATAACTCACCTATTACAATACAAAGTACATGACCATGGTAAATGAATCTTTCGCTAACAAGAAAACAGTAAGCTGCGGTAAGACATCCAACGTAACACATAAGAGTGATGCCATAGAGATTCCTTAGTTCTGGAATAACTGCATAAACGGTAAGTGTTGCAAGCAGAAACAGTATTGATATGATTAAACCAATAGGATAAATAACTGTTTGAGGTAAGATATCTTCTTTCTCCGGCTGATGACACACCAGCACTGATATGTTTTTTAGATTTTCCTGCCAGTCTATACAATACTGTGATTGTGGCAACAGTCGATCTAATGTTTGAAGACTACCATTAGGTAATAAAACAAAATTATCTTCTTCATACAGTTCTGGTTCTAAACGATACATTCCAGAAGGACAAATTTTATTTTGTATTAAATAAAAATGATGAGATAAGTTTTTTAAATGTTTTAATTCATCCACTAATTGATGATTTAAAGGAAGAAGATGTGGAAGAGACCTGTTGACTTTGATACACTCAGACAGTAGAAATGTTTCATACAAAACTTCATCGTCTTTACAACATTTACGAATACACGGTTTTCGTTGGTGTTGGCAAATACATCCGTACAACGTGTTGCTATAATTCCACAGGTAATCGGGATGGTACAGGATGTTTTGGTGGAGGAGACTACCATTCGAAAACTGTTGAAATTCACCGTGAGGTAAAGGGATAGAAAGTGATAATTGACATGATTGTGTGTTATTTTCAGTCGCGGTCGTTAATTGCCAGTAATCGATTAGTAAAGTGCAAAAGACTACAATCAATATCATAGTTGGATGTTAATTATGAATTATTGTAATGATCTAGTATCTCTTACGGATGCCCGGTATCAACTGATCAGTTAACATTTCGAAATTCTCATTTTGTCTCTTACTTCTTTGCGCCAAACTGCAGTCTCGCTTCTACACGTATGTGTTATAGATGTCCAAGTATTGAACGATCCTTGAGCATTCACGCGCACTCGTATGAATCAACCAAAGCTTGCTGTAGTCAAACAGTGAACACCACTCCTCTTATCGTATTATTGCTCACTGGCTATATTTGTTAGTACAATTTTTTTTCTCCTTCATTTATCAGATAATTTATACGTTATCTCCTGTAACTCACTATTGATCACCAATCAGACCATAATTTACATACATCAAATTCTTCTGTTAATAAGTTATACATTAATGCGTTTGCCAGGTTGACAGATTCCAATGGTCAAGGTGGCTATTATTGTATGTAACATTGAGAAATTATTTTAAATTTTTATAATACACAAGGACTATCTTTTGTTTGCTTTTTCATTATTGATTTTTTAATAGAACAATTGTTTTATCTAGAACCAAATCTAATTAGGTGATTTAGTACCACTTTAGAATATATGGAATTTATGAAATTGGATTTTAAACTGAACAGTTTGATAGGATGCGTGTTTTGTGTATGTGTAAAAAGATATATTGCCGTATTAATCTATGATAACTTACACAGATTCAAAATAAGAGAAATATGAAAATGTTTGATGTTGGTATAAAGTACTAAAAAGAAACTTTTTCCAGGCATTTAAAGTCTACAAAGAAGAATCTAAAATTAATTATAGAATCCGTTTGAACTATGAAAAAAAAATAAATCAACTACATGATAAATTAAAATAGATCTTTGATGTTATTGACGAAGTATATATTTATTTCTTAATTCTGCTCTCTAACCATAAAATTTTGAAATTGCTCTTGTCTTTTATTTTAAGAACTTAACAACTAAAATTTTTAATAACAAAATTTTATTCTTGACTGAAAAAAACAAAATTTTTACTTTATCGAACATTTTTACTTTGAATTGAGAAAAACAGATAAATATCGTTATTTATAAAATAATTAAATATATTTAAAACAATATTTATAAGTATAAACTTTTGAGTTAACAATAAAAAATTCTAAAGCATGTGTTGTGTTTTGGCGCCAATATTAAAATAATGAGGTAACGCCATCTTTAAAGCGAGTTACAACTTTTTGATTGTTTGATCTCAAATAAAAGCAGCATGTAATGACATGTATTGCAATCAAGTCTATTGTTAACAAATATTTATTTTAGTGACCTAGTGTTAGACCTACATCATTTATTTCTGCAATAAATTAAATTACAATTTTAAGGTATTGTGAAAAAACACAAAAATTTGGTGCATTAAAATATTTTTAGGAATGAAGTGTATTATTATACATTAATAAATAATACTTTCAATTGCATTATAATGGAAATATCCGAATTATCTGATGATACAACCTCGTGCAATCAATTTACTGTTGATGATTTAGACATCGAAATTTTACCTCTAATATATGAAATAATCAGAAGGTTTGTTATAGCCATAAACTTAGATGAATTTGATGATAAATTTTCACATTAATCTATATGTTATTGACATAACCTATACGTTACTAATGTAATTTTATAATAGCTCTATAAAGTTTTTTCAAAATAATATTTTATTGTTAGTGTAGAAAAAGATCCTTTTGATACAACGCAAAAGGCAAAGGAGTCTCAAGATACAAGCCAAAAAATATTAGAGCTTCAAAAAAAATTTGATTCAGTTAGAGCACAGGTAAAAAAAATTGAATAAATATAATCGAAAAAGATCTAATAATTGATATTATTTACAGATAAAACGATTACCAGGTATAGAATACAGCAAAGAAGAACAGCTTCAGAAGTTAGAGACTCTCAGAAAGCAACTTCGGTTAAAACGTGAATTGTTGCTGAAGTATCGAAATATGTGTAGTTTTGAAATACCTAAAAATTAATATTTCACATTTCCTCAATTAAATTTATATCTGTGATTAATAATGTTACGGTTTTTATTGCGATATTTAATGAACAATGAAAGACTTATCTCCAAGTTGGCAGACTCTAGGCCAATGCGAAGAGCTGCACAATTTGTTGTATACTTGTTGTCGCGAGCTGGTTCGATTACCGAAACCCATAAATTACCATCAGATCCGAAAGAATTTGCTATTCAATTAAAAAACATTGCTCAGAAATTTGCACAAAATGTCAAAAGTAGCATTGAAAATGCAAAAGAAGAAATGAAAAAAAAATAGACTCAATTATCAATTGTAGTTATGCCAAATTAAAACTATACTTTTAATTAATAAATTTATGATTTGAGAAAATACATATTTCAATTATCCATCACTGGTTATTAATGATGAATAAATTTTATTTTAGATTGGTGCATATACATATGATTATTTATATTTTTCTTTTTTTGTGTTATGAAAACTTTTACCAGAGCTAGCGTAAGTAATTTCTCTTTTAAACAAACAAAATTTTAACGGTCAAAATAAAAAGATGGAAGTTAGTACTTATATAATCTGTACATTAAATTTTCTTTTTTTTTAAGTTGAAGTTGGGGGATTTTGCTCTGCGAGTGGCTGAACAGTAGTAGTTATACCACTATGCGATCGATTATTTATTCGACCTTTCCCTCTTTTACTCATTGGACCAGACATTAATTTTTGCGGCAAGTTTTCACGCTTTGAAGCAGCTACTGCTTCACTTATTTCATTGTCTGCCACCTATAATTAAAGTCATTTTAACTATACCCTCCCCATCAATCCTTTTAGAGCTAACTTACATATGCGGAAGTAGATCCTCGAGCTTGCTGATTTTTATTTTGCTGTTTCCCAGAACGTGAACTATGTGAGTTTGTGGTGCTTGAATGTGGAATTAATCTTACAACGTTTCCTACTGCTTTAGTACGACCCTCTCTAAACACCATTCGTTGTCCAGGTTTAATATATTCTGGATGCTTAATAAATCTAAAATGAACCAATGCTTTATCGCCGGTTCGTAGACAATCTTGAGACATAGAAAGTATCGAAGCTGTCTGTCGAATGCTGCCGCAGTGAACCATAGCTTGATAACGGGAACTGATTGTGGTCGGATGATGTAATACTAAAATTTCTCCTTCAAATTCCCAGCATGCTTGAGGGTTCAATGACGGTGATACCATCACCATTCCTTTGCGTATTTGAGATCGTTTTATTTTCTTTAAAGCAAAACTCGCAGTCTGGCCACCTCTCACTTCCGTTACTGGCATTCGCTTTCGATGAATACTTTTAACAGTGATTGGAGTAAAATGACCCAGAGGATCTGGACCTAATAAAAGGATATCATTGAGTTTTATAACACCTTTTAATGTTGTACCAGATACCACTGTTCCAACTCCCTAAAAATAATAAATAAAATTTTTTTTCTATTATTAACATGAAAATGATTTTGAATTTAATTAATTTTTGACAACTTACAGGCACGGAATAAGTATCATCGATTTGATATTCAGCAGGTTCATCATCATGGCTTGTTATTCGTGCCGTTAATAAATTTAAAAACATTTTGAGCAAATTTAGATTTTCTCCTGTGACATTTGAAACTTGAAATATTGGACATAATCTTTCAGAGACAAAATTCGTAGCACTAACTACAACGTCATCAGGAGTTTTTACAGTCACAGGTACTTTTCTGCAACCCGGTGATTTAAGGATACGAATTAACAGTCTCAGATTTTCTTGTAAAATGTTTTGCGGACACATATCTATTTTAGTAACGACCACAAAAACTGGTACTGATAGTGCTAAAGCAAGACCTAAATGTTCTTTAGTCATTCCAACTATTCCTGCATTAGCTCCCACCATTAACATTCCTAAAACAATAGTAATCAACATAAAAATAATTATAATTACCATTTAATTTTATACATTTAATATGTATTCACCAAAATCGGGAGCATGTCCTGTCATTCCAAAAACTGTTGTTTTTAAATACCGTTCATGACCAGCTAGGTCAATAAAAGTTATAACTTTCGAAGATTTTTCACATATTTTAACCCAATCTAAAGATCCATGTTCCGGTTTGTTCACTACATTACCTGTAAAAAATTTTTAATAATTAGTTCAAGTCATTCCTATAGTATTTTTCAATTAGTATTTATTTTTTAAGAAATTTTACCAATGCTGTCAAATCCTAAAATATCATTTCCAACCGAACTAGTTCGGCCTGTCTCAGCTTCATGCTTATGTCTAAAAAGTCTTTGCCTGGCAAGCCCTCGTCCATTATCAAGTTCTCCATGTGTTAAAACCCCTAATAATGTTGATTTTCCAGCATCCACATTACCCACAACTGCTACTCTAATCTCCAAGAAATCCTGCTGATTTAGCCGTTTTCGCACCAGGTATTGGCCTGTTAAACCTTGGTCCACTTTACTCTGTCGAAGTAGAACACAATCAGCTTCTAGAGTTGCCGCCAATGACTGTAAAGTAGCTATTGAAGCTTCATATTCATCTGGTTTAAGGCCTTCTTCTGATCCATCTGTTTATAAATTAATTCTGATATTAATATTGGATAGAAACTATTTTTCCAATATCACATAAACATTTCATAAATTAGAAATGATTACCTTCTCCCATTCCAATATTAAATATTGTTTCACTACCACCATCATCGATTCGTTCCTTTAATTTTTTCAATAGCAGTTCATATTGATGTTCAGATGGACTGACAAGAACATCCTATAATTAATTAGTTGTTGAAATTTTTATTCATTATACAATAATATAAAAATGATTGTTTTTTACCTTTCCTCTGATGCTCGAGTAATCTGTTATTTCTGAAGAGAGTTTTTCCTGGTTAATCATTTGAACCGGTGATGAAGGAGATGCAACAGACATCTTGATGAAAATACTTTTACTTTATTTAATTTAAATGTAATCTTGACTTAATCTTAAGCTTTAGTCATCAGTTTATGAAGCAAGTAAGTAATTTACTTATTGTCTTCAAAAGTTAATCACTGACACCGTTTAGAATTATCAAATATCACCATAGATAAGTAAATTACAGGTCTTGAAGCTACATCCTCTATAGGAGCTTGTCAAAAAAGTGCCGTCAACGTATTTTTTATTATTTCAGGAAGTTTAAATGATCATCTGTAACAACAAGTTCGAAAAAAGCCATCATAAAAATAGAATAAATATTTATATTTTTCCAAGGACAATATTAGTAAATATATATTAAAAATCATCATTCGATATTTATCTGATTGATGAGAGACAACAGACGAATTAAAAATAAACATCAGTATTTCAGTGAATTTGTATGAACGTTATCATTATTCTTTATCAATAACTTGAATAATAGATATAACTTTGTCAAATAATAAATCTAAAATTATGTTTTAGTTACTTACTTGGAATATATTTAATAATTACCAATTATTTCGTCATTTACTAGGTCACATATGTGTGATTCACGGAAAAAATACACATATGCTTGTTTAGTAAGTAACTTGACAGACTTTCATCCTTATCCGCTTCAGTACAGAGAATAATCAGCTACTGTCACGGAGATTTTTACTTGAAATTAACCGTGAATTAATACTTCTTGACTGCTACAACATTTAAATCAACGTGAAAATAGCAACAAAAACTTGAACCCACGTAACTAACGTACACAAACTTAGCTTTTTTATCAAAGAAAAAGTGTATTTACATATCAATATCTAGGAAATAACCTTCGTTAGGAATACTCTCATTATTTATTGGCATTAAACGTATATTAAATCGTCATAAATTTTTTTTTTCTCTACAAATAGTGCAAATTATGTAGTTATCGTAATGGTTGTATTAAGTTTAGAAACAGATATGACAGGAGCGATATATCATGAAAGACAGGTATACGTCTTATAAAAAAATTCAATTTATTATTAATTGCAAAAACACAATATTTTTTTGGTATTCATTATTATGATGCTTTATGCTATTGCAGGTGAAGGAGTTGTGTGCTTTGCATGCTTTAAACAATTTATTTCAAGAGAGAGGTTTTAGTAAACAAGAATTAGATCAAATCTGCTACGGATTGAGTCCAGATGTATGGATTAATCCTCATAAATCCTTACTTGGACTTGGAAATTATGATATTAATGTCATTATGGCTGCTTTACAAAAAAAAGGCTGTGAAGCTATTTGGTTTGATAAGCGCAGGTATATAATTGCTAATTACCTTTATTTATAGTTACAATAATTCACTAAAAGTTGATTATAATCGTTTACAGAGATTTAAATACTCTTTGCTTAGACAACATTGATGGGTTTATCCTCAATGTCCCTACTGAATATAAATTAGGATTTGTATTATTGCCACTTAAGAAGAGACACTGGATAGCTCTCAGGAAAATTCATGATACTTTTTACAACTTAGATTCAAAATTAGATTCTCCGCTATTAATTGGAAAAAATGAAGAATTATTAATGTACTTAAAGGATCAGATACAGAGTAAAGAGAAAGAATTGTTTCTCGTTGTTTCACATGATGTTGCTAGTAGCCAAGATTGGCTAATAAAAAAAAATAAATGCAACAAATGCCTGGAGGATGAAAATAGTCTGTATATTGAGGACCAAAGTGATGAAAAAATTCGATACATTGAAGATCTTGCAAGTGATCTAGACCTAGACTGTTCTGAGTCTAAAAATAAAGAAAATAATGAACAAAATGAAGATAAAAACCAAAGCTCTAGATAATTTATAAAAAATGTTATAGATGAAATTTAACATAACGCAAATAAAATTTCCAATCGATATGTAAATACACATTGTAAAATTAAAAGTCGTGATGTGCTTTTGTATTTTATCTCAAGTCAAAACCATTACATTATATATCGTTTGATATAAAAAAAAATTATTAGATTCAATATATTATGTGTTTAATAAGTAAAGTTTCAAAAGTTTTATACGCTTTGCTTGTTATTCAACATTATTTATTTTAAATTAAGAATATTTGTTATTTATTTCAACACTTATTATTATCTCTATGGTTATTAAAATATTTATATATTTTTTTGTAAAGTTTATTTTTATTCTATGTAATTAAATCAATTATTAATATGGATCCATTTACAGCTTAAATTATAAATAAAACACTATGTCTCACCATTTCATTGTCAATGCAATATTCATTTTTTCTATTTCATGATACTGAGTATAAAGATATTTAAAAGCCTTTTCTGAATCTTCACCATCAAGCCAACTATCATACAATGTTTTTACAACAATGTTGCTTTCAGGCTCAATTATTGGAAGATTTTGATACTTTGATTCTAATGTTGAAGCTAGTTGACGCGATTGAAGTCCATTTTGTGATCTTATTTGGGCTCCTCCATTTAAACATCCTGATTTAAATGATAATTTAAATGTTATAATTTAATTATTAAAAATATTCTTACTGTAAATTAGTTGATAATAGCTACTTAACCTGCTGGACAAGCCATAATTTCAACATAATGATAAGTACATTTGTTTCTTTTTAATTTTTGAACGAGATTTTGAATATTTCTGAAGCCATTAGCTATAGCAAAATGCAGAAGAATTTGTCCATTTCTTTCTAGAACAGCTTCTTTAAAGTCAGGATTCTTTAAATTTTTGAATTGTAATTTTATATCCGACATCCCAAAGATGTTTCTAGCAGCGTAGTTTAGAATGAAATGTGCATATCCACCTGAACCTGATCCTTCATGTCCCCAAACATTTCTTGATACAGAGTTTAATTCGAGAATTCCAAAAGGATAATCAATTTTTTGTGGATCAATGTTTTGTAAATTTTTATTTTCATATTCTAACATCTGTTCTAATTCAACTGTAATTAATATTTATGTATTAATATATCAATTGAAGGACATCAATCAAATTGGTAATAAATTAACTAAAAAGTTTTTGATACTTACTGGAAGTTATAACACAATCAACATCCCTAGTATTTATTAGTTGATTATGAAAATCTTCTCTATATGCTTCTAGTTTTTTATCATAGCATGGCATTAACGTAATGTGATAAATGTTTTCAGCAGAGAGATTTTTCATCTTTGCCAGATGATATTTAACTAAAGATCCCATTATTTGTTGAGGAGATTTTGTAGTACTGATGTAAGGCAGAATAAAATTTCCATGAGTTTTTTCAGCATAGCAAATCCAACCAGGACATGCTGATGCTAACATAGGTATTTGTTTCTCTTGACCTTCTTGAGATTGATTATACCTTTTGACAAACTCTTTAGCACTTTCTAGAAGAGCTAGATCATCAGCTACAGTCATATCTAATACCATATCAGCTCCAAGTTCTTTAAAATATCCAGCCAACCTTAAAGTAGTGTCTTCAGGATCTAAGTTATATCTTTCAGCAATAGATAAAATTGGTTGGACTGATAGACTAACAACAATGAATTTTGCACTTTCATTTGAACTTTCATGGTTCTTTTTTTCATGAAAAACACGTAAAAGTTCATCTTGATTCTGTTGTGACACCAAAACACTTTCTGCTGATGTAATGCAACCACTACAGGCTAGACAATCAGCAAGAGTTATTTCAACCTTTTCTAATTTTTCTGGTATCTTCTATACAATAAAATCATTGAATTACAATTTTTCGTAGTATTATTTATTTATTATAATTTACCTGATTGATATTTACATACTCTTTATCGTCTTTTATTTTTATTTTGGCTCCAGTTGTGGTCGTAGATTTTTTATAATCAACAGGTTTTATACATTCCTAAAATTCCAGAATGGAGTTGTTATTATCCAATATATGTAAATTTATTTATCAATATCATTGACTTTTCTCGATATTCATTTATAACCTCACCTGTGAAGGTGTAATAAAGTCATCTAAATTTGTTATTTGAAGAGCTCCACTAAATCTTGATGCCATTATTGCTAATTATTGCTTTAAAAAATATTAATGATTTACAATAAAATAAAAGAACAATTAAACCAAGAAATAATCTATGTACAAACGTATGTTTTGATAATAGAAAACTGCATTGGTAAAATGGACTACAACTTTACCAAGATTCAGCTGTTAATGTAATTAATTATTGTACATACACACAATTCTTTGCTCGTTCACTCTTTGGGCGAGTCAGGGTGAGTCACACCATGTGCAGTGCGCATGGTTTGTTTGGTAAGTTGTTATGAATTAGACAATAGAGTAGCCCACTAAGTACATTGTTATTTTGCCCTTTTGTACTCATCATATTCCATCCCAAACATATTTTAAGCATCATTTTACTCAAGTAACAGTTTGTATTTCTCGTCACTAATCAACAATATTAAAAATATTTACATTTAACATGACTGAGGTCAAAAAGGACGATGTTGTCAAAATTCTTCACACTTACCCATTATGTAGAGTAAGTAAATATTTTTATCGAATTAATATAAGGTTGATTTTTTGAATTAAAAAATTCACTCTTTATAATATTGATACTACCACAATAATTATAATACAATAGAGTTTTTATTTTATTAATGGTATTATAATTTATTATGAATGAAATATATTAATAACTCAAGTAAACATTTTCAGAAATGTGATATGTCGGATGAAATGAAACAAGAAGTTATGGAGTTATGTGTCACAGCAGCAGAGAAATATGCTGACAACTACGAAAGCGTATCGCGAATGATTAAAGAGACGATGGATAAGAAATTTGGAGCTTCTTGGCACACTGTTGTTGGCGAAGGATATGGTTTTGAAATTACTTATCAGCTAAAACATTTATTATATATGTACTGTGCAGGAAATCTAGCTATTTGTATATGGAAATCTGCATAACTTGAACATTTATTATGGCAATTGAGTGCAAATGTGTTTTCAGTATTATTTGTACCATTCAGTATTTTATTTTATAATGAGTATTTGCATGTTAATCATGAATGTATATTATACATGATGTTTGTGACAACATATAGATATAAATATACTATTTTATTTGCCGATGTGATAATACTTACCAAAGATTAATGCAACTATCATCGAGCATAAGAATACAGTCATTTGGAGAAATTGCTCAGGATTTTATAAAATATATAATGATCTTTATTAATACATAAATGAATATAAATATTATAAATGTACAGTAATATGTATTTAATGCATTAATAAATTATCTTTTACTTTATTGAAAAAAATTGTCAATTATTTGTAGTAAATATTATTTTATCACTGTTCGCCAAATAAGGATAGCAATATTGCCACCAGTAAACATGTAAAGCAAAGTTTTTTCTTGATAAATGATTGAAAATCCATAAGATTCACCTACAATTACTTGAAAAGGTGGTCCAAATTTCCTATCAAGCGTTTCTTTTATCATTTTTGCTGCGTGTTCATGATTATTTACATATTTTTCCGTAGCCGTGACGCATAATTCCAAAACTTCTGGCTTCATGTCTTCTTCGGGCATATCAGATTGCTTACACAATGAATATGTATGAAATGTTGGAGCTGCAATAGTTTTCTTTAATTTTTCATCAGTCATTTTGTATAATTAATTAGAAATATCTTAATAACGAGAGGTTAAAGTAATCATTTTGAAAGTACTTCATTTGTTATTTTCATTTGTTTTAATAAGAAAAAAAATACAGTAAATTTTATGTTTTTCATTAATGAAGGTAACTGTACATATGAATTTAATATAACAATAATATTAATTGTTCAATAACTTAAATATTTTAACTTGATTATGTAGAAAAACTAATTAATTTTAAGTTTACATATTCAGGTATATATTTAGCGTATTTTTAGTAAGGAACATTTGCATAAGATAAAACATGACAATAATTAAAATTTAATGACACTCACAAAAATATATATAATTTAAAAAAAAATGAATTATTATTCTCTTTATTAATTGCACTTGGTAAAAAGAAATCAAAAATATATTTCATTATAGGCTACTCAGTCTCTATATTTTTCCGAAGATGGTAAGATGATAAAATTATATTGTTTAATATTAAATAAATCTTTGATAAAATTTTTAATATACTTTTTTGTGTAAATACTTTCTGCTTTTCGATTTCGATAATTAAATGATATTATTCTTTGAATAAATCGAGAATAATAATTTAACTAAATGTATATAATAATAATAATATCAATTATAACGAGCATGCTTAATGGTTCTTGAATTGGTTTTTACATGATTTTGTGATGAAAATTACACTACGATATTTGAAAATGTGTTACCAGGAGCTTTGTAGCTTTGGCAATATCATAAGCACACGATCGCACTTGTTGTAGACAACGATCCGTATGCTCAGTGTCATTTGAACAACGCTGAAGACCTGCACATTCAGCTTGTAGCCTTCCAGTATTACCGTTGAGTTGTCTTAAAGCTGTACGAATGTTTTCATCAAGTGAACTCTGTAGTGAATGAAAAAGATAAATAACCAATACTGACATTTTTTTAAATTAGTAAATATTTGATAAACAATTACTTGGGAAAATATGGCAGTTAAATCGGTTACAGCAATACGAATTCTTTCTGCACATGGCACAAATACTTCTCTATGACTAGGATCCTGCATAGCCATCCAAAGCTCTTGGATTCTTTTGGTAACTTGCTCTGTTCGTCGAGTTACTTCATCATTAGATGGGCGACTTATTTGACACTCCCAGACATTTTGGGTTGTATTTGGTCGACAAGAGATTTCATCATCTCGTTTTGCCTTTTAAAAAGAACATTGACAATTCATTATATTCACAGGAACAAAAAAATTAACAGATGTTAGATAAAAATTTTACTTGAACAATTGACATTGTCCATGGTCCTGTTTTCTTCAAGCCTTCTCGTGTTTCATACATCGACGCAGGTCTTTGATTCCCACGTGGTAATGATGATTTATTATCTGCAACTGATACTGGCTCCGGCGTTGACTCTTGTTCCCCGCTGGCATGGCCATTCACAATGTCATATGAATGAGGAAATTTTGGCTTCATGTATGCTTCCATGGCATTTTTCAACTGGCGGTTTTCCAAAGTGAGCTGCTCTATGGTTTGTTGGAAAGTCCGTATTTCTTCATTTAAATTTTTAATTGTAGCTTCAGAAATATTGAGCTGTTTTTTAAGTGCTTGGACGATGGGAGAAATGCCCTTTCCTGTAGAGACTAGTGTTTTCTAGGGTACAAAAAAAAAGCAAGCAAATAAATAAAAGTTCATAAAAAAAAATACAAATGGTTTAATTAAGCCTTACTGCAGGACTCTGATGTTTTGGTAGTGGTAGTGAATGTGGTCAGTGAATAGGAAAAATTATAAATATTTCTCTACTAAGTTAACGAAATAAAAATTAATATTAGTTCCTGAATTAATATATGTGCATGCATGAGTAATAACACCTAAAGTCTATTGCACTTGCCTAAAAACATTGTCTACAGAAGAGCCACGTGCTAAGCCGTTTCCTTATTTGCTGTTTTCCTGATACCTTTAACGAGTGATAATCACAAAATTTGCGATTTTTCTATCACATTACACTTTTTCATTCCATGTCAATAAGTAAACTCACATTACATACATATTGATCAAACAGTATTCTATAATTGTCATCGTTATTCTACAATTACTCTACTCAATACTAAGTTATTACGTTCTCTTACGTAATCCGATGCTCTAGAATAAAATACCTAATTAACTTTTTACCTCATTGTCAATGTTGAATTCTGATAGGTGATTATTGTTGTCTACTCCTAGTGTCATGTAATCATCGTCTGATGCTACACTGTCATATAGAGGTTCATCATCGGAAGTCTGGGACCCACAATTTTTAATTGGACGTTCTTTTCTCAAAGCTTCTATAATAGGATCTATCAGATAAATGATGAGTTGATGATATTATATAACTGTCATGAACAAAACTCTTCAAATATTAAAATCCATTAAAAAGCGATACCAAGAAAAGCATTACCAAGAATAGCCATAAATAATATAACAAGTTCATATTTATTATAGTCAGTAAAAGTATTTTATCCTCATTCTTTCTATAGAATTGCGTTGTAGTGACGAAACATTAATTAAAAAGTTTTTTAATAAATTCAAAAAAATCTAGTCATATTCAAACTTTTAAAGCGTATGTAATATAAAATCAACAAAAAAATCACCTTTAATTGATTGGCTAATTGAAAATAAAAAATAATCCAGTGTTTTGGAATATCTTTTGAATTACTTTGCTTTTTAATGAATTTTGGAGCATTTGAAGGTTTTAAATGATTTTTATACTAAAAATCTACCTTGTAGTGGAGTACAGTTAGCCTGCATATGTCGACGAGCTGCTTCAGTAAGAATATCCACAATCAGCGTAGCAAACTCCTGTGGCGTAAATCTTGCGAGTTTTTGTCTTCCTTGGTTGCGAGTTGATGAAAGATATGGATTAACTGGAAGAAAAGGAACTGCGGTGCTCCTTTCAGGAAGTGTAGTGCTTGATAGCCAAACTGGTATCACGTATTTAAGGGGAAAAAATAAATAAACAAAAATATAATAAATTTCTTAAAAATTATAAAAGTACCAAAATACTCTACTAAAGAAACATTAATAATACTTTTGATGAGTATTTATGAAATAAAGTAAAAAAATTAGTTCTATTAAAAATTATGTTCTATTTAATTAATACTACTATCTATTCTACCGTAAAGAATTCTACTCACCCTTCCTTTGTAGCATAATAAAAATGGAAAACAATCATGCACATTAATGAAGAATAAAATAAAAGAATAATGATGACGATGATGACGGCAAAAGATTAAGTTTGCTCTAGTAATCATATATACTTTTTATAACATTTAAACTACGAAAACTCGACTTCATAACTTTTCATAGTAACAACGATAAAAAGATACATTGAACCATTTTAAACATTTATCAATCAATAATTTATTGTTATTAATTAATTAAAATTGAATTAACCAAACGATGAATTAGAATAAGTTTAATACTAACCAGCTTCAGTCTCTCTACGGTCTACTTCATCGTAAACATCCATTGTCAATTCCTCTAGTAAGTTGTTTGGGAGCATTTGGAGACGACTACGTGCTTCGTTAGTTAATTCATTTCTCTCTAGTGTGTCAGTTAACTCGGGAATAATGAGATGCTCGGTGGTCCGGTGATCTGGCTTCCGAGAGCACAGGAAATAGGTTAATCTGTCGGTGACTTCGTACATGCATTCGATCAGTCTTTCAGCTAACTCTAGATGGCCTGTTATTCTAGAAGATAAAAAAATATTTTAAAATAACTCATTGATATATTTCACTTTTTTTAACTTTAATATTGATTTAAATTTTAAAATGATTCATTACCGAGCAATTTCAGCAGGTATGTGTCCATTAGCATCAATCAAATTAGGATTACCACCGTTGGCAATGAGTAACTCTAGTTGTAGAGCTTGACCAGCTCTAGCTGCTACATGGAGAGGAGTTGTACCTTTTTCCTTATAAAAATAATTTGGATTTCCTCCTTGCACTAGTAGACGAAGAGATGTCTCTAAATTAGCAGTTCTTACGCTACTGTGCAACTGTTTACTGAGTTCTTCTTCACTGCATGACTCATCCTTGCTTTGTCGTAGTACGAAGGTTAATTGTTGATGTTTTGCTCGTATGAAATCTGCTTTTATAGGACTAAAGGAAGCAATATAAGTTAAAAATACTAATATAAAAAGATTTTTTTTCAAGGAATGAAAAAATTCTGCTCACTATAAAGGATCCTTTGGTTGTGGCTTTTTTCTGTTGACTTTGGAATTACTTGGATCTAAGAGAGAATGCTCCCATATACTATTGGCTCCATTGTCATGTAAAGTATGAACCATCTAGCAAAAATTAAATGAATTTTCAATAAAGAAAAGTCTTTCATTGGAAGTGATGAGCATATTTTAACTCACTGCTAGTAAATGAGGATTCCAATGTCCTTTGTGTAGAGATTTGATATGTGAAACATGTCTTCCAAGGCTTCTATGTATGCTGCAGCATTCATCGCAAAGCAGAATAGCTCTATTAACGGAAGCCCATCCTGGCTCTGTAATCAACCATATCATATGAAGCTTCGACATTAAGTTGACAAAAAATTTGACTGAATAGTCAATAATTTTATGCTATTGTTCCAATAATTGTATATCAATAGCAATTTATTTTCAAAATTGATGATATTAATGAATAAAAGTAAAAAAATGGATAAAATCATACTTTATTGAATTCAGTAGCATTCAGAGAGAGTCGACTCATAAAAGAATATTTTTAGGAATAATAGGGTAAAAAAATATATCATTTATTCAATGTGGAATTTTAAATGATTTAATAATATATTATTCCACTCACCAAGGGCTCCACAATCAGCGCATACTCCAGAAGTTGATGTTTTGTACTTTGGTCGTGCCATCATCACTAACTAACAAAATTTTCTTTTAAATTAATTAATAATATAAGTAAAAAATAATTCTAATAATTATTTTTGTTGCGATGAGAAGGCTCCCTGCGGGGGTACCTTAGTCGATAATGCAGACCAATCTCAGACGTTGAGCCATCTATTGAAAAAATATATAATTTAATTTATACTATATTACCAACCAAGTTCAATTTTAAAAATTCGTATCAACTTTTTGAAAACAAATGTTATTCTCTTAAATTTATTTTAACTAAAAATTCTCACTAAAAGTCATAACGTTCTCTTTTTCAAAAAGTACTGTCTATTTAAAAGTGATTTTGTTATTATTTAATTACAAATAATCATCAAATTTTTAAACATTTAATTATTAAAATTTTTCAAGCACTCAGGTAATGTTTTTATCGCTAAATAAAGCTCATAATCATCAACAATTGAAGAAATTTTTGGGGTAATTATAATTTATAAAAAAAAAGGAAAGGTAATGAGTGTACGTTAATCTATTCTGATGCTCTATTGTTCTCATAATTGAACATCTTTTATACAAAATAATTAAAATTTTGACTAATTCAATAAATTTAAGCATTCAATTATGTATAAATTATTATTAACGTAATATGAATCCAATCAAATAACATTTTTCTATAACAAACTAATAAAATCTTCGTTTATTTGAGTAAAGCGACCTTTGCACAATAGATTGAAAATGTAGATCCAGTAGGATAAATTATGTTCGCGTGAGAACATGCAAGCATCGACTGCTAGAAGCTTACAGCCTATGACTGGTCATTTTTACATTTAGTTTTCATTATCTTCTGTGCGTAGTCTACTTTTTTGCTTGTCTCGTTATATTTTTTATGAAATAGTCATGATGTCCTTTTGTAACTATGGCAACTAGGATTATACACAATTATAGTTAAGAGTTGACCTATTGGCACCTGGAAACCCCCCACATTTTCAATATTGTCCTGGAATGTCTTTTACCAAGTATGTTTGAGTAACATTAATCCACCGTCTTTCTTGAATTAAACACTCTATCACATTAACAATTTAACATATTGTAAATTTACTATTTGAATAATTAATATATTATTAACTTTTTTGTATGTGTTGATAATAACATAATAAGGAAACAGCATCATGGAGGGATGTGGAATGACAACAATCAAATATTTACTTTTCATCTTCAACTTTATTTTTTCGGTGAAGAGAAGTTTATTTAAATGTTTCTATGTGAATTCTGCAGGAAGCATATTGAAAAGAATTTGTGAAAAATAAATATTTATATTATTTTTAGATTACTGGAATTATTTTAATTGTGGTAGGAATAGTTGTTGTTGTCAAATCAAATGAATTGAATCAATTTTCCGATGACAAAATGTTAGCTACAGCAGTGGTATTGATCATTACTGGATTTATCATTTTCTTCATCGCTTTCTTAGGGTGTTGGGGAGCTATCAGAGAAAGTTCCTGTTTACTTATAGCGGTGAGTACACATGTTTTGTTTATTTAATAAATAAATTCTTTTAATGTCTTGTTTTATTTTAATTTTATTTTTGTGCAAATATTAACAAAGTTCAAGGTGTAAAGTAGCATATAATAATAAGGTCAATGTTAATGCTTTGTTATATTAATCAATATTTTTTTCTGTTAATCCATAGTTTGGTATAGCCTTAATTTTAATCTTCATAGTCGAGATGGCAATCGGAATAGCGAGTGCTGTTTTGAAAGATACATTAAGCGATACATTAAAAACTGGGTTAAAAAGTTCGTTAAATGATTACACCAAGGACGAAGTTAAAAAAAATTGGGATAATTTTCAAACAGAGGTTTGGCATTCGAATGATTTTTCTTTTCATATTTGACTTGATTGAGTAAACAATTAAGAATGAAATTGACTAATTGATAATCTATAACAGTTAAAATGCTGTGGGGTAGATTCTGCAGATGATTGGAATGGTGTTTTAGCAGAAGATACATATCCAGTATCATGTTGTGATGGGATTGACCCATGTCTAAAAGTTAATACTCATAAAGATGGTTGTTTGAAAATATTGGTGAAAAATCTTCATAGTAATTCTAAATTATTAATTGGTATTGGAATTGGAATAGCATTTATTGAAGTAAGTTTTACTATTTTCATTATCATTTAGAAAGTTTTTTAAATAAAATAAATATTTAATGTTTTTTGTGATTTGACTAACAAAATATTATCTTTATAATCTAGGTTGCTGGTATAATATTAGCTTGTTGTCTAGCTTCAGCTATAAAAAAGCAAAAAGGAGATGAACAGTGATTTATCTTTACTCTGGAAACTTAATTCTGGAAAAGGAAACGAATTTCATTTTTTATTGATACATCTAGTTTTCAATTTCCTATTTATTTACATTTAACTAGGTGTGCTGTTTATCAATAAGTTGAAAAAGTTTTTTAGTGTAATAATAACCAATCTAGTTATACAAAGTGATATTTTGTAATAGTTTGTTGAGTGATGTGCTTGAGTCTTGTATAAAGTTTGTCTATCCTACATTTCACGATCAAAGTTTGCATGAAAAAATGTTATATTTTATGTGCTTACTCTTTCATTGTTTGCCTTATTTGCAAATAATTGATATTAATATTAATATGTGATAATAAAACATAGTTGAGGATCTATAAAAGATAATAACATGTACTATTCATGTTTCTCTATCTTGATAAAATAATGAAAAATGAAATGTATAATACACCAAAAAACATTTTATTTAATATCTATGAATTAAATCATTTACAGTTCAAGTATATTACAGTCTCCTCCACTTTTTATACTTTTTACAACAATCAAAATGTCTACTGGTATTTTTCGGGAAAAAAGATGTTATATAAAGATATTACAAATTTTATGTAAGCTTTAGAATAACTACTTTATTGATTACGTTCTATGTAAACAAAGATAATAAAATCATTGAACACATTTGAAAAAGTAAAAAGCTCAACTTGATTACTTCATTACTAAGAGTTGCAATAGAAGACTATTTTTAAGAACAGCAGAGAATAAAAATTGTTACCTTGTATTATTATTATTTAATAAGTTAAGTACAAGTAATAAACCGATTGTTACTTATTGTATTTTATATTTAATATGTTTATGTATATAAATATTATGTCCGCTAAAAACGAGGAGGTTGATTGTAAAAACACTTTATATTTTAACGCAGTTAAATAATTAACTTATTACTCTAACAATTATAGTTTCCTCAAGATAAGCGTTGTAAAAAATTGTAGTTGACTAAGAACAAAAATATCGCAAAGAATATTGTGTGATGTATAAGTGTTGATTCATTTTATTTGTTAAAATGATACAATTATTTGGCCTGATCCTTTGTGTTTGTATATTTAATCAAGTAAATATTTCATTCAATCTACTAATAAATTTATTACCATAATTCATGTTTTTTGTTTGTTCAAAGTAAAAATAGCAATGAAAAAGTTTCAAAAATGTGTTTTTTTTAGGGAGAATCATATGTTATTCAAGTTAATAAATTGACACCTCCACCTAATAGTATAATCCAAATCACAGGAAGTCAAGAATTGATGAGTACAAAATTTGATACTATTGTTACCAACTATACAATTAATATCGGTAAAGATATTACTAAAGACAATGACATGCCTGTAAGTATTGAAATTCAATATTATTTACTAGATTACAAACTCATAAATTGATTATTCAGCTGATTACTCCATTAATTATTCTTCTAGATATCGTTTGAATATTACAGTAATGTCGATTCATATCCAGATTTAGTGGCTGAAGGAACCACTACTATATGTAGCGCGGATCGTGATGACTTTGATGGTACTGTGGCTACAGTATTATCTCAATCACTTGGTATTGCTAATGATCCTCCATGTCCGATAAAGGCGGTAAAATGAAATCATGAATTAATTTACTCTTAAGATATAATTAATGCTTATACTCTTGATGCTTTTTAGTTCAATCTTTCAGCAAATCAAGTAAGTTTATTTCTGTTCTTATTAGGGTTCATACAGTCAGGAAAGTTTATTTGCTGTAGATCAAGGTGAATTCGGAAATCTTTTTGATGATTTATATCGAACTTCAGTAAAATTAAATATTAAGTCCGATTTCAATGTACAAATGGAAATCTCAAAATGAGATTTAATATCAGGGTCATTGAAAATGTATTGATTGTGAAGAAATAATGTTGATTGTAATTAATAAGTTGATTGAAAATTATGAATTCAAAGTTCGCTTTTTGTTTTTAGTTTACTGTCATAATTTATATTCATTCGTTTGTTTTTTTTTTATTTGGAGCTATAATAATAATTACTTTTGAAGTTTATGTGAAAATAGTTGTCAATAGTTCAAATAAACATAGAGATCGATTGTAATTAATTAGACAATTATTATATAAAATGAATAAAAAAACAATTTCAAAAGAAGTTTATATGTTGAAGATACCTATTCAAATGGTCTCTTGAATTCAAATATTTTGTTCTTTATGCATCCATAAATTATAATTAAATCAATGAGTTATTTAAGTTTCAAAGGTAATACTTCGATAGCTAATAAGTACAATTATTTTTTAATTGAGCTCATAGAAAAATAAATATTTTCATTATTCTCATATTTACTTATAGTCAATAGTAAGAGTTTGAATAACCAATATTATATATCTAGATAACATATTCCGACTTCACTGGAAGCAGTGACATGATTTATTCAAAAAATTCTAGAATTTGTAAAGTAGATTTTTTAGACTTGAATAAAAGAAGAAACTCTGGAATGCCATTTCTCGAAATTAGAAAAGAGCCATACATTATACATTCATTGGAACAAATTCAATGGGTTCCTATAAAAAAATTCTACCTAAATAAATAAAAATTCGGATTTTCCGATTGCAAAAATTAAGAATGGTGTGATCATAAATAATTAAATACAATGCATTGAATTTTATAACGTGTTCTTGACTTTGATTTTATCATGGATTCAACTTTTTTCAACCTGATTGTTTTTAATTATTGTATTTCAAACTTTAAATAATGACTATAACTGCTTCAAAAAAATATCAGTGCTCTTCGGTGGTCTGGGTGCGACCTGAAAGGTCCATACAACTAACTTCCTAGTGGAAAGAACGATAAGATTTAGCTTTTACGTCGAATGCAATTGGTATGCCTTTGATATCATTTTTTGTTCTCGAGATGATCAAGGCGAAAAATAAATCCGAATATACGTACGAACACATACATACCTATACGTACGAATACGTACACACACACACACACACACAGACGTCCACTGGAAAACGGTCGTATTCTACTCTGGGGACCTTAAAACGTGGAGATATGTCAAAATTGAGGATTCGCCAAACCGGACCCATTACTATAACTTCCCACTGGGGAGTTAATAAAAATTATACAATTATATGATTTAAAAAAGGATCTAGGCGCACTTTGTGTCCTGACGACGAACATCTTATTTTTTTAGTTCTTATCTGGTACTCACATTCGGTAACCATTTAGAATGAATGAATCAGTTAATACGCATATTTTTCATAACTATGATACTAGTTGACTGCTGAAACTACATAATCATAAAAAAACAGTATATAATAAACGTAAACAACGTTTTATTTCTTAAAATTGCACATTTGATTTTTATATTGCATCTTCATTGACGGCAAAATAAAACAAATTTAATTACTCTGAATATCAGTTAATATTTACTAATAGCAAAGTTCTTAATCACACCAATAAAAATACTCAAATTTAACTGAAAAATTCAAATAAATTTTAATTAATTTTTTTAAGAGAAAATTGAAAAATTTTTTTTAAACCGTGTTGAATTTGTTGAAAATATAATTTTCAATATACAGGATAAAATATTCTCTAAAAATAAATCAGTAAAAATGAAATGAGCGATCACTGATTACTCATTTCAAGCAGATTAATAATTCATTCAGTGGTAAATGTGACATTGGTAATCAATGAATAGTTACTGTTTAAATACTAGTCATCAGTAAGTAATTTTTTGAGACGATATAATAAATATTTCCTTATTTTATACAAAAATTAATAAAAATACTTTGTGACTACTATGTAAAATGAATAAATGTACATTTTTTCTGTAGTTTTTCAGAATAGTGGAGCTTATGAATTTTTTAACAAATGATAGGTATAATGAATTAAATACAAGAGAATATAAATGACTCTAAAAAGAAATTTTTCTAAAATAATATTAATGGTTAAAGTAATTAAAGTCTTTAAAAATATAACACTTTTGTTTAATAGAAAATAGATTTCTTTAGTATTAATACTATACAATATAGTAGTTAGTGTGCAATGTGTATTTCTGATAATTGTAGAACATTGACATAAACTATTAGAGATTGCGATAAAAGAAGAGTATGAGGATGAAATGAATTTTAAATATTAAAAGTGAAAATTTACACTATTCATACTAAAGTATGTAAAAAGAATCTATCTTAATAAAAATTGATTAAAATAGATAAAATTCTACTTCCGGTTGATTTAACAAAAACTTTATGTACTAAACATGAATTACTGTGTTGAAACTTTTTAAACAACAATTTCCAAATTAAAGAATTATCTAACAAGAAAACATTTAAAATAATTGTTATTTGACATTCCAATCTTTTACACAAAAATAAAGAATGAATTTTTATGAAATACTATATGTTATGAGTGGTTTTAGTGAGTTTATTCATTTATTCTATGGTAATTAAGAAAAAACATTGATGAAATATATTACTCGGCAACAACAAATTCAATTACAAACATTGATACAATTTGGAATATGTTATATAAATAGTTGCCTACTTGATTATCATGAACACTCTACGAAAAACGATAAAAATAATTATTTAAATACTTAATTTTTGCAGTTAAAGAAAACGTAAAATAACGACAATTGTAATGACTTTGTGATAAGAATAAATAAGAAAATGATATGTTTCAAAAAAGCAAATTACGTAGTTTAAAATTTCATTAAGTGAGAAACTAAGTCACATTTAACTTGGAATTATTCACGAATCCACCAATAGTTATGATGAGAGGATTAATATCTCTATTTTTACTATGCAATATTGCATTTATCCAGGTCCATTGAGTTTTTACTGACGAATTTTCTATTCAGCTGATCGATTTAATCATTTAATTGTGATTTATAATACTTTTTATACCAGGTGGAATCATACGTCATCACAGTTGATACTCTCCTTACATCAGATGAAGGTAGCCCTGTAATTATTGAACAGCAAGACTATGAAGAATACGACGACGATTTTAAATACGAAGGGGTTTATGAGTACAAAGTTACTTTTGACATTTCAAGTGAAGATGAACAAGATCTTCCGGTATGTATGAAATGAATTTAGTTTTTCTCACTTTAAAAGGATATTTTAATATATTGAAAATTAACTTAACTTATAGTTTCAATAGTTCAAAAGTAACATTTATTATAGATTGGGTACATATACATTGATGAAAATTACAATATAGCAGCTGATGGAGAAACATCATTATGTAATGCAAATTTAGCAGATCCTGATGGAACTGTGGCAGCCATTGTAGCACTGGTTTTGGGTATTAAAAACGATCCAGTTTGCCCACTGGATGGGGTATGAAAAAAAACCTTTAATTATTTCATTTCATAATTGACTAATTAAGAAACTTTACTTTGTAACATTTATATATATTAAAAAAAAATGTACACTTTTTAATTATCTTCATATACGATATTGAAACACTTAAGAAACATTTAAGTGTTGAGTAATGAAACGCTTAAAGTGTTTAATAATAAAACACTTAAGTGTTTATAATTTTGAATACCATGAACAAACTACAGCATTTTAGTAAACGGCAAAAAGCGTTTAAATATTCATCTACAAAACTGCTACAGTTTATTTGTGATGTTTAATATTGTAAACATCCAAGTGATTATTTTCTAAAAACTTGATAAACAATTTGGATAAACAATTGAAATATTTATCGTTTTTCAGTCGCTACTGACTCAAAAATCAGTATTTTCTTTCGAAGGCGGCAATTTTTCGAACTTACCAAATAGCACGGATGAAGATGATATAATGTCTGTAAAACTGGAAATTTATAGTTCAAATTATATGACTATGAAATTGAGTATAACAGATGACCAATATTGGTTTGAAGACGATGATATGGATGATCCGGATGCAAGATCAAATGAAACCAGCGACGATAACAGTGAAGGTGAAACCGGCGATGAAAGCAGTGAAGATTCTTCAAATGGTCAAAGTGGAGAAAACGAATCTAATGACGATCAATAATAATTATTTTTTCTGTATAAAACAATATTATAATTGAACTGTCAGCAATTATAATAAAATTATTATATTAATCTAATTAAATATTTTTACTACTTCCTTAAAAAAACTGCATTTGACCTTTCTTTCCAACTTTGTTGCAAATATTTAACTGAATTACATGTCTATAGCATAATCGTTCATAATTATTAAATTAAATATATTTGAGTAATTTATTAAGAAGGAAAAAATGAATTAACTAAAGTAATCGAATCAACGTGGTATAATTTAATTTGTTATCTGTTGTCAATTGTAGACAATCACTAGATAAAGATATCATGACACCAACGAATATGTAACGAACAAAGAACTTTTTTATACAATAAAAAACGATAAAGAACTGAAAGTGAGATGTGAGAATTTTTATCTTTTCATGGTGATGATAATTGGTTAAAATTTTATCTCGCTGCCGATGCATTTTTTCTAACAATAAATTCATCTTGTTAAAAAAAATTTTTTCGAAAGTAAAAATACTTAAACATACTTAAATGATAATATATTAGAACATTTCCATAAAGTTTTCTTAATTAAAAATTTTTTGTTTTAATGCCAAAATGTAGTCATTAATTTCATAGATCATGAATCGGTAAATGTCGAGGTCAGACAGTCCAATTGTCCAATATTACGATTATCAACGACTTGATAATTCAGGAATTAATAGTTCTATATATATTTGAATACTTTTATATTCTGTTGATATAGTTAATGTACATTTTTAAATAATATTTTTAATATGCAAAATGTAATGTAAATGGAAACAAATAGAATGGGCTTGTACATAAGCTCTGTAGAGTGTATTATAAATTTATAAAAGATTCCAACCCTCAAACGGTTTTGTAGGGTGTGTAGACACCTCAGGCTTTTAGTTCCCAAGATTAAAGCATGAAAAGAATTTTTATAAGCCTTGTTGTTTTTTTGTTTAACTTAAAAAAAATTTTTAATTGCATATAAAATGTTTAAAATTTAAAAACACAAGTATATTCTGGAATTTTACCATTATTAAAAAAAAATGTTCTTTTAAATTTGATTAAAATTGTATATTTTAATTTACATTGAAAACTCGACAATGTTATTAATATTGTTACTATCTTTTTTAAACACTAAAGAACACTTTCTTTACTATTATTATTATTACAAATTATTAAATGTTATTAAAAAATTCTAATGCGCCTATTAACTTAAGTATTCAATAGGTATATCTTAATGATTGCAGTTTATTCGCATTATTCATCCTGCAATCCATTGAGGGTACCCAGTAATCTTCCACACGACACAATTACTCTGAGCTCTTCATAAACGGAAATTGGATTAACTAAGCTAATACCTAATCAAAATAGTTGCTAAAAAAAATTATACATTAATTTCCTAAACCTCCTGTTGACATAAAAACCTAAAGAGGAACTTCTGAAAAACAAAAAGAGCCTATAACGAAAGTTACACAAGGTAAACCAGTTTTGTTGATACATTCTTTGATGCATAATACAACACAGCCAATACCAATACCAATTGCCGTTTATACATGGAAATAAATACTTGTCGCGGTAATTACCACATCCGCGAGATAGGTGGGGTACACAGACACATGTAGAAAGTTTCTATGTTTACATGATGTATATGTTATACTATAACTGCAACATCTTGGCGAAGCAACTTCAGTTTCTTCTCGTCTCTCAGTACGTTTCCAGTGCTAAATACTCATCCAGTTATTGACATTAGTACTGATTTCCTTTGCAGTTATTTTCATTTTTTCAGTAAAAACAGTGCCAAGGTGTCCAACTCCATCAACAACATCAACAATAAGTAAGAATAAAAATATTAGAGTATTTTAGTTTGACATCTTTTACTTTCTTTTATTGCTTTCGAAATCATTTTGAGTAATTTCGCACTACTTTTTTGAGCTCTTTTTCTTATCAAACATCTATCAAGGTCTAAAATTATTGTCTTATCACTCACCCAAGTACTGTTGACAACAATTTGTTAATGAATAGTATTATATGTCTTTATGTATGGGATGTCAAGGAGACAGAATAGTTCGTTAATCCATTTTTTATTTATTTATTATGGCCCCTAGTTCTGCAAATCTCGTTGCGGAAATTAAACTAGCTAAAGAAACTACATAAGTGCGTGAGCGTGCGTTCGTTTATTCAGTGTGATGAGCTTTGATTATTCAATTCGAGAGTGTAGTTTATTCAGGCAAATCATCTGTAATGAGTATTTTCGTGAGGGAAAGAGAGACATGAGGGGATTTGCTCTTTCAGACTCATATATAAGTTGATCAACCATGGTCATCTCTAGTCAGACTGTTCATAACTTTGCGCTGTAATATTGTAGGTTGGTACACTTTCACTTTTTTTATCATACGCATCGCCGATTTGAAGGCCAGTTATTTTCAATACTTACTTTACTTATATTTTTAGCAGCATGAGTTTAAAAATTTTGCTTATCATTTTTTTTACACACATTTTTGTAGCAAACAGTAAATATGTTACTAGCATTTTCTTTTTATTATCTCGACTTATTGTAATTTCATGTTATCTATTAGCATTTTTTTTTCTAATGTAGACACCATAACGACTCTTTTTTTAAATTCATAATTTACCATATACTTTATGATGTTTAAATTATGTTATATTTTGTAAATAAACGACTTAGAGAATTATATTATAATTTGTCTCTGATGGATGATTATTAATAAAAATTTCTATATTTTTATTGAGAATCTTTCTTTCTTGACGAAAATAGTAGCCACTGAAATTATTGGCAAAATTTCAAGTGCTATTCTGATAAAAAGTAACTAAACATTAAGTTAGTTATTAAGTAGAAAAAAATTCAGATTTATCATTCGTAAGGCTTAATTTTTTTATTTAAAAAAATTTCATTCGATATTTCTATCATAAAGAATGAAAAATAAATTTAATTGCAATTATTTAATTACAATGCCAATTAATGTAGTGTTACATGAGAATTCAAAAATGTAAATTTCTTTAAAATACCCATTATAAATATTCATTTCCAAGTTTTCAATTTCACGTAAAAATTATTATTATTATATTTTAATTAATTAAAATACTTTATGACCAACACTTGAAAACGTTTATAAACGTTATTACTGTTAAAATTCTTTTGAATAAATGTATTATATTAATACTACAATTGACATAAAGAAGGTTAGTTGAACATATTAAACGAAATAGCAATTAAAGTATAATTTTATCCTTTGATAAATTGCATTATTACAGCAATTATATACAGAATTTAATTATTTTTCACATACTTTATCATGAATCATCTATCATGAATGGTTTTTAAACTATTTCAATCATTGCAAAATGTTACGATATTACATAACAGATAAAAAAAATAAATTTAAAATTTAAACATCTTAGACATAAATAAATAATCCATAAGAAGTTATTTTTACTGCGGATTCATAATAAGCAGAAGCAATTGAAATTGGAAAGAATATCTTCAAATACCAGACATATTCAAAGTTGTTTACAATTTTTTTAATAATATTTCCGAAAGATAACGCTGTAAATAATCTATAGATACTGTAAATAAGATCATTCATTCCATTATTTTTTATTGCAGAAAACTTCAAAACAATGAAAACGTTTATCTTGCTCTTGGCGATTGCTAGCGTGGCCGTGAGCCAGGAGATCATGGCAATAGTTACGATTATGCCACATGACAGTAGCAAAATGGTAACTGGAAGTGTCAAGTTTGTACAAAGCACTCCTAATGGACCAGTCACCGTTACTGGAACTATTTCTGGACTTACTCAAGGGCAGCATGGCTTCCACATTCATGAGAAGGGTGACCTTAGCAAGAACTGTACTTCTACCGGTGCTCACTTTAATCCATCTAAAGTAAGTCTCATTAGGCATACAAACTTGATCATGATAGTAACATTGCAAATTTTTAGCAACCTCACGGTGGACCAAATGATGCTGTAAGACACATTGGCGATCTTGGCAACATTGAAGCCAATGCTCAAGGAGTGGCCACCATCAATATCACTGACAAAGTCATTTCTTTAACTGGACCTGATAGCATTCTTGGCCGTTCTGTGGTAGTTCATTCGGGTGCTGATGATTTAGGAAAAGGTGGCCAACCATTGTCCAATACCACTGGAAATGCCGGAGACCGTTGGGGCTGTGGAGTTATTGGCATTATGTAAGCTAAAGTCAAGAAATCAAAAATTATTGCTGAAACAGTTGGCCACTCAATCCTTGGTTAATATGTAACAAATCCATTGGTTTTTATAATGCATTTAATGCCATTATTCGTTCAAGAATGGTAACTTATGGGGAAAAATAACTTTGTGATATCCTATTTACTATTTTATGTTGATTTTTAACTGTTGACATCATGACATTTATGCATAATACTTTTTTACCATGTTTTTTTTAAATATTACTGGTACCATAATTTTTATATATAGATATATATATATAAATGTTTCTCCTAAATGCTTGTAGAACTACACTTCATCAAAGATAATGTTTTTTCAATAAAGTTTCCTTTAAGCATCCTAATAATATTGTTTTCCTCAATGTTATTAGTCTAAAACGCTTTCAAGAAGTTTTTAAAACTCCAAGAGCTAGAATCACGCTACCAACAACAATCCTCAAATTAAAAATTCGCTTTCCAAATCAAAGCTCAATCCACTTGCACTTTCATCCGCACTATCTTAAATCGATAAAGCTTTTTGTAATAAACAATGATGTCCAGACGATTTTATATGTGATTTACACTGCATTTAACTGAATTGTATTTGTAAAAAGTATTAATATGATCACTAGCTTGTTTGTCGTTTACTTATGTATGTTTGAATAAATAGTAATAAATATTCAATTGAACATTTTTTATCAAGCTGAAATAAACATCAAACTTTCAATGTAATCAACTTCAATACAATGGTGTTAATTGGGATAACATAATTCATCAGAGTAATGCTATCTTTATTTGTGTTCATCATTCATTTAACAATCAGATTTTGACTGGGCAAATTATTTTATATGGTAATAAAATTTTCGTCTTAATTTCACTGATGTTCATTATAAAAAAATAACAAAATCAAAAAGTTTTTCCAAACAGTACAATTGGTAAAAAATTTACTAACTCAGACTAATGGTGTGGAGAGCTTTTAAAATTATCAGTTATTTAACTTTAAGTGATATTCAAATACTAAGAAGATATTTTTGCCTACAGGTCACCCGAAGGTAGTCTTCCATCATCTGCATCATCAATCCATTTTTCTCTTGCATATCTCATGCTATTGGTGCTACTACTTAATTATATTTAGAAAATAAGCTTCAAGTTTTTTCATCTGATATTCAATTCAAGAAATAATTTTTCCAAAGATAGCATTTCATCACAGTAATCTCATAGCACATTTATTAATGATTTTATACAATGAGATACTTAAGTAATTGATGTAGTTCAATCAACTACAATGTTTCAGTATTTATATCACAATTTAATTGCCTTTTATATTGACATTATATAAAAACACGTGCTTATTATATGAGGCTGAAGTAACTTTTAGATGGAAAAGTTCATTTGCACAGAACATATAAATTTAACAAAATAGTGACGAATACAAAAATTTACAATAATTTACAAGTAACAACAAAAATTTTAATTAATTTTTTAACTACAGACAACTCCTGATAGGTTCACTATTTTATATTTGCTATTTAAAGTAACATTGGGAACTAGATGCTTTTAGAAAATCAATGATAAAAAATTGTGTTCATTATTACAACATACATTTTTTTTTAGAGTTTACGAAATTTCAAATGATGTAGGCTATATATTATTTATTTCTATAATATTTTTTTATTTATAAGTTAAAAGTTATGTTTTTTGTTTATGTCTTTAATGCAAAATTATTATTTTACAATAATTGTTACTAATTTATTTTCAAAGAGATGACTTTAAAAACATGATCGGAAGTATTTGTAACACTATTGTATTTCAACCAAAAGTCAGTATAATTTATATCATTACAGAAAAGTTTTTCAAATAAATTGTATTAGTTTACACTGTAAATTTCGAGACAATGTTAATCAAATGGATGACGTCATATTAAAACACTTTTAATGTTTTAAAATAAAACACTAAAATTTACAGTCTACCTTACACAAATTTAATTCATGATATTTATTATGGAACGTATAGAACATTTAATTGTGAACAATTATTTTTTTTTTGAACAAATAATGGCAAAATATAGATCTATTATACTTTTGGTAAAATAGTTACTTACTATTTAGATATTTTAAAAATTTTTCTCAAAATTTTGTAGCATCAGGATACCGTAAATAACATGTAGTCGTAGAACATTGACATTTTTATTTTATTTTGAAAAAAAATTATGAGCATTAGATACTTGGAATCTTGTTTAAACTCGTCATAGTTTCGAAACTAAAATGAATGAACACTGACTCAACTCCGTCAGATCCTTTTCTGAATGTCTAAACTAAAATATAAAGGTGAGAAAATCGATTTCCCTAATTCATTCCTTTTGAATACACTACTTGGAGTTTTAGGTTTCGGTACTGAATGGCTAGTTTACCCATCAGAAGTTGGAAAAGCATTGAAAATTTGACTATGTTTTACAAACTTATATTTTTGTGCAAGAGATCTAATGTATTTTTTTAGTATTTTACATGAAATTTTCAGCAATGCAAATATATTTTAAATTTATGGTCTACTAAAAATAATTTTGAATAAAAAACCGTACAGTGACTGTATAATTAGAGTTTTAATTTATTCTTCATCACCTTGGGACTAATTCACAAATAACTATTATTTCAAAATTGTATCTAAAGATTTCAAAATAAAATGTCTCTTATTTACAAATTTCAGTTCTATTGAATGATTTTTAATTAACTCCAAAAGTAAATCATCTATGAAATATTTTAATGAGTGTAAGTTTAAAACTTGAATTGGTGAATTAATTGTTTTAAATTATTAATTATTACGACTATTTTTTGAAGTTATAATTATGTAATAAAATTTCATTAATCCTTTTTTTTACAATTTATTGTCAGTATTATTTTATAAAAAATTTATTATAATAAAATTTTTATAAAATAATACTGACAATAAGTTAGTTAGCTATGAATTGTTTAAATTAACCATATATTTGCAGTTAATTATGTAATTGAAAATTAGTAAATATTCAACAGTGTTTTGAATTACTTAATTTTTGTAAAAAACTATTTGAAAGTAATAGATGTTACACAATGCATGTTATAATTTCTAAACATTGATTAATGTAATAAGATTTGAATTAACAAAAAGTTTTTGCAGAAAATGTTTCTATTTTTTTTTCAATCTACAATGCATTACTAATTACAAAATACAGCATAATGACAGTAGAAATTATAGTTGATAAAATTTTGGCATAAGTTGATGATTAAATTACTCGGAATAAAACTTCAACATGTAATTGATACTTGTATCAATAATTAAATTAAATTATTATTACAGAAATACTATAAACGCATTGACATTATTTAATACAAAACTTATTGATAATTTTTATTTGACGATCTCAATCAACAGGTTTAATGAGTTATAGATAAATAATGATTGTGTGCAAAGTAAATGGATGAAATTAGTAAATAAATAATATTGACTTTTAGTCTTATGTAGGGAAAATGAAAAATGGTTAGTGTTTAATCAGTGAAAATTCTGTGGTTTATAATGTACATATAGCGTACTTGCAAAAGGTTACTGGATTCACTCTGTTCAGAGCTAAATTTTTTTTCTCCCTCGCTCTATTAATATACATTAGTGCGGATGAGCATCCATCCCCTCATCACGAATACCTCATCTTTCACTCATCCACAAAACGACTGAAGGAAAACTGATAATTGAAATAATTTGTTGGGGCTTCTATTAATCTTGACACGTCAAGCATAAAATGCTCGTACTGCATTTAATGCAGCTGAAGAGAAACAGAGAAAAGCGGCATGCCAACCATTTCTTCCTGCCATTCTTTTATCTGGTCTTCGTTTAACCATCTGGTCCTCCACCTGCACGGTCTTAACTACTGTCCATTTGGTTTACTTTGGTTTTCTACGGTAACAAGAGTCCGGTTCTCATTCACTCGATCTTACGGTCATCGACTTTGCCTGAACTCTTGCTAACTCTTGATCATTATTTTTGTATTTGCGCTCGATCTTGATACTTACTAATCACTTGGTAGGATGGGTTTTTAGGGAGCTACAAGAAGAAGTGGCCATTGATAAGAGTTTGTTGCGGAATTTCTTGAGAATTGGTTATATTGCTTTAGTATATAACCACACAAATTGAATTTTAATGAACCCGAGAGGATTTTTTTCCTAATAACTCGAATAATAGGAAATTATAGCAAAAACTTCGAGGTAATGTATTTTGTTTTATTTTAAATATTGATTAAATTAAATTATAATTATTATGTCAATTATTTTTCATAATAATGAGTAAAAGCTGTATTATTTTATATAAAAAATATTAAATTCGATGTGCAGTTAGTTATACATGATTGGAAAACAATTTATGAATATTCTGTGATTGATAAAATTCATATTGTTTGAATAAGTTCATTATTATAATAATTTATTATCATTAATTACTTCCATAATGAAAGATAATTAAACATTCATCATAGAATTATTATTAAAGAATAATAAAAGCCACTGTAGAAATCAAAAGTTATTCAACATAAATTGTTTCGATAAAATCAATAGTAAAATTTAAAAAAAAAACTGTAATTAAATCGAAAGTTGTTATACTAATGATAATTACAAATTTTTAAAAAAAAAATTAATGATGCACAATATATTGTAAAATATAAAAAATATAAAATATTGAATTTCCTACTATACTGGTTATTCTTGAATATTCCACAACCAGTTTTAACGTTTCTGCTAACAATCTGTTCTTTAGCACCAAATCCGCACAGTTCTATGGAATTAAATCAAAGTATTGTATTCAGTTACAATAGGGGAACAGTAAACCAAACTTTGAAAAAAAAATTATCAATATCGCGTTATTCAAGATAATAACACATTGAAATCAATATGGCTATTATTATCGAAATTCCAATAAATGTATGGATTTCAACAAATTGAAAAATTTATTGTGAAATATGTAAATATATCATTTTCTTGAGTACCATATTTGCAGCTAAGTTCCCTTGAATAGAGGAATTATTGGCAATACCTAGATGTATCTAGTTTCTCTGATAAAGGTGAAAAAGAAAGATGGGTCAAGTACTTAGTTGCAAAGCACCCTTCGTCGAAGCATTCAACACTCTAGATTAGAACCCTTCTATCAATGCTTGAGGCTTTTAAAAACTTGCTTCAATAAAAAAAAAATTACTTTATTGCCATAAATAAAAATTCAAATGAATTTATATATTTTATATAAATAAATGAATAAAAACCACTTATACTTCATTTGAATAAAAAAGATAATATTATTAAACAACTTCCTGACCCACTTTGTTCAATTTACATTAATGAAGTCAGATACCTCCTTAATGCAATTTAATCTTCAGCTCTTTCCGGTTGAAAAAGTACTAGGTATACTTATAAAGCTGAGAGTATAAATAATAGACAGACTATTTACAATATTCTTGAATAAAAAAATGTTTTTGCTAATAAAACATTAGTGAAGGTTTCTTTTCTTATCGTTATTACAAGAAGATGTTTAAAAAAATTTTCAAAACATCAAATAGCCTTCGTCCTGTTTGCTGGAATAAGGGTAAAATCAATAAACTTGCATTTATATTCTCAAAGCGATCATCGTCGAATATGGCCGAAATAAATATGAATGTATGTTAATATTAATAGTTTATTTACTTGATCACAGTAGTTTCAAAAATTAAGTCACTTGAGTTAGAACATTTTACATTTAATTGTATTCAGTTAATGATGGGCTTACATTATTACACTAGCAAGATGAAAATTTTTTTTAAAATTAGAAAAATATATAATTAATCTATATTGAAATGACAGGACCTCGTAGTTTTAAATGATCTTGACAATCAAACTAGAATAGTTTCGTCAGGTTATTGCAGTGCGGCTAACATTAGTTGTATTAATTAAAGTTGATCCTACTCGACTCAATCGCGTCAACCAAGGTGTAGAAGGAAGAGAGGAAGAAAGGTTCAGCACTCGTCACATTCTTCCTTCCTTCTTTCTGCAGGGATGTGATCTCCAGTGACACCCAAATTGTGTAATCAAATAGTCAGTGTCACTTGACATTGACTGGAGGTCTCTTTAGAAGCAGCTATTAGAGGTCAGATTGCAGCAAAGATCACTAGTTAGAATTGAGGTAGCAAATGTCAGCAAATTGATTTTCGAGCTTAGTTAATTGGTTATCATTTGAGTGGAGTTTGATTGATATGTTTTAAATATACTAAAGTGTGAATGTAAGTGATGCTCGGGGCTAGATGTTGACTAGGTCCGTTACTGCATCAGCAGAGGGGCAGGCAAACCAGCTCGGGTCGAGCCAGCCGGAACGGGAAAGAACCTCGTGTGTCTACCGTCTCTGTCTTTGGTTTAGTTGGAGCTCGGCAAGCAGCCAGAGCAAGCCAGAATTGTGTTGGTTTGCGTCCGATACTGGTTGAGTTTTCTTGTGAAATCGTCAAATTTTACAGGCTAAAAATTCATTTTATATCAGAATCACTCTAAATTATTCCGGAAATAATCTTATCATAGATAAATTGTCCGATAAATTTGTAAACATGTGAAGATACATCGTGAGTTTCATTAACACTCTTAATTGGCTTTAATTAATTGATGAATATGTAAAAAGTAATCTTAAAATTGAATGAAAATCATGAGAATAAATGTGTGAATTGAAAACAAAGTGATCAGATGACCCGGTGACTTTCCGATAAATTCAAAAAAAACGGTTGACTCTGAAGATAAGTGCACGTGTGGTCCAGGTGGATCGGATAGTGATTGTCTTTGGTGTTCGTGTCAGTGGATATATTCCTGGGAGCGTAAAGCACGTTGGTACCTGGGGATCGTGTATCTAGGGATACTTTTCATGTTGGGAGTATTTAAACGGCGCTGGAAGCCCTCCAAACGGTAAGAAACTCATCTATCAAGTGTGTGTCTGTACTCTAGGGACAGGATTGATTATTTTTTTTTCCTGACTAAAGATCCTAGATGAGATTAATTAGGAGATACACTTCCTTATCAGGGATTAAGTCTGTCAAAGCTTATGATAATCACTGGGGTCGATAAACGACAGGTTATTTTATGAAATTTCGAATCAGGTTTTTTTTAAGAATATGAAAGATAGGATATAAATTGATGTGAACAGGCCGGATTTTTAAAATAATTAATTGCTTGAAAGAGCAAGAAATTTTTATTTGTAATAAGTAGGAAATTATTTAAAATCCTGCATGAAGTTTTTTTGTAATAAAAAGTTTCTAATGGTTTTTAAATGGAGAGTAAATATAGTTGTTTTTATCAGTTGATAGTGGAGTTAATTTTGGAATAATAAATTATATATTTTTTTGTGAAATAATCTTACTTTATGCTATACAGAAAAATAAATATATAATATTCATTTGAAACTTATTTTCATATTATCAAAAAGTTTATCTTACTTATAAAATTAACATAACTGTTCACTATCGTTTATTAGCTTTTTAATTGCAAATGTAATTACTTTTGTCAACTATCATTTTATTTCTATTATTGTAATAATATGATGACAAGAAAGATTTAAATATGATGGAATTCACAGGAATATTGTTTAAATTAAAGATCTGGATAAATTTTTTGTATAATTCGTATGCAGTTTTTTCAAAGTAACATTAGAATTTGCTGAATAAATGAATATTCAATTTAATGAAATCAAATCCTTGAATTTGACTAACGGTAGTTTGTAAAAAAATCTGTTAGTATTAGGTAAACAAAAATACTTTTTTCTGTTTATTGCGTAAAAATCGATAAACCTTTGTTGATAAAACTCTTAGTTAATTGTAGAACAATCGACTGTAACAATTAAATTTTTATGATTGACTAAAAAGTCTTGAAGAAAATTTTCATATGATAAACCTGTTTTTAATTGGTTTTCGAAAATTGTCTTGTAAAAAATGTGAATTTTATGTTGACTTCAGAAACGACTGATATTGAAAAGATGTTTTAAGTTAAAAATGCACCTCTACTTGATAAATTAACGTGGCATGCTTTCAAAAATTTCAGCAACTTACTGACGCATTAGAGCGACACATTTATCCGTCGACGAATCAAAGTCACACTGTTGAGGTGCATTCTAAGTTTAGCCATCTGTCCTCTCTAACCGAGTTACCATCTTATAACATATGGACTAGAGTAGTAAAACTAAGAGGAAGAAGAGTTGAGGTGTGACGTCGAAAGCTCTCGATTCATTCATTCAGCAAAGTAAACTTTACTACAAAAAGCGTACATCCATACCACTCATGAGTCAACTAAAAAACTCGAGAATATACATAAAACTGGTTTTGCTGAAGATGAAAAGTCATAAGTTTTCTGCATTAATTATGTGTCTGAATGGAGAGTAATAATCTTTATTCATCAGCATCTGAGTTCTTTTATGGTGGATGACTTTATCAAGCAAACGTTTTTGAGTTACAAAAATATCATCAGGATGGCTTGGTAGAATGTCATGGGCTAAAGGTCGTAACTATTTCCGTGTTTCATAATTAGACCTTCAAGTAATTACATCACGTATTCGATTTTGCATTCAAGCGTTGCCGAGATTGTATTGGCAGATGTACGGAAATTGTGTGTCTATTTTCTGTGTTCTATAGATACCTATTATCAATTGCTGTTCAATATATTCTATAGACAACTATTCACAGTTAATGAAGAATAGATAGTCATGAAATATTCTAATTACATATTTTAAATAACAATACATTTAATCGTCTTTTCTAACAATAATCCTATTTGAATTTATTTAAACAATTTTTATAGTTATCAATAAATAATTGATAGCATTTCTCTTATTATAAAAAATATTCAAAAGTATTTTCTAAGCATTGCATTCATATTTGCAATCTCATTTAAAGATTTATTGATTAATAATATATTAATAAATTTTATTTATCAATAAATAAATACAATGAAATTAATTGTTTTTAATTATCATTTACATTAATTATGAGTGTTTTTTTTCTATTGTTATGTTTTAAACAAAACCTTCTTAAAGTAACTGTATTCATGCCTGACATCCTTAGTCCACAACCTGAAACTTATAATAAACCATTTAAATAGTGCAGCTGCCAAGACAAGTGGTGCTTCCTCAAAGTAAACATTACTCTTTACTTGAGAAAAAAAAAATAATGATTATCCCTAACAAAAAGAAATATCACATACGTCACAATTATCAGTGATATTGCCCGAGTTATTATTGAAATGTCAAGTGCAGAATCATGTCAGTCAGTAGTACAGTTACACTAGGGATTTTTTTCATAACAACTTAAATTGCTCACGAGTTAGTGGTACTTTCTTGGCGGCTTGTTAGAATAAGTCAGTGCAAAATCAGAGAAAGCAACAGCAAAAAATTGAGGTAAAAGAACAATTTTAACGAGCTACCTTCTTGTTCAAGCCACTATCTTTACCCTCATTGGTCCTATATATGTATGTTGGAGAGAAGCTACTACTATATACTACTATATATGCTCTCATGCAAAGGCTCGTGCTCTCATGTCGCTTCGGGCAACGGTCGAGATCTCGTGTATCAGCCAGTTTTATATGCTGAGTAAAAAATAGTCTATTGCGGGGGATTTAGCTGTCAAAGGTCAGACTACTCTTGAACATTTAATCGATAGCACAATATTGTTGGCATAGAAACAAAGCTTCAAAGGTATATCTATTTTGATCAACTGTGACATCTCGATGACAATTGGGATTTTGTAAACACGCCCGAGTGGATATCCGAAATGCACTACTGGATTTATATGCGTGGATAAAAGGAATGAAATCGTAATTAAATTCATTTGGAATCCGTCTTACCGAGAACTCAAAGTGAATCAGATGTGTCTTTAGAGACACTAATCCACTAATTGGTGAAGACAGGATAGCTAAATACAACTTAGGGTAATATCACTGGGGATAAATATAGAAATTCCAGTCATCAAAGTAAAAAAAAAATCCATCAAAGCTGTATGTGTACAAGAGTGTTTTAGAGTAGCGTCGGCGACGTCTCGATGGGGTAGACTTGATAGAGCACATATACCCTTGAGGTGTATATTCATACCAACAATACCTGTATTGCAATAAGAATCCTTTAACCATACTGCTTTCACATATGCTTATTTAAATTACATCCTTTTATGGATGATAATATTCATCATTGCTACGTCAATCGACTCTTCAATTACAACCTACAGTGCACTAAGAAAATTAAGAGTTTCGACCTAGCTGATAAGTATATTTATTTTTAAGCCTTTAAAAAATTATCAAACTTTAATGGGGTGATTGAATGATAGGTAATCACATTCATTATTTTTTTTATCACGTAGTTACTTCATTATAATTTGTAGAACATTGCAATAATGCCACTCTTCATGACCAATAACTACACTATTCGTGTCCTCCTTTTATTTTATTTATTATATTTTCATATCTTTAAATAATAATGAAAATTTGTTCTAATTTTCAAATGTACATAATGGTATGCAAAAAATTTAATAACAGTGGTAATTATTATTTTTAAATTAAATTTAACATAATTGAATCTAAAAATTTTTTATTTGGAATTAAATTATTTCCATGTTGTTTTTTTTATAATCTTTAATTTAATTTAAAAATTCAGAATTGAATTATATTAATGTATATTCTGTATAAAAATTAATCATTCAATATCCGACTTTAATTGATTCTAATTCAGTCAAAATAGATTGACCTCTGTTATTATTCCTGCTATCGTGATCATTTTATTGTCCATTTTAATGTTCAATCGTTGTTTAATTGAACCTAACGCAATCTATTCTAAGTTACTTATTGAATATTATCTATTTTATTATTGAATTAGTTAATTGTTACAATAATAATTGATTATTTATTTTCATTGTAATTTGTTTCAAAAATAAAATACTTATGCCTTACTATGAAATAATATAAATTACTGCCAGTTGAATAAACAAAATCAAACTTTCCTTTAAATGTTCACAACATAATGCAAAATATTTATCTATTTCCTTAAACATCACTACAAAGCGAAAACTTTTTCTCACGGATGCATTCGTTGACGCATTAATTCTGTATAGCTTTTTCCAATATCTTCTGGTCTAGCGAAAATGCAACCGTTTCTCATCGGTGTTTCATTCGTCTTAGTGAAAGAAGTGCGAGCAGTGACCATAACGGCGACAATCGCCGTGAGACCGGGAACCGACGAGACGGTTGGTGCAGACAGAGACACGCAAAGTGATTCCTTCCGAAGTGAATAATTCGGTGGGAGCTTGAAGGAAAACGCATGAGAGAACACACTCCAAAGAGACACGCTTGGGTGCATCAACACACCCAACCTCGGTATGCTGACTTATGTCTGTACCCTCAGTAAACCCTTTTTCTCGTTCTCATTATTCAAAGCGGAACTAACTACCCCTAAACGCACTCTATAACAATCCTTATTCCACTGTTCATCCTTTGATGATTTCATGTCTCGGTTGACCACTGGCTAAAAGCTTTTTTCCTATTGAAATTATTATTGAAAAATCTCAGGGAAATTGCTAATTACTCGATTGTCCATCTTCAGTAACTGATCTATATTTTTTTACTTCAATTTTTGTTTGCTTTTTGAATAGAAGACTTGAGTGAAATTTTGTTATTCCAAAAAAATAAATAATGATTGTAAAAAATAAGAAAGAATACCATGTTTTTAATTATCTTTATAATATTCATTATTAAAATATTCTCATAATTATTATTGAAATAATAATCTGATATTGCAAAACTTTATAATTGTTTACTAAAATTATCACAATTTTAATACTTTATTACGAACAAAAAAATATATTTCTCTTTGTCAAAAAATATAATTATTTACGGTTGCATGTCTCAAAGTAGTAATTATCTTTCAAAATCATAAA